GCAAGAGGCGCAAGAGGCGCAAGAGGCTTTGACAGGGTCGGAACGCACTGTGGCCGGGCGCCCGACCACCGACGCCCGAGCACTGCGAGGCAGGAAGAGGGCGATGGAAGGGGATACCCCAGCAGACTCAACGCCCCCTAACCAGACAGACACCGAGATGCGGGAGGCGGAGAACACAAAAGGCCCCTCGTCGCGAAGGCCCCAGAGGCTGTCAAGCCAGACGGCGGAAACCAGAATGCGCGAAAGCCTAGGCTATTATCAGAATCTGACACTTGATGAATAGGAAACAAAAACAGAAATACCAGGGATGGCGAAGACATCGGACACCAAAAGCTCTACGAGTTGCATCTCTCAACACGCGGAGGTCCGGTGGCTCACATGACGCATTTCTTCAGAAATGCTTTGAGAATAACATAGACCTCGCGGTCGTACAGGAGCCGTGGACGCAAGACGGTAGCCGGACGAAAAGCCACCCGGCATGGGATATGTACGCACCGGTAGACCACTGGAGCACGACACAAGACAGACCAAGGGTTCTAACCTATATCCGCCGGGGGAAAAAGCTCAAAGCTACCCAGAGGAGACCGGTACAAGGCCGAGATATGCTATGGCTAGACGTCAACGGTATTACAATCCTAAACGCATATAGACAACCGGAAATGGAGGCGGTTATAGAATACGTCACCAACCTGCAACCACCGCCTAACACGCTGGTCGTGGGGGACTTTAACGCTAAACATGCAACATTCGAACCAGGGGTAACAGGCGCAGGAGGGGGTGTCCGCCTGGCCGACTGGTCTGTGGCGGCGGGAATACCGTTTATAGGTAGGCCTGGGGAAGCTACGCACAGGGAAGGGCACACCCTCGATCTGGCATTCTCCAACGTGCCGTTTGCGGAGTCGAGAGTCGATAAAGAACTGGATGCTGGGTCAGACCACTACCCCATACTGATCACAATCCCAGGGCGTGGACAGGAGGCACTCGAACAAGTGAGATGGAGAGTCCCAGAAAACAAGCTTGAAAGCTTTGCCGAGCTGGTCGGGATAGGAACGGCAAGACTCCCAAAACTAGACAAGATCAAAAACACGGAACAGTTAGAGGCGGCGGTGGACGCCCTTACGGAGATAATAGAGATGGCGATCGGCGCGGTGGGAGAACAGGACAGGACGACTGGGAAATCGGCGCCGTGGTGGTCGGAAGAGTGCCACCAGGCGTGGACAGCATACCGAGCGGCGGAAGACGACCCGGAGAAGGACTGGGTCCCAGAGTTTGGAGAATACTCTCCACAGCACAGGGAGTTTCTCAAGACAGTCCGACAGGCGAAGAGGCAGTACTGGCGGGACAGGATAGACGCCGCGACGGACGGAGCTAAGCTATGGAACGTGGTTAACTGGCACAAGAGCACCCCAAGACTCAAATCACCTCCCCTAAGGGACGGGGAGGCGCTGATTGAGGACACGGAGGGGAAGGCAGCCGCGCTGCTCCGCCTAGTTCTGCAGAGATTCTCGAGTGGAGATGACCTAGAGTATGACCCTATAGAAACGGAGCAGGCGCCCGAGACCTTACCCTGGCACGCCACGACCACCGAGGAAGAGGTGGAAAAACACACGATCGGGGTCGCCAGCACGTCCCCAGGAGTAGACGGCATTACAGCACGGCTGCTCAAAGCCTGTTGGGAGCATATGCGAGGACCCGTCAAGATCATATTCGAAAAATGCCTACACTTGTCCCACTTTCCTCGCCAATGGAAGAAAGCCGAGGTGGTAATGCTGCCAAAGGCAGGCAAAACGGACTTCTCAAGCTACAGGTCGTGGAGGCCGATAGCCCTGTTGTCCTGCCTCGGCAAGGGCCTCGAAAGGCTGATCGCAGGACGGATGGCCTGGGTAGCGCTACAGCACGGACTGCTCAGCCCGCAACACTGCGGCGCGCTGCCCACAAGGTCTGCGACGGATCTGGTGGCAGCGTTCAGCCACGACGCAGAACTCGCCTTGGCTAGCGGGGAGAAAGTGACGATGATAACCCTCGACGTACAGGGAGCCTTCGATGCCCTGCTCAAGAGACGACTCCTACAAAGACTTATACGGCAGGGCTGGCCAATAGGCCTAGTCAGACTGATACGGGGCTTCCTGTCCGATAGGGAGGTTCGGGTGAGGCTGGAAGATGCAACGACTGGCTACGTGGTGCAGGCCTGCGGAACCCCCCAGGGGTCGCCGTTGTCGCCAGTGCTATATATGCTCTACCTGGCAGAGCTACTTAAACAAAACCCAAAACGCTGGTTTGGATATGCGGACGATATCTGTATCTATAAAGCGTCCAGGTCCCTAGACGACAATATCGCTGCGCTCGAAACGGAAGTGGACGAGATCTGGGAGTACGGACTGGCAAACAAGATTCACTTCGCACCGGACAAGGTGGAAATGCTTCATATTACCAGGGAGAGGGGCGGACATAACCCAAGACTAACGACCAAACACGTCACGATTGCGCCGGTCGGAGAGCAGGAAGGAGAAGGCGTGACACCTCTTCTCAGGTGGCTCGGCGTATGGTTCGACAGGAAGCTCAACTTCAAAGGCCATGTAGAGAAGAGGGCCGCGGCAGCCATGAAGGTAGCACAGCATCTACGAAGCCTAGCAAATACAGTACACGGGCCGCCAGCGGCCTCGATCGCCAAGGCCACGTTGGCATGTGTCCTCCCGGCGGCCCTTTACGGGGCGGAAGTGTGGTACGGAGGCAGAACGTCACTGGCAAAGAACGTAGCACAACAGAAGGCGGACGGGAAAATGAATGAAGTGCGTGCCAGAATAGGGACCCACGTTAAGGCGATGGAAAGGGTCTTTAAACTGGCAGCGAAGGCAACTCTCCCGGTCTGGGCGACCACGCCGATCGACACTCTATTCCGAGATAGCGGGCTGCCTACGGCCCAGATGGCCCTAGACCAGGGACGATATCAATTTGCCTACAGACTACGGACGGTAGACGAAACACACCCGCTCGCGCCAAGGATTGAACCGAGGCTCAACCACAGAGGCAGGGGCAGCGGGGAATACCAGAGACTTAGGACGAAATTGCAGCGGACAGCCCGGCTCCTGCCTCACATTAGGCGGCCAGTGCTGTACGCACCCAGGTACGGCCCGGGATCGAGACGGGAGCCCACCATGGGGATCCCCAAGGAAGATGCGGCCAAGGACTTCGAGGCTTGGGCGAAAGAGAGAGGCGCCCACGAGCTCCTCGTCTACTCAGACGGGTCTAGGACGAAAGATGGCATAGGCTACGGCTACGCAATATACCAAGCAGGAGAGGCGGTGGCAACAGCCCAAGCCTCGATAGCAGACGGCAATCAGGTATTCGACGCAGAGGCGTATGGAGCCCTGAGGGGGCTAGAGCGCGCACTAGACATCGACCGGACGGCGACAATCTGGCTCTGTATCGACAACACGGCGGTGCTGTGGTGTATTCAGAAAGATGCATCAATATCGTCGCAGCACGTGTTCCGAAGGATACACGCACTAGCAGAGCGACACGAAGTCAAGACAAGATGGTGCCCAGGGCATACTGACATCGAGGGTAACGAGGCCGCCGACAAGCTAGCCAAAAGCGGAACAAAATTGGGACCATACGACGACAAGTCGGAAACGTCCTCGTCGGGAATCAAAGCGATTGCAAGAAAGGCGATCCGGGACCAAGCAGATGACTGGTGGGAGAAGGAAGCGTACCAGCCAAAGCGTTATAAGTCGATCGGCTTCGGGTACACGCCCGGGAAGCCACCAGAAGAGCTGAAGAGCCTGACAAGAAGAGGGCTGCACAGGTATCTGGCAATGAGGTCGGGCCACGGAGACTTTGCCTGGTACCACAGAAAGTTCGACCACAAGGATGCCGAACTACGATGTTCCTGCCGACATCTAAAAACGGTAGAGCACATCGTCTTTTGCGTAGAAGCGAAGAAGACGATAGAGGACTGGCCGAGGCCACCGGTGCGGGTAGAAGACGGGGAACCCCCAAGGACACCGCCGGTCCCGGAGCTTATAACCCAGAGAGACCATATGAGGTACTGGGGATGGATTATGAAGACCCCGGAAGCCTTTAAAACACTACTCGACGTAACACAGTTTTACAGCGAGATATGCCCTCGGTAAAACCGGGGCAATAGGCACTTATATAGGCTAGGAAACAACAATGCCTAGCCGATAGCCTATAGCCATTGTCTGCAGGTCCTGCCTGCGCAGAACAACCGGGCCACGCTGCCCTAACCGGCGAGGACAGAAGGAACGGAGAACACAAGTCATAAGGCGGAGAAGCTGCTAGATAGACGAGGTCGGTGAAAAGGGGGCTGAGGAAGTCGACTGCAGATAGAGGCTCCCAAGTAGCATACCATAGACTCTAGCCTAGCACGTCAAGTGCCCCAAGGGAGGCCCGCGGGCCTCGTTATACGAGCCTGCCACGACGTTAAATACAGCTACTACTACTACTACTACTACTGATAACCCTTGGAGCGCTGGGAGCGCGATGCTCCTGTCGCTCCTGGAGCGCTTGGAGCGCGGCGCCTTCATCGCTCCTAGAGTCGCATGGAGCGCCGTCCCTGTGTTGCTCCTAAGTCACGTGACCCAGAGTCCTGTGCTGTCCTTGTCCAATAGAATCTTAGCAGTGGTGACTGGTTGCCCCACGCTCCTTTTCTCCACTTCCGGCCTGGTTCCTGGCCTTCGTTCGTAACACCCTGCCGCGATATAAGAGGATTTCTCGAGCATTGTCAACGACTTGCCTAGTTATAAAGGCGATATTAACAAGGATACTCAAGTCTTCCAGTCTCTATTAAGTTTTCTTTTTTATAACACGGGTCGCTGAACGACACAAAATGATAGCGAACTTGGCACGCACTTATACACTGGTCCAATACGTTCTTATTACATACAAGAGACTAGAAAGTGTGGTTCATATCTGACGAGGAAGATAATTTTTGAAAGTTACTTCCTTTGTCAATCCGGCTTCCTTGAATTATAGGTAACTCACACACTTCGGTAAACAAAACGGTTCCCGGTACCTCTAATAGTCCACGTTGAGAATCGACGCACCAGATTGCCAAGAAGCTTCAAACCATTTTGAAGTACTGGAACACATAATGGGATGTTACTAACAATCGTGGCGGTACTCACCTCTCGAATGCACCACGGAAACCAGACGGGCTCCATAGGATTTATAAAAACATTATACTTCATCATAATCGCAGCGATCATCTAGGACCATGTTAGAAATAGAAACGGCTTCCACTTTCGAACATACCACAAAGATACCCAGGCTGGAAAGACAAATGAGGAATAATTTTCTGCTTAAGTGAGTCAATACAGCCCCTAATTAATCTTGACCTGGTCGCTTACTTCAGGGCATTCAATTGCAAACGAATGAAAGACGTGGTAGGAATGATGATACACATGGCGTCTGTGGTAAGGTTCAGGCCCATTTGAAGGATATTGTAATTCCTCCACGTTAAGCATGCATCTAGACCATGAGGAATCAGCTTGAATGCATCTTGGTCAAGTTTCAGAGGCCCCTAACAGCATCGTTCAATCTGACTTACCAACATCTGGTTGTAACACAAGGTATTGTGAGAATGGTCTGCACCACCCACCAAACAGAGCCACAATAACGGCAACGTAAGACGCTACGATGTAACCAGACACAATGTTGAGAATAGCGCCTTGGTGGAGGAAGATACTGTCATAGAGTTAATAAAAGTGTAGTATTATGAGGTTGATAACGTACGCTAAACGGTGATATAGAATGAGAAAGCAGCATTTATTCCCCCATAAAGTAGTCTGGATTGCTGTTTCTGCTAGTATGTTGAGAATACCTAACTGTCGACCATAGAATACTTTTTGCTCCTCAGTCAACTCCTCGAAATTTGTGTTCGTTATAATGCCTTCATATATATAAAGACTCGTTACTGCAATAGTATAGGTTGCCTATGGTAGAATGGAAGTCTTTTTAATACACATTCTAAAAAGGAAAGGATAGTTTTTCATACCAGGATGATTATCATAAGAATGTCATCTGAGGGAGCCGTCGTCCAAGGGCGATTTAAAACAATATACTGTGATATACTAGGAAATGTTAATTTAGTGCTATAAGGGAGGTTTTGGAAACGGACAATCTGGTGGAAATTATACAAATAGTAATCGTGTACCAAAGCCAGCACTCTATAGTCAATCCTATAGATGGTGTTGGAAATAAAGTCATTCTATACGTCTGAGAGTAAATGGCTTGCTCGTAATAGGCGTAAGTTTGACGTTTATGTAGGATTTGAAATGAAGGTAAACATTTAATTTTAATACTTGGATCATCTATATCCACACCAATTGCTACTTATATTCTTTTTTAAGTGAATATAGCTGAACAATTTGTGTTCTATCGCTCTTCTGGTTGACTCAAGTCATTGGACGAAATGAATCACTTGCTACTCGGCCATAGCGAACAAAGCTTATTATGTCTTACCATAAGATCTAAACATCTTGTAACATAAAAGCATGACGCCTTTATTACGCCAGATCTCAGAAGAGAGAACTTATAGAGGCTAGCACTAGCCACGTAACTTTCATGATGGGATTTCAGTAAGCTACATTTGAGATGCCGTTAATCCGTCGTGATAAGATAGTCGATTCAAATGAATAGTAAAGCAGGCAGGGAGATGCACCCATTGTCCTAACTGGTTTATAGAATCACTGGAATCCATGAGGATATGAGGAATTCCGTCTATACCGAACTTCGAAAAAAAAAAAAAGAGATCTATTCAATGCAATGAAGGAGTTCAATTTCGTAACGCCTTGTCCTGTAAAAATGTATTTCTAATTACGACGCATCTTGAGTTGGACTACTAAGCCGTACTTAGATAATGCCTCGCGTATAATAGAAGTGTCTAGAAAGTTGAAACAAGGCTAATATAAATTTCTGTATTTTGCGATAAAACAAAAACTCACTATTGGGCTTAGAGCAACCTTATACTCAAGGCTAGATTCTTAACTACTTTTGATTTTCACAACACGATCCGTTGGTCCACCTACGTTATTTGAACAAACCTAAGAACTTGTGGCAAGATTGAACGGCCCTCACAGTAGTACTGTTAGTAGTTTAGGTAATATTCATCTTAAGTAGGGAACAATAAGTATAATATTGATTTTTTCAACTTAATGTAAGTTCTGTGCGGCCAGTGTTTGGTTAAGCCTTTGGCCAATGTATTAAACCCCTACAAACTAACATATTTACGTAGCCACTAGGTTAGTCGGATTGGCTGAGAGGCCTACACTATTTACAAAAGTTTGGACGTTAACGGCAATCCCTGATAGCTAAGACATCAGCATCCTAGTGGACAAAGCTCTGAAACATCAGCTGTGGCCGGGCTAGCCGGTAATTCCCGCCATAGCTTACTTAGGGTGAAGCGACAGAAGCTAGGGACTCGACCGCTTGAGGTTCGCGCCCAGTGGCGGCACTTTCTGAACCGGTCATTACTTCGTTAACAACACCATCTATAATAATTTTGCGCCTAAATCAACATTGTTTCAGGTTTAGGTTAATGATTCTTAGATAACCTAACTAGGACGTAAAAGAGCGTAATTAGTATTAACCTAAATATACGGCGGATAAAGTCTCGTGTTCTTAGTCATGTGGCCCATTTTAGACAAAAATACAAAGTTAAAATATAAAGACAAAATAATCGAGCTAAGAGGAGGTATCATATGCTAACAGTCCTATGCGATTTGCTTAAATCGATACATGTAATAGAACAGCTATCTCGACAGTTATTAGCTTATATCTAGCATAATTGGTGGAGAATATAACTGAAGGGTCGTGTTAAAGAATCTTAGGATACCCCTTTTAAGAGTAACGTTATCGCGCACTTTCGACGGACTAGTGCTAACGGACATCGTAGTATGTAACCTATATACTTAGCAATCTTCTATCTCCATACCTATATGAGATGGTGAAACTATGAACTATTGTTGTTAGTTAGCCTCTCGTGCCGATTGTACAAAAGGCCATAGGCTCCTTTAACCTGTAGAGTCGTGCTAAGCAAGGTCGAGGGGGCACTTTCATCAGACCAATATACGGCCTATTGGGCAAACAGACGCACGGCAGTCTTGGTGCTAGCATGCTTCCATCTCTTTTGCTCGATCGTGACTTGAAGAGTGGGTCAGTTTGATTAACGTTAGGGCGTGCTTTTGCTACAGACTTTGGGTAGACCTAATTGCTCTCCGCATCTGCTCTATATAGCCAAAGAAAAGAGCTTTGCCCGGTTTCACACTTTTTATATGCTTCACTTTCTAAAAGCCGCCGGCCTAGTGGAGACATTAAGGGGTGTAAGCCATTTTATAATGTCATCGAAATTCTTATTTGTTTGCAAATTCTCGACTTTAGAATACGTATTGTCAACTTGACGTAACACATGATTTATTTTAATGTCAACTACTCTACTATTAGCGTAATTTCGTGAAAAGAGGTTATCGTAATATAAGATACACTATAGAAATCTAGACTACATACAATCTAAAAGGACGTCGACCAGCTTCCTTTCGGCTCCCGTGCGTAGTCAGTGTAAAACCCCCGCTTCGTAACTAGCGATAGAGACATTCTATTCTCAACTCCTTAAGAATAAGTCTTTAAATATAACTAATGCCCGAAGGAGCTTATTACCTGGTGACTCTACCGTAATTGTTACATTTATATACGTTATATAATAATATATATAAAAAAGAATCAAAAAGAATTAATTTAAAGTTAATTATAACTACTTAACTTATATAACGGATTAAGACCTTGCTCTTTAATTCTTATAAGTTAATCGTAATTATTTAATTTATATATAACGGATAAAAACTTTATTATATATTTAATAGGAAGGTTTTTATTCTTATTTTAAGAGATTATCTCCTTAACTCTCTTTTGACTCGTCCTCTCTCTTTATAAAATCTATTTTATAATCGTCAAGAGGATCTACGATTGTCGTAACCTTTGAACTCGAGCCCTGCGCTGGCGTGAAGATTTTACCTTTATCGTCACCACTAGTTGAATCGGAATCGCTACTATTGCTACGGTCCGCAAAGGTTGAACGGGCATAAGCCGGCCAAATATCTCTGACGCCATCGACTGGAAGAGACTTTATCTGCACGGAGTCAAGTTCCTGAGCAACATCGGATACGCAGTCCATTACAACGTGGTACAGAACGCCAGTACGCATGGCTTCATATACCTTTGTTATCATGCCACCCATCGTCGCTCCTTTTCTGGCGTCTTGTTCTGAGCCTGCTCGTCCCCAATCAAACTCGTCAATCTCACCTCGTGGGGACGTGATATTCTCATTCCCAATGAAAGGTACGCCCACCTCATTGCGTACGAATCTGTAAATTCGGGCTGAGGCCTCTCCGATGTAAGGAGTTGCATCTGGGTACATGAAATAGGCGTCACGTTGCCTGAGGAAAATTTCCAGTGCTTTGGAAGTGCATTCCTCGGTCCAGGACTGAAGAGCAAGAATTGCGTCGGCAGAAGGAGTGACGAACTTGAGGACAAGCGGTTGCAAAGACTCCACAGCAGTAGAGAATCGCTTGGGCGAGTCGAAGTGGGTAAGGCTTTCCAATGATTTTCGGAAAGCCGCCCAAAGCTCAGATTGGAGCACACTGGAAGATATCGTCGCTTGCAAATGGGGTAGCAACATCTCGTCTATCAAGGTACTCCAGGCTGGTAGCAAGGATTCAAGGAATCTAACGTTCATGGCGCGAATGTCAAGAGCCTGGAGGACGGCAACCAGATGGGCTGCTGCCAACTGTGAGAGCGTTTGGACCGCTTCCAGAGTGTATCGACCGGAAATGAGCGCAAGAGAGTTGATAGCTTGATTGCCCATTTCTGCAGTTTGCACGTGACTACCAACAGGATTCGCCAAGAACCCCAACTCTGCCTGCAAAGCGGCGACCATGATGTCCGTACCTTTCCAGATGAATGACTGACTTGGCTCTTCGGCTACGAGGTTAGGTGGTAATCCATTGTTCGTTGCAGGGTTAATCAACTCTGTGCATTGTGCGAAGAGCATTCGACCGATCGTCTGTAGTGACTGTCTGGTCTTCTCCATCGCACTTGTGACAGCACGTGCTTGGAAATTGCCTCCATGCAACATCTTGCCCCCTTGGCTGGGGTCGATTAGAGGGTTATCGGTGGTCGAATTCATCTCTATGGCGATCTGTTGATATGCAAGGTGCAAGTCCTCTAACACTGGGCCGATCCACTGCGATGCTGTCCGCACGGCATATCGATCTTGACGCAATTCGCCTTCTTCAGCGTTGTCACTGTGTTGAACAAGCTGAGACTTCTCCAGAAAGGCGCGAATGTTCTGAGCTGATTCGACTTGACCAGGATGGGGTCTCACCTCCGCAAAGAACTTGTCAAAACTCTCGTCTGTGCCACAGAGAGCTTCAACAGTCATTGCTGTAAGAGCCTGCGCGAGATATGCTTGCCCTAGAGCATCGTGCAACGCTAGTGACCCAACTGCACAGGAGAAGGCTGTGCCATTCACAAGTGCTAAACCTTCCTTCGCACCTAGCGTGACGGGTTGGATGCCTTTCTCAGCGAGCGCAACGTCAGCTCGCTTCAACGATCGTTCGCCATTGGCGTTTCGAGTCCATACGTTCAAGCCAGGCTTTCCTGAAATAACGCCTCCAACATAGGAGAGTGGACTGAGGTCTCCAGACGCTGAAATGCTTCCCTTGAGAGGTACTTGGGGAGTGATTCCGACCTCGAGGATCTTCTGCAAAGTCCGAATGGTATTCTCCTGCACGCCTGAGAAACCTGAAGCGAGCGAATTCAGGCGAATTAGCATAGAAGCTCTGACCCAGGACTCTGGCATCGATGTCGCAGCTACTGGATCGTCAAGAGGCAGAGCCGAATCATGAATCAGGCTATTCAAGCCTTCATCGTGCGACGCCTCCTGGACTGGTTTGATGGGTCGTGGTCCTGAGACAACACCGAACTGTAGCATACGCAGGAGGTTCTTCTGGAGCTCCTCCACAGCATTTGTCCGGGTGTTGGCACTGCCACCAAAGCCAGTGTTCACACCTAGTAGAAAAGATCAGCTAGCACTGATGGATTAACCATTATCAACTCACCATATACGACCTCTCCTCTAGCAATACTTGCTTGAACCATGTCGGCGCTCTTGATAACCGCCTCAATACTTTGTTCAGAAATTTGAACAGACAAGCCATATCTACCGCCCAGATCAGCATCTCAAAATTCGACGATCATGGTTTTGAATTACCTTGCTACTGCAACGACAGTAGCTAGATCAAGAGATTTTCCATCGACGGGTCGGCTAGCACCATGTCCCTGCAACTTTGCAGCAATTTCCTGCCAATGGGACAAGCACACGTTTTGTAATGAGCCAAGCGCCATCTTGTGTGTCGATATATATAAAGTCTGTGGTGTAAGAAATAAGAGTTATAGCAAGGCAAGGGGTTGACTTAAAATTGTTCGTGCGAGGATGAAGACAATCAGGATCAAAAAATGGTTCTTATCCGGAGGCTATATACTCGTTCTTTTTTCGCATTCACCTTTCCTTCTAATTTTTGGCCCTGATTACGACTCGTAAATACCTCAGATCATTTCCCATTCCACCATGTTTCGTCTCCCAACCTTCCTTCGTCAGGGTCCAATACCACTTCTCTCGTGCTTGTGGTATAGCTATACCAGAAATGGCCATATCTCGCTCATTACGCGTTAGTTTTCTGACCAATTTTCACATAACTTCCACACAACCGTCGATACGTCGGCAGTGGCAGCTGTCAATGGACCTGACTTCGACCAAAGTGGTTGATTACGCCTTGGACGCGGGATATTGCGTTGAGGTTGTCACAATGTCATGTAGGCGTGCATAGAGCCTGCACACTTATCAAGCCGATGACGGCGTATATCATCCTATCTGTTCAAGGCGAATCCAAGGACTTGCCTTTTTGAGATATCTCTTACAACTAAGCATGCCGATCGCTAGGACTTGGAATCTTGGTTCGTCAGCTTTATTTTGCCGTTGAACGTTGGGAAGCCACTGACGACAATCTTGGACACGTTTTCCAAGCCCTGCACATACGCTCTGAAGCCGCTGACGATCATATGCATTACCGAGCTTACCCTATGGTCCTTCCATGGTACTTTCTGACAATTTCTCACGCGGCGACATCCTTCCATATTCTATCAATCTATGGTACAGAAACGGTGATCGACACGAGGCTTGCATGTCAGCTTTGCATCCTACAAAACGCCGTCGCGGCTATAGAGGGAATTATAGTAAGAGGATTGCGAGGATGTTGAAACGGTAGTGCTACCCAAACTAAGCAGTACCAAGCTTTCACCAAGCTTTCCTGAAGCTTAATCTCTCAGCTCTTATCGACGACGAATCGGAACAGAAAAGTTTCGCTTACTGCTGTGACCCCCCGGGCGCTCTATCCGAAGTGCGCACCAATGGGCGGTGACCGATCTGCGCGTGGCTTCGGTCCTAAGGAAACTCCGCGGGGCCGATGATCGCCGATGGATCGTAATTTCTCGCTTAACGTCCATTGGGGGCTCTGTTATGCCTATATGCATAATTTACTTAAACTTGGACGATGCCGATGAGGTAATCATACGGCTGTTATTCCCCTCTGGTGTGTACATCACTCGCAAAGCCACCAAGTTAAGCTATATATAGTTCCCGAATTCACAAGCTGATTCTTTTGTAATGTTAACAACGTTAGACTTCATTAGAATCCGATATCAAGCCTCCTGCCTTCGTTGATTTCATCAGAAGTCCAATCTAAAACCGCTTTCAGTGCCATGGCTGAGAGCCTGACTTTCTCGTTGCTCAAGGCCGAGAGGCGAGATGTTCTTCCCTATGTTTTGGCCGCAGGGATTGCGTTCATCTCGATTGTATTGTTCATTCGATCTCGTAATCCCCTATCATCAGTACCTGGACCTTTTTGGGCAAAATGGTCGAACCTTTGGTTAGTGTATCATTGCCGCAAGGGGCATATCCACCGGAAGATGATCGAAGTGCACAAGAAATATGGAACCTTGGTCCGAGTCGGACCAAACGAAGTGAGCACTGCGGACATAGAGTCTCTCAAAACCATATACGGTCAGTCACTCGTCTTCTGGCAGCACAATTTTCAGGAGCGGCGCCACTAACAGTCCCATAGGTGCAGGTAATGATTTTCGCAAGAGTGACTGGTATAGCGTGTGGCAGGGCAGCCGCAAATGGGACCTTTTCTCAGAACGTAACGAGGACATTCACCGATCACAGCGGAGATTAGTGAGTCATATATACTCGCTATCCAGCATGAAGAAGTTGGAGCCCTATGTTGATAATGCGATCACGTTCTTCCTCACCAAATTGTCTACAATGGAAGGCCAACGAATCGATGTGAACAAATGGGTGAGGCTCTTTGCCTACGGTCAGTAGCACCCTATCCTTTTATGTCATGAATCTGACTGAACTCTGTAGATGTGATTGGTGAAGTAACGTTCTCGAAACGATTCGGCTTCATCGATGAAGGCAAAGACGACGGCGCCTTCACCATGATCGACAACATCTTGTATTGCGCGAATTGGGTGGGACACATACCTTGGTTCTATTGGATCAATGTTTGGCTTTCTCCAGTAATAGGCAATCGTCTCGCCGTTATGCAACGCCAGGGCAAGCTTTTGAACCTGGCGGCTAACGAAATAAAGGAGCGCAAGCAACGTGGAACTGATCATCACGATATGCTTGAGCAGCTCTTTGATGTTCAACGGGAAAAGCCGGATAAGTTGGATGATATCTCTGTTACGTCAATGGCTGCCAGCAATATCTTTGCCGGAAGTGACTCAACATCCGTCTCTATTTCAGCTTTTCTCTACCACGTCCTGCGAAATCCTGATTGCAAACGAAAATTGATAGAGGAAGTGGATGCCAAGGCAGAAGCTGAAAACGTCAGCCGGGGCGCCGTATTTGATCTAGACGTGATCAATAATATGCCGTACTTACAAGCTTGTATGTATGAGGCCCTTCGCTGCCATCCAGCAGTCGGAGTGTCCCTCGGTCGAGTCGTACCTCCAGTGGGAATGAAGATAGGTGGGCAGTACATCCCTGGAGGAGTAAGTCTATCTTGAGCCCCCTTTAACGTTTACATACTGATACGATGTAGTCCGGAATTAGTGCGAACGCCTGGGTAATACACCTAGATAAAGAGGTCTTTGGCGAAGATGCGGATAAATTCCGTCCAGAGAGGTGGATGGAAGATCCTAACCGCGTTAGCAATATGAGTACGAATCTTGGTCCTTATTCTACCCTCCAGTAGATGTTTCTGACATAAGACAGGGCGCAACTTCCTTAGTTTTGGTGCTGGATCCCGATATTGTATAGGACGAAGTAAGTTTCTTGATACTCCCACATGCGAGAACACTGTCTGACCCAGTACAAGATGTGGGCTGGCTTGAGATGTCAAAGGTGAGCTCAATCCATTGTTGCCTGACGCTAAACTGATGTAATGTAGCTGATGCCAACATTGTTTCACGACTATGAGGTTGAATTCTCTGATCCCAACATTAAAACAAGAGAACTTGCATGGTAAGTGGGATGTGTTCAGAAACTGCTACTCCAAGGTGCATATAAAGCTGACTTTCCGAAGGGTTTTTATTAAAATAGAAGATCTTCAAGTGACCATAAAGCCGAGGCGGAAGGGTCCCACAAACCAAGCTATCCACGCGTAGCGTTGAGGTGAGATGGAGATACTAAAGGCACGGCATGCTACTAAGAACTCAGATTCATGCGAAGCTGAAATATTAAGATCACAACATGACGGCTCAAGCAGGAAGTGGCCCAAGGTGCTGAAGATCGTCTCAAAAAGCTTAAGCAACTTCAGCGACCAAGCACAATGGAATCGGACATATATACAACCATAAAGAACATAAAGCTCTGCTCACTGTTCTGATTTCAATCGTTACCGTTACTATGAGAAACCTTGTTTACCTGAATTCTTTCTGTTTTAAAGCAACACTTGTTGCTACCTGTGAACACGACTGTTTGTGTGAGGACGCTGCAGATGGCGTCAGACTGTGATGGGATGGTCGCAGCAAGGGCGATTCGAAAGATCGTATTGTCGCAACATAGTAACATCGTATGGAGGCTTCAACTTTTGTACGTCTTCAATCCTGTAAGACCTAGCGTAGTAAGATAGTCATTCAGCCCTCTCTATTCAAACCGCTGATTAGAATATGGTGTAGGTTGAATGTTCTCTTCATCAAGTTGACTACCATTATGTACACCATCGTTAGCTGCATTTATAGCGGCACGAGGCACCCTCGACATTCAGTCGACGCCGACTACGTCACTGGTCTTCAAATCCTTCAAGCCAAGTCCATGCCTGAAAGGGCATAGCGGACTCCTCGTCTTACCCTCGAATCGTTGATGCTCTTACCCCCAATGGCACACCAAAGGGGCGCTCTTCGACCTTGGACTTGACCCCAGACCGCTGTGCCAAAATGGCTGCACGCTTCCTGGCCGCTGCCCAGACTGTCAAGATATATATGATAGGATTCAAGTGTATTGAGATTGTTGGAGATTGCATGTTCAGCTAGCGTGTACATCCTAATTATACATGAGCAAAAGATGTGTAATGCCCCACACCTAACATTTCGACACGGGCGAGGCATAATCGAGAAGACTCTTCAAACAATGCTTTTCGAAAGGGTTTTCCATCTTCATTGGACCAGTATATTTGCAAAGATGCTCGGAAATCAAACGACGGTTCTACTCCCCTTCATTCAACTGTGCCTGACATTTTCTGTGAAATCATGTTATGGTTCTGAGACATTACGAAGAGACCCTTAAAAAAGATAGAATGACACGCTTGGTCGCGCTTAGTGGCCCTTCGTGGCCGCAAACGCCCGCCTCTGCTTTACAGCATCCGCCAGATTCTGTAGAACGCTTTCGGTATCATGCCAGCCGATGCAGGCATCTGTGATGCTTACACCGTATTTCAGGCTACTCTTGCCCTCGGGAGGGACCTTCTGGTTGCCTGGTAAGTTTGTCAGCATGTTATCTCTCTCAAACGTGACATCTTGGCACGCTTACCCTCGTTGATGTTACTTTCGATCATGACGCCCATGATGTCGTTCTCGCCCTTACGGATCTGGTCGGCCAGCTCGGTGGCAACCTTGGGCTGGTTTTTGTGGTTTTTGAGTGAGTTGCCATGGCTACAATCGACCATGAGGCGCTTGCGGACATCACACTTGGCCAAGGCTGCCTTGGCCTCGGCGATGCTTTTGGCATCGTAATTTGTGGTGCCCTTGCCCCCACGCAGGATGACGAAGCAGTCTTCATTACCTGTTGTACCGACGATAGCTATAATTCCAGGCTTGGTGACTGATAAGAAGTGGTGAGGATATTTGACGGCGTCGATAGCATTAATAGCGACGTCTAGATTGCCATCGGTGCCGTTTTTAAAGCCAACTGGGAAGGATAGACCGCTCGCTAGCTCCCGGTGCAGCTGGGACTCGGTAGTACGGGCGCCGACGGCGCCAACGGACAATAGGTCGGCGGTAAATTGGGGTGAGATAGTATCGAGCATCTCGCTAGCGATAGGCATACCTTTGTCGGTCAAATCGACGAAAAGCTGGCGGCTAAGGCGTAGGCCCTTGTTGATACTAAATGAATTATCGATCTCCGGGTCGTTAATGAAGCCCTTCCAGCCGACCGTCGTACGCGGCTTCTCTAAGTAAGCGCGCATCACGATAAGCAGCTCGTCTTTATGCTTTTCCTTTTCCTTCAGCAGCATGTCGCAATACTCCAGCGCGGCGGCCGGGTCGTGGATCGAACAAGGGCCGATGACAACGAGCAGGCGGTTCTGGGAGTCGGTCCCCTGTACAACGGAGGCAACCTCCTCGCGTGACTCGAGCACCGTCTTGTTAGAGTTGGGCGTCTGAGGGATCTCATGTTGGAGCAGATCAGGGGGAGTGAGGGGGCTGTAGCCGCGAACTGTTATGGCAGGATTAGTCTCGGTCCTTGCCTTCTGAGTCCTTCTTGAAAACTCACTTCTCCAGTCCTCACTGTCGAGCTTGTTGCCCACGTTATTGTTCTCGATAAAAAAGCCCTGCGCGGTAAGTCAGAGGTGCCAAGTCCAGAAGCATATGTTTTTGGTGTGGGTGGAAGCGGCAGGTGGGACTCACAGACATGATGCCTGGTCTTGTTCTGCAAATGCTAAGAAGAAACGAACAGATTGACCCGATCTCGTGATGTAGACAGGTAATTGGAGACTATGACTGCTCTCCAGATTGCAGATATTTGCGAGAAGGTGGTCGATTGATGATTTTCTGCTCTGAGCTCCTTCAGCGAGATATGACAAGTGACTGCTGCCAGAAAGACCCTCAGCTTGACACAAACATCTGCATAATCCTCTGCCGTCACCAGTGCTCGAACGCTACCAGCGGTAGCATCCCTGAGCTTATGTGTCTCGGCCGTTATGACGCGCACCTGGCTGAGGATGTCCTGCATGTTGAGACTACTGTCCAATAGTAAGTCATCGATTGCAAGGTTCAGACCCTCAATGCATCAGTCCTCGATTTGTGGTTGTGGCTGACTGACGTACCATCATGCATGCTGACGGCGACCATTCCAGAGAGCAACAAAGTCGTTGCCTTGGGGCATACTAAAATTGCCTCACCCAGAGATAGGTCACGATTTGAAGACTTCTTTGTCTAGGATATGATGTGTTACGAGGGGTTGGAAACTCAGCGGGTCAGTTACCCGGCTCGAGAACAGAACAGGGGTGTTTCGTCGCGCTTTCAGCTGGCAAAACCTTAATTCCTCCCCTAGCAAAACTACCACCCACCCCACTGTGGTTTGGGGGACTTCCTGACTAGGAGGGGTCGTCGCGCGCGTGGGGAGAAGTAGACAAGGCTATAGCAAACGGATTTGGTGCCTCGCATGTGTCTATCATTCCGTTTTCGGAGTTCAGCTTTGCTCGTGCAGAATCCTTGTCAGCACTAGACGCCTCTTGCATCACCACATGCAGTGAAACTCTGATCATATCCGACGGCGACTAAAGCCGGGGAAAAAAGCTTGTCTGGCAACTGTCTGTTCTTTGCACTTTTGCGTATATTTAGATATCGTTGTAAACCGTGGCCGCTGTCTAGCCCGAGACAGATCGCCTAGTGCGCCCTTCACATCACTACAATCGTCATCACGTCACAACTTGTGTAACGCTGAATCCGTGACGACCGTGCTTACCAATCGGCCAGCCAAGATTCTTTGCCGCCCATTAAGCACCATCTAGGCAGTCAACCAGTCCTTACATTCATTCCAAAGACGTTCGACCCTTTTCACTCCCGTTGTCTTGTCGTTTCGCTCAAGCTGGCGAGCAACGTCCTCCAAAATGGCATCCCAGAAACAGGAACTGCCAGGCTCCGACTCTCCGACGCTTTTTGAAGAGGGCAGCAACATTCCGCAGGCCTCGGGTCCGCCTTCTTCAGATATTCATGATGATCAGAAACAGGCACCCGTCCCGCCAGATGGGGGATTCAAGGCCTGGACGCAGGTTGCCGCCTCCTGGCTGATCATGTTCAATGTTCTTGGCTTGCTCAACACGTATGGCCAGTTCCAAGCCATCTACGAGACGGATATTCTTCAGCAGGAGACCGCCTCAGCAATTTCATGGATCGGCTCAGCCCAGTTCCTCATCTGCTATGTTGTTTGCATTTTTACTGGTCCGGTTTGGGATGCAGGGCATGTTCGCTTCCTGCTCGGCGTGGGCACCATAATTATGGTCTTTGGCTTAATGATGCTCAGCCTGTGTCATGAGTACTACCAGTTCTTTCTGGCACAAACAGTCGTAACAGGAATTGGCTTCGGATTTGTCTTCTTGCCAGCTTCAGGAATTGTGCCGCAGTGGTTTTCTACCCATGCTGCGTTCGCCATTGGGGTCTCGACGACCGGATCAAGTATTGGTAAGCTTTTTGCCATCTACAACGACAGTGTTGGGAAATGAATACGTGATTAACTCTTCTTTAGGTGCTGTCGTATATCCCATAATGCTTCAACGCCTCATGCCACAGATTGGATTTGCATGGACGGTACGGATCATGGCTTTCATGGTCCTTGCTTGCATGCTCTTTGCTATTGCAGTGATGCGCGTACGAATCGAGAAGGGCTCACGGAAGAGAAAAATCCTGGACCTGAAGCATTTCAAGGACATCCTATATCTTCTCAGTTGCCTAAGCTTTTTTGTGAGCTTCCTGGGACTCTACGTCTTTTATTACTACATCAACCTTTACGCCACGGAAGTCGTTGGTACCAGTCCCAGCCTTGCTTCCTATCTTCTTGCCATTCTAAATGCAGGATCATTTTTCGGCCGTCTCATTCCGAACTACCTCGCCGGGCGCCTTGGGCTGCTGAACGTGCAAATAATTCTTGGAATTATCTCTGGTGCCTTGGCTTTTGCTCTCATAGGCATCAAAAGCACTGCTGGCGTCGTTGCATTCACAGCCATCTATGGCTTCGTGTCTGCCCCTTACGTCTCCCTCCCTATCCCCATAGTGACGAGTCTCACGCCCGACAAGAGCATCTGGGGCACACGGCTAGGTATGAGTTTTGCTATCATCGGCCTCGGTGCGCTCATTGGTAGCCCTGCGGCAGGTGCTATCCTCGGGAGCAGCCCGGAAAGGAATTGGACGGGTCTAATCGTCTGGTGTGGAACTATGTTCATGGTTTCTGCGGCGATTCTTACTTCTGTGCGCATCTTGAGGGTGGGCTTGAAGCTTTCGGTAAAGATCTGACCAAGACATACAAAAGCAGACGTAGCCTGCATAATACACTAAGGTTATGAGGTCAGCCTGACTAAGCTGAGTAGCTAATCTATCTATAGTCAGATTTTTTTTTCTTTTAGCTTTGTGCTTGATATATAAATGGTATACGCTGTTGTCAACAATGAGTCTACCCTAGAAGTAACTATTAGTCTCTAAGACCCAGAATGAACCTTGCAAGACTTTTTAGGAGTCCGCGTGACCACCGACTAGTGGAGACCTTATATTAAACTAAACTGGCAAGCTTTCATGACGCACTCGTGGCCAGCTTTACGTCAAGACATTCGTCGCCGGATTTGGTTAGTGCTATCTTTACAGGGCCCTCTCGTCTGAATAAGGGTGGCCCGCAACGGTGCGTTCCGCACAACGGATCCTGCCACATTTTAGTGGGCATTTGTGCTAAATTAGTGCTGCATTAGGGGTGCTTACGAGGTTAATAAAGCACTAGGTTAGTCTAGCGGCCAAACACCCCAGCGGCGGGGATAAGCATTATTATTATATAACGAGTATTGTCACAGTATATGTGGCTCAGGAATAGGCATGGTATACCTGTGGCTAACGCCAGTTGGCTGGTTGCCATGCCTTAAAATAACGCATTTTGGAAGTGATAATTAGATTAGAGGACAACTGTGGCAATATGGACGACTATAGATGGCCACAGTCAACGGAGAGCACTCCGTATACTAAGGCGAGGAGCTCTCGGATTACCTAATCTAGAAATGGGTGATCGCGTGACTTAGCCAGTGGGCATATGCCCGCTTTCTGTACACCGATATTCTCTTTTGTAGACGTAGACTTGTATATACTACTTGACAGTACCCAGGGCTCTTCCTTTCAGTGCATTAGACCTAACCTTCACCAAAACAGTGTTTCTATACCAACTGTAGAAACTGTCATAATAACTCAATCAACACCACTTACGCGCAGACTTCGTCCAAACGCATTGCGGTACTACGGATACCGAGTACCGTAATGCTGCACGGTATCCTCTTTATCGTCGATTGCTTGCGGCTCGACGGAATCGACATCTCTATAAATATCTTTACATGGAAATCGTCAATCCTTACTATAAGCATGTCACATAAACTTTAATCGGACCCTTTTGGTAGGCATGTCACAAGACACGAAGCTTGCGAAGAAAGAAGGCTTAGAATGATCGATTCTACGATCTACGGCATATAGATTTACGTTCGGTACATACTTTTGGCTCTTTCGCCAAGCGGAACCCGTATATGCTGCGTGGCTAAGTTACCCGCGGGGACGCTGGCATTTCTTTCTGTTCCGGGGGCACATATTATAGTATATATAGCTTAGAATTAGGCATAGTATACCTATCGCTAACGCTAGTAAAGCTAGTTGTTATCCCTCTACATAAAGTATTTTAATGATAATAGCCCTAGTATAAATAATATATAATCATTCCTTTATTACTTACTCTGTTCAGTTATTATTCCATGTTACTCTATTAGTTGTTCTCCCCTTTTCCCTTTCTTTACCTCTCTTTTCTTTACCTCTCTTTTCTTTACCTCTCCTCCACTTTCACCATCTTTTACACACTACACCTGCTACACCCGCCTCATCTACTGTTCCTATCATATTACAACGCATTCCAGCCCATCCCAGCAGTCCATGCTCAATGCTGCCAAGTAGCCAGAATGTACCATCTCTAGGTAGACCACTCCGACAGCTATCGCACATGCGTCTGACCAGGACATGCAAATTGCTGCTCCTGGGCGGACCCCGAAACAGGTTGAAAATGTGGAGGACGAGGGAGCAGATTGCAAAGGCATTTCGAAGGCCTGTGATGATGTATTCTCCATTCCAGGAATTCTGGGCTTATCGAATGACGAACGACCAAACTAAGGAGATGATAAGAGTGTTATTGACTTTTGTGAGGATTCCGACTTCGAACCAACTCGAGACAAGCGTTCCATTGGCATTGCCGATCTGGTTGGCGGCACAGACCCCATCTCTGGGACCGAACCCGACGATGAACCTGACGACGAGTCTGGAGACAACGATGGAGACTCGGATGATGAGACACAAGCGGGAGAAAAAGAGGAGTTGCAAGATGACGCTGCGCAGACGAAAGACATACCGTCCAAGTTCACCGATGCTTATGAACGACCCGCAGCGTATTGGCGGGATCTTGGATGCAACCATGATGGTGACTGCAAGCAGAAGGACCGTCTCAAGGACCAAGACGCTGGCTGGCTAAGACAGTTGCGGCTGGATGATGAGGACTAGAACATCCCTCCGTGCGCTCGCAACATCATCTTGGAGGCGCTTGTAAGAGAAAGGACACTGAAGCAGGGTGGCCACCCTTACTAGATCAGAACCTTCTTCAAAATGCTCCTTTCGAAGTACAGGATGAAGCCAGCCCCCGGCCTACCGATGGGACTCAAGACAAACGGAACACGAGTGTTTCGTCCACCATACGGCACAGACGACACCACGGCCAACACCTGGAACGCCTACGCCATCGAGGTTCTCAATATGTTGTACCTGGCCTCGGAGAAATCTGAAGCACCTACTCGAGAAGAACACGGGACGCAATCTCATCAAAAGAATCCCATTTCTTCGAGCCTGGGACATCAAGGACGCTGTCGAGAGAGCCAAGTCGAACGTCCCGGCCAGCCATTACTGCGTCGTCGAGTACAAGGTCCACCAGCACGAGTACATGCTATTAATATCACCCGAAGTAGACGAAATGTTCTTCCCAGCTGCTAGTAAAGGCCGGCAGCAGCAGATGATTTTCAACTAGGCGCGCTTCAAGAAGCAAATCCATCAGCTCCTCGGCGTAGATGTTGAAGATGACGACGAGGTCAACGAATACGGCGAGCTTGAGGAATTTAACCACACCAACTAGGGCAAAGATATGGTTAACTGTAAAGGTAAAGGGGTCTAGTACGAGAACATGAAGATTACGGACGTAGATCTCAACAGCATCGAGTCCATGTTCAGTAAATTCGATTCCATCCTGACGTCGGAGCAGAAGGCAAAACTCGACCGTCACAATATGATCTGGATGACCAATACGCACCACGTCCATACCTACATGAGAGGACTCATGATGAAGCTGCAGAATTCGGCCGAAGTTACTGAGCAACAGTTTCAGGATGTCGAGTCCAATCATCGACATTTTCGTCACTGTGTTGAGAATATGGAGAACGAGGCAAGGGCGGCCGCCGACTCGAATCACCATTTCCAGAAACATCAAGATGAGCGACAGAAGCGCATGGAGAAGCTCGAGGTTGAGTTGCAGAAGACTCAAGGACAGGTGCAACACCTTCAGACTGCACTAGAGAAGCGCTCGAGCTCCTCAGCCAATGACTAGCAGGACCTACAGCCTGTCGCCCAATATAACGCCAACCAAGCCGACCACGCCGATCACTGAGTCTCCGCCTGTTCATTTATCTAGATTTTTGTTAAGCGCCTTCAACAAGTAGAAGACCAGATCAACGACCGGATACCCAGAGAGCCATTTAAACATATAGAAGTGTATCATAGCTTTGTGCTCGTGAAATAATGAGATCAGATAACGAGATAGAGGATCTTGCCATAAGTACATCTTTGAAATCGTCTTTAATTTGTATAATTCTGTATATCCCACTGCTCTCGTAGTACTCAATGCCTTTCCTCCACGATTCCTGGACGCGAAAACCAACCGAATCCGACGCTGGACATGGGACCCTACAGACCAACCTCCTCATCTTAATAGTCCATGATTACGCCTGTGATGTGAGCTGCCTTGTTGCGAAGCACGATGCTAGACATAAAAGCGGCTTTAGCATCAACACGTATCCGGAAGCGTTCGACTACCCGTCTGTTTGGCGCCTCAAGGCAGGAAACCCATCGGCTCGAGCATCAAAGGTATCTCATGGACATGAGCGCTGACAATTTTCATAGGAGCTATAGCAAAACTTACCTGGCAGGCTGTAGGGGCCCAGCGGCTCTTAACTCATACCAGGCTCCGAAGACGTAACGCAGAACAGGATGCCTTTCGCCTTTGCAACAACCAGGCAACGCCTCCGATAAAGACGTCATCTTTCATCGCCTCAACGGTGTTGTACACAAGGACTGGTGACTTTTTTTTTTTTTTGTATCGGCGGTAAAAGCTCCACCCAGGCCACCTTATCTGGGGCATGCTCGGTTCGACCAAGCACGCAGCTAAAGAGCTGTCGCACCTTGCTTGTCGGAGATCCGAGGCGCTCGGTGGCAGTTGGTGGATGGCCATGTACAGTGACCATGCACGATGATGTTTGATATCTACCAGAAGACAGCCGCAGTAGTGTTTCTCATAGCCCTAATGCTCGCGCCTGCGGTCGCGGACGGGGTCAGGACCCTGCTTTCCAACCCGAGGTAACCATGTGCAGCCCGCGCTTATCCCTAGGCCTGGCTGCCAGCATTGTCCTCATCGTGCCCCTCGAGCGCGTCAATCTCCTATCATATGTCGTGTACTTGGACGGCGTAATGATTGATGCCGACCTGAAAGCTCATCTCAGCGTCGCCGGGCCAAATAGTGATGACATCATTTGGGTGGCAAGCATCGTGGCTAACGCTGCCATGGTTTTGACAGTTAGACAAAAGACCCTACAGCGTGCCTCCACGCTGTAGCGCCTAACTACTTCGCTGGGTTTGGCTTTCCGCTTCTCCTTCCTTCCCCAGCCTTCCACTACCTTCTTCTGCGACCCAGATATCTTTGAACGAGCGGCCTTCAAAGTCCCCCCGCGAGATTGGGCCAACTGGGCTGCTCTACCTTGCCGAGCCTCCTCCTCACCTGCTCGTCTGATTAGGCCAACAAGAATCGTCTCTTTCATGACCAAGAAAGCCTGTCTCGATTTCATCCTTCGAATGGCTCATGGCATTGGAGGTGGGCGTGAGGCTTAGTGGTCGAAGTTGCTGTGGAAGGGTTGGAGGTGGTCGAAGTCGAAGCTGGAAGCGCTCTGCACAGCTTTGCTGGATATCTCGGCGGGTGGAACTCAGCTATTTCATTTGTCCCAGCTTGGCTGCCGTGGATGGTCGCAGTAGCAAAATTCTCCTCGGAAGCGGTAGGGGTGCTGATGGCGAACTGCTGCCTGCCAATTTCCTTTTCCGCTGCTTCGAGTCCCTGCCACGCAAGCGCAGAATCGAAAAACAAGAACCAGAACGTGTGGTCATCGAGCTCTCTATGCTCGGGCCATAGTGAGCCTTGCAGATGGGATGCCACTCCCGCAGCATGTGTCTGCAGTCCTGATCCTGCAGCTTTGGACCCCACTGCACGGGCAAGATGACAGCAGTCCTCGCCACAACAGGCCCCCACCGGTAGTAGCAGGTATCCACAGGCTGCTCCTTGGTTCGTGCCAGGTGCTGAAGAATCTCCGGGAACCCGCAGCCAGAGGGTGGCATCCTTTGCGACTACATACCCGACCGGGACGGCGCACGTGTGTACACTGTATATCATGAACATCAGAAAGTCGTGGAACCCTCGGAGCTCCGAAATGGCTGCCGTGTCTGCTGTATGGGCAGGTGCCGGGCAAACAGATGCCACGAAGACGATGGTTGGAGAAAGGGGGAGAGAGAGAGAGAGAAAGAGAAGTGTAAGGATGATAGTGTTACGAACTGCGGTGTTCCACGGGAGAGAAGAGGAAAAAGGACTATGCGAAGGTCTTCAAGTGCCCGCTCATGCCTTATTCCAAAACCAAACAACGGAGAAGACCAGGCACCTCCTTGCCTCGTTGACAGTTGGAGCCAGACAGACGAGGTATGAGGGCCAGCGTCACTTCGCTGCACGTATGTACCATGACTCTCAGCATTCTTCTTCATGTCACATACTGCGAGGAGTTGAATCTCATGGAGAAGAGGAAAGGAAGAAGGTCATTTGCCACCACAACGCGTACAAGTTAACACAGATCAGGGGGCTAATATACAAAGCACAGAACGCACGCTGTTGTTAGGACAGTCTGCGGACCTTCGAGACCTTGCAGACCATGCGTAGGTTCGATCGCGGTTGGGCCTGACGATTACGCTGATCTAGGTTATATGCTTAAACAACCTCGAGAGGCTTGATACTACCCTCTCTGACATACACCCTGAATCGAGGGAGCTCGATACCAAGCTTTTCGTATGCCAGGTCCGACCTTGAGTTCTTGGCTAGCGTAATCCACCGTTGGTTCTGTAGATCCCCGTCTTGCGAAATACTACTGTAAGAGTATATGTCCGAGCGATGGATATTGTCAGGATAGATGATAATAGTCTAAGACTATGAGCTTATAACGTCACGAACTGTAGAGTTGATATGGGCTAGTAACACGTCATGTCTGTAGATCTATTCTGGGTAGAGATTAAGAGACATCCATATATAAACGTAAAAGAATTCCCTTTAATATCTTTATTACTTGATTTTGATATGAATATATTAAAACTTAAACTAAACATACTAGAATGATGTTTATTCAAAAATGTTATATAACAACCTTTACTAATCAGCTTATTATAAGCTATACAACTTGTAAGCTCCCTAGCCGGCCCGAGTAACCGTTCCGGAATTGGCAAATGGGTGTATAGAAAAGTACACATTTGACTTCAACTTCACCACAGATCCCTTGCTTTACCGTCTGGTCAGTTCTGATGTTTCTTTAGCTCAGCCATCTATGAAGTCCTTCCCATACGATCATGAGCGTTTCACCACAATCACAAAGCTACAAAGTCGCAAAGTCATGAATGTTTCGGATCGAAGGTGGATCAGGGCCCGTGTTCGCCTAAGCAATTGACAAGGCAGCCTGAGTCATCCACTACCAGGAGGGCAAACAAGGCATTGCGCGACTTTGGATACTTAGAGAACTAACTTCACGTTGGAAATTGCCGCGGCTCTCGGGAGTTGTATTCTGGATAAGAGAGCTTAATGTCCCAATTTGACATTTCATGCGGGTCTGCTTGGCGTTGCCTCACAAAAACTGGTTGCCGGCAGGCATGCTAGCAGGGACACGGTTCCAATCATTTTATCGAGAACCTTGGCATGTAACGCTTGCCTGCAAGGTTTCAGTATGAGATCATAATTTTATCTGATTTTGCGTGATTAAAAGCTTCCGGTCCGTGACATGCTTTTAAGGTAGTATTTTGGTTATCTGCAGCATCCCTACCACGCCGGAGCCAAGCCCTATAATCCTTGTGACATACATGGATATCAAGTCAAGCACATGCACTGCGGTTTGCGACTTCCTAATACGATCAAGCAATCAGTCCTGTTCAGCCAGGGATTTATAGGTTCTATATAATGGCAGTCCCATCGACCACAATTGAGGTTTCGTTATCGCGACCTATTGGACACATCAGCTTTCAGCAACATGCTGTCACTCTTTTTCACCCTTGCGTTGCTCGGCAAGACCTTCGGAGAGCGCCCATTCATAAATGAGGCCGATACTGGGTATGCCTTACATGCCAAAAGAAAACCATCATGCTAACCGTGTTAAATTTAGGATCGACGATGTCTTCGGCAACACTCCTGCCGGCGAGCTGATTCCCCTTGATGGCATTGTTGGTCTACCCGACTTCGACTGGGCCGCAAGGCGAGCAATGAGTCTGGCGAATTATTCGTATTATCGTAATGGCGCTGGTGGCGAGTGGTCTTACCGGAACAACCTCGAGATCCACAACAAGTTCCCCTTGAGGCCAAGAGCAATGATTGACATTACGAATGTCGAGTCAACCTTGCCGTACGTCCGGTCTATTGCTGACGCCCATGGCTACACTAATTCTTCGCAATAGAACCACAATCCTGGGCCACAACGTCTCGGCGCCCTTCTTCATCGCCCCCTGCTCGAGGGGAGCCTATGGGAACCCAGAAGGAGCTGAAAGAGGACTGATTGAGGGCGCAGCAGCCAAAAACATCTTGTACATGGTATGTTTGACAGCGTTTGGTGCAGCTTATAGGCTGACTTGTTTCAGGCTGCATTTTACGCCAACTTGCAGATGGAAGAGATAGGAGCGCTTGCGTCGGATAACCAGACGATCTTCCGTCAAGTATATCTCAACCAGAATGACACTGAAACTCAGGATATCTTTGACAAAGCCGCCGCCGCCGGCGCCAAGGCCATTGTTTACACCGTTGATAGCCCAGCAAACGGTGTGCGCCACCGTGCAGCTCGATTCGGCGTTGGTTCTGCCGATTCCAGTTACTCATACATCACTGTGAGTACAAACATGTTGCAGAGACTAAGTTTTATGTTTTTACTGAATTGGCGTTCGCTTCACAGTGGGATGAGTACGCGCGATTGAAGACCATGACAGACCTACCAATCATCATCAAAGGTATTCAGAGCGTTGAGGATGCTCAAGAAGCCGTCGCTAGAAATGTCGACGCCATTTACCTCTCAAATCATGGCGGTCGTCAGACCGATGGCATACGATCACCATTAGAAGTTGCGCTGGACATACGTCAACAAGCTCCTGAGGTCTTTTCACAAATCGAGGTTTATGCAGATGGCGGCGTGCGCTACGGATCCGACGTTCTCCGACTACTTTCTCTCGGAGTTCGAGCTGTCGGACTCGGCCGCCCATTCATGTACGCAAATGTATATGGCCGCGAGGGCGTTGAGAAGGCCATCGACCTTCTTCGACAAGAGCTAGCCTGGGACGCCGGCAACACTGGCGTCGCCGACTTAAGGAACATCAGCGGCAATCTTGTAAGCCTCTTATTCTGAGTTCTGCGTCTTGATGTCCCTCAACTAACCGATGCAAACAGGTTCAATGGTAGATCTAGAGTTGTTTAGTTATGCATGCCTAGTTGACGCCGAGTCAAACGATTCGAGATTAGTAAATAACATTTAATTATCAACATTGTATCGCACATATATCCGACTCGTGCGAAGCGTTCTTTGCCAGACGAAAGTCCATCACGTGGACGCTGCAGACTTTCCAAAGCTTTGATCATCGCAAGCAGGCACGATCACACCTGTCTTTCCACGAAAACTGTCATGTGTGGCGTTGTCCAGAGTCATTGCGCGCTCTCGCTAAGTTGGGTCTTGCAGTGGCTCATCGACTAGCATGTTAAAGTATCATGCATACGTAACTGAGACGCTGGACGTTCTGTCAATCGCGGTTCATGGCTGATCATATCGGACTGGTGAAATTCAATTTGCAGCCAAACCGGATTTTAGCTTGACTATAGCGTCAAGTTCAAAGCACTCTGCAGCTAGTACAACCTAACCTCTTCCTACTGCGGTACGATGGGCTCATAGCTCAGACTGTTCGTTTCTTGGGGGGAGGGGGTTCCTTCGCCTACGGTGTAAGGTGTAATGGATCCAGGCTGCTGCCAGCTACAAAATCTGGGAAATTCATGGCTGTTAAATATGGTAACCTAGATCTAACTTTCATACGTATAATACTATAATACAGCCATTAGACATGCAATCTTACATATGAAAGACAACGTGATGTTTGAAAACTAGAGCGCTACATGCTCTATGAGTATAGTGTTACGTGCGCTAGAAATAAAGCGCTGCTTGCCCTAAAAATACAGCGCTACGTGCCCTATAAATGTAGCGCTGCGTCAGCTAGAAAAACAACGTTTCGTGAGCTAGAAATTCAACGCGTATATTAGAAATACTAGTGTAACGTTGCGTGGAACAGAAGTATGACGCTTCTTGCTGCAGAAACATAACGCTGCTTGTAATAAATAATCTAACATGTGTTGAAATGGCGACAGCTATAGTCGACTACGTGGTTTAGAATTCACCCTAGTATTTACGTAGGTAGGGTGTGGCTAAACCTCAAAAACGAGAAACGGACAGTCTTAGCTATGAGCCAAGGCGTCATACGAAGCACCGGGCGGGTCGATATCGGCGCTGTAGGAGACACGATTATACTCCATACTAATGCACAATGGATAACCTAAGTGATATGCAGCCATTCTGCAGCGAGCAAAGCTACGCGGCTTGATTCTCGCTCAGCCGTTATGCTTTGTTGATGACTGTAAGCACAAGGTATGGTTCTTCATTAGCTGCTTTTAGGTCCTCCGGGATACTGAATTTATGCTACCGCGAATTGTTTCTCCGCCGCAACGTCGATAGTCGGATGTGATAAGTGCCGGGGAGTTCGGGTCATGCCGCCAGAAATTGAGTCGGAGAAGCATTCATAATGACAAAGTCAACATTTATTCATTTCGAGATGAACTTGGCTAATCACGGGGCCAGCCGATCCCGTACTTTTTGTGATCGGCGATCGTATACCATCTCAAGCAATCCACAAGCACGTTTACCTTTCCACTTACAGACACGCTTGCTAATATCATGATGTAATTGGCAGAATACGGCCCTACGAGGCGGTAGCATGCATAAAGCCTAAATCAGTACATTGTCTACACAGTACACGGTCCGCATGGTAGATAAAGTCCCTGTGTGTAAAGACTTTTCTCTATCATGCATAGGTAAAATACTCCAGGGTGGACGCTCGATCATGCATACAATTATGCTGTAGGACTCGCGATATCTTTATGACCATAAGATTTACATACACTCCGAGTGAAAATCAACTAAAGGCGCCTAAATTCCGTAGTCAATCAATGGGAGACTTTCTTCTACTGAATACCATGATCGATCCTTTAGTATTGAGTTCGTTCGGTCATCTTCAAGCACACTCTCAACCGTACGACAGCCAATGATACTTTGCATGTCTTCTTAGTTCACTTAAGGCTCAGATGTACCATAGTAAAGATGCAATGAACAACATATGCAGCTACTACGATGGCCAACTAGTCAACGGAGGCCCTTAGCAATACAAGACCATGGACGATCATTCGAGGTATGAGGTAATGCAAACAATCCACACCGGATCTGCCGGGAAGTAGTCCATCTCTCGTGCAAGAGATAAGCTCATGTTCACGTAATCAAGTCATCTACTGCTAGTAAACACAACTCACGCCTTTCGTTTACCTTGATCCAGACCACCGCATTCCCTGATAAACATTCACGGTCACGATCTTACTGATACAGGAACGAATAATTTGAATCAGGAATCCTCATCACAAAGCGACCATTAGGTTCATTCTTTGTTTATGACAGATAAGCGCTTATAATCGATATGGCGCCTGCCGCACTCGTGTCCTCTGGCGTGCCAGCCATGGCCTCATCATACATGAGCTCCGAGGGGAGGTCATTTTCCAGACATGCCCTTGGTATGCAGGATAGTAGGTTCCCTATGAATAACGGTGGTCTTCGCGTGGTTTCTGGCAGGCACGCCATGAGGAGCAGCTCCACAGTGGATAATTCGGCCATATCAAATCTGGTATACTCATTGAAGAGGCGTAGCAGCAATGAGCTGGGCTCCAACGCGTCTGCCAGGCTTCTCAATGAGACTTACGACTCCATCCGAGACTGGATTGCTGCTCAGCGCATGAGTCATCTTCCCCCAGAGGGAAGCAGCTACGACAAGGTGCTTACGTGGACTCAACTATTTGTCGAGAGGATTGACTCCTTCGACCTGGCTATTCAGGAATTCTCCGGTGATAGTTATCTCGCAGCTCAGCTCGCATACGGCTACTGTGCTATGCTGCTTGATGTAAGTACGCCCATACAGTACAGGTACAATCGGTGTTTTATGTGTTTGCTGACTACCCCTCTTTACGCGATCAGTTAGGCAACGAGAACGCTCCAGCTTTAATGATCTCTTTCGGATTCTTCTACGGAATTTCCATGAGTCTAGTCAACCTCTTGGAACGAACTGAGCTCTTTGGTGTTTCTCAGAACACTAGAGAGCAACTGGTGCTCGCTATGTCGGATTTGGTGACCTTGGTCGCCAGTGTCGCAAGCTATTTCCACAAAGCCATCCACGACGCGTCAACTACTTCCGTTTCGGTCAACATATATAGCACATTCTCGAACCAAATCAAGGTCTTCAATGATCGCTGTGAGAGGATTGCGGCGTTGATGTGGCAACATCAACTTCTGGTAGAAAACCTCAGCACAGAGGAAGGTATGTGCAACATCCTAATAGTTATACAGTGTCCAAAGTACTAACCTGACTCAAAGCATCGGATATCAAATCTGTCGAGGCTTGGATTGCCCCAGAAGACAGAGCGCTTACCAATGTTGCTGTCGGGCTTTCACTCCTGGCACATGATCGTGAAGAGTTGACCTGCCTCTGGGTTGGTCCATACTTGACTCGTTTCCTCAAGAGTCAAGACACGGTCCTCTCTATTCATGGCAAAGCCGGCTCTGGAAAGAGTATTGTGGCTTCTGTCATTGTAGACTACCTGCAGCGACCCATATCAGGTGTTCATTACAATGCCCTGTTCATTCCTATCAGTAAGTTTACTGTCTCCTTACTGTAGCATGTCAATGTCTATGTTGGGATGACTAACAGCAGCTGGTTCAGACAGTAGAATATCCGCGGAAACATCAAGCCGTGCTATTGCCAAGGCTATCATGTGCCAACTTTTCGAGAAGCGCATCGGTAATGTTGAGTTGCTGCACATTTTATATGATGCCTATCAACGCAGCAACTTGGCCACCAGCAATGAAGACTACGACAACATTGTGTGGTCGGCGTTAGAGCGCGCACTTGCAGCTGCTTCACCCGGCGCAAGAGAGCTCATCATTGTTGTCGACGGTATCGATGAAGCCTCTTGTGGGGAGAAAGTCATGTTTGAAAGGTTAAATAAGGCTACTGCCCACGGCTCAAATGTTAAGCTCATCGTCTTGGGCACGGAACGTCATCCCCGTTCCGTGGGGCTATCCGATGTTCAAATCAATGACGACTTGATCTTTGATGATATCGTCGCCGTGGTCAGGAGTCACTTTGACTCGGACAATGAATTTTCTACCATGTCTGAATTCGAACAGGAGTCCATCATCACAAGGATCAGCGAAGCTTCTGATGGTTCATTCCTGTGGGCCAAGCTCGCCACCAAGCGTCTTCGTCGGGAGGTTGGGCTTGACAAGTTCCGCCACGCAGTGGATGCGGTGGTGAAGGCCAAGCCAAGCATTACTGATTTTGTGCTCCGCAATCTGCAGTCGTCCAGCATGACTGAAGATGCGAGACTCATGCTCATGTGGCTTTCCATAGCACAGCGGCCCATTTCCCCGAGGGAGCTCGGATCATTGCTTTCGATTCAGCTGGACCAGGGCACAGTTTTGGAGAAGAGCTCTGACGTCTTGGCAACCTTGAGGCCTGCGCAAAATCTTGTCTTTCTCCAGGATGGGCTTCTTTACATCCGACACGGAATGATTCGTTCATCGCTGCACGAGTTGGTGGTCAGGGGACAGCTGGTCTCGACCGTGAAAGATGCGCATGCAGATCTCGTCAGCCGATTGTTGTTATCCATCAGAAGTGCTGTCAACGAGCAACGAAAGCCGACGATCGGCGTTCTTGATCACAACGAAACCAGCCAGTTCCTCCATAAATACCAGCTCCTTGATTTCGCCGTTAGGCACTGGCCCTATCATCTCACGCAAACGACCGTGTTCAAGAAGGAAGGTAGCTCCGCCGCAGCCAAGGCATTTTCCAGGTTTTATCCCACCTCCACGACAGCAATCCTTCTTCAGGCCAGTCTCTGGGAACACAGACCGAAGCCATTGCTACTCGCTTATCAAGCTATAGTAACGGACGTCTATCGCCACCTTTTCGGCACGAAGAGTCCTCTGACGTTGCAATCAGTCATTTTCCTTGCTATTCTCCACCGCCAAGTGAATATGACCGACAAGGCAGCCGTCTTATTCTTCGAGGCAGCTATCATGAGCAAAAAGCTCCTCGGCGCAGGCGATTCCTTGACGATGCAGATGGCCGATTGGTTCATCGAGTTGACTAATTCCAATGTTACTGCCTCAAGAACTGACATGATGACCAAGAGGGAAGAAGTCCTCACCATCCTTGTCGAATGCTACAAGAGCCAATTTGGTACCACGTCGACAAAAGTGGTTACTATTCTCCGACAGCTAGCCGAGCATTATCAGATGACCAAAGAGGAGCAGAAGATCAAGCAAATCAATCTATCTATCAATTCCATCACAGCAGCCGGGCCTGAAGGTATATTAGTCGAAGGCGAGCACGACCTGCAGGTTCAGTTGAAGCAGAGAAGAGATTCGACGGAGTCGTCGAGCGAAGTCTCGTTGCATCTTGATGTCAAAGAACAGGACGAGATGATCGAGAGTATTGAAACGCTTGACCTCGATCTAGGCATGAAGCGCATCGAGTCTGCCATTTCGGAGCACAAGATGGACGTGGCCGACCGAGTTTACGTCGAAGTCTGGCAGCGCACAAGCCGAGAATATCGTGAGCACCGGTCAGAGTCTTGTGCGGAAACACATCTGAAAGCTGCACTTGGCTATGCCAAATTTCTGCATAACCAGAAGCGCCCTGCCGAAGCTTCTGCCACCCTTATCAGTACTTGGGAGGATATGCACCACGGAAGCGTGGCCTTTACAGAAGCATCGATTTCAGTACTCTTGCAAATCGGCAGAGTGTTGAAGTCACTTGGTAACTTGACAGAGGCGCTGGCCGTTTTCAAGCACTGCTCTCAGCATAGCGCAGATGCATCAGTGAGCAAGGACGTGCAGCAAATCATGCATGCGACGTCCCAAGAGGTATTGAAGTCAGCTGGTGCGTCGCACATTACCACCTTTGAAACTACATTAGAGGAGATGCTCCTGGAATCGTCAAGCTCATTCACCTCGATGGATCAAACCACCTTCGCGGCGACGAAGAGTCTGGCAACCTTGTTCTTCTCGCAGCATCGCTGGGTCGACGCAACCCACTTCCTGAAGAGGGTCCTCCGCGGAATCTGGCCCTCGTTGTTTTCGGCTAGTGTCCAAGATGTCTGTATACCTAGACAGGACGTCGAAAGTTGTGTTGAGCTCGCTGGCCGGCTTGCAGAGTGCTACCGCACTCGCAGGCGGCAGAGCAAGGAAGAGGACATTCGTGTACGAGTTCATCGCGCTTTGAGAATTGGTCGGAAGATCGACGATAAACTTCGTGAACAGTCGACATCTGAGCTCCTGTCTTTCTACGATCGTACTTCACAGGCCGAAGCGATCATCGCCATTCGAGAAGAGAGGCTTGACGACTATACTGAGCACCTTGGCGCCGAGCATCCCACTGTCATCAAGATGCTTGGTGATCTGGCGGAATTGACCCGGCCTCGACCCATTTTCATCGAGTACTACCAAAGACTGATTCGGATCGTCAACAAAGATTCCGACGTAAGCAAGGCGGAGGTCCTTCAGCCTGTGATGATCGTGGCTGCGGAGCTGTGGAGCAAAGGTCTGTTCTCTGACGCACTGCCATACTACAGGGTGTTGTTTGCCACATTCTTCAAGGCACCCAAAACGCGATCCGTTTTTCAGGACTATGACTTCGTCCGCGAATCTTTTGATCGATACATTCAATGCTTGCGCAGTATTCGCACGTCATATCCGGTTCTTCACGACATCACGACTGAGTACCATGCCCGCTGCAAGATGCTCTACGGGGCTAGCGCCTCCATTACCATTCAGGCAGCCTTGAGCCTGGCGAGGCTTTGTCAGCAGTCAGAAAGCTGTGAGAAACAAGCCGTCGCCTTGTACGAGGAGCTCCGGAAGTTGGACTCAGTCGAGATAGACCAGAAGGAGATCACGATTGTATTAGACAGGATCCAAGAAGAGGAGACCGCCCTCATGATCTCATCGAGCTCAAATTCAATGTCCACAGAACAGATCACGCGCGCTGTCACTGTGCTACAAAAGCAGATAAACAAGACCCGCGAAGCGCAGGGTTGGGCGAATGAAGAGTCCTTGTCCAGATTGACTGAGCTTATCGCGTTCTACAACAAGCAGCAGCAGAGCGACGCCGTCATCCGCGAGCTCCAAGAGACCACCAGCCGTGTGCTGTCAACAGAGACCTCGTCAGTCCGGCTGATGGCTGCTGCCTCGACCATTGCCTCCAATTATCTTGCTTCCAATCAGGTACAAAAGGTGACAGAACTCAGAGACGAGATGTACAGGCAGGTTTTCTTGAAAGAGACTGGTAACATCAAGCAGTCCCACTTTGATGTGTCGTCGCGCGGTCGAGAAGTACTTGTCTTCTTGGCCCAGCTGGAGTTTAGTCTTCGTCGTAATTCCGCGACTCTGGCCGAGACACTCGCTGCATTAAACATGCAGTATGTGTACTTCAGCGAATTCAACGGTCTCATCCGAAGCAACTCCAGCAACTTCAAGGATGTAGCGTCGGCCACAGCAAGGCTGCATCACTATCTGTTGGCTTGTGGCAAGCATGCGACTGCCGCGTCTGTGTTTGATCGTTTTGACAAGTGGTTCGCCGAAGTTGAAGTCAAGCGAACAGCTTTCAAAGCACAGCCTTCACCACAGACGAAGCTTTTCCTTCACAGCATCTTGAACCATTTCAAAGATCACAAGTCTAACGACATGGTCCGGTCCGTGGGCATCATAGGAAACGCGCAGGCTGACCAACTCCTAAAGGGGCGCCGGTACGAAGAGGCTTCTGACCTGGCTCTCATGTGTTTCACTTACGTGTCAGCACACAAATCATACCGCACAACGAAGATGACCAAGCTCATGTTAATCATGGGCATGTCCATCGGTGGTGGGATGGCCAAGGCCGACACGGCAGCGCGCAAAAAACTTCTTCAAACCTCGCAAATCATTATCCAGGACGTTTTGCGTGTCATGGGAGAACTGAAGATCAACTTGGCGCAGATGGCCCTGAAGCATCTCAACCAGTTGATCAAGCTCCTGGGCGAGCAGCAGGATTACACGACATTGGCCTCGCTGCTAACCACTCTTTGGAACAGCCGCGAGGTGCAAACCGACTGGCCTCCTAACGTGACATTTGTCCTTGCTCGCCGCTTTATTTTGGCGCGCTACATGGTCGGTGATACCATGGCAGCACTACGCATGACTGAGCACATTGTATACAACTGCAGGCGCGTGCACGGTCTACGCCACCCTGCCACGCTGGAGATGTCCATACTGCTATCCCAACTGTACTCCAGTATCGCTCGGAAATATCAGCATGGCCCGGGAAATGGTCAAGATGGGTCTGCTGGGCTCGGAGACATGGCAAATCGCTACTACAAGAAAAGCGCTGCTATCCATGAAAGTGTGCTACGCGTCTTCAGCGATCCAAGCTACGCTAGCGTGGCTGGAGGGGCGCTAGTGGATAGCTGCTATAGTGATCGAAGAGCAAGCGGCTCCTTCATTGGTGGCGGCTCTGAATCACCACCGCCATTGCTCGCCCTTGCAGGCGACCTCTTTGCAGATGGAAACCAAACAGACCAGTCAGACGGTCAGCGGGTCCGTCAGCATTTGCATCTCCTCAAGCTTGCTCTTGAACGGCTTGGTGACTATCCAAAGGACTACTCCGAATATGAACACTTGAACGCTGATGTGTTTCGGGAATTTCTTGAGGATTTGGATGGAGTCGAAGGAGTTGAGAAGTGGAATATCAAAAAGTTTGGCGGTGGTAAAGCTGAAGCAGACGATGATTTGGTGAAGCCAGATGACATCAAAATCTGGGAGATAGTTCATGACGTCGTACGAGAAGATGCGGAAAAGGAGCTGTAGGGAATAGATGTCCATTGCTATTCTTGACTTGAACATTGTTGTGGAGTTATTCGATTTGAATCACGACCGCAGACATTGACTCAAATGCAACTTCTGTAAATATGTGACTGTTCATTTTACGTGCACATTTCTGCAAAAGGTGGCCAAGTCGGTGACTGGCTGTGATCAGAACCCTACGATTGTTATGACATCAACGGAAGCACTTCCGCAAGCTTATCGTCAGTTCAAAGAGTCGTCTCTCGAGTGCACAACAGCCATGGCAACAACATTGGCAAAAGTAGGTAGACTAACATCCTAGCGTTGACACCAGAGCGCTTTCAGGACACAACTGAACCACACAACTACACCATACCCACACGACATCCACCGCCTTCAAACAGCATCCCTTTGCATGTTTTTAATGACCAGCTGGATGGTCAATAACAACATTTTTCAATAATGAAGTTTCGAAACACATCCGCAAAGAGGCCCCGGGCTACATTATGCGTTCATGGAATTTAGGGTGCGCGGGTTCCAGTGAAACGCCTTCTCCAGTTGCCAGACTCCATTGTTCTGGCGAAACAACGTGAATCCGAACAAGCGAAGCCCAGCTCTATGAAGGTCATAATGAAAATAACTGGCAAGTTTTCGAGGGTGCCGTTTGAATGCTTGGCTGGAGCTCGAAGCATTGTCCGCAGGCGTGCGATATGGAATAGGCTCAAAATGAGACGCATAAGCCCATATTATCGCAGTCGCATGGAAAGAAAATAGTGCTCGCGAGATGGTGGTATGGCAGCAACTATGGCGAACAACCCACACGGGATGCTTGGACAGTGAAGCGTTGGTGGTGCTCACAATCCAACCATTCGGCATTGCACGCCCTCAGTACAACAAGTCAGCGTTCCACAGGCGGTGTCAGCGATACCACACGACGAGGAACGAACAAACGAATATTCTCAGGAGCGGTGGCCCTGTGCAACTCTGACGTGCTTGATTAGTATGGCATTGTACCTCTCACCAACCTAAGCAAACGACTTGCGTGATAGTCACGAAGTCACTGGAAACTTGCAAGCTAGACGAGCGAAGATATAAAACACTTCCCTAGGCTTCGTACCACTGCTCGAGGAGTGTCTTCGATTTTCTTTGCTAGTTGGAGGTAAACTAAAAATGCTTGCTCGATTGGCTTCCATACTTGTTAGGATGATTGCTGTAAGATGACTTTTGTGGTCTTGCAAAACTTGTCCGGAATCGTGGTTTCCTGTTGCTGGTCTTGTTTTGCGACGCAATCGCGACTCCGCCTCAATTGTGGAAATGTTTAGCGAATAGACAAAGTTAGCGTCACCGGTAACTTATAACGGGTCTCAGCGGCAGGGGCCGGCCGTTACAACAGTGCCGCAACCCGGCTGAACACCTGCTGGAGATTGGAATTATGCTCTGTAGGGAGAAGAAAAGAAGAAGAAGAAAAAAAACGGCGCATCGCATTCTGTCTTCCTAAGGGAAACTGCATGGCGTTTCCTGGCGATTAGTGAAGGTAAGTGGGCCTCTCCTAGGATCTCATTAAAACAACAGACCCCTGGGCTCAGTGGTTTTTATCTTGCGTTGGACAGCGGACATGGGACTTGCGTTTCGCTCGGGGGCCGATTTTGATAACAGCTGAAGCCGCGGGTTGAAGGGTGCCGGCGAGGCATGAGCTAAATGCCTTGGTTGTTCCTGTATTCGGGCAAGTTATTTCGAAGACGCACATGCTTTGATCATACGCAATTGAATGTAGATATGGAAACCCAATCATGTTGTCCGCATCCGTTCACAGCCCACCTCGACCAGTCATTACAGAGAACCGCTTACCCGTCTAATGTCGGGTCGGAAGACCTTGGGACAGCACACCGACGCTCTCCTCAGCTTGCATCGCAGGCAGGAGTTGAGAACTACCCGTCGCCAATATCTCGTGTACTTCCTGCCTTCGCATTTGCCCAACATGATTCTTCGGGCGTTCATTCGACGAACAAATCTCGGCACGAGAATGCTCCGGAACCAAATTGCTCGACACCGTCAAGGGGGAGCTTCCCACGTCGTGACGGAGGATTGCAACCTGGTCCTTCATAAGTACATAGAACTCATAGCCATCTGGATCATGTTTCTCAGCCCCCAGAGCCCCCATGAAATTTGCGCCGGGCTCATGTCCTCTTGCAAGGACGAGCAACGTCGCCACAAACGCTTCTTGCATGTACGCGAATGAGAAATCATCCATCAACTCCGCGATCGGTCGGCACAGAGCTTCGGGAAAGTCGACATTCAATTTTCCGGCAAGCCTACTTTGCCAATACCTGCAGTATAGTACACGCTCGTCCTGTAGAGAATCAGCGCTGCCTGCGTTGAGAACTATCCGGCAAGAGACATACCAGACTGGGCAAGGGAAACAGGTACTTTCTATCGAATCGGCTAGGGCGCTTCGATAATCCTGGGTCCAGACGATCAACTGTGAAATTATTGTTAGATCGATGATGGGAAATTTGAAAACGCCCTGCTTACGATAGTTCGTGGTGGCGATCATCAAGATGCCGTCGTTATCCTCCAGCCCATCAACTTCATTGAAGAAGTAAGATCTTGTCGCGGGGGTCACGATGGTTTCGATATCCTCCAGAACCAGAAGACAAGGTGCCATGGACCGGGCGAATTGAAATACGGTCCGAATACTGTAGGTCTGAGGTGCACTCTTCACATAGAGCGATGGGATCTTCTGCCTGCGCTGGTATAGTGTGTGCATCAAGGCCTTGATGGATATGGTTTTGCCATTGCCAACAGGTCCATGAAATATGAGACCACGCTTCCAAGGTACTCCGTATTCTTCGTAGACCGCTTTATTGTCAAAGAACTTTCCGCTGACTTCCGTGAGATCCTTCTTCATTTTGGGATCCAGGATTACTCTATTCCAGGACGCTTTCTGGACTTGCTCCCACAGTTCCTTTGAGGCAGACCAATATCCATCATAAACGTAGATAACGTCCTCATCTCTTGTGTACCATTTTCCTATCGTTGATATAAGTTCGTCAGTAATGGCAGAGTTGGACAACGTTGTTTCATCTGCGCGTGGCTCTATCAGGATGTACTGCAGCTGCGTCATGCCGACAACAACGCTGTACAGGATAAAATGCTCGTCATTCCAGGCATACCGATACTTGGCGAAAAATCGCGACTCTGCTAGCGTGCCGTGTGCATGTCGAGTCGGCGGCGGGCTATAGCCTCTCCACCTGACAATGGGCTCGTCGTCAAGATCAAGCTCAGTTTGAGCATATCCAGCAGCAGCAAACTGTAGGAAATTGACATTATTTGCCGGAACGATACTGCCAGGTTATTAGCTGCCCGATTTTTGGCACTTGGTTATGGATATGTACGTGATGATGAGCTCTGGATACTGCTTTCTCAGATCTGTGAGGAGATGTGTCTGGATATCAGCAACTCTTGCGGAGGTACGATCAAGGTATGGGTGGAAGAATTCCGGCCCAGACCCACCGGTCTCCGTGATGAGAGTAAACGGCTCGAAAGAGTCCATCGTTATTGAAGTGTGAGTATTGCAATGACAAAGGCCCAGCTGCGCAAGCGACCAAGAATTTTACATCAAACATGAGTCGGATGAGGAGTAGAAGTCAACTGAAATGGCCAAGTGTTATCCACGTTCTCGAGCGCATCCAGGCAGCCTAGTGGGATCACGATCCTAGCCAAGAGTCTTGGATTGATTGAACATGCTGAATCCAGTAGGCGGTTTGAAGTGCGGGGTGATAAGGCAGTCTGTCCCAGCCTGATTGGCCTGCAATTCGTTGGCAAAGCAAAACACCAAGGGGGTAACAATGACTTCGACGTCTCAACCACTGCCGGGCTGCTCTCTGTGTTGGCGTGTGACTGGAGACACTCTGGGGAGCACTTGGGTGGTTTCGAAGCGCAATGCCATGAATGGTACGATATCCTGGTGTTTGGCTTACCTTGATTTGTGTCATACATTGGTTTCTCGTACAAGCATCCGCTGTGATGATTACTGTGATGGCGTTAAGGCTGCTTACCATACGACTTTAACAATATTGGAAGCTTTGCACAATGCTCCGTACAGCCCAAGATTCTTATTTGATCAGTGTATAGGTGCGCAACTTGTGATTGGCTCATAATCAAGTACTGAGCAGCTCTCTCTACTGTATTCACATGTGTATAGTGCTCAAGTCGGTTGTGAGTTTGGCTGCTTAAGAAGGTATGCTAGCAGCTTCAGCGGGAAGAACTATTTGATCGCCGCAATTGCCGTCACTCGGGTTTCTACTACAAGATACTTGCCGACATCGCTGCATTCCGTCTCGCTGTATCAGTCAATGACATACCATACCAAGAGCGGTTTTGGTTGGGCTATACACATTTCCATCTGCCTTCACTCCGTAGAGGTAAATTAGCTTGTGCGGGGTGTGGCGGGGTCATATCGGCGGGGATGTTTAGGACCTCTACAAATAGCTAGCGCTGTGGGGCGGGGGGGAGTGCATTGATACTATAGTTATATACTCTCGACACCAAAAGAATTCACTTTCATGATCATCGGTGCCCATTCGTGCCGGAAAGCATAACAAACATTGATCAAATAGATCCTACACCATCTTAAGCATATGTCGAACACGTTGTACACTACGTACTAACTATAGGACCATTCATTTCCGAAAGTGGTATTTTGATCGGTGTGGTCTCCACAAAATAAAATGTCAGCATAGTCGGACGAACGCCCAATTCCAGTGCTTCCACACAAACCGTGGTCGGCCAGGGGTGCCATGTGTTGACATGAAAAGCCTGTGACACGGAGTCAAGATCGATCTGGGCAGACGCGGCTGAAAGAGTAGCCGGTGTGCGGCTTTTTGTAGCATGAGCCATCTATTGCTGCTACTTGTACTCGCGCTTCTAAAAACACACCATCTTAAAGTCTCGTAGTTAGAGCCATGTGTGATCTTGATCACGCTGCACTAATGTCCCGAATTCGTCCCACCGCAAATATGAATTATTGATGGATTGTAGGTTTCACTGCCGCGCCCCGGACTGGCGTACAATGAGAGTTTTCGCGCACGTTAAAGTTGTTACCACGGAGTTCTCTCATCCCAGGAGTTTAAAAATTCAAGTTCAACTGTTATAACCGCGCCCCGGATGTGTTATTGAGAAACTACTAGCTATGGTATCGAAGGTCAGAAATCCCTACGGGGTGTTTTTCGCGTTGTTAAGCTCCCAATCAAATATATCTTCTTTACCGGAGTGCCCGCCCCACTGTGATTTCCAGGACTATGCCATAATAAAGTGGACTGTTTCTATCATACATGTGCATGCAAAATGACGATACGAGACAATGCATAATTCTATGGACAACAACAACAACAACAACAACAAGGTTTAGTCAACCTCCGCGATTTATATCATTCGCGGAAAGTAGGGCACTGAATCCTGCCAAGAGATGCAACATCTTCAAGACAAGGGCCATCTTTCTATGCTGGCTAGATCCTAGGCCATTTCACAATTGACAACCTGTGTGGTCGTTATTCGGGACCGTACAGAGTAGTTAAGAACTTTGGTAACAGACCATTGAGCATGCAACACGTCAATACGGCATTCTGAAGCTTGGCCGTGTCGCAGCTGACTCGTTTCTGCTCAATTCAATAATGAATGTGGTGCAATGAGGCTAGCAGGGGTTTGCAGAATGCGACCCAACCTTATCAGAAGATCCTCTGCGATCCTCCGCAATACAACCCTCGCACAGTTGATTGATTGACGACACTATCCCTCATATCCGACAACCGATAGCACCGATAGCACCGAAGCACGTCGTCGGTTTGGTCGAGATCTTCTTTCGCGTCACTTTGAGAACACAGATGGAAAAGGTACACCACATCCGCCGTACCAAATACATGGTAAATGTGCCAAATGTAGGATAAACCTTAAAATTACGTTATGCAACGCTGGTATCTTTTGGAGATGCTGTGTACCTCTGTATTATGGTCAAGTTTTAGCTAGTCATACTACTAAGTAGGTTAGAGCCCAACGCTAGAAAATACTGAAAGGCGATTTGCACCACCGCAAGCTCCGACTGCACCTGCAGCTGGGCACGCGCCAGCACAAGAAGTTTCGACCACTTGCGTACTTTGGCTGCCCATCGCGTTGCCGCAATAACAATTCTGCCAGCTGATGCCGGCGATCGTGTAGCCCAGCTGGGTGCACAGGTTTGAGCAGTAGACACGGGAGTTGTCCGCGCCAAGGTAAGCAGCCACAGGCAATGCCCCCACACTCTGCGCGTTGTCAACATCGGTCCAGCAACCCTTATACACCTTGTTACCGGCATATACTTTGGTATCCGTTCCAATTAGAGGCTGGGAGCTCAGCGCGGGGTCGGGGTATGGGTCGTCATATTCTGCATAACGAGGGTAGCCGTAGTCGTATGCACGACTTCCGGTGCCATCCCAGTTATCCCGGAATAAACGAGCGCGGCCAGAAACATCTTGAAACATGGTGGGTGCGTCGTGGCTGGAGTTGACAATGTCGACAGTGACGCAAGGTCCCGCAGGGTTCGCGCAGTTGGGTGGGAAAGTTTTGAGGAACTCAAAAAATCTTTCACTACGGTCTGCACCTGTCGTGTAGGTCGCACAAAGCTTGTCGGGGTTGTAGTCGCCTTTGTCTCTTGTTGCTCGGGCATATGCAATGGTTCGGCTCTGATAATTGGCCAGAAGAGCTTCTCGGCCGGAAGCGACCAACTCGGTGTTGTATGTCATGGCGGTTGATTCTGGAGTGCCGTAAGAGTCGTAGTTGTCAAAGCCCTCGCGCCAGTCATCGAAGCCAGTAGGACACTTGCCGGTCGAAAGAGGTCGAGTTTCGGAAAACCAGACCATGCTGTTGGGATCTCCGATCCAGTAGCTCACTGGCGTATCAACGCCAAGCTGGGCTCCGGTTTTGCCTACGGCAGCAAATCGGTTGACCATCTGAGCGCCCATGGAGTGACCAGAGACCACTATCTGATTGATGTTCGGGAACTGCTCCTTGTTGCCGTACCATTGGATTAGCTGGTCGAGTACGTCGAAGCCGGAGACGGTCTGTGTATTAGGAGGATACTCGTTGTTGGCACCGCCCGACCAGTTATCATAATACCAAGCCAGAGCAGGCGATGGGTATTTTTCAGCCGGGGTAGCACCATCGGGGTTATATGGAAAACCGGTGCCCGCATCATCGTCGTTCGGAAAGTATGGTGCTGTGATAGCAACCGTGTCCAAACTGATTGTGGTGTCTTCGACTACCTTTTGCAAGGCCTGGATCATGGCTGCATGGTAATTCCATGGGTCGTTTCTTGCGCCATGTATCACGATGACAGCTCTCCTCAAGTCGGCATCGACAGGTCGCCCTCCAGTGGTGTTGAGAGATTGGAAGGTCAAGAGACTCAGGTCTCCGGCGGCATCAGAAGTGCAAACATGCTGTCCGGATGGGTCCCTTATCTTGAAGAATGTCTTCACGGATCGATCATGTGTTGATGCGAGGCTGCTGTCGAAGGGTGTACCAACATACTGTGCTGGTTGAACTTCTTCGCACTGAGCATAGGCTGTTCCCGATAGGGCCGCAGCAGCGAGAGCCGCCACAGCACGAGATGCACGCATTCGAGCAAGATTATAGAATTAAGATTAAATAAGAGGACTGGTGCGCAGCTTGTCAAGAAAAGAACACGGGCACGTCAGGTCAGATAAGAAGAAAAAAAGAGGTGGGGATAGGCCTGAAATATACGAGCCAAAACGAGTCAGCAAAACAGAGAATCTAGTTACATGCGAATGCGGAACAATGGCGATCGTGAGCCTAATCGTGAAAAATCACGTCAGCTACACCTTAGCATGTAGATCAGGTTGCATTTTGGGCGTAGGCGCATCCACCAAGCTGACCGTACATCATAATCTCCAGTATGTTCACACGATCCGGCCTGGTGGATTTCGATAAGTTCACAAAGTACCTCTCCAATCGGAGTGTCGGTTTGTTCCGGGATTGTACCCGTTGCCCATGGGCTGGGGAATGTCCCACGTTCGGTTGGTGCCGAGCATATTGATCAGCGTCGGACTCTTCTGCAGTTAGTAATTCGTGGCTGCAAACTGCAGTTCGTGAGCTTGCGAGGCTAGTGTAATGCAAAGTGGTTGGGATACCTGCCTCTTTAAGCCCGCCTGGACTCTCATCAAGCACTAAAAATACATCACAACAGCCTGTTTAAATAAACAAATATTTCAATAAATAAATGCGCACTTTCATTCGAGTCTCCTTTCACGCCGGTCAGGAAACTATTTAATGTAACTGGAATGAAATCGATGAGCTGAGAGTTCCATCGTCCGCGTGCCGGCTAGCGGTAAAACGCTAGCTATAAATGGTATAATTTGCCAATGGGGACCCTGCATTCCTTTCGGATTTTAAACCATGTCAAAAAAGGCTTTCAAGGTCGCAATATCGGGCGTTAGTCGTGTGCTGGCGTTGCATCGCAATTTGCAACGCTGGTCGGCGGTGAGGCTAATCTGCACATTTTCTCGTATGGAGCTGATATGGGCGCAAGGTTAGATCGTCTAACATACCCAATACCAATATTCCTAGACCATACTCTACATGTTCTATTTTAGTTACACACCGCCAAAAGAGGCAAGAGAGTTGGATTTCGATTGTAAACCGCGCTATCCTCGTCGGCGGACTATACTTGTAAGCTTCCACGGTTGTTCGCCGTCTGTTAGCGTAAACGTTCCGTCGAGCTAATGTGGAATTCTTATCATCGGGTTTGCGGAGCATAGTCAATGAGATCTCTGCTTTGCCACCCTGTCGCGAACGCCATGGAGTCAAAGTTGGCCCCGAGGCCGGTTAATGGTTACAATGTATCAATGCAGTAATGCTGTCGCGGATTTCGATTGTTGCAAATACATAGATGGCCACGCACGTAATACGACTTTGGAGTTGGCGGTACCGCAGCCTTCGGGCGCAGTTCATAATGGTGTTCGTTCTCAAGGTACCGTCCCGACACAGCCGTGGACCACGCCTCTGAGCGGGACTTCGTTTGTACCACGACATCATCTTATCTTTGAGACCATCGATGGCATTGATTTCACCACTACCACAACTATACGCCGCAGCCGCCAAACGCCGTGCTTCAGCACACCGCAGACTCGGACGCATCCGGTTCTGGCGCGGCGGTCTCGATGGTGTTAGATAGTATGATTGCACAGATGCAGGTTCCCAAATGCTTCACCAATTTCCGCGGCCTCGAAGGCTTGAACCGTCTGGAAGGCAATCCGTAACCATTCTGATCATGGTCGATGTTCTGTCTGAACATCGTAGACGGGCAGACGAAAAAGGACAGTGAGAGCGTCCCGAACGGACTACAATATGCCGAATCTGAGCGCTATGTGGCGTTATGTTCGCCAGGAAGGGTACATGACCCGGGTTGGGTATGATCCACGCTTTACTGCACCGCCGGGTAACTAAGTTGCTACGCCTTGCATGTAGCTTGCAGCGTCTTTCAGACACCGTCTCGGCGCTGTGTAATCCGCACAGATCGACAGATGAGGCCGGCTAAGTGGGGCTTCACTTTGGTAGACTATACAATTTGCATTCACCACCAGATCCGGGTTTGGCGAGCGAACGCGACCCATTTTGCCCATCGTGATCATTGGTAGATTCTCAACTTCTTCGTAGAGGTGAAAGGCTGCAACCAATAATACTGAGAGATCTAGCTGCGCTCCAACCCACCTGGGGTTTCCAACTAGCGACCAGTCCAGCAGCATTCAACACAGTGCCAGAGGCAATGAGACTCGACAAACACAAATATGTAGGGGCGAACATTATGGCCGCAAATAATCCTACATTTTCTCTGTGGTCTACCTAGTGATGGGCAAAGATCGTGATAAGGAAGGAGAGAAACAGATCGCAACTGGCTCTCCAAACCTCGCTGGTTACCTTGGCATCGTAACGTCAGTTCCAGGTCATACATCTCGACCATCTGTCCCTTCCCCAGCAAGGGCGTCGCCATCCTTCACTCCGACGGCCGGCCTTCAGAGGAAGAGGTAGGTGCCTCGTCATCGCAGCACCGTATGGTCGCCATCTTCTCACCGACGTGCGTGAACTGATAGTCTACCAAGACGAAAAAGAATTTGACCACATCTGAACTCGGAAATCTGCATTGAAAACGGAGGAATATGGGCGGCACTCATGTCGGTGATGAAGAGAATGCATTTCTGCAAGAAGACAAGTAGGTCAACCGACCCGTGGCGGTGCAAGCGTACAAGGTGGGTGACGGATTTTTCCTGAGGTTGATGGTGCCGAAGAGTACTTGCAGATTGAATGCTTTGGCAACGAGCTGTTAACAGTAATGACAAAGCAATGCCGCGCGTCTCGTCCCGTTGAAGACGTGCGCTACACTGGGCATTTTTTATGCCCATCTCGATGAGAGGTTTGTATATAACAAACTCCTCGAACGCATGGACCCCTCCTTAGCTCGCTGTCAGACAAATTGTATGGAAATTATTTCGAAGAACGAGAATAGTGTCTGAATGACTCGGGGGGGTGGGTGGGGTTGGGTTAAACGCTTTAAGGACTGCGCAGCACGGATTACTCTGGACAGGCATGAGGGTGGTGCTACCACTTCCCATGGGACCTCGTATAGAGGTGAACATATCAAGGAGATCAGATCTCGGCGCAGAGTGACGTCGTCAAGGTAGTGCCACAGGCGCTGTTTAATTTCGTCTTCCTCCACTTCTAACTAGATGTGATAGAATATCGAGGCGACAAGTATCTGGTCACGGGGCTCATAGACTAAACCATCTCGGAGGAGTTTACCAGGAATGCGAGCCACATAACTCAATTCGATATCATGGTTGTCGGCCTCGAGCTTGAGCTTGTCGCTGAAATATTTCTCGAAGGGCGAGGAAGGTATACGTATAATACCAGGTTGAGTAGCTGGGTATAGGATCGGCAGTCCGGGTAATATAAAATGTTGGGCCAAGGCTGGGCCTGGACCTCAATGACCTTTGTCGTGAAGAGGTTTCCAATCACCGCACATACCACTTACGAGGTAGTCGGTAAGAAGTTCGACTCGTCGCTTCTGAAGGAGATGTTACCATGTAAACTGCTACAAGAGATCTCAGACCCCCGATGAATTACAACATGGTCTTCGACGGCAAGTCATCATCAAGCATATGCAATCATAACGTATCCAATACCTCTGGGAATCGACTGGACAGTCTATGGCGGTATCGCTTCCAACATTAGAACAGATCTCCATCATGTTGACGTGCAGTTCATAGCTATTGTCCGAGTCGGTATTCGCTGTTGGTTAAACAGTATTTTGCTTTTGTGCCACAATATAGATTATAGATGAATAGAGTGTCAACCACTATGAATTTTTGGCCTCGGCAGCCTTGACGTTGTATATCTGCTATCCATACGGTCCTCTTGAAACATGTGGCGGCCTGCTATTTATGTTTCCGGGCAGAATTCTGGTCAATTTGGCTCCAGAGTAAACCAAAGTTCTGCGAGTGGCTAACCAAGTGTCAGAGCTTATCCGGTGTCGGACTGCTATTGGGTATATAAGGGCTGTAATCCTCCATAGGTGATATAGAGTATGACTCAGCGCGTCAATACTAGCGCCCCAACACTCCCTTGCAACACAACCGTCTGACACCAAGTCAGGTGCATCATACCAATTCATTCTTTCTATTGCTCCAATACCACCTGGATCTCACTTGTCTCGACAGTCTCGCGACCGCCCGTTCACCCGGCCTCTTCTGCTCTCCTAACCTAGACGATTGCGGACTTTTATTAGACAAATACCTAGTATATTCTATCTCTATCTACCTTTTCGCACTGTTTGGGCCGCCAAAGCGTCGAACCATTGCCTTGAATGCGATCTTTCATATCGGCCGTTACAAGAAGATCGTTGCCAATATCTAGCTGAAGCACTGATCCATGTGGCTCTGAACTTGAAGTACAGCTCCTGTATCACTACTGCCTCTCTGACCACATTATATTCTATTGGTTGAGATTGAGGAATTTATCCGTTGTCATCGCTTTGTAGTAGTGCGTGTATATGAAATACTCTTGTAGACGACGTTTTGGTGAAGATATGGTATTATAAGTGGAGTGCTAGTAATTAGTCAAGTCTGGACTTGAACCTAGGCTGATAAAGCAATAGTCACGGATAGAAACTGAAAACTGGAAGATAGAGGCTAAATCATTTGCTGTTGAGATATAAATAGCGAGTGATGTAATATTTCACATTTATTAGTGATCTTATAGACAGCTACTATAGAAAACAGCAATCTAGTATTGTTTCGGCGATTATGATCGATCTCGAAGTGGTGTGTTTTAAGTGTGATAACTGCTGAATGAGAGGATATGCTACGGGTAATGACCTATAAGACGACTCAGCTTTTAACATTGGGATCCTTCAAAAACGCCATCTCTGAAATTTTAGGGTTTGTTTGTTGAATAATATAGTGTGTTGTGAGCAATATGCACCTTCCGAACCACCGTCTCCCACACATAGACGTTAATGCCACCGGCTTGAAAGCATGTGGTACTGTCATCATAAGCTGGTTTATCTTTCTAGGCCAATCATTATTTGCATTGTGATAAGTATGTATTAACCAGCTGGTGACTTCTCTTACCACAGTGTTTCAACTTAGTTTAATCAGTGCATCACTACGCACATCTACAAACATGACTAAATTCGAACACCGACTGAACTGTTATTTTGTCGTAGCATATAGCTTTTCTAGGGGCCGTGGAAGTATTCCATACTTCCTAAATTGTTGCTGGTTGTTTGCGCTGTCATTTTCCTCGGAAAGGGTGACAAATATGGAGGGCATGAAGGTCCAGGCTGCTTGCATCACATTGACAGATAGGGCGGCGGATCGATACCTTTTCGATCACAGGAAGTTCGAGCCTCATCTAAGAGACAGCCCACCGGAAGACCATTTCAAGATTGCGAATTGAACCAATTAAATGAAGATACGTACAGTGTCGAATCTGATTCACTTTAATTCAGGGCTTTCTTGGAATATCCGTTGTTTCTTTTGTGCACCACTTATGTGTCACAACGTACTGGCACCGAGAAACCTCACAGTTGCCGTATATCATTAATCACCAATAATTATCAGTGCTAAAATGCCGTGCCGCCGAGACTCGACAAGGGGCCTGACCAGCTGAGCTATGCTGACTGATTTCGTCAACAGACCAGGCTCTTGAACATTTCTCAGTTGCCCTTCTTCTTCCCTTCATTTTTTCTTGAAATTGCTGCAAAGTGACTAGGCGTTGTCTAGTGTGTCAAGAAATTCACAGCGGCAGTGCGTCCACTGTTGTTCATCATGGCGGTGAGAAACAGGCAGCCGCTCAACAGGCTCTGGAAACCCCAAATCTGGCGCGTGCCCTTGAGCCTCTTCTCAGGCCTGGCGCAGCGCTTTCGGTTACTTTACGGGCGCTTGGTTTAGGTATAATGGCTACTACACGTGGGGATGAGTCTCCAAAGGTCCTGGGTATACGAGTCGCGACGTGCTGTTCTGTCCAGTTCAGCTGTCCACATACTCCCAGACTTTGTGTCTATGGTCTTAGTGACGATTCATTTACGCGGCAACTTCATTGGGAGGGAGTTGCGAGGGTACTCTAGCAATGATGATCTGAAGATGGGGATTTTGCAGGTAGCTGCTAAGATGCAGGTACGCGCAGTTCATGTCCTCTAGCAATTGGTATCATACTTGTTCGGATCTAGGAGTTACTAATTGTTGTAAGTGTAGCGACCATCATTCTTGACGTCTTACGCGAGAAGATCACCTTTGGTCAAGGCGTGTCTCTTGGACTGGTGAGCGCAGACAAAGCCTTTACGCAGATCAGGTGAACACAATCATGGTCGCATCACGCAGAGATCCAGTGTTAATAGGTTACAGCTACTTCTGGTCGATTGATTTCTGGGGTGGCATCATATCATATGATCGTAGACACCTGGAAAGACAAACATTTTTTTTATAGTTGAGCACATGTCAACGGTCGTGACCCTGCCCATTGTTTTCATCGTTCTGATGCCCGCACACGTATTGCCTAGCACCTTTGACTCGGTTGGCGCTGACTGCTGCTATAACGCCAGTAATTCTGTTATCGAGTCCTACGCCTCGCTTGTTCGTCGTCGCCACAAACTCCAGATGGTGTGGATTATGGCAATTAGTGCGTGCAAGAGGATAATTGTGATAGGCAGATAATCGAACCAGTTAATCGCGACCATGACATAACCAGTAGACTTGGCCTTCATCACAACCCGGGCAGCGTTTCCCTCTCTCAAGACGGTTTGCAGCGGAAACGTTTCAACTGGATCTCCGATACGTACCATCGTCCTGGAATAATTCTCTGCCGTTTTGTACCAGTAACTATACTCCCATGAAGGAAAGAGCCGCCAGGTCTGTCGTTGCAAATGCCATCCGACCCGTGACAATCCATCTGTGGATAACATCGAAATAACAATTTCTGTGCCGCTCAGCTTATACCCGATCACGCACTGGCTATCTCGTTCTATGACCGGGTATTCTGTTAACTTGAGAAGCCTCTAAAGTATCGTAGCATCATACGACTACTAGTTATATTGGCTGCACTGGTGGCATCCACAATAGAAGAGTCTCGCATACTTGGTAAAAGTAAGTCATACCAACTAGGCTGTATGCTGATTTGTGTCCACTAATCTCGATTCTGATGGTGTAAATAGTTGAGTGCTGCACTGACGTAGTCATCGCTATCCAACTCGGTCTGTAAAGTATTCCTTGTACGATCGCTGACGAAATCGTGCCCTTGCAAATCGTCACCTTGTAGTTTTGATTCAATGATAGAACGTCTTTTGGCTTAACACGCATCTACTGTATAAGTTGGTGGTACGATTGTTGTAGTGTTGATCCGTCTTATTATCATGAGCCCCTATGAGCTGGCGTCGCTGGCGTCAATGCTGAGAGGAACGACCAGTAGCGATCGTGCTTGAGGAACGAGCGAGAACGTGGAGCCGTTTTGTACAGCTAGACCTCTGCTCATGAGGCTTTCTCTAACATCACTAGTGATATCGATGACCCGACCTGCTTCATAGTGAATTCCGACGCTGTACAGAGAGAACTGACTCAGTTTCGGGAAGTTGATGTTAATGACTGTATATTCAATCATGGAACTTCCGTGCTCTATATGTTCTTATCTCTGATGATGCCAGAATTGACATATATTACTTTACGAATATTTTGGTCTTGGAGCGGAACCTGGTACGCTCGATCTGGAAAGTTCCACCAAGTGGACAAGTGGGAGTTCAGTGGGAGGAACGCGGACGACGGGCACCTGAAGTCCCGAAGTCGCAAGTCGTCCGTCGAGCAGTTTGTATTCCACAAGGTAGCTAGTGTCCAACTTCGTCAGCCACAGTCGTGTATCACTGCCTGATGATGACGAGGTCAAAAATGAGGTACTGAACGAGGATGCATGGAACTACTAACCATTCAACCAGAATATCATACCGCCAACTGGCTAATCCGTTTCTCTTGGCATCATGAGAGTAGCGGAGCAATTGCAGATGAGATTCAGGAATACATGGTGTATTAGGGGTTCAGGCGACGTTGCGGAAGCTGGGGAAAAGTATGATACCTAATCTTTCAGCTTTGCTCTGTGGCTAGTTACTGGTACATTCATTTCAGAAATTGCCTCTACCAAGCTCCCATATTTCTAAATTATCTGACGTAGTGAATAGGGAACGAACAATCTCGGTGACGCGAGGGGTCTTTGTATCGGTGTCAACATCCAAATAGACATCCTTTAAGGTGTCAAATTAAGTGACGAAAAGATAGCTATGCTGAAAAATCCATTTTGAAATAGGCAAAGGGTTAACTATCGCCAGTATGCGCCGTTTTGGACAGAACAGTGTGGGCTGCCGCAATGCGCTAGGACTATTCAGTCGCTCTATTGAGCATAAGGTCTGCCATATCTTGTTCTCAAAACCTCTAGTTTTATATATCCGTATGCCTACAACCGTCTTTGTATGCAATATGGCCTTGCAAAGAGCGATGACAAAAGCGATGACGAAAGTGAAGATGGAGACTCGGGTGACACTGACCGATAATACTGGATGCCGGTGACGTCGCCTCTGACATTCCAAATGAGGAGGACGTTGAACCTGACGATTATGACCAAGCAGCGCCTAGACACGTTGTTCTAGGAAGTGCGAATATCAACGCTCTCATTCTGGCCCGTCAAGACGACGCTTCCAAGCATATGTTTCTTCGGACCCGCGAAGATGATAGCGCGATCTACCCGTGGAAATAGCTTGCACAACTCGTATTTTTACTTAAGACAGCCCTGCCTCTGGCCGCTCTCGCGCTACAGGTGCTCAAGTGGGTGCATGAGAAGCACGACGACAACAACGCCAACCATGTCTTGGTCGTACAGCGTTAGGAAGAGCCAGCTGAAGCTAATAGTGTTCAAACGTTGTTCGAAACTCACAGGCTAAATACCATGTCTGTCCATAAAAACTATCCCAACAATCCAACATCACATGCAGGTGGGCATCGAACTTGGCTCAGCTGTGCAATTTACACGAGAACTCCCACAAACACATCTCAGAACTTGTAAGTCATTCCTTCTTCCTCTTTGATACTTTTACTCGGAAGTTTATCGGCTTGACGAACCAGTGGTTCAATGTGTCCCAGGTTCTATGGTTGCCGCCCTCGATCTCTAGGTTAAAGTCACGGACAACCCGAGGAATAAGCTTTTGCATTTCGAGAAGTGATATATTTTTGCCGATACACACACGAGATCCTGCACCGAACTGAATTTGTAGCAATGTCAGCTTCCGGGGTTTTGAGGGCATGCACCAACACACGTAAGGACTTACGGGAATCCAGTGGCGGTTCATCAAGCCCATCCTCTCTGTATCATCTGTGAACCACCTTTCTGGGCGGAAACGCTCAGCGTCTTCACCCCATACTTGCTTGTTTCGATGCTCCACCCAAGTATTCACCCCAACGATAGTCTGCCGCGTATGTTAGAGAATTGATTTCGCAACTTGAATGATAATTAGAACTTACACCTTCAGGAAAGAACCTGCCTAATATGATTGCACCTCCCTCAGGGACTACGCGTTCGAGTGGCAATCCTGTGGCAGGATGGAGTCGCAGTGCTTCTTTAATGACCGCTTGAAGGTATGGCATGCCTTGTGTTTCTTTGAATGTCGGCCGATCGGATAGCTGTCCCTGTGTGGATTTATCGTCGATCTCATCCCGCAATTTTCTCAATGTTCCGGGGTTCTTTAACAGATAGTAAAATGTTGCAGAGAGGCTGATTCCCGTTGTATCTGACCCAGCACCGACATTTGTCGCAGCACCAGTGTAGATGTGGTAAGAGGAAAAGTGCGCAGGGTCTTCTTCGTGCTTCTTGAAGAACTTATCAAGCAATGGTTTCATGCCGGTATTATTTTCTGATGCTGCCTTAGATGTCTTGGGCTTATTGCGAAATTCTTTGATGCTGTCCTCAGTGAAGGCATTGACATACTGCATACCGGTATTTTTCTTGCCAGCAGCCAGGCCCATCAGCTTGAAAAGGTATGGATGTATACTTGGGAACACGCCCACCGTGGCTGAGTAGGTAAAAGACGTGTCAAGTGCAGCCATGACTCCCCCGACATCGTGGCCACTGTCCAGAAAACCAAAACGCTTTCCAAAAGTGATATCGCCAATCACATCAAATGCATAGCACTGAAGCCAATGAGAATAATCGATAGGAACGCCAGTGTCCACGACTTCAGTGAGACGTTGGTCGAAAATATCTGCACATTGATCCACGTAGGGTTCGAAAGATACCAACGCGGACATTGAGTAATTAGAGGTGAATGGCTTGCGTTGTTCCGAATGCAGTTTCGGGTCGGTCGTCGAGAAGATGTTCCACTGCTCAAACGCCAACGGTTTGGGTAAATTGAATGCGTCGTACCAGTCGGACTTTTTGAATTGTGACCCAGGTCCATAGATCGTCCTCAAAACATCGGGGTCGTCAAAACTGAAGCGGTTGGGCCCATAGCGAACTACGGGGCCTTGCCTCCATGTCAGTAAATTAAAACGTGGACTTGAGAGAATCCTTACCATGCTTTTTGTGAAGTTCGAGGTTTTCTATCTCGAAATGGCCACTATAAACCCTCCAGCCATACCATAGGTCTGTGAAACGGGCCAGAAAGGGCCCACCAATTGAGCGGAGAGGCGACAGCAAGGACTGTACCAATGCCAAGATGGCGACGCAACCAACAGCGGTAACTAGGAGTTGAATTGACATGATCTTTCTACGTGGTCATAACTCTTGCATACTTAAAATCGTGTTGTTTTCTAACATCATCGCTCGCACCCAGCAGCCCTTTTATACCCACCATTTCTCGGGCACTTCGGTATGCTTTGCCGATCCCTACAAATTAAGATGGCATTTCAAGAAGCATGCCTGTGGATTCCAGGCGGCATATGTGATCTGCGTAGCTGGCGCGGTAACTTACATGTAGTATAGTGATGTTCACGGAAGCTTGCCAAGATGCCGAAGTGCCAGAAGTACCGAATATAGGATGGCCAATTCGTTTGACTTTTCGTCATTGATTATTAGACAGACAGCATTTCTCTGACTGACCAATTGTTCGATTCCGTTACTGTTGCAGCTGATCATGATTATGCCCAAGAGTCCACCAGACTTCATTATATGAAGCTTACCGCTTAGTCATAGTGATAACTGTCTCACATCTCTGAAGCTATGCGGCGCATCTTTTGAGGGGTTCTCTGCAGTTGGTCTGATTGGAAGTGGACATGGAACGTCATAGGATCTATTGTAGCGGCAGTTCTGCACCGCCCGGTTAATGAGTCAGCGGGCATGTGGGAGCGTACAAGTCTGCGATGCGCTGGGCGGCCATTGCCGCTTACATAAGTCGGGTTCAAGACTAGCATCGAGCCCGAGATCTCCAAGCAAATATCATGGCGAGGTAGGTTGTACGATGTCCCGGAGGTTTTCACAAGAGGCTCGGATAGAAATGATCGTCCGTATCCATTCTCTAAAGACAGGATCTCAGGCATTTGCCTGGCCCGTGGCAAGACCCAGCAGCCCCGCTCAGGGTAAAATAAACCGGGCACATCGTTTCGCAATACTCCTTCGCGCCTTGAACAATAAAACAACGCAGTAATGACTCTTAGTCTAGGGAAATTAAACCTATGGTTCTGTTTTAGCTATTAATCAGCATCGCCATGCTATAATTTTATTAATTTTGAAGTTTTCACATAATTTTGTGTAAGCCAAAACTAAAGCGTTAGGAGAGCATGGAGTGACCTACGTCCACTTTATTTGGCCCTTCCAGGGGTGGAGCAAGTGACTATCAAGTTGGCTTCTGCGCTCTAAATCATCTGGATGGTTGGGCAAACAAACTGTTGTCCTAGACTAGAGACAGAAGAGTTGAACGAGGCGCCAGGAACGGTAGCGTGGTAGCCCTTATGGAGCACTGTCTATGTAGCCAGCGTCTGGACAAATTCCCGAAGCTTGACTTTGGTGGGTCACCGGGGGACAATCCCCAGTGGGGTGCTAATGAGCTGCCTGGAAAACACGCGAAGCTCCAGGGGCTCGAAATCCATGACAAGCTCTCAGGACCCAACAAGATCGCAGGAGTAAGTACCAGAGCATGATGTGACAAGAACCAAGCTGACCAAGCAGGTCGATCCCTCTGTCCCATTCGATGGCTATCGCTCTCCTAGATTTGGAGTTCGTCGCTGTGTATGTTTGCAGGCATCCCCGGACACTCAATTCAAATTGTGCAATGTCAAAAGTAGAAGATTAAATGAAACCACACGCATCCAACAGATTGGGAAGAGCAGCAGGTTTTCCTGGTGATGCGAAATGAGTCTGGTATTCCCCAGCTGCCATCATGCCTTCGTCGGTGCCTACTGTCATGATATTACCGAAGCAGACTATGTTGGGGCCACGGCCAGACGCCATTAGAGCTTCTTAAGTGAGACTTTAGTAATTCTGTAAATTCACACCCATTCGGAAATTCTTTTTAAGTTACCCTTTTCAGTAAAGAAGATGTTACAGATGATGTTCATTAGGTGAGTTGCGCGGTTATATCCTTCCTAGAGATAAAGACAACTGGCCCGTGTATACTGTGGACAAAATCACTTCCCATACACTACGATCCTAACAATATCACTCCGTGAGTACCTTACGTATGGATTCTGAACCATCATTGGTGCCTTTCCGTATCTATCAGAGTTCTGTTTGGTCATGTGCTGGCAGTTTACGCCACTTTGCCATCGCGAAGCGTTAGCTAAACACCATGCTTCAGCTCTTGAAATTTCAGAAAGTCAAGTCACTAAATTCAAAATGGCAGTGATCTCTAAGATTGAGATGTAAGTCTCATCCAAGGGCGAAATCTCGGGGCAAAATTGACGCACGATGTCGATAGTGAGGAAGATACTCGCGAGCGAGTTGTTCTGCGAGTGAATACCTTGATAACTTAAACTGCATTGGTTTTTTCTCTCTCAATGAATTGAGAACTGGTTACTCGTAGAAATTTCGAGTAGAATCGACGTACACATAGTTTCAAATGTTCCGAGACCGCACACTACTGATTATATTGATACGCGATTTTTAATCTCTAATGATTATAGTTTACTCTCATGGCTTTTGGGCCTCTGTTTATTTTACCTCATCTATGGCGTCTTTCACTTTCTTGGTGAATGAGCATAACACTCGTGAGACTGCTTATAGTTATGTATTTTCTATCCTAATCCTGTCCTTGATTCCAATAACGCTCGAGCACGTAGTGATCATTCTGAGTGGAAGTCGAGACTTGCTTGCAGCCGTCCTTGATAATCAATTGCTCGATGCCAATTTTGGTGATCCATTGGAGTACCTTGGCCATGTCAGACGTTGAACTCACGATGCATTGAACGAACATCTAGAGCCCAGACTTGGTAGTTGTGTCTGCCTTCAAGTCAATGCCCATTTATCCCGTACGGCCCTTCCGCAATTGATTGATGTTTAAACTCAAAGTTCGGCTACACAGCCGAGCTCGTTATTATTTCAACGTCGTAGGCTGCGGTGGCCCCTCTCTTAGGGTAAGAAGGGCAAGAAGAATAAATGTTGAATGTATTCTCCGATCTGGCTGGCCTTTAAGACTTCCGCTAGTATGGTCGCCGCGTTGACGTCATATGACTTGGGCATGTCATAGTACTGCCACATCGTCTGGAATGTAGGTGATTGGAAACACAACTTGTGAAGACGGTAAAAGTTATCGTGGCCAACACCGCCAACGAGCTGGGGGTCAGTTGGTTCATTATTTCGACCTAGCTGAATAGCTACTTGTGGCGAATTGCTAGTCTCACGAGATACCCGGCATGGGTATGCAAGAGGAGCGCACCTTCGGCATATATGGATTAGATGCCTTGGCTTTGGCCTTGGCGCGGAAGCGATTGCGATGTATAACTATCCGTGAGTAAAATCAAGATCACTGACAGAGAACAATCTCTGACGTACTTTTCCATCTTCCGCGAGATCGGAACCTCAAGCAGCCGTATGATACCCACCTCTACATCTAATTAATCACACCATGCAGTCACCTGCTGAAACAAGGCAATAATCAAGTCATGAGGCCTTACAAGTCTCAATCTATTGTCAAATCTATGTCTCGAACGCCTCATACAAGACCAGCCTCAGGCATATCGTTAGTGCAAGGCACGCCGAATCATACACATGATGTTACATTTCTCTTTTCTCCTTCACCGCAACAGCAGACTCGCCGAACTCCGTTGAAGGACTTAGCTTACGACGACTAGCTTTAATCAATCTTGATGGAACCATAGATTTTCTGGACGAACCACCAACTGGCAAAGAAACCAATAGAACCTGAATTGTGGTCAGCATATTGAAAGAGGTGTGAGGGAACGCAAAATGACGAACCAGTCAAGATGAAGAACAAGAATGATAACAGTGCACTGTATCCGATGTACAGCACAATTCCTGCGAAACCGCCCAGAGATAGTTTGCTCAGAAGGTAGATCAAGGCGTTCATAAAGATGTACACAGCACTAGTACCAGCGGCGAGAAACGAGCGCCATTGCCAATGGTAATTCTCGGCGCAAAGCAAAAAGTAGACCATGAGCACAGTAACAGCAGCGCATGTGATGATCATCAAGCCGTAGCAGAGGAAGAGGAAGCCAAACATGTAGTAGATCTTGCTGAACCAGATGGAACTCATGATGAAGTACAGCTCGACGAAGATGGCACCGAACGGCAGAATACCGACAAGCAGCATGCTGGGAATCGGCTTAAGGTATGTCGTTGTTGGAGGAATCTGGCGAGGGATCTGGTTTGTACGGACGGGAGGTTCGACGACCGCAGCGCGGAAGCCGAACCAAGAACCTGCAAAGGACAGAGGAATCGAGATGACGAACCAGATACCAATAATGACCAACATAGTTGAGAACGGGACCGCACCAGCAGATTGGTTGGCCCACAGGAACAAGTTAAGGAAAAAGAAAGTGCCAAAGACCAGACCTGGGACTAAGAGAGGTGTCAAGCCAATGTTGAGCTTCCACTTGTCACCATTCATAGATTTGTAGCTCCGCGCTGAGATGTAGCCACCGACAAAACTCAGGAGGGTGTAAAGCAGCACTGCGATTGTACCAAGGGAGCCTCGATTGGATGGCGACAGGAAGCCTAAAAGTGCGAAACAAATGGTGAAGCCGGCCATGACGAACAGCTGAACTCCATTGCCGAGGAAGACGGAAAGCAGCAAAGGATGCGAAGGTGTTCGGAACACGTCGCCGTGTACAAGCTTCCAGCCCGAATCTTCTTGGACTCCGTCTTCGAGGGCAGAAGTGCCAGATAGGTCGTCGAGGTTGATCGAATCGAGACGGTTGTATCGCTGGATGTCCTTCTTCAGAGCTCTGAAAAGCACTGAAGTTACAGTTACGACCAAGAAAACAACAACGACAGCTGAATTGACAAGAGAAAACCAATGGATCTTGGGGTCGAAGACGTGTAGGTACTTGTCCCATCGTGTAGCCCAGGCTGTAGGTGATTTGGTCCAGTAGACACTGTAGGTGAACTGCACCGCGGTGTTGTCGGTCTCGGACAGAACCAGGGGGCCAAGCTTGCCTGGATCCTCGGAGCACTGGGCCTTTGCATTTCCATCGGCGTACTTTCTCGACCAAGGCTGAACAATAACACCAACGACCCTAAGCTGGTTGGGGTTGTTCCCGACTTCGTGGTACTGAATGACGATATCATAGTGGTTGTTGAAAGCTGGCTTGGCGCCTTGGGCAGTCGTTTCGACACTACCCAGTTGGAAACCGGGACTGTAAAAGGTTGTTTGAGTGATCTCGTCGATGATCTGCTGTCCGGCGGGAAGCCCATCTACCAACCAGTTCAAAGCATATCCCTGAACGATGCGCTTGTTGACGAAATGCGCTGACGTCTTCTCGTATGATACATCACAGAGGGTATTGCAGGTCTCGTTCTTTGCCATGTGTAGTTCGAAGGGAGAAGTCATGATTCGGTCGCCGAACAGGATACTTCCCAAGCTCTCCGAGACATATTTGGGACCGTCGGGTTCGGGAGGTTTGCAGAAGTGGAATCGGTCATGATAGTAGTCGTAGGACATGACGGAATGTAGAAGAGCGTCTTGAGAAGCGGCGACGGGCTTCACGCTGTTGACATATAAGGGAACATTGTCGCCCTGTTTATAGGAGGTTGGTGCAACACCTGGCAGGTAGAAGGCAGATACGGATTGAGGAAGAGCGAGAAGCGCCGTGAGAAGCGCGTTTGAAGGCGCATTCAGGAAATTCCTCATGGCTAGATGTGTGATGACTTTGCCGAAGTCACTGCAGAACAGTCAGTTAGAGGCGGCAAAGGCCTATCTACGTTGGTTCTGGGTATATGCGGTTCTAGGTATATGGGAGGTGATATGTTCCCTTCGCAGAGCGAATGGAGTAAACGAAAACGAACAGAACGCACGCACGGCTAGTTGGGGTCGAGGTAGTGGATCAGAAGACTTACGTATGCTATGCAGAAAGTTCGAGGATGGTCAGGTTGAGGGCAACACTCGGCCGTGTCGAGCACTAAGCAATCACTTTGGACTGTAAGCGCAAGTTGAGTTGCCAAGCAGTACCAGTACTCGGTAGGAATGCGCTCATGTAGGCTAACCTAGAAGATAGCTCGGAGGTGGTTCGTTAAAAGTATTGCTCTTCAATCATATACAAATGTCATGTCACACGAATACAAAAGGAGGTATAGGAGTGTGATTTGGAAGCTCGCCGTGAAGCTCTGCTGTGCTGCACAAGGTTCGCAGGTTGGTCTTGGTACTGTAGATTTCAAGTAGCCTGCCCAACGTTACGGGTCTGTCGGGTCCTGAAGCATACGAGAAGTCAAAGTTCAGAGTTGGATTGGATGAATGCCACATCATCGCCTGCATGGGTCCAATCTCAATTGAGTTGGTGTGCCAAGATTTCTACCGAGTGCCTTTGGCCATACCGAATTACATAACCACCAGGTACGAAAGTGACGAAGCTTAGTCAGGGCCGGCAAGGTAGCGCCGACTGCTCCGCGTTGCCGCAAAGAATTTAAAGTCCACCCCCCAAGGATACATAGTGGGGCAACTGCCTGCCCCCTCTTATCGCTATCAGCCGACAAAAAGTTTTGGATTTCTCGACACTGCCGCCCGCAGAAAGTCAAAGTCCACTCTGAGGCACAAGCACAGGCACATGCACCGGCAGTCGCAACACGACACAACACAGCTCAACACCGACTGCAATCAGCCGCCGACAACATGGCAGTCCAAACCTCACTACCAGCTCTTCTCACATCCTTGACCCAGTCCCTGAGCTCCGCCATTGAGGCAACACCTAAACTCACCGGCATTGAGTCGCCAGAGGAAGGAGTCTCTCTTCTCAACGTCAAGAATGAACTGCTCCTTTCCTATCTGCAGAACCTCGTCTTCCTCATCCTCTTGAAGATTCGAAATGCGAAGCCTGCCAACAACAACTCAAAAACGGACAGCGAGACTGACTTGTCTGCCCATGTCGTTGAAAAGCTCGTCGAGCTCAGACTTTATCTTGAGAAGGGTGTCCGACCACTCGAAGACAAGCTCCGCTTCCAGCTGGACAAGATTCTGCGATCGGCCGACGAAGCAGACCGAAATGCTCATCGCGACCAAAACAAACCCACAGCCAAGAGGCATGAGCAAGAATCAGAAGGCGAGGAATCCGGCGATGACTCTGCGCCTGCCATGAATCCCATGGCAAATGCACGACCCTCTGACCGTACCGCCGCTCCGGGCTTCAACTTCCTTACCGGCCCCGACGCTATTGGTATGGCAGCAGCAGAAAAAAATAAGACTGGTGTCTACCGTCCTCCAAAGTTTGCACCTACAGTTATGCCTACTACCGAGCGTCGCGAAGCCCGTGATCGTCGGCCCATGAAATCTGCTACCATGGACGAGTACATTTCCAACGAGCTCTCCACTGCCCCCATGGCAGAGCCCAGTGTTGGCACAACCATTGTTGCCGGTGGAAGAAAGGTCAAGACTGCCACCCAGCGGGCCGAAGAAGACAGGCGTCGCGATTACGAAGAGACCAACTTCGTACGATTGCCAACCGAGAGCAAGAAGGATCGCACCAAGCGTAACAAGGCCGAGGGCAAGACTTCCCGAATGCAGTTTGGTGGTGAAGATTGGCGCGATCTCGGCGAGGGTGCTGATCGTATCGAGAGGTTGACGAAGCGGAACGGCGGTGTAAGATCCGGAACCAAGGCCTTGCTGGACAAGAGCCGAAAGAGAGGCAGAGACACGGCAGATAGCGGGCGTGGTAGTGGGCTGAACGAAGGTACAAGAGAGATTGGCGATCGGTTCCAGAAACGACTCAAGGTTATGGAAGGCGGCAGAAGAGATCGTGGCAAGAGGTAGTATTTCGAATGTCGTCGATACCACACCGTATTACTAGAGCAACTTTGCCTTGAGATCATTGCGGTTGTCCTCTCGTTCGTGTGGAAAGTCAGTAAACCAACCAAATCTTCAGTTCTTGCCAATTTTCTGTAGGTGCATTCATAGCCGGCATATCTACATATGTTTCTTCGAATCCTGTCGCGCATTAGTAGTTAAAAGGCCGTCGGAGCCTGGTCGTCCTAGGAGCATCCTCGTTTTGGTTAAAGATGGAGGGATCGTCCAATCACTGATCATTACACAGCACTGGCCCGCTTCCGCAACCCACTAAACTCGTTCGTTGCTACCTCGGATCCGATTTTCAATTGCCGACGACGTTTTCTGGCTCGGATCATATCCTTCGTAATGGAGCTTTCAAATGGTTCATGTCATCTGAATGTGGCACGTGCGTTCGTTTCACATGTAAATCTACCTATGTAAGCATGGTGCACAGGCGACGTCATTGGCATGGATGCAACAGCTCATGTTGATGCGCTGAAAGTTATCATTTAACTAGGTTAGAGCTCTTTCCGCATCTCTTGGCCTTGGATAGAATGTACGGTGCTTCTCTACTTATACTTCATCTGCGCGGAAAGCTATAATTCTATGTTGAGTGCGCAGGCAAGATCGTGGTACCTTTTTTTCCCACTCAATAATATACAAACCTACATTCTTTGGTTTGGACTGCTGTGGGAAAGATGCCGTCCGAGTCGAGGGTTCACAATCCCTTCTTACACCCATTTCTGTTCGTCTTCCAATTGATGCAATGGATCACCGATAAGATCCTGTCGCCTGATCCGCCAAACCCGAGCACACGACTTGGTAGGCCTAAGATTGCTGTCATTGGTGCTGGTATCACAGGTGTAACGTCAGCTGCTCACTGTATCGGACACGGTTTCGACGTTGTCATATTCGAAGCTGGGGACGAGAAATCTATAGGAGGAATTTGGAGTGTAAGTAATTACCTAAGGAAATACATTTCACAATTGGCGTGTCATCTTCTGGTACTGATTGTGCTTTGCAGAAAGTCAACAACACCTCAGGTCTCCAAATCCACTCGCTCATGTACCGATTTCATCCTTCTGTCAAGTGGGAACAAGGATATCCCAATAGGCAGCAGATCGTCAGTCAGGTCAAGCAGCTATGGGAAAGATATGGACTCGATACAAGAACTAGGTTCAGCAAGAAGATTGACAAGGTCTATCAAGATGAGCATGGCCGCTGGATTTTGAATGATCCCTCAAACGGTCGCTTCGAAGGTCTCATTGCCGCGGTAGGCACTTGTGGTGACCCCAAAATTCCTCATATGAGTGGTATGAATAAGTATAAGGGCGAAGTGTATCATTCAAGTCAATTGACTGGGTAAGTCGTGATAACACACAACTATACGGGTTGAACCCACCAGCTCACTCTTTGATAGCAAGGATGCCAAGGACAAGACAATGCTCATCATTGGCGGCGGCGCATCTGCTGTTGAAGCTCTCGAGTTCGCTGCTGAGGAAGGTTGCAAGAAGACCTATGTCCTCTCCCGGTCTGATAAATGGATCATTCCACGCAACGCCTTCATTGATGTTTTGCTCTCCTTCAACATCTTAGGACAAGAGACCATATTCTCCTGGATCCCCGAGACTCTTCTCCGCAAGTTCTTCTATCGCGATCTGCAGGACATTGCGCCAAAGGACAAGGGCATCTTCGTGGAGACGCCAATGGTCAACTCGGATGTTATGGACAAGCTTCGCGGAGGAGATGCAGAATGGATTCGATGCGACATCGAGGACTTCACCGAGAAGGGAATTGTGGTCAGTAAGCGCGACAGGGGCGTACCACCCGGCGGCCCGGGACGTAACACGGTCATCAACGGCGACATGATCGTCATGGCGACCGGCTATAAGCGGCCGAGCCTCGAGTTTCTGCCCGACGACTGCTTCAACGAGCCCTACGGCCCGCCCAACTGGTACTTGCAGACATTCCCCCCGGCACACCCCTCCATCTCGGCCATCAATTGCACCTACGTCAACGCCATCGGGACCGTCGGCAACTGGCACATCGGCATCTACACCCGCATCCTCCTCATGTTCCTCGTTGACCCCCTCACCCGGCCACGTACCTTCTGGATGGAGCGCTGGATCGACATGACCAAGATCCTAAAGATGGCGGCGCCCACCGGCGCGTTTGACTTCTTTACCTACCTGGAATTGCTCTGGTGGTTCGCTTTCTGCGTCATCATCAACCCGTTCCGTTGGAAGTGGGCTTTCTTTGTCTTTTTCGGTGTCGGAATTGCTCTACCGAAGAAAATTATCCAGTCAGAGGGACCGATCAGGAATGGGATTGGCTTGCGTCACGAGGAGGGACGGGACGTCGGGCGGAGCTTGTGAAAAGTTTGAATAATTGTCATTTCACGCGTAGACAAGATTATAAACGTCTTGTTGATCGGCGCGAATGGTAATTTGCTTTGGCTGTACCCACAAGTAAATACATCACCCAAACAGAGCCGCTGTAATTCTCGCCGTTCACCGAACTGCACACATTCTGTTACGTGAAGAGCTTTAAACCATCATTGTGTAGCTTCAACAGAACGCTGAAGAGGTGTGCGATTGTATGACTTCCGCCATCATAACATTTACATCGGGTGGGCAGAACTTTGAGAATGCACGCCTGAATTCTGGTCATCAACCTTTTGGCTGCTGCGATAAATGAGGTTAGGTCATGCATATGTGCCTGAAGCAACGTGGGGTTCAGCTCACGGTGGTGAAAGCGACCTCTAGTTAGGGCCTTTGACAACAAGCTAAGTTGACCCAGCTCTGTTAAGGTCGGCTGTAGGGTAGGCTGTTGTGGTCATTTACCAAAGTCAGCAGTAAACTCATGAGTTCGAGAGCCACATTGTACCTAAGGAGGTATGTATTAACAAACAAGAACACCGTGCTATATCGCGCAGAGCAGCAAGTATACTCTCGTAAGTATGAGCTTCTCAGTTGTGTGACTTGGCAACATTACACGCTTTGTTCTCGGAACATCGGCGATATAACCTTTAAGAATCATCAGCTCATAGCAAAGCTATTTATCTATCAAGATTCTTCTTCAACGGTCATATCATGGACTCCATAAGTCAATTCTTAAAGCTCAAAAATCAATTCTTTTCTCTTAAAGAGAGCCCAAAAAAACAGGTTTCCTTTCAAGATCCCGAATCTCAGTCATCCGTAATCAACACCCTCCGCGGTACACATTTGACGTTGCTCACAACATCCTGCATTGATTTAACTCTCGCCTGAATCTCGGCGGACCCCCTTTGGACGACTTCTGGTACAATGGTAGGCGTCGTGTCCAAGCCGGCGTCGCGGGGAGAATAGCTCCCAGCCTTCGAGAGCCTCGCCTTTTCAAGTTCTACCAGGTGAAGCGCCTGACTCTCAGTCCAAGCTTTTCACAAGCCGCGCCCAATGCGCCCCGGGAAGACCCCCAGCTTTTTAAGCAAGACGCCAATCCCTCGGCCGGTAGGAAGCCAGCAAAATCCACGGCCTGCGGGCTGTGACCATCCCCCACGACGTAAACAGCCAGCACAGGCCAGCGATCCCGAAGAGCATCCCACAAATGTGCAAGACGCTCAAAAACTGATTCGATTCGTACCGCACACAGGGATGATGCACACAATCAAGGAGCCCACGTCCAAGCCCAGAGATTGGAACCGACCCGCTCAGGTCCAGGTTGTCAAGATTCGACGCAATCGCCAGGCGACATCCGCTAACGGCAGCACCTTTGTATACATCATTATAGGTCTTGTCAGCTTCAGCAGGTTTGCAAACGAAATCGAAGCTGAACATGCCCTAGATCTAGACAACTTTCCCCATGTCTCAGCACATAGCATGTTACTTGCTGCGCTTCACCATTCCCACCGCTGACAACACGCAAGCCATAGACGGCAACGGGCATTGGACTGTTGTGCTGTACCTTAGCGCTTGCTGATGTTGCAACACCGGACTCTAAATACTTATCAGTGTGTTTAATCGCAAGGCAAGATAGCTTTCATGCTGTTATATACAACCAAATTGATGGCACAGAGGAGTGTGCGAGCCAGTCTGCCAACTATTGTGTGTACTGATGAGTACTGAAGTCCAAACGCGAAACTAGGTCGTGGTTCGGTCTAGGTGAACGGACTGTTTAGAGCTCCCGGGCAGGTCCTTGTGGGAACCATTTAACATACAACATGCAGTTTTACCTTGATCTGTACGACCTCATACTTAGGGAAAACAGGATCGGGCAAGTCCTTGTGAAGACCAGGTTGCGCTATTGGTCATAACTTCGGGAGGTCGGAATGTGCTTTGAATGTGATGACCTGGGCCGTCTGAGCCGCTACAGTGTTAGCATGCGATGAGCGGGCCTCGGGCCTAGATCTGCGGCTTGAATCTGTCACAATTGCCAAGTGACAAGGTTGCCCGCACGGATTGGAGGCCTGCCCTGGTTTCGGCTGCATGAAAATCAATAGAGCCGCATACCAAATTGACGATTTTGGGGCTGATATGTCCGATTTCCCCAGATTCCTCAGTTCCTGGCAGTCGGCTGACGTATTTTGGCGCTAGGCTAGTCTAGTCGAAAACTCACTGCCATGAATACGTCGTAGTGCTGCAATATATACGCTAATACTCAACCACTGACGCACTTGACTCCGATTATAGTACGAGTATTGACCGACAGCACGGCCTAGTTTCACTAATGCCCGTTTCACACGCTACACTTTGAAAACGCGGCCAGCCCAACAGCCCATGTGACGAAATCAGACTTTTGGAGAAACCCATCAATCACGCAAAGTTCTCTTCTCAGCCGGTTATCTGCATGGCGTAGCTCTCACAAGTATGAAAATCGATCACGCCACACTTCTGATTAGGCAATGTTCTATATTGTCAACAGAGCTAATAGCGATGGCGGAATGACGATCTAATGTCACATCTTATTTACCTGATCCAGCCATTCGTGGGTTGCGCCAGCATAGGTGGGCTACCGATCTATAGCTAGTGGTGTATTTGACTAAGACCCGTCAACTATGTCATGACTACGTTATGTGGTCATACGGCTGCGGGGGGAACTATATAATAGCAGCCACTATTCAGCCAAGCACTCACCGTTCACCTCTTCACCATATACCCCAAAGTAACGGCAACAACAACAGTCATATATTCCCTCGCACAACCATAACCCTATAATTACGCACTATGAGCAGCTTAGGAGATAAGATTAAGTCGGTTTTGGGGGGTGGACATTCGACAGATGCCGAGAAAGACGTCGAACACCGCACACCGGGAGCCTACCCCGAAGAGTCTGATGTTCACGGAGGTGTGGACCAACCTCGTGTTGGCACCAAGCCTATACCATCCTCTGGTGAACGAGACCTCGGAGGCACTTTGCAAGATCCTGGTCTCATTACCGGCCCCTCAGAACATAACACAGAGAGCTCTACTAATAACAAACTTCACAAAAAGGATGATCCTCGTGGTAACGCAAGCTATCCCGCACACGACACGAGCTCCTCGGGACTTGGGCACAGCCATAATGAGCCTAGCTCTGGCCTGAAGCAGGTTGAGCACAGCTCTACTAACCCTTACTCTTCAACACATCCTTCATCGCACCATGACAACACTCTACCATTAAGAGACCTGGGCGGAGATCGATCTGGGCAGAGAACACAGGGTTTGACAGGTTCATCCACGGGCACAACTGGCACATCATCTGGTTTGACCGGTGCGCACACCGGAACAACGGGTTCATCCGGTCTGACTGGTACTGGAAACACACAATCTGGCAGCCATAGTGGGACAGGCGCGGGCCCAGCTGCTGGCGCTAGGGTTGCTACGGCGGGAGCGCTTGCGGGCCATGGCGGCGATCACAACAAGGTTGGAAATGGGGGAGTCAAATCTGAAATTACATCAGAAGAGCCCTACTGGGGTGATCTTCCTCAGGGCGCCGGAGTCTATAACGGCGTGACTGGTCATGGCAGCGGTGAAAATACATCTGGACAGCACCGCGCCGTTCCCCGAACTGGTGATGCATCAGAGGCATCCAGAATCGGAAAATCTGGCGAGAGTCGCGCACCACAGAGTATTGGTGTCCACAATGCATTTGCCGGCTACGGCAGCAACCGCGACGATCACACGAACATCGGGTCTGGAAATCAGCGGGAGTTCCCATTGAACTCTGGCTCAGTCCATGGGGGTGCTACGGGTACGGCTGTCAGTTCAGGTACCATCGGACAGCGTGAAGGCGATATTGGTCCTCACAATGGTGTCGCTAACGCTATTGATCCGCGCGTGGACTCAGACCATGATGGTAGTCGTTCAACTGGTGGGACATCAGGTATTTCGGGTACTGGACTCACGTCAGGTACTTCAGGCCGCCGCGATGGTGACAACTCTCATAGAGATCGCCACCTCGGCGAGGCTGGTGCTCTAGGCGCTGGAGCAGCAGCCTATGGCGCTCATGAACACCACGAACAGTCTATCGGTGCCGACTACGATGCACAACGAGCCGTCCCTCATGGTGCGTCGACTACACACCAACCAAAATCTGGCTTGGATTCTACATCCAACCAGCCTCACAACACGTCGACCGGAGGAGGTCTCTTACACCGTCACAAGGACCAGACTAAGCCTGCAACTCAGGCTCAAACTCCCAGCCGCCACCACGAGCATAGTGGAGTTCTGGGGCTGTTGCACCGCAACAAGGAGCCCAAGGATGTCGATGAGCAAGTCCACGATAAGTCTAACTTCACCACCCACCATGGCGAGACTCCGATTTCCACCTTGACCGGAGCACCTGGCGCAACTCAAACCGCTTCCCATACTACTTCGTCAGGTCTAGGTAAAGAGTCTGGCTCAGGGTATGATGCCACCCGCTCTGGTCCCGACGACTCTCACACAGGCCGCAACCTCGCCGGACTTGGCGCCGCTGCTGGTGCAGGATACGGTGCATCTCAGTTGGGCCATCACCACAACGAGCCGCAAGCCAGCGGACACTATGGGTCTACTACATCCTCGGGACAAACTCCTGTCTCGCAGCACTCCGCAGTCCCTGGCTCTCACGCTACGACTGTGGCTGGTCAACCCCATCCATTGAGCGGAGATAGCTCTACTCACACTAGTCGAGATATTGCCGGCGCTAGTGCTGCTGCAGGTGCTGGATACGGTGCATCCCAACTTGGTAACCACCACAACGAGCCTTCCGTTGGACAGCACGGTTCATCTCTTCCTCAGGGTGGTCAGGCTGGAACATCTCATGGCTTGGCTGGTACAACCTCTCACGCTTCAGAGGCAGCTAGCACATACAGCCAGGAAAGTGCGTACAGCCAAGACCATCCATCGCACACTGGCCGAAACCTTGCTGGTGCGGGAGCCATTGCGGCCGGTGCTGGTTACGGAGTTTCGCGCCTTGCTCAACACCATAACGAGCCTTCAATTGGCCAGCGTGACTCTTCGCTGCAAGGCAATTCAGGTCAACGCGAGGGAGGTACTGGGCTTCACAACTCTCGCGCAGCTAACGCTCTTGACCCCCGCTTGGATTCGGACCGCGATGGTAGCAGGACAGCCGGTAACACAACCAGCACAAGTGGCAGCGGATTAGGGACTTACAATAAGCTCTCCGATGGTACCGCTTCTGGTGTCGCTGTCCCAACTTCTGGCCAGACAACATCAGCATACAACAACCAGGCTGGCACAACTTCTAACTCCACAGGAAACCCTGCTGGCGACAGCTATAACCATCTCTCCTCAGGAACACCATCCGGCGTTCAGCTCGACAAGCAACCGCACAGCGCGCGCGCTGCCATCCAGAGCCCCACCTCGGACACGAGTGAAATTCAATCCTCCCACCACGGCTCTGGTACCGCAGCCGGACTAGGCGCGGGAGTCGCTGGTCTCCACTCTGGCAAGTATGCACACGACGCCACCTCCTCTCCCAAACGGGACAACTATGGCCGGGACGCCAACACTGCTGGTGCTCCGCTAGCCACTGATCGAAGTGGTACCCAACAAGTCACTGGATTGCGCGAAGCTGGTACGTCTGCCGGACTGGGTAGTGGTGCTGCCGCCACTCTCGGATCCAAGTTCGGACCGGGTTACAACGTCACGCACAAGTGTACTAAGTGCGGCGAAGATAATGATATCAGTGCATATTTCAAGGATTTGAAGCAGTAAACCAATCGACGATTAATTGTTCGGTTCGACGCGGAGAGTAGCAACGTTTAATTGAAGCAGCGATTTCAAAATGATAGCACATAATGAGAAATGAACTTCTTTAGGATTACGTTTCAGTGTCTTACCGAGTCGTGATGCTTTCTGGTAGATTATAGTGACAGACAAAATCAGACTTGCTCTCAGGTGATGCTCTAACGCACGATCGGCAAACCCCCCCCCCCCCCCCCCCCCCCAAAAAAAAAGGTAGTTTGCAAGTACCGCAACATAGGTTATTTTGCATTCCACCTTGGTTTGAAACAAACGAGTGAACGAGGAAAATTTCAGATCTAAACATGTACGAGTGCTCAAGTTACATGATCATTACACACCCCAAGTGTTTCGCTATGGCATACTATGTATGGGCTTATGTTTCCGTTATGTCTACCGTCGGAACCGTTCAACCGTAAAAGTCCACCTGTGATATTTACAAGTTACCTTTAAACGATATTTTTCAAATCCTGCCCAGCGATAAACTTTCTCAGGTTCTCCGCAATCAATATCTCTGCGCCCTGCGGCCTTCCTCCGGCCGCGTGAGGGCTAACAATAGTGTTCTTGGCCCTCCAGAGCTTCGAGCCCTCGGGCAAGGGCTCCTTGTCGAACACGTCGAGAGCCGCGCCGCCGATCTGCTCAGCGTCCACAGCCTGGAACAGGGCCTCCTCGTCTATCGATGTGCCGCGGCCGACGTTGACGACCCAGGCGTGGTTAGGCAGCTGCTTCAGCCGCTCGGCGTTGAGTGCGTGCTTGGTGCTATCGGAGCCGGGCAGAATCATGACGAGCGCGTCCGTCTCCGCCAGTAGCTCCGCCAGCTTGTCCTCGCCGTATACCTCGACGCCGTTCCGGATGCCCGCGCTGCGCGCCACACCACGCACCTTGGCGCCCAGTCCCTGTAGGTGCGGCGCCAGCGACTTGGCGATGTTGCCGTAGCCCCAGATCAGCACGTTGGCGTCGCGCAGGGTTGTGAACTTCCCCTTGGGGCGGTCGGGCTGGGGACCGCCGAGGTGTTGCGGCCACTTGGACTGCAGCTGGTAGTCGCGCATCTCGAAGAAGCGGCGCGCGGCATTCAGTAACAGACCCAAAGCGTGCTCGGCGACCGTGTGGTCGTGTAAGCCCGAACCCGTTGTGATCTTGATCTTGGAGGCGTCGAAGCCGGCGTTGAGCACGTCATTGGGGCCCGCCGCCAGCGACTGTATCCACTTGAGGTTCTTGAGTCGCTTTGAGGCGTCCGAGAGGTTGTCGGCTGTGTTGGTCCACGTTACGAGTATTGAGGCGTCTGTGTGCGCTTCGGGGATGGGCTTTGTTACATCGTAAGGCTGTAGGGCGACGGAATAACCCTCGAGGCTCTTGATATCGAGAGCTAGTGATGTGGGATAGAGGAGCTTCATGATGGATGATTTGGAGAAGATTAATCGACTGGCTCTCAGTAATGGGGCAGAGGAACGGTGTAAATTACGGAATATCATGTACAGGATTTTGGCTGCACTCGCATTCATATAGCTCTCGCTCGACGATACAAAGGGAAACGATGGTGGGGGATAGCGTCATGCGGGGTCACATAGGAATGTAGTGTCGAAAGGGTACACACTCGCTATGGTTTCTCAGAGTCAATTGCCTATTGAACATGTCGCATACTGGCAATTGCTTCGACAGAAGGGTTCCGCGCCCAATACTGGCCAATAGGAAATATCCGTTCTGCGTCAATTCCGCCGATTTAGACCCAAACAGCATTGTTTTCCTGGTGCCTTTCGCATTTTCGGCTTTTGGAGGAGCTCCTCCGCATCCATATGACTCGGGTATCATAGATATGGTGGGGTACTGCCGGCTGGACATAGGCCGAGACCGCTATTGTTGTCCGACCTGCCCTACTTAAAAGCAACGAGGAGATATGGTAAGCAGCGACGCAGCGATAATCGGCAAACCATGTCGAATGTTCTGGCATGCATTCGAAATATGTAGTATTTCTGAACTCTGTTGCCAGGCATACGAACAGGTTTTTGATGTACTATCTGATGGACTTTGTCGTGTCCCGCTGGGGTTATGTGTCGAGTCTGCGCCGTCGGCAAATGACCGCTTGCTGAGCGCGCATATGACCAACTCGAGGATAAATATTCGCGTCACAGGGACACCAAAGGGAATGATCTGGAATAATACGGGACGATGAGGTATAATGAATGAAGCAATGGAAACGACAACGGGACACTGCTTGTCAAATTTCCAAACGGCCGGCCATTCAATTGTCAAATTAATTCCACAGCTGATCGTTTTCAACGAGCAGCGCTGCCGTTTCCTTTCCTTTCTGGACGACTTGTGCAAACAGCGATAAGTAAGCGCAGCAGAAACACACTGAGGAGGCTGAAATTCCATTAATTGTCACAAGTATGTACTGATGCAGTAGTCAAGCAAGTCAAGTTCGTTGGCTGGCTGTCTACAAGCGCAACGAATGGCGACCTTGCAAATGTGACTTACACCAACCAGTTATTGAATGTGGGGGAGGGCCAAAGGGCTGTGCGCTATTACGTAGCGGCATCTGGCTTCCTATTTTCCAGCATGTCTGAAAATCCGTCTGGGGAGAAACAACAGACGAACGAAACCTTTTGTTTGCACCTGTCATCTGTCATCTCACCAGCACTTTGTCAAACCTACCTCCTTTCTCTATTTCCACGTAAGTGTATTTGGTACATCTATACATTCATCTTGCGGGTCACTCTCAACAGCCAGACGAACAAACTGCACTGTTCATTCTTCCGAATCGGCGGGGGCAAAGCGTGTTGCTATGTCGTCTTCTACAAATGAAAACCAAAACAAGGCCGGTGAGTTTTGAGATTGCGATCTCTGCGAGCTTTATGATTCCAACTGAGCGCATACTTACAAGGCTATCATCACAGATGCTGGCTACGTTCCAATGCACGCGATCTCGGAGCCATGGTCCGTTGACAAGGTTCTCGAAACACTGCAACCTTCGCCGCCGACGGCCCATTCCGAATCGCCGATCCCCTTCTTCCACGTCCTCGAGAAGCTCAAGACGAACAAGCGTGAAGGTTGGCGGAGGTTCGGCATCGAGAAAGGCGAGTCCGTTGCCGATCACATGTACCGCATGTCACTCATCACTTTGCTGTGCCCGCCGTCGCTCGCATCTCGTGTCGATTTGACAAAGTGCATGAAGATGTGCTTGGTCCACGACATGGCTGAGTCGCTCGTGGGAGACATCACGCCTGTAGATGGCGTGTGCAAGCCCGAGAAGAGCCGCCGCGAGGCCGAGACTATGGACTACATCACCAAGAACCTGCTGGGCAAGGTATATGGTGGCTTTGCAGGCCAGGAAATCCGGACAATCTGGCAGGAATATGAGGACTCCAAGACTCTCGAGAGTCACTTCGTGCATGACGTCGACAAGATGGAGCTTCTATGCCAGATGGTCGAGTACGAGAAGAGAATGAACCGAACCTTGGACTTGGGAGAGTTTGCTTACGTTTCAACCAAGATGGTGCTACCGGAGACCCAACAATGGGCACAGGACGTCCTCAAGGAGCGGGAGGCTTTCTGGGGCGCAGACGATCATGTCCATGGAGAGCGCAAGGAGAACGGGGGCGTGACGAATGAGAAGGTCGAGATGCAAGATGCTTATTACTCTAAGGATAATTGAGCCGCAACGCCTGGGCCTTGGGTTGTTCGATGCAAGAGATGAACCGTTGGAAAGCGGTGGAGTTGCACAAGCGATACATATGTTTTCTGCGGCTTTGGCGAAGTTGTAGGAAGACTATGTGGTCGACTGAGATGGGGAAGTTAGCGTCGTGATAAGATCTGATGATGAGCGTTGCTCAGGCACAAATTGAGTGGTGGGGCAGGAGAATCAATAGGGATAGAAAATCAGTGGCTGATGAAGGATGACAAAGGATCTTATGATAACGACAATAATGCACTCTGGCACTGGGACTTGCTGGCAATACCTGTATATCATGATCACCATGCGGATCTGTACAAGCATGTGCGAAACCCTGTCAGCCCGTGTGCAGAATATTTGCTAATTAAGTAGGGGTTTCAGGGGTAAGTACTCAGGGGGGGTGCTTCGGCTTAGGCTTAGGCTTAGCGATGCGGAAACTGCCCCGCGGTGCGATCTAGGTAGAAGCCTCCGTCCGATCTTGCAACCGCTAGAAAGTCAAAAATGTTTACAATCATTTGGCCCGGCAACGCATCCATCCCTGTTTCATTCGACTTTCAACGGAACTAGGGCCCGGTTGTCAATCTGATCGGGTGGTCTTTCCCTACTTTGGCAACTTGGGATACCAAAGCTCAGCGACTCTCGGTGTCGACAAGCAACTAAACTGGCGACACTTTCCAAAGTGTTCACATTAACATTTAACATTTTACTAACGTGCCGTGTTTCAACTCGATAGCCGCAGAGCCACGCTTTGCCATGCGGCAAATGGCGACAGACACATCTTAGATCGATCTGTCTACGTCACAATCCTCACAAACGTCACAAACGGAGGTGTATCTGGGTCTCTTTGCTCATTTGATCGACAATCTGAACGAATCAAAGCATCGCCGACATTCACTGCCTGCCGGAAGATATTGAAGCATCTGGCCTTCCTTGATTGATCCCCTGAACATTGTGTATATGTCCCAGGATTTTGTATCCAACATTAGTCTAGAACCATGTCTAGTTAAGTTGGTGCTAGACTTCGAGCTACAGATTTACACTGGCGCGCTTGTGCATTCCAAAGTTCGAGCTGGCAAGCTGTCAGACAGTATACTGCAGCACTAGGCAGTCACAGCGCAACTGCGATTCAATCAACCCCTTTCATAAGTTTCCGGGGGGCAACTTCCCAAGTGCACGCCTTATACCTATGATATTCTGAAGTAGACGGCGACCCGACAACTTTCACGGCGTCCAAGGTTTGCATCGAGCTCAGCCAATCAGTCTCAATTTGTTGAGGTACAGCACCTTAGTTTAGCTTTGGATGCAACCAGGAACACACCACGCGACGTTAACTCGGCCCGGTGCTCGTGATCACCACGTCCCCCCCAATTTCTACCTCGACCTGTCATCTTATCATCTATTCGACCTACAGCAAACTACGAGCAACAAAGAGTTCGGGTCGCATTTACGAGGCCGCCACGAGAAACACAGAAGAGAGGCCAGCGAGCCGTCGGCTTGACGCTCGAGGCTCGGCGGGGAGCCACCACGCCCTTTTCACCAGGCCGGGCGCGAGATGTCCTTTGCATCACAAGTTATCATGGCCGGCGCATTGCATCTCGAAGCCCCCAATGGTGCGGCACCACTCAGCGGAGTTCACGCCCGTATTTTCCAATCATCTGCCTCCCCATCCATCTCAAATTCGGTCTATATGGGAAAGTCGAGTGGGAGCCTATACTCTGACGTCTCCATGCCAGCTTCTAATATAAAAAGAAAACGATACGACTTGAGAGATTCGCCACCATCGAGCGGCTATGCAAGAACGGAAACTGGCAACGTAAAAGGCGTTAGGCAAGAGATTGGAAGAAGAACAAGTGGCGGGCGCGACATACGGTATACATATGGTGGCTCGGTCGGAACCCCGAATGGAGTAGAGCCAAGGCAGTCTGGGTATATGGATGATAGCACATATTCGGATATCGACTATAGACGTGCGCTTGGCTCGAAACGACCTCAAGAAGATGAGGATGTCCCTACAGCACAATCACCTGTAATGCATCCAGCGGCTGGTTGGGGTTGGTTTGGATTGGGAACAATTGGAGGAGTAGTTGGCAAGGTGTGGGAATTCTGCAGAGGTGCTGGGTTTGCAGGGTTTCATGCCGGAGGTGGTAGAGGTTATGGGATGAGCCTACCACCAGTGCAAGGCCAGATATGGTGCAACGAACACGATATCCCAACGCTACCCGGATTGCCCGGTGGCTTCCCCGAGTCTGAATGCTCGCCTTTCCGAGACGAGAGCGAACCACTCGAGTTCACGCCCGTCCAATACGAACGCGAGGCACCCGAATCTTCCCGTCCTCCTGGCGCGAAGCGCCGACAGACTTCTTACGGCATGTCAAACGATGAGTTACAACGGAATTGGGTCATGGTGAAGGAGGATGCCAGCACCAAGATTCAGCCCGTCAGTTCATCCTCACCACCAAAGGTATCGCAGCAACGGCCGCCACTGAATCGGCGCATCAGCAAACCGGTTAGCCGTATCAGCAATCCTAGCGTGGCTCAAGGGACCTCCAACAGCGTCAGCCATGCCGGCAGTTCAACTCTGACCAACCGACAACCTGCCAGTTTTGCATCCCCGCGTTCAGTGGTCGTTCCCGAGAGACCTGCCACACCAAGTCGACTACCGGTATTATCCCGGCCTCGCTCTTCGAGCACAGTTTCGCACAGGCTGTCACAATCACAGTCCCTGATCGCAAGTCCGGTCCCATCTTCAGCGCGTGGCCACCGGCGGTCCCAAAGTACGGCGTCGGCCGTCTCTTTTACACCACCGAGCCGGTTGAAGAAACGTGAAAGTTCTGCCCGGGAGATTGTGGAAGGCGCTAGTCCGAGGCTCGACACTAAGGCGCGCAATATGGTCGTGAAGCGGATGAAGCAACAGCAGGAGACCGACGCGAGAATCAACGATTTGAATACGCGCTTGGTGGATATGATCCGACAAGGCAAGGAAGCTCTAGGGACCACTGTTGAGGTCGATGGGTTTGAAGATCAAGATGGTGGACACGATCCATGGGAGGATGATTAAACGGAGGAGGACTCGAACTCAAACCCGTGCATAGCAATTGATCAAGCCCATGTCACATTGTACGTAATTGTTTGGCTTTACGTTTTTGGAGTTTCATGGGTCGCTCGATACTTACTGGCTCCAGCAAAGCCTTGGCTTTACCGCTTCTGCTCAGCCTATCGGGCTGCCGTTGTTTGTATACAAGTCTAATGAATATTGCATGATCACTATTTAATTTTTACGTCGCTGGAAATAATGACTTTTGCTTGTTGTTTCGCTCTCGTCTGAAAACTTACATGTTACAATGGCCACGTTGCATATGATGGCCTCGGTTAATTTTACACAACGAGCTTTAGTATACGATGGCAAGTAACAGGCGTTGAGTTGATTGGCAACATGCAAAGAAATTGTGCCAAAGACAAACGCGATACATTGTAGAATCATTCCGCTCGGGTGGACTATATTTCCCTAGATAGGATGGGGTCCGGCGGTTACTGGTAAATGACACGGCCGTCAAGCGGTACACAACAATGCGTTTCCAACGAGGAGGCGCTCGGCGATTTTTTGCCCCACTAGTACAGCTTAATTGTTTTGTCCAAATCCACCTCGTTTATGATTGCTGGTATACGTCACCAGCATTGCGGAACGTTGCCGCATGGCGGTGGCAGGTAAACCACAATTTGATGAAGAAGCTACCACACAGTGAGCGAGATAGAGACGGAACATAGCTGGCGTCGATGGCTAGCGATTGTTCTTCCATGCTCTTCACTCGTGGAAATCTTAGGAGAAGTCACCGAACCGTGATATCGAAGGACTTAGACACAACAATATGATGGACATGCGGAAGGAGTAGCGAATTTACGACGTAGTCCATAGGAAGATGCCTCGTTTGGTCAAAAAGTTCGGGCAACCCCGAAAATCATCCTATAGTATAACTATCTGCTTTATCGCCCAGAACGTATTTATTCAGATTCTATACATTTTAAAATATAGATATAAAGAAGGAGAAGAAAAAGATCCTGTTGAAGTAGAGCTCAAAACAATATGCACTTCACACCTGGTCAATTATTCGGTCCCATCAAATCGCTAGTTTATCTCTCTATACTCTCAAACAAGTGCTAAGTCATCTCTATAGTGGCAATGCTGCTCGTTATCAGAAAGACAATACCAACCAAGTCCTCTCCAGCCAAACAACTAATCTATGCAACGAAGGCCCTTGAAATAAGATCCACTGGTGCGTTGCCCTCGGTGTCTACGGCTCTCGCGGTTGTGTTTGCCGCAGCATTGCCATTGCCGTTATCCTTGTTGGCAGCAGCGGCCTTGCCTCCTTTTCCTTTGTGGTGGCGGGCCTCGACGCCGCGAGGGAAGATATCCAGAGCAACGGGAGCAGACCGGGGCTCGGTTTCCGGCTCAACAGATCGCGCAGTGGTGGCGTTGTTGTTTACATTACTGTTCTTGCTAGCATTGTTGGCCTTGGTGGCCTTGCCTCCCTTCCCTTTGTGGTGGCGTGCCTCAATATCACGAGCCTCTAGATTGAGATCGACGGGCACAGCACGCTCTTGGGCGTCAACGGTCCTGGCCGTGTTGTTGGCGTTGGCGTTACCGTTACCGTTCTTGCTTGCCTTGGCGTTGCCGCCTTTGCCCTTGTGATGGCGCGCTTCGATGTCACGAACTCCCAGATTTGCCTCTGTGTCGATAGCTCTGGCAGTGCTGTTCGTAGCAGCACCTTGGTTGGCCTTGGTAGACTTGCCAGCTCGGCCCTTGTGGTGGCGCGCCTCGAGGTCTAGTCTGCGCGCTACGAAATCAATGACATCTCGTGCGACGTGCTCAACTGCACGTTCGGCGGTTTCAATAGCTCGGGCGGCATTGGCTGTCTTCTTGCCACCTTTGCCCTTGTGGTGTCTGGCGTCAAGGGAAAATGCGCTGACAGAAGCAGCGAGGACGAGAATGTTTAAGAACTTCATTTTGGATTCAAGTGAGAGTTTTATTGAGTGGCTCTTTGAAGAATAGTAACTTGACCAGCAGATATGGTAAAATGAATAATACAATGAAGTGAAATGGCCCAGCCAAGGAAGTATAGCAAATACAGAAGGAATTGGTGAATGAGTGGATAATGTCACATGAACAAGATCAGATGCCAAGCTGTGGGTTGACGAACCTTTATACTCGATTGTCATGACCCAGACTAATGTGCCCATGGGGTCGCTCGGTTAAGCTTGATTCGCAAAGTTCCAACAAGTCGGCGCCCATGGCTGGGGATTCCAACCTTCGGATCCCAGTTCGTCGCATCTTATGGTGATCACGTAGACCCTAGTAGCTGCCAAAGCTTGATTTTGTTCATCCATATTTCCGTGAGCTACTATACTGGCAAGCGCAAGCGGTATTTAGGAGCGATCTTGGCGACGCATTTCGTCGCACGAAGATGTGAGATGAGATGCTGTAGTTGAACAGTGGAGCCTTCGGGTTTCAACAGCGGTCTCTGGCGGTTAGCAATGTGTTGCAGCCCCTGTGAGAGTGGGTATGTGCCCCCAAACATAGTTGAAGAGAATGGAAGTTGAAATGAAACACGTCCATGCGCACATATAAATCCCATGTCGCTTCTAGCCCATCATCCATGTTGAGCCACATACAGATCCTAGTACATGCAGATAGCGCCAGGTTTTGGCGTTTTACTGTTTGTTTGACTAATCAAAGTAAACCATAGCAGGCTCACATCAAGAAATTCATCTGAACTTTGCCTCCGTCCTAGGTCTCGACAATGGGCCACAAAAGGATGAGATATGCATGTTTGCGACCAATGATGTTATGTCTACGAGATTTGAGTTCGGGCAACAAGTGTAGGTACTCATTCCGAACTGTGTGTCACTGGCTAGACGTTCCAGGCCGTCAAAAGAATTTACGTGAAACCATACACCTGTGCTGAATTTCGGTATCCAGTTGAGCCGTTGAAGCTTAATCTATCTCGCAATGGAAGTAGGACCCACAATATAGTGAGCTTATGCACCGAATCGTAGGTCGGACAAACACACCAAAGCCTGTGAAAATATCAGCGACATTTATCGGGTCGACGCTGACAGTGTACTAACCTGAGAAGCAGACGCTCGACTGTTGTACTTGACCAACTTTGCCACGAGGCTTCGCATATCGACATTGACATTAGGCAGGATAGCCTCCCAATCTCGCGGCTCGAAGTGTTTGTACATTCCGAAGGGCGGTGTTCTGAACTTGGCAGCTTCAGGCCAACTATCACGCGTCGGACTTCCCATTGTCTTGAAGATACTCAAAATGAGTCCAAGTTGATTACCATCCTCGTGGACCGGCCGAGACTCGAAGAGTGTCTGAGGAGGACTCCGAATGCATTCTGCAAGCATAGTACCAACTCCCCACATATCAACCGCAGGCCCGTATGCTTTGTCGCCGAAGAGTACCTCTGGTGCGCGATAAGGTCCAGTGCCTATGTCTAAGATCTTTTGGTCCGCCGGCTCTGTTGTGATAGACATGTTCGGATGCCAGGCTGTACCAAAATCTGACAAGTACGCCGGTCCGTCCGGCGATTTGAGAAGGAGCGCGGACGGTTTGATATCCCGGTGGATTATTCCCTGGCTATGGATATGCTCCAGTGCTGTACAGAGACCTAGAAAATGTTTCTTCACTCGAGCTAACGAAATCGACCCTTGTGCAATGAGAAGTTCCAAGCTCATCGGCATATAGGGGAATACCAGCACAAGCCTCTGTTCTTGATCGCGGAAAGTTTCGAGCAATGGGATGCAAGATTTCTTCAAAGAGGATAGTATCTTGGCCTCTCGGGCAGGATTATGTGGCTCCAGGTTTCTAGTTCCTGTGATGACTTTCAAGGCCCGGTCTCTGGACTTGTAAACCTCGGCAGTAACTCCGCTCGCTACATAACTGCAGTTGGCGTAAGAGCCGATGGAGATATCAGAACCGTCGCCGCTTTCATCTTCTGCAGAAATTGCGTCTGGGGCAGTCGGCGCTTCCGTCTGCCGAGGAACATATTTGCAAGCAGCGTTGTACTCATCCTGGAGATTGGGTTAGGTACATGGACCAATCGGTGGTGCAGCTAAGAATTGCTGCAATCAGGGGAAAATTCTTGCCGGAGCGACTTTCGAGTTGAAAATACGCATGGTGCTTGTGCCCGCGCTTGCCATGTTGAAACTAATCACCGACTTCAGTGACCTTTGCGATCATGAACGGGTTGAATTGCAAGAGATGGAGCCAAGCAAGTATAGAAACTGGCACGCGCAGCTCAGCAGCAGCGTCGACGAAAACACGAAACAACGATAACAAGCGACAACTAGCCATTTCAGGCAGAGGAGATAGGGAAAAATCATACCAAAGTCGCGCAGTTTTTGTATGCATCGTTCTCAACGGCAAATGCGTCTTTCTGTGCAGAAGCAATAGATAGACCGGCAGTTTCGATGGCCGCCTTGCTACATCTGCAGTCAGACTTCTGACTGAAAGAACCGCGCCTACCCCTAGACTTACATGTTCTGGATGTTCTCATATCGATCTAACGACGACAGAGCGACTCTCCAGCCCGTACTGGAAGCCATGATGGTGAATATTCGACTTGAACCGAGGCCTTGGATGGGTTGAGTCGGATCTTCTTCAAGGGTTGATTGAAAATTTAAAAGAGATATCCTTGACAGAAATTGTCTCTTATGCTTTAGGAGAACGCGCCTTCAAGCTGGTTCAGCAGAGTAGCAGCTTCAATTAAGAGCAGGAGTTGGCATTCGAGCCGAGCCCCTATGCTGTTGTGGGGGCGTGTCGACGTTCTCTGACCTGCTGAAAATTGTTGCTGTATTCTCTCGGACATTGATGCGTGCCCAACGCTCTGGCATGCGAGTTGCAGTATATAAATGAGGAAACTGGTGTTGATAATCGTCAAGCGGTCGCCAGCTGCCACCTGACTAGTCTGACCTAGACTGCTTGTTGATGGGCTTTGGCATTGGTCGGAGTTGACGTATTGGGATAGGGTTGGGCATTGGAGTTGCGAGTCTCGGATGTGATGGGATAGGATGGCCCGTGCTGTGAGTGGCTGTTCTGGTCTACGGATCTCTCCGTAACTCATTGACTTGCAGCCAGGCAGCTTCGCGCTTCCCAGCTCAGCTTATTATTTACCAGCCGTGCCAGCCCCCAAACCCAACCCCGAACTAAAGATGAGAAACTGGCCCACTAAATACGTTAATGAGTAAGGAAGCTCGCTGAAGCCCGAGGCGTCAGTCCAGCGATCCGTAGACAGCCTTTAATTCCGTCACCAGCCCATCGTCAGAGATACATTTACCGACTGCATCTCTGCGCATTTTGGAGCCATGGTCAGAGCAGCTGAGACCACACTGTGTTCCCTCATGTGAAAATCTATTCTCATCTATTGCTTCATGCCTCACTATTCAGTATTTCTTATGTTTCGCAAGTCGTCCCGCTCAACTCGAACGCCCAGTCACCATTTATCGCCCGCTCCCATTGTACATGCATGAATTCGGTCCTGCTGAATCCTTCTCGTGGTTTACTGATTGAGCCCCCTCCGCCGCAATGGATGATTCAATGCGAGTTGAGTACCCAGCTATGCTGGTAAGTACACTTCTGTACCAATTGAACCTGGCATATTGGCGATGCGTTCATCTGGCTGTTCTTTACTGCGACATCCACAGATGGCCCCTGACATGTGCGTCATCCTGCTAGGCGAACCTTCAACCAACACAAGCCGTTCAAGTGCTCAACGATCGGGTGAAGCGCATTTCAAGACTCAATGTCGAGATTGCCGACTGGCTTCAGGTATGCGACTCATCGACACAGTTGTGTTTTCAAGCCCTTACTAACTGCGGCACGTTAGGAAAGACGCAGAGTTGAGGAGCAATATGTCCAAGGTCTCCGGAAGTTGACCCAATTTAGGGTCCCTAATGCGCAATCAGAGCTTGGGTACGTCGGATCTTACATTCCAAACATGGCTTCTTGCACGCCGCCCATGGCGCAGTGAATGCCAATGAATGCGACAGTCTTCCTGTGGCTAACACGAGCTATTCGGCAGCACTTTCCAGGTACAATGGGACAAGATTGTCTCGTCTGCCGAAGGCATCGCGATGTCCCACCACCTGTTCGCGACCAAGATCGAAAAGGACGTCGAGACACCGCTGCGCACCTTTCACATGAAGAAGGAGATGCAGAACATCCAGACAATACAGGGCAATCTACACAACATGGCCAAGGAGCTCGACGATGCTCAGAAGAAGTCGGAAGCCCTCAACAAAAAGGCTGGGAAGACGAGCGCCGCCAAAATGGACCAGGCAGCTTCGAGATTGGAATCTGCAACAAGCCAGTGGGAGTCGCAAGCTCCCTTCATCTTCGAATCCCTTCAAGCACTAGACGAAACCCGACTGAACCAACTGCGCGACGTTATGACCCAGTATGGAACATACGAAGGCGAACAAGGTCAGCAGAAACAGGCAGATGCCGAATCTGTCTTGAACAGCCTGCTCGACTATCATACAGGCAACGAGATCCAGTCCTTTGTAGCAAAGACGACAGCTGGCCGGCCCAAAGTACAGAGCCGACCTCCCACGACCACTCGCGCATCGTCGAGTCTCGGCGGCGGCGGTTCATCACTCGCCCAAACACCAAGCATCAACGCGCCGCCTGCGCCGCCTACAGCTCCATCTACATACGACGATGACCGCAGCGACCATTCCGGCCTGAGGGAAGAAAAGGGAGGCGAGAACAAGCTGCGAAGTCGCATTGGTACTATGCTGGGCAGAAGACGACAGAGCATCCACGGCGGATTCGGTCAACTATCACCGGCTAAGGGTGCGACCGTTTTCGGTAGAAATACGAGAAGCAGTCACGGCCTGTCACCCCGAGCATCATCGAGCAATCTTGCCGAATCGAATAACAGATTAGAATCCCTTGCCGAGCGACCCGACTCTTCGGGCCAACCTACGCGATCGTCGGAAGCAAACGAGAAGTCAAGTCACGAGGGTACCAACGGTGTTGGAGGCGACAGCGCAATTGATGCACCGCCATTTACGGAGCAGACTTCAGCCACTCATGTTAATGGCACAAGTACTATTCTGCCGGCTGACATTGCCGATGTTCCACCACCACCCGGCCCGCCTCCCTCTCAGAGGGAACCTGAAAAGGACGCCGAGGGTTTCAGCGTGCCAGCCCCATCCAATGATCCCATAACCGCAGCCCAGAGGGAAGCCGGTGAGACGATTCCCGAAGATGGTGAGCCAGCATTCAAGCTCAACATTCAGAAAGAGCCCGTCGCCGATGAAGACCCCGAGGAGAGACAGGCGGCTTTGTCCAACTTTTCCAACAGTCTCTCAGCGCTTGGCGTGCCAACACGCAAGACGGGTACAGTCCGTGGCCGCAGAGATGTTAGGAACACCATCTATGTGCCCGCACCTGTATCAGAAGATAGTCCTCTGCCTCCATCGCCAGCTGTTCCGGCTTCCTTCTCGAAGCCTTCGGCTATGGCGGCTTTGACCTCGGAAGTTAGCGTGGCCGGCACTTCGGACACGCAGTCCATCCGCTCGTCCAACTCCTTGAATAGCATTGCGCACTTCCACCATCCTGACATGCACGAGCCAGGATTGAACTCATCTGTCATGGAGACTGTGTCGGCGACCTTTGAAGCTGGCCAAGTCAAGTCCGCCAAAATTAATGGCGAGATAGCCTTTTCGTTTAATCCAACCGACCCGTCAAGCGCTCAAGGTAAGTTCTCGTTAGTCTCAAAAGACAATTGGTATCTAATTTTGATTCAGCACATCAAGCCATTCGCGTCAACAATTTCCTTGCTCTTGAAGCAATCGGTCCAAACCGGATATTCGTCGCAAACCATACACCAGACCAGCCAGATCAGTTCACGTTGGATCTGTCACATCTTCGCCAAACCCAGGCCACCGTTGGTTTCTCGTACCGATTGCACAGCGATCCGACGACACCGCCCACAGACCATGTGCCCCTCTTGGTGAAACCTGTTTGGAAGCCGCAAGGTGACAAACTTGGTTTGCTACTGCAATACAAGCTGAACCCAGCCTTCAAATTTGGCTCCCACATTACTTTACAAAACGTCGTCTTCCTTGTTGCATACGAAGGCAAGGCGTCGGGCGCTCAAACCAAGCCTTCAGGAACCCATTTGAAGGACAAGCATCTAGTATACTGGCGTCTGGGAGACATCACGCTAGACGCCGCCCAAGATTGGCAAAAGATTGTTTGCCGGATCATAGGCGAGGCTGGAGTTGAGCCGAAACCTGGAACAGTAGATGCGCGGTGGGAATGCACCCCTAACCTCCAATTCTCGGACGGTATTAGCATCTCGAGACTCGAAGAGGGTAAAGGCAAAGAGATCGAATTGAGTGAGGACGACCCTTTCGCGGACGCAGGTGCAAGCGACAGTGGAGAGGGGTCACGTTGGGTTGATGTACATGCCGCCAGGAAGCTTGTCAGCGGCAAGTACGAAGCGCATTCGTAGAACGGTTGGGTGTTGTTGAAGCCAGTATATTTTGTTATCATTCGTACATATATGCGATCGTACTTGACGAATAGGCTGACTATTGCCATTCATCTCAAGCATTGAAGCATTTTGACATTAGCGGGCATTGGTGGTAAGAGATCGGTCCAAGTTCATTCTAACATTCTTATTGGTTCGATGTATGCTGTCTGATTCGTGTGTGGCCAATTTGATCCTTGCGCGAATCCTACATAACGATCACACCTCAGATCCTCGTTCCAAGCCGCCAGGCAGCACTTGTCAATGTCTCATCTTTAGGTTCCCCTAATCCATTACCATCTTCTGTCACAACTACCGATTCAGCGGGTAACTATGGTGAAAATAATTTTCTTCACACTTCTGGTGTTGATGTTGGACTCGGCGCAATGCCATCTGGTACTCACGTACCCCGGCTGGAGGGGCAATAACCTCATCCTCAACGGGTCAATCGAGGACACCAACGGACTCGGCACAGGGCAGTCAGGCAGCGCGGAGATCTTCCCCTATGGGATGCAATGGATCTACCCATGTAAGTCGAGATAACACAAAACCGGGCATCACTTGCATCGTTTGCAAGATGTGAGACTGTTCTCTACATTTGCTTACCAGGGTCCTAAAATCAACCAAAGGTGGCGGTATGCCCTTAACCTCCAACCGCACTCAATGGCCAGTCGCCGGCGGCGCCGTCGCTTTCCAGCCTGGGTGGTTCACAGGCCATCAACATGCGCGCATCTACGTCAATATGGGCTTCGGCGATGTCCCGGAGAACTACTCGGTCCCGCTACTGCCGCCTTTCGACATCGTGGGACCCTCGAACAATCCGTACCCGGGCACCCTTTGCCTGCCGCAGGTTCCGGTCCCGGCGGGGCATGTTATCAACGCTGGTGATCGCGCCACGATCCAGGTCATCGAGGCTGCTGTCCATGGTGCGGCTATGTATAGTGTGGGTCTCCTGTCGAAGTCGCCTATTCTGGGGTGAAATATGGCTGATGAATGAAGTGCGTCGATATCACGTTTGTTGATTCTCTGGGTGGTGAGCATGAGGTAAACGCCACGAATTGTTTTAACTCGACCACGATCACGTTCGCCGGAAGTGGTGGTGCGGCGGCTACGTTGGTGAACGCTACGAGGGAGACTGAATCCACATCGGCTCCTACGCAGACTGTTACGAATGTTGTCACTGTGACTGCTGGAGCTGCGTCGAACGCGATGGGATTGAGATGCTTGGTGGTGATGGTTATGTGTTCCTTTTGGTTGCTATAGAGCACGGTTGCATCCTATGTAGAATGGATGCGTTTCTATGAACAATGGTTAACTTATATGATGTCCTAGTTCGACTTAGGATCAGTCGCCATGTAATATGAATACCGAGCAAATTTTCACACCTAGCTACAATAGATACATGTCGACCATGGCCCGCTAGTGTAATCTCATAACCATTTACCTTACTGAACCCATGCTAATACTATAAAGACCTCAGTTGGCGCGTCACTGCATCTGAAAAATCGGCATCCTGCTCTGCAATGAAACATAGCCTGTCGAATATTGTCGTCCCCTGAACTGGGCGACGTAGATAAAATGGTGGTAGTTCCGCAAATACTGAGGTAAATGATGAAGTCTTCCCGCTTTGATTTGAATTTGGGACGTGAGATACAGACAATTTCCTAGTAGTGCATTTCTAATATTGAAATATGACGTTGGACAGAGACAAGCCGGAGGAACGTAGGCATAGAGAGTTTCTGCTGTTCATAACCAAAACGACTGTGCAAAACATTTTGCATGCCTCTCAATTCAATCAATTATGCTTTCGTATTCCGCAGTGCAATACAACCCTATGGTGTGGTGTTTACCAGTATCAGCGCTGTATTGTGCCCATTGATTGGCCAACGACCGTCTCCTTTCTGTGCAGCAGGCTGCAACCGAGATTCCGGATAACTCGCGTGCTATTTGCTGAGAGCGGTTGTCCGTTTCGCGTGGAAAAACGCAGTCACTTACGTATCCTTTGCTATCTGTTCAACAACCAGTTTGGCCAATGCATCTTTCCATTTCGCAAGCGCCTACAAGTTTGCTATTATTTTCACAGCTGCGACGTGCGACCTTACATCCTAGCAACCTTTAACCGAGTTGGCTACATGCTGACGACATCAACCACGTCAAGTCGGAATTACACCAGTTCTACAGATCGGGCTAGTAACGGCTGCGAGGTGAAGAGGCACGTCGCAACAATCCAAGCTGAGTGTGCCTCGGTAATTAAACAAATCTCATCTTGAATCATCGACCGGATTTGATCTTTCACAGAATACTACTACCCAGGAAGCCAGCTTCCCCGACAAACTCGAGATCACTCTCAAATTGCCCGAATCATTTGCTCAAGTTAACACAAAGGTCTATCAATGGCGGCCAGCCGGGACCAGAGCTGATACAACAGCAATTAAGGATTATATTCCGCAATAACCGCGGAGGTATATTGGCGCAAAAGAGACGTGACTACTCTCACCGCAGCTTACTCGCCTTAGTTAAAGTATATGGCACAAAAGGAAAATATTTCCACGTAATGGACACCACCACAGATTTCAAATACGTTTCCGAGAGATATAAACTGAGGTCGTATAATCCCTGCAAACTAACAGAATTTGCTGATAGAACGGTCAAAACTGTCATTTCAATAATCCAACATAGGTTTCGGGCCAGTCTCGTTAATGGCAATGTTACACAACTCATTGGACATGTCTGCCTCTTCACGAAGGCCATTCCCGTCATTTGCGAAACAGCTCCGAACGCTTTGGACCCGGATTCCCTGATGACAGATTAATACTCTCTCCATTACAGACTTATCACCATGCCTGAGCTCCTCTGGGGACAGGAAGGAAGTAGAATAGTATGCAAAGCTGCTAGCGCACTGAGACCAGAATCTTCCAGCGACGGGACTCTTCGATCCGGGCACACCTTAAATGCCCTGCAAAAAGCTGTAAGGTTGAGCGCGTTGATGTGCCTCAGATCGCCAACAATAGAGGTCGTTTATGGCAGGCAATCTTACACTGCACTTCTGACCCAATTGTATGATCAGCTGCAAGCGGTACACAGTTGGCTACTTGAGAGTATTACCGCGAATAGGGATCAGGCTGTCGCTAATGCTCTGCCAATACTCTTCTGGATGGGTATCATCGTGTACAACCTTTCAACATACTTCTGAGTTTTCCCACTGAGGATGGAGCTACCGAAGTTCAAAGTCGTCGATCTACTTTCGTCTCTTACATCACTTGTCCGTGCTCGCATATCTCAATGGAGACGATCTGTCGGATGACTCAAAGGTCTACCACCTATTGAACTTGAACTGAACGGCTGATACTCATTGAGATGGGAAGTTGACTTTACGACAGATCATCAACGGACATTGAGTCGCACTTAGGAAAATGCAGGAGGTCTGCAAAGCAACATTGTGTGCATATGCAACAGCCTGCAACCTAGGCCTGACGCTTGCAACTTGTCATTTGAAGAGAGAGTGAATTCCTGCTATTATTCAAGTTCTCGATGTTGACCTGGACGCCGGCCTACGAACTGCTCAAAACTCCTCTGCTATAAAGTTTTCTCAGTATCTATTTCATTTCTTCATAATTGGGAATTGGATACTTCCTGTCACAAGCGAAAGCACTAGAGAAGTATTTCTGAACAAAATCAATGATTCAGGTCCACGCGATCAAGGCGAAGCTAAAACCTTTTTCTTTTCGCAGCCACACTCCCCATGCCGTCTGCCGCGCCCTGAACGTCGTGATCAGAGATGGTATCTGCTGCAGTTGGTCGATGATGGGTCTCATCCGATGTTCATACCTCCAAGTGTTGCGGCAATGTCGTCAGACCGTTCACTGATCTCGCCTGCGAGCACATACGCGCCGGCCACTGCGAGATTCGTGCCTGTTCTAGTGAGCCCTGCGGATACACTGCATCACCACATAATATAGAACACCCTTGGTACAAGATTGGGGGCTTGGAATGAACAATCTCGAGAGCTTTGAAGTCTTCAGTTTCCATGATACTATTTACAACTTCGGCAGTCTTGAGATTGTTCGGCAACATATTATCTCAGCGCCTTGTCTCATTCCTTTGCGCTTTCGCGAAGCGGAATGTGGCATCGTCATTGCACGCGGACGAATGCTCAATAAAGTAACTCGACTACCACCTGATTCATCATGTTCAATTGCAATCCATACGGCCGCCACCCACAGCGCTATACACGTGCACTATTCTCCTTGTCCCGCTGCCGCCTAGAATGTTGTGTGGGATGGTGAAACAAGCTGCAGAGCAGTTTGTCGGAACCATACGATGATGTAAACTGCAGCCGAGACCGATAGCTCGAGTTCGTGATGTTGCGCCGTCGCATGCCACTACCAGATCATATTCTGAAGAAGGCAAACCGGTGGCAAACTCAACAGCAATCATCCCGCCTCTATCTTGTTACTGCATCAAGGCGACTTGATCGCCAGACACATACCTGATATTGCCGTGGTCCTTTACCAGGTGGTGTACATCAGGGTTGAACCAATCAAAAATTACGACGTTCAGCCACTGAACAGGTTATCGATCTTTAGCCACCAATCGGTCTTTAGCCTTGAGCGAAATAGTTCGTAGTAATTGATGGAATGAAATTGACCATGAACTTCGGATAATGCTTCGTTCTTCTCGCAAAAAAAGATTCTGAAGACATTGGTCGGTTTCGACGGGGTGCTGATCTGTGCGACGTTCGTATTAACCAACGACAATGGAGGCAATTTCATGGACAGCGCGCTAAGCTGGCACAAACCACCGTATTGAGATTGATGAGGAGTATGAATTCCTAGGTGACATGCTACTGTGCCCACCAAACATGTCATTTTGGCATTTGTTTTGGTAAGCTAGATGCGGTTGCAACTCAAGAAGCTGCAACTGCACGAAGAGGCTGATGATACTATCATGCTTGCAGAGGTGACAAATAAGTGATCTGATGTCAGGCTATTCAATAGCCAGAACCATGCGTGATATCAAGTAACGAGACTGTCGCGGCTGTTGCTATTGACGTCGAAGACATTGCAGGCGGATGATGACAGCCGTTCGTCATTCTCGTTGATTGATGATCTAGCCGAGAACTTTCTCTGTCTCAGGGACTGTCAGCCACTAAAGATGATCTTGGAGCGTATGAACATCTGGCTAGACATATCAATTCAAATCGTAGTTGTACGATTTCAATAGCAAATCACGCAGTACCAAAAAGGTAGTATAACACTGAGTTATCTCATCAAATAGTTCAATTATGACCATTTTCGGCACTCTTCCCACTCCGCATTATGCAGTATGGCTGCGGTATCACGCTGATAGACCCCTTAGAACTTTTGATTTGATTCAAATTTTATAGCAATGGCCGAGCTCACTACAGTTCTGTCGCAGCGCGGCTAACACCGACTCCCAGAGCTCACTGTGGGCTTTTGACCGTATACTGTTAGCCTGCAAGTTTGTTAGTGATAAGTTTGGGATATTGATCTGGAGTTATAACCGACTCACAAGATAAGATAACCGTGGATGTCTGTGTTCTGCAAGTCATCTCTGACCCGCGACACATAGGAATCGAGTGCCTCTGGTGACCATCCCAAGCCTCCTACTAGCGTCGCAAACGATAACGGCTCTACAACCTGGAGCATATTCTGCATCATCATGGCGCCAAGCCTCTTAGACTTTCCCTTCGGCGGCCACGGGTTGATGGGGACTGGGTATTTCCGTTCTGTAATTGATTGGAAACCAGCTATTTCCATACGGCTTTTGAACGAAACAATAGACCTGTTCCGCCCACCTCTTAACTGGCGAGTACCTACTAGCCTCTAAGCATGACCTAACATATCGCAGGATGTATTCCGATACACGAACCTCGTACGAGCAGATCGCTATACTCTTTCAATGTCGTACCATTCAGGGAATGATTGCCGGATTTGAAACTGTAAACCCACTCCTGAAATTGAACCCAGCCACCCGGAGCCAGGTGTTGAAAAATTGGCTCAATCAAATATCTTCGCTCAGGTGAGAAATCTCCAAGGTTCCTGACGTGAATGAAGTCAAACATATTGCCAAATTTCCATTCTTGAAGGGCATCTGCGACCAAGAGGTGGCAGTTTAGAGGTAACTCGGTAGTCGTGACAGGGTTTAGGTCGATGCCGAGAACTGAAGTGTTGGGATTTACCTTTGCTGCACATAATTAGCTACGGTTATCTTTTCCTATTAAGAAGTTTAGCAAAATTTTGGAATACCGAATTCCACAGCCCATTTCCCTGTTCCAGTGCCAATATCGAGTACTTTTCTCGGTCGCAGAATGGGGGCTAAATGCAGCCTGCCACCATGAACAGCACACATGATCTCATGCTGCCAATCTGTTTTATAGTCAGCAGCTATGCATTCAATCTTGTACAGATATGTAGAAAAACACCATGTCTTTCCAGTTCTTGCTGTAGAAGGAGTTTAGCTGGCAATATCGTGAACGGTGTCAGACAAAGAGTCGCGCTGTTACGAACGAACCTTATCCAGTGGTAGCACATTTCCTAACGTCTTCTTTAGCAAAAGACTGCATGTTTCATCTTGCTGTAAGTGGACTTACTTTTATGAAATCGTTTCCTGAAGCGACGAGCCAAAGATTGAACCAAGCCTGTTCTTGTTGCGCCCACTGCACTATCTTTGCTTTGGATTCTAGATGAGAGCATATTAGTACGCAATCTCTGCAAACATTGAACCATCAAAAGCAATTGAAACCCGTAGAAGACGAGCTGTGGAAAAGCGACGCCGTACCTCACTCCTCCTGCCTCATCAGACCCCTCAGTATCTGACCCGTCCCAAAAGTTCTCTTCATGGGAAGTCGTCAAGCTGATTGAATCGGGCTGCCAACAGTATAAGCACCTTTAACAGCCAAAGGTGCTGAACAAACATACTGGAGTATCAATACGATTTGACTTGTAGTCACGTTGTTCAGCTGGAGAATGCTGCACGATAGTCGACTGTACTTGTGACAGATTCGGTGGACTGGAGCTGAATTCCAGGCGTGGAGCGGGCCAAGTACGCTTGTAGGTTACGTTCTCTGACCCACCAGTGGCTGAGGTCGCAGGTCTCCAACTATTTCCACCTTGCCTCCGTGGTGGAGGCGTGCGGTCCATTGTGACCACAGGATGGCCCCGTTCTATCGCAGCGGGTGTGTTAGGTGCTTTAGTTCAAGCCGTCTTGGCCTAACAGCGCACTAATAGCACGGTCCGTCCCTAAATCTAGGTAGTGCATATGACAAAGTCTAAATATGTACTGCAGGTTGCTGATGTTCAGTCCGCTTTGTTAAGTGAGCGTTATTTAGTGACGGGTGTCTGAGATTACGATGAGGGGACTTGTAAGCTGGCTCCATATTGCAAATAATTTCAGGTGACCAGTCAATTAGGATTGGCGTGTCCTTTTCAACCACTCCCATGCACCTTATGCTGGATCTGGACACCGGGCCGCCCCAGAAGATGCATGCAGATAGTCAGCTTTTAGACGATGTTGACTGCGCCGAGAATGCCGCTAGGTAAATTTGCCAGCGAGGAACGGTGCGCAGCAAGTCCGACTGTAATTGGGGTTGATGTGACCAAACCACCTAACCTAGCAACGTCACTCAGTAGCCAATAAGCCTTTCTCCTGGTATCCAGTGTTGCGGTTGAGGTGCAGGTAGGTTCTACAGCAGGGGACCAGCCTAATTTCAGATATTTGCGACACATGTACAACGCGCATCCAATCTACAATCCTTGAACCCTCGTCTGTATAGTACCATATATGGTTCTGTAAAGCGCATATCGTCGTGCCCTGGCGGAAAGGTTAAAGGAAAATGAAGTTGCAGACTATCGATGTATATGTGCTTTGGGACTAATCTGTGTTCGAAGATTTAGAAGCAATCATATCACGGATGAGAACCAACAGAAGCTTCGTAGCCTAACATGTCCAACGCGGCCACTCAATCAACTATGGCATGCCGAGCCGGGGATAGAGATAACGAAGGACACAATGAACATGGATCACAGGTTAAAAGGGAAGCTGGTGTCATTTCATACCTCTAGCGTCGTCGATTTGATCCTTCGGGGATACATTGCAATATTACTTCCCACATCATCTCAATCGCATGCAGCCTTTGATTCATACATGCAGCCCGGCCGATCTGCCATGCCCAGGCTGCCCAGCCCAATTGTTCCACTGGACCGAAAGTTCAAAACTGCATTACTTCGACCTTCTGCTATGTGGCTCAGCGTACCTTGATCGCTTTACTTCAAGATTGCGTAAGAAGTTACTGTCTAGATTCTGTCGAAACCTTTTCCAGTTCGTAAAGTCTCCGTTCCTCAAGTCTATCAGCCCAATTCATGTCCTTTAGTGGATACATTTTCCAAACTTCAAGGAGTGATGCAGATATGTCAACAATGATAAGCCAGATAGTCTGCCGAGTATAACTCCAACTGCGGGCACTCGAGACACATTATGGCGGCGATTCTAGTTACTGGACCGCGGCATTCTGAATATTGCGACGAGACCAAGAAGCAAAATTCATGGTTTGGCTTCGCTGAATTTGGAAGTGGTTATATGTGTGAATGCCGCCCGAGCCATCCATAGCAGCTGCGGTGAGCTGATGAGTCGAGAATGGAGAGAACGAAAAGCATACATCTGGTCGATTGAATTTACGGAATCGACTCTACTTGGGCAATCAACGTCACAGCTTTTGTGAATATATAGGCTGCGATCAGGGTCTATATGGTATGCTCTCCGACGGAACAAGGTCGAACTCTTATTGCGACGTCAAATTAATGCCGCTGGCCTCTCCCGCGAGTGGTACGTGGTGAACATGTGGCTGTTGCTGATTGAAAGTGAGTGTTGAAGGCAATTTTCGACGAGAGAAGGCTAACGACATTGCGTTGCTTCGGGATCGTGCTTGGACACGTACCCCAACACGCATCCTTGAAACTCACTCGCATGGCATTATTAGATGCTTGCCGAATGTGCCGTACTAGCCGTATTTTGGTTGAAATATCTGGATGTCTACTGGTAACAACCTCCTACTAAATGAAGAAATGAAGAAGTCCCTAGATAACTTATTGGATGCGTAGCGGGCACTGATGTCTGTATGAATAGCGTTGCGTCAAACTTCAATTGGAGTTGAGCAGCTTCCATGGGTTAGTCCAGATTAGACTAACCTAAGGTTAGGTTAGTCTAGGTTAACTAGTCTAGTCTAGAGCGCATTTCAAGATCTCACTGCAACATGTTGAGTCTTGAAAAATCTCTACGTTCCAGTTGGGGCATCCATTCCAGTTTGAAAATGCTTCACGCGATTTGAAGAATACAATTTCAGAACCGAGATAAACACCGAACAAGGTCGTTGACGAGATTGGTGGGCCCCTGTGATTGGCTTGGATACGTACTTGTTCAGTTCAGCGGCAAGCAAAAGCTCGCTATTGGCTGCAGGTTAAGATATCCCGATATCACCGGCTGTGACCTACGCGAACATGTATGCAAAACACGACGCTGTTCGATGTACTTAACCTAGTTGACACGCAAGCTTGGCCGTCTTACCGTGCACACAACGATTTCCAGTCTCGTCACAAGTCTCTACGACTTTGTGCTTGGCCGTGATGTACAAAATATACGCAGTGACAATCCTAATTGTAGGTAATTGTCCTCATCACTGAAAATTTCATAGCCAATCTATGCCATCGTGGATTTTACAATTTTTTATTGCTGTAAAGAATGTAGCGCTATTCAAATGTGAGTGGGTTACCGTCCGCCAGAGGTAAGCCGCGCGCGAAGCCTTGCGCTGGCTGATACACGTCCCAACTTACGCGACCACGCCTAATCTATCAAAGTCTGGTGCCCATGCAGATCCCACACCCGTTATGCTGATAGAGTTAGGGCCGCTGGTATTGAAGCCGGATAGTTCAACAGCGTAACCCTTATAGACATCGGCGTCCCAATTGTAGCCGCTCAGGGGAAAGCTCACCGTTTGTGCAGTGCCTCCATTTACGCTGATTGAGGCGAGACGTTCATTGTTGCTGCCGCCAAGATACCCGACTTCGCCGTTGATGTAGTCGAATTGAACGTTCTGTGTCGCTTGCGAAGTACGAATGTTCGAAAGAACCACGCGGCCACTCGAACCACCTCCCAAGTTTCCAACTTTGCTGGATGAGGCGCAGCCGGAGCAGGATTGAATGTTTGCACCCGATGATAAGGAGCCAGTGGCTACAGATGTATAGGTATACTCTGCTCCTGTATCAGATGAGCGCTGAACATTCGAAAGTCGAAGTGCAAGAGATCCATGACCATTGACTTGCTTAGAATAGCTGGCTGTGTTCTCGATCGTTTCGGCACTCCAGAGATCTTTGATGGTTGCAAAAGCGATTCCGAGTTCGGAAAGTTGCAAATTCAGTGCACGGGCACTGTTGCTTAGGTCCACGACGAGCACTGCAATATCGCCATTGGCAAGGTCTCCGGTCCAAAGATCTCGATTCCCGGTCCAGCGCTGTACAAGCTCTATCGGCGTAACGGCTGAGTCTTGGTTTATCGCGATCAAATCTTGATTTTGGAGTACCGCAATACTTTCATCTGACAGCGCGGCCACGTCGGTTGAAATCATCAGCGCAGATTTGAGCATGGCCCATGACGCAAAGTGGGTAGCTTGCTCGTCAAAGGTCATACCAGCATTGCCGACTTCGAGAAGATCTGCATCGGCAACATTGCCCGGTCCAACGATTCCGGACTTGACTATGTGGATCGCTTGATTGTAGATGCGATAGACGTTTGCCCATCCCGTGGCAATGTCGTCTGATAGTCGAAATGACGTCGAGATGCCTTTCGTCCATTGGGCAGGTCCTTCCAGACCACTGGACGTCGAGTACGGCGTGCCCCACTGGCAGATCAGCATCCCTGGAATACCAACACGCTGAAGCTCGTTCCACATGGTTGTGAAGCGAGTCACGAAGTCAGTCCTGGCATCTTTGGGTGCATTCTGTGATGATGCGGCCCCGTCGGCATAGCAATTGTCATCTAGAGACCAAGTCAGCTCCAAATCGCTAGATCACTGAGAGCCTCGAAATTACATTTGACATATTCAGTGTTCAGTGTTTTGAAGAACTCCGCGTCGACGGCTTCGTTGCCAAGAGAGCCAAGTACAGGACTAGGTACTTGAGGGTCGCACATCCGAACTCCAGCATCAGAATACATGGTCCACTTCATTCCTTTGGACCGGGCGAGGTCGCTCAAAGGCTTGAGGCCTGCCGGGAATGCGTCCAAGTCAACCTTCAATGCTCCAGTCGTGCCGTTGCGGTTTCCATCTCGTGAAGCCCAGCCGCAATCGACCTGAAAATACTTGTAGCCGGCGTCAACAAAGCCTCGATCAGCCAGAGAATTGATGGCTGTGGTGATTTTATCACTGTTGGGACTGCAGGACATCTGGTTGTATGAGTTCCAGCCCATCACGGGCGTCGACTGAAACGATTGACCTGCCACCAGAGAGGCGCCTCCGAGAGCAATGAGAGCATAATTTGATATACCCATGACTGCAGCAACGACGAAGTGTGATGTCAAATGGGTTGCCTGTTTGCTATGCCCAAGGTGGCTTGTTTTCCATCTTATATAACCCCCGACGATCTTCGACTTTATGCTTTTGCTATAGGTGGCACGGCAGCTGATCACCGGCGGCGATAGTTACAGCGCAATGCCCACTGCCGCACCAATGAAGGCAATTCGAACTAAGACGAATCCGGCGGCCAGCACCGACGGAATTCAAAGTACGAAAGTTTCGCGCATGGAACGTCGTATTCGCAGCGACGAAGTCTATGCTCGAACCCTGAAATGATGGAGCGCCAAGGCTTGATTCCGGGGTGATTGTGGGGAAGTGGATCAACAAATTGGAAGTTCTCCAAACCGATCCTAGAACCCGCTTTCACTTGGCCACTGTCCCGGGCGCTCCAACCGACGATGTACTATGGCAGGGAGGGTAAGATATCACTATGGGCAGGTACCGGGTCGAAAGCAGGGGTGTTTTTCCGACACATTATTGCACCCAAAGGTTTGTACCTCTCCTAGTGAAGAACCCGCCACACTGCTTTTCAGGGCCAGATACCATATACTAGTCTAGTACAAAGTTCATGCATTAGTCTATAACTACCTACCCCCGCCAATGGGAAACCAGTAATTGGCGGCGGTTAAAAGTTCCGTACGTGTTATTCACTACATCTAAGACTCTTCTACCGTGATACAATAACGTGTAAACACAAAGAGTAAAATATTACAAGACAAAATATGTCAAAGTTGTCACGGTTGCAATAAGGAACAGAGACTTAGCTTGCTGCTGAAGTAGTGAGTGTTGGCTGTACTATTACAGCGGGAAGGCTAAGTGGATCATGTCGGCCTTTGTCGGAGTTGTTCTCGGCCTGATCATTATAAGGTCTGAGAGATGGGATTCATAGCTTTCCTTTCCATGCTTTTACACATTTGGTACAGTTAGTCGTTGGTTTTTGCAGCGATGTATTCGAAGATGACGAGAAAGGCTCGTTGTCATTAATTAATAGTATTTTGGTTATTAAACTCATCCTTTCCACTCTTTACTTATTAATCAGTCTACGAAAGAGCCTGCGAGCTCATCGTGAGGCCCGTAACTAAAGGGATAAGATAGTAGTCCTAGTTCACTACATACCTCGTCTACTTCGAAAATAAGAAAGCTAACCTAATCTAAGGAACAAAAACACTTAGTCGCAAACCACGTAAAAATACACGGTTGCATAGCCTAGCTCTACGTAAAAGGCTTAGCTTCGCATTAACCCTAGCCGTTACAAGAGTATAAGTGCGAGTAATAAATGCTGATCGGCTCTTCTTCTTAGTGCATCAGACCTATCCTTCGCTAGAACAGTATTCTATACCAACTGTAGAAACTATCATAGGTGGAAACAATCTTATCGGCTCTTCAACTCGAAGAACCCCACGCGTTCTTCGATGCCGATCTGACGGCGGTTGGGGCCTTGATGTTTAACGGAAAAGGAACCATCATCGCTGGCAGTATTATCACGTTACTCATATTCACTACAAAAATTTCCGACGTCAGTTCTAGTTAACCCGGTATAGTCTCACTCAGTTGTAACATAAACGTGTACGCAAGCTTGACGGGACGAGGGGAAATAAACTCAGATATCGAACTTAGCTTTATATCTAGGACGGGAGATTATGTCCGTCTTAATGCATTGCTCTTTGTAGCTACTCTTTCGGGTGATATCCCTAGCGCTGGAAGGCATAGGGCATAGGATAGGTATGCGGGTGAATCATCGAGCAACAACAGTACTAGCGACAGTATCCTCGGAATTAAGCCTGATTTACGTACCTGGCTCGAAGGAAACGTCTTTGAGATGGGTACCGATGTAGAATATGCCGATGCACAATTTATAGTGAATTCTACACCCTAAATTCGCGTGGTTAGCGACGGTGATGATGGTGTTGGTGGAGACCAGCGGGTCTCTTTTGATGCCTACTCGACTGGAATTTCCGATGATTGGGGACAAGATGATTCCAGTCGCCTCCTCGGTCTTTGTCGAGACGGGGTACATATTCACTTTAGGTGTCTCTAACCCTAGTTCTCCGCGCATAGCAGAAGCCTAGGGCCCGTACGTGACAATCAGCGGCGATGTCGTGACTTGCTCTACCAACTCCTCGACTAACATAGTATGCTTAGCTCCCAGCAATATGTCCAGTTTCGACCCAGACTGGTTTGAGCGACCCATGAACCGAGGTACTCATTGTGACGATAACAAATACAGATATTGACAGTTTGTGGACCTGCTTTCAAACCTATTGAAAAAAAGATGAAGAGGACCTCAAAACTCGGACTGAAACGGGCGAGGCCGAACTGTTTCTTATTATTGCTTCAATGGCAGCTCATTCTGCATCTATTCTCATTCATATTCGCATAGCCCAAAATGAGGTAATTATAAGCAGCCTCAATAAAAACGCACCTTGTTACCACGTGGCAAACATGGCGGTTTTACGTGGCTAGATGCATCCATGGCGGAGCAAATTTTGTAGCTGTAACATGTTGACCCATCTATGATCCTAGTAATATGATCCTTTCAAAAACTTTACAACCTTGTGGTCCATCCTCTGCTTGGTTTCCTTGCCTGCGCGAATTAACTATACTATTGACATGAAACCAGCCATAAGCATCTTTGGGACAATTGGAATGTAGGTTGCAAGCCACTGCACCTTCCGACGAGATACTTCCTCGGAGCAGCTCCAGCAAACTGACGTACAATTGGGCCCGGTGACAATGTTTGGATAGATCCATCAATGTGTTGGGACGAAGTACTTGGAGTCGTGCTTCTGACATCGGCGTACCGAACATAAATAATGGTTGACCCTTGCGTCGCATTAACACATGATATCTCACTTGCAAAGGCTGATATATTCGTTGTTGCAAAACAACAGTCTATTATCGCCGATTGCGTTTTGCTTTTTCGATCCGGGAGGGCATAAACCAGCAGGTAAGTTGCAAAAGGACGAGCCAGTGATGGTGAGGTTGTCGCATATAAGGCCAGCACCTTCTGGACAGCAGTTACCCCACATAGGCTAAGATTTGTCTTGTTAGTCGTTCTCGCCACTATACCGGACGATTTCTAGTCTATAAGACTGTAGGAAATGAGACTATGCCATCGTCAACACAGAGGCTACTTACAACTTATTCATAGCGCAACTAGCTTGTAGGGTATATAAAGGCCTGAAGGGCGCCCGCGCAGACCCAAGACTTCTGGCCACCGGCGCCCGGAGTAGGTGAACAGATGAGCTCACTGTCTCTGAGCGCACAATAGTTGCCTATAGGACAGCAGCCACTATTGGCATACTGCACAGAAGTAGGGTAAGCGAACATGGATGATTGCCGAGGAGCAGGTGCTTATCCTCGTCATCCAGGGAGGTTTGCGCGGCTTTTAGATCGTCCTCATCATACGTATTGTCGTCTGATAGTCCTTTGTGGCGTTCGTAGGAGTTCCGGGGCAGAAGTTGTCGTCGAGGCAATGCATGATAGCCAGCATCTCCGAGCGCTAAGTCGTTATAACCTTCAGGGTCTTGAGAAATTTCTGGCAAGTTAGTGTCGTCGGCAATGCATTGCAGAGTAGTGAGAGGTAGAATAGAGATAACGGTTGGCCTTGCCATGTTTTGCAAATACCTCATGCTGTGTAGAGGATAAACTTATAGAATTGTGGCAAGGAAATGTTAATTCTATTTATGTGTAAATATGGTTAACGTCGTGCATATAGAGAAGCATTCCTGTGGTGTGAGCCTGTCAAGACTAGTCTAGCTTAGATAGCGCTACTGCCTCAGCCTTAAATGAGATACCTCTACACAATCCGTAGGCTCTGAAAGGACGCTAGGGGCCTCCTCCATGGCACACCGCGATAACCTTGACAACTTAGATTTCTCTGATGGATGTCACGAGCAGAGTTGCTCACGTAATGTCGCAAGTAGCTAAATAGTAATGAAAACTTTCGGAATTATACCATGCTTTAATTCAAACATAGTCACTGCATTTCAATGTATGACAGTTTCTACAGTTGATATAGAATACTGTTTTAGTAAAGGATAGGTCTGATGTACTAAAAAGAAGAGCCTGAATCTACTCGAGCATATAATAGCGAATATAATGCTCGCATAAGCGTGGGATTGCAAGTGTAACGCTCTAAGCGTGAAATGATAGTATAGGTACTGTTAAGCAGTATATAAAAGTCTAAGTCCACAAAAGAGAATATTGGTATATAGAAAGTGGGTATATGCCTACTGGTTAAGTCACGTGATCACCACCTCCCAAGTTAGGTGATCCGAGAGCTCGTCGCCTTACGGAGTGCTCTCCGTGCACTGTGGCCAACTATAATCCATAATGCCACACAATGTATGGACTAGACCGGATTCATTAGATAGCATCCAAAGGCGGCGTATTTTTAGGTTCATGTAGGAACGAGTGCCTCACACCACGTGATAACTTGCCGAAAAAGTAAGGCATGTGTTGCGTCGTAGTATACTGGGTAATGGACGAGATAAGGATCAACCTTTCTGTTGTTCAGTAAGCGCCAGAAGCTTCAAGCTGTCTACACGGCCACACACACAGTGTAGAGAGGCCTCGGTGAAACCTTAGCAAGATGATCGATGAAATGGCGCCTACCACGGACTACGACGACCAAGTTTGCCAAGTTAAAGTGATCAACCGAACAACTTACCATATCTTCTCTACTACTACTACTACTACTACTACTACTACTACTACTACTACTACTACTACTACTACTACTACTACTACTACTACTACTACTACTACTACTACTACACTACTACTTGTCTTACTCTATGTGATGATTCTACTGATATAGACTAGATCCCTATTTGAATAACGGGCGCGATTTCAATCATCTCGTAGCCGGTGACAAGCGCACGGTCTAGTAGACTACTCTTGGTGGCATATTTACCTCAAGCGTACCGTGAGGATAATTCCTTGCTGAGTTGTAAACGAAGTGTGCAAGTAAATCTCACCAGAAGCGGAGCGCGACAACACGCACCAGCGTATTCGGAGTTCTGCTTTCAGAGTCACTGTTCCAATACCGTTTGCGTTGATATTGCCGGTTTTGTGCAATTAATTACGAACCTGGTGAACTAAGAGCTCGAGATAGAGATTTCCGTTTCCAGGGTCGCAATATTGTCTGAAAAGTCTCCGTACGGAGACTTTTCGGCGCTCATCACGGAAAGATATCACCTGCTATAAAAGCGCCATCCTCTACCAGAGATCTTCTTTGTAATCGTACCGATTCTTCTCTAATAAAGCTTAGAATAAAAGATGCTAAAAAAGTACCTAAAAGCTTGATTCGAAAATGAGTGCACCACTGGTCGACGTCCTAATACTCGGCGCCGGCCCAGCGGGCCTTGCGACAGCCAACGGCCTCGCACGCCAGCTGCACACAGCCATCGTTTTCAACTCTTCCAATTTTCGCAACTCCAACGCCAAACATATGCACAATGTGCCCGGCTGGGATCACAGGCCGCCTGGCGAGTTTCGGCAGAAGGCCAGGTCTGACATCCTGGCTCGGTACAGCACGATACAGTTCAAGGATGTCGAGGTCGTGCTGGTCAGGAAACTCGACACCGGCTACTTCGAGGCCGTCGACGCGGACAACGGCGTATATGTCGGGAAGAAGGTCGTCGTCGCAACGGGTGTGAGGGACATCATGCTGGATGTTCCTGGGTATAAAGAGTTGTGGGGAACTGGAATGTAAGTCCTTAATTAGTCTATACCCAACCTAACATCAGCCCTGTTCTCTCCATCATTAACCATCAGCAGTTTCCACTGCCTATTCTGTCACGGATATGAAGAGCGCGGACACGAGTCTGCCGGGGTATTGGCGATGGGACTTATGGCAAATCCGGTACACACCCCAGCCATTTCGCGCATGGCCTCGAGACTAGCATATAAAGTTAACGTATACACCAACGGCAACCCCGAGTTCGGCGCAGAGCTGCGCGAGCTGTTAAAATCCACAAAGAATTTCAACATCGAAAACCGCAAGATCGTCGAACTCAAGAAGAACCCCGCCATCCCTGGCGACGCAGGCGTTCTGGTGACACTGGAGGACGGAACCGTGAACCGGGAGGGTTTTGTGGCTCACGCGCCAGAAACCGTGCAGGCAAGCCCTTTTGCGGAGCAGCTTGGACTTGAGTTGGCGCCACAGGGACACATCCAGACTGTGGCACCGTTCAACTCCACGAACGTGCCCGGTGTCTTTGCAGCCGGTGATGGTGCCACATTTGTGAAAGCCGTGCCATCCGCGATCATGATGGGCGGTATGGCAGCGGTGGGTATCGCGCATACTCTGCAGGCCGAGGAAGATGTAGAGGATTGAATCCCTATTTCTGGATCGGCGTAATGTTACGGACGCAGCGGAGCACACGTGCGCTCAAATGTGGTCTCCCTTTTGAATATTTTGATGATGACTCACGGTGACGATGGTGTCGTGTGGACAGATTGCGAGCGAATGGACAGCGGGGGTCGAGAGAGCTTGATTCTAGTCATTCTTTGGAGATCTGTGCTATACGCCAATCTTGAGAAACTGCCCCCTAAAATCTCCAGCAATGCGAAGCAGGTAAGAGATTGGTCACAAATCCACGATCGACAGATTAATTAATGTTTGACCATGTATGCTTAAGCCAGGCTCTTTCAAAGTCTGTCCAACTGCCGATCAATGAAACATGGAAGCAAGATTCGTGTAATAGTCGAGATCTCGTGCTTGTGTCGGCTGCTGTACCAGACTTATAAGACAATGGTGACCCTTACATGGTGCGACCTCGAGCGCGCTCGTGATTTTCGCAGATGGTCGGAGACCCGCGTTCGTCCAGACCTTCACGCATCTGTGATTCTTCAGGCACGTCTCGGATATGGCACGCCAATTGGTCGACATATGACGCACTCTGTTAACCAGACATTTGGTCACGCAGAACAGCAATGCTTCCAATGAGCTATTTATATGCAGTCCAGGTATCACGAGTTCTACGTTCGACAACGATTGGCAACGGAGTCTTCGATCGATGCGGCAATGTACGGTGTAAGCAAACTGAGCGTACAGGGTTACGAAGTCAAGACTTGTTTGATGCAAACAACATGAGAATTCTCCATGATTGGTAGTTTTAAGAGACACGGCTCTTTGCAGCCTATAGATTGGCTCTATGAAGAGCGGAAGCAACCTCGTGTAGATAGTTCCAATTGCTCAACGTTTCTGGACACTTCCGATATGTGGTTATCTAGCGTGCAGACAATGGATAAGTAACAACACGACGCCATGCAGGAAGCATTGTTGTAGAGCCGTATACCTCTGTTGCTGATTGCTGTGAATCTTTATACTGCGAACGCGGCTTGCGCAAGACCTTTGCCGACAACATCCACAAACCTCTAAAATGCCGACTACCGACGTCAGCGAGCTGAACATCATTGCTATAACACTAGGTGAGAAGTACAATGGCTCACTAAGTTGAACCAGGAGAGTCTAATTGCCGATTAGGGACCTTCACTGTAGTCTTCGGATTGATTGCTTTCAAAATCAAGAATGTCTGGTATCTCGGCGACGCATGTTCGTTTCCCCTCACTGTCATTGATCGCAACCTCCCAACTTACGACTGTGCAGTGCCTTCTGTGCTGGTGGGTATCATGCTCGGACCTATTGCTGCAAGGGTGCTCGATGCCGACAGATGGATAGACTCGGACCTACAAGCCTTAGTGACACTCGGTATCATGAGGTTGATGATTGGCATTCAACTGTACGTATTCTTCTTGATCAGTTATGCAGAATGAGGACGCCGCAACGCACAAAGGGAAGAGAAAAGAAAATAGAAGAGCTGAAGCCGACAACCAAAATAGCGTCATTGCAGGCTACCAGCTCCCCAAGCGCTACTTGCGCTTCCGTATTAGAGAGATCCTTGTGTGCCTCCTGCCCATAATGACACTAATGTGGCTGGCGACAACGGCATGCGTGCTTGCGACAATCCCCAAGATGAGGATATTGCCCGCGCTGATAATTGCTGCGTGCGTCACCTCGACCGACCCCGTCCTATCACAGGCGGTGGCCAAAAGCCCCTTCTCCGACAAGTTTGTCGCGCGGCCGCTGCGCGAGATCATTTCGGCAGAAGCTGGTGCGAACGATGGCTTTGCGTCACCGTTCTTGATGCTGGGGATTAGTTTCATTCTGCAGATGGCGAAAAGCGACGGATCATCGCAGCTCTCGTCAGCGGAAGTTGGAGCTGCGCTGCGGTACTGGGTTGTGGAAGCACTTCTGTATACCGTGGCGCTGGCGATCGCCTATGGAGCTGTCGTGGGGTATGTTGGCAGGAAGGTCGTGGAGTATTCAGTGTCGCGGAAGTGGATTGATTCGGAGAGTTATCTCTTATTCCCGACCGCTTTAGGTGTAAGTCAAAGTCGCAATCCCGCTTAGGCAGCCTTTGCTGTTTAATTAACACTTTGCACAGCTGTTTGTTGTCGGGACATGCGGTGCGATTGGTACGAGCGACTTGCTCGCATGCTTCATTGCCGGATGCGCCTTGAATTGGGACGGTCGGTTCCATGCAGAAACAAAACGACGGCATGACGAGGTCAATAATTGCGTTGATGTGCTCCTGAGCTATGGCGGATTTATGTTTATCGGCGTGACTCTACCATGGGACCAATTCCATCAACCCGACATCACAGGTATAACCTGGGCAAGACTGATCGGCCTTGGCTTCATAGTGCTCATATTCAGACGCATTCCAGCGCTACTTGTTTGCTGCAAGATGATGCCGGCAGTAGTCCAAAACTGGAAAGAGGCCGTATTTATGGGATACTTTGGTCCCATTGGAGTCGGCGCTATCTATTATCTCGAGCATACACAGTTGATGCTCCTATCTCTCGGAATGGCAACGCAAGATGAGCAGGACCTGTTGTTGGCGCTGACGCCGGGTAAGCTACTGCAGTCCGACTTATAACTCACATCCCGAGCACATGATAAGTCGCATGCTGACAAGTCAACCTCGCAGTCGTGTATTTTCTTGCCTTCTTCTCGATTGTGGTGCATGGACTGTCTATCCCAGCATTGAATGCAGCGTATACATTCTGCGGCACTGAGCCTTTAAAGGAAGATGCCGAGCAGATCCGCCGAAGGAGTGTCTATGTCGCCACCCCGACAAACGCTATTAGAACGGAGGACGGCAGATTCATTGCTTTCAATCGCTTTGATCGGCCGGACGATGGCGAGGATTCTCATGTCAAAGTAAACATTCTGCCTCGTTTCCAGCGACCTAGTTATCTACCACGCGAAAATTCGACCAATGAGACACTGGCAGTTCATAGCAGCCTAGGAGATAGTGACACAGGGAAAGCAGGAGGTAACCGCATTGTGCGCCATGACAGCATGGAAGGTCCAAAAGGCGAAAGGCTTGTTTAGCAAAAAGGTGTTGACATTAGCGTTTTATGGTCTTAGAGAAAACATAACATAATAGTATGCCTCATGATTAATCAACTCGTTCTTCTATTGTACAACTAGACGTGGCATCACATCTTGGGTGAGTATCCTTGCCATCATTATCTGTGCTCGCGTCTTCAGACCTCAATTTCGATATCAGCACTACCATCTGCGTTCTCCTCCGAAGCCGGTTTATCGACCGATGGAGCAGGTCGCTCATTTGTGACGGGATCCTTCCAAGTAAGCATGAGGCTTTGGGGCAAAATAGTGTCGAATGTCGGGCGAACATCAAGGACCTTCTTAATAAAAGTTATGCCTACATTCAGTTGGCAGACAACCAACTGCATCTTCATGCCAGGCTGTACCTTCTCCAATATATCGTCATCCATAATGAATTTCTCCGTAGGCTTATTGGTCCAATCGAACTCGTCAGGACGAGGCATGTTGCTATAAGCATGCTCGATCATGTTAGGACGAAGTATCATTGTACCTGCTGGCATGACCTTGCCTGAGAGACCCTGTTCAGCGAGAAGCTTCTCTAACATAGCCTTCTCCTTCTTCTTTCGGCGGCCAACCGAGACAACTTGATAGGTCTCGGTCTTGGTGGACTCGATTCGGATGTTACGAGGATCGTCACCAACTGCTAGATGTTCGATGTTCTTCGTAATATCCATCACAGTCAAACGGAATATAATAAGTTGGGTGAACGGGTCAAGCTTCCTGAATCGATCTGCAGGATCTCGACTAAGGCATCGACCTGGGGTTTCGACGGCGGTGGTGCTGTCTATAGGCGAATCCTTGTTAGTCTCAAAGACACCTCCGTCACAGAACAGAAACTTGGCGGCGGTGTTGAAAGAGTCCTGAAGATCTCGAAACAGCTCGCGAGAATAGCGTGACTCGACTGGAGCGATAACGCATACGGACTTGGCGACAAGAAGCTGTTCATTGTACTCGGGACAGACATCGTGCATCTGAAGATAGTTCAGGAAGTTGTGAATGAAATTGCCCGCCTGCTCCATGTCTTGGAGGTAGCCTTCATCGCTTCGAGGGTAATTTTCGGGGACCCAGCGAGATCTCAATCTATTTAGTAAAAGCACAGTCGACGTATGTCTTGGAACTTACAGAAAGCCCTTCACGATGATGGGAAAGTCAATAGTCCAATCTCCTGGGTCGCTTGAATCGTAAAATTTGGAGCCACCGAAGCCGTAGTGAATGACATCCCGAGCCTTCATGGCACGGATCTCGTCGTTGGTCATAGTCTTGGCATCTTCGGCATCCAAGCCTTGGAACATGCGTTGGCAGCTCTCGATACCACCAAGCGCGAGGTACTTGTCAAAGAGATGGCTGCGTTGGTTGTCAAATCTTCGACTTTGGCGATAGCGTTGAACAGCTTGCTCAATGCGCTCAACAAATGACTTGTCCCTTGAGTACAGACTTTTCTCCTCTAAATGCTCAGCTGGTGTTGTAGGGGAGTCGGCGTAGAACTCCTCGAAACCAGTGATCGCGCGGCGGGTCTTGCCAGGTCTGTTGTTGCGCTTCTTCTTCTTTTTCTTCGGTGCCTCCATGGCGATAGGTTCAGTTATGGCAGTTGAGTTTGACATGTCGCCGATAGAAGCTGCACCTTCCTCGGTCTGGTCGTCCGCGAGGTTGGTGACAGCCCCAGCTTGCTCCTCGGAAACTGCGGCCGAAGCTGTTGCATTCATGGCCACAGACTGGCCTAGCAAGTTGTCGTCAGTGTCAGCCATGACGTATATGGCCTGAGACATCAGGACTTGACTCTTATACTCAGCCATTGCTGTAGGTTGTGAGCTCTGATTTGTGGTCTGTGTTAATGTTGATTGGGGTTGATGAGAGGTAAGGTTTGAGAAGGAACAAAGGCCAATTGAAATGGTGTGGTTGCCGAGAATCTCCTAAAAATGAGCAGCCACATCACATCAAGGTAAATGAAGAGTGAGATGTTTGCTACCGGTAATTAGACACAGCCCTTCCTCCAAACGTGCGATTGCGTTTGGTGGAGAGCTCGGTGTCAGTATCAGGTAAGCTAGGGGGTAGTGACAGATTATTGCCCCGGGAGAATTGATTGAATGGCAATGATAAAGTTACAAGGAAAAAAAATAAAAGGAAAGTGCATATGGTATCCAGTTTATCGCGGATAAGTGTGTTCTCGAAACCAGAAAATTAGCTATGGAGCTTGAGTCTCAACGACGTGTAAATGCTGTCGTTCTCATGTACAACGTATCCAGATCGTCACCTCAGCAAAGAGGCATCACTCTAACTATCATGTACTACCGGTAAATAATGTGGTAATGCTTAAACAACTCTGGGAATTATTCTGTTGTTTGCAAACTTGCAAAGTATCGGTATTTACTAGTGCAGCTTTTAGTATAATGGCATTGGTAGGCGCTATTGCCGACAAGCATGATGGTCCCCTATTTAATGGCAATCTAATCTTCCCTACACATATATTCACAGAGGTAGTGTTAGACCCATTTCCACAAGGTAGTGCACACTAATTGTCAAGGGCATTGCATAGTCGAAAACTGTCCAAATTATCGAAAGTCGTCCTCATCCACGTTAGTGCCCGGCCGGCTTCTCTTTACTTGGTTTATAATACTGGCCATCGGTGCCTCTATATGCTCGAGGATCCTTGGGCGGATATGTTCCAAGTCTAGCAGCTCTTTCATGGCGCCCGAAAGCATGCACAGAACGTTAGTGTAAGTTATAGAGTTATGCCCGTCCAAGTTGAGCCATATACTCGTTTGGATGGCCATAGCAGTGATTAGTGTTCAAATGATATTAAACTGCTGAATCACCCTAGATTGAGTGTTAGAAAGCTGTCGAAGCGCTTAACGCCTCTGCATGTCACTTAGATGACAAACAGCGATCCAGCTGTTTTCCTGGCGACCGTTTAGTGCTTACTAATTTCCATAGCCAATAGAGTCATCAAAGGCATGAAAATTAGTGGTTTATTGACTTCGTTGTTGTTCCACAAATTGCCCTGACATTGCATAATGCATGCACGGCAGCGGACCAACAGCTTGTCCAGGCAACAATGGGTATCCCAAAATGGATATAACAACGGTTCGTCAATGAAAGCAGTGATACGATCAAACGTCTCTTCCAAGATTGGTTTGGACACTGACTTCCCAGATGCTACGAATAACTCGAGTAGACTCTGCGGACCAACCAATGACCCCTGACCAATTTGTGGCGACCCGATCATTCCTGTCGACAAGATGATATCTTTGCGTGCGGACGACGTGTACTTAGAACTAGCTGTGTCGACCACTACACACTAGACTAGGTTAGTCTAGTCTAACCCAGTGGCTTTCTTGGAGCAGATCCGCGCCAAGCTTGTCAAAATAAACGGCAAGGCCTACCATTCGCATCACACGAGAACATGTTCCGCGCAGCCAGGGAGTGTCACTTATGAGGCTGCAATCTCCCAGAAGGATGAGACGGCTTTACTGCCTGCTCCATACGGCGGGATGACCTTCGAGCTCTACGTCGACAGTTTTCTCGTGCCTACTGCGGATGAAAAGATCACGATCTAGAGGAAGACTTGAATTCGCAGTTTTTCGTACTCGCGTACTACGATGTGTTACTAGCGAATATAGCTATTCTTTCCAAGGTGCGTGGTCTTGTCAAGCCAAGTGGCCTCATCATCAGCACCGCCAGCGGCAATACGCTCAGTCAATCGGAGCAGGCCTCTCTGGGCTTTAGGGTCCTGGACGTCGATACTGATAATTTGACGACAGTACAGACCACTCGGTCAGTTGGGGCCTGGCCGAGTTGCCGGCCGCTAAGAACGGAGACGTGCCCAAGCGCGAGTTTTGTGTATCTCATGGGACGACGTTTATCAGCCGCCTCACGCGGACCCGTCCACTGAATGACATTTTGGGAATGTCCGATACACCCGAGCCGGTCAAGTTCGCTCTAAGAGATCGCATTTTCGGCTGGGAACTCCATGGTAAAGTTGTCTTCAAGCAGCAGGATGACACCGCCAACGAAAAGGTAGAAGAGGGCCACGTTAAGACCCAGGTTCAAGGCAATGCCCTGACCAACGGAGGAGTATTGGTCATTACTGGCTCCGATTATCCCTTAGCCATGAAATTGGCAGCGTCGTGAGTCACCACGCAGAAAGTCATCAAGCTTTCAGCAGGTGCCCGCTCATGTCCTCCACAGGCCGAATGCCGTAGATGACAAGAGCTAGACAGCAGCCATGCTGGCATTTATCAATATAGGGCGGCTTATTCCATCCCATGCCTTATGGCAACTGGAAGACAGCTTGTGAGCTCAAGGTCTCTAGTGCCATGAACCTGTATTCCGTTCTGGCCGATGTACCGCTTGGCTTTTTCCTGATGACAAGTTCGGTGTTGGTTGTGCTCGGCACTCCTGGTCAGGGCAACTATGCTCCTGCCAATGCGGCTGCAGATGCTTATCTAGATTTTTTTTATAGCTTACCGCCGCGTACGTGCGGGCTCCTCTACCACAGCCTGCGTTCTCCTAATGGTGCTACGCATCGCTGTTGTGGCCGAGAACGTGGACCTTGGAGACATACTCAAGCCCAAGGGCCGGTACGGCATTGACGAAGAGCACCTGCTCCAGCCTTTTGGGGCCAGCATCGCCGCCAAGCGGCTGGAACCTGTCCCGGACCATGTCGTTATCGGCCTTGATCCGGCGCTCTGGCAAAAGGCCGTCCCAGACGGTGCGGCCACTGATAGCTTCTGGCTCAAGGATGCGCGCTGCAGCCACGTTGCCTCCTACATCGATTCTTCGAGGAACTCTGGCGCTGGAGCAGCACACAGAGCATCTTGGCAGCCATGAAGGCGGCGCCCTCTCCCGCGGACGCTGTCGTAACTGCGGTTGGGCACTTCAGGGAAAAGCTAGCGCGTACATTGCTCCTGAACGAGGATGAGGTAAATGCTAGACACAGCTCCATCGCAACATTTGACATAGACAGCATGATTGGAGTCGACCTAAGAGTGCCACCGCCTAGGCAATCCGTTTTCCGCAGTGGCTGGCACCGACGCTGATTATCAAAGGTTTTCGAAGCTCGTGTATGAAGCTAAAGGCATTAAAGCTTGAGAGATAAGCAAGGACACGATTAGTACTTGAGCTTGCGCTCATTACTGTCAACAAGCATTCAACAGAAAGCAAAAAGTTCTACACCACGTTCCCTTGTTAAACAGTAACCAACATATGACTCAAAATGGAGACTGGTCACATCACGGCGTCGTCGTGACCCGGTTACCTAAGTTAACTGGCCTTGATTTTCGTATAAACGGCGATACTGCCGCTTTCGTGACGACATGCTGCGCATGTGCTTGGTATATAATAAGTCTGGAGACAATAGATTCGATGGTGGAACAAAAGACTGAGCGCCGGGGAGAGTCAGCAAACAAGTCCCATATCGTGCGTGCCTTAGTGGAGGGGTTGCATATTGGCTGCAAAGCTGAAGCAAATAGTCTCGTGTGAAAGTACAGACCGCTTCTGCCGTATGTATGCCTCGTGGCATAGCTGTCGTATGCTGCTGACGCTGAATCGCTGCTGACAAAGTGCGTGTCTGACTGTGATGGTGGATGCCCTGACTTGATGACACACCACAGTTGCCCGATGTGTGTTTGCTGTTGCTGCGGCGAGCTGAAGGGGGGTTTCAGAGCCAATTATGAGGTCAAGGCAGAATGCGGTACTGAGTTGCAGTGGCTTAGCGCATCAGAATCGTTGACAATCCGCCACAATCTGTGGTGCGCTGCCTGGACCATTGGCTCGGAGCCGCTATAGCCGGCCGCTTCGAGCAGCTTGAGTCTTTTGATTGCGACGTGGGGTAAACTTCAGACTTCTAGGTTGGGCGCTTCTTTCTCACCATTGAATGCAGATGCACAGCTGGTCCAGCAGATGGTTGCTTTTGTCTTAAAACTTACCTCCGTATTGGCAGCTGCGGTTAGATAAAGATGTACTCTCCGCATGACTTTTTTTTTTTTTTTTTTTTGGAGGTGACGAATTGCGATCAGCTGCTCTTCGCTGGTGATGATATGACGATGTAACATTTGGCATTTTGGAAATTTCGTCACTTTCACGGATAGGGGATACCAAATTCAGGTTATTTGGCGCGGGCGCCATCTCAAAGTCAGAGTGCCGGTCCGTCTGTGCCTAAGATATCGACAGCTACCTACGTGGTACGTTTCGGGTGCCGTGTTTTCCTGGCTTTTGTGGCTTCTTGGATTGGGTATACATAGCCTGTGTAGGTCCCAAGAGCCCCTGAACAATGCAGGCGATTCAACTAGCCTACGTAAGTAATTACAGTTAGGTATGTAATTAATAGCTAGCACTATACTAGCCCGGGAAATACATGTAAGTCAGGCAAGATGGAGGCAAGGGGGGGTTAGCAAGTGACTATCTAACCTGCGGAGTAAGTACATAGTATCTTCTCCTAGGTACAGATCCGCTACGGTCCCTTGAAATGACAGGTCCCCTGTCAGACACTGACATTTTGGAAATCCCATGGCGTAACTTTTTCGAGATCTGATCCTTTTCTTCCATTTCGGATTCTGGGCTGCACTTCGCCTCTTCCAAGCGCAACATCAGCCAGGTCATTCCTTCCCTTATTTACTAACCTTGATTCCCCCATTCCTTTCTCTCGCGCGATGCGATGCACATTTACAACTAATTGAGGCCCGGCGAAAACTGTATTTTGTTTCTTTAAAACCTTGACGGCCAACAACGAATAGATCGAAGCCAACCAACTGGTTTTTGTTGGTTTGTCTTTGTCCGCCCGCATTTTCCCCTGCATTTCATCCATCCTTAAGTACGGATCCGTACACTGCATATGACATAGAGTGTATACCTCACCTCACCTCACCCTGGTGCCATTCCAAGCCTCAGCCTCACGTCGCCGGATGCCCTGAGAACAAACAACGATAAATCACGATATGACGGCGAGCTGAAGGAGTCTCACAATCTGTACTCCTTTTCTCCTCAGACTTTTCAACGCCACTATGGACCGCGAAATTGCTCCTAAGCTGCTATCTGCGGCCGCCACCTTCCCACAGACGAAACGCGCCCTGAGTGGTGATCGAGCGATGCCCAAGCGCGAAGAACTCAACGACTATAAATATGCCGTCGCCGGACAGTAAGACAGCCTTCTACCGCCTGGCGCATGCTCTTTTGCGGCGACTGACTTGTTATGACAGTGCTGGTACATTGTGCGACGCCGAGGGGAACTGTTCATCAAACCCTGCACCCAGTCGGAAATCCAGTTCTACGAGTCTGCTCACACACTGCATCCCGACTTTGCCGATCTGATGCCCCTCTACTATGGTAGTCTTTCCCTCACGGAGACTACGACAGATGAGATGATTCATGCCCAAATCCCCGGTATCGTCGCCAAGGCGGATGTACCTGAGGCTGCAAAAAAAGACGTCCAGGCGCATCTGCATCTTGATCAGAGGGCCACGCTAGTCTCGCCCGCTCCCGGTGCGGCTCCCGAACTCCATCGTACTGTCACGGATCCTGGGAATGGAGGAGATTGGGTCCCGAATAAGAGTCGGAAGATCACAACTGATAAAGCAGTGGTACTGCACAACTCGAGTTTCGGCTACAAGAAGGCCAACATCATGGATGCAAAGTTGGGATACGACCTCGCGGCCCCTGATGCGCCACAAGCAAAGAAGGACCGCTTTAGAGAAATCGCAGAAGCGACGACGCACAAAAATTATGGATTCCGTGTCGCGGGCATGCGTGTCTACCAAGGCACTCCGTACCTCCCCAAGGAGTCGGGCGGAGATGGGGAAGATGGGGAAGTTGTGAAGCAGGATGACGAAGGGTTCAAAATCTACGACAAATACTGGGGTCGCGACACAGTCAAGGATAATAACGTGCAGGAGATGCTTTGGAAGAACTTCTTTTTCATCGAGTCGGCTGGTATTGACGAAGAGCTGGCCAGGATTGTTGTACAGGCTTTCCTCGCAGATCTGGAGATGGTAGAGGAAGTTTTGATGGCCAACGAGAGTCGAATGTACTCAGCAAGTCTGCTGTTTGTCTTTGAAGGGGACGGCGAAGCTCTCAGAGTTGCCATGGAGGAGAAGACAGCCCTTGCACAGAAAAGAGAAGAGGAACGGGAGGCACGCAGCAATGCACGATCGTCAGTACTCGACAAGGTCACGGAATCTGGACCATGCGCTAATCTTCGTATCGACAGTGGCATTGGCATGGATGAAGACGGCAATGCCGTTTTCAATTCTACCATCGCAGACCTAGTCTACGAAGATGGGTCGGATTACTCAGACGAGGAAGACTTTTCGACGGAACCCTACATCTACAGTTTGAAACTCATCGATTTCGCCCATGCGAAATGGCATCCTGGACAAGGACCGGATGAGAATGTACTTCAAGGTGTACGAGGTCTCATCAAACTTTTGAAGCGAATGCTTGATTGAGACACATGGGCGTGCTTTCAATAAGTGCTCCTTACATTATGTTACACGGCAGAAGAGATTCTAGTCGCTGTCGCTGGGGAACCGGCGTCTACCACGCAACGTATAATATCAGGTAGAGCAAACAAGAGGGTGAGAGTGTGGGTGAGTGAGTGAGAGGAGAGAGCATTGTCAATGCATTTCCCAGCATACTGTTTCTCCGCGACGCATTGGAAAGGGAAGAAAGAAAAAGACAATAACCATGGCAGGACGCATTTGCATAAGGCAGTGGGTGAGAAAGGCCATGGCTCTTCATCACATTGGCGCACAGGGGTTAGACATAGAAACACCCTCAAAGGACTTTGGAGGGAGTCTGGTAGTTTAGGCGTTCTTTCATGACGACAATGACAATCTCATACTTTCGGCTAGTACTGTGCACCACTTAGATATGTGACGTATAGTATGCTTTTTTTTTTTTTTCGTAGAAATGATGCATGGCCGGTCAGATTGAAATGTGGGCAAGTCTTCCCTGGTGAGTTGACCTTGTCGTTGCTCTTTCTGCTGCTCTTCTTGTTGCTCTGCTTGCTGCTCTGCTTGCAGCTGCTCTGCTTGCTGCTCTCCTAATGTTACTGCCATTGTTACTGCCGCAATTGCTTGCATGTGACACTCGAAAGTCGGGCGTCATCGTTGCAGTTGTAATTAGTTGCCGATCAGCACAATTACAGTTGTAACTTAGCTAACCTTAGTCTAGACCAGGTACTGTACTAACCTGACCTAGGAACCCAACCCACTGCAGCAGCTCCCTTAAAAACAGCCTCGCCCCGCCATGCAAGGCTACACGCATTCTCAATTAGCACAGCAGCAACAACAAACTTCTGAGCAAGATCACAACAAAGGATCGCGATGAAGTGAGCTGATCATGTCGATTCCTGGCTTGGGTCAATTCGCCCCGGCGGTAAGTACTTGCGAAGCACTACAATCCCCTCTCCAAATACCTCGCTGCTGACGAGTGATCAATTCAGTCAACGCCGGCAAATTCCGCTACTCCAGCCTCGTCATCGACGACAACCACCATTTCGCTGCAGCCGTTCTGGGAATACCGTTTCGAGGTATCCTTCTCTTCATCGTTGAACATTCGACTGCTATCTGGGACCGCTGAGAAGGATGGTTCTGAACTCGCTCCCAACGTAACATACACCTTCAAGGGCACCAACTCCAAGATCAACACATGGCAGGGCTGCCAACTGGAGGTCAGCCCCGACGGCCCCGGTCCCTACAATGCCAAAGTTGCCCAGTTGACGGCGGCAGACACGCCGCTAGTCTCATATCTAAACCTGCATATGAAGTTGGAAGGATTTCGAGCAGCAGCGGCCGCTGGCGAGAACAGTGACTCCATGGGTCCTCGTGTTCTCGTTGTAGGACCAACCAGTAGCGGCAAGACGAGCGCCGTCAGGATGTTGGCAAGCTGGGCTACACGTATGGGACGACAACCACTTGTTGTCAACACAGACTCCACGCAGGGCATTTTGAGCGTGCCGGGCACTTTGAGTGCTGCCGTCTTCGCAACACTGATGGACATCACCACGGAATGGGGCGGAACACCAAGTTCCGGGCCAGCGGCTGTGCCTGTCAAGCTTCCCCTTGCGTACTACTACGGGCTGGAGCAACCAGAGGGCAACGCGAAGCTGTTCAGAAGTCTGCTCAGCCGCCTCGCCATGGCTTCCACCAGTCGCCTGTCCGAGGATCCTGAGGTCAGGAACACCGGCATGCTGATCGATACGGGCGCCGTCAATGCTACAAACCCAAACTATGATCTCCTTTCACATATCGTGAGCGAGTTCTCCGTCAACATTGTCATTTGTTTGGGGTCAGACATCATTGCCGCCGAGTTGGAAAAACGCTTCTTTGGATTGAAGACTACGCTTGGCGAGGACATTGTCGTTGTTGGGCTGGACAAGAGCAGCGGCGTCGTTGAGCGCGATTCAACTTTCATGCGGCAGATGAGGGAGAGGACTATTAAAGAGTATTTCTTTGGAGATGCCAAGAGAACACTCAGTCCTGGTACACAGAACATAGCCTTCGAAAGCGTAACGGTCTGGAAGGTAACTGAAGGTATGTTTGCACGGCTCAACTCTTCCAGCTTAAATTAGTTTTTTTCTCTCCGTGGCACGAATACTGACTTCATCACAGCAGAGTCAACCTCCGACAGCGACTACTCCTATGACCCCGGTGCCACGACTGTCTCGCTTCAAAAAGTTGAGCCCTCAATGATGATGCTCAATTGCACATTGGCCATCATGTACGCGAAACCTCGCGATTCCTCAGAGGCTGTATGTGAGGCCAACGTCATGGGATTTGTCTACATTACCGATGTGGACGAGACGAGGAAGCGACTCAAAGTTTTGTCTCCTGTCAATGCCAGACTTGGAGATCGCCCATTGTTATGGGGCAGCTGGCCAGAGCCTATGGTCAGTCTTCTGGACTAGAGAGCCTGGAGACAGAGATGACTTGATTTGGCAAATACTCTAGCTACCCCTAGCTTTGTTTGGAGCCCGGTACTGGCTTGATATTATTAGTGTTGTGTTGCCAGTAGTTCCGTATGGTACAGAAAAGGATATTCCCAGATGGCTTTGGGAGCTATATCAAGCCAACATTTTCCGAAATTAATCGCAGAAGCCACCGCAGAAGCCATAACAGCATATTGTATCATTTGGCTGTATCGCTCAAGAATCCCATAGGTGCATGAACTCAAAAGACAACCCGTTCCTTCAAGACACTATGACCAGATCAGCTCCGGTGTCAGCTTGTACATAGACCCGCATGAAATGCGTTCTAGTGGCGGTGCAATCATACGTGACTATACACAGTTTTCATCCATCTGAATAGTCGTAGGATAGACTATTTCCAGGTCCATCGCGCGAGGTCCATGTTTCTTCAATCTACAAACCTTGGTGCGTAACTACACAAAATGACTTCAATTTCCGTTCAGCCAACCACCTCATCCGGTCGCATCTGCGGCACATCTCACACCTTTCACCACACCTCTCCCCAACGCCGAGATTCGAGAGAATATTGTCATTGAAGCATTTCACCATTCTGACTCCAGATATGCGGAACACGCTGGGAAGGTTCACCTCTCGACATCTCGAAAGATGCGTTCATTAATCGGGTGAAAAACTGACAGTGTGGAGGAGAAACGGCCTGTATCGTTCCGCATCGAAACGTGCGTACGTTTTAAGGTTCCTGGCTCTAGGTATTGGAGCACCAGGTAGAGTTAACAAGGCGGAGAGTCTCATTTGTGGCTCTGGCCCGGCACACAAGCCGAATTAACCGCGTTCTACAACGTATCGTTTCGGATGGCTTGATTGCTTCATACCTATTGTAGAGGCGCCAAATAAGGTATTGTTCAATTTCTTAGTCTATATTTCAGTCTCATAGCCGCGTGCCGTTCCATGGAAATTGCCTCGCTTGCTGTGAACTTGTATAGTCTTCATTATACTATTGCCAATAACCACAATCAATCAAAGGTCCGTAAGTCTGATTGGTGGAACAACATGCGCTAGCTTCGCTACTACCATAACGGCAGCGACATGGAGCCTGCATCTCAGTGGGTTTCGTCGCGACATGATACCCCGCAGGCCATTGTATACTTGACAGTAAGGATCGTCTAGCTAGTACAACCTTTTCCCAGCGCATTGCTTTTGTGGTTGAGCCAGCAAACACCATAGACTTCCTCATTCTGCAATCGCTATTGGCCATCAATTTCTGCCCGAAATATATCAGTTAGCCAAACTCAAATTTGCAACTATGCCATCATCTCTCGACATGGGTGCCGACACAGCATGGTCTCTCTATGACGGCAAACCGCTAGATGGCGCATTCGAACTTGAGAACCCAAATAGTCCACACGACCAAGCCGTGGTGAGCAAAGTCCATCGTCCATATCTCTTCGGGTTTCAAGCCAAGAAGGACAAATCAAATGGCCGCTCAATCCTCATCCTCGGCGGCGGCGGCTACATCCAGCTCATGGCCGGCCGCGAGGGCGTGCAGGTCGCGCAGTGGTTGACGGGTCTCGGCTTCGATGCATACGTGCTCGTGCACCGGTTCCCGAACGTGGAGACCGGACCCCAGGCGCCGCTCGAAGATGCGCGGAGGGCGCTGAGTCTGATCGTTGAGAAACGTGGCGAGTTGGCAGCCGCAAACAATGGTGGAATTAGTATCTGTGGCCTCTCGTCGGGTGGTCATCTGGGCGCTGCGTTGTTGGCTGAGTATCCGTCTGCTTGGACGTCGCCGGTGTTAGAAATACCGAAGCCGGAGTTCGCCATTATAGGTTATGGACCCATCTCGACCAATGCGAAAGGTCGCACAGTCGTGCTTAACAAGGCACCGTTGGACCCGCCCGCGAAGCAGGAGCTGTACAATGTCGTGCAGCCGGATGTGCAGATCGCGACGGGTCCGCCGCCAACGTTCATCGTGTATTCTGGCAACGATCCGGTGGTGCCGGTGGCAAATGCGTACAGGCTTGCGGAAGGCATCACAAATGCGGGTGGACAGGTCGAACTGCATGTCTTTGCGGATGCGCCGCATGGGTTCGCATTGGACACCAAGGACTTGCCGGTAAGCAGGTGGCCGGAATTGTGTGAGGCTTGGTTGAGACAGGGTGGGTTCTTGAGCTAGCTTGCTGGCATTGCCGAGAGATACTATCTCCGACATACTTCTTAAGTAGGATTGTTGCAGCGCTAAGCTGCATATGTTTCGTAGCATGGATGAAGCATGCATGGCTGCATGCCAAAATCCGCGGGTCAATCTTCGCCTATCGTACGCAGGAATATATTGCGAATAGCGATGGACTTTGTCACGGCAGGGGTATAGCTTACTAGCTGGCCAGCACTAGCCGAATACCAATATGTTGATTAGGTTAAACCAAATTATTTACATCACCTTCTGAAATCTATACTTACCTATACCACTAGATATCAAAAGCCTTATGCCAACTGCAATGTTTTTCACGATCATTAATTGAGCGCTACACTAGAAGATATGGTTTGAGATAACCACTGCGCCTGGTCCACCCAATAATTCGTTACGTGGTTGTGTAACATTAACGAGTCGCTATTCATGTTCTTCTACGTTTTAATACTAATTGAGTTTTGGCTAAAAAGTTCTTTGCTGTAAATCACTTAGTGTTAGTAACTAACGAACTGCAGTGAAATGTCAAAAAGTTTTGTTTGACTTATCTTGCCATACTTCTCTATTGCCTACATCAACCTGATAATCAATTTTTTAACATCATAGTTTTGGCTTTGCTACTTCCCATGACCGCAGCTCTCCAAGAAGCCTCTGAAACTTCTTTGTCCTACGAGAAGAAAGCCTCATTAGCGCCATCCGACTTTGATCCTAGTGTATGATCGTTTGAATTTCCAGCCAATACTTTTGTCACCAATCGCATATTCAAGAAAGCTAAATGCCCTAACCGTGCCCACCCACTTTTGCACGCACCCCCTTTTGCACGCCGATTTACCGACGTTTCCTCAAACACACTGATAGATAGATACAACAACTGCCAGCCATAACACCATGAAATCAATTCAAATAAACTATCTCTAGGTTATTTACGTGTCCGCTTTCGCGTGGAAGGTTGTATTTCGAGGAACGAGTCAATAGGGACTTGTTCATTGCGTTGTAGCTCAGGCATCTTCCTTTTCAGCTTGTCTTGCGCTGGTCTGATCTCTGCAACACTAGCAAAGACCTTATTCGGGTCTTTTCTAACTGTTTGACGTTTATCAGGCTTGTGATTATCTAGTTCAGCTTGCAAATCGAGGTTTGCTTGACGTGTTGTTGCTAGTTCTGCGAGCGCCATGTCAAGTGACTTAGCACATTTCCCAAGCAACTCCCTTACGTCTCTAGAAGTTTGCGAATGATTGATGGTAACGTCCCTAATTTGAAGTCGAAGGTCCTTACTATTATGAGGAGTAAACAGACCAATTTCAGCTAGATCTGACTCGTTTTGTGGTGTTGTAGGTTGAGTGTCAGGTGATGGTGGGAAGAACTCAGGGTCACCTAACACCATTAATTCATTTAAGGGGTAAATACCCGTTTTGGCCCAGCCGCTTTCGATAATTTGTTTCGTAAAAGCAAGGGCACAAGCTTTATCATAAGCTTTAAGCATCCGTTGCTTGTTAACGGGCCCAGTAGCTTGAATACCACGGTATAGGCTTATTAGCCTATGGTAGTGGGACTTCAACGATGAGAAGACCGTCTTGTCAAGTGGTTGGAGCGCTTCGCTTGTGTGTGCTGGTAGGTATATCAAGGCAATCCTCTTCCTGAATGCCCTTAGCATGAACCCGGGTGTAACATGAGTACTGTGGCCATCGAGGAGGAGCATCCTCCATGGGTTTGGGCAGTCTGGGGACTCTTGTGGTCTGGTTTCTGGCTCGAAGACCTCTAACAACCATGACAGCGCCACTGCTGAGTTGGTCCAGCCTTTAGGGGTCGCTGTATACTCAGCTTCCTCAAGATCCTCAGGTAACCATTGTGCTTGTAGTGTTGTTCCTCTTAGTATATACGTATTCGTTGTTTTCAACCCGATAGCGTTGATACTATGGATAACTGACATCCATCCAGTTGCTGGGTTTTTCGCAACGCGTGAACGACGTGACCTAGACGTCCCGATGACTGTGCCTTGACTTTGTTCGGCTTCTTGTACACCTGTTTCATCCATATTATAGATGTCCTTTGGTAGGATCTTATAGGTGTCTTTGACCTGTGATATATACGTGTAAAAGTCCTTTACGGTCTGTTTTTCAATGCCTTTGACCCTCTCAGCGTCAATTACACGTCCAACCTTAGTCTTCAAGTGTGGGTGGCGGCTAAGGAACTTGTATACCCAATTGTATCCAGGGGTGACCGTATCGTCGATTTCGCCGATACCAGTCATGATATTAGCCGCTATTTGTCGCACCATATTCGAGCCCGGAGCGCGTCCACACAATTCCTCATGTAAAATCCATTGCTCAAGCTCCATTTCTTGCAATTCAGATAGGTTCTTTGACGTTTCGTGGGCTGAGGAATGTGGTTGCGACCCGTTAAGTCGTCGCGACAAAGTAGACCGTACGATACCGAAAGCTTTGGCTGCGCGCGTTATCGTTTCGCCGTTTCGAACCAAACTAATTGCTTCTGCTACATCGCGTTCATTTAGTTTACCCATATTGAAAATATCAGATCGATAGGATTACAATTGGTTGAGTTCTAGCATTTACAAGAAAAGCGTGGTGTTGTTGACGCGTCGGAAGATCGGCGTGCAAAAGGGGGTGCGTGCGAAAGTGGGTGGGCACGGTTAATTAAGTACCTCCATCTGATGACATTATAATCAGACCCACAACAGTCATGTAGTTTGCACATAAAAATTACGTTCCGCTGCTTCTATAATAGGCACCTTTATAGGTTTTTTCTCTATTTTCATTGTAAATCTATCTGGAGATTTACAACTACTCGCTATGTAAACATGTATCGTGCATCTAATTGATCTCTAACGCACCGTTTTAATGTCCAAAGACTCTAGTTCAGCCGCCAAACACCTCCAACCTGCGACCCGGGCGTGTGGTGATGGCTTATTACAGCGAGTGCAGTGAGACCAATCCATATTTCACAGAGTACTTAAGTCCCGTTGAAGCTTTTTCTACTTCTCAATTGTTTTTCTACTTCCCTTTTCCTTGATACCTATCTCCAGGGTTGGCAAAAGTGGAGGCTGTATTCATCGCCGCACTCGACGTTCTAGGCCAAGGTATATGTTCTTCTTTGGCATTCACCAATCAACCCTAATATCCTCCTTCTTTCAATCCCCCCCCCCCCTTGGGACCCTTAAGCTCTAACGGTCTGTCACGCAATGGGTGGCTCTTCTAGAAAGCCTTAGCTTGTTGGATGCCATTCAACTGCCCTCAATATGCCAAGTGTTATGCCAAAGGCCACCCTTGCAGTTTCAACGGATACAAAGAGCCCAATATAGTATTTGATGTCAGCCTCATTGGAGAAACATACCCCTTCGCATAAGTTAAAAGACCACCAAATGAAGAGCTACAACATGCTACGTTCCATGAGATGGGTTTGTCAGCAACGGCCACGCCAAGCTTTCGTACGACACGGGCTACACTCACGGCCGACGAGAGAAACGGCCGTGGTGGTCAGAAATTATTTCAGGTAACTTCTGCAGCTCGGCCGACAGATGGACGGTGCTGATGACGGTGGCCAGGCTAGTATCGAGGAGGGACAGAACAAGATTGTCATAGTTCCTGATCCTCGCCAGTCAGCTCAGTACCGTATCACCTGAAACAATTCTGCGTGTTTCAAACAGCAACATTGACGCCATGTTAATGGAGAAGAGGATTTGAGGTTGCATGAATGGCAATGGAAAATGGTCGCATACTTGACCTTGAAAAAAAATTTTCTTGAAGCCGCCCATTGGGGGCGCACTATCAACAGCGTCGATCGACTAACCCTGCCATAAGTGTATCAAGGGTCAATTAAAACACAGCATTAACGAAGATATACCACAAACCATGAATATGACAAATGTCCTTTTTCTCTTCAATTCGCTCCACCCTTCCCCCTCCTCATCACAAACCACGAAGAACCAATGGTTGTCGTTATTTTAGATGGGCTTTGCCGCTTAACCCCAGTCACATAGTCAAGATGAAATATGCGTTAAATGGGTGCAACCTACAAGCTTTTGCTAGTCTGGGAGACCACTTGTCACATCCCGAGACACATTATAGCATCCTTGTACCATGCAAGGTATTTAGCAAGAAAGAATTGTATAGTATGGGGCAGTTATGTTTAAACGCAGCGGGAAGCGGTGCGTCTTACAATAACAACCAACTCTAGGATCACACAGAACGTGAGGCGTTTGTCTCCACCAAAATTTCAGACACCTGGCCGATTTATGGTATAATTATTCATTTGAGGTTCTTGATCGGTTCTATAACATAAGTTTTTACAAGCAAGTTTGTATAAGATTCTTCGGGCGAAAGTTTTCGTATCCAGTAAATGAGAATGATTTTCAAGTGGAACTTCCATACAAGTGTACACCTTCCACTTAACCATAGACGAAAAAATCATCTACCTGAACGAGAATTTTAACAAATTACGCACATATACATAATCTAGTAGCGGACAACGATCTTATACGGGAAACGTTCCTATAGGTGCAGTCGGTTTACAAAGTGCGGACCTGCGTTTGGGCACTTAAAGGTCCAAATCCTCCAATCACCGGAACTCGTTGTGGCCGCAGAGTTGATCTCGCGAAGCATTCCAGGTAAAATTAAAAGAGTCTCTCCGCAATACGACATCAATCACCTCGCTTATGCGTGTTCTCCTTGTTATAGCCAATGGAAGTCAAGTAATGGGGTAGCCACGGACTGGAAGACCCGGATTTCCGCATTTGGATATTTCACTAAATCCTCCCCCCCAACAACATATATCGTAAACAGCGCGGAGATTCAATCTGTGATGTGGCCGATTAAGTGTCAATTTCCATTCATTGGCGGTGCTCAAAGATGTCCACTCTCACGAAATTGCTCGCGCTTGCAAGCGTCGCAACTCAAGCCGTTGCCCAAACAGCTATCACGGTCAATGCGGCTGCCAAGTACCAAACGATCAATGGTTTCGGCTTCTCCCAGGCTTTTGGAAGAGCCAAAGAATTTCAGAATGCCGATGCGACAATGGCAAAGACAGCGCTGGACTATCTGTTTGACACGACCACTGGAGCTGGATTCTCTATCATCCGAAATCGCATCGGCTCGAATGGAACTGGAGACAGCATTGAGCCAACTAGTCCAGGCTCTGCAACCAGCACTCCGACCTATGTTTGGGATGGTGATGATAGCGGACAAATTTGGTTCACCAAGCAAGCTGTCAGCTATGGCGTTAAGACCATCTATGCAGATGCGTGGAGTGCACCTGGATTCATGAAGACAAGCGGTAGTGATCAGCTTCCTGGGTAAACCAGCCCCTAAAATGTTCCGTGTAAGGGCTATACACTCATACTCATTAGATATTTATGCGGTACTACCGGTCACTCATGCAGCACGGGAGACTGGAAGCAATCCTATGCCGACTTCCTAGTTCAATATGTCAAATATTACGCCCAAGAAGGTCTGAAGGTCACACACCTAGGCTTCTTGAACGAGCCAGACTATCAAGTGTCCTATTCGCAGATGCAAATAAATTCCAACGCATCAGATGCGATTGAATTCATTCCAGTCCTATATCAAACCGCACAAGACGCTGGAGTGGATATTGAAATAGCGTGTTGCGATTCTCTTGGCTGGAATACAGCTAGCACGTACACCAACGCGTTCCTAAACGCCGGAACCACGGAATACTTAGGCGTGATCACGTCACATGCCTATAGCTACGATGCCAAGATTCCTATAAACCAGACCGACCTGCCAAAGTGGAACACGGAAGCCGGCCCATCTTCCGCATTCGTAACCACCTGGTACAGCAGCGGTGCCGACAACGAAGGCTTCACTTGGGCCAATAAGATCGCTGTCGCTATGGTCAACGCACAGCTCTCAGCGTATCTGTTCTGGGAGGGTTTCGAAATCCAGGAGAGCCAATCCGGCGCGCATCTCGTCGACGCGATTGATGGAGTAAATCCGACGCCGAGCGGGATCTTCTGGGCCTTCGCCATGTGGTCGCGATATATTCGCCCGGGCGCAGTCATGCTTGGCACGTCTGGCAGCATCGCCAATTTGATTACTGGAGCTTTCCAAAACACGGACGGAAGTGTAGTACTGGTGTTTACCAATAGCGGCACGAACGAGCAGAGTGCAGCGGTATCTTTCAGTGGCTTTACAGCCGGTAGCGTGAGCGCTTGGCTCACAACCCAGGGAAATAATTTCGCAGCTACCGGTGCGACCCTTTCGGGTGGCAAGGTAACCATTTCTGTTCCGGCAAAGGGCGTTGTCACCGTCAAATTGACCACTGGGTCATCTGGTGGCGGTAGCACCACCACGCTTGCTACAAGTACTACCTCCAGCACGCGAACGAGTTCAACAACCTCATCGACTGCTGCGGCGACAACAAGTGCTAGCAGTTGTACTGTCGAAAAATGGGGGCAATGCGGTGGACAGACTTATACTGGCTGTACAGTCTGCGCGACTGGATCGAGCTGCACTTTCTCAAACACTTATTATTCACAGTGTTTGTGAATAGCCAAGCAGACCAGCGAAGCCAGGAAAGACATAGGCCACATGGTGAAAAAACTTCAAGAGGAGCATATTGAAACATTACAAGAGGGCACCGTATCCTCCAGTATCTACCATCTGACCATAACGCCATGCAAAGCAAACGCAATGAAGGTCAAGTATGGATCATTCAATTACCATGATACTTCTGCGATTCAACGGTTTATCGAAACACGTGGGTTCTTTTCCAACATTGAATGCTTGAACATAGATTTCGGGTTTCATAAGAATTACTTTTTGTTCATTCAAAGTTGTCTCAACAGCAAGTGTCGGGAGATCGTGTCGCCGCCAAGCTGATGATGTGTGGCATTTGCTCCAGGTATGACATCCTCGAGTCCAGTGTAAAAACAACACAACACGTTGACACACGAACTAGCCGTGCATACCACCTTCACATGAATACAAGAATAGGGCAGCAGATTGTTAGGGAGATACTCTATTGAAGTGTATCGTTGGTTTTATTCCCCTTTCTCTCTGCCTCAAACAAACAACATCATTATCGTTCGACGGTGTTCTCCACCGCTGATGTTGGTGGCAAACATTGCTTCCACCGGTTCCGTAGAACTTCCACTATTCAGGTTCTCGGTTTTATTTGTATTTCAATGAGCCCTATAAGATGGCACCGCCTTCCTCTGCCGAGTCGTCGTAAATCGTTTCCGAAGGGCTCTTGCATTGAGCAACAAAAGACTTCTCTAGACAAGCTTGTCTCGCTTAATTTGGTCGTGGGATGTTGTGGGCCCAGCACCGCCTTCCTCAACTGCAGCGTCTGTCGGTATAGCTTTTCTGCCTCCGCGCCCTTCTCTAAATTCCCAAGAACATTCACAAGAGAGTTAATTGCCCGGGACAGTACGTACATGCATACGTAGAGCATGACAGAACCCGTCAAACTAACCGTATTGCGATCCACTTCAGAAAATGTATAGATGCAGATAGATGTGGGATGCTTGTAAGTGGACAGTCGGTTTTGAACTGCGCTATCTGGGCAATGTGACCGTCTATCCTACCATCTGCTAACTGCTCGTCCTTTAGGCAAATTCAACTTAGAATGCGTGACAATCACATGTTCGAGTACGTCGTTGTTGCTTGAAGGATGCTGACAGGACGTTTGGGCGGAGATTGTTGCAAAGGGCGGCCGTTGTGAACTACAGTATAACCTAAAACCATTGTAAATAAGCATTGCCAAGGAGGAAAGATTACACCTCTCAGTGTAGCGAATGTTACTCAAACCTGCCTCGAGTTCATTCAATCAGAGTACAGAATTGCGACACATGTGTGATGCGACAGGCTTCGAGTCTATCCATTGACTGTTCGTTTGTCCAGTTTTGTATCATCAGATGGCTCCAAGCCGTAACCTCACTGGAACTTCTAGCCGCACTGCCGCTACGGATCTATGACAGAGTGAAAGCGGGGTATTCAACTTTTACCGCCAGTTCTGTGTGGAAGGGCGTCAGTTGACTGAAGATTTAATTCTGGAGAACTGTATGCCGCCCAACCCTTTCGAAATTACGGACCACGGCATCCATTAACAGACAGTTGTTTCGTGGCGCTCATAGAATTTGAATTAGCTGCGTCGAAAGCTGCGTCCGGGATGGCTACTTCAAGCAAAGACCTAGTCATCATAGATGTTGTTAAGCAAAGTGAAGTGCCAGTACCATGGTGCGATGAATTCGAAAAGATGATCAGTGGAATGCAGTTCGTCGTCCCTCTTCATATATGCCTTGCGAATCGTTGCTTTGGACTCTCGGCCATACTTGCAACTTTTTACTGCCTTAGAATGTAAGTACACTAACATTGCTGCTTTCGACGATACAGCTTTTCAGCCGGCAAAGTTCAAAAACTTGTCCAACACAAGATTGCCATGATGAGACAAATGCGGTTGTTCAATGATGAAAGCATTCCCGATGATGCCACGTTGTCGTCTCTTACGTCGCGACGGATGCTCATAGCCAGAGGACTTCTTGGGAAGCTTGGCGCAAATATCAATATCGAGCCGCCATTCTTTCTAACGTGGGGGTGTAATATTTTTGTGGGCGATCAAGTATATATCAACCGCGGGTGAGAAATTCTCCTTCTTGCGAAACATCGTCTGTCTGATTATTCTCTTGGCCTATCATATGTCAATTCGACCCATAGAATGCCATGGTCTCCCCGAAGTCTTGCTTTTGCTACCGATTACTTACCCTTTTCTCAGCGTCTCCATCTACGACAACGCGCCTGTGACGATTGGCGACCGTGTTCTCATCGGACCCGATGTATGCATCTGCACCGGGACGCATGACGCCCACCCACAAGCTCGTCGGGAAGCCCATGGTACATCATTTGCATTGCCAATCTGGATCGAGTCAGATTGTTGGATCGGAGCACGTGCGACTATCTTGCCCGGTGTTCGCATCGGACAAGGTGCGACAGTTGCAGCTGGCGCGGTGGTAACGAAAAACGTCGAGCCTGGGTATGTAGTAGGTGGTGTGCCTGCCAAGGCCATTCGAAAGTTTGATAACATTCAGAACCACGACTGAACGATGGAGATTGATCGGTGCCCAACGGAGCCTGGAATATGCCTTTCAGCTGCTGACAATCGGGTTGCTATTGTTCGAGTAAAACATGAATTCATTTGTAGCAAAGGCAGTTCCTGGCTATCCGCGATGACCACGGCCTGCGATGGATTTGTTGTCTACATTTCGAGGCTGCACTTTTGCGTGGTTCACTGTGACAATAGATTTCATATAGTTGGTGCAATCGTTGCACTGGTTTATTGCGCGAACGACAGAAAGCGTGTGCTAATCCCACACTTGCTAGGGCGCCAACACTGAAGCCATCAGAGCTTTCAATCCTTCGGTGAGAAGTCTCAACCATTCCAATCGCTCCTCAAACTGTTCAGCGACAAAATACGGGTTGTCTCTTGGGATAAGTGTCCAAGATTTGGTGAGACAAGTAGCCCTTTGCTCTGTTTGAGTTGGTAAGCCTGGAAAGTCCCTCATTGTGCTTCTCCAACATATTATAACTACTCACTTAGCTGCTCAGTCGGTGGAAGAAGCGTTCACCTACAGATAAGCATATATCACGGTCCTTCCCGAGGAACTTTAATCATTAATCACTCCTCTTTCGAGAGTGAAAGTCAAGAAATAATATTCCTTCGCCAATTGTAGGGTATCTAGCTCCGATGTGAGCCGTCGGCCACAACGCGAGTAGAGCGATGTGGATGGGGCTTGTCGTTTATTACTTATCAGCAGATTTTCTGCGCGACGTGTGCGCCTATTCTGTTGTCTACCAAGATGATGCGCGAGCAACTATCGGGATATAGAGTTTGAATCAACTCACGGAAGTCGTCGGTAACATCGTCATGCATGTGTGCATAACCAAGATCTTTGTCCGGCCAGCTCTCGCGCGGTCGTATGTAAGAATCCATGACTTCAGGGAGATTTCCGACTGCTGATAGAGGTCGACAGTCGATTTCCAAACGGATCCCAGGCCATTGTGGCAGACGACGAGGAGGCTGCTTTCAACAGGTTACCTCAGCGATTAGCGATCACGGATTTCTTGTTCACATACAATGAGTTCTTAGAACTATTTTTCGTGGGGATAAGCATCATTCACGAATTGTCAAGAGATCATCCACCAGTCTCTCGAAGATCTTCACAAAATCATGCTCCTGGGAGTTATAGCGTTAGACAAGCCGACTCTATCGTGAGGGTCAACTATATGGAGACATGAATTGGACCAATTCCAAAGCCTTGATTGGACCCTGATTATGCAATGAACCCAAATGCAGACCCCCTGCACCAACGGATCTCACGCTGTGCTTCTTATGGCATGGTACATGGAGCTATGTATTCCGTATGGTGATCATGCAGCAAGACCCCACACAAAACGCCCTTGGGTACATAAACAACAAAACCGCAAGCAATGAATACGCTCATCTCACCAACAACCTGCGCGCTTAAATCATTATCGTCTTTTCCACTAACAATCGATCAAAATCCCGCCACAATGACGGCTTTGGAACCGACAGAGGAAGACCTTATTTTCAAGCGAGTCTTACAAAGACTATCAAAAACTCCATATGCGTGCTCCTCGCTATCGCAGCTAAGCACCCGACCCGCTAACTTCGTATTCCGCGGCGTCCTCGCTCAGCCAATTCACACCCAGGACGGAGCCGCGGGCACCATCATAATCAAGCATTCCACCGACCCGCATGCCTCATACCAGGCATTTGAGGAGTCCCTGCTCAATGCGCTTGCCAGATTTACAGCCCTTGATATTGCCACATCCATCGTGATCACGACACCGCGTCTCTGCCTGTTTGACCGAGAGACTGACATCCAGGTTCTGGAGGACTTCACCGGTACCGACGGGTTCAAATGGGTGTTGTATTCAGCCAACGCGGACAAGCTTCTACCCCAACCGAGCCCAGCGCTTATCGGTCGCCAGTTAGGGTCGTGGCTCCGGTCTTTTCATGAATGGACCTCAGCGCCTGAGCAGGCTGCTCTCCGGGCGCAGATGTGGCAGAATGACCCGATGCGCAAGGTGAAGTACGGGTATACCTACGGCAGCTTTCTACCGGTGCTCGAGAATTACCCGGAGCTTTTGGATGGCTATCGGGAGACTCTGGAGACCATCCGAGATGCCATAGCGAAGGAGTTTGAGAAATCATCGACGGAGTCAGGTGACAGCTGGGGACTCGTGCATGGAGACTTTTGGACAGGCAAGTAAGTTCGCGCCCTCCCACCCCCCAACTTATGATCCCGTCGAACTGGTTCTCATCATACCTTTGAACAGCATTCTGATTCCTACTACACCGTGGAGAGAGCCGCCAGTGGCAGACGAGACTAACAAGCTCTTCATCATCGACTGGGAGTTTGCTCAATTCGGACACCGGTCTTATGACCTTGGTCAAATTGTCGGAGATCTTTATGAACGGAAAGTGTTCAATGATAACGCCGCTGGTATATCCACGATGGAAGGTGTTATCAACGGCTACGGTAAATTGAGCGATGAGATGGCTTTTCGGACTGCCATCTATGTAGGTGTTCATCTGATTGGTTGGTACAAAAGGCGGCCCCAAAAGGTGATCCCCCCAGAAATAATTGTAGCCGGCTTGACCATCGGACGGGACTTTATCATCAAGGGATGGGAGAAGGATCGAAAGTTCTTTGAGGGCAGTGGCCTGGCGTCTCTCTTCGTCGTAAATGACAGAGGCGTTACGAAGTCATGATGAACAGCGAGAAGAGACCCACCATTATTGGCAAGTTATACTAGAACTTCATGGTACTATATCATTATTTTTTCATCGGGTAGTGTAAACTCTAATTAGCCATTTGGTACAATTTCAAATTCGTTTTCGAGGTGCTCAGCGTGTATCCGCAGCAAGGCTGCAAGTAATCCGAATCCAAGTCAAACACCAGCTAACTCCTTGCTCGCTCTGTTCTAATAGTCAAAAACATTTAAGTAAAAGAATCATGTCTGTGGCCCGGTGCTATAGCGAGCCAACAACCTTGGCGATCAGGTGCTCAGCTGTCTCGCTTGTTGAGGCAGCGGCTTCAGCTGCATGGGCGCCGGGGTTGTAAAATGCTGCGACGGCAATAGCGACATAGACGGCGACACATAAGAAGCCCTCCAAGTAGTTGGACTTCTGATCACGAAGGAAGTTACCGACAGTGATTATGGACAAGAGAAGCATGGCCATGTCGAAGATCTGAAAGTCCAAGCTGAAATCCCACTGCGCGCACCAAGAGATGATCACAATCAATGGCGTAACCAGCAGAGCGGTCTGGAGAGTTGCGCCGACACAGTGAGTTAGCGCGAAGTTCATTTGGTTATCCCAGGCTTCATCAATGGCTGTAAGGTGTTCTGCCAGTTTCTCGACAAGCGGTACAAGGATAAGACCCATGAAAGGATCCGTGATATGGTGCTCCTCAATTATGGGGTCAATCTCGTGAACCAAGTTGACCGCAATGATGGCCACCAATGCCACAGAGACGGCCAGAGCGAGTATGCATTCGGTCAAGGTCAGCTTCGGCTTCCGTGCATCCTTCGCGCGATCGTGGTCTCTTTCCTCGTCTTTCTCAAACATCTTGGTGAAAAGGCCATGATGTGTACGGGTTTGGAACCATACAAAAAGAGCATATGATAGAAGCAGCAGGACTGCAATAGCACGCGAGATACTAATGAGCTTTGAGTCCAGTTCCTGTTGGGTCATGCCAAGATCGCTTGTTGAACGCTCAAAAATGGCCGGCACCGCTAAGCCCACACCGCTGTTAAATGGTCAGCATGCAGTAAAGTAGCTGAGGGGTATAGATGAGTCATACGCTGTGAGAAGTAGACCACTTCCGGCTTCGCTAATGGTCTCATCGAAAGTTGCATCGTCTCGTCTGATACCTGATGCAATGAAACAGGTTCCTAGGCAGAGCAGCATGTTTGCCAAGATTGACCCAAGGATTGCACCGGTCAGAAGCGTGTAGGTTCCTGTTTGCGATCCTCGAACAAGCAGCAGTACGAACAGGATGATCTCGACGAATGAGGCAACGCTAGCGGCACCGTCAAAGTTAGCTCACGTCGAACCTACAGGCTGGATGGTGACATACGTTGTTTCAGTCAGAACACCAAGTACGGGGGGCATCTTTCTTGCCAATTCTTGTCCAGCAAAACCGATGAGGTTGGCACAGGGAATCATGGCAATGTAGAGCAAGATGAACTTGAGTGTATGTTGTTCTTCGACAGTGTAGTAGACGGCAATTGCAGCTGGCACGAATGGCCAGAGAATGTTGACGGCTCGGGAAAGATAACTCGTTGAAGACCAAATAATCTTAAAGAAGTGCAATGGGTCGACTCCTCTTCGTCCACTTTCGCCTGCGGTCTTCACACGCACGCCACGTCTCCGCCCTCTACCGCCATGGTGAGTTCCGTTCACGATATCGCCTCGGTGTTTGGGGAGGGCTTGATCGCGAGAGTTGTGATGAGAAGATAAGCGCGGGCTCTTCTCGTGGACCACACCGTCGCCTCGGCCTGAAGATCTCGAATTCATTGTTTGGTAGGCCTTGAAGTTGCCGAAACGGAAGACAAATCACGTCCAAAATGAAACTAAATGGTATTCAATGATGGCTTCGCTTGAAACAGAAATTGCGGAAACTAGAGGGGCGGCCTCTGCAGTGAAGATGCAGTGATGGGTCAATAACTCATCTTATGGTAATCTGTAGTCAGACACGATCAGCAAAAACACTAACAACGCCCTAAGTTTGATCCAGGTCTCAATTCAATTGGAACCAAGTCATGCCTGCATTTGCTGCAAAACAGGGAAAAGGCTGATCAAATCGGTCTTTCCAATTTCACAACAAGCGGCTCGGCGTAGTCATAAGGGCGTCTTCTGAATGGTGCAGTTGGCATTTCATCGTCTTGGCGTACGTTTCAAGTCCACCGATTCAAGGTTGAGATGGCAGATGTGGGACATTAAAATAAGGGAGGCAATCCGTAGCTTCAGTGGGTTTTCCGGGGATGGATCTAAATCGCGTCGCTAAGAAAAACAATTGCGTCACTCTGCATCTCGACCCCTGAATCTGAAGATCGGCACGCTGGTCTCGATTGTTCTTTCCAATTTACGAGCGGTAGTCAAATTTGCTAGTTCTCTGCAGTTACGATATCTTCTTAGTAGTCCGCCCATGGGTTGCCTTTTATCATACAGCATACTGGACAGGTAATCATTCCTTCCTTGACGTTCCAACAGCGAAACTTAGTCAGAGCGTGGTTGTCATCAACCACCTTCTAGCACTGGCTGGTAGTCGGTGTGGATGTTGCTTCGGAACATCCCGAAACTCCACTTACACGCGTGGCTTAATTCAAGCAACACTTTGGCGTCTGGGCAGCTGGGCTCGCTGGGTAGATAATTGACCAAGATCAACCGCCAGCTTGGCGTAAAGCTTGGAGTAGCTTGTTCTAACAGAATATTACAATCATATTCACAACACAAGAGCGCGCTGTTTGTGCCTGACTTTTGATTGTCACGCTTTTGGAACACACAGAATCGTGTGATCGATGTGCTGACTGTGTCGCTGATGGGCTGGCTTCGGATGGCCACATCGCCATATCAAAAATTCCAGGGCTCTTCCTCAAGGGTTTTATCCCTAGCGGTCTATCATTAGTATCGCATTTTAACATAGACAACTCGAAAACGTGTAAATATTCGATGTTGTACGCTTTTGTGAAGTCGTGCTGCTCTTGGCGAGCAATTAAACAAAGCCTCGATGCACAACTTCGGTATCTAGGCCTACATGTAAAAATTGTGACTAAACTAGACACTGAGCTACGTGCGAAGAATATACCGCACTTAGTAGGGTCATAATACGTTTGGCTATCTTGTATTGTCCAGTTTTGTGTATATCCTCAAGAAGATTCTACTAGCTACATTGTATGATTGCCAAGTGTTGCTTACGAGATCACCGCTGCTCTTTATTGGACAGTATCGTTGATCCTTTAGTCAACACAATTGTGTGGATGTACCCATGTAAACTACATTTGAAGTCATATATTGCTACATTCACCCGCTCGTCTCTACACTCCAGATCGATAGATGATACTTTTGTCATGATTGACGTTATTGTCGTTGACCTTCTGATGCTTGAAACTTCACGGGTGATATACTCCCAAATTCTAAACATTCCGATCTAGCTGGGAGAATCTCACAAAAGATCGTCCCTACTTAAAAGAGAATTATCGAAAGAACTTGAACAAGTTTCTAAACTTATGGGCCACAGCTTTAAGCCTTGAATGCAGCCATATAAATTTTACCAGTTTGTATGTATTAATTTAAAATTACACGTCGTTCTTACAGGTTTCTATCAAAACTTCAAAGGCTTGGCAAGTGTCGGTTCAGGTAAGCATTCCCGTATCAGGGCACCTTGGCGATCACAATCAAATGATGTCCAAGACTTCCAGCTAACACGTACTCTCCAACCAATCACTCTAGTGAACGACCATTACAGTGGATAGCAGAGGAAGTAGCCATATGGGATTGTCCCTCGGCAGTTGGGGATCGTTGATTTTGTTTCCGACCGAGGAGCAGGTGACGATTTGTTAAGTGGCTAAATTCTCGAGGACCTTCATTGCAGCAACGCTGACACCCTCGATTGCAAGGTCTATTTTCTGGAAAGCGTATGGTATATGATTCAATGTATAGAAAATCGTTTGGAGGCTTCAAAGCTGCCCAAGTTATATCAGTTCAGCATTTGTATTGCTCCAGCTGACCAGTATGATGTGAGCCCAGCAGAGGTGGTACCCGAACGTGTCCGTCGAGAACTTTGTAGCAGGCGCACCACAGCCACGCTAATTCAATGGGAATTCAACGTGTTGATGCATTTGGAGGAAAGCTATAGTCGACGGAAAAGCGATTGCTCAACCTGAGCATTTGAACTGACGGAGAAAGCGGACGATGAGTTCTATAAGCATGGTATTTTCGAAGTATAGTGCTATGACCCTTAACACTAGGGCTAGACTTTTGATGCAATTAAGTGCATAGCTAACTGATCTAGCTTATCCCGGGATGTCAAATATCTGGGACAGCTTCGACCTTCTTGACAACACGGGCTGGTGATCCAATTGCGACCGAGAAATCAGGTATGTCCTTTGTGACAACAGAACCAGCACCTATTGTGCAGCCCTTTCCAATTTTCACGCCAGGCATGATGGTAACATTGCCGCCTATCCAGCAATCGTCGCCGATAGCCACAGGTCTGGCATACTCGATGTAGTCTCTGCGCGACTGAACCTCCGTTTCGTGAGTCGCTGCGAAGATAGATACACTCGGTCCAAACATCACTCGATTTCCTATGTTCACGAGGCCACAGTCTAAGATGACCAAACTATGAATATAAGTATCGATTTGCGGCGTTGTGAAAAAGATGCACCTACTTAAAGTTGGAGTAGAAGCGCTCTCCCAGAATGATGTTGCACCCGTAGTCGATGCTGATAGGAGGTTCAATGAAACTTCCCTCTCCCACTCCACCCATGATGCCCTTCAACATTTCGAACCTATCATTCTCTAGCGATTCGGGTGTAGCATCATCTGGAAAGTGATTGTTGTACATGTGCATAAAACGACGTGCCTTGAAGCGGCCCTGCACCAACTCGGGAGCCAAGCAATTATATCTGGAGTATGTCAGTCATGATTGATCTCAATCTAATCTTCTACAGGGATTATACTGACAAGTTGCCCGATATCATCTTCTCGTAATCATCACACCATGGCACATTCGCTAGCTTCTTCGCCGTTTCAATGGCTTGGGGGTCCTTTTCCTTGCTGGCCATCTTTAACGATTCAAGGAATACAATTTTACCGGTATCAGAACTGAAGAAATTATTGTGTTTCTTACCAGAAACAGAAGAAGATACAAATGGATATCTTACGGGCTCCAAAGTTTTATAACAGTTGTCCCTCCTCAACGTGTTCCCCACTAATGATGCCCAGCACAATGCCTACACTATGCCGAATACAGTTTTTAACAGCCGCCGACAGACGCTATCATGGCTGAATTTCGGCTCAAATGTCCATTCGGAAAGCTGGCAACATCAACTGGTAACGTCGTTGGATTCCACGGCTGCCCATCATGAAACAATATCTGCTCCTTTCACATGTCCATTCGGACACAGATGACCACACATTTTATATAAAAGAATTTATCTACCATCCACTCTTAAGCAACGAATTTATTCGCGGGGATGTTGCTGTTAAGATCTACTCTGCCACCATTTGATATCGCTGGAGACACGTTTGCGAAGTCTGCTGTTGATGATCTCCCGTGGGTACGATAGAATTCGTTTCATCTCTTGAATGCATAAGCATAGGACTCCGAGCAATTTGAAAATGCGCGAATCATCTATTTCAGGCTCCAACAATTCTCAGCAGGATCTTTGACATTGATGAGAAACCAATGGCACAATTCTTGAGAATCGAGCGCAGCTTTTCCCAAGGTATTAAAGGTGGCGCCGCCACCATACATTACGAAATGAATTTGTCGAGGCGATAGTAAACAAGGTCTTCAAATTTGCAGTGGTCATTGCAATACCCGGAAACTTTGACCTGGATTTTAACTTCGGACATTCTGATGGTTTTGCACCACCAAGGTCAAGGTTGCGGGTGTCGAGATTAGTGATCTTTGGTTTGGATCATCCACAGTGGTTCGATCCCAAACCCACGTTCAGTACCTCAATGTATCCCGCTGTCGTGTTTTACTTGTCTTCTATTCTACAACGATTGTAGCGTTCGAATGAGACAACTGGCTGGGTGAGGTATTCGGCAAGGTGAGGCCCAAACTATCCTCATCCGCGAATCACCAAACCCTGGACTGATTCAAACTCAATTGACTCTCAAACAATATGTTACCCCAGTAACAGTATCTCGACATCGTGAAAAGGCTTTTTATCGTGCAGTCTATTGCAAGAGAAAACAACTTCGACTTGATGTGTAGGGCGTCTCAAACTATGGACTTCGACTGTGCTAACGCAGCTGTGCTCTACGGCTAGTCGTGTCTAACAATTAAGCTGTACCTGTCGCTGGCAAATACATATGATCAAGCTTCAGCGTATCCATGTGCATGTCGAGCCCAATGACTAGAGCTAATAATACAATTTGCCTCGTATTCTCTATGCAGGAAACCATGTATTGATTCGAGGACTGTTTTGAAGTTTGTGACACATTCTACACCCCAGCGTTGCTTTACCATTTATACACCTCTGTGCCCTTCGTTTCTGTGACAAGTCAACAACCAAAGTATCATTCCTTGAAACACTCACACTCACACTCACTTTGGTATCTAAGCTTTTGTAAGGATGAGTTTCCCCCTTCTAGAGAAGCTTTTGCTGTTTTTCTCCTCGCCTGTCGATGCAATGTTAACCAGCCACCAAATAAACACATCGACGAACCCCCTAGGGACCACCGTTATGGAATGCAATCAGCCAGGCATGGTAGCACTGGCCTACGATGATGGTCCTGGTCCATACACGGAAGAACTCTTGGGGATCCTCAAGGACAATCGGGTGAACGCCACGTTCTTCGTCAATGGTAATAATGTTAACGGCCCCATTACGAATCCCAACAACGCCCAGATACTCCAGAAAGCCTATGCCAGCGGTCACCATGTCGGTAGCCACACGTGGTCGCATAAGGATCTGTCCCTGCTGTCAAGGGACCAGCGGATGGATGAAATGTTCCGGCTCGACTCGGCGCTGGAGGACATTATCGGCTACACGCCCAGGTACATGAGACCACCCTTCTTCTCATGCACTGAGGATTGTCAGAGGGACATGGCGGGCTGGGGTTATCATATTGTATGTTCTCCTTACATTGACGTTGTACCAGCTGGTGAATTTCTATTGGCTCACACGCACACGTCCCATACAGGTTACAGCCAATCTCGATACAAAGGACTACGAGGAAGACTATGCACAATCGCGCAACACCTTCAGCAGCGCACTGAACTCGTCCAGTCCCAAGAATTCCAGTTTCATTGTGCTCGTCCACGATACCCATGAGGGAACCGTGGAGGCTTTCACCAAGTACATGATCGACGAGGCGAGGGGTTACGGATATAAGCTAGTGACATTGGGGGAGTGTCTCGGGGATAGTAGCGTTCATTGATCATAGTTATAGGCAACGATGGTGACGGGTTTTTGTTTTGCCCCAGCTTCTCCAACCTTTAGAATCTAGATTAACCATTCATTCATAGGTATTGCTATGGGATCATGTGGTTATAGACACAGAGTATCCATTTTGAATAAGTCTTTCCCCGGACTACCCGCGATGCCACCACAGGCGAAGCATCGCAACATTGCACGGTCATTTACCAGCTGTTCCAATTGCGCATATCATCCAATGAATCCAGGGGTTCAGTCAATTACTGGTTTTTACGGGATACAATAATATTGTTTAGACCCGGATACACATCCCTACACACAATGCTTTGTCCCGCAATGCAGTAGAATAGCCCAAGTACTTTTTTACCAGAACATCTTCATTCACTATTAAGTACTCTTTTTATGACAGTCATGACATATTCAAAGTAGCCATGGGCCACGGCTGAGAAAAGAAAATTCTTCACTCACCGACACTAATCCATTGACTTTGGTTCTTGTTTACCCATACAGAAACAATACTTCCATGTTGTGTTATCTCTCCCATCTATAAAATTACCTCAAGGTAGTCAACAAATTCGCATGGCAGTGGCAATGACAAGAGCAAAAACACGAAGCGCCGCCACCAGCGCGAGCCCTGGCCCATTTTTGAAACATGCCAGCCCATCCGGAGTCGTCAAGAAGCAGAGCGCCCCGAAAGCAAAGGCGAAGAAGACGCGGCAGAGCAAGATTCAAGCCATCGCTGAAGGCATCTCATTGTCATATTGTTCTACTTCATCGTCGAGTTCTGACGGAAACTGTGCGGGATCCAGCTGTGTCGAACATGAAGTGTCGCGTCCAAACGATTGCGATTGCATTGTGAAGATTTCAGCTCTCAACTCGGAGCTAGAGTTCCTGGAACACTCGATCGCGAGGTTTATCATCACTGCTACGCACAACGCGACGACCGTGATTGACCGCATAGTGGATCTTGAGGATCCTCGAGCTGCTCGAGCAGAACGAGGTGGGGGTATCCGACGTTAAAAGGTACAGATCCAGGAGCACATCAACGGGTTCGAGAGATACGTCAACGAGCAGCTGATGGGGAGGGACGAACAGCGAACTTCCTACTAGTAAATGCTCGACAGGCGGGTGCGAGTCTTCGAGAACCGTCAGGCTTGGGATTGCAGCAAAATGCCAAACGAGTTCGAATACAACTGCAATGGCGACGACGAGATGACAGAAGACAGGCCCCAAAGTCATAAACCTATATTAGCAAAATAAAGTCAACGAGCTCGAGACAAGGAACCAGGATCTCCGGACACTGCTGCACGAAGAAGAATATGCACACCAGTGCGAGATCAACAAGTTGAAATCACAGCTTGCGAGGTTACAGCTTCGCAGTTGCAGTAGCAATTCTGGCGTGTTTTCAGAGGTGCAGCCTCCTGTAGATAACCCCCTGTGTTGCCGTGCTCCTTTGGATACACTCTCGAGTGATGGCAAGCCTAATTTACCCCCGGGTAGTGGTGGTTATGGTCATCAAGCTGGTTCTACTCTACGTGGAACTTTAAAATGAAAGGGTATTTCTGTCGATAGTGACGACGTAGATATGGATGCTAAGTCTCCTTCCAAGCGTCAAAGAGCGGAGGCTGATGTCGGGCTACCAACTTACGCACATCAAATCACGAAGCCTACTCGTCCGGTCAGTCCCCAGGGCAGGACTATCAGGCATAGTGGGTACATGTCTAGCCCTGTCGACACAGGTTTCAGTAAGCCTTCGATTTATCACACATCGGCCAACAACGCCATCGGTTGCGACACCGACTCCGATACTACCAAGACCGGAATCGGCACAGACATGGATGAGCACGGCAATGTCGAATGCGCATCGCACAACAATCATGAGCTTGAGATGGATGTGAAACTCGAAAAGCCTCAGCCTCGCTGCGAAATGGCAGCGCAAACAGCAAAACCCGCGAGCCCAGTCCTGGAGCCAGTCCAGGAGCCAGTCCAACGGGAGTCTCTCATGGGTCGAACTCTGATTCGTGGCGGGTCCGGAGACTTTGCCTGGTAAGTGGGGGAAAGCCATCTCACAAGAAAAGAGCGAGGTAGGTGAGGTTATAAGATTGAGGATTGCACAATGCTCTCTCAGCACTAGGAGTTGTGTGTATTGTTGTTCTGGGTAGGCAAAAGAAGTAAGCGTCCACGGAAATGTAATAAAGAGAATTTGAAAATGAAAATGGAAAGATTTGAAATAGAATAACAAGATATTCCTATTATTTGTATCGAACTGTTAGTGCCCATGTTTGGTGAAGTTTACACAATTCCTAATCCTTGGGTGCCTCTCGGTGTTTGTTCTATGTAGTCTAGAGGCAGGGTGTTGCAGAAGTGCTGTGATCTTAAGTAACTACCATGGCACAGGAAGTTAGCGCTAATCTCCAGGGCGGCCAATGAGTCAACGGCCAGATGTGTACATGCACATACGACGCTCAATATGAGTAGCTCTTGTTGACATCTCGCGATTGTGTTAGTTGGGGGACGTCTTTCTCCAACTTTGCCATGTACTGTGATGCGATGCTTATCCATCCATCTTGCTCTTCTCTCTAACTCTTAGAATCTTCGTTTTGGCGCCATCGTCGGGTCAGTACGGATCCGTACTAAGAAAAGTACTTGAGCGCTGGTAACCTTACATAAGATACTAGGTTAACCTGACCTAGATTACTGCAGTCTAGGTACACACTAACCTAGCCAGAGGACAGTCCGACCTGGACTCTGACGTCGATATCTCTACCCCACCGCGGGGTCTAGGACACTGAGGTGAGGTCCCAAAATCTCAAAAGCCCTCGTTCCTCATTGCGCTGCGCTCTAGGCGACGAACATTGCGCCGTGCTTTTCAGTCTTTGCTACAACATACGACATGAAACGTGGAGGCTTCAAATCGACTGCCGCGAGTGGGAAAGCCTTTGGTAGCGTGGCCTCCGGTGGCTTCGGAGCTTTCTCCTCTGCTTCCAGCGGCAGCAAACTGTCCTATCTAACCGAACCCCCGGACTTATCTGCCATCTCAGATGCCAATGCCGTGGTCTCTTTCAAGAACCTGCTCAAGAAGGACCCGACCACCAAGACAAAAGCACTAGAAGACCTCCTCACCTATGTGGAAGCACATCCCCACCAACAGAATGGCGGCACCGAAGACGCGGTACTGGAGGCTTGGGTAAGATCTGCGGTCATGTCGCCCTCGCAACCCCCGTATACTCACTCACGTGCGACATGTCTAGGTCCAAGTATACCCCCGAATCTCGATCGACAACGCCCGCCGCGTGCGCGAACTCTCCCATACCCTGCAGCTTGAGTTGATGAAGTCGGCGAGGAGACGCATGGAACGACGTGTACCCAAGATCGTCGCAACCTGGATCGCCGGCACTTTCGACAGAGATCGAGGCGTGTCGCGAGCTGCCACCGAAGGCCTGTCATCTTTTCTGACGACTCCCGACAAGACCCTTCAGTTCTGGAACAAGTGCCAACCTCAGATCCTCGAGTACGCCTCGGACGCAATCCTCGAAACTCCCGATACCCTTAGCGATGAGCGATCTACAAGTACCGATGATGCCGAAGCGAAATACTATAGGGTTTTGGGTAGCAGCTTAGCACTGGTGCTGAACCTGCTGCAGAAGATGGACACTGTCGATCTCGACAAGTACCAGGATACTTACCATCATTTCCTTGGCGTCGACAAGGTTTGGACAAGCGCACTGGTCAACGATTCTGTGGTGAGAAGGCTGGCCTCTCAGATCGTGGCGACCTGTATTGAGAAGCGTCCTGAGACTATAGAGGCCAACCTGGGGCTTTTGAGCAAGGTCTACATCTCCGAGGGCTTGAAGAGCAACCAGACCGGTTCTGCCGTGGAATTTGTCAAGACTCTGATCGCCTTGACAGAACAATTTCCCACAATCTGGACATCAGACTATCGTGGCAAGAAAGCCCCAACAGTCCGGCTCAAGGGCTTTCTCGAAAAGGGTTCTCAGGGTAGCGCCGCTATTTTCTGGGACTCACTCAGCCAATTACTGAGCTCTCTACCATCTGAAATTGTGTCTTCAGATCATGAAGGAGCAATTGAATTCATGAAGTCACTGAAGTCAGGCATCACAAATCGAGAAGAGCCTCGAAATAATGCGGTCAATGCTTGGACTTGCTACATAAGTCTGGGGAGGTTCTTTGTGGACAAGTTGACAAGCGGACAGGTTCAACTCGTGCAAGACTCTATTTTCCCTCTCATCGAGCAATACCTGTTCCCGGAACGACCAGAATGGTCAGTCGGCAGTCCAGTCCCGATTCTGAAGGCCTACACCGCAACGGCGGCATCTCCAAACGCCGAGGTCAGAGAAGCAAGTACACAACACTGGTCGAAGATGAAGGATCAGTTCTCGTCACGGATACGTGACTCGCTCCCTGAAGCCTCGAAAGACTTCCAAAAGTCCCAAAAGGCTATCGCAGATGAAGGCAATCGGTGGTTCGGTTTGACGGGCAAAATACTGGAGGCTCATGCACAGACTGTGAATTCGAATCGCCCCATCCCAGCGAAGCCAGTGCAGCAGCCATCGCTCAGCTTGATTCTTGAAGCTTTCGATCTCTTGCAAAAACGCAACCTGAAACCATTCGGGGCCGCAGCGACAATCGCATCGGCATTTCAGGACAGCAAATCACTCTTCCAGAGCAACGAGGCATCAACAGGCGAGGTATTGCGGGAGTTGGAGGCTGCTGTATCCGATGATTTGCCTGCTCTGTTGAAGTCACCGAGTGCGCCATACATACTCTCCTGTGTTAACTCTTTGGGGAGTATTGCCGGAAGAGACAAAGATTTTGAAACGATATGGCGGGCAAGCATCGAAGTTCTGGTTTCCTTGGTCGATGACGACAGTTCCACCGAGATTCTGCAAGCTCTGACGACGCTGCTGTCAAGTCCGACTGGATCGAAATTGGCACACAAATTGCCCCAGGTGCAAGGTGTAGTTGCACGGAAATGCATTTACTGTGCTACAAGCGATGCGCCGGCAGAGTCTTGGGCTGTTTTCGATACCGCTATAACTTTCGACGTGCTCGATAGGGAAACGGGGCAACGACTAGCCGAAGAACTTACAGCGCTTCTAGCAAAACAACCAGGTTCCAGAGTGATCAAGTCTCTACTTCTGTTGGCGCAAAAGAAGCCTGAACTTCTGTCCGGAGAACAAGTTCATATGAGTCTGATGACGAGCCTTTTGAGCCTCTCTGAAAGAAGTGACAGCTCTGGTGTCGCGACATTGAGATCCCTTCTAAGCCAGCCGACCACTGGCGGATCTGCTAACTTTGTTGGTATTATTTCCCAGAACCTCAACGATGCTAGCACATCTTCTCTTGGTGTCGACACTCTGATCCACCAAGCGTCGCAAGTCCAGGATGGAGAAGATTTTGCAACCTCTATAATACCCGATACGAGTGTCTGGGAGAACGAACTGCTTAGCCTATTGGACAGGAATGCGCTTGACCCGTCCTTGTCTCTTACCAGTAGTCTTCGAGGCGCCTATTACCTAATCCCTCCTCCACAACAAGCTAAAGAAACCAAGATCAAGCGCGACCGAAATGGCTGCTCTATTCCTGGTCGTATGGCCCAATACACTATCCGCTTCATGCAATCAGAGTGGAAAAATGCTTTGCCGGTCAGCAAGCAAGCTGAGCTGCTCATCTTGACAGCTATCACCGCCGAGGTTACGGCAGATCAACTAGCTGTGCTCCAAGATGGCAGTGTATGGAAAACTGGCGCCGACGTACCCTCCGATGCCGAAAATCTGATCTCATCTTCCCGAACCATCTTTGATATGTTGACTGAAGAAGCGTCATCCTGGCGAGAAGGCGCAGAGTCCGGATCCCCAAAATCCCGTCTGGTGCACGATATCTTCATTAAGCTCCTCGACAGCACCAAACAATTGACACCTTTCGGACTTTACAGTGCACGGGTATTGAGCCAACTCTTTGAGAATCTTTCCGAGAAACATGGCTTCCCCTCTAGCGCTGAGGGATGGCTAACAAGTTTGGATGTTCTGAAGTCCACACCTATGACCATTTTGCCTGCTGTGGCTATTTTAAGTGGGTTTGGTGCGACACTTGCACCCCTCAAGGTCATCAGCAATCTCTGCAATCGACTCGTCAGTGATGCTGCCGGCGCGACACTGAATACGGACAAATCATTGGCGACCCTAGTTCTATTGAATGCATGTATGCCAATCTACGAGTCCGGCGATTTACCTGTAGCGAATAACCGTCTCGTGTTTGCAGTCAAGCAACTTACGTCTTGGCTCGAAGCTCCCCAGGATGTGGACTACAGATTTGCAGCAGAGACTTGTCGAAGTCTGCTATATCTCTTACCTTGTATCAAGGACGTCTATGGATCATACTGGGAACGTGCAATTGGATTCTGTGTATATATCTGGACGAAGAATTTGACGGCTGAGGAGCTGAACAAGTGGCTCCCTTCTATACACACCACACTAAGACTGTCTACAACTATCCAATCATTGGAAGAACCTAATGACGATCTGGTTGAAGCTCTATCAACAACAGCCGAGGAGAGATCGTTGGCATTGGTTGAGCTGCTCAAACTTGACCGCGATAGGCAAACTCAACCCCTCGAAATGGTGGACGCCATAGTTTGCAGACAAGTTGAGAGACTTCCTCTCGAGCACATCAAGGATCTCTCTGACTTGTACAGTCTTGTAGCATCAGACTCGAGAGCCATTCAAACTGCAAGCTTTACCATACTACACAATGCCTTACCGGCGACGCAGGAACAACTCGCTGTGGACGTTCTTCTCGACAAGAAGACTGCTCAGCTTCCTGACGAGCTGCTTTCTCTTCTACTCGAAGCGCCTACTTTGGAAGCCTATTCGGATGAAGCATTGGCCCAATTCCCTACCCCAATTCGCTCTTATCTTCTTACGTGGCATCTTGTCTTTGACGCTTTTAGTACAGCTTCTTTCAAGGTTCGCGGAGACTATGCAGATAACCTTAAGAACGCTAACTATATCGGACCTCTGATGAACTTCACATTCGATGTACTTGGCCATTCCGCTGCACATGGGCTAAACCTTGACCGAGCGAACTTTACAGTCGAGCAAATTCGAGACTATGATCTTAAGCTCGCAGAATCAGAGACTGAAGAAAGGAACATGCAATGGCTGCTAATACACCTCTACTACTTGGTGCTGAAATTTGTGCCTGGGCTTTTCAAGTCTTGGCATACAGACTGTCGATCTAAGCAAACCAAAATCGCGGTGGAAGACTGGATGGTCAAGTACTTTTCTCCAATCATTGTATCTGAGGCACTTGACGATGTAGCCAAGTGGGCATCAGAGCAGGAACCACCAGCAGATGATGAAAAGGAGTTGGCTGTTAAGATCAGCAGGACTGCAAAAGAGGTTACTGCGGGTTACGAAGTCGACGAATTTCAAGCTTCGATCGCGATCAAGATACCACCAGCCTTCCCACTCGAGTCCGTTGCAGTGGTTGGGGTCAACCGCGTTGCTGTCAATGAACGAAAATGGCAAAGTTGGATCATGACAACGAAGGGTGTCATTACATTCTCGGTCAGTCTTTTCGTATTCAAAAACCCAAGTATCTGCGCGACTAACAATTTCACAGGGCGGAAGTCTTATCGATGGTCTGGCGGTCTTCAAGCGCAACATTACCGGTGCGCTCAAGGGCCAAAGCGAGTGCGCCATCTGCTACAGCATCATCAGCAGCGACAAGACGATGCCGGATAAGCGCTGTGGAACTTGTAAAAATCTCTTCCACCGGACATGTTTATACAAGTGGTTCCAGAGTAGCAACCAGAACACATGTCCTCTTTGCCGAAACCCCATCGACTACTTGGGCGCCGATACGAAGGGGAGGCGGAAGGTATAATTGCGGCCTGGGTTGGATGGTTACGGGTAAAGATGATAGATTGAATAGATATCTCCAACCAACGTCATAAATCATAGCATATTTTGGTGGATAACCCAGCCTCAAGGTCTGCGGATCGCATTGTTAGTTCTATCAAAGCTGCGCGATTTGCCAAGAAATGTGTCATTAATTAATTTGATAAAGACCTATTAACGTCTACTGAATCTCATGACGATGATGTTTGCTTGCCTTCAACAAACATCAAGTTCTAAAAGGGCTCCTAAACTTGTCAATCTTTGTAATCTGATCTTGCCTCGAACAGCCCCGACGTCCATCACAAAATGGGAAACCTACATAATCAAGATGATTATATAGCTTTCCTTAAAGCCGATAACTTGAATAACTAGGCTCACACATTTCGGGAAATTTTAGACTTACCAGGTCCACGTGCAGCCGACGGGCAGCATCAGAGACGATGAGTTGGGGTTTTCGATCTTCGTAGTGATAGGTGCAATGTTCCAACAATATAGCTCATCAAAAGCAACAGCGTGCCCCAGTCAAAGTGATTGCGATAAGGCGATCGTGACCTAGTCAACGGGCAGCTCAGGGCCGCATGCAGGGCGTCTTCTGGGGGTTAATCCAAGCCGAACATCACATCGAGTATGCTCTCGGCGTTGCTTCTCGTGTCAGGCGACAAGGTCAGCTGCTTCATATCAAGAGCTCTGCAACATAGCGCAAATCTCAGTAGTTCAAACGGTCTCAAAGCGTTTGCCTTAAGTGACGTCTGTACATCTTGCAGCTTGTCGGATGAGATAAGAACTGTTAGTTAAACAAGCTGTACGGATCTTCTTATAACCTAGTGGACTGCTTACCTGAGATGGCATCCGGGGATAATTCGCGGTTCTGGAACGCCAAGAGGCACAAGGGCATATCTAGAGCGTCGAGATGCCCGAAACACTTGGTAGCGAGACAAACAGCGAGACGTACTTGCTCTTTCGTGGTGGTGGTCGGCACCTCCCATTTCGTACGAAGATCAAGCACACGGTTGGTCCAATTGCCACGGCCCTCTTCCTCGGCAAGCTCTGGAAACAATAGGTAGAGCCCGTTCTCGTCAAGCGATTTTAGAGTGGTTATAGATGAGCTTCCGTAGTGGTCAATCAGTTCTTGGCTAAAATACTCGCTGTTGTAGTAGCAATGGTGTCTGCAGCGGAAATCGTACAGATTACGCGCTTTCTCAAGCTCAGTGCCTCGGAAGTCAGAATAGATATGAAGGACTTGGGTATCTCGTGCGAATTGGTCGTATGGAAATTGGTCCGTTGGTAGAGCACATATATTGACCTCTCTCGAGGGTTTGGCATCCTTGTATGCTTTGTAGATGGCATACTGTATGGCAAACAAAGAACCCGTCCAGCATTCTAATTACTGTGACCCTCTTCGCCTAGAAGATAATTATAGCCATGACTTGCCAAAATCTGTGCGGTTAGCTCTGGGGGCCGGGACACCAAGTCTGTCGTGCAATTGGCGTTGCCGTACCGTGTCGCTTCCGAGGTCATCACGGCATGGTTGTTGATACCTCGACTGTTCATGTCATAAGTTCGGAACAAGTACTCAGGGAGTTCATTCTTACGATCTGGAGACAATCCGTATATGTGGACAGCAGTTGGATGTTTGAGATCGAACAAAGTGCGACCTACGATGTTTTGGAGAAATGTAGGCCAAAACTGGATCTATTGCTCCTTAATCTGCAGCTTTTCCTGCTCAGACCTTTGAGCCTTCGCCTCAGCATCCAGGGCGTGGCCTTGGTGGGATAATCTTGTCACATGTCCAAGCTCGAAGAATACTCATTCAGTGAAAGCAAGTCCTTGCGTGTGGTGGCTTCTTAATACCAGCATACGGCAGCTTGTACTAGTCCCGCGGATTGTGGATTCGGGTTGTCGATCCTATCAATTCCTGTTCGAGCCAGTTTCTTGATGCGATCATGATGTTTGGAGAGAAGTTTGTTCAGGTTTGATTGACGCTGCCCATCGCCGAGTGTGCGCAGAGGTTTGACGAAGTCCTGTTGACCTCGGCCGTTGCAGTTCTGATCCAAAATGCCAAACGCTCGTTCCCAAAGTCGTTGATCGCTGTCGTATTGTGCAATCCTCTAGTATTGATTTGATTGTTACGCTTAATCTGTCAAATCTATCTGTCAACGGATCAATCATATTGAGAACGATTGTACCTTCGCTCAAGACGGTATTCTGATTCATAAAAAGTTGCACCTTTGTGCTTGTCAGGCAGTAGCTGGTTGCTCGAAGTTTGCCCAAAGCATCAAGAATGAACGTCGTAACACATAACCGGCAATCCCTTGTGCCATGTATGAATGATTGGCGCCGCCAATTGCCCCGTAGCTGTTGGCCATGTTGTAGAACCTGGCTGGCAGTCGTACATGGATCATTATTTCAGCAGTCCTAGAGTGGGTGCCTGACCAAGCTTGTCGTTTAGCACAGTATCAGAAACAAGTTTATCGTTACGCTATTTGATTAGGGTCTTCGGCGATGCGCATAAACGCCCTGAATGTCGTGATAATGCTCTACTGTAAAATCACGGAAAGGACTGCCTGTAAATCAACTCAGCCGCTATCTCGGCCGGCTCTTGATTATAGTTGATTCCTACAACATATGCCACACGTGCTGGAAGCAGCCCCAACAACCCGTACACCTTGTCTTGCTGAAGTGAGCATGTCGCGCAGTGCGCAAGAAGCTTCAAATGCGGGATATAAGTATCGTCCAACGAGCCATCGTGTCACCAGACGAGATCGACGTCCTCCATATGGTTATGAATGTCAAGAGGTCTAATTTAGGCTTCAGCTCCAGCCAGAATGCCAAGGTTGAAACTTGTTGAGACTCGTGATAGGTAAGCAGAATTTCATATACGGTCTGAAGAGTTGATAGGTAAAATGTCGACTCTTCCCAGTACACCTTGGATGTCATGGAAATCACGGCCAGCCCCTGGATAACCCACAAGCGCGACCAGTATTTCTTTCGAAACATAAACAACAATTGTACATGAACTACATCACATATATGGCGTTCGAATCCAAATTCATCCTCTTCGTGCGAATCATCCGAGTGGTACTGATCAAAGACTAAGACATCAGCGCCCTCCACTAGTCTCATGCGCTGTTTGTCCTCATCCTCCGCCACTCCCCAGTCACAACTGCAGGTGCCAAGAAGTTCTTACAGAACATGCCTACCATACTCGATCAGAATCACCTCGCACAACACAAGATTTCCTCCTGATGATTGAAGCCCAGACCTTCATTCTAGTTCGGCACTCGTAGCTCTCCTGCAGGTCTTGCAGAGCTGCCTTCAGGTGCATGCTCACGACTGTGGCCATGCCATCAACATAGATGGTGGCGTTGTCCTCGCCAAGGGCGCCCCATGTATAGCTTAGACATATGTAGTCTCCCAAGGTAAATCTGGAAACGCTTATTGTAGATCTCGTGCTGGGGAGCCCTAGTCGTGAATTCGAGTCGATTGCCCCAGGCTTCCCGCAGCTGGGAGCTATCCATCGTTACGTTGCGGTCACAAAAAGCGACATACTCAGGTTTTCTGTCCTCCAAGATTACGTAGTGGAGTTTGAGGTGTAAATAGGCGTTTTCAGCAGGCTCTGAAGAAGTCTCTTCGAAGGAGAGCAGGCAGATTTCATTCTTGGGGATGTCTAGCGGGCGGTATTGATCCTGGATTTTCGCAGGCTCTTTCGATTGTAGACCTGTAGGCGACATCGTGACCAAGAATGATCTTCTTAATTCTGATGAGGCTTGTGCGCTAGATATTGTCTCGCAAAAAGATCTACTGTATCCTGTGCTGTACTGTGCTGTGCTTTCAAGCTGACCGGTGAGCCCTTGGCCAAAGGCGGTGTGGTTTGGTGCTACAAACGAGGCATGGTGTGTAAGCTCGATCTGCAGCTTACCATGCAATAACTACATTATTCAAGATTCCCATCGGTGTTGCTAGCTGTACGGTCTTGGTGGGCAGTATCTTCTGCTTGTCTACAACGACGGCGGACTCTTTTCGAATGATTTGGTGTACTAGGCAGCATTTTAGGTTAAACACGACCTCTGCTATAATTTCTCTCAGTAATAATTACGACCATCGCTTTCAACTACCGTATGGTATATATCCCACACAGTTGTACCATGTTCTGTTGGATATACAAAGACCTGCCTGAGCTGGCCGATAAAGTCCTCGAAACGTTTACCGTGTTATCGTGAAATGATCTGGCTACTCTACTACATGCCTTGCATTCGGCATACAGAAGTGCAACATCCGGGAAACAGGCAGTGACGATATTTTTACTTGAACTTTGCCACGGCATAGTTTCGCTCTTCCAAGTTCCCAAGATCTATTAGAGCAACACCATGCAACATTGACGAATGCCATCACCGCGTATTTGGAGCGAAAGCCGACAACTGGGATTGAGGATTCGAAAGATCAGACTTAACATCGAAAGACAGCGATACCCGTACTTATAGAGATATAGTCGCCGAGCGGGTTGGCTGCAATTCCAGTGGTCAGCTAGAAAAGCAGGAAGAGCAGATAGACTAGATACTAATTAGTCACATAAACGTACCGTCTGCGGGGGTTAAAATTGCAGTGAACCCGCCTTATGAGCCTCAAACCAAATATTTTTCGATTTAATCGACCACTGTGCCTGCAGCCAAGAGCAAATTGCCAAAGGACTAGTGTAATCAACACACAGCTCCATGGTGGATAGCAATTCCCATCTCCCATCTCATTGCCTCTGGGTACAGCGCTTGGGACAGCCTGGTGCACCAAGCTCACTAACCTAGCAGGGTCCCAGACCGAACTGACACCATATTGTCATACCTACCTTTGTTGTTTCTCTCTAAAGCCAGGCCAACCACAGAATTTCAAGGTTGCACGAATTGGAACACCGAGCTTTGCAGAAACTCTAACCAAGCTAGGACGGACTGTCTCATAGTAACAATGAATTGTAGCCCACAAATCCGTTGCATGTGTATGGTATGACATGGTCGTTTCGTTCAGATGTATGAAGCATTGTCCTCCAAAGGTACCACACTAATCGCGATATTGTCTAACGTCAGACTAATGTAAAATTCGATATAATCAAGAACAACGGCCCGCCGTTGCCGCTAAAGCCTCCATGAACATACCTCGTGCGGTAGGCCGTTAAACATGTTGCATACTCCGCTGCATATAACCAAGATTAAAAAGCGCCATCTTGCCGGGGGCTGGCGCTTACAATACTAGGTTAGGTATCTCTCGGCTTGAATACACTTGCTGAGGCATTGATTCGCTCATCCCAGAATGGTTTCAAGGTGTGACAATTGTCAATATAGTTTGAATTGAGGGATGGGGTGTAGATCCCTCAACGCTATAAACCCGGGCGCCGATAGCGCCTCTCGCTTCCTGCAAGCGGGGATTTAACGCCTTCACAAGTCGCGAATCACGACACACCTCTAAATTCCCCAATGGAACCTGTTCGTGAGATTCGGTCTTGGCGCGAGATGCTTTATTGATTGAATCGTGATAATTGTGTTGCAGTCCTCGGGAGCTTCCGAGCAGCGACGCGATAATGCTACACCGTAGTCAAAACCTGGCTGCATCTCTTCAATCCTATATATAGCAGTCATGGCTTGCTGCAGTCAGCTTTTGTTTCTGCAACCGAAATGAAAGCTTCTGCTTATCGGGTGCGCCCTAGATTCGATTAATTGAATTTCCGATTGGAGTATTCCACGCGCCGATCGGTCCCCATAACAGATCAAAGTTTACGAAGGGATCTGCATTGGGAACGAACGAGTCAAGATAACGTGCTATCCGACTCCGAGAGAGAGAGAGGGAGAGAAAGAAAATCCTTGCATGATCTCTCTTGAGATCTTAGAGCTTAAAGAAACCCGCATCATCGTTAGAGAAAAAGGGGGGCTTGACGATTGCATGTTGCATCCACCTTCTCTATACGGTGCTACGAAAGCAGCAGCATGCCCCCCCGATGTTACCCTAATGCTGCGTCCTGCATCTTTTTGCTGCAGCATTATCCAGAGCAAATATTGGAAAATCAGAACGCCTCTCAATGTCAGCTGCATCTTACACTCTGATTCTTGGCTTCTAAATACCAGTGCTGCCCTCGTTTGATGCTCACCACATTTGTCCGCTCATTGCACTTTCTCCTTCCCACGCTCGTTTGTGACCTCTTTTTCGCTCATTCTCAGCAATGATGTTCCGTGTCTTCTCTGGTGTAGCCTGCGGGCTCGCCCTCGCCCAGTCCGTCTCCGCGGCGGTCATCGACCAGGAGGTCAGTCAGGGCATCCCCGATACTGGTCTGGACACGTCCAGTTGGACCACCGGCACGCTCCCGAACATCAGTGACATGATCACTCTCAACGACTTTCAGATCGCCGCCAAGAACTACTTGTCTGCAAGGTACTACACGCAATACCGTACCGGTGCCTTAGACGAGACAAGTGAGAACGCACCCCTCTTGAGACCATCTGCGAAATTTTGCTAATCGACGTCAAAATCTGTGTAGCGTACATCAACAACTTGGAAGTCTATCGCAAGGTGCTCTTCACCGGCTTCGCCTTTCAAGATGTAACAAAGTTGAATCTCAAGTACGTTATGCAGCCAGTCCCTCGAGTAGAGATAAGACGGCTTTGAATACTAACAGAAGTGCACTCTAAAGCACCACCATCCTGGGCTATAATTTTGCAGCGCCGTACTTTATCGCGCCCGCGGCCAACGCAGGGCACGGCAGCGTGGGCGCGGAGGCTAACTTGGTGCGGGCGGCGGCCTCGGCGGGGATTCTGTACGTGCCGTCCATCTCGGCGACGCTGAGCGTAGAGGAGATCGCGGCTGCAAAAGCCGAGGGCCAGATCATGTTCCACCAGGAGTACTTGTGGGCGAATAAGACGCGGGTGGCGGACGAGCTGCGGCAGATCGAGGAGGGCGGATTCAAGGCCATCTTCCTGACGGTGGACAACACCGGGGTGGGCGGAGTGCGCGACCGCTCGTTGCGCTTCACCAAGGGCGGCGACACGGGCCACGACCTCGCCTTCACTGTCGAGTCCCTCGCCCAGCTGCGCAACCTCACCTCGCTGCCAATCGTGCCCAAGGGCATCAAAACGGCGCGCGACGTCAAGCTGTGCGCCGACCTCGGCTTCCCGGCTGTCTACATCTCCAACCACGGCGGCCGCGTCATTGATGGCGCCCCGACCGCCATTGAGGTCCTACTCGATGTCCACGCGCAGTACCCGGAGGTATTCGACCAGATTGAGATCTACGCGGATGGCGGCGTGCGCCGCGGCACGCATGTATTGACTCTGCTGGCCCTGGGCGCCCGCGCCGTGGGCCTGGGACGTCCACCCATGTTCGCCAACATCTTCGGCCAGGAGGGTGTCGAGGCCATGCTCGACATCCTCAACTCGGAGCTGGTCACGGAGATGCAGAACCTGGGGCAGGTGGACGTGAACAAGTGGCGCGGAAACACCAGCTTCATCAACACGAGGAAGGTCGAGTTGGAATACTTCGGCGCTCCCCTATCTAACTTTAATTTTTAATTTTCGGGCATAATTAAAAATGTCACAATAGCTCCATCTTGAATTCTTCACGATGACTCGATGTAATCGTGGAAGAAATCCACATAATCAAAGAAACTCCTCTTGTAGTGGCGGGTAAACAACCCGTCGGTGCGGTTGACCGTCTGCATACCATATTGATTTCCGTAATCGCCAAACTCATTATTATCAATCCAGCTCCAAGCCAGCGCCCCAATGATGTTGATGCCGTCCAAATGGATGGCGTGCAAGGTCTCGGCGAGGAAGTTCTGGTAGTACATGGACCGCTCGAAATCGTACCGCTGCACTAAGAGACTGTGCTCGGAGTCGCCGATCTGGGGGAACCCGAACTCGGTAACCATGATGCCGCCGGACGGCCTGTAGGTGTTCCAGACGTAGCCAAACTGCTCGCGCACGTACTGCTGCGCAATCAGCGGGTACGCGTTCGACTGCACGCCCATTAGCCAGCCGTTCTCCTGCGCGGCACCCGTAGCGACGCACATCGGCCACAGCGGATGCGAGGAGTTGGCGGCGCAGGCCGCGACGCCACCCTCGGGCGGGTATGCGAACTGGGCGACATATGGATCGAAGGCCCAGAAGTCCACCGTAGCGTTTAGGTAAGAGATCTCCTCGTATGTCAGCGCCGAAACGTTGACTCCGGGCGTGTTCAAAACAACGTTCGGGATCTGCAGCCCGAGAAACAGGGGGTTCGCCATGATGCCAAGCATGAATTCCTGGTAGCGAATAGCTGCCTCGACATGGCTCAGGTTTCCGACATCCAGTGGAACGGCCAGGTTGTTGGCGAACTTGGTGCTAACGCGACCAGTCCCTTGCAGCTCCTCTTTGTACCAGTGATACACGCTCGCATGTGCCTTGGCCTGAGCAATAAAGACGTTATAATCAGAGGACTGGTACGGGACTGCGAGGTTCGGCTCGTTGATGGTGAACCAGATCGGGATCCTGTCGGCGAAGCGCGTCATGACCTGCTTTGCATAGTACAGGAGATGCTCCGGAAATGTCTCGAGGTCGGCTAAGATGCCAACCGGGCTGTCAGCATGAACCAGCGTGGCTACCGGCGTGATACCGTAGTCATAGCACGTCTGAATAAGATCTTCATAGTGGTCAAGGGCCTGAGTGTTGACTGGCGAGCCGGCGACGCCGAAAGGTATGACCCGTGTCCAGGAGATGGAGAACGAGTAGTATGGCACCCCGAGGGCAGCGAGCCGGGCAATGTCCTGCTTGTACAAGAGGTAGTGCATGTCCGCGATGTTCGAGTCATTTCCATGACTGCTACCTACCACCCCAATAACGTCAAACACTCCGGGGCCCCGTCCCTCAAACTGCAGTCCGCCTTCAATCTGCCAGGCACTAGATGCTACTCCCCAGATGAAATCGCAAGGTAGCTTCAAGGACTTGTCTTCGTTCAGTGGGCGACCAGGGAGTGAAGGAGGATAAACCAGCTCGCTAGAGGCTACAGGTGTGGGAGATACTGTGGTGGTGAACGGAGGGTCTATTGAATACGTCAAGTTTGCCCAGAGAGCCGCGTATGCGCTCTGTCCAAAGCGGCCATCATCAGATGACGTCGCCAGACGATCTAGGCTATACGTGGTGTAAGTAATGCTTTCTGGGAGGAGGGTAGACGCCATCGAGAATGCTGGGGCGTATGTTGATAACGAAAGTGGCGTTGGGAGATGGGTGGCAAAACGATTGGTGCTCATCTGCTCATAGCTGAATGAGCTATAAGTCGGCAAAGCTGTCGATACCAGACATGGTCTCGCAGTTGTGAAGTTCGCATAGTCAGACTCAGCCAGAGTGACATGGCCTTGGGCCAGCAACCATACAAGAGCGCCAATTGAAGGCTCCAACAACATGTTTCATGCCACAATGAAAGAATAATCTAGTGGTTGGTCAAAACGTAGTCGGCAAGTAAGACCGCTATATATCGACGGATTCAAAGGTCTCATCTGCCTCATCTATCTGCCGTTATTCGTCACTGATCACCCTTCGAGCACCCACTTAACTCTGGTTGAGGAGTTATATGCGTCTCCTCCTCTAGGAAACTGGTATAGTACCCTGCAGTGGTAAACCTCGGACCGATTGCCCCGACCTGGTGAGGAGTAACTTTGCGGGGCCCCGCATTGTCGTTTGGCCAGCATCGGTCGGATGCTACATCTCAACGCGTCCTCAAGCCAAATTTCATAGCCAGGGTCAGAGAGGCTCCCGAACTAGAAAATATACGACAGTTATTCTCAAAATTTGCACATTGCCGGAATTGTGAGGCCATAATTCTGTGCAGACGGCCAATGACATTGAATTTGCGGATCTTTTCGTATGAACGTTACGGCTCCGGCATTTCTGCCGGACGAGAGCCGAGCCGAGAGCGAGAGATCCGGAATGTGGATCGTGGGTTCGCTCCTCTGTACCAATTTGGGCAAGACATTCACTGTGGTTGTATCATCAGTGCAAATAGACACTCAGTAAAGCTCATTACCGGGTGGCTCACGCTGCAGTTATTTGCGCTGCAATAGAGGTTGTTGGGTTACTACATTTTTCCAACTAGCCCTCGTCTCTCTCAATCTCACAGGCGAACCTAGCTGCAAGTGCACCATGAGTCATCACGGGACAAAGCTCAACGCGATGAAGTTGAGAAGAGAAAGCACCACTGCAAGACAGGGAATGAGAGATGTTTACACTTGCCTGATTTACCCACGGCAATGACCTTACGGCTTTCAAATGTTTGCACAGCCTTCATTTTCCACCGCTTGGTGTACGCTCGGGTTCTATTATCTGAAAGAATAGCCGCGTTGTAGTGGTTCGAGGCTACGTATCGATTGCGGCATACCCTGTTGGAGACTTGTGGCACAATACCTTTGACCTCGATCAAACACATTGTTTGTCGAATCACGATGGTGTTGAACTCAAAGATAAGAGATAACTGGATACAAAGCCGTCAACGCGACTCAGCCGCATAGTCGGTTGTGGGGACGACAATGTGAAGATTACTGAATCAGATATCTGATTTATCTCCGGGAGGCCGTAGTCGAGTGTCAAAACGGTACCAGCTCCATATATTGAGTATCAGGATGATATCTCAAAGACCCTAGGTGACTGCGACAGTTGTCTGTGCGCGCTGAATAAAGCCTTCATTAAGCCAGCCAGTGAAGTCTGTCTGACTTAGGTACAGAAGCAACCGATTCCGCATCCTTTCGAAGACTATAACAACCGTGTTTCTTGTGGTGTCAATACGGACCAGTTGTAAGTTGGACCCTGCGGGTTCTAAAGTGGGCAGACCACGGCTGAGTTTGCCCTGGAAAGTGAATGGGATCAGATTCACTGCTTCACGCCTCAGCGCTAAAAACGAGGAGTCAAGGTGCAGCGTGGTCATAGGATCAATGCTATCGGCCGAGAAGGGACGCATTTGTGGCACAATAAAAATCCTACCCAACTGCCCGCAAATAAATTGCAGAGTAGATTCTTCGGACCGCCCGAAGTAAGGCGGTATATGTGCGTGCCATGCAGGCTGATACGATCCAGAGGATGAGATCCATGCTCTGATTTGATATTTGCAAACGCCGTACGATCCTCCATGACATCAAGCCAAGATCATCGTCAACGCTCGCCGGATGCATTTGGAGATTTCAACAGGCTCAACTTAATATTGCTTGAAACTGCTCAATCATCGAAAATTGGATGAGGATTCGACTCTGCCGTACGGTACAGAAAATAATGATAATATAAATTCGTATTCATTGGTGGTGTTGGTCATGAACCCCTCAGACGTTGCTTGAATTCAACCAAAATTAAATCAGATCTTGCAGCGCAAGATCCTTGTTGCATGCTCGAACGAACAATGCTCTTTATGCTTGGCGCTTGAGATATCTGCATGCTGGCTCTGGGTTCAATACTGCATACAAATTGAGGTGATTGCTGTGCCGTGTCGCTGAAACACGGGCGCTACGCCACAGCCGGAAAGCAACAAGTTAATTGTGTGCTCGTGAAAAAAATCTATAACCAAATTTAGAAAGCTGGACGTTTTGGCAAAGCAAGAATGGGAGCATATTCCCATTGTCAAACCGGCAATGGGTCCGTGCAATGGAGTATCATAGTCTTCGCACCCATAGCGTGTTCGGTAGTTGATGCTAACTACTGCATTTCCAGTTCAGGTAGCTCAGGAACAAGAAAATTAATTGAGTGCATACTCCTGACGTTGATCCACCGGAGTTCGGCCAAGCTCTGCCCAACCTTGATTTGACCCCAAAAACGTGAAGGAGTAGTCCGGGCAGGTTGCATTGCACAAGACCTTCCATGCTTGCTGTGCAGCAACACGGTGGGTCTACATATACGATCGTCTACATAGTAACTACACCGTTGCAAACTTTAAGCTTTGACTGACCGGGTCACGGTTTTTTTTTTCGACGTTATTATGATCACACCTCTAGTGTCATTCGTAATTTGAATCCAATCAGAAGAAGACATAGTGACGAATGTCAAGATATGGTCTACACGCCGCCGAAAAGATCTGTTGCGGTTGAAACATGTTGTGTTCGGACGAGTCACTGGTCCGGACAAGTCTCAATACTGTGCAAACAGAGCACCGTTTCATCGGCACCATAAGCCAGGCAAATAAGGGTAGGGATTATGCCGTACTATATATGCACTTCGGCTGCGATCTGGGGTCAGACAAGGTCAGGATTACTACAGTATCGTGCCTCGTTTCCTTAGCGCCAGCGATTTTGCAACAGCCCAGCAACAGGAAGTTCATAACATATTCCAACTTCAGATTGCACACCGAATTGAAGAATATGGTCGTCCGAGCGCCAGCGCGGATGTCGTCCCGAGTAGTTGTTTTGGTAAGTGGGCCAACAGCAAGACGCACACAATCGATGCCGACTCGAAGACCGAACCTCAAGGCAGGAATACATAAGCATGGCTCGTGCTGTCAGTCTTCGGGAACTGAGAAAAGTCAAACGCTCCTGACGGAGAAATCCGTAGTCTAGCTGGAATAATCGACAATCACATAACACTTTTCCTTCAGGATTGTTCGTTGGAAATGGTGATGGTTTGCGCAAACATTATCGTTGGTGGTGGCAGAGCAGCTCTAACGACAGCCGGATTTAGTAGCATATGCCACGATGATGCATAGGCGAGGTGTAGGGATGGCCTCCTTCCCATGCAGTGAAGTAATTGTCGCACTCCTTCAGGTTGATGAGAGTTGGAAGGAGTTGGATGGTGGTTGATACCATCTTTTGGTTCACGTGGGCACGGGTACTGCTTACTGCTTGGCCAAGATGCACAATCCAGATGCAGACCCCCTGATTACAGGCAGTTAACCGATGAGCTCTCGAAGTTGCACAAGCTTTCACAATGGTGGAGCGACTTCGTCCAGGGTGTGCGCTGGATATCGCCCAAGTGGAGTTTATCATCTGCCCAGAGGCCCCCGAGGCCCCCAGGCCCCTCTTTTGAAGTAGCATCGTGTACAACTTTGAGTTGCGATGAAGACTTCAATGATGGACAGGGGACGGTGACGTTTGCCTGGTTGGCACTAGAAAATCCCGAGAATCGCACCTGAAAGAGTGCTATGGCCCGGTCCATCAAACAAATGGCCGACTAGCTGACCATTTGGTGTCTCCATTGGTTTTGCCCACCATGCGATATCCGGATATCTGATCGTGGACTTGGGAGGATTGGGAGGTCGGGCTTTGTCTAGCTATTGATTGGTAACTTATGCTCTTGACTCGTCGGATCGTACGCTGTATTCTAGTGGCAGGTTGAGTAGGAGGTCCGGCAACGCGGTACCCAAGGCCCGCGGAGAATAGTGGATGTGGGAGCTTTCTTGGTGGACGGGACGAGTCAGAAAACGATCCCAGCGCCACCTAGGCTTGCTAACCTTAGACAAGTGGTTCGTGTTCCCAAACGCCGATTAGTGGCAAAGCTGTTGTGAATCCACATAACTTAGTTACATTTTCATCCGCGTCGATACTAGATATCACCCATCGTGGTTGAGCGTGACCGGGTATGTCTAGAGTGTGGTCCAAGGGGTTTGGGGGATGACCTAGGGTAGTATCAGAACAATAGCGGGGGTGCCATCCATGTACAATAAAACGTTGGTACGAAGAGCCAAGGGTAGCTGCAGGGAGGCAACGCACCTTGAAAAGCAAAGATCCATACTGTAATCTTAATATGTATGTTCTTTTGCACATCCCTTCTGTGATCGCGGAGCCCTTGAGCCCTGTCAGTTTGCCCTTCTGACGCAAGCAACGACAAGGCTTCTCATATTACGGATTACTATGTATTAAATGAAACTGAGGCCCTACACCGCAAGCACAGCTCTGATGAGCTTTTCGAGATGTGAGCTGATCCCTCTCCACTTTTGCTTTCGCAACTCATTGCCGTCGCTCCCAAGACGGAGTAGACCTTTCTTGAAACTTGCATGCGAGTGTTTTGTTTTTCTGGAGTATCTTGTTCTTTTGGAAGCGAACCGTTGCATCGCCCGCAATGAGTGGAAGAAACAGTATCACGATGGATTCGTTGTAAGTCCGTGGAAAGCTAATCTCCGTCCGCTATAGAGAGCTACATTCTACGTTTTTGATCCTGAACTAAGCCGACATGGGCGGTAGTTCCATCACAACCGACTGCATCGAGGTTGGCAATACCATATCGAGGGCCTCGCTGGTGTTAAACGAATTTGTTCGAGAAGTGCGAGAAGCACGAGCCGATTTGGACAATGTTTCTCGAGAGTTACATTCTTTGCAAAGAGTTTTGGATTTGCTAAAGGACGACGCTGGGGCTTTACCTTTGAGGGTTGCGACCGAGACGCCAGCCTTGCTACAGCAGTGTAATCGAGTCGTAAGTGAACTAGACGCCGATCTGTTGGCTTTAGACGGAAGCGCTTTATCACGGCCACAAAAACGGTCGCAATGGATTTCAGTAGGCAAACAACAAATTGCCGAACTGGTGCCAATCATCGAGGTGCATCGAACCATGTTAGGGTTGGCGCTGGATCTTGTCGGAGTGTAGGTATTGCTGTCACGATCAAATAAGTATTACTGACGAGGTAACAGTACACATGGTCGCGAACTGCACGATAGCTGGGGTCAGGAAAACTACGACAGCACGGAGAATGAAGAAAGGCAAGCGGAAGTTCGAAATGAAGCGTTTCGAATAGTGGAGGAAATGAACCAGATACAAGAGAAGAGATCCGATCTATTTGAGCCCAGTGGTCTCTTCCCTCGCTTATCAACACATCTTGTGGCTCTGAAGATCTACGCCAACTCCTTAATACCTAACAAAGACGAGGAAGATGGTGTAATTTTGGGTGAAGCGACGACAGTAGGCTCATCTGTAGAGGAGACGCCAGACAGTGCGATCGAGGTCAACGACGAGTCTTCATTCAGGGACTTCCACACACCACCGGATACTTCATTTCATGCGGACAACGCATCGCACACCGAGTCACCTGTACTCGAAGCTCGTACAGCCTCCCAGTACATTCAAGACGTCAACGATTTGATGAGTGAGATGATCGACGACAATCCGAGCCGAGCACCGACTCCACCGCCGAAGGATCTTAAACGGCTTGCCGCACGGCGGAATACGATGGTATCCCCATTCGAACCAGCCATCACGGATTCTGAGAACCTGTACGGTGTTGTTACCGAAATCACGTCAGGGGGGAGAAAGCCGTCCAATGGACCGCCGGCCTCACGAGGTCGGTTTGGCAAATTCTTTGGGCACATGAAAAATGCACTATCTGAAAGTCCTAGTGCTGCATCTTTATCGTCATCGTCTTCGACCAAGTCTGCACCACGACCAATGACACCTATCATGCAAGCCAGTCTCGTCCGCAGAGGCAGCAGGAGACTGTCAACATCGATAAAAAGACTGCCCATGTGGAACACGGAATTAGAAGAGCCCGAAGGACCCGCATCTCCCGGCTCCAACGCCATCTTTGGCGTATCTCTGTCTAAGAGCATGCAAGCCGCGAAAAGTCAGGCCAAAACCCACCACAGCGGTAGCGGTTCATCTCGGCGCGAATTCCCTCTGTGTGTGCACAAGTGCGTCAACTTTTTGCAAGCAGAAGGCATCGAAGCACCCGAGATCTTTGCCGAACCTGGTGATGGCTACCGAGTCCAAAAGCTCAAAGCGTCGTTCAGCGAACCACCAAAGTATGGTGAAGATATCAACTGGGACAACTATGGGGTTTACGATGCTGCAGATGTCGTACTTCTCTTCCTTTCACAGCTACCAAAGCCATTGATTTCCGAGAGTATCGCCAAACGATGGATATCGCTGTCGAAGCAGGCAAGCGTGAGCGGCTCGCATGGCACTCGTCTGGATCAGAGCATCGACTTCTGGGATGAATCGCTGGGGGGTTTGCGAGGCCCAGCTCGCAACTTGTTCAAGCTCTTGTTGAACTTGTGGTCCTCTATCGCAGATGCGGCCGACAAGAACGAAATGACTGCCGAGAGGCTTGCGGGTGTGATACTCAAGCCGTTGATGCACACCTCGTCGGAGAAATACTCGACCGATTTCATGCTTGCTTTGGCTTTCTTGATCCGGAAGCGGAGCGAATACACCATCATGCTGAATGAAGGCCGGAAGAGTCGAGCCGCATGGTGAGCTACAACACATTTTTTGGCGATAGCACTCTCTCATGCACACATCTCTCTGCGCACTCTTGCAATGCCTTTTGCTCAAATTCAGCATGGCTTTAACTTTTTTTGATGCTTCCTCCCCACGCTTTCCCAAGTTTATTTTTATTTTTTATTTTGGTTTTATTTTGGATACGTCCCAATGCAATATATGAACATTGAGGAGGATATACCCGGACTCGCCAATGACGACATCATTATCTCCAGCAACAACATGATTCGACCGATAATAGGGAGATTATCCACGAACAACATTTTTCTACTACATTTCGAGCGGTCGGGCGGTTGATATCACGATTCCTTTATTTCCTTGCTGGAAGCTAGTTCGATTGGCGCTCTCCCAACGGTGGAGCAGGTGGACGCAAAGTTTTGTGCTGGAGGCTGGTTTTCACTGCACCGTTGCGGAACAACGTGCCAGTGGATACTTCGACTTATACACATTTGGACATGAGCGGAGCGGTTTGGTTTGATCTTTGGAGTTGGGCACAAGCTGGAGGGATATATATTTCTCGAAACAACCTTTTTCTCTTTTTCTGCGACAACAGCATATGATACCAAGATGAGTAGTATTACTCTTGTATAGCGACAATGGTTTTATGAGTAATATAACGCGGGTTTCCTGTGCGTCGTATTTGTCGTCTTGACTTTTTTCGAGTCTGTAATCTGGACATTCGTAATAGCGCCGTTGTGTAGTTTGACAGGACAAGACACAGAGTAGGATAGAGTCTGCACATCACACGTGGATTCAACTATTAGTGCTGAGGTAAGTTTCACTACCAACCACCACAATTTATTGAAAATGCAGTTGTTGTCTTTAAACGATCAGGCAACTGGATCTGCCAACAGCAAATCCTGGGCAGTATTTGGACTCAAGTGGCTGTACTGGGAAAGTTTTCCGTCGTCGAAGGCCCCTTTTGGGGGGGCTGCATAACAGGAAACGGCGCGCGTCAAGAAAGCGTGCAAAAATTATACTACGAGCAGCCTCGGCGGCAATGCAAACGAGAACTGACATTGTCTCTCATTCACACATGTTTTGTCTCTCTGTCAAATCTGCATTGCAGACAAAATGGATCAACTATGCAGATGAAGCTACACAGTGTATTACCTATCCTTTGCAGGTACAAAGAGCATTCTGGATTATCAAGGATTGAAACATTATATCTTGCGATGTGCATCTTGACTTATGAAATGGCGAAGCAACAAGGCCGCTAACCGAACCAATTGGACCACTAACGGATCACCTAATCCCACTGAGCATTACCTAAACTCCACTGGACGCGAGAAACACGGTCGCGCGTGCTTTGCTGCGCGAGGAAAAAAAAAGTTGGAGGCGGAGGGTAAGTGAGGAGAAAGAAGAGGACCCGGGCGCCTTGAAAACGCACACTAACCCAGGCTTAACCAAGCAGAATAGTGTTCCCTGGCAACTTTCGAGGGCCTCTTGCCAGCAGACCCGACCACTTTCCCAGACCATTTCGGAATCAATTGTCTGGCCAGAATTGTTTCCAGACCTATTTTACCGACTTTTTGATTTCTGCATATTCCCCGAATTCGTGTACACACACCAGTTTCTTTTCCGTTCTGCGAATCGCTGGGAGGCCAGTTCTGTACCTGTAATTCTCGACTTACAGCAGCAACCGCACTGGAGAGGGGGCACTAATATCGGCTCCGGCTCCAAAGATTGGCTTGGCTGGGCATTGGCCGCTCCAGCGAGTTTCCAATTCTGATGCGCGTCACTGGCACCGCGAATTGGCACTAGCGAATCGCGTCTACCCTTGCAGTTCATCAGACCCGTGATACTCTCCTCCTGTCACCCAAATTTCTCCCACTGCCATTTTGGTCCTTTCTTTTTACTTGGTCAATTCGATACTCAACTACATTGACATGAGATCTGGTCAGTCAGAATGTTAAATTCACCAGAAAAGACAAGGGCAGACAGCATCGAGGCTGCCGAGCCCAGTCTTCCGCCCACGATTGCTTCCTCCACTAACACCGTGGCCGGCGTGAAGCGACCTGCTGCCACACTTCTTCCCGCGTTCGAACCTCTGTCCTCCTCCCCTGGCCTACCTCGTCCCTCGAAGAGACAGTCTATTGGTGACAGATGTTTTGGCTCCAACATTCACAAATATCCTACACCCGTACCGACCTCTAGCACCGGCATCCTATCATCGTCTCCTCCACGCGTCTCAAGACCAGCCTTGGCACGCCCCCAGTCTACCGTGTCAGAGCGTGCTCCCCTATCCGCAGTTCCCAGGTTGGAACTGAACGAGAATGGCGAGGAGATTCTTATGGGCCGGTCGAGCAACTCGTCTCACTATCAGCTCTCTGCCAATCGCCTCATATCGCGTGTCCACGTCCGGGCGCGTTATATCCCCGCTACCACCCCACTCGAGCCGAACAGAGTAGAGATCAAGTGTACTGGATGGAACGGATTGAAGCTGCACTGCCAAGGAAAGACGTGGGATCTGCGAAAGGACGATACGTTCACGTCGGAGACCGAGGATGCTGAGATGATGGTGGATGTTCAAAACGCGCGTGTCATGCTGCAGTGGCCCAAGATCGACCGCCACGAGTCTGTTGCCAACCTATCAGACTCCTCGTGGGAAGATTCACCACGATCTCGACCCATCCGTAACGCGGAATTGCTTCATTTGAGCCCACTTCGTCGACAAACGCGTATCCAATCGCCTGAATCACCAACGCCAGGTCTCAAGTCTGCCTCTGCCTCTGCCTCAGGCTCGTCGGCAAGCTTGAACGCCATCTTGTCCACCCATGAAGCTGATGATCATGTTCAGATCTACGAGGACCCAGAGGAGGATAACGAGCCAGAGCTACCCGCGCCACACCATGACGTCGATGTTTCGTTCGCCCCCACGGAAATGACTAACAGCTTTTCGAGTGACTTGAGCGACCCAGAAGACGAGAATGACCCTGATGAGGAGAACGATCCAATCGTGCACTCTTTCGGCCCTTTCGGTGCCAACCTCTCCAATCGTATGGCAGCGTTCACTACGTCTCCCCGTCAACCAACATTCATGATGCCGCCTATCCCCGAGCCAGAAGAAACACCTCTACCCGAACACCTCAACGTGTCAGCTATTACCAACCATGTCGTGAACCAACTCGCATACTCCCGCCTGTCTTCCAACCCCTTGTCTGGTATCATGAACAACCTGCCGACCGAGGAGAAAAGAGACTTGACCAAGAGACATCTGCGAAGGATCATCGAGTCAACTGACTGCATCGGCATCATTACGCGACATGGAAAAGACGCTGCAGGCAAGCCACTCGAGAGCGAGTACTACTATGTCCCTGAGAAGGACAGTGATGACTCGCGACGTCTGGCCGTGACTGACGGATTGAGAAAACCAAGCTTGCGAGCTTGTAGAAAACAGCACAAGGTAACTAAACTTACTGTGAATCAAGGTGGGAAAGTGCCGAGACTAATATGTGGTGCTGCAGCAATACTTCTGGAAACGGCCCAAGACGCCTTGAACTTGATACTTGTCATAGGTTAGAAGTTCTGCTTGATTGGCGATTTGAACAATGTCGTTCCGAAGGTGTTTTTTTGCTTCTCCCCCCCTTCACCAAGCCGCCACGACCGGCCTCCCTTTTTCCACCATTGATCATTCTCACATTGGCACAATACCCCCAATGATCTTGTTATTGTGTCAGATATGTGCATAGCGAGGCGTTATCTAATGTTCGGGTTTCAGTTTTGTTGTGCACTTGGAGCATAGGGTTTCTAGACTGTCTCAAGTATATGTGCCCTACTTATTGTTGTTGTTGTTAGCATTGTTGTTCTGGATGGAGTTGGAGAAGAAGGAGACGTTGAACGATTATGACGGAATAGGACACCAAAAAGACGGAAGCTGGGAAGATTGTACACAAGACGTTGAATGAAAGTCATTTGACGTACTACTACTTTATTAGGCAGAAGCCGGGCATGATTCAAGCATTGTATAATAATACCAAAGTTTACAGAAACTATCTCGTGATTGTCCATAGGCGAGGTACCCTAGGTGTTCCTAGCTTAAGGTTAGTCGATTATGATCATACTTCGAGGAAAGATTGCCGCTTCTATAGAAGCTCATCCCCTCCACTTTGAGCTTAACTCAAGCCCCTCAGCCCCTCCTCGACTCAAGATTATCAGGCGAGACTACCCCGCATTAGCCACTGAAGCTCGGTCATGCTCCTTGCCCGTTTGATACATTTAGTGGCGATAAACGCCTAGACTGAGCCAAACTTACAGGGGTCGGCCATGTCCTAGTAATGGGGGAAATCCAATTAACTGCTAATCCTCGCGGATCCTTTTCTCTACCTTTTGAATTAGACTTGACTGCCTTTCTCAAGCATATATAAGCATATGTTCCAAACTGTGAGGATAGACCTACAGCTTTGATCTTTATTGCATTGACAGCTTTATCCGGTACCAGTTGAGAAGAGCTATCAAGGGTTCGTCTTCATCCTACGCATGTATACACAACCTCACCTGGTCTGCAGATCCTCCATGTGTACTACAACCAACCTATCCAATTTCACCCGTCTATTGCCCTTACACCTCTCCAAAATGCTGAAGGCCAAATGAACTGACGAGCTAAATCTTCTGAACAGCCCCTCGCCCCATCTTCTGAGCCTGAATCTACGATCCGGAATACCCCTCCCAATCACCACCACCACAGCACCGGTCGTCATCACCACCAGCTTCGGCCCAGCAGCAGCAGCAGCAGCAGCAGCAGCAGTCATGTCTCAACAACAACCCCCAAACAAGATCAACCTCGACACCTCCTCCTCGTCGGTAGGCGCACCAGGCCCCATCTCACCACAGCTAGAGAAGGACGCTGCCCGCGCCATGTCGTCGACCTCGTCCTGGAAGCCGACTTACGAGCGCAAGCAGAGCTACCACAAGGAGGACCAGAAGCACGAGTTGCAGATGAAGATGTCTGGGCTGGCGGACTCGGGGAGCGGAGGTAAGCCGGCTGCTGGGTTCAGCCAGGGCGGTGGGAACTGAAGAGTGAGGAGAGAAAACGATCAAGCAGCGGCGGAAAAGGGGACGGTGTGAGGTTGTGTACGTGTCCTTGGACGACCGGCCGGCGGTCATGTGGCTGGTGGAGGTCGTGGTGCTGGGGTATATCTGTGATTTGTGTGGCGGTGGCTCTCGTCGGCCTGTGCTTGCGTGGTTTCGAGGGCCGCTATGTTCGAGTTGATCGAGAACATGTGCGTGGATTTGAAAGGGAGGGTTCCATGTGTCCTGCCGAAGTACAGTTGGGATGAACTTTTACCGAGAACGAACACGAGAGAGAAACATTTTGGGAAACCGAGACTGCGATGGTTGCACGGGTAGTGCCCAAACCACAGAGTGAGGGGGAGGAGATATGTGTTATGCAGTTTCAATTTGACAAATTGAACCAATGCCATGATCGTTTTCACTTCGTTTGCCGCCTGTGCTATGGTATACATTTGATATGGTTGTATTTCCATCTGCTACTATAAGCATTGAGTGGAGAAAACTAGACCGACAGCATCTAAGCGCACCTAAGATGACAAGCCTTCGGCAGCTGTCTGAGCTGTAGCATGAACATGATGGGGGTGTCTGCAGGAATGCTAAATGATATGAAAAAGAAAAAGCATCGGGTGGTACAGTTTGGTTGTTCCCCAAGTCATCCACAATTCCAAGTCCAACGCCGGTAACCCAACCCTTTGAGCTGAAATCCCCTAAGAAACTATAATTACACCTTCTGTTCGTTTTCTGGTACGACAGAACAGCCGCATTCCGAGCTTGGTTCAAAGCACCCTTGAGGACGGAGCGATCCCTTTCAGAAGCCAGTCGGTCCCCTCCCGTCCGCGCCACCCGTGGCGAAATATTCCCCAATGACACCTAGGGCGTACGACAGACCAGCGACCGAGACGCCGCCGATCAGGATCCTCTTGGTGAAGCTCCTCTTTTTCCTTCTCTCTCTGCTGGAGCTGTGTTCGGACGGAGTGGTCTTGGGACCATTAAAGACGGGCTCCTCGCGTCTCACGTGGATACTAGACTTGAACCCCTCGGACTTCTGTACCTCTTCACTTTCAGCAACAGCACTCGACGACGACGGGGGGCAATCATAATTCACGAAGCCCGTCGGGCTCGCAAACGCCGCGGCGCGCGGGAATGCGGGCATAGGCTTGCCCATCATGTCAATGGGGTTGACCGGTACCTGGTATTCTGATTTCTTTGGGGATACAACATCTCGGGTCTTACGGAACACGAGCACATCCCCGCTCCCCGAGACAATCTCAAAGCCCTGTGTTGCCAACGGCGCGAAGTGTGGGAAGAACTTGATCGGGTTAGAGAGGCGGAGGAGAACCTCTGCGGGTGTCAGAGGGGAGGCCTGGTCCGGCACCACCGACGTCGTCTCGGCGGTACTGACGTTTTGCATTGTGGGGTCGTAGGCCAAGATCTTGTAGATTGTTGGTTTGGCGTTGATTGTGGAATAAGATGTGGATGCGGCATTGGTGGTATTGGCGGCGCTGGCTGCTGCTGTTGATGTTGATATCGTGGATGATTTTGTCCCTTGGGCTGATTGCGATGATGAGATATTGTCGACAAGCTGGTCAAGTGATACCGCCGAGAACGGCTCGGGGAACTTGGGCTGCTCCTCGACGGGCTTGACATAGCTGCCATAGTTTCTGACGTAACTAGGACCACTCGAATCAGATCCGCATTCATCTGCATAGCTCGTCTCCAACGGGCCTGGCCTCGAATAAGGGTCAATCTCAATTTGTGAGGTAGGTGTTTGACGTTTGAGTTTCCTACTGCGCTTCAATGTAGTGTCAACCTTAGACTGGGGTTGCCTATCCAACGCCGGTTGCAGAACTGCGCTATTAGCTGTCCTGAAGAGGCTCTCGGAATAGGTCTTTTCGGCGTTCTGCACACGAGCTTGGACTTGCTGCTCATACGCGCTGGCCTCTTGTTGGAGTCCGGTAGCAGTTTCGCTCCACGTGCTCGAGAACTCCTCTGGGAAATCACGGACAAAGTTGCCCGTCATCCCTGACTTCCGTTGGGCACTGGATCTCTGCCGCGATAATTGCACATTAGCAATCGCTTCTCTATCAGCTGCGTCTGACGCTGCGATGTGTTTTGAAAGGGACCGTTCCAGGTGCTCCCATGTTTCACTCTTTGCATCAAAATCCTTCAGACAGGCGTCAACAATATCTTTCTCTAGAACTGCTTTGCCCTCGGGCTCCTGAAATCTAAACGCCTTGTACTTGTTCAAATCGCCATATTGCTCAAACGGTTTCTCTACAGGATCATCAAACTCCCTGGGCTGGTACTTGGCCAGGTCATCGTATTTCTGCTGCGCTTCAGATGGTGCCTTCCCTTCTTCATGATGGAACGGCTGATTGTACTTGTCTAAATCTTCATAAGCTGCCGGAGACTCTTCAACCCTGGCGCGGTCTGAGAATACCGATGGTCTGTACTTGTCCAGGTCCTTATACTTCTCCTCGGCAACATCAGTATTGAGCTCCTCGTCCTGCTCAAAATTTGCATATTTGTCCAAATCCGCATACTGCGGTGTAGACCTCTCAACTTGGGCGCTTTCATTGTGTTCGTAAGGCCTGTATTTGTGTAAGTCATCGTATGCCAGTGACGGGTCCTTAGCTGGGGTTGCCGATTCGTTGTACCTGTAGGCTTTGTATTCGTGGAGATCATCATACTTCTCGGCGGGTTCCTCCAAGGTCGCTTGGACCTCGTCGTATTGGGATGGGTTGTACTTGTGAAGATCATCATACTTTTGGGTGTGCGTCTCTCCTGACGATTGGACTGGATCATACTCAGATGCGTTGTACTTGTCGACATCCTCTCGAATTTCGGCGGCCTCCTCTGGTGGAAGATGATTCAACGAGTACTCCTCGCTTTGAGTTTCAACATCTAGGGACGCTAGTCGATCCGCTGCCGCATCAACATCCACATCATTATACTTGGTCAGTTCCTCAGGGGGAGGTGGTCCATCCGAGTAGACGGGCTGCTGGTTGGTTGGACCGCTGATGTTTGGCGGGATAAACATGGCGAATTGAGATCTGTAGGACTTGAACGTTTCGGCAGGTGTTGCTTCTGGTGCACTCTCAAAGGAGCCATAGCTTTTCTTCATGACCTTGCGGTTCGTGATAGGATCAATTACATAGTCCTCTCCGACCTGGATCGGACTGGCAGTGTTGCCCTGTTGGGATCTTGCCTCTGGAGTGGAAGTAGACTTTGCCCGTGTCGCAGCCTTGTTCGCTTGCTTCGTCCAAGAGTTGACCATACTATCCAGCTCTGACTTCCACGAATCGAACTGGCCCCCAAATGTATTATTCGAAGAAGCCTTGGCTCGGCCATCATCTGCGTTATCGCCGCTGGGTATGTTGCCATACCAGCGCGCCGATCTGTCACTACTAACACCACGACTGGTGTGGACATCGGCCGGATAGCAGTAACGCCCCACAACGCGGCGGAGTATAGCTCGAGGATCTTCGGACAAAGGGCTATGGTCCCACTTCAATCGGCGGATGATTGTCTCAGCATACTTGTGCTTCAGCATACGATGGCGACGACGCAAATCACGTTGGGTTTCGGGATCGAGGTATGATGACCATATGCCGAAGCGAAAGCCACGGGTTTGTTGCCCGGGGCGTGATTTGGACAGCGAAGCCCCGACCGGTCGTAGCAGAGTAGTACTCAATGCATGGCCACGAAGTATGCCGGCCTGCGATGGGGATTGGGTTGCGATGTTGGTAAACATCTTGAACAAGGGCTGACTTAGATCATCGAAGTCGTCACGATAGCTTTTGTGACAAGTGATTGCTTTGTGAGCTGCGGTTTTCACACGGATAGTTGACTTGGCCCTGCGGGAAGCTCGGAAGATGTTGCGTGAGGGCAATCAGAGAGATGGTTTAAACTATCGAGGTACAGCTGCCACAGAATGGGATTGGGATGTGTGATAACTTGATACCAAAGGCCGGTCAGCCAGGTTTGAATATCAAAGCATGGAGGCACGCCCAAGGTCAGTGGATCAAAGGTGGAATAAAAGAAGGGAAGAAGAAAGTTGGAGACGCCGAATCGACGTGTCCCTCCTCCTCTCCTCACCTTTGCGCTGCAAGGCAACCAGACGGCACACCACTCACGCAGCTACAACTCGTGCACCAATGGCACCATCGCTCATCACTCCAACTTCCCCCGCGAGCAGGCGAGTAACATATCGACTGACTGTGGGGATGCTCGTCTTGGATCCAATTTAGCGTCTAGCACAAGCCTGAGGAGGACCGGCCATGCTTGCAACTCAGACGACGCAATAGGTAATATCTGGGCCTCGTCGCTGGGGGAGCTATCAGTTGTGATTTGGGCTTTGCGGGGTAGTGAGCAAAGGAGCAGCCAGGCGAGCGACGTTGCAAGGATTCATAGACGCCGATAGTGAAACTACATGCGTCATTGGTGCGTACAATTGATGGTTCCACGGGCGGACGGGATGGTGGATACTCTCTCTGTAGCGCGATCTTTGCATGTTTTGGAGTCAATGGACCCTGCATTCATAAAAGCTGACGTGAAAAGACTTTTCGCGGAAAGGATAAAAAATTTGAAAAAAGAAGATCGACGTTCAATGTGATTTCCGGGATAAACTTTACTTCGTGTTGCTTATTCTTAATACCCTTGAACTCCACCAGTGAAAGCGCAAGCAGAACACCGTACACAGATCATGATCCTCTACTCTTAGCATGTCTCCAGCTATGGATCCGATTCAATCAGAGCTACGGATCCGTAGTTGTGGGGGGAATCCACCAACCTAAGGTTACCTGTCCTTACCTATCGAAGCTAAGTGCTGGGCGCGCTGTTGGCAGTTCCCAAGGAAGCCGTTCGTTCACAAGAATTCTCTATCTCCGAGGTCTACAGGTTGCATAGATTTCAACATTCACAGCCATCACTGTGATGGCTTGTCTGATTCTATGTTGCATCGACGACTCTCTACTCGATAACAGTTGTATACACGACAATTATTAAGTTCTGATGAACATTGGTGTAATTCCATGCGACATCAGTGACTGTCCGCTGGCAACCATGGTTCCAAGTCCGTAGATCTTTATATAACTTGTGAGTTGGCCCGTATCAATACACTGCTCGGAGCTGCTATGAATTATTTCCATTCTGCTCTCACTGAATTGGTTCTTTCCTTCGAAACGCGCCAAGGTTTTACTACTGTACATGATTTGGAAACTAATATAAAATGATGTGATATAATGAATGGTGCTGATGTTTTATTCTGAGTCTAGATTCAATTCCAGTTTGTCAACATCACTAGCATGAAAGTACAGTGAGAGACTGGATGCGCTGCTTTATAGAACTCGCGAACTAACGCCGTTGCCAACCAACCCTGGCCGGCTCAGTCGGTCTCGAAAACAAAGACTGATAATCCGTCGGCGGCACCCAGGACTTACCATCGAGTGTATTGAACCTGAAAGTCCGAACCATGGTGGCAATGATGACAGCGAGGTTGAGGTACGCAAACTTTTCACCGATACAGCGGTGCCGGCCGGCTCCAAATGGCAGATAGGGGCTTCTCGTGCCCTTGGACGTGGCCCCATAGCCGTAATCGACCATATCCCCCGCCTTGGTGCTGTTTTCGTCGTGGACTTGGCGATCATCTTCGTTGTCCCAGCGGTGCGGATCCCAGACCTCGGCGTCCTGGAAGTGCTCCTCGCTCAGCTGCGTCATTATGGGCGACGACACGAGCACCTTGCCCGCGGAGACGACGTAGTCGCTATCCGGGACGGGGATGTCCCGTGTGGCCTTGCGCATGATGGAATGAATCGACGAGTGGACCCTAAGGGTCTCCTTGATGACTTGGCTGAGCAGCGGGAGCTTGTCGAGGTCCGAGTACCGCAGTGATCTTTCCGTGCCTTGATCATCGCTACCCAATTGCTGTAAGAGCTCCCGGTACAACTCCTCAGCGATGTCCGGCCGCGACGCCAGCCGCAGGAGCACCCAGGCGCTGGCTGACGAGGACGAGTGCTGCCCGCCCATGAGCATCGTGATCATCATGTGCGCGATCTCCTTGTCTGGCACGGGCCGCCCGTCCTTGTACGCGCAGCCCATCAGATGGCGGAGCATGTCGGGTTCTTGACCTTCGTCTTCTTGTTCTTCTTCTTCTTCTCCGTCATCATCGTCGTCGTTGTTGTTATTGTTTCCGGCCGATCTCTTCCGACGCTCCTTGATGATGTCCATGTACACATTTCGCATGCGCTCGTGCGCCACGTCTCGGCGTCTGTTCTGCGGCAGCGGCGCCCACGGCATGACGAAGTTGATCGGGCTAAAGCCCAGGTCGAGGTCGTGGTACAGTGCCGCGAACTCCCCGCTAAGCTTCTTTCGCACCTCCGACCCCTGCAGCGATCGGCCGGCCGTGTAAATGGTGATCTCGGCCATGATGGAGGGTATGTCGACGATTCCGTCGTGACCATGATTCAGGGCGGGCGTGGCTGCGAAATAGTCGAGGACCTCCCGCTCGATCAGCGGGACATAGGACTCGAGGGCCTTCTGCGTCAGGCCGAACTTGACGAACTTCTTCTGCTCCATCAGCTTTGAGTTGGGGCAGTCGTAGATGATATCGCTACCGAAGACGGGCCGGGTCAGCGGGCGGTAGATGTCCTCGGCGTTGAGGTCCTGTAGCTTGCCGTTGAGGATGAACTCGTTTCCCTGGACTCCGAGGTACACGGTCATGTGCCGACCGAACAGGACAAAGGTGAAGATGTCGCCGTGCCTTTCTCGACATTGGCGGTAGAACTTGACCGGGTCCGTACCGTATGAGATCGCACTGCCAATGAATGGGAACCAGTGGAAAACGACGGGTGGCTCTGATTTGGACCGGGGTAGCTTTTGCCAGAGAGCATTGAAGAGGATGGCAGCTAAGCCGATGCGTAATATGATTGTCAAAAAGTAGAATATTGATGTGTAGTCTGTCATAGTGAAGGTGAAGAATCTTTTCGTTCACTGAAGTGAATTTCTAATATGAGATTGAACGAGGAGTGAACCATGCGAGCCCTGACCGATATGTCTCATAATCTGGGAAGAACCAAGAGGGAACATAGTTCAGATATATATACTTATCAACTCTTACACGAGCGGACCAGTCTCAGGTGCAGATTCGAGCTAAATAAATCGTGAGAAATTCGATGACCTTGGCACATGTGTGCGAAAGAGTCCTTGATCATCACTGATTCGTGGACCACGTCGTCCAGGCACCACACAATTCAGAGCGAGACACTTGGCCAACTTTACCTGATAGATGCTTAAGCCTTAAGCAGTAATACTAGTTTCAGAAAGTAGATATTCATTGCAAATATCGGTATATTATATGCATTTGGGCGAGTTCATATATGCATAGCCCATGGGAGATCGGACTCTTTCTCTACCAAAAATACAGGCCGAAGCAGGCGACTGCCTCATACCAAGTACGGAGCCCATATAGCTCTAATGGAGGCGGTTGATCAATACGAATACGAGTGCGGGCTGGTACGTGCATCACAACTAGTATCCACTCAATTGCGAAAAACACAGTTAGACCTCTTAAAGAGGCTAGCCAAGCCATAGACACAAGAGCCCCATGCATTCGTAGGAGCTGTAATATCTATCGAGAGAATCTTGTATTGCAGCACACATGCAGGTTTCAATCACACGGTTCGATGATATGGTTTTCTGTCGGTTCCTACAGGGAACTAAGTATTAGCAGTACGTTCGCAGTATATCGCATGAAGAAGTCCCGTATTAATGGTCAAGCTTTGTTTGTTCCTAGAACTAGCTATATAGCCATTCAAACCAGTATATGCAATGTGGGGGTATCATCCTTCCAAACGCCGTATTATGCATGAGAAATGAGACAACTGGTCTACCAGCCACCACCGCCGCCACGACCACCGCGACGGCGACGATCGTTCTGGCGACGACCACCACGGGCCCATCCACCATCATCACCGTGTCGGCCTCCATGACCGTGACCATGACCATGGCCACCACGATTGCCGCCATGGCCATGGGTCTCATGACCATGTCCGCGGCGGTCACGGGGACGATCGGGAATGATCTCGCCAATCTCCTCCTCCACCTCGACCTCAACCTCTTCGTATTCATCCTCCAAATACTGCCTGACAATGCCCTGCTCGCGACGTGCCTCATCGACGTCGAAGACGAAACGGTTAGTGACACCCTTCTGGTTGGGAGGGACAGGAGCAGCATGTAGGTCCTCGTTGGGGGGAAGGGGCCAGGGGCAGCGAGGCAGGGCATCTCGACCAGCCTCCTCGATCTCCTTGTTGATATCAATCTTGACTCGTATGAAGGTATCAAGATCAATTCTGGCGCCGAGCTTGGTCTTGCTGTGATGCTTAGTGTACAGATCAAGCAAGTCCAGCATGCCTTGGCGAATTCGCATGCGGGGTGTGCTGAAGCGTGTGATATCGAGCTGCATGATCTTGTCGAGGTGCTCGCCAGTGAGTCGTGAAGATAGCTCCACGAGGGCGTGAGCCATGCCGAAGTTTGTGTTCTTGAGGGGATTGTAGGTCTTGTACAAGTCGTATGACATATCAAGAGCCACGGAATAGACATGCTGTGCCTCTTCCTTCGAAAGCACAATCTTAAAAAGCTTGATCATGTACTTCTGGGGATAGCGACAACGAAAGTCAAAACCGATGGCCTCGAGTACCAGACGCTCCAGGCCTTGGATGAGAACGGCAGGCTTCTCAAACATCTGGCAATGTGTCAGCACCATAAGATACACAGATAACATAAGCCGGAGATAAATGACTTACAACATCGTCAGGAGTTCGTGGAGCAAGATGATCGGTCTTGGAGATGGCCTGCTTCATGTTGTAGTTGGCACAAATGATCTCACGCGACTTCTTGAGAGTGTCTTCAGCTTTGCAAGCGACAAAGAGACAAGCGATGGCGGCATCCTGGCCGAGGAACTTGTTCTCGCCATGCTTAAGTCGTAGTCTGTGAAAGAAGGTGCATGCAGTATCGAAAGTCTTAATTGGACTGGGTAAGTGGTCAGCATTAGCGGCTCAAAGTGAGCGACTGAAAAAGAGAAAAAAAAAAAAAAAAAAAAAAACCTCACAGCTGCAAAACATCAACTAGATTGTCGATCATATCGATACCGTCAAAACGCTCGCGGATTTCATTGCCAGGATCGCTGAACATCAGAAGCACCTGTCGATTGATCCACTCCTCACACAAGTATTGCTGGCTGGTGAAGACGCGGCCAGGATGAGGTAGAGGGCCAACTGCACGTGAGTTGCGGAGGTGACCATTCTGTGAACCAGCAGATTCAGTGTTGCCGTTTTGAACGGCCTGGTCCGTGGGGTTCGTCATGTCAGAGATTTGTTGATGAAGGCGGCTCGAATCGAAACCTTCAAAATCGCTGTCATGATCTAGCTGCAGAGGACTGATGCTGGAGCTAGATGATGGAGGGCTCCATGGAGTTGGAGCCGCTCTCCAAGGCACATTGCGTCGGGCCATGGTGGAGGACGGTGCACGTGCCACCGCTGTTCGTCCTGTGGCGGCGTGCGTTCTGCTGGTCTGATGTGGATGTGGGTGTGGGTGTGGTTGTGGCGGTGTAGAGCTTTTGAGCTTGTGGTAAGTGCAGAAAAGTGGCGGTGCAGCCTGGGAAGCTAATAATGATAAGCTTATCAAGCGCCAGATTCATTGGAGCTGGAAATTTTCGAGCCCCACGTACGTCCCAAAAGTTTATCGATTTCAAGCGTCCCTTGGATTTCAGCGTTCTCAGCATACAGACACATGGGAATCTAGAGTCAGCGAATTGTTCTCTATACCACGACATGGCCGCCTCCAAGACCATGCAATTACGCTCGTCCGACGCTGCTCTGCAGCTTGTCGACCCGGATCAGACATTGAAGGCTTCCAAAGCTCTTCTGGCGCATATGAAGAAGGCCTCCACGGAAAAGGCTGCGAGCGCCGACAAGAAGAACCTCCTGGCAGACGATGAGGAGGCTTTGAACGAGCAGCCTGTCTGGTTGACCCTCACAACTAAGCGACACATTGTCGACTCGAACCGCCTCAAGCCTGGCAAGATCTCGCTGCCCCATTCGCTAAACACCGACCCGGAGTTGAGCATCTGCTTGATCAGTGCTGACCCCCAGCGCCACTACAAGAAGTATGTAGATGCCCCCTCTCGCTGCATCATCCGGCATTCGCTAACCCTTGTTCTCCTTAGCCTTGTTGCCGACGAGTCATTCCCTGAAGAATGGCGCAAGAGGATAACAAGAGTTATTGATGTCGGCAAGCTCCAAGCCAAGTTCAAGCAATACGAGGAACAGCGCAAGTTGTACGCCGAGCACGATATCTTCCTCGGCGATTCGCGCATCATCACACGACTGCCCAAGGTCCTCGGCAAGACATTCTACAAGTCAACTGCAAAGCGCCCCATCCCCGTAAACCTGGAGTCGAGGAAGAAGGTGGATGGCAAGAAGGTCAAGAAGGTCAAGGGTGACAACACACCCAATGCCTGCACACCCACAGAACTGGCCGCCGAGATCGAGAAGGCCGTCGGCTCCGCACTCGTGCATCTTTCTCCCTCAACCAACACTGCCATCCGTATCGGTTATGCCGATTGGAAGCCCGAGGAGCTCGCCGCCAATGCCAAGGTTGTCGCCGAAGCACTCATCGAGAAGTTTGTGCCACAGAAGGATAAGAACGTGCGCAGCATTTATCTTAAGGGATCTGAGACAGTTGCGTTGCCAGTGTATATGGCCGACGAGCTCTGGGTGGACGGCGAGAAGGACATTGTCACCAACGAGTCCGAGGAGGCCAAGGCAGCCTTGACCGCCGAGAAGGCCAACATTGGAAAGAAGCGAAAGTCGCTCGAGGGAGCTGCCGAGGAAGCTACCCCCGTCACAAAGAAGGTCAAGAAGGGTGGCAAACCCAAGGCCCTGCCAGAGAGTGATGATGCCAAACTGGACAACGAGATCGCAGAGCGCAAGGCCAAGCTGAAGAAGCAGAAGGCAGCAGCCAAGAAAGCTGTCGATGTTTAATGGGCTGCTCTCACAACATTTTACCGCATATAGCTGCACGCATACATTCTCAAAGGCGTCTGGAGTTTGCATTCTGTCCCACTCCAAGTAGAAGGGATCATTGCATGGCGTTCTGGAGGGCAAAACATATTTTGAGATAGAAGAATATCAATTGATTCTTGACCATGCATCCTTTGGCCGTACTCCAAGAACTCCAATACGAAGACACTGAAACTAATGACCAACTCAACTATGTGTACTATGCGGCCGTAGTCTACAGCTCGCCGATGGCCAAAGTCTCCGTGTACTTCTTACCCCAGGGTCCAAAGAACTCCTTAAACGTCGAGTTCAGCACCTCGTCCGACAATCTCATGTGGTCTCCAGGCGTGGTTCTGAACTTGAGCCCACCCTTGCGATCCAACTCCCTCAAGCCCAGCCAGTCCTCCTCGTACATCTTGCGCGCCCGCAGCGGGATGTGCTCCGTACCGTTGACCTCCTCGAACCAGGCTGTCTCCTTCGGGATGACGACGGTGTCGTCCTCGAACATGTACATGACAAAGTTGTCCAGACTGGCAATGTTCTTCTTGTAGGTCTCGTTCTTGAGCGCCCGCTCGTTGTTCACGTCGGCCAGGAAGTTGGACCCCTCGAGGTACTTTTCGATCTGGCCGGGCGCGGGGTCCCGGAAGTACTGCGCGGGCACGAGGTGCGACTGCACGTACGAGCCGAAGGTATTGCCGTGCAGCAGGGCCATGGCGCCGCGGCACAGGAAATCGGTCGGGCCGCACACCTTGTAGTCCACGATGCCGTTGTGCTGGGACCCGAAGGTGATGAGGTTGCGCACGGGCGGGTAGTTGCAGCGCTCGACGTAGGCGCGCAGGAACTGGCCGCCCTGCGAGAAGCCCACGGCGTCGACGGCCGGCGCCGTCGACAGGATCGGGTGCGAGGCCAGCTCCGCGCACACCTGCTCCAGCTGCGTGGTCACGTTGCCCCAGAAGGTCGCCGACTGGTCCCCCGATGCGTCGCCCGCCAGCTTGACCAGGTACACCAGCGTCCCCTCGTGCAGCTCTTCGATCAGAGACCCCACGGACTGGATGCCCTCGTTGGCGAAGTTGTCGCCGAGGCCATGCCAGATGATAACGGGGAGGGGTGTGTCGTCGGCGGGCCCATCGGAGACGCTGGACAGCGGACGTTGCTGTTGTCGTCGCTGGGGATTGCAGAGGCCGAGGGTGGCGAGAGGCAGGAGGTGCAGGATGGTGCGGATGGACGGCATCCTTGCTGATTTGGGGTATCGCTCGTTGCAGGTATTTGTATTTCTGATGATGTGCTTTCTATGATCGCTCGAGGTATGCGTGCTCAGGTAGCCTTGTATGTGCGACGACAAGACGCAGAGGTGTTGCCGATGTTGTCGTGGAAGACAGAAGGTGATCAAGCTGGCGGCGTCACAGGTTTCGTACTGCCTTGGCAGGCAATGGTCATCAGACGCTGGTGGTGCCGCTAAACTCGCTATTGGTCGATGCTTTGCCCCTGCCAAGCCATATGTATACCTGCAAATGGGCGGTGCGGAAACGTGCCTCGACAAGTATGCTGCCATGTTGTCCGTATGGCATGATAACGCCTATAGTGCTTCTTCACTCGAAATCAAGAAAACTTATTAGTTATTCGTGAGAGACATTTACATTGAACAGAAAGCTCAATGCTGGCTGCCCGAAAGACGTTCAAAGTTCCTGTTGAAAGCCATGCCCCAGCGATCATAACAAGTCGCAATCACCAACTATCACAATAAATGGAAACCCGATTGCTCCTAACGTAAAAAACCGCACAACAAATCACAGCATTAATCTGGGTTATTAGTGAAAACTTATCAATTATCGACTTGACATCTACCCATCTGTAAATGAACTGAGTCTGTTATCATTCATCCCCATGTTAATAGTGTGTATAGGAAGCACTACAATTTCTGGAAGAGCAATAAGAATATCATGATAGTTATATATCAGTCCAAGAAACTCAAGCTAGACCACATATTGAAGATTTGCTAATGCGTATCGTTGCCGCACCCTGAAAAGTCGGTGAAAGGAACCCCCCCCCACAGATCGCTGTGAAAGCTACATCACGTAGAGCAGCCGGTATTCCTTTAGTTTAGGCTCAGGTCACTTGGTGAAATTTGCTGGAAATACGTGTGGTGTCTGGGAATTGTGAGTTCCCTACGTAGGATATCCCTGAACCAATGGCTACAAAGTCGGTGCTTTCAGAGATCCTGGGATCTTATAGTGTCCAGCGAGCTTGGTACTGACATCGCGCACATGGCACATTGCTTCAACTAGTTACCTTTTGTACGTCCAGTACTGTTTCTTGTCTTTGCAATGCTATCTGACTGTTTTTACTGGCAGCTGCTCTCTCATTTCAAGTAACATCTGCGATATTCCTTTCCAGGATGGCCAGATCTACTCGAACGTGAGGGAACACATAACCATCTTTAATAAACTATGCTTCATCTCCTTTGCACCTACACCTATCCTAACGCACTTCGACAAATGGGCCGTTTACGACATCTCGCAAGATATCGCCATAGTCGGCGAGGTATACGTCTCCTACAAGAGTCAGATGGGTGAGTGCCCACTATGTATTAGAACATGTCAAGGGCGGACAATGGCATCCAAATCCCCGATGGTGAGTACTAAAATAATTTCATCGGCGCAGCCTCCACCCGTGTCACCTCACAGACCTACTATGTCGCAGTTGATCTGCCACAGTCTGCCATGCCCTTCGTAGTCCTCATTGAAGTATAAACCCGAGCACATCTGCCTGTACTTGTAAATGACAAGCAAACGCAATTTCTGTGGCTCAACCGAGCAAGAGTAGAATAATGCTAACGATATTCCGACGTCACTCAGAGTTGGTAGAGCAAGATTGGATAATACATGATGCGTCATTCGACAGTCATATTCGTCAAATTCTTTTTATCTACCTAGTGATTAGGTATCGGATTATTCCAGCTGAACAGATCTTTGGGATCCCAACGATTCTTCAATGCCACAAGCCGTTTAAGCTTGCGACTGGAGTACCAAGCAGCAGGGCCCTCATCTCCATGGGCATAGCCGGCATACACGGATAACTCGGGGAACCCACTGGTTTCCTGAAATCTCGTTCGTTCATTGCGGAGAAAGTCGCTGACGGGGGTGTCGAGGCTTCTATTTGTGTACCATCCTTCCATGTTCCTATTAATATGATTCGTCGATCAGTATGTATCCGATGAGAGAGACAACCAAGGTTTTCAATTCGTTTAAAATTTTTTATTTTTTTAAATGGTGAAGGGAATCGACATGGGCCTTTTCACTCACACTTGGATCTTTGCCTCACGATGCGGAAATGCCGTCGCATCATCTGGCAACGCCAATGCGCCACTTGCGGGAAATCGTTGGACAAGCAGGCGTCCCTGGTATGTTGGATACTCAGCATAGAAGTCAACCAGCCTGTTGAAATGTGATGTCCACGCTTGCACATCCGTCTGGTTCAAGGCGAGACTGTAGATGTTGACAACGTTACCCGAGTCACACTGACCGTTGCCGGCCGTCTGGCCAAAGAATTGCGCATCTAGTACACGGTTGGCTGGCACCGTTGTCACATTGGACATGATCGGCTGGATAGCTCGCATGGGCTCGAGGAGGAGTGCAGCTTCTTCTTCTGGTCCGAAGTAGACTGCATTCACAGCGATGACAGGCTATTGATATGAAGTTAGTTTGGTGTGAATCTAGTAGGATGAGGTGTTGTTGGGCTGACTAACAACGCGACCGGGAACGCTTGGGTCCACCAGCACGAAGAATGTGAGTGCCATCTTAGCAGAGAGATTTTTATCGAACGATGACATCAGCTGCCAGACCGAGCCGTTCTGGGGCGCGACATACAGAAAATCGGCATTGGTCACTTGACCTCCATTGGTAGCGGGAAACACTTTGTATTTCGCCGAGATGACGATGCCAAAGTTGAAACCAGCGCCACGGATACCCCAAAACAAATCAGGGTTCTGCTTCTCCGAAGCTTCTACTATATTACCCTTAGCTGTAACAAGGCGGACCGACAAAAGCGAGTCAAGAAGAGGGCCGTGAATGCCCTGCATGATACCCAATCCGCCGTTCAGGGTGGCACCAACTACACCGACACAGTTGGAGGATATCACCGCTGCCGATTACGCTCAGTCAAGCTATGTTTCACCAATACAGGCTTATTCTGAATCAGACAGTAGAGAAATGAGGACTCACGCATCTCTCTGCCAGCATCATGCAACAGATTGATAATCTGAGAGAAGTGCGCAGCACCGCCGACGGTAATGGTGTTGTCGCCGGGGTTAAACTCCACAGCATTGAACCGACCAATATCAATATTCAGACCGCCGTTTAATCGACCTAAGGTCCCCGAGGTTCCATGGCCGCCTGCAGTGGCAAGGAATGGAATGCCATGCTTGGAAGCCAACAAAATCTTTACCAAAGGATGTAAATAAAACTGTTACATCTTAGGGGATCAACCTGTAATCTTACTGCAGTCTGAATGTCTTTCTCCGTGGCGGCTTTGATTACTCCGTTGAAACTGGGCTCTGTGAAGATGTCCCATCTCTTTGTCACTTCTAAGCTCGGAGACGACGAGGCGTTGTAGGGGTAGAAGATGAGGCTCTCGTTCGATACGCGATGCTGAAGGATGGAATAGAACTCGGCGATATGGTTACAAGATCCAGCGACTGAGAACAGGGCAGACGAAAACGCGAGGAGTCTTACACACACCATTTTCTGTGGAACAATGTTTCAGCTTATCTCTAGGGTATCGCTCCCTAGGTTTCACGGGCACATGATTTCTGCTCTATTTATGCTTGATCAAGCCATTGAATCCCGTCTCATTCTCGACTACAGTGAATATCCTATACGAGGTGGATATGGCCAAGCTCCGTTGAGGCTTGGCTGGCTTTCTAGTTGTAATTGATCTTCCGCGGTTAACTGGACTTCGTAGCATACTAAAGCATTCCGGAGCTAATGGAGTTGTCGCATAGGTCACAAAGCCGAGAACAAATAGCTTTTGTGGTTCTTCCTTCTACACTAATCGTGTCCGAAAATAGTTGATTGGCATCCTTGCTGGCTTGGACGCAACCTGCATTGTGAGGACTATTGGTGTCTCCGGACTTCGGACTTCTGCAAGTACGCCACAAGGATCGTATCACATGGCCTTGAATATGCTTCTCGGGGTCATCCTATGGTAAATAGCTACAATGAGGCTGAGACAGCCTTGATTATATCTGCAGGGTCTGATTTGGATCTCATGATCTGTGAAGATAGGTGGATGAACATGTGGCCACGGCGGGAAAGAAACTTTCTACTGCAGTACAAAAGGTCGATCAATGCGCAACAGATGCACGCAGGACTTGGCTGCATCGTTTAAACTATCTTATGACCTCTTATACTCACACATCATGCCTTATACCCGATCGTTTGCCGAATGTCTCGTTGTAGCACTGGGCGGCATCTCTAGCTCGGTTCTACTACAAGGCCAGGCGAATTATACTGCTGCAGTGAAACCATACAATCTGGACATCGCAGTCACGCCTGCTGCTATAGTTTTCCCCGAGACTGCTGCTCAAGTCGCGGGAGTGGTTAAATGTGCTGTCAATGCAGGCATCAAGGTACAACCCCGATGCGGCGGCCACAACTATGGTAACTTTGGTTCCTCGACTGGTGAATTGTCGGTACACCTTGATAAGCTGCGCAGCTTCTCATTCGAGGAAGCGACTGGACGGGCTACAGTGGGTGGCGGTATGCTTCTGGGCGAGCTCAACGAGAATCTGTGGAATGCAGGACAACGATACCTCCCTCACGGCCTGAGTTTCTCCATCGGGGTTGGCGGCCATGCAACAGTTGGAGGAGTAGGTATCACCTCTCGACCTGCTGGTCTCCTGACTGATCATATCGTCGAATCTGAAGTCGTGTTAGCCAATGGGTCGATCGTTCGTGCATCTGAGAAGAAAAATCGTGACTTATTCTTTGCTATACGTGGTGCTGGCGGGTCTTTCGGTGTCGTCACCAAGTTTATCTTTCAGTCTGATCCAGCACCAACCTCGATTATCAACTATTCATTTGCGTGGGTGACGTCTGACGCAGCAACAAGAGCCCGACTGCTGAAAGACTGGCAGAAATGGATTCGAGATGTCCCCATACCCGCTGAGCTATCATCAACCCTCACGATCGCGCCATCCGTGATCCTGGTCGCAGGCGGCTTTTTGGGAACCCTGCAGCAATTCAAGGCGCTGAACCTTACAACCCATTTCCCTCCCCCACAGCAGACCACTGCCGATGTTTACACCAGTTACCGCAACCTGTCCACGGTGTGGAGCAGCCAGATGTTAGAGTCGGGCATCGCTCTCCCTTCTTCCTTCTACGCCAAATCCCTGCTCTTCAACAACGAAACCTTCATCCCGGATACAGCTGTCGACCAGTTTTTCAACTACTTATCCGCCGCGGACACTGGGGCGGACTTCTGGGTCATCAATTTCGAGCTCGGTGGAGGAAAGATCGGCGCCCTCCCTTCCACCGCCACCGCCTTCCCGCACCGCGATGCCGTCTTCGCCATGCTCAACCAGGGCACCACCACAGGCGCGGTGTCGCAAACCCTCGTGAAATTCCTCAACAGACTGAGCAAGATAGTGACCGACAGCCACCCCGGGGCCGCTTACGGAGGCTATGCCGGCTATGTCGATCCCAGAGAGGATAACGACGAGGCGCGGACGAGATACTGGGGCACCAACCTCGCGAGGTTGCGGGCTGTCAAGAAAGTGGTGGATCCAAACGATGTTTTCCATAACCAGCAGAGCGTTCCGCCCGCTGGAAGGAGGCCATAGGCGTTTTTTTTGAGCATATTAGTGGGTTAAATGCTGTCGTTCACGAAGAAATATCGATGAGTTCCCTGGGGTGGCTGTGTTAGAGCAAAAGTTGTCTTGGGTTTTTCTTCTCTTTGTCCCTGGAATTCGCGGTGTAATCAACGATACGCACATGATCACTGGGTACAAAACTTTAGATGATGGGTGTTACAATACCACTGGCAACAAACTGAAGACATGGACGTGTCTTTTTCCAATGGAGACGATTTCAGTAATATCTCTCGATTAAGCCCACAATTTAATTGACTGGCTTCTAAGTTTAATGCTCCCTCTTTGACAGGATGTGTATGCGACGACTAGCGTTCGTGTGTGAGATTACCATTGCAGTAGAAAGAAAGTTCATCCACATCATGACAGGGTTATTCTATCTAGTAGAATAACACTCAATATCAATATGGATAAGTGGTCAAGCTAGAAGTACTAAGCCCAGGTTTGGCTAAGAACTGATTCTTGACCCCAGAAGTCGCATCTTTCCTCGATTCTCTCATCGTAGGAACCCTCTAACTCGGCCATGCCGTCGCGAACCCCCCCTAAGACTCTCAACTCGTATCCATCGGAAACAGGGCTCCAGTCGGGAAAAGTCAAGTTTCGTTTTTGTAGCTGCTCATCCGACAGACCGGGAATTGTAGGCTGCCCGAAATGGGCGAATGCGGCCCAGCTGGCCGAGGTGCGAGAGGCCATGTCGTAATCACTCTGGTCGGCTACTGCCGAGTACACCTTGGCGACGGTGTCGAATACGTAGGGTATGTCGCTGAAGTGGTCCGTCCCGACGAAGCTGCGATTATACAGGGCGTGGCCGTGGCGCAGGACGGAAGTGTTCAGCGAGTAGGCGAAGACGTTGCTGCTCTGCCCGCTGGCGAGCGCTCGAGCCAGCCGCAGCGAGGGGCACGTGAACTGCGCGTCGCGGATCACCTGGGCCGCCCGGTAGAAGTTGGCGTCGATGCCCTCTCTCGGGTAGGGGTGGAAGCCAGCCGCGGGGTACAGGTCGTCGCTCAGCGCCTGCAGGTTTTCCGCGGACAGTCCAGGAAAGAAGGTCTGTACGACGGCGGTGAAGCCTTTGCTGCTGTTCGTCGTCTGGGGCACGAAGAGCGTCCCATCTTCTTCGTTCCAGCCCACGAGGATGTCCACGTTCTTGCGGAAGCGCCCTTCGCGGAGAAGTGCCGAGGGTGACGCAGGGATGAATGGCGATGGTGCGGTGGGCCGCCAGGTGCCGATGCCACCAAGAGGGGAGAAGGTGTTTGCGTACGCCACGGCGGCCCCCGTCAACGTCTCCAAGGGTAGGGAGCGCAAGCAGGAGAGCGCCACTGAGGTTTGGTTCCCGGTCTTTGCAGTGCAGTTGAGACTTGCAGCCAAGTTTGCTGTGTTGACATCTGAAAGACCAGCGTTGAGCAGCAATCCAGCGGACGTGGGCCCAGACATCAGCACAGCTCGTCGGAAAAGGGGTTCGGCTGTGCCTCCAAATGCTGTCAGCTGTAGCTGGACATTGGTCCAACCGACATTCTGTCCGAAGATGGTTACCTTGCCTTTGTCACCCCCGAAGGCACCGATGTTTTGCTGAACCCATTGGAGGCCGAGATATTGATCCAGAAGGCCCGAATTGATGTTATTTTCGGCTCTGATCTCGTTGGATGACGCAAAACCAAATACGCCCACCCGATAACTACTGCAGGTCAACTTCTGTCACGGTTGGGCTTGATCACCGACTTTGCATACTTGATAGCAACATAGATGACTGGCAGCCCTTTCTTTGCAGTCTCTCGCACAAGCCCGGTGGCGTCGTATGCAATCTCGTCGTAGATCGATCCGAAGTTGTACCCCGATCCGAAAAGATAGACCATAACCGGGAGCTTATCGTCAGCATGTGTACCCAGGGGACGGGTCACACGGACAGTGAGACAATCCTCAGAGATTTCGGTTACGTTGCCGTAGATGCCAAAGAACTGGGGCAGTGGGTTCCCCAGGACTTGTGGGCAAGCTGCACCTGCTTTGGTGGCGTTAACAACGGAGCCAGAGGGATAAAAAAACGGCCGCGGGTGCTTGAAGCGATTTACACCACTCGTGTCCTGGCCGAACCGGATGTTCTGAAAGGACTCTGTGTCACTATTAACGCTACCACGATACAAAATATGATGTCGGGTATCATGGACGACAGGACCCGTGATGTTCCGGCATTCCCCTGCAAATGCCGCTCCGGCAAGCCAGAGGGTGGCGGTGAGAGTCTTGAATTGCATATCGTTGTTGTACGGGGAGTTGTGGGGTGCGGAAATTGTTGCGCAAAGGCATCACACTCAGGACCTCTCTATAGGCCAGCTTGCTCTGAGTTAGCCGCAACCATTTCAAGTCGGATTGAACACATTTAACAACCACTCAAATAGGTTTTTTTGTTTGTTACTCATGCTGCAAGGTTATCTCGAATTTCCTAGGCAGTGACGGAGTTCAAAGCCAAAGTCCGACAATATACAATGTCCGGCGCTGTAAGCTAGTAAGAATTGTCGAAACTCCATGCAGCTACATGGTGATTGGGCTTCGGCGATGCATGAATTTGCCCCACATTGTATAGAGGAAGCTTGGCCCACTTTCGACGACATGCATCTTGGTCCATAGTCTACAGTAGATGTCCTTCAAAGCCGGAACCGGTGGATTATAGTAGGTCTCATGCGCAGGAGAGACACTGCAAGATATTGTCAATCAATCAATCCTGAGAACCGAAACCACCAGACGTTTTTCATCACGACGAAACGATGCCATGATACTCAGGCCTCCCCAAGTATCGGCCATCTGGGAGGTTCCGATGGCGAATTGCTTGTGTGAAAATTCAAACCCAGCAACGCTATCACGCACACACCATACACAGCGAAAATACTTCTTGATATTGCGGCACTCGAAGTGTTGTCCTGGTGGATAATTTTCTTCAAAATAGAAGTTCGCCGCCTGCGCCGTGAGTTCTACTGCTATGCCACGATAGATCCACCTTCTTCTGCGCAACATGTGTCTTAGATAGTGACGGCCACCAACCTCTACCTCCCCAAGTTTCTGATGTGCATTTCCAGTTTAGAGCGGTAATGGCTTGCTAGGTTGTTGACCCACACAAAGTTATCTAGCGCATGCAGCGAAGTTTGGTATGTAGTGTCAATCACCTGTTGCTCGTCCGCGTCCAATTCGTCTTTCCAGAGTTCTCTATGCGTGACCATTCTCGCTGCACAAAAATATATTACTTGGGGCATGAAGGTGTGCGCCCTGAAGTAGCCCAGTGTTTCGTGCTCTTTTGCCAAGCGGGCGATTTCTTGTGCGGCGAAGACTCCGCGCCGATGGAACTGCCGCACCGCGGCTCTGCTCCCTGGAATAGCGACCAGAGGATCCATGATATGGCTTAAGAAGATGATAGAGGTCTGTGCGACAAGGTACGAGAAAATGACGAGCGAGTTCGAGACCAAGCTGAGGTTCGGATGATTTGCTTCGAGAGATGCAATACGGCGGGTCAGCATGTCATATACCCATTCGTGTCGTTCATAAAATTCTGTGGGTGGACTGCCCAAGAAGACTTCCATGGTGGCTACCTGCTTATGTGCCATGGCTCGCCCAGCAATAGTCACCAGAATGGCGCATTCGGCTAGTGGAGAGTAGGTCCTCAGCTCATTGTCTACAATGGCCTCAGCCAGACAGCATTCCGGTTTGATGATTCCGCTTTCAAAGTCACTTTCAGGACATGGCAGACGAGTGCATACCTACAATGATATATGAGATTGGACAATTCAATGAATTTTCGGCAGACTTGTGCTTTGGAGATTGAAGGATATTGAATTACGTACTGTTTCTTCACTGAGCGTTGTTGGCGCACCCTCACCAACACTAGCGAAACGATCGAGACAATAGGCTACCCAGAACGCTCTTCGCTTCTCTTCCATCTCTATTATCTGATCTTTTTCATCTGGGAAGGTCCAGGTTCCCGGGCTGTCGACTTCGTAGAGCTTCAGTAGTTGTATCAGGCGGAAAACGCGGCCCGCACTCAACCAACCTCGGCGATAGTTTACTTTAGCGAACTCGTAGTAAGTAATAAGAATCCAGGCCTGAACGCACTCGACTCGGCTGTGCTCAGTTTCGACGGCCTTTAAATCCAGATCTTCTAGCATAGCCTTCGTTTTGGTGTATAAATTGTCTGCTATGCCTGCAAACTGGCTCGAGCAGGCTGCCGCCGTGGTCCATATGGCGTGTTGCAGACAACGCTGATACCCATCCAAGGTTTTGTCGGTTCCGCTGATCCAGCGGAGCGTCCTTACCTGACTGAGGATAGGAACGACGGCATGAAAACGATCAAAACAAAGCTGCGTTCTGGAACACAAAATTAGACATGAACTATTCACAAAGTAAGCTTTGCTAGCTGCCCGGGTCTAATAACCCCTAAACTAAGCTGCCTAGCTCCACACGACGAAGCTAGGCATCAAAGAAGAGCGAATAGAAAATATGATTAGCCTCACAGATCCGCGCTTACGAGTTTGTCTGCGTCTATGGGAGCGATCGGTGGCAATGGAGAAACTGCAGACAAAACTGAGAATGAGAGTGATAGTGTTGCAGGTAGATTTTGATGCGTTGTTGCGAGAACATTGCTGTTAATAAGCTGAGTGGAAGACGATGGTTCATGGCCTGGGGACGAATACGGTAATAGCGGCGGCGTCGGTAGCAGAGGGATACGTAACTGACAACCACTTTCGGTCTCGGATAAGTACTCTGGTCGTGGGTATCGCAGGAGACGACCGTTCTCTTCCGAACTCGTGTCTTCAGTCAATGCTGTGTATCCCAGAGTTAGCAGAACCAAGCGCGGCCATGATTAATCGAGACGAGAAACATGGCGCAAACAGTAGCGCCAGCAAACTAGAGAGGGGACTCACGATCGGTGATTTCATTGAAGTCAAAGTCGTGAGAGTCATTCGGGGTTGTGGACTGCGATTCTGCAAGCTGCCGCTCAAGCAAAGCTACATGGATAGAAGTAAGCACATCAGTCAGCATCAGGTCGGGGAGGGAAGACATGCCGACGCGGTTGCGCAGTGTCTCAACAGTATCTTGTACAGTTTTGGTAGAGCTGTTACGTGATGCGCGCTTCTCAAAAACTCTACACGAGATGCCAGAATTGGCGCAAGCACTGCATTGAGGACGTTTCCTGTCGCACCGAAGCTTCTTTTTTCGGCATTCTTAGCGCACTATTAGCGATGCTATGATATCACCTGTTGATCAGGGTCTAGGGCAGCGAGGTACCTTCACAGGCGTAGCCAGGTTGCTGCCGTGGTTCTGTGCGTCCAGACATTGCTTTGATGCTACGTTTGTCGGTGGAAGAAGTGAAAGAGTTGGAGAGGAGGATGGCCGAGGGCAACACAGAGCTAACGTTAAATCAACAGAGTGGCAGTAAGCTTCTGTGTCTGTGTCTTGAACTCGTGAGTCGTGAGGTCGACGCAGCACTGGAAGCGAGGGCCGAAGGATTACTGCTGTCGGAACAATTAGTATTGACTCTACGTTGCGGACAACTGAAAAATATAAAAAGTAAAAATAAATCCATCGGCTATGTTGCGCGTCAAAATTGTACATGTTTTTGTTCTATATCAATGGAGGCTGATTGGCATTAGATGTGTGTGGTCCTTGTTTGCGGATACAAGTAGGTAATGAACGCTATTAACTTACAAGTGCGCCTGTAACGGCAATTCTCTGAAGATGCCGTCAGTGGAGCGGCCCGTGAGGTAGTTGATCAGTGGTATGACTGTGATCATTCTTAAGTGGCTGGGCAGGTTACACTAAGCTTTGCTAACCACAAACCCCATGCCGTGCAACCGCTGAGTTCCGATATTAAACCTGTGAGGCTGTAGCTGGTGGCAATCGGTGGCTTGTGGCGTCATCCGTCGATAGGGAATAAGTCACATGTGACGACGAGCACATAAATAGATAAGTACTATGCATGAACGAAGTGGACCGAAGGAACCGCGAGACATAGGCCGCTGTGCTACATCCCTTGTCACGGAAGTCGCTTGATACGTTGTATAGCTTCAGGCTATCGAATAAAACATATTGCATTGCGGTGTCCAACTTGAACTCCTCGCCCCACCGGCATAGCGGCAAAGTCCTAGCTTAAATGGGGTGGCTCAGTAGTACTTACAGATTCGTACAGCAGAATCAAACTTTAATCCATCCATCTACGATGCATAGCTGGGAGCGGGGTGCTCAACAGGTCGTATCGCGTCACCGACTGTCGAGTATTGGCTGGCTCTGCTGATATCCATCCAAACACATGTCTCGCAAGTTGGAACTAGGCTCGATTCAGACAAATTACGATGTTTGTAGTGCCTTTACGGTCTCGGAGCGTTCGCGCACATAGTACGTACGCATTGGATCGTTGTGGAGTCCCAGAGAATGGATAACGAAAGCTTAATGTCCTTAGCGTACGACATATCCTGGACTAACCTTAGTGTAGTCTAGTCGCAACATGAACCCCAATGCTACGCAATTCGGATGCCAAATGAATCCACGGCTATGCATGGTTCAAGGACGAAATCTTGCACCATTCTACCCTACCTTTCAAAAGTGCACCGTGGCAAAGTAAAAGATAATTCTTGCTGATGTAAACCGGGTGACACTACATACCTGGCTGCTTACTATGGGTCGCCGTGACAGTCGTAACGTGAACATAAGGTTGGCGCTAAGGACGCCCACCAAATACTGCGAATACATAATATTTTGTTTACAGTATACGTCGATGACTCCGGAATGGTTCAACTGGTACCAAGCCCTGCACGCCACCTATTCGGAGGGGTCTTTTTATATTTTTATATTTTTCTATACATATCTTAGTTTGGTTAGATTTGGTGAAAGTGTGCCATGTCCCACGGGGGCGTTTTACCGTTTGCATTGAGACCTATGGCGGGCCGCTACAGAGCCACGGGTGTGAGTTAGGCTTAACGTTCTTTGCTGCATTCAGAGGATGCAACCAAAGAATTGCTAGTGCTCCTGACAAATAGAGAGTTTTATCAGTCGAACGTGCATCCTTATCACCTCGCTACGATCTGAAGGGTAACATTGCATCTTCAATCTCTACACAAATAGTAAGGTTAGAATGATTGAGCCTCCACTAACCGGCTAGTCTGTAGTGCCTGGGCCTGGGTCTGGGGTCCGAGTCCTGGGTCCTGGGCCAGGGAGTCCACGTGGGGGAAGGTATCCCTAGTTCGGTTGACTCCACATCCTGCATTTTTTTCCAGTGGCTTTTATTTTATTTTATTTTTTTCTTTTCAACTGGTCCCGGCGCCAACTTCCGTCATGGTTCAAGGGGTTCACGAACTGTCCTGTACAATAGGCCCTATCGGCCCAAGGTACCCAATCCTGTGAGAAGTTCAGCTGGCGGTCTCACCAATAATGTTCAAACACTGCCCTCTACCAGCTCGACAAAGATGCAATCTCGACTATTCAATCCCAACCGCCACGTTCTTGCATGACCAAACTCGTCAAGTGTTGATGTCACTGTCATTACCATAGTAAACCCTACACTATGACACTGCTATCTAAATGACTGCTTTTGGTCGCTACTACTCTCGCCAGCTTAGAGATGGACGAGTTCTGCATGATATCGAAAATGGAAACGTCGGCACCAGCCCGCAACGCCAGCATGTTACGAAGCTCGACCGCTACGAGAGAGTCCACACCGTATTCCGAAAGTCTCTTGCTCAACTGGATATCGGACTGCTGCATCATGAAGATAGTCATGAGCTTCTTGACAATTGCATCCGCCACCACGTCAGCTGCCTCCTCCAAGGAAGATGCCTCCGCGATCCTCAACCCAAGGTCGGAAGCATTGCCCGCGCTTGTGCCGGGTTGACGCTCCGTCTTTGATCCAAGTTCATGGTAGCGAATGGCAGCGAAGCGCATATCACGTCCCATGGCTGTCTCCTCCCAATGCGGCCCGGGTCCCGGATTCAAGCCCAACACCATTTGGCCACTGAAAGGTGAACTAATGCCGAATTTAATAGCATTGAGGACATCCTCCTCGCTTAGAATGGTGTGGCCTGACCGTGCTAGACGCTCCGATGTGTTGTCGTGTTCTGCAACATAACCCACGGAGCTCACAACTCCGAGGTCAATAGCTGCGCCTGGAAGACCGCGACGGTTGCGGAAATGGGCTAATGCATCTTGAAAACTACCCCCAGCAGAATAGTTGCTCTGACTCGGATGGCCCAGGATACCGGCCAGCGAAGAAAGCATAATAAAGAAGTCAAGCGAGTCGACTTTATTAAATGCCTGGTGCAGGTTCCAGCTTCCATCCACCTTCGGACTCACTGCAGCCTGGTAGTCTGCAAGCGACATTTGCTCAAGAATAGAATCCTATACCACAAGCAAGCCGGTCAGCATTGTGCCACACTGTGGGGTGTTGAAGAGAAGGATCCGGTCCCTGGATTGAGTTACGCACCTGTAAAACCATGGCTGCTTGCACCACACCGCGAATGGGTGGCATTTCAGATCGGCAGTCATCCAATGCTCTGTCCAGGTCGCTTTGGTAAGCGATGTTGCATCTAATAGCTTTGGCTTTGCAGCCCGCTTCTGCCATCTCGGTTACGAACGAGGTTGTTCGCTGACTCGAATTTGCGCTCCTCGAGAGAACTATAAGGTTCTTGGCACCGTTCTCAACCATCCAATGGCAGACTGAGCGACCGATTCCACCCAGACCGCCAACAACAAGATACGAAGCCTGGGGGTTGAGCTTGGTAACAAGCATGTGAGGCACAACCTATCGATCATCAGTCTTAGTGAAAGATTTTCTCATCGACACATGTCTTGCCCCGGGTCGCAAATGACAGAATCAGGAAAATGAAATAAACATCGGATTGACTTTCAGCAATAAGGGACTTACAGGAACAAGATCGTCTGGGCCCACTGATATGATGATTTTGCCCATATGTTTGCCCGCCTGCATGAGACGAAAAGTCTTCTCTAATTCAGAGACCGGGTAGACAGTTATTGGTTGCACGGCTGTGATAAGTCCCTCACTGAAGAGACGAATCGTTTCTCTCATGACGCGCTGTATCTGATTGCCCTTGTGTGCCTCGAGCTGTAGAAGATCAATATGGGAGAAGGATACGGCCCGGTTGAAGGTCGCCATCTCCAAGTGGCTGTTGATCTTGAAATCACGTTTGCCCATCTCGACGAATCGCCCGAAGCGGGCAAGGCAATTGAATCCTTCCTGAAGCAATGGGCCGGCGAGAGAGTTCAATACAACGTCAACACCTTCCCCACCTGTCATTCGAAGAATGCCGGCGCTGAAAGAAGCATCACGGCTTGAGAAAACATGGTCAGGTCGCACATTGTAGGTCTTGACAACAAAATCTCTCTTCTGCTCGCTGCCAACGGTAACGAATACTTCGGCACCTACGTGATTTGCCAGCATGCAAGCTGCTTGGCCGACACCTCCGGTTGCAGCATGTATCAGGATACTTTCGCCCTTCTCTAGTCTAGCAATATCGAAAAGGGCGACGTAAGCCGTGGTGAAAACCATCGGCAGAGTCGATGCCACCTCGAAAGTGACATTGTCAGGTATGTGAACTGCGTTGGTCCAGGGCACACGGATGAGACTTGCGTAGTCACCATGCAGCAGTGTCATGATACGATCACCTGGCTTAAATCCCTGGATCAGAGCATCGATACCGGCGCGAACAACGGTCCCAGCGCACTCAAAACCCATGGTACTATCATGTCCGAGTTGGCCCATAGCCACCATGATATCGCGGAAGTTGACTCCAAACGCGCGGGGCTCGATCTCTAGCTGATTTGCACATAACTCCTTGTCTGCGTCCAAGTCGTGTTCGAATGCTAGTGTATCAAGAAGTCCGGCAGTGCCAACACGCATCTTCAAAGGGCGGCCCAGCTGACAGAATGGCTCCTTTTGGGTTGCCTGTTTTGGTCCAGAGGGTGTGATTGCAGCTTTGTTCTTCTCCACATCCTTGAAGTAGCGTAGAACGTGGATCAACCCATCGCGCTCCGAGAACTCGAAGTCCTGATACCCGTTGGCGATCTGAGGACGAAGTAACACGTTATTGAAAACTTCTATTACTGCAGAAATTGACTGCGCTGTCCATGGTTCTCGGTTAGCATCCAGGTCAAGCGCGATCAAACATTTCCCCGCATACTCTTCGCGTACAGACCGAAGCAGACCTATACTCATGGATGCGTCAAGCGAGCGCATGCTGGTGACCCAGAGCAGTCTTCTGGATTTGGTACAAAGACGCTTCAAAGCCTCGAAGCTTTCGGCATTTGGACTTCGAAGTCTCACGCCATCGACATCGCCAAGGTAGATGAATGTTCGTCCTTCTGTTGATGAAGCTGTCTGCAACGTCTCAACAGGCGGGGTTTCACCAATGATACGACAGATATCCGAGCGTAGCTTCTCGATCCAGGACCAGCTAGGCTGTTGCAGTGTACTGTCATCGCCAACGACCAAGACAACATTCTGGGCAACATCTGTGGTGCCATTCGTGGTGGAAGACTCCAGCGCTGTCGAGGCGATTATACTGAATGAATAAAATTCTTCATTTTCACAGTCATGAGCTTCAAGCTCCACCCCTCCAAAACCAGTGTCATGCAGAACGCGATCCCACATCTCAATGGAAAGTGATGGACTGAGCTCCCTCTCAGGCTCCTCGCCTAACGTATTGTCAGCATCTAAACATCGCTGATAAACCCGCGAGTTAGGATGAGAGGGCTACTTACTTAACCACCATCCAGGTAACAAGCCAAAAACGAATTGCAAATCCATTGGATCTTGTGTTGTCTCCATGATGAAAAGCTTTCCACCAGGCTTCAGCAGCCGGCGGACGTTGGACATGGTGCGCTCAATGTTTTTCGTCGCGTGCAGAACCTGCGATGCAACGATAAGATCATATGTGCCCAGCTCGAACCCCTGCTCCGCCGGGTCGTGTTCAACGTCGAGCTTCTTGTACCGAACCAGGCTGTTCCAAGCAGCAAACCTCTCCTGCGCGGCCTCAAAAAATCCAGAAGAAATGTCGGTGAAATCATAGGACATGGCAAGTGGACCCCAGCCTGAGTCATCTGTCCCGAGGGACGCCAGTATCATTCTGGTGGTACCCCCTGTCCCGGCGCCGATCTCTAAAATCTTCCCTCTCGGATTCTTTTGAGAAAAGTGCTTGACCAGTGTTCCCATCTGCTGGTGAGACCTACCCCACTTTATAGCATCAGTATAGTATCTTTGCAGCAACTTATCTTCGAGCATCAGCTCTAGCGGCGTGATGTCTTGTCGGAGGATAGACAAGATATGAGGACCCATCCGGCAGACCATCTCACCATTTGTTGAAGCGCCTTTCACCTTTTCAATGAGAGCTTCTCTGGTAGCGGTACTGTCCGCTTTCCACTCCGAACTTCCATCCCCTAACCTGTTGGATTGCGCGAGTTGTTCTTGTACCTTCATCCACGTGTAGAACTTTTGAGAGAATCGCGCGAGTCCGGACAACTGGTCCTCGGCAATGCCGCTGAGCGCATCTTGGACATAATAGTAGCATGCTCGTCTTAGATCGAGCATGATCTCTGCCTCACCTGCGGGAATGGTTCGGCTCAACTGCTGTTTCGCAAACATCGGAGGCGATAGGTCCAGATCTGGTACCCACTCTGCGTGACTGAACTTCTCATTCTCATAGCTAGCAGTAGATTTTGGCGGTGAACTGCCCAGAGAATGCAGTTCAAACCCTTCTAGCTTCATGACAGGATGAACACTGCTTGCATCCTTCACTTTATTGTCATCACAAACCACAATTTCCACCTCGGCGCTTTGACCATCCTTACGAATGATATTTGAGTATGACCTGAAGAGATGGCCAGGCTCCTTTACGATATTATGAGATATCCACAACGACTTGATGAATCTTGGCACCAGGGCATAATACATTGTGGTTCTGGACTCAGGCATCGCAGTATAAGCACTCTGGAAGACGGAATCCAAAGTGGTAGGGTGCACAACATGCTCGCGCTGGTAGTTGTAAGGCATGATTGAAGCTGTGTCTGCAGTCACAAAGGTCGAGACAGACTGCTTGGAGTGGGCTCGAATACTCTTGAGGTTTTGGAAAATTGGGCCGTGGTAAATCCCAACCGAGCGCATGTTGGCATAAATATCCCGCGGCATGACTCTCATGCGATAATCCTCCGGGAGAACTGGCTGAGTAAGACGCGCAGATGTCTGTCCATCAGCTATACTGTCATTCCAGAACTGACGTGAATCCACCTCAAATTCAATGGAGATCAAGCCTCTGCAGAGCTCTATCCAATCATTTTCCAAACTGACAGAGTGAATCACAAACTCCTTCCAACCCTTGGTGTATATGGCCTTCTCGCTGCACGGACGAAGCTCAATCTGCGTCTCGATACCTGCCGAATCGTTCGGGATGACCAGTGCCTGGTGGATATCGACGTCACGGAGTTTATATCCTGAGACATTTCTACCTGACTTGGGCCAAGATTGCAACGCAGCTTCAATAGCCATACATATGAAACCAGCGCCCGGATATACAATATTGGATTGCACAGTGTGGTCCCTGATCCAAGGTAGGTCGGATTCCTTGATAGTGTTCTTCCAAGAAGGGACGTTATTGTTTGTACCGAGCACCAACGATCCAAGGAGATCATGAGGTGCTTCGCGCCTGTGTCTCAGCTCTCTGTTCTGTCGTGGCTCCGACCAGTATCGTACCTGATGATTCCATGGGTAGTGGGGAAGGTCATATATAACTTTGACTCCGACTCGACCTGTTGGGAAGTTGACAGCGTCCATGTTGACAGGATAGCCATTGCGCAAAAGATCGCAAACGAGGCTATGTGTCGTGTCTATAGCACTTGATTTTCTTACAAGGCATGTTGCATATGGTACTTTGCGGCCGGCAAATTCGGGTAAGCTCAAGATCTCTTGAATGGGACCTCCAAGAGCGCCGTGAGGTCCGACTTCTAACACCATATCTACCACGCCCTCATTTTCTTCACCATCATTCTCAGATTTAGTTGAATTCACCATGTCTTTGAAGGCCTCAACGAAACGTACGGGGTTGACTAGGCTCCTCGCCCAGTGGCCCGCATCACAAAGGTCTGTAGCATTCTCAATACGCCCACCAGTCGTTGGCGAAGAGAACACAACACTTAGCGTGTCGCTAATGAAGTGGCCATTCTCGGACTTTTGTGGACGACCAGGCTTCGCGTTCTTGGCGATCCAGGCCTCGTATGGTTCAGCGAATGCCTGCATGTGGTGAGAGTGATAAGCAGCATCAACACGGAGACGTCGAGCGAAAACTTCATCGGCTTTAAGGAGCGCCTCAAGTTCTTCGATGGCAGGGACGTCACCCGAAACAGTCGTGCTAGAAGGGCTGTTCATGCATGCAGCGACAAGCTTACCAGACGAGATTCGGGCGAGGTACTTGTCACAGTCTTCGACCCCTAGACCAACAGCAATCATCCCACCTTTTGCTTTGGCGACAAACTGACCACGTGCGAAACCAATAGCTATAGCGGACTTCTTGCTCAGCGCACCAGCTGCATATGCACCAGCGATCTCACCACTAGAATGACTTGTGATCGCTGAGGGTCTGATATCCCATGAGTCAAGCAGCTGGACTAGGGCGATCTGAATAGCAACACATGCTGGCATACTGAGATATTGTTCGCTGACTTTGGACGTCTCAGCATCTCGTGTGAGCTCCTCTGTGCCGTTCATGTAAGCATTCGCTTTAGGATCAGGAATCACGCCTGAAAACGCAAGATCAAACTACTTACCAAGTAACGACCACGGTGAACCCAGATCTTTCAGCATTTCCTCGGATTCCTCCAGAGATTGTCGAAATACGGGATACGTGTGGATCAATTCCCTACCCATTGCCCACCACTGTGCGCCTTGACCTGTGAACACAAAACCAAGCCTTGGCTTCCTCTCATTGACTAAGCTGCGAACTGGCTTTGCCTTAGGAGTGCTGAAAGCGCCAAGCAAGCCTGTCAAGCTTTGTCCGGCAACTGAAGACACCCAGGAGAAGCGACTCCGGCGCTGACCCAACGTGAACGCTAGTTGTTTGAGTAGCGTGCGCTCTTCGACTTCATTATTATTACGAGCTTCCGTTAAGTACCTTTGGAGGTTTTCAATCATCGTTTGAGCTGCTCGCTCGTCTTTTGCACTCAGCACGAATACGTGCGATGAGAGGCCATTGCCAGCGTGAACGCCGTTATCATTCGTTTCGTTAGAAATCCTACTTGTTTGTCCATTTGTTCCATTCGAGTTTTCGTTGGATTTACCGTTCGTTACAGTAGACACTGCATTGGGATATTCATTAGAGCTATTACAGACGCCGTTCGTAGACCCGTTGAAATGATCATTCCTGTCGCCGTTGGAAATACTGGTAGCCGCTCCGCTGAAGTTCTCACCGTGCCTATTGTTAATTTTCCTTTGAGTGACAAAACTTGCGAAATCCTCCATGATAACATGAGCGTTTGCACCGCCATAGCCAAAGTTGTTAACCGATGCTCGGCGAATGCCGTTAATGGCGTTCCAAGTTTCCAATTCGGTGGGCACCTTCAGCTTCCAGCCCGGAAGATCCAGTTTCGGGTTGGGTTTTTCGAAGTTGATGCTCGGTGGGATCTGACCCTTCTCTAAAGCTTTGACAACCTTGATAATACTGGCCAGACCGCTGGCGGTCTCTGTGTGGCCAATATTCGACTTGACGGATCCAAGCCTCAAAGGTTGATCAGCCGACCGACTGTTCTTGAAGACCGACGCAATGGCGCCAGCTTCAATTGGGTCTCCTCTGATGTTGTGGATATTAGCTTGCAAAATAGCTTGGGATGAGACACATTCGAGGTTCGGACATACGTGGGTGTTCCTGTACCATGAGCCTCAAAATACGTAGTGTGCGCCGGATCGAGACCTGATTTACGGTAACACTCGCGGATCAATTCTTCCTGTGCGACGCCGCTCGGGGTCGTTATTGTATCCGTCCTGCCATCCTGATTTGCACCCGTTTCGCGAATGACCGCGCGAATAGGGTCGCCGTCTCTGAGCGCATCATCAAGACGTTTGAGTAAGACGGTGGCTGAACCCTCACCACGACCATACCCAGAAGCGCGACTATCGAACGAGAACGACTTTCCTTCAGGCGATAACAGACTACGGGTGAAGTATCAATCAACCGCTAGTGCAAGGCTTCTCCGGTGGACCTGGGTAGATACTTACGTGAGTGACGACATGACGACAAACATGTCTGGATTGAACGTAACATTAGCGCCACCGACAATGGACATATTGGATTCCCGGGTCCTTAGACTTTGACAAGCTTGATGGAAGGCCGTCAACGTTGTAGAACAACCAGTGTCAATGGTCATGCTGGGTCCTCTCAAATCGTAGAAGTGCGATATTCTGTTCGAGGCCATCGCGGCGCCAATACCCATCAAGAGGAATCTGGGTAGCGTTTCGGGGTCTCGCATGTGTCCCTCGATATAGTCACGGAAGAAAGCGCCCGCGTATACGGAGGTATTGGAACCCGCTACGTCTTGTAGGGTTAAGCCAGCTTACATTTGCACCGTTAGTTCCGCTGTGTGCTTTTCGTACGGAAGTTGATCGCTAAAACATACCACTTTCAAAAGCCTCATATGTAGATTCAAGTTGGAGCCTGAATTGAGGATCAATACTCTACATGGCTATTAGTGTCCCATCTCCCACCTTCTAGAAGTCAGTAATGGTACATACGGCCGCCACTTCGGAAGAAAGGTTGAAGAAGTTCGCATCAAAGAGGGCAGGATCTTCAGTGAGGAAGTGTCCCCCACGGATATTGAGCTACGAAAAAGCATGTGTTAGTCGTGCTACTTTACGCGTCAAGTCTATGAAGATTTCCATACCGTGTTTTGTTTGGCATTGTTGGGGTGGTAAACACCGTCAACGTTGAACCTGGACTTGGGAATCTCCGTCCACTGGAGGAAGACTCAGTATGTGAGTCAAAACGGTGCCACGGAAAAACCTACAGCACTTCGACCCTCAGCACAGATTTTCCAGAGCTTTTCCGGGCTATCAACATCCCCAGCAAAGCGACATGCCATGCCAATCACAGCGATAGGTGTCTGGATATCCATATCGAATAGAGAGGCCGGGAGCTTCTGGGATTTATTAGTCTAAAATCTAGTGTCTGGCCGTATGCTCTTGGGAGATGCGGCAACCCTTGACGTACGGGTATAGTATAAAACAGCAGAGTTGTACTGTAGGTGCAAACTAGTCAATATTTAAGTTTCGTCGTGGTTGAAAGACCCGAAGTGTTTTTACAGTAACCTGAAAATTTGCAATTTGAGTGCCTTGGAAAGACGAAAACGAAGATTGGCGTTCTCATACCCGGGATATAGCAAACCATTGCAGTTCAAATATCTTGAATATCAGCGAGCTTCCAATCATTTCGCATATCAGCATTATTCTTTTCTATCATCAAAAGTGGCTAAAAAGGAGTTCCTTCCGCCACTGGCAACCTATACTGGAGGAAGGCTAACTCCGGTGGCGGAGTCTTCTTTGACATGATGACTGCTTCTGTTCGGTCTTCGCAACACTAGAAAACGTTTCTGCCCTGGAGGTAACTCCTGGTTGCAGAAATAAGTAAGAGACCTTTTTGCTTGCTATTTAGTTCGGTGACCGTGAGATGCAAAATGGAACTCCGGGGGTGGTGTGTATAAGTGGCTCGCATAGCCTCGGAGATATCAACTCCGGAAATGTATAGTCGGTTCCTCAGTCGAATCGGCTAGGTCGCAACATGCTTCCTGTAGTCAGCAATTGGGAGGACATGTTTGGTCTTGCGCTATCCCTACCAATGATATTTGCATCCGTGACTTTGAAAGATACGAGTAGAGATATCGACCCTCATTTACTATCTGATTTTCCACTTGCAATCAAATTTGGCGACGAAAGCTTCCTATGTACCAAGTTGAGAAGGCGTACCAATTCAACATGAATTCTGACTCGAAGAGTGAAACGCTCCTCCTATTCGGACCTCAGGCTCTTTCCTTTGAGACGAAATACTTTGGCCGCATCAGGTCGTTGGTCAACAGGATATCCGGAAACAAATGGATATTAGACACTGTCAATGCCCTTGGGGACGATTTCGATGCTTTATGTAAAGCCATACCAGCAGCACGTTACATACAGCAGGGAGAAACTGGCATTCGGGAGCTTCAACAATGGCTCGAGATGGGTGAAATCCCTGAAAGAATGGCCACTTCAATATTACCCAACATTTTGCTTGGGCCCCTGACCGTCATAGCCCAACTTGTTGAGTACAACTTACAATGCAAATCCCCTTTCAGCGAGTACCCTGGCGTTGAGGCTTTCGGTTTATGTCTTGGTCTTCTGAGTGCGATGGTCGTCGGATGCAGCTCGAATCAAACTGAATTTTCGCGTTACGGTGCAGCAGCTATTCGATTGGCAATGGTGATTGGAGCAGTTGTTGACACTGATCAGAAGAGTAATGGCAGTGACCAATATGTATCACTCGCAACTGCAACGAGAGGAATACAGGATGCATCCAGTATCTCCAAGGTCCTAAGCAGCTTCCCTGGAGTAGGTTGCAATCCTGTCTACGCTACATATCTTGGCAGCCAACTAACCCTTTCCCACTTTCAGGCTTATATATCTGTCTTGTACGATTCCAATCGTGCCACCATCACTTGCCCCAAATCCTCTGTCGACACTCTCAGAGAAAGGCTAAAGGCTTCCGAAGTCACTGCTACCGAGATTGGACTTCGAGGACGGTTTCATAACGGTGTCCATGAGAGCATGTTGAAGGATATCATCACCTTTTGCAACACATATCCACACCTCAGACTTCCCGATGCTTCTGGCTTGAGACTTCCGGTCCACGGAGACTCGGTAGATGAAGCCGCTACCATATTCATGCCACTTCACGAGGTGGCCTTGCGCGCTATACTTCTGGAACCTTCCGATTGGATCAAATCGTTCGCAATAGTCTCCAACAGACTTGATGAGAACTCCGCTTCTCGAGTCGTGTCATTTGGACCCGAGAGGTGCATCCCACCGTCTGCGGTTAGATCTCTGGGCTCTGCCGCCGTTCATTTTGACGATGTCAATAATGCAAGTCCCGTCGCTGCAAGTATCATGGATAATGATATTGCCGTCGTGGGTATGTCGTGCAGAGTAGCGGGTGCTGAGGACCCAGAGGGCTTCTGGGAGATACTTATGGAAGGACAATCACAACACCGAGAGGTTTCCAGTGAGCGCTTTGGCTTCGAAACAGTTTTTCGACCGGAAGCCGATAACAAGAGAAAATGGTATGGTAATTTCATAGATGACCACGACGCTTTTGATCACAAGTTTTTCAAGAAGACTCCGAGGGAAGCCGCGACAAGTAAGCAGATCTCGTACCCAGCTGTATCTCCCTCATCTCCAAGTCCGGAAGAGTGATTCTCGAGTCAAACAGTTGGAGGGCGTTGCATTATCACCTTGCGAATCCAGTTGCGGATAACAGCTAATCACGAGATTTACAGTGGACCCCCAACAGAGACTTCTCCTCCAGGGTGCTTATATAGCTATGGCACAATCGGGGTACTTTCAGAAACCTTCAGCAGCACGAGATAACCATATCGGATGCTACATCGGCGTCTGTGCCACGGACTATGAGAACAATGTCTCTCACCATGCGCCAACCGCTTTTACAGCAACTGGAAATTTGCGCAGCTTCATCGCCGGCAAGGTTAGCCACCATTTTGGGTGGACTGGTCCAAGTTTGACGGTCGATACCGCCTGCTCGGCTTCAGCTGTGGCGATACACTCAGCTTGCAAGGCAATTCTGACTGGCGAGTGCTCAGCAGCTTTAGCAGGAGGTACTAATTTCATCAGCTCTCCCTTGTGGTACCAGAATCTGGCCGCAGCGTCTTTTCTCAGTCCAACTGGACAATGTAAGCCTTTTGACGTCTCAGCCGATGGGTACTGTAGAGGCGAAGCGATCGCGACAGTTGTTCTCAAAAGACTGTCACATGCCGTGGCCGAGGGAGATCAAATTTTGGGGGTCATCTCATCCACTGCTGTCTACCAGAATGAGAATTGCACTCCAATCTTTGTACCTAATGCACCTTCTCTCTCTGGACTGTTCAAAGAAGTATTACGGAAGTCGGAGATTGATCCTGGTGATATCACCTATGTCGAGGCTCATGGGACAGGAACCCCAGGTACGTAGAGCTCCAAGGCAGCTCGGCAAGCTTCACCTGATGTAGTGCTGATTTTCTGGCTTCCAGTCGGTGATCCAGCCGAGTTTGAGAGTATCCGCCGTGCTTTCGGCAAAGGTCGCTCAAGGCCCCTCCAGCTAGGGTCGGCCAAGGGTCTCATAGGACATACCGAGGGCAGTTCAGGAGTTGTTTCACTGATCAAGGTCCTCCTCATGATGAATGAGGGATATATACCACCACAATCTAGCTTCAAGACACTAAATCCATCCATTCAATCGTCACCTACTGAGAAGATCGAGATAGCCGGGTCTGCGCTACCTTGGCAGGTAGACAATCACTTCAGGGCAGCTCTCATCAACAACTATGGTGCCTCGGGTTCCAACGCTTCTATGGTAATCAAGCAGGCTCCGCTTGCATGTGATCTATCGACTCCGAAACCAGAGACCCCGACACATGCGTTGACCAAATATCCCTTCTACATCGCCGGTTTCGACGAGAGAAGCGTGAGAACGTACGCTGCTCGCCTTAGACAGTTCGTAAGGACCAAGCGCAGCGCCAACATAGTGCCTGGTATCGAAGATTTCAGCTTTAATCTGGCTCGGCAATCCAACTGGTATCTAGAGTCAGCGGTCATATTCAGCAGCCAGACACTTGACGAGCTTGAACAAAAGTTGGCCTCGATTGAATCTGGTAAAAACGAGAACAACTCCCAACTTTTAGCCATTCCTTCTGCTTCTAGACCTGTCATATTATGTTTTGGAGGCCAGATATCCACATTCGTGGGGCTTGACCGTGCAGTCTACGACAGTATTGATGTCCTTCGATACCATCTTGATCAGTGCGACAATGTCTGTCGCTCCCTTGGAGCCGAAAGTATTTACCCTGAAATATTCCAGGCTACGCCAATCCAGGATGTTTCAAGGCTTCAGCCTATGCTCTTCTCACTGCAGTACGCCTGCGCGATGAGCTGGATCGACTCTGGCATTTCTCCCGCTGCTCTCGTGGGCCACTCTTTCGGAGAGCTCACAGCCCTATGCGTGGCGGGAACTCTTAGTTTACAAGACTCTCTGAAAATGGTTTGGGGCAGATCGAAGATTATTCGTGACTACTGGGGCGAAGAGAAGGGCGCTATGATGGCTGTCGAGGCTGACGAAGACATGGTCACCAGCCTGCTGAACAATTCAAAGCGCGATGGTGTGACCACGGCGACAGTGGCCTGTTTCAATGGACCGAGAAGTTTCACGTTGGCCGGCTCTGTGGCTGCGATTGAGGCCGTTGCTTCCACGTTGTCGACTAATCAGTCCTACGCAACGGCCAAGAGTAAGAGACTCAGTGTCACCAACGCGTTTCACTCGACCCTCGTTGAGAAATTGAAGCCTGAACTGGAGGCATTGGGGAAAATCCTGTGTTTTACCCGACCGAAGATACACTTGGAGAGTTCAACCAAATCCAAGGACTGCGGCGAGCTGCTTTCGGCTCGCTACGTCGCTAACCACATGAGAGATCCGGTCTACTTCAGTCAAGCTGTCGAAAGGCTCTCCTCTCAGCACAAATCAGCTATTTGGTTAGAGGCAGGTTCTAACTCTACAATTACGACCATGGCCAGCAGGGCGTTGGGCAATCCCAAAAGCAGCACCTTCCAGTCAATCAATATTACCAGCGGCTCATCCCTACTGCAACTCACAGACGCGACCATGAGCCTGTGGAGGGCAGGCTGTCGCATCTCGCACTGGTCACATTCAAGGCGACAAACGCACCGATACACGCCCTTGATTCTACCGCCGTACCAATTTGACAAACAACGGCATTGGATTCAGTTCAAGGCGCCGCCCAAGCCTCGTGAGAAAGAACCTGTAATCGACAAGGCCGCACCAACCACGCTTCTTACATTCATCGGTTATGAAGATGACCAGAACACCTCTCCTCGGTTCCGTGTAAATACGCAGATTGAACGTTACCAGACGCTGGTCGCCGGACACGTGATCGCCAAGACTGCGCCGATCTGTCCTGCAACGTTACAAGTTGAGATGGCTGTTGAAGGCATCATCAGTGTCCGACCTGACTTGGTTCAGTCCAAGATGCAGCCGCAAATTTGCAACGTGAACAATCAAGCGCCTATATGTGTCAATGAGTCACGAGAGGTCTTTCTTGAATACGCCGCAACGAGTAATGGCAGCAATAAATCCTATTCATGGAAGTTCAAGATTTCGAGCTCCGAGGCAAATCGAGGCGCGTCGACAACACATGTTACTGGAGAGGTTCGTTTTCGTGCAGCCGACGACAACCAGTACCGTTTGGACTTTGGCCGACTTGAACGTCTAGTAAATCACCAGCAGTGCATTGAAGTTTTGAACAGCAGTCACCCGGACGACGAAGTCATTCAAGGATCCAGCATTTACAAAGTCTTCTCCGATGTTGTTGATTACGGTCAAATCTTCTTCGGGTTGCAAAAGCTGGTCGGTCGTTTCGATGTCTCTGCTGGAAGAGTCGTGAAGCAACGAATCGGAGAGGCTTGGCTTGATCCCCTCTTGGGTGATTGTTTTAGTCAGGTAGGTGGCATTTGGGTCAACTGTATGGCAAACAAATCAGTGCCTGATATGTTTATTGCCAATGGGTTTGAACAATGGATCAAAAATCCAAAGCTTAGCGAATGTCAAGCAGACAAACAGAGCACGTGGCATGTCCTAGCGCGTCACACCGCCGCTGCGTCTGGCAACGCCTTTTTGACAGACATATTTGTCTACGAACCAGAGAGTGGCCAACTGGTGGAGGCGATTCTTGGCATCAACTACGCCAAGGTCGCAAAAGCCTCGATGAGTAAGCTTTTGTCGCGACTGACGCCGGGTCGTTCTCGACCTACTGCGCCTGAAGAGACGCCGAGCGCTGTAGCCATGCTATCGGGTATTGCTGGTCAAGTGGTATCGCTGGAACCAAATCAAATCCTCGACTCGGCAGAAAAGTCGTTGTCGTCCCAGTCGAGGCCAGTGAAAGATTCTAGTCGTCCAGGCAAGTCGGAATTGCTGCTAAAATTGAAAGGCGTCCTAGCTGAGCTCGCCGGCCTTGAAGTAGGCGAGGTTAAAGATGAAGTAGAACTCGCAGACATCGGTATTGATTCGTTGATGGGTATGGAAATGGCTCGCGAGGTCGAGACTACTTTCAGCTGCACTCTAGACACTGATGAGTTGATGCAAGTCTCCGATCTTCCTCAGCTCTTCACATGCCTGCTCTCGGCGCTGGGAGATTCAGTGGGCGACTCAGATGACGGAAAACATGATGGTATATCATCGAACTCTGGGTCGAGTGGTTCTTCAGATGCTGCTAGAACGCCATCGTCGACAAAGGCCACATCGGTTCAGGATACCTATGCACACGACCTGGACTTGAGTAAACAACATGACGACTTGATAATCCCGTCTGCACTAGTTCTAAAAGCTTTCGGCGGGTCAAAATCCCGCACCGATCATTTCATAGAGGACCACCATTGTTCAGGTTATTTGGAGAAAGTCATGCCCAAACAAGCCAACCTGTGTATTGCACTTACTCTCGAAGCTTTCAAGGAGCTAGGCTGTGATCTGTCACAGGCCAAACCAGGCGAGGCGCTACAGCGTATCCCATTTGATGCCCGTCATGGCCGCTTGGTAGAATATCTGTACATCATGCTGGAAGAGACGCGTATCGTGGATCTTGACGGCGGACGAATCACTCGCACCGCATTACCACCCCCAGAGAAAAGTAGCAACGAGATACTGCAGCAACTTCTTCGCGAACACCCGGATCATAGCTATGCTAATGAGTTGACCCACTGGACGGGGTCCAACATCGCGGCTGTACTCAGGGGCGAGGCTGACGGCATCAAGTTGATCTTCGGGAACGAAAAAGGTCGTGAGCTTGTTGCAGGTCTCTATGGAGACTCGCTCTTGAATAAGCTGTCGTATAGACAGATGGCGGATTTCCTCAATCGACTTGTCGACAAGTTGTCAGAAGCTGAGATCGGTGGCACACTAAGGATATTGGAGATGGGAGCAGGCACGGGAGGAACAACTAAGGTAAATAAACCCAATCTAGTGATTTCGACCATCGCAAAAGTTGTTGACTAACAATATGTACATGTATTAGTGGCTCGTGCCCATGCTGGCTCGACTTGGTATGCCAGTTGAATACACTTTTACTGACTTAGCACCATCTTTCGTGGCGGCGGCTAGAAAGAAGTTCAAGGAGTACCCCTTCATGAAGTTTGCGGTTCATGATATAGAGAAGCCACCGTCGCAGACTGAGCTACTTGCCTCACAGCACATCGTCATTGCTAGCAACGCGGTCCATGCAACACACTCGCTGACAGTGTCTACTGAGAATATTCGCAAGTTCCTCCGCCCAGATGGCATGCTACTCATGTTGGAAATGACGCAAACACTTTACTGGGTTGACTTGATATTTGGTATCCTCGAGGGTTGGTGGCTGTTTGATGATGGTCGGCGTCATGCTATTGCCGACGAGAGGCGGTGGGAAGAGGAACTTCATAAAGCCGGTTATGGTCATGTGGACTGGACAGATGGAAGTTCTCCAGAGGTGACCATTCAGAAAGTATTTCTTGCACTGGCTTCGGGTTCGCAGCTTGATAGACTGCCATCCTCGACACGTTCCAGTACCGATAATCATGCACCTACTAATTTGGAGGCGCGAAGAGCTGCGACTAATGCCTATGTTCAGACAGCAACGGAAACCTTCTCAGTGGTCGAAACTGACGAAGAAGAACTGACAGATCCTTCGTCCTCATTGAGCGTACTTGTCACTGGAGCAACCGGGAGTCTCGGTTGTCACCTCGTCACCCATCTCGCGAGTCTCCCAAACGTGTACAATGTCTACTGTCTCAATCGCACAATTCGCGGAGAAGAAGGGGGCCTTCCGCGGCAGATGCGAGCTCTTGAGTCCAGGGGCATCATCCCGGACGCGCTGACGCTCTCAAAGCTCAGGGTCTTCGAGAGCAGTGACACATCCAAACCACATCTTGGGCTTAACCAGAGCGAGTACCGTGAGCTGGCGAGATGCGTTACCCACATTGTCCATAACGCGTGGCCAATGAGTGGGAAAAGACCGGTAAAGGGCTTCGAATCGCAATTTGTCACCATGACCAATCTGGTAGACCTGGCGGCCACTATTTCACAGGAAAGAAATAGGCGCGTCTCCTTCCAATTCGTCTCCTCCATTGCCGTCGTCGGCCACTATCCCCTATCACACGGAACTCCAAATATTCCAGAAGAACCCGTGATGATCGAGTCAGTGCTGCCAAATGGTTACGGCGATGCCAAGTATGTCTGTGAACGCATCTTGGAGAAGACACTTCATCGCTATCCCAAGCGCTTCCGAACCATGTCAGTCCGTCTAGGTCAAGTCGCCGGGTCAAGCAATAGTGGCTATTGGAATCACATGGAGCATTTTTCGTTCATGGTCAAGACAGCACAGACGCTACGTGCACTGCCCAGTCTAAGTGGGCAGCTGTCATGGACCCCTGTGAATGACGTCGCCGGCACGCTGACGGACCTGCTGCTGTTGCCGAAGGACAACTGTTTGATCTACCACATCGACAATCCCATTCGCCAGCCTTGGGATAATGTCACCGCCATCCTCGCCAGAGCTTTACATATTCCGAATGAACGCATTGTGCCTATGCCTGAATGGCTACGTCGGGTACGGGTATTCCCCGGAGACATTGAAGAAAACCCGGCGCTGAAGCTTGTTGATTTCTTGGAGCATGACTTTGAGCGCATGTCTTGTGGAGGTGTGTTACTCGGCGTTGAGAGAGCGCTAGAGCATTCACCTACGCTACGAGCGGTAGGTCCTGTGGGCGAGCAAGTTGTACTCAAATATGTCCAGGCGTGGAAAAATGCCGGCTTTCTACGATGAGACTGCGACACGAGAGCCGTTTCCTGTTTTGCATATATATCTCGCCTATGGTATCGATGACGTCCATGAGATCGTGGAGAAGAACAAACTCAGTATACTTGATCACGTCCGATTGACAACAAAATACAAGGATGCGCTAGGTTAAGTTAGTGTCGTCCACCCAGTGCCGAACGCGCTGGAAAGTATTGGTAGTGACCATTGAACACAAAACCACAGCAGTTCGCACAATTGTGTGAAGGATTGTCTTCTTTTTCTGTTATTTCCAGGCCGAATCAACTATCATATTCGCAGTGTTTATATTCAGAGTGTGCATTTGACGTGCTGTGCTATAGTAGCAAAGGTCTGTTACATCGAGGTAGAACTTCCACAAAGCCACCCACTAGTCTAACCTAGGTTAAAAGTCTGCCTAGCCGGCTATATTTTAGTGCCCAAACCGCCAGGGAGCAGCGCAGTTTTAGTTTTTGCCTCCGAAGATTTACAGAGCATGTGCGGTGAAATCTGTGCGTAATATAGCTGGTTTGCAATCTATTCAACGACTAATCTAGTTCAGCCAATACTAAACAATTTTGAGCATAAACAGCATGCCTTTGTTAGGAGGTCCTCAAGGAAAACCATCGCCAGTATTCTGAATCGCCAAAATAGACTCCACGGTATCCCTAACGCAGACCTCTAATCCCGTATACTGCAATCCCAACACCTCCCGCGACTTGGAATTGTCAAACCCATATACATCCTTTGGCATGTCATCCTCAGCCTGATTCACGTCAGGCAATACACGCCCTAACTCAGGGCGGCAGGCTCGCACTGCATCCGCGAGACGCTTGTTCGAGAAATGTCCACCCACGATGAAAAAACGTTGCCCCCCGGCCTCGGCACCCGCCTCGAGCGCCTTCACGTGTGCCTCAGCTACGTCACGTACGTCTGCAAAGAGGTATACAGGCCCAGTTGGTGGTAGTGTCTCGCGAAAGCAGCCCATGACCATGTCGCGGATGCGCTCGTTTGACGTGTTGAGGTCTTCCGGGCTGACAATGTGTTTGGGTGCCGCGCCAAACACTAGAGGCGGGTTGAGCACAACGAGATCAAAGGTCGGCTTTTCGATCGATATGAAGTCAAAGGCTGCGCTCTCTGCGTATATCTATTATCCTTGCGATGTCAGCCTTGATCTGTGCGTAGCAAGATGGGTGAAGAACGTGTGCAAAACAATAGTCTGTTGCTCACCTTGCTCGCTCGGTATGCCAGCCGCGGGTCCATGGCCTCTTTCCAAGACGTAGTGCCGTGCATAGTCTCATCATATACCTTGGAGTGATTGGAAGGATTCAGTATCGTCGCGGAAGACGAAAGTAAGATCACACGTTTAACAGTGGGTGCATGATTGCGCACCGAATGGAGGATTCCTACCGTGCCTCTTACAGCAGGTTCCAAGAAGTCCTTCAAAGGGTCCTGGATATTGAAATGGTAGGGACAGGCTGTATGGATCACATAATGGAATTGTCGGGCCCTGGCGGCCTGAGTAAAAAAAGTTTGCAGTCAGTTCCGACTATACGATGTGGACGGCAAGATCGAAGTTGTAGACTGACGTACCTCGTCAAAAGCGGAATCTTCAATTATGTTGTTGACGACCACGAAGTCAAAACGTGCTGCATTGCCATCTGATTCATAGCACTTCTTCAACTTGTGGCCCTTCTCCTCTGATCGTACAGTCACAACGACATTATACCTTGAGTCTTCTGTTAGCGCAGATGCAAATCAACCTTTGCCTGGTAAACATTATGAAATATCCTTACCGACTACGAAGAAGTGCTTCTGTGATATGCGAAGCAATGAAACCACTTCCACCTGCGTCCATTATGATTAAAAAGGAGATGGTGGATCAGCTATCCCTGATAGACTCACCTGTAAGCAGGACCCACGGTGTACTCGTGGTAGCCATCAGTGCAATTTCGATAAACTCACAAACGAAGGTATCGTAGAGCGATGATTAGTTTTAAGAAATCGACCGAGGTGTTGGAAGACGTAATAATCAGGGAGTGCTGGGCGGGTTCTAATCAAATGAAACGCAGTATTAGATGTAGTTCTCCTAGTCTCTCTCTGATACTGGAAATGATATCTAGTACGGTCACATCGGAGTACGCGAGTATCAGTACAAGTATTAAAATAAGCAAAAACATCAGAACTGTTACTACCTAGGTCATAACCAAATCTCTGGACTCCTACAACTCCACATATGATCAGATGGCGGACTTGGGCAGGCGAATGAAAGCTACCGGAGCTGAGAACTCCGAGCATATTTAAAGCAAACTGTACAGGCCAGAACATATGTCGCAGGAAATGTTCAACAAACACTAAATTTGGGCGTATGATCAAACACGAATGATACGAAGACGCTTTTGGAACTTTCGATAGTTATCGGATTTACAGAATGGTGATGCAATGGGCCAAAAGCAACTTGGAACACCAAAACGTGATGGAGATATAACAATTCAAATCATGTTCAGAAAATTACAATAGTAAGGCATAAACGATTCTATCCTATGAACTCGGCGTAGGCACTCCACTCAGCATCTGTCCTCAGCCCTTCCATATCCTGCTCGTTCAGGCAGACCAATATGGGTAGATCACCTGTGTCAAGCTCTGGCGGGTACACATACATAAGTCCGGGAACCGGAAAGAGATTAGGGCGCCTAAGAAGAGAGGGTGTGCCCAGGACGCCAAATTTAAGGGCGCCGGTCGTGGTCTGCGCCATAGAAGAGCCGCCGACATCTAGAGTAGGGTTTAGGCCGCCAGCATAGACGAGCTGCGACTTGTCGGACACGCCAGCAAGAAAAGTGGCGTAGCTTCGGACCGCCCACTCATTATTTGAAGCATCCAGATCGATTCGCATACGAGATGCGAGTCTTGAAAGTGTCAATTCCGCCGATCCAAGCTCCTGGTAAGTGGCGCGAGTCGCAGCGTGGTATACCAGCTGGCCCATGTAGGCAGGCGGCGCCCCAACAGCAGCGCGAGCATCGATTGCGCGCGAAAACTTGGACGAGGCCGATGGATTTACGCTGCCATTCTTAAGACGCACAGTGGCCAGCCGCTTCCAATAAAAAGCGCATAATGCGTCGTTTGTTGATATATATGTCACCGGGGCCTCGAATTCGTCCTTGTTCGAAGCAGCTGCCTTGATTTGAGGTATGCCGTCCTGTCTTAAGCGGAAAAATGCCCATTCCGATGGGATTGGTGGCGCTTTAACAGATGGCGGGAGGTCAACTTGCTTCAAGAGATGGCTGTGATCACGTAAAGGCTCCCCAGGTTCGAGTAGAGGAATGACTTTCGTGCGATCTGAGTTCGCCTGATCGATGTATGCTTGTGGTAGACTTTTCCCCTGCATTGCGATGGCGAGAAGCATGATAAAAACGAACATACCACTTGCATCCATCACGTTGTGCTGATTTGAGAAATTGATTATGACACCACCTCTGATGAAGCTCGCCTGGACTGCCACGACAGGCGCGGCGCCGCCAATCTTAGCTACATCGTAGCTCAACGGAAACCCCGGGAGTGGACAAAGTAGACTGCCATCGAGCATAGAGACAGGGCCTGAATTTTCTAGAAGCTCGTCGTATGAGGGGCACACTTCTGTATGATCCTTGACGTAAAGGATTCTGTTTGCTACATCGAGGTCTGTCGGCCATGGCGCAGTCCTGATGATGCCTGAACTTCCATTGATACCACATTCATGGACAACCTGTTCACCCAGCCATGGAATATTGGCAACAATGTCTGTAATCGCAGCTTCGAGTGCTGTCACAACATCACTGGATTTACCATCAGCAAGGGGAAAAACTAACAATCCATGATTGTAAGATTTGAGCTGTGGGAATTGACCAACGACATCTTCAAAACGTGCTTTGGTCATCTTGTAGAAAGCGGAAGCACAAGCTCTGTGGTCTTCAAAATCAATACAGACACTGGCGGATTGTACATGTATACCTACTTTTGTGCGCCCCAGCAAACATCGCGGCTTAGCAACTCGAAGCCCGAAACTCCGTAGTCCGGAACAAACTCCCCCACTGCAGTTCCAAGATGGATACTTGGCAAGAAGCCCGGGTGCAATGTTAGAGGCAGGGAGATGTCGTTGTTCTTCTAATATCGATATTTCAGACACGATCAGTCCACTTGCATGTTTTCCTCGGTCAGTGCTGACTGGAGCGGAATTGGATTTCTGCACACAAAGACTACAACTATAAAATGGAAAAGACGCGTACTGACTACAGCTTTAAAGTCGCCATAATTGGAGGCGGAATCACTGGGTTGGTGCTTGGCCTCGGCTTGCTTCGTCGCAGTGTCAAATTTACCATATATGAGCGAGCCGACAGCTTTTGCGAAATTGGTGCGGGCATAGGGTTCACACCGAATGCCGAACGTGCCATGGAAGCCCTCGATCCAGCGATTCACGCGAGTTTCAGAAAAATTGCTGTTCAGAACGAGGATGACTACTTTCGTTATGTTGATGGGTTCCATCATGGTCCACAAGACAAGGCCAACACGGCAGAGGCACAGTTCTGCAAAATGTACTTGGGTGAGCGGGGATTCGAGGGATGTCGCCGCCACGACTTCATCCAAGAACTCGCTGGGCTTATGGAAGCGGATTGCATCAAATTCAATAAGTGCTTAGTCTCTGTGAATGATGGTGTGGTGATGAAATTTGATGACGGCTCGATCGAGCAAGCATCAGTGAGTAAGTCATTCCTTACCACGAGAGCTAGAGACTTGATTCATTAACATACCCAAACTATGAATAGTTATCGGTTGCGACGGTATTAGATCCCGCTTGCGTCAAATCATGGTTGAAGGGGATGGAGACGTTTCGGTGCTTCCTGGGCCAGCTTACGCGCACAAGTATGCGTTCCGTGGTTTAGTGCCAATGGAGGCAGCACGCGGCGTCTTGGGGGAGCACAAAACGAGTAAACGATTCATGTTTCTTGGGCCGGATGCCCACGTGCTTACTTTTCCTGTTGCTGGTGGCGCTATCATGAACGTCGTCGCATTCGTGACAGACCCCAAACCATGGACAGCGGAGCATTTAAGTGAAAAGACTACAAGGGAGGAAGCCATCGTTGCATTTGCTCACTTTGGTCCGGCGGTGCGCACGATCATTTCTCTACTACCTGACAAACTGGATAGGTGGGCAATCTTTGATATGTACGATCGACCGCTGCTCCGCTTCACGACAGGAAGTCTATGTCTTGCAGGAGACGCTGCTCACGCTGCCAGCCCGCATCATGGAGCTGGTGCTGGCTGCGGTATCGAAGATGCTCTAGCACTAGCAGAATTGCTTTCAGCGGTCTCCAGACGATTGGGAGACAATGTGCCAATAGAGACACTTGTTGCAGCTGCCCTCGAAACTTACAATGAAGTTCGATACGAGAGGTGTCAGTGGCTAGTTCAAAGCAGTCGTATTGTGGGTGAGATGTTTGAGTGGCGCCAATCAAAAATTAGTACTGGTCCGGAGGCTTTTGCGCGCGACTTAAGCTCTCGTTGTCACACAATATGGGATTTTGATACCGAAGAGATGGTTGCAAGTGCGCACAAAAAGTTCAATGGCAAGATGCGACGAATCAGAGACCAGTAGCCATAGATTATTAATCCTTGTAGGACAAATCGTTACCTACGTACGAATACTTGCGTTCAAGATTTTACCAGTGGTACTGCAGAGATATAACATTGAACCATGCAAGGGCACCCAATAACCATTACACACAAGCATATCCTTTAATATGTGAATCGATAAGTGAAATAAGTAGTAATGCATGGCGTATCCCGCGGTCATGCCATATCCTTTGTTACAAAGAGGTCTCATTGGATAAACCTCAAACCTGACAGGAGATGAACGGCTGTACATGTTCCTGGTGGTTGTTGTTTGCTTTGCAATGATATTGGAGCACCAACAGATTGTCTCCATTACAGCGTTCGCATAGCAACGCTCATGCAATCTGTCTATTGCATGGAAACGAGACAACGTGCCGATCTTCTTGAATTTCGATGACGAAGTCAAACAGGTCAATGGCAGCTAACTGCTTCTTCAATATCGCATTGAATGTTTAGGGTCTAGACTGGTCTCATCTAACTCAGCTCGTCGCACCTGCGAAACTCCGTAGAACTCCGGGCAATAGAAGAATATGCTTATTTTGACAAGTGGGCCTATATCGCATTGTTGCATACCCTTCTACCATGCCCTGAGTGAGTACCGACTATGACTTTTGCATCTAAAGATCCATAGAGCATTTCGTTCTATTCAATTTCCAACACCTCGAACTTGGCTCGAAAGCACTCGTGCCAACTATTCTTTTCCGTAATCACGCATCGACCATTTCGCACCATGGCGGAAATACACGAACGACTTCAAGACCCAGGTCGAATCGAATCTTCACAGCCAACAGCCGAGAAAAGAGAGAATAGTATGGAAACCAAAAATGCAGAATATGTGCAAGGGTTGAAACTCTACTTGGTGTTGAGCGCACTTACTATTGTTTATTTCCTGATCATGCTCGATAATACCATCCTTGCAACTGTACGTTCAGACTTGCAGAAGCTTGTAATTTATTATTCTAGTAGCTGGACTTACTGAGTTTGTTTTAGGCGATTCCATACATCACAGACGAATTTCATTCGCTTTTGGATGTTGGTTGGTATGGAAGCGCTTACCAGCTCTCCTGGTAGTTTCCCCCCTCGCGCAAGGACTCCAATCGTTTGGCTCATATCCCTTCAACAGTGCGGCTCTGCAACCTCTGACCGGCAAGATCTACACACGTATCAACTCTAAGGTATGTTTGACTTGTGCAAGACGGGAAAATCCTTTTTATATCTTTGAAATTAACCACTTCAACTCGCAGGTCGTTTTCATCGTATGCCTGGTAGTGTTCGAAGCTGGATCGGCACTTTGTGGCGCGGCTCCATCATCTACTGCCTTGATTATTGGCAGAGCGCTTGCTGGTATGGGCGGTGCTGGTTTGCTAAACGGTTCGTTGATCATACTAAACTCGTGTGTTCCGCCAAGCCGCCAGCCAGGTATGCCTTCTATTCTTAGTGTTACATCTTTCGAGACTGCAGTGTTGTTGACGTCTTCCTTTAGCGATCGTCGGTATTTTGATGGGAAGTAAGTTGCGTCCGCCGAACCGTAGCTTGAACACGAAGGTCTTGCTTATTCTTGAATTTGTCGTACTGCAGTTGGACAACTAGGTATAGCTTTTGGGCCGTTGTTAGGCGGAGCGTTTACCGAGTACGTGACATGGAGATGGTGTGAGTGATCGCTTGGACGCCCAGCAGTACTGGTGTCATCTACATACTTATGCACATAGGCTTCTACATCAACCTACCGATTGGTGGAGCCGCCGCAGCCGCAATTGTTTTTACGCATATCCCCGACCACATACCAAAGCCGCACTGGAGCAGGGCTTTCGACAATGCGCTAAGCGAGTTTGACCTTGTTGGTTTTGTACTTTTTGCGCCAGCGGCAATTCAGTTCTTTCTCGCTCTACAGTACGGGGGCAATCAGTTTCCATGGAATAGCTCGCAAGTTATCGGACTCTTCTGTGGTGCCGGCGCAACACTTGTGGTATGGCTATGCTGGAACTACTATCAAGGCGACCGTGCCATGGTACCAGCCTCCATGATGAGAAATCGACCAGTCTGGCTCTCTTGTATTGTCGGGCCTTTTACAGGCGCGACTGTCTTTGTCACGGCTTATTATCTTCCCCTATATTTTCAAGGGGTGTTAGCTTATTCGCCGTTCATGGGCGGAGTGGATGTGCTGCCAAATATTCTCGCCCAAATGATTTTTACAATTATTGCCGGCGGACTAAGTAGGTGGAAAGCTGCTTGCACCAGTTTCATTTTTATAAAGAAAGAAAAAGAATCCTTTTCAACTAACTATCATGCCAGTTCAAAAATATGGCGACTATCCCCATTTCACGATTAGTGGTTCCATTCTCAATGCTGTCGGCTGCGGGATTCTAGGATTGCTCACACCCACGACTCCAACGGGCCAATGGATTGGTTTTCAGATCATTTTCGGCGCTGGGAGAGGCCTCTCCATGTCAATTGTAAGTTGAAACTTCCCCCACGCCTCCTACTCGTTGATTATTTCCACTCTCAGGAGACACCACTGGTTTGCATCTATAACTAATGAGCTCAGCCATTCCTCGCCGTCCAGAATAGCCTTTCAAAGCAGCAAATCCCTGCCGCCATGTCTATCCTTGTGTTCCTCCAGAACTTCAGCGCCGCTGTTATGACAGTGCTAGCCCAAACAATCTTCACCAACAGCCTTGTCGAGCTCTTGCCGCGATATGCGCCGTCGGTCGACCCGGCTCTAGTCATCAGCGCCGGCACCACCGACCTCCGGAGACTCGTGCCATCTGACAGCATCAGCGAAGTCTTGAATGCCTACTCGGGAAGTCTGGACCGTGTTTTCTTCTTCTGTGCGGGACTTGCCACACCACCATTGTTGTTTGGTTGGTTCCTGGTCAAAAAGGAGCCTGAGACACATGAGAAAGATCAGCATGGGAGTGTGGTAGCTTAGTCGGTATCGGCATCAACAAATGATCGAGTGGAAACGCCGTGAATGAAACACAGTCTCTCTAGTAAGGCAAATGATTCTAGTTACATGGCTGAGCAGTGGGTCGATGGACTCATGGTTGGATAAAAGTCACTGACTACAGACTACTATATCACAGCGATCTCAACTGAAATCAAAGTATTATAAATTCTCACTGCCAGGTATTCGAACTATACAGCTGTGTTGAATCAAAGAGTGACCACTATCTTCGTAGTCGATACGCCTTTAGACATGACATCCAATGCCTCCTGAATATTCCCGAGCCCCTGTCCAACAACGCGCGCGTCTGGTTTCGCTTGATACTGACCGCTCGCCAGAGCGACCGGAAGAAACTCTTTGTAAATGACCTTGCCCAACTCATTTGCCATGAGATCGCTGCCCCAGATGAACTTAGTGCGTACTCGCTTGACTTTGGACTTCATGAATACCAATATATTCCACCATAAGAACCTCAACATCACACCCATGAGAGCTAGAGGGTTCTTTGGCATCTTCGTCGGGTCTAGTGGAATACTCGCCTGGGCGACAAACTTACGGCCATTGGAACTGCTAGCAACGACGTCGATGCATGCCTCCAGAGACCCGTTCCCGATAGCGAGAGCACCAGCGCAGGTCCGGCCTTTGAGAGCGGAGATAAGAATTTGTACTGTGTCGGCAGCTCGGTAATCGAGAGCTTGTACTGCGCCGAGGGACTTGACATAGTCAAAGTTGTTCGGCGATGCCGTGGTGAATACGTCGTAGCCTGCAGCTGTTGCAAGTTGGATAGCATTGCTGCCAACAGCGGTAGACCCACCCCAGATAACGACAACTTCGCGGTCTCGCTTGACATCTAAGGGAGCAGTGGGTGGTGATGAGGCCGTAGGGTATTGAAGACCGAGGTAATCCTTCAAAAAGAGGCCACAAGCCGCCGTTGACAAACACAAAGGCAAGACGCAAGCTTGCTCATAACTCAATTGGTCTGGAATCTTCGCGGTCAAATTTGTTCTAAGCACCGTGTACTCTTGGTAAGCACCCTCCGAAGCTTTGTTGCTCCGCTTATCCATGGCTACAGCGTGACCCAGAACGCGGTCACCAGGCTTGAAAGATGAACCAGCATCTTCTGGGCCGACTTCAACAACTTCCCCGGCCACGTCACTCCCAAGGATAAAAGGATATTTAATCCATCCGAACATGTTGTTGCCGGCAACTTGTTTTCCTAAGTCCACCGGGTTCACGGCGACAGCACCATTCTTGATCACAATCTCATTGGGTCCAGGTGGCGTGTAAGGCGCCGTCTTGACTTCGAAGGGACGCACTTTGGCGCCTGCGAGGTAGGCAGCGTGATTCTGGTGAGCCATGGCGGTTGTGTTTCCGATGAGCGGAACGAAGATGTGATTTCCCGGTGAAACACTGGGAGACTGTGTTTCCGATGAGCGGAACGAAGATGTGATTTCCCGGTGAGCGGAACGAAGATGTGATTTCCCGGTGAAACACTGGGAGACTGTGTTATGGCAGGATGCATGAAAGCATGAAGCCGGCCTGGCCTTGGCGAGGCAGGGAAACAAGACGTAACATAGGTTGTACGGACTTTCTGAGTCAACAATTTCCGGATTTGTTGACAAGTGCACAATCTAAACATGCGGGACGGCATGCCAATCAGTACCATAAAGTCATGAACCCAGCCCTATGTGCAGAGGCTCAGCCAATGAGAGAGCTCACTCAAAACTCCGAGGAACTCCGGAACTCCAGAACTCCGAGCAGTCGATGCGGGATAAGTTCATAATTTGGTTTATTGTGATAGAAGCTCTATGATCCACACAAAGGGAGTCGTTGTTTCCCCTACCTTCGGGTTCTGTGATCTATCTACGTCACGGCAGAGTCACGGGCATTCTTGCCACTCAGCATACTTACTTCTCCCTGCATGTCTTCGCTGTACTGCACGCTTCTTCGTAAGCGGTAACTAAGCAGAATCCAAGATGGTGTCGCTACAGCTCATCCGCGCCTCCAACCAGCAGATCGCAACTGCTCTGCCCGCCAAACTCATTGCTGTTTTCGTAGGCGGCACAAGTGGCATCGGGGAGACATCGCTCAAGCAGTTCGCCAAGCACGCCAAAGCACCTCGAATCTACTTTGTGGGCCGCTCGGACGAGGCCGCGGGACGCATCAAGAGGGAACTCCAGTCGCTGAACCCAGATGGCGACTATATCTTTGTGAAATGTGACGCGAGCCTCCTCAGGAACGTTGATATAGTGTGTCGCGACATTGCTGCCAAGGAGGAGTTTATCAACTTACTCTTCCTGAGCACCGGCACCTTGATCACGGGCACCAGTATGTATTTTGGACTTTGTAGATGATCTTCTTCGGGATTGGAATATTAACATTTTTGTTTACAGAAACAGAGGAGGGGTTGCATTTTTTCACGGCTTTGACTTACTATTCACGCATACGCTTCATCGCTGGCCTGCTTCCGCTCCTGAAACAAGCCACGGGACTGCGCCGAGTAGTGAATGTCTTTGCTGGCGGCAAAGAAGGTCCCATCTCTACCAGTGATTTCCAGGCTTACAAGTTGGGCCCGAGCGAGGGACGCGGCCATCTGTCTTCGATGCTCACATTGAGTCTAGAGGCACTCGCGCGTGATTCGTCCAATGTCAGCTTCGTACACGACTACCCAGGCTTCGTCAAATCTAACTTAGGCCGCGGCACCAAGGGTGTGGGTATGGCGGTTGCAAAGGCCTTGTTCAAGGTCGTGGGTCTATTCTTGAATATACCAAATGAGGAAGTGGGTGAACGACATACATTCTTTTGTACCAGTGCTAGATTCCCGCCTAGTCAAGGTGTTGAAGATGCTGCTGGTGTCACTCTATCTGGCATCCAGGCTACAGTAGGAACGGATGGCAACCTTGGGAGTGGTGTTTACTCCATTGACTATGAAGGCGAACCGGCTAGACAAGGGGCTCTACAATCTTTAGCCGGCTTGAGGCAGGATGGAACTTCGGAGAAGCTTTGGAAGCACGTGCAGGACGAATTTACTCGTGTCGCGGGCCCTCAGTCCATCTAGCGAGTGTACCCAATGTTCTGTGTTTGGTGCGATTCTGTCATACGAGTTATTGAAATTCTATTGTTGTACAAAATTGTCTCTACTAACAGATTAATTCATTATTATTATTTCGCTTGCTCCGTAAAGAATTTGGTGCAGAATAGATTCCCAAGCTCACAGTGCAATCTCATAACGGCTGTCTTTCTTCATGGAATTGTGGGCGGCGTATACCAGTAGGGTAATACATTGCGATGAACATCGGATATTCTCATGTGCGACCCTTGATTTAAAGTGGTAATCGTCGCTATCATGGGAGGCTAATATTGCCAGCCGAGTGCGAGGATGGCATTGCGCTAAAAGATGCTGTATTCCGCGAAGGTAATCCCATGGCATGAATATAAATAATATCTTCCCTGCTTATGTACTAAACGAAAATTGCGGTCAGGATAGTATGTCTGCTTAATTGACGTAAATTGAGGCTCAGGCAATTGTTTGCTGAAAACATGTTACTACAATCATGATTCGTAATGTTTATAGTTAGTACGGCTGTTGTTTAAGTCAATCTGCGCCTTTTTAAGATCACTAAGGCTTTCTCTAGGACTCGTCTTCCTTCCTCCCCATCTCCCCTAAGTTTCGTGAGAGCTCCAAACAAAGTATACGCAATTTCATCGCTGGCTTGGTTGTTTTTCCCTTCCTCCACACCCTGTGGTTCAACTAAGTAGTCCCAATTAGAGACTAGATATGCTCGATCTGGCGCCGATGGGACAACTTCACAACGATAGCCATCCTCTGATCTGCGCAGAATCATTCTCAAATCGAATGCGTCTTTGCATAGCAGCGTAAGCTCTTGTTTGAAAGTGTCCCTTGCGCGGTCGTTCCGGATAACTACGGGCTCGCAGAACTTGGCGATCTTATCTACAATGCGTCGAACAGTCGCAGATGCGTTGTCAAGTCTATTTGCACAATCAATCGTTGCAAATCTCCAACGCTGAATTAGTTGGTCATCGACTAGATTTCTTAAGTGTCAGTTCAATTTGAGAATTGGAGGACTGGGCTCAGCGTTCGTACCTTGCATCTCCTCGAGATACGTCTCAAAGTCACTTAAGTCTGATTCAAGGTGACGTGGAAATTTCTTCTTGCCGTAAAAGCAACCATCCAAACCGAAGCACTTGGCATCCAAGATATATTTGTGCAGGATCATATATATCTCGGCATTCAGACGATTTTTCCGGTCAGTCGGAGGAAGATCAGCCCATAGTTTGGTGCTGAAGAGATATTGCTCGTCCTTGGGTTTTACTATTCGGCCCAAGTCAAAATAATTGCCATTTGCTATAGCTTGGGAACGCTGACGAAGGCCGAGGAATTTGTCCTTTACTTCTTGGTCGCTCACTTTTTGAGTGCCTGCCTTTTCTAGGATCATTTTGCGAAACTGGGATTCTTTTTGTCGCAGCCTGCTCACGTTGGCCGTGGCTGTATTGAGCTCGGCTTCTTTCTGCTCCAGGGTAGTAGCCAAATTGCTGTTTTGCCTCTTCAAATCATTGATATCTTGCTGCCACTGCTGCTGTTGCGTCGAAAAGTGATCGAACTGACTATCCCTACGGGTAATCTGTGCTCGATGTTCCTGGTCGGATGGGTATGAAGGGTCCTCCTTCAAAAGAACACTTTAATTTATTTCCGAATATGAGCTAGCAGACATACGTACTTTGTTTACGTCGCCTTTCGTACGCAGGAGTATTACGGTCTTGGTTGGAAGCCCCTTGATCTCATTCGCGAAATTGTCCAAGCGATCCGAAATTAAGGAGAAACTTGTGTGCAACATCGTTTCCAACTTGTTCACGATGACAATTTCGGGACCTGGCTGTTGAGACTTGGGCGCATTTTCGGACTCGGGAAGACACTCAGTCATTGGATGATCGAAAGGATCCATTGTAGTTTGCTCAATGGGTGTCTTGGGTTGGTAATGCTATATGGTTGCTCGATTGGAAGCGAAGCATTCGCTCATGGGCATTAAACCTATTTCTTGTTTTTAGATCTGGCGAACCATCTAGCAACCCACGAGGCCCACGGCATATTCCACTTGCCCATGCGGCTGACTGCGAGGTTGTAGGACATGGGCCCAATTAGATCTACTGGATGCACAGCCTACCTGAAAGGTGCAGCAAATAGTGGTAATATCATGAGTTCTAGACTCAATCAAACATCCGCCAAATGGACGAGGCGCTGAAACCAGCCCACATTAGGATAGTCATACAACCCATTTTGGATATGCCAAGCAGCTGAACCAGTCATCAGTGCCAGCAACGGTTTGAAGAACCCCCACTGGCGTTTTCAGGCGTAACCGATTGAATGTACAGCATCTTGGAAGGCATCGACGACAGTAAATACTGCAAAGTTCATCGCGACGAGATATAGCGGGCTTAGGTGCACCTCCCAGTCAGATCAAGTCTACAGAATGAAGCAGCGCGTGGGGAATTATTGAATAGCAAAAGGCGACCGGGAGAATAAATCTCTTGCCGCCGTTCAAGTACTTTTCACAGCAGATGTATCATGACTTCCATGAGAATGCGGTTCTTCAAGATGCAAGACGTCTGGAAACGAAGACTGCCTTGCTGCCTTCTTGCTACGTGCGGCTGGATAACGCCCGATGTCACATGCATCAATAGCGTCTTGACGAGCGCAGCCTTTTCGATGCAGCCGCAATCATTAACTCAAGATAGCAAAATAACAGAAGTCCGGATGTACTGCTACCCGAAACCTGTCCTTGAATTTACAAGACCAAGTCTCCAGATCCATCCTCGGCCGTATTGATCGGTTGAACTTTCAACACCAGAATATCTAATCCTCAATATCGATCAAAATGACGAGAGAGCAGATAGAAGCGTTAGGTAAAGCACTTGAAAACATGGGCACCACTAGCAAACCAGCCAACTATGACACTGACGAGAAGCTCGTCATCGCGCTCGACTTCGGCACCACCTTCTCTGGCATAGCTTTCTGCTTTCCCAACCAGAGAGACACAAAGGTGGCAGCCATAATGGAGTGGCCGGGCACCGAGGGCGAAAGCGCTCCCAAGATTCCGACGCTGATTGCCTACGGGCCGGACGGGCACAAGTACCGATGGGGCGCCGATGTCAACGGCTTGCAAGACGGCATTGTGGGCGTGAAATTGCTCCTCGACCCGACCCAAGAGCGGCCCATGTATCTGCCCAGCGGTAACATCAAACGAGACATCAAGAAACTGCCGAAGCCGCCGGTAGAGATCGCTGCAGACTTCATAAAGTCCATTTATAAGCACGCTTTGAAACAGATCGAGAAAGAAGTTCCCAGCGGATACATGGCCCTCTGCCAAAAGCAGTTCGTGCTAACAGGTATGAACCCCCCGAAGACAACCAAAGTGTGTCCTTTATATTTCATAGCCTGCTGACAATGGGCAGTCCCCGCTGTATGGTCTGATGCAGCCAAGAACGCAACGCTCACGGTACGGCAACTTGACGAGCATGTGCTGCTTGCTTTGCTAATTCTGATAGGCGGCCAAGTATGCGGGAATCTATCCCGTGACGCTGATCAAAGAGCCGGAGGCTGCGGCTTTGTACACGATGCACTCCCTGGGCTTCACCTTGAAGGTGGGAGATGTGTTCGTGGTTTGCGACGCCGGGGGTGGCACTGTCGATCTCATCTCGTACGAGGTGGTTGCAACCTCGCCAAAACTGCAGCTTACGGAATTGGTACCGGGAACAGGTATGGAGCCTATTATTTTCTGGGCTGCTCCATGTTGCGTATTTGTGACCCAGCGCTGACCAGTCGGTTCAATCGATCCAGGAGGCATGGCAGGGTCACTTGGCCTGAACCAGCGGTTTAGTGAGGCTGTCAAGAACCTCGTCGGAGAGGACCAGTTCCACGAGCTGCGGAAGACGAAGGGGTTCCACCTAGCGCAAAAGAGCTTTGACAGTCAGGTGAAGAAGGCCTTCCGAGGCAGAAGTAAGGAGGAGTACTTCATAAATTTTCCAATGGCGACCCTCGAAGATGATCCCGAGAACAGACTCGTGTCTAACACATGGAAGATGACCGGGTAAGATGATGATCCGATCCAGAACCTACTGCATTTGCTTCCCCGACTAACCGATCTCGGCTATCAACAGTCATGACCTGAAGGAGATATTCGCGCCCCTAGTTACCGACATTCTGCGGCTCATAGAAGATCAAGTGAAGTCTGTCAAAATCAAGAGACCTGGCAAGGATGTTACTGTGAGTGAAGGAGGCCCTAGATTCGATTATGAATGGCAACTAATTTGAAATAGGGAGTATTTCTGGTCGGCGGATTCGGCAGTAGCCAGTACCTCAAATCCTGTGTCGAGAAGCAACATCCTGGCATACAAGTCTTGCAGCCAAACGATGCGTGGGCGGCAATTGCGAAGTATGCTGTGATAAGCTACAGTTGGTAGTCAGTAATTGCTAACAACCAAATTAGGGGTGCCGCGCTGAGCCAATTGTCCCATGAGACAGCCGTCGTATCGACATCCGCAACCAAACACTACGGCGTGGAGGCTTGGGCGAGGAAGGACCCGGACCGCGATGAAGGCCAGCCTACGGAGGTTTGGAGAGACGGCAGCACACGCGTAGAAACAGTAAGCTGCCATGTCCCGAGCACTGCGGCGTGTAATGCTAAGGTCTGCCACCCTCACAGATGACCTGGTACATAAATGTCGGCGACGATATCATGCGAGACCAGGTCATTCGATTCCCATTCTACCGACATTTGGAAGAAGGTTATACGCCATCTCAGCTTGTTTTCAGCGACTCGCTTTTCGAGTGCACCGATCCGTGAGTTTTCTGCCCCTGTATAAGATCAATCGTTACTTTCTATGTCACCGCAGCCCTTTTTTCTAACATCGCCCGCTTCGTAGAGAGGCGCCTCGTCATAGGTCCAAGGGGCGTAAGATCAGTCCCAATTGCGAACTTGTCGCTAATCTAAAATCCGTCGACAAGAGTGAGTTTGTTCGAATGACCAGCACCGCGGGCGCGACATAGTGAGTCGGTTTTATTTCTTACCACACCAATGCTCATACTTTTTTCTTTTTCTTTTTTCTTCTTTTTCTTCGAAAATAATGAAACAACTTGGACTAACCCGAATACTATTGTAGCTATCGGGTGAACTATGAGCTTGTCGTCAGCCTGAAGTCAGCACTGATGGAGTTTTCTCTCGAGATTGGAGGCAAGAAGATGGGAACAGTGGAGGCCAAGTTTGGGAAATAAGTGTCGAGGTAAAACAACCAAATATGGGAGATATTTGGTATGCTCAAATTGGCCATATATTGTACTTAATAATCGAAACGAGACAAATGTACTGCCCAGTAACATACAAAACACAATCAGCTCCGCGTCAAAACTATAAAGCCTAACACCAAAGTCGTAGCGATACGAAAAGTTCTTTGGCGATAATCAATGGATTTTACCAACGCCTTTAAGATGCAGATATACGTCTGTGCCCCATCCGTAGAGACTCTGAACTGCGATACCGCCGCCAAAGTACTCCGCATAGGCCCTACTCAGCGGCAAGCCATAGCCCAGTCCTGCGATGGAGCTTCCATTGTTATTTGCACCGGAGATGACACTTAGCGCGTCATCAGCTCCGCCAGGAGCGTCGTCGTCTGAGAATGTGGTGAAACTATAACTCCACACATTCGGCAAGACCTCAGGCGAGATACCACCGCCTCGATCTCGGATCCGAATGGTGACACCGGGGGCATTATCATCGAGCGGCTTGATGGCTTCGCTGCGGAATGCACCCTTGCTCTCGGACGGAGGATCAAGCTTGACCTTGGGTGGTCCAGCATCCGGCGGTTCGGGGGCGATGGTAATAACGATAGGCTCCTTGGTATGACGGCCTTCTATGGTCGCACGAAACGCATTCTTGAGCAACTCCGTCAGGATATACTCTAGGTGCATCGGGACGTACGCGAAAGCAGTATTCGGCTCTCCGTCAATCACCCATTTAGGACGCACACCATACTTGTATTCGCATATCTCTGCCACCCAATCGGCGCAAGAGTTGACGACCTCTGCGGGACACAGCTCCGTGTCGATGACGCCGATAAAACTCGGCTGTTCCGGACATGGCGTCGGACTAGCACCAGGATCGAAGTGTGCGGCGCTGGAGTAGTGTAGCGCAATATGCTGCTCGGCGATCAGTCGAGTACCGATCCGCGCCCGGAGGTGTTCGTCAAGGAATCGGGTGACTTCGGCAGGCGAGATGTAACGTCGGCATTCGAGGAAGCCCTTGGCTAGAATGGGGATGGTGTCTTGGTGCGTTTGCACAAGTTCGGCGAGAACTGAGGTGAACTGTATCTCGGCTTCGAGATTTTGTATTGAACGGTCCCTCCAGGGTAGCAGTGTCGACAGAGAGTGAAGATAGTTGTTGTAGATCCTGCTGATATTCGGGTTGGACACTACTATGAAAGGGAGATTTCGCAGGGCTTGGATACGGTGGGCCAAACGGATGGGCAAGAGGCTCAAGGTGAAATTGGCTGAAGAGAAGAGGGAGCCGGTCGCCAACGGAGGTCGTCCATGTTTGACAAGATCTGCTAGACTCAATGAATGTTGACGTTGGCCGCTGAGATTTGAGATATCAGCATCGGTGACAGTCGCCGTGCTAGGCGGTTGCGACCACTGCCGATCTGAAGGGTGGTCGGAGGATGAGGAGGAGGATGAGGTTGAGCTCGACGTCGATGTGGAGGTGGAGTATCGCGGGAATGGTTTGGCGGCACTAGGTAGAAGCCGCATGGACGAGGCCTTGGGCACTAAGCGCCTTAATGGCCGATTGAGAGTTATCATGGTGGCATTGTGCGCTGGTAAACGCAAAGGTTCGGAGGATGTACCTGGCGGTGAGATTGGTGATCGTGTGTCACACTCACATCCAGGAACATTCGCAATTAGCCGGAGGGTGATGTCACGCGCCATTCAGTGAGCGAACCCCCCAAACATACTATAGTGGTACGATAAGCTTATCAGCGGCTGATTGCCGATCCCAGCCGCGGCCTGCGTTTATCATTCGGTCCACCCCATCTTCGGATTGCTGTCGAAGAGAAGTTACCCTAGAAACCATCTGCTGGTGAGACTTGTCTGCTTGGTAATTCTTGTGGGGAGCATCTATGCATTTGACTTGTGTGGTTGACAGAAAACGCGCATTGATGATTTACTTGGTATGCCTACTATCTGCAGGGCAACATGTCGTGGTTTTCAGAATGGAATCCTATTTCAAAAAGTTGAGTTCCGGCACTCAAAAGGTCACGCTCGCATTCAGGAGCCTTCAAAAAGTGCAGCCTGTAGAGTGTTAGCGGCTTAGATGCTGGCAATGCAAGGCTATAAATCAGTACCTTGCTACCACCTATAATCCTCCCCACAGCAGCTCTGCCCATAGAGCTCCACCCCCAGTAAGCCTAGTCGCATTGGTGGTGCCTGTAAACCCCTTCCCAGCCACGTCGATTCCCACCATAATCGACGGTAAGGGACATTATTGACACCAAATTGACAAGTCTGAGGAGGCGGACAGACCGCAGCGATGCTGTATTCGCCTGTACCCTGGCATTGCATTACTTGCCATTGCCAACCATCCGCAATTCTGCATTGCCCATGTACCGAGCGAACAGCCGTGCTTGTCGAGTTCATGTTTGGGAGGGTGACCTGGCAGAACTGCACCGAGGACATTCGACGCAAGAGCCGAAAGAGAGAGGATGTTCGCCAGTTTGAGCTGCATTGCTAATTTGTTCTTCAAGGGCATCGACAAGGAAAGATACGCCTGATTTGCGTAATATTGTGCGATAGCGGTCGTAGTTCGGAAAAATGACTGTACTTCGCTGATGATTGTCTGAGACATATCAACTCTGCCAAAACTGCAAATCTATAGCCCATCTGATGTGATTCACATGAGGGTTCCAGCAAAGCTGCTCAAGCATGAACCACTTCAACTGCTGCCCAGACCATTGTCGCGGGGGAAGGAACTCCAGCTCAGGCTGACTTTCTTTTTACAGTGTGATTCACCACTTCTGCAATAAATGAAAAAGGTGAGTGCTTGGAGGAGTTCAGCCAGTGTCATGGTTTCCCACATTTTCCTTGAAACAGATCCGCACTTACCTTCATGTAAATTACATAATCAGACCGCCAACATGGTGGTAGCTCCTATATATTGTTAATGGCTTCTCTACTGCTACACCTAGCCGCGTAATATAACGACACGCTAGGCGGTAACCACAGGTTTAAGAGAGCATCAAGGTCGATCGATGATAAAGATCAATAAGGCAAACGTAAAGATAATTCCACCCGAACCGATAAAAGTTTCCCATTCCGTTTGAGTACTTTTCCCCGAGCGTTTACTATATCTCGGCCTAATAAGTAGTCAACGTTTCCTTAGACAGCGAAGGTATAACTTATAAATATCGTGTAAGGACATACACGTTATATAGACAGATCTTGTACTCTATATTTATTATTATTAAATACGCCGTAGGACTCTAAGTCCCTCGGTACCTCTCCGAGTTAAACCGTACGGTAAACCTTGCCTTAAGGGCTGGACAAAACCCGTACGCTTCGTGTGCTCTACGCTCTAATAGCGTCTACGTTATAGTGTCTATAATGCGACGTTGGTTTTCACCTAACCAACGTAACTACCCCTGAAAAGACTGGCTATCCCCGATGTAAGATAGTCTCCCCGTTTGTAATAGCCACTGAACTAGAACCTTCGACACTTTCGGAATCAACGTAGCCGCGGCGAGGTCGCGGCGTGTATCCAATCTTACCGGAGCTATAAAGCTCCTTAGGCGTGCTTGAGCCTCTTCTAATAGTCCGCAATAAAGGAATACGTGTACGACTGTGGTACTCTATAAGGTCGGCTTATTAGAGGCAACTATAGGCTGTTTAACAGCTATACCCCTAGGCATTCGTCGGAATTCCGTTCCAAAGTTTAGTACACTGCCTTGATACTTAGTGGTTAGTAGGTATTATTACTTAAGCAATATATATAATTATAGGCCATTCCGTAGGCGTAATGCCTTGCCTCTTTACACTTATAATCTTATTTTATTACTTAACCCTTATTAACAGCTATCGTAATGGGCATTATAAATGTCGGATACTTAGACACTTTATAATGGTTACGGGACCACCACGATAAGATGACAACGCAAGTAAGGTGCGACGACAGAAACCAAAGACTTAGATTAGAACAAGACTAAAAACTAACGGACTAACGAATAATAGGACTAGTATATAGTGGCTGGTAACCCTAACGGCTAGGCGATACACTCGTATATTAAGAATAACTTATATAATAAATGTCGACGAAAGACCCGTTAAGATAGCTGCCAAGATATCGGGTGTTATTAAAGGGATCATTAGAAATAATGATACTTCTTATTTCAAGAACAATAAGGTTATTTCTAACCTAACGTGTTAATACTTTAAGTCTAACAATTTTAAGACTTATAACGCTAACCTTCTCGCACCTCTTATAATAAAACCATCACTAGTATCCTAGTTAGTAATAATGTTTACTTATTCTAATAAGTCTTCGCTTTAAACAGTATACTACTAGTATAAGTAGAGCATATATAGGCCTATTTGCTCCAGTTAACTTCATCTTACTAACGTAGCTTAAATATAGCCACCCTCACGGTAGTAGTGCTTTTGGTTATTTCAATGTTAGCAAGAACGTCTTCGATCTCACGGTGAGTCGACGTCTTCTTAAACAAACGGCTCGTTCGCTACTCTGACATCGCCTCCAAAAAGCAAATTTCCTCTTCCGTTCATGCCGCCGAGCTACTCTAGCACTAACTTCGACGGCAACCCGTAGTACAACCCCGACAGCTAGACGTACAAGGTCTGGCCGAACGCGGCCGAGGTGCCCATACATATCAGCGACAGCATCATCAGCCGCAAGAGCCACTAATAGCACGGGGGTAGGGACAACGGCTATGACCAGGCTCGCGAGCTGTAGGCCCGCGTCATAGGCGCCAGGGATAAGGTCACACCTGCTGCAATACGGGCAAGTTCTTGAGCCTGTTCAACGTCCCACTCATCCAAAAGAAGTATCTAGCGCAAATATACAAGATTGCGCCCGAGTACTCGCAGAGCGTGTACGACCAGCTAAAGAAAAAGGAGTTCGACTCCAACGAGGTCGCCGAGCTCTCGAGGGCTTGTGAGAAGTCGTACAACGAGGGAAAGTTCGCACCTACGGGTGAGTTGTTGACCGGTCACGTGCCTCAAGTGCCTGTTTATAATATATTTGGGGGGGTTGGAGGGTTGGGGGGTTCTTCGGAACAGGAGTACCGGAGGTGAAGTGTCATCAGGTCGTCTTAGCTTGAAGCGTCTTACTGAAGAGGCATGCTCAAGAAATGAATGCTTATGAAATGTTTTCTCATTGCGTTATTTCACATTGTGTTGCGTATGGGCGATAAACAGATCACTTCTCACACGGCTAGCTTTCAATATTCTATTTAAGAGAAAAACCCATACGGAAACCCTCGGTAATGATAATCTGAAGTACTTCTAGTTAAGTCTGGTACTAGAGTTGGCAGCTAATTATCTTATTGGAACACCTGGCTTTGGAGGGGACCGTCGATACCTGGCCCCCCAATTCATATGTTTTGCTGGAGATGACATGATTTGCTACAGCCTGAAGTTTTGAACCATCGTATCGTAACTGTGCTGCGTCACTCACGGAAGCACCGAGTTAGACTAGTCTAGTCTAGTTGAATCTCAACATGATCACTGCCGAGGGATCTCCTCTAGGGAAAATCAACGTATGCGCCGTTTCTGCTATGATCAATGTATATCAGGTATCATATCGACGGTATACCTGACAAGTCATAAACTTATATACTCCGATCTGTTTGCGCTACACCCGGAATACAGCAGCCTGTGGTTGCCGCTTTGATGGATAGTGTATCGAGTTATTTGAGCATCAAGCGATTTAGGGCTGAAGTTGCAGTACGAGATTTCATATCTCTCCAGGGTTCATTTCTTTTCTCACGAACCTTTTGCCACCGAGGAGGCGACACTAGCGAATTATGCGGTACAGGTTTGCGGAGCCTGTGGCCAGGGTATAGCATTCTCATGTCATATGTGCAGGAAAACAAGTGCTCATGGTGTGTTGTGTCAAGAGTCATGATCGCATTTCAGTCGTACAATAGGGTAAAGTCTATAGATCTTCTGCTGCAATCCAGCTTCTACCAGGATAGTTATCCATAGCTGATGTACGTCTGAGGTCCAACCATCTATTTAAGCAAATGGAAGACAACAGAACGCTTTGGCTGATAAATCTGTGAGAGGTGACCTGTGGAGCAGACATGAGCCTACTGGGTCTTCATCTCCTTGTCCTCTTCAACGGCCTTGACGTGCTCGTGGCTCTCGAGGGTTTGTACGGAGTCCTGGGGGAACTTGACACTGTTGTGGATAAAAGAGTGGTCAGTCGGGGAGAACTATGCGCCGGCACAACGAGGCAGAAACATAAAAGTGGAGGAACATACGCAAAGCCCTTGATCAGGTTGTACTCGTGGGTGATCTCGCCGCCCTGGTCCTTGGCGTGCTTCTTGAGGGCAGCCAAGTCATCGGCGGAAGCGCCGTCCTTTGCGGTGACCTGTGGCAAGAAAAGGAGTTAGTGAAGGTTGTGAAGATACGAGACATATACCAAAGGGGTTGTAAGGGGCTCAGGCGGGGTTTGACCGTTTGGCCGAGGTCAGGCAGATAGACTCACAATGTAGCTAGGCATTCTGGATATGGTTGAGTTGTGGAGAAGATGTCTATGAGATCTCGTGTAGAAGTGGTTGAAGTTCAGGCAGTGGGCTGGTGAGGCAGAGAAGAGTCGTTGCAGAAGTAGTTGATGGTGAGTAAGGAGAAGGGGTTTGGATGCGGGCATGGAGCTTGATTTAAAGACGCCGAGGGCAAGGCGGGAACTGATTAAGTTCAAGCTGGATGGAGCCCGCCGTCAACAACCGCGTCGGGCGCCGCCCAGAGAGCAGCCTCTGCACTTACGTAGGCGGCTAACTGTACCTACATAAGTTAGGTTCCAGCCTGTGCTGTAGTGCACGGAGTACTGCACGCAGTACCTTCGACTGTACGAGGCAGGAGGGACGAGGACGAGGACGAGGACGAGGACAAGGACAAGGACGACGCAGAGGAGGGCCTACAATACGTCATGTCGTGCTTGGAAGGGCTCCCCTCCTCCACACCTAATGCGTTAGTCACACGCGTTTCAACGAAACATAGACCACTGAGGTGATGGTGTAAAGTGCCCACTCACTCCTCGTGCAACGTGCAAGTGAAACGGAAGCCAACTAATAACCGATGGTGAATTCCGATGGCTGTCCAAGATGTCGGAATAGCCAAGTTTTATTGCAACTGAAGGGGAGTCATTCGGACAATTGCGTAGTCTCTGCGCCCAGGATCTATCTTGATCTTATCTGGATTTCTTGCATTAGCCGGGGGAGAGAGAGGCACCAGAGAACCAATGGACAAGCTGTAATACTAGTCGATCAATAGGTTATTTTGCATAGCAGAGGCCCGGCGATGGCAAAAGTACAGGCAGCGATTAGGGGAAGTCCAAGCCTGTGATAACCCCGCTTTCGTCATACCATGGGCAACTGAGGTCGCAGGCTGGCAGGGTGCCTCTAAGAAAACAAACCCCGCAGCCCCTCGCTTGAGCCTACTGCATACATACTGTATGTACATGGTACAGTAGTAACCTAGCCTAGGTTAGTCCTGTAAGTTGGCGAGCCTTGGCAACTACTCGGGTAGATAGCAGGATAAGTTATCAGACCTTATCGCCTTTATCGATTAGACAACGCTAGTCGAGACTTTGGCAAGGGTTCCCAAAAAATTATCTGCAGAGAAGGGATCGTGTGCAGAGTGGCTAGACTGGAGGAAGATCGACTCTTTCTCTTTGCTGCACCGCAGAGTGTTGACGTTGATTGCGATTGATTCCCCAACGGAATTTCGCCCAATATGGACGAGCAATCGCATAAGCCTCATCGGAAGGCAAAGCCTGAAAAGAAACACGCTTCAGGCGAGCGAAACCCGAAAGCTTTCGCCGTCTCCAATCCCGGAAAACTCGCCAGACAAGCCGCAAGATCTCAAGACATCAGAGAAAAGTCTCTCCATGTCCCCCTCGTCGATCGCCTGCCCGAGGAGGCACCCCCTCGTCTCGTCACCATCGTTGGGCCACCTGGTGTCGGCAAGACAACATTGGTCAAGTCCTTGGTTCGTCGGTATGCGAAGGAATCCATGACAGATCCCCAAGGTCCCATTACCGTCGTCACCTCCAAGAAGCAGCGACTCACCTTTGTCGAATGTCCCAACGAGCTCGAGGCCATGGTCGACATGGCCAAGATTGCCGACATTGTCCTGCTCATGATTGACGGAAACTATGGCTTCGAGATGGAGACCATGGAGTTCTTGAATATTCTGTCGGCAACCGGTATGCCAGGCAATGTCTTTGGTATCTTGACACATCTGGATCTTTTCAGAAAGCCCCAGCAGCTCAAGGATGCCAAGAAGCGACTGAAGCACCGTCTCTGGAGAGAACTTTACGCCGGCGCCCATCTGTTCTATCTCTCCGGTGTCATCAACGGACGCTATCCCGATAGGGAGGTCCAAAATCTGTCCCGCTTCCTCTCCGTCATGAAGAACCCTCGACCTCTGATCTGGCGCAACTCGCATCCCTATACCATCATTGACAGTTTCAGAGACGTCACTCACCCGACCCAGATCGAAGCAGACGACAAATGCGACCGCACCATAGCCCTCTCCGGGTACCTTCGCGGAACAAACTTCTCTGCTGAAGGCCAGCGAGTACACATACCGGGTCTTGGCGATTTCAACGTCAAAGCAGTCGAAACCTTGCCAGATCCCTGCCCAACTCCTCAAATGGAACTGGCCATTGCGAAAGTGACCGGAAAGGTTGGCAGGAGGAGACTGGATGAGAAAGAGAAGAAGCTCCACGCTCCAATGTCCGACCGTAGCGGATTGAAGATCGATGGTGACGCTATCTGGATCACTCGCGATAAAGGCTTCACATTTAACAAGGAGGCAACCGAGATTGAGCGAGGTGAGGGAGAAGAGTTGATCATTGGGCTTCAGGGAGAGCGTCGGCTTCTCGGTCAGACCGAAGACGGTATGCAGCTCTTCCGTGACGGCGAGAAGATCACAAGCGTCCCGGAAGAAGAAGACACCGGGCGCAAAAGCCAGAGAACCGCAAGACTCGCTGAGAGGGAGGAAGGTGAAGACGACTTTCCCGAAGATGAGGGCTTCGCTAGTGGTGACGACAACGAAGGCGACGAGGATGAAGACGCCGAGTTCGACGAGAAGAAGCTTGGCAAAATGTTCCGCAAGGACATCGACAAAAACGGAGACGAAGACGAGGTGGCTTTTGCAGATAGCGATTCCGATTTGGGATCACTCTCAGGCGCCGACGATGATGACGATGAGGAGGACTCTGAAGATGAGCTGGATGACGACGACGAGGAATCTGCGGCCCTTCGCTGGAAAGAGAACATGACCGAGAGGGCACAAAAGCTGCACGGTGGTCGTCGCTCGTATCGTACTGGAGACTTGGCACGAATGATGTACGACGAATCCATCACTGCAGATGAAGTCTTGCGCAGGTGGAAGGGTGAAGTCGATGCGGACGAAGAGGAGGAAGAAGATATCGAGGCCGATTCTGATGACGAGGAGTTCTTCAAGAAGGCCAAGCAGGAGAGTGACGATGCCTCGGCAGATGACCGCGCCGTACCTGTTTACGACTATGAGCAACTTGCCGCAAAATGGTCGGTGGCAGACAATGTTGAACTACTTCGACAGCGCTTCACTACAGCTACTCTGAACGGTGCTGATGGTGAAGACGGCGACGACGGCTTTGAAGGGTTTGACAACGACTCCGAAGGTGATGGAGAGTTTGAAGATCTCGAGACCGGCGAAAAGCACAAGGCAGAGGCTGAAGCAGCAGCAGCGAGCTTAGAAGAAGAGCGTGCCAAGAACGCCAAGCGAAAGGAAGAGCTCAAGCTACGCTTCGAAGAAGAGGACAGGGAGGGTTTCGCCAACGACAAGGCAAATGCACGAAGGGAGGTTGGCCAGAACCCTGATGAGTTCGGCGAGGATGACTGGTACGATGCTCAGAAAGCTCTTATTCAGGTGAGTTTCGATGTTCCCTGCTTTCCTTCATATCGAAATGCTAACAAAACATAGAAACAACTGGACATCAACAATGCTGAATTTGGAGCCCTTGACGAACGGCAGAGAGTTGCAGTCGAAGGTTACAAAGCTGGAAAATACGCCAAGCTGATCATCGATGGTGTACCTGCAGAGTTTGTACAGAACTTCAACGCAAAATTGCCCGTTATCGTTGGCGGTCTGGCACCGACAGAAGACAGATTTGGCTATGTTCAAGTGAGAATCAAGCGCCACAGATGGCACAAGAAGATTCTGAAGACAAACGATCCTTTGATCTTCAGTTTGGGGTGGCGGCGGTTCCAAACACTTCCCATTTACGCCATATCAGATTCACGAACAAGGAATCGCATGCTCAAGTACACGCCGGAACACATGCACTGTTTCGCCACTGTCTATGCTCCTCTCATCGCACCCAACACTGGATTTGTTTGCTTCAACTCGTTCAGCTCGTCCAACCCTGGTTTCCGTATTGCAGCAACCGGCACCGTTCTTAGTGTCGACGAGTCCAGCGAGATTGTGAAGAAGCTCAAACTCACCGGTGTTCCATACAAGGTCTTCAAGAATACTGCTTTCATCAAGGACATGTTCAACTCGTCCCTCGAGATTGCCAAGTTCGAGGGAGCCGCTATCAAGACGGTCAGTGGAATCAGAGGTCAAATCAAGCGGGCATTGAGCAAGCCCGAAGGTCACTTTCGTGCCACGTTCGAGGACAAGATCCTGATGAGCGATATCGTCTTCCTCCGCACCTGGTACCCGATCAAACCACACCGCTACTACAATGTTGTGACGAACCTTCTCGGAGGCTGGCAAGGTATGCGCTTGACTGGTGAGGTACGTCGCGATCAGGGTATTGCCACACCACAGGACAAGAACAGCAAGTATCGCACCATTGAGCGAAAGACCCGCCACTTCAACTCATTGAAGGTGCCACGTGCTCTGGCCGCCTCGCTGCCGTACAAGTCCCAGATCGTCCAGATGAAACCTCAGCGACACGAGACATACATGCAGAAACGTGCAGTTGTATTGGGCGGCGAAGAGAAGAAGGCCCGGGATCTGCTGCAGAAGATCACGACCATTCGCAAGGACACAGAAGCCAAGCGTGCGGCCAAGAAAGCCGAGAACCGCGCCAAGTTCAAGAAGAAGATGGAGACAATGAATGATAAGAAGGAGGCCAGGGAGAAGAGGGAGAAGAAAGAGTACTGGGAGCGGGAGGGTAAGAAGCGCAAGGCTGGCGATGAGGGCGGTGGTGGCAAGAGGAGGAGATAGAGGCTTGGTCTAAGATAGACGATAAGTGACACTATGTATATATAAATATTGAAAAACGAAGCCTTACACGTCGAAATGTCGAGTTGTGGCTCTCTCCTGCTACAATGGATTTACCAGTGGTGTCTAAATCAGATATGGTTGTGACTTGTTCGCGCAGAGCATCAAACTCATCTCCATTCGTATAGTAGAAGACCCCAGTGGTCTACGAGTTTTGGCTGCATTGACTGACTAATTGCGGAATAATCAATGAAAGACTTATTTGCTATGTTTTCATACTTATTTTGATTAACAACATCTATCTCATCCCCAATCACATAACTGGATGATTGAACTGCTAATATCAGACGCCTACGACTGCTTTCGCATGAAAGGCCACGCCATCTCGCAGGGGCTCAAATAAACTCGTTCTGCCAAAGCGATGCTTCTGTAATACATTCAATTGAAACAACATGGTAAAGAATCCGAAATGTTGCTATTTCGCATCGGTTCCACACTTTTGGAAACGGGGGTTTATGGACTAGTTCGCCAAGGAGTATAGTTAGTACGTTGACGTTCAAGTCTAGACTAGTCTAGTCTAGACTAGTCCCAGTCTTTACAGGCTGAACCATTGCATTCGGAAGAAGTGAGCGTGGATCATGGTAACATCGTGCACTAGAACGTGGTTTTGCGTTGAGGTCAGCAATTGAGCTGTCAAGTAGACGACTGCAAACTAGGGCAATTGGACGTGACAGGCAGCATACCCGTCACTGCCGGCTTCATACGTTTGTTGGCCGCATCCATTGCTAACTTCTCTGCAGACGTATCGGAGTCCTTTGGATTGTGATCCATCCCTGGGGCACCAGGATATTATTTAGGTAGCGCCAAGGAAAGTCGGTGGACTACCACTGTCATCTTTACCAATAGTTCGAGGCCGGATGCTAACTGCGATTAGTCCTGAGGCAATGACTTTGGATTTGGATATAAAGCTCGAAAGATGCATAATGCGATACGCAGTCATTCTTCGTTAACTTGTCGCTTACGTTTGCTATTGTTTTAATTGTGGCGTGGCGTGTTCTGACAGGAGCCGGGGGACCCTGAACACATTTGAGCGTAGAGGGGTGCCAAAAATGGGGGGTCAGTACTCCTAAATCCATAGGTACCAAGGGAGACGTGGACATCGCTTTTTGAAACGACCTGACTTTCAAACCTCACTTTAACATGGAAAAATTCGTCGACACACGTCGCCTTACGGCGCGGGTCGGCGTGAAGATGATCGAAAAGGCACATAGCTGCGAGGAGTGCGCAAAAATTACTATCAGAGAGGCTGACGTCGCTGAAAGCCCACACGAGGTCATATTATCCACCGATTATGATCTAGCAGTACGAGGTAAACGATTCGTTAGTAAAACGCATAGCCCACCGTTTTCCCCTTCTTTTTCTCCAGATGGTGCAACCCTGTGTTTAGACTAATCCGCATTCACCTCGATTGGTAGCAAGTGAAAAATGTATGTTCTACCGTTATCTGGTACGACTACTGCATGCCTCTACTATCAAGCCGGGCTCTCCTGTCATTGCTCGCTTCGATCCGAAGCGCAATGGCTATCTACGACTGCCCAGGAGCGACTTGCTCCGCGTGTATTCCGCTGGCGAAGGTACAACTTACGGGGTCTTTCTATCGACGTTTTATCTCATGTGGCGACTGACCGCCGTCTAGGTGACATCTCGTCTCAGCAGTTCCCCGTAGCAAAGCCATATCCTGACGTCAGATCCGAAAGGGCTTTTGACCAAGCAAAGTGCTGGATTCAGGAATGCTATGCGACCCATCGCTTCTGTACAACAATCCAGACGGGCTTCGCGCCTACCCGGTTAATGGAAATCGGAGAGAAAGGTGCCAGCCATGTGAGGATTGTCGAAACTAGGACGATGACAAACGTCAGGTGGGCATCGCTAAGTTACGTCTGGGGTGGTCCCCAGGAGATCCGAACGACGATTGCGACTTTACCGGCCAATCAAAAAGGCATCGAGGTCGCTACTCTACCCAAAACACTAGTCGATGCGATTGAGGTGTGCCGAGAACTGACGCTTTCTTATCTCTGGATTGACGCACTGTGTATCATCCAGGACGACCCAGGCGACCTTCTTCATGAACTCGGTTGTATGCCGAGTATTTATCAGGAGAGCTATGTGACGATTTCCGCTGCCAAAGCAGTAGGAGTACAAGAGGGGTTCCTGAACGAGACGGCCGTGTATACTTACGACTCGCTCCCTCCAACGCAGGTATTGATGCATGTTCTTATTTTAGATTAGCACTTCTAAAAGGACACACAAACTAACGGGGGATCAACTAGATCAGCTATGAGTCGCGTCATGGCAAACTGGGGCATGTTCTACTGTGCCAGTTTGATCACCACCGGGTCTTGCTGAGTGATCCCATCGATAGCCGGGCGTGGACATACCAAGAAACACTCCTGTCACCGCGATTGCTTCGTTACAGTCGGAACTACATACAATGGAGTTGTAGATCATGCCAGTTATACGACGGAAGCTGGAAGAAGCAGGACATGCGTTTCGATTCCGACGCATATAATTGGAATTACGGTGAGGGTATGGACTCCTCTATTGGTCACTCAAAAGAAAAAAAGAATCGAGGCTAAGCTGTTCATTGATTAGTTCCCTGTGTACCCGGTCTACCTATGCCAGCGTGGGAACCAGTTGTGGAAGCTTATAGCAACCGGAACATGACAAATCAGTCGGATAAGCTCGTGGCTATTTCTGCTATTGCACAAGTCTTCGCCAAGGCTTTTAATTATATTTACCTAGCTGGCTTATGGAGGGAAACCCTTCCACTCGGACTCTGCTGGATGGTGGCGCAAGGTATAAGAAAACCGAGACCGAAAGAATTACGAGCCCCATCATGGTCATGGACGTCAATCGACAATCCGATTAGGTACGCTGGTGATTGGTTTAGAAAGTTGGATGAAACCCGTGATGGGGCTACCGGCGGTTTTATCGGAATGACAACTGTTGCTGATGGTGCAGAGGTCCTTGATTATACACTTGTACCGACAAAGCCCGGGCTGGAGTACATCAGCATCAAATCAGCCGAATTGACTTTGAGAGGCGCCATACGCCCAGTGGAATGGAACATTGACTATAGTTCCGGGATCGGGTCGATCTACGCCCCCGGGATTGACGTCGATGAAACCTTGTTCACAGGTTACGCCGATGCGTGGGAGGATGACTGGCCACAGAAGGAGGCTGTCTTGGAGTATCTCGAAACGCACGCCCAAGAGGGAGTCAGCGGAAATGAAGATGATGATGATGATGATGATGATGAACAGTCTGATTCCGGCAGTTCTGCAATCGTGTACAAGACTCTTGAAGTATTCGCGCTCCTTGCTATCAAGTCCAGGAGCTATGACCACGGTTATCTTCCTCAGGGCCCCGGAGACAACGTCCTTGGAAGCGAGGCTTCATTGGAGAGATGTGGGTTGCTGCTCACAAAAGACGGTGACAAGTACAAGCGGGTAGGGTTCCTGCGTTGGTATGTAGATGAAGAGTTGTACAACTCCGAAGCCGCAAAATTACCAGGGTTCGAGATGCGGACCATTACCATAATTTAGTAGCGAGACCAACGAAATCATTAACAAAGGAATCGTCCACAACAAATTCTCATGTGGTCCAGCCCGCTTTCTCCTGATCCTTTCCCGTGTGCCTTCGCTTAAAATCAGGCCTGGTCCTCTATATGCAACAATTCATGGCTTCCGTCACAATTGGCGGCAGAGAGATAACGACGTAAAAGTCCAAACGATCACACATTTGCAACAAGTCTGGGTACAGAGTGCCCAGATATAGATATTTGGTATGTAGTCTTCATTGTCGAGCTGCGTAGTCGTGAAATCCTCTCTGTCATCGCACAAGCACCATGAATTCCCGGCCATCACGCCTTGCCAGAGATCTTTGGATTTACGAAGTATAATGTCCTCTTTACCTGTTCGCCGCAGCATGTCTGGCTCCAAGGTTTGCCGGAGTCCTCTAACTAAGCTACCAATATGCCTAACTAGCGGCGGTCAGGTCTTATCCTCTGGCTGCTTTCTTCTTCTTCTTCTTCTTCTTCTTCTTCTTCTTCTTCTTCTTCTTCTTCTTCTTCTTCTTCTTCTTCTTCTTCTCCTCCTCCTTCTTCTCCTCCTCCTTCTTCTCCTCCTCCTTCTTCTCCTCCTCCTTCTTCTCCTCCTCCTTCTTCTCCTCCTCCTCCGTAGCATTCGTAGCTCTTATCTGCACGCCATCTCATATCATTATCTTGAGAATCGTCATCTCTGCCTCTCCCTTATTCATATTTTCAGTAACAATCGTCCACAACATTACCATCTTCAGCATCTTCAGCATCTTCAATTTTCGTCGAACTTTTGTCAATTAAGGTTGTTCAAGACAGAAAACATTCGTATGGCCTCTATCAAGCTAAGACTATGGTGTCGATCATTGAGTCGTAAAAGTCCAACCGCTGGAATTGCCGAAGTTGATGGCAACGCTGCTGTCCTAGTGTACATTTCGTGATTGTTGGCTTGGTGTCTCGCTCCCAGGTCCGTCTTTGACAACCAGCTTTGCATGTCAGGACAACTACGGGCCTCGACCAATCTCTAGCTTCACCTATGCACGCATAATTCACTCTTTCTTTTGGGCGCGAAAGATGTTCCCTCGAGAAAGATACACGCTAGTTTCGTAATAAGTCAAGGACAATGGAGGTCACTTTTGTGGAGACAACTGACCGTCGGTGATCTCCGCCAACCCTAACGAGAGAGGCTTGGTTTTGCCTACATGAATTCCTTTAGATTGTTCAGTTTCCACAGCAGTACGACAGCTGAACAATAAATCGGGGATGTGGTCTAGTGGTATGACGTTTCCTTAGCATGCGATGAACTTATCATTCAAGAGCATGGAAAAGGTTCTGGGTTCGATTCCCAGCCTCTCCACCAAACTTTTTGCTGTGTTTATCGATTCACACTTTTGTTTTTGTTATATGTCGCTTCTCTGTAATTTTGAGTGTGTTTGGCCCGATCTTTTACATACTCCGTACTGTTAAATTAGATGCAGTCCGAGGTTCGATCGTACGGCATGCATAGCGGTCGGCTACGTTTGTGATCGTCAGGTTTGAAATGATTACAACCTATTCGTTTACTCACTACTCGTTTTAACATCTGACGGTCACTTCGTTGGTCTAGTCCGCCTACTGTTGTATCTAATGTGTTTGCTATTAGTTTAATTGCCAATAGTTGTAACAATACTAACGGCTCAAGCACCTCGGCCACTACTACTCGATGTCATCCATCTGTGTTTATAGAGAGCCGCGATTTACCTATATGTGGGCGGATGCTTTCTGCATCATCCAAGATGACCAAGCCGATGTTCTGCGGGAATTCCCTCTTATGTCAGACGTCTATCAGCAAAGCCATGCTACAGTGCCACACTTGAGAGGTATGGCCTATTACTTATCGAAGATGGAGAGAATTGCAAAAGAATCGGGTTCGTTCGCTGGTATGTGGACGAGGAGCTTTATAATTGATCCCGCATATTTACCTGTGTTTGAAATCCAGGCTGTCAAAATCGTGTAAGTCAACCATTAGAGTGATCATGTTGCTTGAGGACGACTTCCGAACACTAGCCGAAGACCGAAGTTTTGATTTAGTATAGCCTCTGGATGCGGTATCTCCTATCATCGTCAAGTGAGGTTTCGAGATTGTAATTTTGTTCCATGAGCAAAAATAGGAAAAGAAAACGAGATACTAGCCAGCTCTCTCTAAGACCAAAACTGCGCCAGCCCTCTAACGAACTTGGCCAACGAGCAGGTACTTTGAATCCAACGATCGTTTGATGATTCGTCCGCCCGCCAACAACAGCATTCGTCCAACCCCGACTCCGTATGGGAGCCCCTCCTCAGAATTCTGGCTGGTGTCATTGCCATGGCATGCATGAGCTGGATATTCTCTCACTAGTAATTTGATCACACAGTAAATACGATGAAGAGTATAACGGACGGCGTTTGCTAGAGCCTATGCGGTGTAGTTTGAGATATCTGGTCTCCGTCGCGGCATTATTTTAGAACATTGAAAACTTGTCAAGCGAGTCGTCAATCGTTTATGCTTACAGATGGCTTAAATGGGTTTCGATATCTTATAGGGTTTTCCATGAGAAATCTAAGCAGCCTCCTGAAATGCTGTCTTCAGCCCTTCAAAATGCTCCTGCTCCTCATCGGCGAATTTGCCTGTTGTGTCGCTGATAATGGTCAATACGAGACTGTAGTTGTTGTACAAAAAGCGTTCCCTTTTCCGCTTATCGGAACCCCATTGCCCACTATACTTGGTCAGAAACGCCTCCAGCTCGCTCCTCAATCGGCGCAAACTGGCTACAACAGGCTCATCATCACCAGCTTCAGTGCTTAGCGACAGAATTCCGTGCATGAGCTGACCGAAGCGCTGGGTCGTGACGTGAGGCGCTGCGGAGAGTTTGACCAATTCGGATTTGGATGCTGGGCGAGTCGGTAGAGCAACGGTGAGGGCACGGACGGACTCGCAGTGCGCATTCATGACCGACTGAAGGCGGGGCCACAGGAGCATAGCAGTGCCATTAGTATAACCGTCGGCAGCTGGAACTTTGCGTCGTTGGAGCGTGAATTGAAAGTGTTGATTTAGCCGGACAGAGAGCAGAAGACCCAGGGTATCATACGTCTCAGAGATAAGGTTCTTGCATAGGGTGTGGCCTTGTGCGAAAGTCGGCTCGAAAATATAGGCGAAGTGACGAGAAATAGTGCTGTAGGATAGAGCGGGGGAAAAGAAAGAGGCAAGAAAGGTGTATTCAGCTGTGGCGTTATCGATCAGGGCGAGATTGAAGTTGCGAAAAGGCATTTCTAGGTAGTGGTAGCTACTGTCCTCTTCGGCCAGGTAGGAAGAGAGGGCCTTTTGGTCCTTCGTCTTGAGAAGGTCGATGCGCCGACCTATATTAAAGGCATCGTGTGGTGGCCCCGATATCTTGGAGGACGAAAGCACACCAGCCTTTCGAGAAGTGTCCTCGTTTCCAAGCACGTCGACCTTGTCTATTGTATGTAACTTGATCTTCTTGAGCGCAGCTTCGTATCGTGAGAACTGGTTGTGGTAATACCAGCGCATGGTATTCTGGTATGCCTGGGATATCTCTTCCGCAAGCTTCGGGTGATGCTTGTGCAGGAAGGTATATACGTCCTTGAAGCGCAGAAAGTTCTGCTGTTGTATGATCTGGGCATTAATTTGCGGGGATCGCAGCGCCTTGATCTGAGCAACCAGGAAATCCCGTATTCTCTCCAGGGCTTTCTGAACAAGTTTCTCCAGTAGGGGGCCCAGGTCTTGTAGTCCTTTGCCGGATGGTGTTGCCGCTGCAGCCTTCTTATGGGCTGCTGCTCGCTTGTCGACTTCGGCAAGGGCTTTAATCCAAGCATCATCGATGTGGCCGTCCACGATCTTGGATACCACAGCGGGTGATACACTCATCTCTTCCACGATTGGGCCGAGTCCCTTTTCCACGGCCTTGCGGTTCTCCAACCTCACATTGAGAGCTGTGGACCGCGCTTGGAGGGTCTCGATATCGGCTGAGACGGATGCCAGATCGTTTCGAAAGCTCGTGAGGTTCAATTCGACCGAGCTTAGGACCTGGTCGCAAGCTCGTATTGATCTATGAAGATCCTCGAATTTCGTTTTATCTTGCTCATCTGCAACTTGGGCGTCAGCTGAGATGTTCCGAGAGAACAAGTGTAGACAGAACATGTCGGCAATTACCTACATTCTTCGACCGACTGAGATCTATGCACATGGGCGCTCGTTTGTACTGGGAGTTCGGAGAGGGCCAGCTCTGTCAAGGACAATCCTCCAAAATCGAATTCCGTTTCCAGGTCTTTCGATGTGATCTCGTGGATGTTGTGATCGTTCCCATTATCTCCTGGTTCGCCGAGCAGCTTGTTCAAGACATGGACAGGATCCGGTCCTGCGTATGTTGTTGTTGATTGCTTGAGTGTCGAGCCATTCGCTCTTCGCGACGCGGCCAACAACGAAGACGTGGAGCTGTCATTGGAGGCCAGTGACAGCAGCGAGGATGACCGGGGCGTCTGGCCGGGACGCTGTTGTGAGGTGATATAAGGACCGATGCCACTTGGAGTCCTCCTTCCTGGCGCAGGCGAGTATGCACGACTTCCTGGCTGTGACGCTGCTGGCGATGCGGACTGTTGTCCAGCTAGGCGGTCGAGCCACATGGTCGAATTGAGGTTCGTCACCAACTTTCTCTCAACATGACTCTAGGTTTAACTGTGCACAGGATAGGGTAGAAGAGGAAAGAGGGAGAATGTATCGGATTTGCGGCGCAGGAGTGTCAAGTCTCAGAGGAGGCGCGATTGCATAAGGTTAACGGGATCAGTTGAAGAGGTCATCAATTCATGTCTCGGAGCCGCAAGTTGGGTCCATCAAAGCTGTTCCTGTATTGTATGTACATACATACGGAGTACTGTAGATCAGGCTCCCAATTGCAACTGATGCCAGCCAGCTACATAGTGTACTTGACCTACAGGGGGACAGCTCATGTGGAGGATATCCAGGTCATTGGCCAAAATGGCCCTCGGGGGCTGCTAAACAAAGGATGCCAGGGTGCGTATCCACTAAGGACAGCGACGGGACAGAAGCTGAGGGGGGCGGGCGGGCAGGCGGGCAGGCTAGGGCGCGGGCGCGGGCCTCAGGTACATTCGCGTATGGTGGTACAGTATGTAACTATCGTACCTAAGACTCTTGCAGACACATATTTGCCAAATTTGAGTGTTCAAAGTGCATGCTCGAGCGCCACCACGAGGAAGACTCATTGTACGTCATGCCGTGCAGTGGAAAGGCTGCCACCGTTGAGATTTGAGGGGCATCTGCGAGGCTATTACAGCGCAAATGTTGATGAGATGACAGGTCGACTGCGATTATTAACGCAACAACCAAATTGCAGAGTCAAGTTAGTGAGGTTGGTCGCGTGTGTCTGCGTCGAAGGTAGCTTCCTGGCCATGGTCGGGATGGGATGCAAGTAAGTGGAAGCTTCAAACCTTCGAATGCAGTACCAAGGTACGTTAAAAGCTGGCTAGGCGCGTCAGTGAAACGTAGAGGAGTCATTACAGCAGCACACAGCAGGTAACGGTAACATTACAGTCGGTCCATGAGTAGGGCCTGGGGCGTGCTTTCGTGAGACTCAATTGAGACTGACAAGGTACAAAAATATCACAATGTGCTAGTCTACGTGCAACAGGTTTTTTCAGTTCCGTTCGGGGTCGTTCACTGTATGGCAGAGACGATACACGATACACGATGCCTGGATGGCATCCGTCTCTTTCTCTCTCAGCTTCTCGTCAGACATTCAACACAGATGCTCCACTTCTATGTGCAAATCTAGGCAAATCGATTGGTCCACCCTCGCCTCTTCGCTTCCGCTTTGGCTCTGGCTCTCTGGCTCTGGCTCTGGGTTTGGGTTTTTGGTTTCTGATGGATATTTTTTTTTTTTTAATTCGACAGTCCCCGCCCACCATTTGAAAGCACAAGCCGCCTGCTTTTCTACACCTCCTCCCACCCAACCCACATTCACAAACTTTCTCTTCTTTGGGAGTTGGACATTGTCGCAATCCATTGCATCTTTCCTTTCTCTACCATCTTCCATATCAACTTCACCTCAAGCTCTCGCTTCAGCTAGTCAAGATGGCCGAAACAAACAACGACGTAAGTCTTCATGTCCCCCAATACCCGGCTGTTCTCCCGTCAGAGCAAGGAAATTCACCCCACCCCGCATTTTACATCCGCCAAATCGCCAGTGAACCCCGCGACACAAGCCTGCTGTCTGGACCAGAATTGAGCATTTGGTCAGCCCGTCAACCAAACAAAAAGAAGAAGAACGAAAAAGAAACCGAGGGAAAAGAGCGGTCGGCCTCTTGGGTTGTCATGATCTGGTCGCTGACCTTGCTCGCCCCTGTCGCATTATCATTTTTCGTCGGGGGTTGGATCACGAGAGAAACGGTATACTAATTCGTGATCCTCTTACAGGCCCAGCATGACTTGGAGTTCAACTCCACCGATGCCGGTGCATCTACCACCTACCCCATGCAGTGTTCCGCCCTGCGCAAGAACGGTTTCGTCGTCATCAAGAACCGTCCCTGCAAGATCGTCGATATGTCCACCTCCAAGACTGGCAAGCACGGTCACGCCAAGGTCCACTTGATCGCCATCGACATCTTCACCGGCAAGAAGCTTGAGGATCTTTCTCCCTCCACCCACAACATGATGGTTCCCCACGTCACTCGTCGCGAGTACCAGCTCGTAAGTATTTCGAAGTTCTGCCTGGAGATTTCCTGCGGGCCCCTTGCTGACCCAGTTCCAGCTTGACATCTCTGACGACGGTTTCCTTTCCCTCATGGAGGAGAACGGTGACACCAAGGACGATATCAAGCTCCCCGACGGTGAGGTTGGTCAGAAGATCACCCGTCTGTTTCAGGAGGAGGAGAAGGACACCAGTAAGTTGACCGTCACGCATACACACACCAACCATTCCCCCGGTACTAATTCCCGTCTTCAGACGTTGTCATCCTCAGCGCCATGGAGCAGTCCGCTGCCATCGAGGCCAAGGAGGCTCCCAAGGGCAACAACTAAGGTGCTTGCCACGACGACGTATGATCTACGACGATGACCTCTCCCATTTGGCTCATTTCGGTGGAGGAAACAAAACCTCTGGTCAATGCGGATGTCAATCGTACGATGCATTTCCTCTCAGGCGATGATTGAGTTGTTGGCATTTGGGATTAATATCCTTTTGAGGTCGTCGCGTAGAAGGAACTCTATCTCGACAACCATGATGTTTCAGCTGGGTATATGACGTGATGATGCCCACGATTCCTCTGTTTTCATTGACACCCTGGTCTTGCCCACCATATTCCCTGTCGTAAGCGATGAGCACATCAGAGGATGAAGAAAAAGGGGCACGTTCAAGATGGTACACTTGTCCTATAGAATCCACAAGTTTACCTACCAAAAAAATTGTTATCCTGCATCTGTGACTATCTGTAGTGTTTTTGAGTAAATTCCGGAAAACCTTGCCGGTAGAATGGACTTGGTTGAATCGTTAGATCAATCCCATAATTAAGTGTTCAGACGCCAAATTTCATGCATCTGATTCCGACATCTAAATTCTTGATATTCAAATCAATATCATGTGTCAAAATCATGTGACCGGCAATAACTTCGCAGTTGCAGACCGGACTGGATTCTACTTACTTTGTGAAACTGGCTCAAGCCATGGTTGTAACCTACCCACTCCAACATCGCAGACAGCCCTGGGAGAACTGTAGCTTACCAGCTGATTGAAACCCATCGCAGGCTCTTCATTGTGCAAAAAGTCCTTGGCGCACCAAAAAGAAAAGAAAAATGGCGGAAGCGTTTACACTCCATAAGATGCGCCCGTCGGAGCGCTGCGACGAGTGTCCCACGCGCAAATGGTACGAGGTGGACGGTAACCGCTTCTGCAAGAACGGCCACCAGCTCGAGGGCTATGCGCCGCACGAAGCAGGAGAGGACGAGTACAACAGCACGGGTCGCGTCACTAGGGTCAAGAAGGAGAAGAGGAAACGCGAGGGTCTCAAGCTCGAGGGCAAAGAGGGCAGGAGGCTCTACCTCCAGGCTCTGCAGTATGTGCTCAGACGACAGACGGAGTGGGTGCGCGACGTGGGGTTGAAGTTGGACGACGATCTGAGGAGGATGGAGTACGAAAGGGTGGTCAGAGAACTCTGGGCTGCCCTCTACGCCACGCCGGGCGTGATGGACGAGGAGGAGGCGGCGGAAGCGGCGGGTTCCGGGACAGAGGGCGACGTGGTGGCCAGCGCCAGCGAACTCGAGGATAGCGATGCGGATAGCGGCAGGAGGCGTAACGGCTGGTTGGAGAAGAGAGGCAGCAAGCTGCCGAGCCATACGCATGCTCTGGCGCTCTGCTACCTGGCGTGCGTCATCCTGAGGTACCCGGTTACAACGGCTGACTTCCACGGCTGGGCTCAGAGGGGCGATCTCGATTACCTCGCGGCCATCCACAGTCTTCCCGTCAATGTGCAGAATCGCCTGCCGGCCATGTATCACCGCGCTCTACAGGTCAGAGACCACATCAAGCCTGGAAAGCTGCTGTCCACGGCGCAGGAGTTGGTGGTCGCACTGAGCCTGCAGTACGAGGGGCTTCGATTTCCAGCTCTAAACCACACGCCGGTCCTGCTGCATTACATACTGAGCTTGACTTTGCCGATTGACGTGTTTCTGATGGTCAAGTGCCTGATTGGGGTCTTGGAGGCAACATTCGATTTTCCCAACGGAGACAGCAAGCGGATTCGAGCGATGGACAACCCGGAAGTTCTACTGATTACGCTGGTCGTCGTTGCTACGAAACTATTGTATCCGATGGACGGCAATGATCGGCCGCCGGCCAGCGAGGATGATCCACATGTCAAGCAGATCGATTGGGCAGAATGGCAGAAGATGAGGGCAAAGGCGAGCAACAAGCCAGCCACGGAAACACTGGAGAAGGGTACAGAACATCGAATCACTTCAAATGATGCATTGATAATGGAAAAGAACAAGATGGATGACTTCATGGACTGGTTTGATAAAATGTGGGTTGGAAGTACCGACGTCGAGGCTGGTGGTAAGTGTTGTTATTGTGCCATAGTTTGTTTGGTCTCCTAGCCTATCATTTACTAACTCGACATAGCACCTGCAGCCATCCAACGCGCGTTCGAAAGCGGCGAGAACCACAACGCCAAAACATCTAGACACGAAGCAAACGCTTCCACTACTGCCGACGTGACGACTGCTACTACAAACACCCTCAAACGCCAATACCAAAGACTGAACGAAACGATGAGAGTCCTGGAACCGCAGCCGGATCCGCAACCCGTCAAGGGCAACACGAGGAAACGGCCGGACCGGGACTTCTGCCCTACGTGGCGAACGGAAGAAGATCTCCCGGCAACTGCCAAAGCCCTCTATCGAGAGGCAGCGGATCTGGCGGCCATACCGCTGAAATCGTTGATCGTTGCCGGGCTACAGGTCGAAAGACGGCTGGAGATCTGGTCGGCGCAGCGGGAGAAGCAGAAGCGGAGGACCGGTGAAGTGGCTGAAGACGCGAAGGGCAAGGGGAAAGCAGTCATGTGAAAGTCATGTGAAGTGACACAAATTTTAGAATTATCAAGATACCCCCCAATTTAGTTGAAATGTTTTTTTGAAGCACATGGCACCAGATCCAGTTGTGAGGGAGGACCAACACGGTCAAAATGAGTACGGTCATATGGTCATATGCGAGGTCTTAAGCCTCCATTGCACTGCAGTTTGTGCGTGCTTGTCTAGATATCCCGATTTACACAGCCAGCGGCGTGTGGCCAAAGCAGGTCATTTGCTTCATAACTCGAGAAGGGGATTGCATAACGTGAGGTTGTCTAGCGGATGGCATACGGGCATTAAATTGGATATGGCGCCGTGGCACTTTTGTGACACAACCCAGAGCTGGCACTCCTTACGGAACCGAAACATATACCGCGGGCATCGCAAAAGTGACAAATTCATGGCGACGGTCGAAATACATCGTGTCAATCAGATACATTAGCTGTCAGGCGTGAATCGCTGGGAGACAGAATTGCTGATTGTGGCACGTCTTGTCACCACACCACCATTACTCCGTCGTCATGTCCGAAATGTCAATGCCCCCACTAAATTGCTCCCCCGACTTAGCGCCACAGCTCTCGGGTCACCTGATCCACCTAGGGCAACCTGAATTTCTCAATTCGAATTTCACCCCACCGAGAACCATTTTGTTTGGAGGCGACATCATCCCCGAACTTTCCCATCACCAACAGCAAATTCATCGAGGACCGGCAAAAGTAAGTAGCGCGCAGTGCCCCCCCGATGGCTTCAATGATGGTGTAATGCTAACAGACATGTGTGTGTAGTGCAGATGTGAGTTTTCTACGTTCCCAGCGGCCCCCCGAGGACGCACCCATTGGAAATCAGCGACGTCTGCCCGACCTCGACCGAACGATGCAAGAAAGCGAAGCACATTTTACTGACGTGACCCGACCTGCAGCTTCGTGAAGACCCTGACGGGCAAGACTATCACCCTTGAGGTGGAGTCCTCCGACACCATCGACAACGTCAAGTCCAAGATCCAGGACAAGGAGGGTATCCCCCCGGACCAGCAGCGATTGATCTTCGCTGGTAAGCAGCTGGAGGACGGCCGAACCTTGAGCGACTACAACATCCAGAAGGTGCGTGGAACCCGTGTGGCGATCCCTGTCGAGTCGCATCTGAAGCTTCGACCGACGGACGATTGCGAAGGCCTTATGCGACCGCGACGGGGAAGAATCGCCACAACCCTCCAATGGTGTTATCCATGATGGCTAACATTACCCGTCTCGTAGGAGTCGACTCTTCACTTGGTCCTCCGTCTCCGTGGTGGTATCATTGAGCCCTCGCTCAAGGCCCTCGCCTCCAAGTTCAACTGCGAGAAGATGATCTGCCGCAAGTGCTACGTAAGTGTTCAGGCCCAACAGGGCGTCGTGGCGACAGTGACACAAGTTGACACGAGACAAACAGGCCCGTCTTCCCCCGCGTGCCACCAACTGCCGCAAGAAGAAGTGCGGTCACACCAACCAGCTCCGACCCAAGAAGAAGCTCAAGTAAACGATTCGTTTCCTCATTTTCCGGCGTACCTGGTTTTCGGCATTATCATTACGAGACAGATCGGACGGGGCGGAGGGATCCTCGGCATGGCTATGGCATGAGAATCGGCATTGTATCCACGACCCGACTTGGGCATGCGGTTCTCCTTCCCGGAATAGCATCCTCTAGATAGGAGACAATGAAGCTATGATAAGATCAGATGTGATGTTCTCGTGTTGCTCGGTGTGGCATCTTGGAACAAGAGCCAAGTGTAGTGCTTGCTGCAGCCAGCGCTTTGCAGGTCGCGTAAAGCGTAGTTGATGGCTTGCGAGTATGCATCGCCAGGTCCCTGCCGTGATAGGTGATAGGTGCCAGCGCCCGTGCCTGGTCAAATATTATCCCCACTGTTTCCGGGAGCAGGTCACTGTTCCTGAATGCCATTAGTCTCGCGTGGAGAAGTGCCGCGAGTTCGAGTCGAGATGATCAACTCGGCGCAACATGAGCATCTGACGGTTGCCAATCGTCTAACTATTGCAGTGTTCAATGGTGTATTTGGCCAGAGTTGCGTAATGCAGCATATCGAACTGCATTCTCAACTTTGTGCCTCCTGTGTTTGCCCGAACCACAATGACAAAGGCCATAGCTAGAAATCCCTATCTGCACATCCGTGTTCTTCGCTGCACAGGATTCCCGAGTTTACTGCAGATGCTCCTTGGACACAAATGGCAGAGTAGCGATGCCATGCAATTGTTATGTCTGCATGTGTAGCTGCTGAATGTATACTGCGGATGCGCGATGGAGCCAATCGCGATCTACATGAAACCGAATCGGGTAAAGCTCGGTCTGCTTCGTGTCCTCAAAGCTTCCCTAGCTTACATAGCCTCTAGCACGGGTATTGGCATTGGCATCAGCATTAGCATGAGCATGAGCACTGCTAACCTGTCTGTCATATCTCCCGGACCAGGCAGACACGAAGCCATCACCAAGACAGCAACGTTGCTCATTTGCGAAGGTGCAACTCCCAACCATCTCCGGCATCAACATCATGTCAGGAGCGGGCTACGACGCAGTAGTAGACGTGGATGACGAGGTATGCATTATGCTCCCAATCCTCGGGCTGCGCGCGAAGCTTCAAGTCAAGTCAAGCTTCCCGCGACTCTGATGTGGCATTCTTATGGACACCCCAAAGGACTGACAATAACCTGCTCAGGGCGACCTCGGCCATACCGATCTCCAGGAAGACCTCGAGTTCCACAACTCGACCTTCACGGCGCCCTCAAACAACACACGCAAAGGCGGCCCCAGCCCCGGTCTTCCACCTCCCGCAACAGCAGGTTCCGGCTCGAGCTCCTCGAAACGTTTTCTCTGGTCTCTGTCCTTTTACGCCCAGTTCTTCGACGTCGACACGTCGTCCGTGCTGTCGAGATGCTGGGCCGCGCTGTACCCGCGCGCTAACTTCCTCGATGTGCTTGAGGGGAACCCCGATCTCTATGGCCCATTCTGGATCGCGACGACGGTCGTCTTTATCCTGTTCTTGGGCGGCACCATCAGCCAATACCTGACAAAGATCGGCGACGCGCCCTTCCTGTACGACTTCAAGCTATTGAGCGGTAAGTCTCTTCTCATCACACCAAGAGGGGCTCCTTCTTTACTGGCTGGTTCTCGGACAAGGCTAACGTGACTACAACAAAACAGGTGCCGCCGGTCTGATCTACGGCTACACGCTCGTGATCCCGATCCTGCTCTTCGGCGCCCTGCGCTACTTCGGCTCCGAGTCCGCCAACCTACTCGAGTGCTGGGCCCTCTACGGCTACGCCAACCTCATCTGGATCCCCGTCGCCCTCATCAGCTGGTCCCCGATCCAGATCCTCAACTACGTTTTCGTCGGTCTCGGCCTCGGCCTGTCCGTCGCCTTCCTCCTGAGGAACCTCTGGCCCGTCCTGAGCGCCACCGATCGCCAGACCAGCAAGGTCCTCCTGGTCCTCGTCGTCGTCCTGCACGCCGCCCTCGCCATCGCCATCAAGGTCTTGTTCTTCAAGGCCGGCAGCCCGGCCCCGATCCAGTCCGACCCGCCCGCCGAGACCAAGCCGGATGAAGGTGGTGCCGAGGCTATGCTGCGTTTCTTGCTCCGCGCATAGAGGTGGGCGGGTGATGGTACGGAAAAGGTGCCAGTGATAAGACAGCGTGTAGGAAGACTCGGCGGCATGCCCAGCGCGTCTATATGGAAATGATGCAAGTATTTTGAGTTGTACACTAGATGGTTCCGTTACGATACCAAAGACATCATGATTCACAACTCTTGGTCCAGCCAGAAATTGCATAAAGGTCTCACTGCTGATATCTTTTTTTATTATATTCTTTTTTACTTTTTTCTTTTTACTCTTCCATGGCTCAAAAGTGCACCAGTCGAAAATGCCGATGTATCAACAGACAATGTGAAACAAGGGAAGCTTGCTACTGGCCTATGTCACATCTATTCCGTTTCGTTGCTTGAATATACAAGTCTGGCAATACTTGGACATAGATCTTTATTGGGGCTGGACATGGGTCTGGTACCCAAGATCATTGTTTGTTATTCAGCCTTGTATGTACTCTTGCACTATACGCGGTGGTGCAGTGCCTTGGAGTTTGTTGTCTGGGCATTGTGCGCTTCGTGGGGGCTAAAATTGCAGTGAAATTTGGGGATTCTGCCAAGTGGCTGGCAGGTTGCAGGAGTGACGATCGAGCGGATAGAAGTTCACATACGAGAGATATTATTGGTCTATCTTTTTGTAACAGATCATATCTGCAGCGTCACACTGGTCCATACCATTGCCGGTTCGTGTGACGCTTCCACACACGACAGGGACACATCTGGTGGGTTTCGACATGGGGACACACTTCCAGTATTGGCCCAAGGGACGTTGTTTGTATGTAGCAGGCGAGATTCAAATCTTGCGCCTATCGCAAGGCAGCGCCCACCAGGAAACCAATCAGAGATATGCCCAAGAATGTCCGAGAAGCTACCGCATTGCAGTTTTAACCTACAGAAGAGCAAGTGCTAGCTACACAGGCCGGGTATATCCCGATCAAAGTCTGGAGTTGCATCTTAGGCCGCATTCCACGATATCCGTGTTTGCGGAGTTGACTTGTAGAAGAAATGGTATTACACATGTCATACATGTAGGAAATTCCAACCATACTGCACAGTCCAACATTTCAATTCCAAATTTCTTTGAAATACGATTGAAGGTGACGTTGTCGTGTCTAGAGGCAATAGGGCCATAACGCTGGTGGACTGTACTATATACTCTTGAGTCCCTACTCCCACTTCATACCCACTGCCATCCGAACCATCTTCTCCGTAATTCCAAAGCCGAAGTAATGACTAGCTGCCTGGCCGCTAGAATAGTTTGTTTCTGAGCAGTACCTCGATATACCCGCACACGTGATACTTCACTCGATAGAGCTATGGAGTTGGCTTATGGATAGCAATTATCCGATGAGAGGAGATGACACAAGAAAGGAAACTTTAGTATGATAAAAAATCATACGAGCCGTAGTAAAGTTTTAAATTATTTTTGGGGGGTTTGACAAAAGCCTTAACCCTGTGCCGAGCAAGGAGAGCAGGAAAGGAAATCCGCTTTGATGACGCTGTAGTTCCTCAAATTCGAACCCATGCAGCTTCACCCAGTGAACCCCTCTTTGCTCAACTCCTTCCAACATCATTCCTTTTCCTGCACAACTTAGTGACATCATCGCTGCCTGCAACAATCTCACCAGCTACAGTGATGGCAAATGCTATAACGAAAATCTGTGTTCATCCTGATGGAGAGCAGACATCAGCGTCGTGGAAAGAGTATCGGGACTGCCCTGAGGTTTTGGGGTGCGATGAAGCTGCTCATCGTTGCCCGCCCGGCAGTTTCCATCTTGCTGATCAAGGAGGTCAGCGTACTTTGTGAGAACCATTTTCGGAGAGATCGCAAGGTCAAATGGCAAAACCATTTGGCGAGAGAGTTTGCCGGGCTGTTAGAAAGTCCTTAATCAATGCCTCTGGAAGTCTTGGTTGCTCATACGAAAAAGAAATATTGGTATCTGCGGAGCAGTCGCTTTGAGAGACAGCCTACTCTTAGGTAAGTGGCTGCGGATATTGGATCTGGAGACAATATCTAGCCTGACGCAGGTATGCATGAATAGCTTAACGGAAGACCGTGTATATTTCTGTTCAAATCATGACAGATCAAGGGCGGGATCTCACGACTCTGGACGCTTGGTCCCCGTCGACCCCATGATTTGGGGAATATATCCTCCAAGAGCTAATGACAAGCAGAGCAGTTGAGCGGGATGGGACTCAGCCATTATTTGACGAGGTAGCAGCTAGCGTAAGTGTAACATTGTTTTGGACCGAAATAAATGGTTCTGAAACTAGTAAGTGCCCATTGGCCTTCACCAGGGGTAAAAGCCGCGTCTCATTTTGTGGTAATAGTCATCCTCCTGATCGACGATCTCCTCACTGACCATCAATACACACCTAAACTCATCGCAAATTCAGAGACGTTCACACAAAACTAGGCTGGAGCTTCCATAAAGCAAAGAGAAATGAATCCTTTCGGCTCTCGTTCTCATATTCTAGCGAACTCGCCAAGATTGAACTCGACGTCCACCGAGGAAAGTACAATGTTCCAGAAACTCTTGCTTGCGGTTTTTTTTTATTCCGCCTGCGGGGACCTCGCAAACGTTCTTGTAGTTCTGACCGACACCCTTGAGAGCCTGGAGGCTGATCTCTCTGGCCGAGACTACATCTCGGTAGAAGGTGTGGCTATCATGAAGCAGGATCTGGCCCAGATAGGCACAACATGTCTCCACTATGCGGTCTTACTCTCACATCTCGAGGCGAAACTCCAGGAATTGGCTCCGTCGGTATTGAATTGAAAGATTAAGCACGTCCGAGAATCACTGCAGTCGACAACTTCTCGAGAAAATACGCTCCAGAAGACCTTGCTATCCATTTTGGGCATCATAAAGAGCCAACGGACCACACAAGAAGCAGAGAACGTGGGGAAATTGACCCAGCTTGCATTCTTCTTCATACCTCTCATGCTCGTAGCGAGCGTTTTCGGTATGAATGATATGGTGAGTGTAGTTCTACATCCTGATGACAATCATCTAATCAAATATGTAGGAATTTGATGGTAAGCTCACAAGTTGGCATTGGGTCATCACATCGGCCAGTTGCGGAGTTTTGACGTACGTCGTAGGCTATCGTTATGTTGTCTGGAGATGAATCCGACGGAGCCCTTCTGGTGTGAAGTATCATTTACGCGAGTGGAAGCGTTGGGTGGCCAAAAAGGACCTCGCTAAGGAATCAGCAGCGACGCAGGAAATCAACGGAGGGACCGTATGAGGCCCGCTCGGTTGACTTCGTCAGATTGGCCCACGGACCTTAAGTATGTTTGTGTGATTTGTCAATGCCGCTACAATTGAGTAATATGGAAGTGTACGAAACAAAGCCCCACCACTGGAATTATGGTCACCGTCTAAGGTGAAGCGGTTATCCGCAATACTGCTAACGGACACCTTTGATGGCTGAGTCAATGGCTATGGCATCGGGGCACTTGAGCCAAGAGAGACTGTCTTCCACAAGTGCAGAACCAACTAGAAAGTACCATATACATACGGTCGAATGAAACTTCTACGAAATCGTAGCAATGGGGGTGGTTAATACGCAGATGAACCAGGGAACCGTGCAGGATGGTTGGATTACGTCTTCCTTTGTTGCAACCTCTAGGAAGCCGCTTAGGATTGGTCATTGCCCAGATATGTCTAGCCAAAATGCGAACTCGTCATGGAAAACTGCAATCGGCAGGACCTCAAATTTGACGAGATCATGTTCATACTCCATCGAGTGATGTATCGGAAGTCATATATGCCTTAGTCGCTTCCTCCACCTGATTGAAACGCACTCTTCCATATGCCCACTACCTGGGTCACCCGTATTGTTACCGGCTTCTGAATATTATTCAAACGAGTCACAGAACTCCACGGACATTCCTGCGACAAATTGCCGTTTCGGTGAGATCAAGCTGATGAGACTCATCGTGTTGGATCCTCTGTAATTACCCCATACTGTGTCTTAGAATGTGCAACGAAATCGTTTCGCATAATTCAAGACATCACAGTTAACTTCACTAGCCATCTTCTGCTGTTGTCGCGACCTAGATATACTTAAGAAGATGGACAGTTGCTCATGGGTCAACAATTGTAATAGCCGTACACTAATGGTCTATAAACTCTACTGTATACTTCGAGTTGCTCATACAACGCAGCCTAACCTTATCCGGCAATAAGTGCACATATGCGATTTAGAAGACATTTTCCGATGTTAAGCCGGTCGTATTCGTATTTGAGAAAAAGCTCGAATGCGAGGGCGGTGAATAGCGATGGAGGGGTGCATAACTTTTCATTGGCCAATGCAAACACAAGCTTTTGAGCTTCCGAAACAGATGTCACTCGCATTGCCATCAAGCAAAGAAAAGAAACGCCGAGAGACGTTTGTGCCTTTTTATGCACAGCCAAGCTTGTGCATCGCCGAGCTTGTGCATCAAGGAGTCGTATACGCAACGTACGGATGCGTAACGAATACGGAAATTACGCGTTGCGGACCCTCACGCGAGACGAGAGACGACCGTACGATACTGGAAATTTACATTTGCAAGATCAGGTCAATGTCCCCAGAATTGTGACCTGCAGCGGGAAGCCCTGGGGCGATATGGCGTGTTCTCGGAAGTGACTTAGCCGCAGGTTGAGGCCTGTGTCCCGGCCCCTCCACTGCGAATCAAAGTTTGAAGATTTGATCCCGTTATCGATCTGGTGGGGCACCGCTGTTTAACTCCGCGATGTACTTGTAATGATCGATTCTTCGACCGAAGCCCTGCGAATATAGAGTATACCTGCATCGACAGGGCAGTCTTGTCATGTGAACGCTAAGGTAGGTGTCAGAGAAAACTGTGCGCGAGATTGCCAATGACTGCGCGGATGCGGCTCAGGACGCAGAAGGCGGAGTTACGGGTTGGTGGCCAATCCCGAAATGGGTAAGGGTACGATGAATTAAAATGATGCATGGGAGATTTGCGCGCCAAATGTCCTTTCCAGCTTGTCATTTGTCAGGTATTATTCGGCGTCAGGCATTTGCGAAAAGGGAAGGGGTCTTCCTACTAGGGATTCCTTCTATGTTCTGTCAGTCTTCCTGTCACTGGCGCTCACTAGCATGAGGTACCGTTGTACTTGTCGGTTGTACTCCGTGCTGATAGGTTAATATGTAACAGCGATATTCTGCTCAACAACCAATCTTCCCTTCCGCCTTTCTCTTGCTGCTTCACCTTTCTGTCCGAGGACTCGTCAATCATTGCCTCGACACCTCCAGGGGCTACTACTCTCTTTAATTGTGCCTAGCATTCCATCTTTTCTGGCAGCATCCTCGCAGTGAATTGAACGGCTTGGACAACTTCTCTTCCCACCTCTGGATTTTCTGACACCTTAACTCAGGAGGGTCCTGATAGGCTACTTCCGACTTACCCGCCAAAAAATCAAAATTTAAGAATCAAATCAGCACAGCACGCGCGACCAACCCCTGAGATATCTTGCACGATATACCCAGTCGCGCAGAAGTCATGGCTACCAACGCCACGAGCTTCACGTCGCCTCTGGCCGACAAATTCTCCGCCGTGAGCCTGCCTCCTCAGGTCGATTTTGTCATTGAGAAGGTCGCAAGCGCCGGTATTGTGACATGGCTTGTTACCTTGCTCGCTATTGCTGTCGCATACGACCAGAGTACGTGGTTTTTCTTCTTCTTCTCTTTCTCTCTCTTTCGCCCACGATGCGCATGACTTTCCACCGCTTGGAGAATATGAGTTGACCATCTCTGCCTCACAGTCAGCTACTGGATCCAAAAGGGGTCAATTGTCGGTCCTGCTTTCAAGGAACCTTTCATGGGCCCTTTCTTGCAGTCCATGAACCCCAAATTTGAGGAGTACTACGGCAAATGGATCAGCGGCCCTCTGAGCTGTGTCTCCGTCTTCCACAAGTAGGTACCCGTCCTTGCAGCAACCAGTCAACCTCGGCGCTAATCATCGTGTCTCGCAGGTTTGTCGTCATCGCATCCACCCGCGACCTGTCTCGCAAGATCTTCAACTCCCCAGGTTTCGTCAAGCCCTGTGTCGTCGATATTGCTACCAAGATCCTCGGAGAGACGAGCTGGGTTTTCCTCGACGGCAAGGAGCACGTCGATTTCCGCAAGGGTCTGAACGGTCTTTTCACCCGCAGGGCGTTGGAGTGCTACTTGCCCCGTCAAGAGGAGGTCTACAACACCGAGTTCAAGAAGTATGTCGAGATCACCAAGGAAGCCGGCGGCAAGCCCGTCCCCTTCATGCCACACTTCCGCGATATCATGACCGATGTTTCTTGCCGCACCTTCGTCGGTTACTACATCTCCCAGGAGGCGATCAAGAAGATCTCCGACAACTACTTCCTCGTCACCGCTGCCCTCGAACTCGTAAACTTCCCCATCATCATTCCTTACACCAAGACCTGGTACGGAAAGAAGGCTGCCGCTATGGTTATGGATGAGTTCGCCAAGTGCGCCGCCAAGGCCAAGGTTCGCATGGCTGCTGGTGCCGAGGTTACATGCATCATGGATGCCTGGATCAAGGATATGATCGCTTCCAAGAAGTGGCGCGAGGCTACCGAGAACGGACAATCTACCGAGGGCCTCCAGAAGCCCCAGCCGTTGATCCGCGAGTTCACCGACTTCGAGATTGCTCAGACCATCTTCACCTTCCTTTTCGCCTCCCAAGATGCCACAAGCAGTGCTGTCACCAACTTGTTCCAGATCATGGCCCAGCGACCCGAGGTGTTGGACCGTGTCCGTGATGAGAACTACAAGATTCGAAACGGTGATATCCACGCCGCCGTCTCCCTGGATCAGCTCGAGTCTGCAACCTACACCCGCGCTGTCGTCAGAGAGCTCTTGAGATACCGCCCTCCCGTCCTGATGGTTCCCTACAAGGTCAAGAAGGCATTCCCCATTACCGACACCTACACCATTCCCAAGGGCGCCATGGTCATTCCCACGACTTACATGGCTCTGCGTGATCCCGACGTATACGAAAACCCTGATGAGTTCGACCCTGAGCGATACTACTCTGGTGATGCTGAGGAGAAGGGTTCCAAGAACTACCTTGTCTTCGGTACTGGTCCTCACTACTGCTTGGGTCAGCACTACGCTCAGCTCAACTTGGCTCTTTGTCTGGGCAAGGCCTCGTTGTATTTGGACTGGAAGCATCACGCAACCCCGACATCTGAGAACATCAAGGTGTTTGCCACTATCTTCCCTGAGGTAAGTCCTTTTTTCTTTACCTTTCCATCATGCTGTTTACTTGGAACGCAAATGCTAACCCGAGTATAGGATGACTGCCCCCTGACCTTTGAGGAGAGAAAGTGGTAGGTAATTACGAGGTGGCTGAAGGATTCAGCTGTGGTATGACAGCGCTCTGATAGATCTGAGCTTTGATGATAAGCGATTACCCTTAGAATAATTTGTAATGACTTCACTGTATATGGTTAAGGATTGAATGGATGCGTGGAGAACGTCCCTGACAACAAGAGTTAGGGAGAAATCGAATCAATAAAGTAAAATCAAACTCACGTCCAGTACATGTGTCGAAGTCACTGAGGTACAATTGTAACGCCGATCATCCGGGAAATCACTGCTGGATGACTGCCACTTCTCATCGTACTCCCTCATGACTGGGGGATTGGCGACCACATGCCTCTCGAGATTATCACAGCAAGTCAGGATCGATAAACTGAACCTATGGTTTGAGGACGTGAAATCTAAGTGATCCTCGCTAGTCTAAATCAAGGTTGGATATGAGTCAAATACATACATGTACATGAAAGAAAATGTCGGAATCGAGCAGACTAACCAAAGATCGTTGTTGGACTTTGCAGCCATGTACTCTAACCCTTGCCAAGCGTTCAATCAAAACAACACCTCCGTCCCGTTCGCCGCCACATATCCGATCAAGACAAAATCCTTGGTGATGGCCGCCCCGCTCTGGAATATTTTCTTCTGCTCCCCCGTACACGTCTCGTACATGTCCCAGAAATAGCACTCGGGCTCGGGCAGGGGCGGCACCTCGTTCTTGATGTGGAAGACGTCGTCGTCGCCCTCGGCGGTCGAGTAGACCTTCTTGTTCTTGTCGCCGCCGCACGGCAGCGTCGACTCGGTCCCCGTCGCCACGTCCCGGTCGAACATGACGCGCCGGAAGATCCGGTACGCCGTCTCCGGCTGGTACCAGGGGACCTCGTGGCCCGCGCCGAAGACGCGCGAGAAGCTCAGGTTCCCGTACTGCCGCACCGCGCCGCCGGCGTACGACGCGTTCGTCCGGATCGGGGCGTACTTGGACCCGCGGAAACCCGCCGTGGCATCAGAAGAATCGATGGCCAGCGAGACCGCCTCCCCGCCCAGCCAGTTGCACTGGAAGTCCCGGTCGCCGTACACCAGCGCGACCTTGACCCCGCGGTCCAGCAGCTCGCCCAGCACCGCCAGGCTGCGCCCGCGCACGAAGTCGCCCGTGCGGCTGAACGCGGCGTCCACCGCGTCCGCGTAGCCGGTGAAGTTGAGCGGCACGCCAAGCTCCCGCTGCACCTCGGCCGTGTTCAGGTAGCCCGCCGCGTACTTGGGCGGGAAGGAGCTGAGCGCCGAGCCGGTGATGTCGAACTTGTTGCGCCGCGTTGCCAGGTAGGGGCTCCACATGGCCTCGAAGCAGTAGGCGTACGCGCCCGCGCAGGCCGCGTTGGCTTCGGAGTCGGCGCCCGTGCTGTCCGGGTCCCGCTGCGAGGCCACCGCCTGACACTCGTTAATCAGCGCCTCGCACTGCGGCCACGCGCCCGCGGCCGCCTCGTACACGCTCTCGTTGTACGCCTGGATCCCGTACGTGTTGTTGTGCGCGAAGACAGGGTAGAAGGGCATCTGCGTCTTGATGTCGAGGCACCCGTTCACTATACCCAGCGTCTCGAGGTGCAGCGGCACCGGAGAGGAGGAGGAGGAGTAGCTGTTGGCGAGGGCGTTGGTGTTTTGTCGTTCGAACACGTCCGAGAAGGTCGGGCCGTAGTGTCCGCCGTAAGACTCGGTCCAGATGCTGAACTTGTTGTCGCGAGGTGTGTAGTGAGGGAATCTAGATGGGGGAAGAGTGTAAGCTATCAGAACGGCTCAGGCATCGCCGTGTGTGACGATGATGATAACGATGATGATAAATTTTTTTCTTCCTCAACTTACTGTGTCATCCAGATTTGCATGAAATGCCAAGCCGCGAGCGCCGCCGTCTCGGTCGTGTTGGGCGTTGACAGCTGGTCGCTGGAGGCAAAGGTACCGGCGATATGGGTGGTGTTGAGGTCGGCGGCCGCGAGATCGTCGACGGGGGTGAAGTCAAAGGGACTGGCAACCTCGTCGATGGTGCCGTTGACCAGGCGGTCGTACGAGAAGCCGACCTGGACCGGCTGGTCTATGTACAGCATGTTGACCTCGTTGTTCCAGGACCACTCGTTGAGCACCGTGTCCTTGGAGTCGGACGTCACCCTGCAGGGCCCGTTCTCACCCAGCGCCGCCGTCATCGAGGGCGAACCCGGCCCGCCCTGCAGCCACAGCGAGAGCGGCGCGTTCGCGGCGTCCTTGCGCGCCTCGAAGAACCAGAAGAAGGTATGGATGTCGTAGGCTCGGCCCTCTGCTGGGTTGGCCGGCAGGTTTACGTACCCCGAGTACCCCTTGACGCCCGGAGTGGTCTCGCAGATGTGTGTCTAGTTGCTTTTGTTAGCCTGGCGGAGGGTGCGAGCAGAGTTTTTGTTCGGGGAGCTTCCTACCTCTTTGAATGAGATCGAGATGTTCGGATCGAGAGTAGAGCTGGCGTTGAAACCGCCTTTCATATTTCTAGGCAGAGCGAAACCAATCGCTCCTTGCCATAGAGCAGACAAGGCCGCGAAGGAGCGTAAAAGGGGAGCCATCACGGGTTGCAGGTGATTGGGATTTGAAGCGAATAGTCGTCGCCAGATGGCACTGAAGCCGTCGGTAGAGGAACGGTAGCCATAGTTATATCCTTGCCATGGGAGATTACAGGCGGTATTTTTCAACAAACGCTATTTTTTGTTTCTGTCTTTAAGACCGCCTAACTTCTCTCCATACGTGGCGGAGAGGAAGTGCGAGCTCGGGTTCATCATTGGAGGTCATTGTCAATCTAGCAGCCCACCTGGAGGCCAACTTCGCATTATGGGTCCAGTCCGAAGTATAGCTGCAAACTTTAGGATATAAGCTTATGACGGACCCGGAAGGAATACACAACAGGCCCTGCTCAGCCCTAGCGCTCGGACGAGCATCCCCCTCTGTGGAACCATTTCCGGGCGTTGGAATCTGGGGAGTTCATCGTGATTGGTGTAGTCGGACTATCACACCCACCAGTGTGGACTAGTAGGCTTAGCTCTTATGGTTTAAGCCTCACTTTAGTTTTCTTATTCTCAAAATAGGATCTTTTCATCAGATGCCGCATGTACCCCTGCTTCTCTTTATCGGGGCCCATATGTGACCGGCTCAGATGTAGCAGACGACTTGATGGAGAATGCTCTCTCGAAATTTCTGTGTAAACGACTCTATACCGCTTCTGCGTTCCGTCAAAACTGAAATGGTTGCGGCAACACAAGTGCATCCGTCTCATTTCGCTAGCTGCAGCGCAAAGTTGCTTCTCAAGCCCATCATCGATCCGTGGGTGTCTTTGTTGGACGAGCCATGACTTCATGCCACAGAACACCTTTCTGGTCCAATCTCTCAATGGTAATGTTGTGAACATCTTCGAACCCCAGTGATCTATACAATGGATGGCCAGCCGGCGTGCCGGTCAAGGTTGCAGGTATGCCCCATTTGTCGGCCAATGCCAGGCCCCAGCGAAGATGAGTCGCAGCAAAGCCGTTTCCATCCCACTTTGGGTGGGTCGCCAGGCCGGCCAGGTATGCTTGGTGGTCATATACATCGTCGAGGTATTCCTTCTCGGCTTCTTGGTGTAGTTTCTGCCACGGCGCTGTGCGGGTCTTGTTGAGGTCGAGGTGTTCCGAACAGTTGGACCAGTCGCCGCCAGCTATTTCCAGAGGCAACAAAAGCGTCTGCGCGTGATTGTCGCTGCTGGTAGTCCTGTTGAATTGCCAGACCGAGACAGAGACAACGCGAGAGCCGGCCCGGGAGGTTGTATCCGGCACGGCGATGACTCTGATGGTGATGCCGTTGGCGGGCGACTGCTCGAACAGGCGGCCCCAGGCCTGGCGCTGACAATGCCATGTGTAGCCCGGATACTCATCCGTGAACTGGTAGACATAATGCCACTCTGGGGCTGGACGGAAAGCATCGATAATCACGGTAGTGAAGTCATCCAAATCACCAAGAACGGCATCGCGGAACTCGAAAGGCACGGCTGCGCCTCCCATGCGATGCTGTTGATCTAGCGACTGAGCACAGCAAGGCTGGAAGCATAGCAGTAGTCCTGCCAAGACAGACACGAATAGTGATATCGCCATGATTTCGAATGCTTGCACGTGGGCGATTCAGGGATTCTGATGCGCAGAATCGTGAGGAGAGATCCGTGATGGTCAATACAATGCTGCCAGCTGGGGGTCAGCATCCATCTTATTCATGCTAAAGTCTCACCCCCAACTGCTGTACAGGGGCCGCACATGGTGGTCACTGTGCCGCCCAGACGGACTGGGGATGGATTTGGCGATCATGCCTGCAAGTGTAGCAAACATTGCAAGCTCAAGGAGTCTTCGGAATGTTTCTGTAGAGTCTAGACTAGACTAGCTAGTCTAAGGTTAGGTCAGACCACCAAGATCGATTTGAGGTCACACGAATGTCCAGTCCCTATTCTGAGGAGAAGGAAAAGAAGAAGAAAGGAGAAAAGATCGTCACGCAGTATGGCCAGGGTATGCACTAACAGCTGACGGTCTTTCGATCATGACTGAAACTCGAAATGAAAGAGTATTAGCCAACAGCGCCCGATGAAGCTGAAATATGATACAATAACTAGCGAGTGGAGAGGAAACAGATCGACGATGCAACCGACGGGACGGTAGTTGTGCCCCTTTCGCTGCCAAGGTGCCTAAGGTTAGCCTGTTAGCGACCGAGTTGGGGGAGCTCCAGTGGCAGCACCAGGGCCCGTACCCGTACCCGTCCCCCGGATATGCCTCCCACGTCATTTCTGAGCTGAACCTCCAACTTACTGTAGCTCATGAGCTTCAGTCATCTAAAACTGCGGTTCGGCATTGCTATTCACAGCTGCATTTCCAGCACGCCGGCTCTCAAGAATGACTTCCAATAGCCTCATGGCCAGTGCCCTGCGCACCGCCCGTCAATTGACCGTACGCGTCTCCCCCGCAGCGACCCGGAGTTTTGCGACGACAGCTCCCGCGATCCGGCCTCGGCTGTTCCAGGCAGCACGTCCTGTCGCCGCCTCGAGACAGACTCCTACCGGTCTCAGATGGTCTTCCGAGTCCGCGACGGGGAGTAAGATATACAGCTTTGAGGAGGTACGTCGTCTCTAGCTGAACCAGCGCCGGAACCTCGGCCGAGCTCATGCCATGCACTCCAGATCCAATCTCTCTCCAAAGACTCCGCCAAGCCTATCCACATAATCGACGTCCGCGAGCCCCGCGAGCTGTCCTCCACCGGTCGAATCCCCGGCGCCATAAATATCCCCATCACCACCTCCCCCGACAGCTTCCATATCACCCCAGAGGAGTTCGAGGACCGGTTTGGATTCGACCGCCCCCCGCCCCAGGATGAGCTGGTCTTCTACTGCAAGGCTGGTGTGCGGAGTCGCGCCGCAGCAGGTATTGCACGGGAGGCTGGCTGGAAGAATGTTGGCGAGTTCCCCGGCAGCTGGGTGGAATGGAGCGGAAAGGGCGGCAAGATTGAGAGGTGATGAAGGCGGTTGGAATGGGTGGGAATGCGCCATCTATGCGGTCTGCTAGAAAAGATGTACCACCTTGGGCCACACTCCATGGGAGGCGGACGGATCTGTTGTAATACTACTAAAATTCAACGCGATATCAGATGCCAAGAAATGGTGCCAAAAGGTCCTTGAACCGCTCAAGGCTCACTTCTCCCTCCCCATCTTGGACGACCTTTCTATCCCCCGGCGAAAGCACCTCGTCTAGAACCTGCACAACCCCGTCGTTCGCGGCGAGGTCGTGTTGGACCACGTTCGCCCTGCCATTCACATACATGGAGATGACGCAATTGTATCTCACGATTGTCACGTCACTGGTGACCGCTTCTCCTGCGGCAGAAGTGTCTTTCAGCATCGTTGGCAACACCCGTCTGATGCGCCCTTTAATTGTCCTAGGCTCATCCTTCGACGTTTGCCGCCCACCCGTGTTATTCTGCGGCCAGATGAAGTTGCTGAAGAAGGTAAGGTCGGGGACCAGGTGCACTTGAACCAGAGCTCGAAGATAGGGCAGACCGGCTTCTGTCTCGAAGAGGAACTGAACGGTGGGCCTCCCCAGCTTCGCAAAGGCGTCGTCGGCCGGCGCGAATACGGTCCCTCCCTTGCTGTTGGACGGAAACACGGCGTCGCCTTCGCCATCTGATACTCTTTTGATGGCTGTCCTGAATAGCCGCAGACCGTTGACTTCTAGGACGTCCATGAGATTTGGCGCGAGCACGAGAGGTCGGTCGGTCCTGTGGATCACGCCATTGCTGCAAATGATATTCCCTGCCACTATGTGACTGGCACTGTTTAGCTCCCACCTGCTGCCAGAGGCTCGTGCCCGTATGATCTGTGGACCATTGAGACCTGCTGGGTTCAGCAGTGTCGGGACGTTGGGCATATGCAGGAGACCTTCCGTCGTGACATAGTGAGGAGAGAGATGCAACGATATGAGGTCTTCAGCGTCTCCCCATGCGGCCTCTCGAAGACGATGTTCTTGTCTCCAATATTCATTGGCGGGAAGAAAGATCGTGTGCTCCTGGGTCGTGTCCTGCAATAGGGAGACCAATCTGGGGCATCGGTCGAGCAAGCGACAGAACTCGCTGGATGCGCTGTCATTCTGGAGAAACCCATACAGCGTAAGGCCTCTGCTGCTCTCATCACGGGAACATGCGGGCAACTGCTTGACGAGCTGATCGTAAGCCTTCTCCAGTTCATCCACGCTGTCTTGGGCGTTTGGATAGGGCATATCGTAACGAGTCTTGACCGGTATCAATGTCTATCAGGTTGGAGAGATGACCAGTTGATCTATCCTTGGAGACAGGAGCCGTAAACGATCTGTAGATGTCTCAACATAAGCCGTATGTGAGGCATTTAAGCGTACGGACTTTTTGATCATATAGCATGCATTCGTCGTAAGAACCCGGAAGCCCAACAAACCGTCTCCGTATACACCCGTAGACCACAAATCTCCTATTGCACCAATTGTTACATCAGAAATCGGGTTAATACAGGACAGGTTTTGGACTTTAGTGATTCATTGCGGAAACCAGATAGCATGTTCAAAACTGCTGGCCGACGACATTCATCTTTCCCAATATGTACAGATCTTTATCCACCGACGGCGTATCCAGCCCTGACAAAGTTCTCGAATGTCGTACCATCGGAGCAAAAGCAAAAGAAGATAAGGTAGCAAACGTTCATGCACGGCAGAGGGCGTCGGAAACCACTTCCAGAACATCCTGCGGAAGAGCGCCATGTAGCTCAAGATCATGCAGCAAACGGAAGTAACAGCCCATATCCGCCAAGTGAGGTTTCCTTCAAACTCCTTGCTTGTCGCGTTAGAGAGAATGGACAGATAAATGCGTGAAAGGTGACCTACCACGACGTTCATACCGAAGAGGCTCGCAATGAATGTTATAGGGATGAAGAAGAAAGCTAGCTCCGTGAGCTTGCCTACACTCTCTGCCTCCCTTATACCCCTTTGGCTCTCAATTATGCTCATGGTGGCCATGAGCGTCTGGCTGAAATTGTCTAGTCGATTCTTGGTGGAATCGAGAGTTTGCCGAACATGGTTGCAGATCTTAACCGAGTTGGCAGATGTCAATGCCCCTGTTTCTTCGTCTAAGTAAGAAAACGCAGCGGAATAATGGAATGTCATCATTCTCGTGCGTGCGAGATATGTCTTTAGTGCATTAACAATCGCTTTGGTGTCGTTTGCGTTGAACAACGATATTGTTGTCGCCGTGTTGAGCTCTATGCGATCAAGGTTCGTATTCACTGTAGAGAGTACATCACTCATGCCCTCGCAAGCAATGTGTAGGATAGCTTCCTTCAAAGAACGGAGAACGTCAGCATTATTAATTTGCATTAAACGTATAAGCTTTGAGCGTATTTGTGAACGTATACACAAGTTCACTGACTTGTGCCAGTGAGGCATAGTATATGACTTGGCTTGTTCGATATGGTCGATTATAGATCTGAGGTTATGAGTCGTCCATGTTGTTGAGATAATTCCACCCGTGGAATCTGGTCTGAGTTCTTGCTGCAACAGCAACCCTACACTATCAATTTGTGAAAACGCAGTATGGGGACGCGGTAGCCAAAGGAACAGCTTACCAACTGTTGCGCCATTTATCATGGTCTTGAAAAGCGTACTGGAGATAGATAATGCTGCTCGGACGGTTTCTGTACGATGTGAATGTAATTGTTGCTGATCGGGCCAAACTTTTTGCTGGTCGTAGGGTTTGTCATTCTCTCCAGCCATAGGAATCAATGAACCTGAAGCATGGTGAAAAACATAGCCCCGTGGGTCTTGATCAGATTCATCAGATGCAATCCAAGAAAACTCATCCTCAACTTCTCGGATTTCAGTATCGTGAGCCTTGAAACTGGACGCAGGTATCATCACTGCCCATTTGGCTAAAAATACGTTGTCTTCGCACAGGACGGGCCCACAAACACCGAAGCGATCTTGAATATGGGCCCAAAGAACTTTATTCGGCACTTGGAGGCAGCTCCTGGCTAACTTTTTGTGCAATACCCGCAGAGGACCTTCTGTGTCGCTTTGCACCATGATCAAGATGATACTGCCCACCGGGCATATGGGTGGTTCTGGTCGTAGCCAGGCACAGTCGTCCAAATCGTTGAACTCTTCCCAGGTATGTTTACCTGTAGGATCGATTGTCAGCTGAATGACCTGGGGCTCCTCGACTGTAGTTGCGGCCATGATCGAGGATGATTGATAAAGCGAATATAAGATGGCGAGGTGGACTAATATGCAGAGGCGAAAGAGGGGTCAAAGACAAGAAGCTGTGCTTCCAGCCTCATGCGATCACATCCCGGTTCGCCAGCCTCACATCTGCCTTACCAGCATATTCCAATTGATTACACTTAGACTAGGCCCCGTTTCAGCGTCAGGCTATTTCATATATATATTTCAGCAGTCCGATCTTACGTCGCCCGGTTGCAGGTTAATAGTCTCAGTTCCACTCAGCCAATCACTCCTGCAACTCGCCCTCAGCTGACATTGTCGTTTTCCGTTATCGCTAGCAAACCTTTCGCAGCATGGTTCTCCAGTGTACGTAGACTAGAAACACCCAACATCTTAGGAATACTAATGTCTGTACTGAATATCGACTTCTACTAGACCCGCATTCCGATTGCGATTAAGCTATCGAGTCCAGCATCCTTTAGCAACCAACTAACATCCACCTTTAAAGGTTCAACATGGCCGGTATGCTGGTGCCTGTGCTTGGTGCATGTGCTTGGTGCACTCGAGGGCCAATTTCTACTCAGTAGGTAGAGGATTTTGGAGTCGAGAAGGCAAACGCTTACTGGTGACATGTCTATATCTTCTTCAAAGTATAGCGTAATAAGAAATGCATTTCATATATGACGGGAAGACACAATTTGTCAGTGGCGGTCACGATAAATCATGCCAACGGTCTGCTTTATATCTCTGCCGCCAGCCAACCGTGTTCTTAATATGAGCTGCTCGAAGAAAGATGACAATGGATCGGGGCATGTGTAGGCCGCCAAATTGTTTAGGGCACAGTGATTCATTCCAATGGCATGCACAGCAGCGCTTCAGACATGCGCTCATGCTCCTTCCGACTCCAAGGCGTCCGCGCCAACATAAATGATAATAAGCCGTCGTTTGTATCACCTCTTACACCAGTGTCAGATTATGTGCGCGCCTTCGGTCTCGACACGTTTGCCACAGCTTTGACGAATCGGATGACTTAAAGAGCCATGCACACTCGAACGTTGGGTGAAAGAGTCCTTGATCGCGCTCCCTGGCATTCTCTTTTGATAATTTCTCTCCTAGATTACGACTGTGGAATGGTGATGGAAATGAAAAATGTGTCTCGGCGTCTGGACCATATTTTCGGCATCCTATAAGATTGGTAGATTGTAATAATGTACAATATCAGTTTTCTCGTCCCAACGAACCAGTTGCCAAAAACACTCCCGCAAATGCTCAAACACAGTCGTATACGGTTCCAAAGCGCCCAGAACAACCTGACCGAAATGTCATGTCCTAATGACCCCGTCTTCTAGTAGAAAGTGCAGCATACCATAATTTTGTAGGCAGGTATGGATAATTCACAAACAACGATGCGCGCGCTTTTCTCGGAAGTGGTGAATTAAAATATTATTTATTCGTTCTCGGCGATGGTCATCTGTGTAGTGAAGCACTGCCGGCGAAGAAAGTCTCTAGTCTCTTCTTGTATTCTATCGCCGACTACCTCGCTGACCAGAGCCTGGCCATCATCACCGGTCCTGAAGTACGAAGTGAGAGCCTCGGGTATCTTCTCGTCCATCCTCTCGTCGATCTTCTCGCCAAACACCTCGTCGGCCATGTCCCTCATATAATCGTGCTCCCTATCCTCCTGACTCTGCAATCGCGCGCTCAGCTCATCCCACAGCGGCTCGACGCATGCTTCCATCTCCTTTGACAGGTTTTGCTGCTGGTCTTCAAGCCGGCTGACCCTACCATCCAAGCTTTCCATTTTCGCTAGCATTTGCGTCAAGATGGCTCCGTGTTCCGTTCTGCTGCTCTCGACAATTCGCTGCAAGTTGGCGATACTGTGCAGAATCAGATCGCTGGCATCAACACTCTTCCCGCGAGTCTTAGTGTTCCCACGGTCAGAATCCGAATTGCTAGCCCCCCGACGACGCTTGCGATCTGGCGGCAGGTCTGATTCTTAACATGGTTGTCAGCCACAAGCATCAAGGGCGACAGGAAGAAAAACAAAACCGCACTTACGTGGACTCAGGCACAGAGGTGGCGCTGTGGCCGAGATGCTAGACCCAGCGGCAGCATGTTCGTCGTAAGCCGGCGGAGCATCGTTGGCAGGGCCACTGGGATCAGGGCCGCCTACATCCCCACAGCCACGAGCACCGAGTCCATCGTTGGCATGGTGGTCATGTATACCAACGATGCGACCGCCTTCACCACCGTAGAGACTGGCAACTTCGTCATTCAATGATGTCAACCCCGATTCCGACGCTGCTTGGCAGAACGACAATAACCGTGTCTTGGCTAGGCTGCTCGTAGGGAAGTGGATCATGAACTGAACGGTATCCTTGACGAACGACTCCCATGACCTCCAGGTCGCCTGTGATCCAGCTCTAAACGACGCATAAGATTGTCGCTTTGGGACAACAAAAACCGCTGGGGTTCGTAGACTGAATCGTAAGGTGTATGCGCTCGAACCAAGCTTCTCTCGAGCGACCCGATACTGTTCCGTTTCTGCCTCGGTCAGGGTCTCATCACTATCATTTCTAATGCAATCAAGCTTTTCGACCTCGGTTGGCTTGGCGAGGATGAATATGTTGGGTTTGGCTGATTCCCTTCTCAGTTTTAGTGCCGTCTGTAGGCGAATGAGGGCCTGCTTCGAATCATGCTTGTAGACCAGGACAAAATCGAGGTGCTCCAGCAATTGGACTTGGCCGTCGGAGGCTTGCCATGTCACTATGGCTGGCACGTTCTTGACTTGAATATCTTGAGTCGGTGATCGAACGAGAACGTCTTCGCTTGTGTCGGAGTCGGTCGAGACGTCCATATTGGAGCGTCAGTAGATCTAGAAAGCATGATGAGCTCACAGTGACGCTATACAAACCAGCAAGTTCGGGCGGAGAGATGGAACAAGGAGAGAGAAAAGAAAAAAACTCAGGCATCTATAGGCATCGAGCGGCCGGCCAGAACAGCTTGCGATGCATTCTACAAAGTAAGCCCGAGCCTTGGAGCTAGGCAAGAGGAGGGACAAGAAATAGACGACTTGAGCATCGGGATCATGTCGTGTCCCCGCTACCCGGCCAAACCGAGAACAACAGCCATAACGGTTACTCGTAAACAGTACCCGCTGTCCAGCACGCGCTTCTCTCGAGGACGAGAACTGATACTTGCGCATGCGCGTCCATTAGTCCTCAAGATGAGCGGGCTTCCCGAGACCCCGCTTCTTCCAGAGAGCGTACCCTGTGGGTAGAAGTCGGCATTTAACATGGTCTCGGTCGCGGAGTGACGAATTACGAGTAACCAGTGGGTTATGGCCGTCGTCGCGGTCAAGCGGGCAGCGCGGATTGTCTACTTTCGCGCGACATTCCTTTGGACTGACCCTGATCTTTTTACTGTAGCTGCTGCAAAAGGAGGCGGCGAGATCAACAGATCTAGGAGACAGAGAACAGCATGTTGCACTGCGTCTTGTCTTATCGGGAGTGTTGTGAATAGGCTGACGGTGGGACTGAGTTGTTGGTGGTTGGGGGGACGTCAGTGATGACTGTGCATTGAGCGGAGCTGCAATAATATTAGTCCGGAGGCAAGACAAAAGGACGATTCAAATCCGACAGGACAAAGGACCCGGGAACAGTTCGGGAGTAAGGCCTATCTTAGTGCCTATTTTAGTGGGCTCCGCTCTGTATAGTATAATCCGTAAGTTAAGTCGTATGTAGTTAGGTGCATTGTTTTAATTCCTACTTTGAACCAATCAGCACACCCTTACGGGGTAGACACCTTAATATCAACATTAGCGAGGACTGAAATTGCAGTGAGACTAATCTCGTCGGGCAACTCGCCATAGGTATGGAGGTTGATCGAGCGCACTATGTATGGCGTACACACCCCGCTAAAGACATTAAGGGCGTCAATCTCGGTGTGTGAGGGCGACCCAAGTAACAGTGGCCCCGATCATACCTTTCGCATTATAATGTGGACGTGGTCGGTGCTAGTGCTGAGATGATGCGCTATACTAATCAACCAACCTAACCGTTGGTTGGGCGGACGAGACGACGCGATTGCAATGCGGTAGCGCTAGCTTCATGTCGGCTGAAGGTGATGAATTATATAGACTAGTTCTAGAGTCTAGGTTAGGACCTGTGCTCGTGTGAGAGCACCACCACTTCGTTCACGTTTTGAATGAAAGTGCGGCATCTACATTGATGACTCACCAGTATATATGTGCTAAATAGAGTATCTAGCCTACCCTACAACACACTGGAATGCCCCTTTTCTGGATCTTAGTTCCGGGAATCCGTCAACAGGTTAAGTCCCTGGACGGCCAGTTCCGGTCCTGGCCTATCCATGGTCATGAATCGTGAGGAACCAGGCGGTAAAGATCTGACATGAGTCTACGGCGACTTAAATGCTGTGTGTGACCATATTTGACAGAATGGCTCACGCTCATGTGGTTATGTTATGATATCTTCGTGTCCGATAGCCGTCGCGTCGCGCAGACTTATGAGAAGTATTGACTTATATATACTATTGCGACTAGCTACAAGGCAGCCTCGGGGCAAGTGTTCGAACCCCAGGTATACGTCATATAATCGCTATCTTTTGAGCCGCGATCAGAAGCGGCTCCCACTCTTCTTCTGTGAACCAGAATCGACGCTCTGTCGCGGTTGGGTCCCGAGCTGTTCGAAGAGACTCCTCGTCCTCTCCACAAAAAGCGCCAAATCGTTTCATGTAATGATCCACGTGATGGTATTTCATATCCTCGGACTTGAAAAAGTCCGTTATCTCCTGACGATAATAAGCAAGATTACTACTTTTATCTTCCTCTACGTTGTCGCTGCCTCTGGCGCTGTGATCTAGGTTTGTAGAATTATCTTCTGCGTCGCCTCCATCTCCTGCTCCGTCGTCGCTCTCGGTTTCGTTGCTGCTTGAGTATATGCTGTCTCTTTCCTCATAAGCGTCTTTTTCGTCGCGATCTGACTCAAGACCGTCATTCAAATGTACAAGCTCGTCCAACTTCGCCCCAGCTAGGGATTCCAGCTTTTGTTTTGTAGTGGTTCCGAAGTACTGTGTCGGACGATGCTCGCGCTCCATATGCCACGCGCCTCGGGGTGTGCTGCCAGGATAGTGCCGACTATCAAAGCCCATACCGGGGCTCAGACCTTCGCCGTACATTATGCCATGCACATAACAGGTACCAATGAGCGTGAACCTATTGCCAATGGGTCGTAGAATAACAGGCGCGGTATAGCCTAGTAGGATATAAACATGATCACCAGTCGATGTAGACTTTGGACAAAAGCCAATATGTCCCAACTTCGTGCAAAAAAACGAACGTCTTGCAACATTTCCTTCGCATATATAACTAAGCGGATAAAGCGTCTCGATCTTTTTGACTTCGTCCACGTCCTGTATGGGCTCAACACGAGCTGTAGGAAGACAGAAGAATGCAGAAAGACTCCTGCGATAAGAATTATTGATACCAATAACCTCTGTTCTGGGATTAAGTCCAGCGTTGATTTGGCCAAGTATGATAGTTTGCCGCAGGGCCGCAGCAACAGGCTGAAGCGTATACTTGTACACTGCTGGCAGATCAAAGTCCTCGATCGTGCACAGGTCGCGGTAATCACCTTTCTGCTGCACGGTACCCACGAAGATCGCGCAGATATCCAGCTGATTTGCGTCAAGAGACTGGTTGTACTTGGGGGTGATCCCTCTAGATGCATCAAAGAATGGCTTCTGCGGCCAATCCGGACGGAAAAACATCTCATTTAATGTCTCACGTGGAGCCCTGAGATCAGGCACCCAGCTGGGAAAATTCTTGTCTTCTTGAAACTTAGGGCTTTCTACATAGTTCAAGATGTGTAGATTGCCATGCTCTTGAATGGTGTGGTTTGCCATGTTTGTGTAGACATCCGCAATCCCAAGAGAGTAGTTCGGAGAAAGTGATCGCGACAGTATTGGTTCAAACAGCCCCAGCAGGCAGCAAACAATATCACGAGGGTCGGATAATCCGGCAGATCGGCGCTGGTCAACCAGTCTTGATAGGTCGGTTGCCATGAATTTGTGACCACTGCTCGTGCTTCCATGGTTGTTTCGAAAATCTTCCCTGACGCAAAACATCGTCCACGAAGCAGCTGATATCTTTGGTGATCCCACGATTGTTCTAAGTCTCCAGAGACCTTGCAACAACTCTATAGGCATTGAAAATTGACCACACTGGATGGAAACTCGCTTTGGCAGTACCACCTCCTGAAGTATCCATCCTCGTGTGAACCATTCACGATTTGTGAGCTTTTCTACACTCTCCAGACTAGAAAATGAGCACCTGCGAAGTCTGTCCAAAAAGCTTTCCGCCCAATTTCCAGTACTTGTAAACCGAATAGGCCTAGGATCTTCACCTGCTTCGATCGATGTCGTGAACATGTATTCCGCACAATTGAAGGCCGCCTGGGTATATTCGTCCTCATGTCCGAGCCAGACGATAGTCTGAACAGACTTTTCGTATATGTCGCCCATGAGCTGAACCTGAATAGACCGCTCAAGAAGGTCGTTTTGGTTGATGCATATACGATCGATCCATAGAATAACCGAATAAGGATTACCAGAAAGGGGATCATATCGCAAGTGCCGTAGTGCGTGATACAAATTTGATCCCGGAAGCAAGAAAGAAGAATTATCATTGGCCTGTGCCGCCGGCCCGTTGCAATACATGGTATAAGGGGGTTCTTGTGGTCCCCACACATATGAAAGGGCCTCATACTTCGGGTCCTCGTCTAGATTCGCGATGAAGATCCTGCATCGCAAAGGTGCATCGAAGACATCAGAGAAAAGCTCCAGGAGACGAATATCCCTGTCGCCAAGAGGCTCATAATCATGCGGGTTTGTTGCGTTCTTAATGGACATGTTTGCATTACGCATACAGCATGATGCTTGAGCACAAAGACAACACGAGTAATCCTGCGGGGTAACTATGCATCACGGATATGTTATTTACTGTTGCATCTCAATGACATGGCCTTGCATAACCAGGCAACCACCCATAATAGCCTTCTAGCCAGGCTTATCTGTCTCTTGTGTTCGGTACCTATTTCCGGGCCACCCGCGGTGTCAGCGGTGGGCTATTTTTGCGATAGTGTACAATCAGGTGTAACAGTTAAAATCTCATGCTATGGCTAGGAGTTGATTTGCTGGAAATTTGAACATGGAATCTGCGTTGGCACTATACATAGGGCAGGCAATCTCGCCAGCTGAACACCGACACAAAGCGAATATAGGCTGTGGCACAGCGCTGGCCCTTTTAATCATGAGGCCATTATCATGTAATCCATTTCCCGTCGGCGTCTGTTGAGTTCTACAACATAAATAAGCACCACGCGAGTAATGAAACAAAGATACTAAATATGATTGTTAGAGACGATGAGCGCTGTCTACGCTGAACCAAGAGATATTTAATACAAGAATCTAGTTATGGCGTAAATAGTCCTGAAAGATCCTTTTTGATTGTCAGTTCATATTGTATTGAGAGCCAAGTCCTCCAAATGATCAATGCTACCAGTCCAGCTGAGCCGCTTCACACTACACCTCTTTTGTTTAGCCATGGAATGATATACGCTTTTGGAACGAGGAATCCAGACAATATAGATTAGAACGTCTTCATTATATCTAATGAGCCTATCAACACCACAAACATGCTAAGTTGTCTACAATGCGCCCCCAAAATATCTTGCGCCAAAATGCGGACCTTCGCTATATTTCCACGAAGTTGCATGAGCAACATCTCGACACAATTCACGCCCCACAAAGTTATGCAGTATACTCCTTCTGCAGGGACTTTGCGATGGTGTTGAGCTGGATGTTGCTGGTGCCCTCATAGATGGCGCCGATCTTGCTGTCCCTCCAGAACTTCTCGGCGAGGCCCTCCCGGACGAAGCCCATGCCGCCCATCCACTCGATGGCGAGGCCGGACACGCGGCCGGCGACCTGTGACGCGTACAGCTTGGCCATGGCGGCGTCCCGCACAAAGTCCTGCCCGGCCTCCTTCTTCCGCGACGCGTTGTAGACCAGGGCCCGGGCGGCCTGGATCTCGACGTAGCTCTGCGCGATCTGGTGCTGCATGCCCTGGAACTCGCCGACCAGCTGGCCGAATTGCCGGCGGTCGTTCCACACGTATTTGACGGCGTTCTCCCATGAGCCCAACGCCAGACCAGTCATCTGGGCGGCGATGCCGATTCTGCCCTCGTTTAGCAGTCCGATGGCATATTTGTATCCATCACCCTCCTTGCCGAGCAGGTTCTCCCTCGGGATCTCGACGTCGTCAAAGTTGATGGCACACGTGCTGCTGGCCTTGATGCCGAGCTTCTTCTCCTTCTTGGCGATGCTGAAACCCTTGGCGTCCTTCTCGACGATGAAGGCCGTGATGCCCTTGTAGCCCTTGCTGGGGTCGAGGTTGGCGAAGACGATGAAGAAGTTGGCCTCCATGCTGTTGGTGATCCACATCTTGCTGCCGCTGATCTTGTAGCCGTCGGCCGTCTTGGTGGCCTTGGTGGCGAGCGCGAAGGCATCGGACCCGGAGACGGGCTCGGACAGACAGAACGAGCCGACCGTGTTGGTGGCCAGCTTTGGTAGGAACCGCTTCTTGAGCTCGGTGCTTCCCCACTTGATGATGGCCGTGTTCACGAGGGTGTTGTGGACGTCCACCATGACCGAGACCGAGGGGTCGACCCGGGCCAGCTCCTCAATGCCCACAATGGCTGAGGTGAAGTTCATGCCGGCGCCGCCGTATTCCTCGGGGATCTCTACACCCATCAATCCCTGCTCGAACAGCTGCTCCACCAGCGTTGGGTCCATGGACTCGGCCTCGTCCATGTCGCGGACTTTGGGCAGAATGACGTCGTTGGCGAACTTGGAGACTGCTTCTTGCATGGCGGCCTCGGTCTCGGAGAGGTGCGAGATGGGGGTGGGAGGGATTTCAGAGATATCATGCAAACGACGGGGAGTCGAAGATAGACATCGTGATCTTGTGACACTATGTTAGCATGCTTTTCGCTGTTGGCCGTGTAAGTGTAGAGACTGGAGGGGAGTCGCATACTGGTGTGGCGCATTGCATGATCCGGCTATCCTCTGGACTCTAGGAGCTGGGGAAGAGGACAATCTAGTCATGACGGTCTGACTCCGCCGCAGCGCAGGACGGAGTGCTCTCGCGAACGAAGACATGGCGTTCACTAATAGCACGCACAGAGGTATAGGCAATCGCACTAGTAATAAGCACAATGCTGGGTGAGCAGAGAGGGCTCAGTGTAACTCGGGAGCCTTGGACGAGTCAGAGAGTTGGTCGTTGAGACAATGCAGAAGACAAGAATTGGGTTCCGACCGAGAGTAACAAACAAAAACAGAAGACTTCAAAGATTCAATGGCTGGCAGGAAAGAAAGAAAGCACAACCCGCCTCCTTCCCCAGACGGCACTCCGTCCATCTAACCGCATGCCACGGGCGATCTACCCCAAGGAGCCGAGGGAAACCGTGGGGCCCTTGGTTATGCTGACTCGTGGGGTGGCAGCTGGCCGTCAGCTCGCGCCAATCGAAGCTCTTGACAGCGGTTCTGGCATGTGAAGCGAATCGGTACGGATCCATACGGAGTAATTTAACTTACTTACACAGTACGGAGAGTGCGTGGACACACCGGAACAAATCAGCCGCCGACTTCTGGGCGATTCTCAGCCTCCAGATCAATGGCCCGTGCACCAAAAATGCAAGCAGCATTAGCTTGCATGCATTCATTATCGTAGCAGCATTTGGCAGTAGCAGCGGGCAGTAGCAGCATTAGCGGCCCTGGGGGAGAAAGAATACTCAGTAGTACTGCAATTCGTGAGCTCGCCCTCCTGGCTTCGAACAGCGCAACCCCAACAGCCTTGCCAGCCCAACGAACCATGGCCGCGCCGATCCTGCGATACCTGATGCCGTCTCTGGCACGGCGGCCAGCCATGCCGTCCATCGCCATCAAGAAGACGGCGACCGCCGCCCCTATCACACCACGATCCTTCTCGACGACGCCGACGCCTCAAGCGACCCTGAACCAGGTACTACAGGTACGCTCGCGTCCTCCCCCTCCCTCTCCCTCTCCATCTCCCTCTATCGCTCCCCCTCTCCGGTAGACCCCTTGAGAGCTGACCCGCCACCACGTGAAACAGAAGTGCCGCACGGGCAAGCGCGCTCGCCATCACACATCCCCGGCGCTGGCGGACACGCAGTGCCCGCAGCAGAAGGGCGTGTGCCTCAAGGTGGGCATCACGCGGCCCAAGAAGCCCAACTCGGGCGAGCGCAAGACGGCGCGTGTGCGCCTGAGCTCCGGCCGGCAGATCACCGCTTACATCCCCGGCGAGGGCCACAACATCCAGCAGCACAGCGTCGTGCTCGTCAGGGGCGGCCGCAGTCAGGATTGTCCCGGTGTGCGGTACCACCTGGTCCGAGGAGCATTGGACTTGGTGAGTGCCTCTTTAATTTTTATCTAATTTCTTTTTATAGTAAATCTTTTTGTTTTGTTCTATTTCTGGTTTACAAAGCCCATTCAGTGCATCTGGCTCGGAGACTCTGGTTGATTGATTCGCTAATGTATTTTCTACAGGGTGGTGTCGCCAACCGTATGTCAAGTCGAAGCAAGTATGGAACGAAGAAGCCCAAGAAGGCATCTGTGTCATAGGAAGCTCATTGAAATGAGCAGGCGGGTTACGGTATAGGGCACGATTCAGACAACCGCAATAGACCGCGGGCCCCTGGCCGTTTCGCATATGGTCTCCATACTTGGGAAATGACATTGTACACAATATTGTAGCATAAAAGTCTGGCTAAAGGCCTCGGCTTTCAATGGCGTAATCTTCAACGCAAATATGTACAAAAAATCCACAGAACTGTCTTCAAAGTCATTGCGAAATAAACCTATGACGCCGTGTCCACCCCCCATATTTGGCCATATCCCCCATTGAACCATGAGATGCATAACAAGAACTCATGAGGCTTGTGGTTTCAAAACGTTTTTTGGCCCTTCTTCTATTCATACCTAGTGATACAAACCGGAACTGATCTTAGTCTTGTTGGTTCTCAAAGCCCTCCGGCTTTTCCAAACCATTGACCTCGAAATATCTCGGTGTACCTGGTTTTCCGGCGTTAGCAAAGTGTGGAAAACTGTGACTAGCAAGCAATGGTCGAACTTACAAGAATAACCCTTCCAGTCAAAGTTGTCCTTGGGGTTGCAGTGGCACTTGAGATCAAGTCTCGTCTTCTCGCCAGTCGGACAGTGGGTGAAAGGCACATGGTAGTAAGCGATGTCGTTGAAGAAGTGCAGTTCCTCCTTCTTCAGTAACAAGCTGGCTGCGATCGAGTGGACGGGAGCGTCGCCCCACCGCTCGTAGAAGAAACCACCGTCCTTGTCCAGAGACTCGAAGTAATCGACGTAAGCCTTGGATCGCAGCCATTCCAGGTTGCCCACCTCGAAGTTAGACCACTAGATCTTCTGTCAGTATATCGGTCAAGTCATTTCCATGCAAGATACGTACGAAATGGCAGTGGTTGTAGGTTTCGCCACCGTCGTCGCTGAGGAAGCCCATGGAGTTGCCTTCGGCGATGTGCTCGGGGTGGTTCTTGATGAACTTCTTGGTGCTGTCCCAGAGAGTAGGAATGGTCTCGACGTATTCGTACAAGCTGAGCACGAAACTGTACTTCTTCTTGTTCTCGGCCATGTAGCGGAAAGGGTCGTAGTGGACGTCGCAAAAGAGCTCGACACTGGGCTCGACACGCCAGTACCACTCGTAGTTCATCATCAGGGGCTGGCGGAAGAAGAATCCAGACTCGAAGCGGCACATGTGGCGGTAGCTGACCGAGTCGCCGTAGATGATCTTTCGCTGGGCCATGTCCTCGCGAACCTTCTTGGCCTTGTCCTGGTCAATCCACTCGGGGAAGGACCAGTGCTCCTTGGGAATCTCGCCGTAGTGAGTCTTGCCGGAAACGAGCGAGGCGGTGACCTTCTTGAAAGTAGCATCGAAAGGCTTATCGTTCAGGAAGACCCAATCGTAGTTGTATCGGCGGTTGAAGCGATCCTCGATCTGACGAATGGAACGCGCAATCTCCCAGACGTCGCTGTTCCTTGCGAGAGTGACAAATGTAGCGTTCATGCGGGGCCCGGGAGCGGTGCCCAGGAGATTGTCCCAGCCTGCATCGGCGGGAGACATGGCCATGGGAGCTTCGGCGAGATCTGAGTGCGAGGTGGACGGAGTACCAGGGCTGCTGCCAATGGGGCCGCCGGTCGAGTCGGTTAGCTTTCCATCGCTGCTGCTTCCACTGCCAGACCCTTTGCCGCCATTGACTGGCGAACCCTTGCCAGTATTGAAGCTGTCTGGTAGTACTGCGCTATCGTACGAAGAGTGGGAAACAAAGTAGATAACGGCGAGAAACTGAGAGCTTGGGGGTTAGATTTCATTTGGTCGTAGGTGAGATAGCCGCATATAGCTTATGGGCGATGAATGAACTTACGAAAAAGGCGAACAGGATGTAGCGCACAATGCGCGCACTGCCGGCCGCCATCTTATCGTATTCTTGTCAGAATACCGAACCGATTGATGGTTGTGAGGAAAAGCGGCAACCAAAATGAAAGCCAGACAAGAAGTCAAGGTTTCATCCAGAGGCTGCCAGAGATGGGGTGCAGTGCTGGGGGGAAAAGATGAACCCGTGTCGTATTCTAATGGGCGGTGCTACTGTAAGCTAGTTCCGCGTGTCGTAAAAAGTAAAGTCCCTGAAGGGTACCAGACAAGTAATAGGGGCGGGGGGGCCCACGGTTGTGCGTGCCTTGATACGAGTACAAAGGGGGCACTTTTAATTCATGGCGTTTCGTAAAAGAGAGATTAAAGTAGACTAACTTAGGGGGTCACTACGCATGGAAGATCGATTGACAAAGGTTGAACTTGAACTGGCAGGAAGGGAACGTGAGAAGAGGGAATAGATTGGAGGAAAGCTGAGACGGATGTTTTTGATTTGTTTATCAACGGTCTCAACCTTATTCTAGAGACGCGAACAAGTTCGCAAGTTTCCCAGGTCCGCAGCGAAGGCGAGAGAGATCGTCCGCGCGTCAATCTGGCCCAGACCTTTATTTACCTATTTTCTTTTATCCTTTTTTATCGCGGCGCTTTTTCGAGGACAGCGAACAGAGAAGGTCCAGCTGCTGCCAATGCAATCTACAAGGACCACAGGGGGGCACTGTCCAGGGGTACTGTCCAGGGGTTTCGGCTCCCAAAAGGACAACCTGGAGAGATTTTCTACGGCGATGCCAGATAAGGTCTAGCTGCCGTACTCAGAGAGCGACGCAGCACCAGCGGCTCTCCAAGGGCAGATCCCCGTGTTTCTTGGCATTCGTGCAGCCATGTTCCAGAATCTTGTCAAGAAGCCTTTCCTCTTGCATTCGTGAGCCTTTTCTCAAATCTGGGAGGCCTTTTTCCGACTCAGCTCGTCACTGTCTGTTTGCATTCCGAATTATCTCCCTCAACCATTGACCCATTTGCTTTGAATTGGCTACATTAGCAAATCTCCATTCGAGCTCCACGTCCATCATGTTATACCTTTTCCTGGCTGTCCAATGAATGTGCCGTTATCTCCATTATTCTCTGCGGTGGCTTACGTGGGACCGCGTCTTGGTGTGTCTAGCGTGGATACAGCTGGTTCGTGGCATTGTAATTTACATGCGGTAGTAAAACTACAGCTGCAGCTCTGGCAGCTTTGCCTCTAGTTTATTCTAGTTAGTGAGGGGGTTAGTGATAGCTGCTACCGTCCCTATATAATTCAATTCAATCATCTAGGTCATGTATTATTGCTTGCTGCCGGGTACCTGAGAGGGACATCTTGAGCAGTCTCTCCCCCAGTGCACGGAAGCCCGTGTCTAAATGCCATAAAACAGTAAACGTTAGATAAGGAAGAGAGCCAAATAATAAATTCTCGTGTCGCGCACGCCGAGAGCACTTGGCGTGTACCCGAGAACTTAATTGGCCCCTTTGAGACAAAGGCTTTACAAATACTAAATACAATGGATCTGAGAAGGACCTCAAATTGGCCACGATGCATCCGTAGTTATACATACCTATCCCTCAAATCTTGATTGTTGTGCTGTTTTCCCATCAACCGTTCAAAGCCTGGCGTAGTCTAGATGACTGGGTTCTTTGAAGGATTCATTCTTTCATGAGCGCAAATGTGTTTAGAGGAGAGCTGGTGACGGTAGTTGTTCAACCAGTCTGCGAAGCTATATCCCGGGACTAATACCCAATTTGTCATCGGTTAGTATGTAAGGCTTTTCTTTGACTATACATTTGAGCTCTGGGGCCAGGGCCCCAAGCGTCTTCACGCCGACTGTGTACTGACTATGTATCTGCTTGCAGAGGGCGCTGGGATTGCAGCGGTGGGGAGATTCTAAAAGCGCGGCTGCTCAAGTCTTATCGTTACGTATCGACGGCAGCTGATTGTAGATGATCTGCTCTGACCAGTAGCTAAGTTGACAGCCCAAGAGGCGAGTGGGCGCTCTGACCATGCAGAGAACGCCAGCTTATGCTAGCGCTGGGATCCCCAATCTCAGAGTCTCACAAGTCTCGGAGTCATGCGGCAAAGGATAAACCCTCAGACCGGCGGCTCTCAATCCCCCAATGATGGAGTTGACCTTCACAGCGCCTCAATAAACCACCACTGATCCGTGCGCGAGCTGTTGACATCGCTTTGCGGTCGGTTCGTCTCAACTTCGGGATTCCTTTCGCCAGCTATAGATATCCCTCTGAACAGGATCTCGACAACTAGGCGCTCTCACTCGCATTCTTGCATTCCTGTCATTTCCCGTGTCTCTCACAAATCCCCTTTGTCCCAAGCTCGAGTTGCGACAATCGGCGACTCTTCGACCCAAGTTCTCGTGCTGTCGTCGCATCATGATTCAGGATCTTGACGACACATCACCCGAGCTTACTTCCTTTTCTTAGCTGTAAGTATACGAGAGCAGCTTCACATCCTCCCTTCCCATCACAGCTTGTCTGTCTCCCATCGATATATACTGCAAGCGAGGAGCAGACACTGGCTCGTCACATCCTGGTTACCCAGTTGCCCCACGTCCTTTTTGGATGACATCGCCTTTTTGCGATCAGTTGGGAACCAGAGCCAGCACCTGAACATCCACCTTACCTAGAGCTCTACAGCTTGTAGTTTTTCTGTATCACTTCAACAACACCAACGATAGCCTGTCTTCTTGTTTCCCAATCACTTGTTGCAAGTCCGACATCTTGCTACTAATTTTGGTTCCCCTTCGATCCCCTGTCTGGTCGCCGCCCCACCTTCCAAATATTCCCTTCAATATAAAATCACGATTTCCTCACTTCTTCCAAGCTGCACAGGTTGACCTCACCCGTACTAATTGTTGAATGCAGTTTCTCGAAACGACAAAACTTATAAAAAAAAAAAAAAACCTCGATTGCTTTTCAAGCTGTTTGAACCAACTACCAATTCATCTACCATGTCAGGCCATAATGCGGCCGCGCCAGGCTTTGGCCAGACGCACGATCCGTTCGCCGATCTTTCCAAGTACGACGAGGAATTGGAAGCACTGAACTTCGAGGACGGCTATGATGGACTGGGAGACCAGCTTGACGAGACAGATGATGCCTTCAACGACGACACCTTTGGCGAAGGAGGAGGAGGTGGTGGCGGCGGCGGCGGCGGCGGCGGCGGCGGTGGTGGTATCGGTGACGCTTTCTCATCAGGACCAGTTGGAAAAGATTTCGACTTCTTTGGTGCCACCTCCAAGGTTACGAATGCTATGGAAGAGGAGCATGCTCGATTCAGTCGCCAGCAGCCCACCTCCAGAGTTGCCCCTCAGCCCAACTTTGGACCTGCGATGAGCGGTTATCAGGGTGCTGGATCCCAGGGTGGCTATCAAGGTGGTTACCAGGGCTACCAGCCATACCCATCGCAACCTGTTGCATCGAGACCTGCCCGAAGTGGTTATGAAAAGTACCAAGAGCCGGAACCCGAACTTCAAGTCGATGCTTCTATCTGGGGAACTGCACCCAAGAGGGCTACACCTGCAGCTCAGCCTGTCCTACCGGTTGCCGCTAGCCGCAAGATGATGAGCTTGGAAGAGGTCGAAGCAGCCATGCGCGCTAGTTCTTCTTCTCAGCCCGTCGCCGCTCACCCTGTCCAGCAGCCCCTTCAGCATCAGTACCACCCTCAACAACTACAACAACAGTATCAACAGCATCCTCGTCAAGAGTCGGCCGATCTACGTTACGCTCAACCCGAACTTCAGCAACAGAGTTTCCACTCGCCTGAAGTTCGTCAGCCGGTGCAGCCACAGGTTGGTGCTACTCACGGTCACCCCATCAAGATCCTCCAACGTGAACGCCCTTCTTCCCAGCACAACGTCCCGAACGTTCCGAGCCCATTGTCACAGCATCACCAACCGCAAGCCCAAGTCCAGCCACCTGTGAATGCTACGCCCCAGATCCTACAGAATCCCAACCGGGGCCAACCTGCACACCGTTCCGGAAACTCGTTCTCGCGTGGCCATGGCCCGGCTGCACCTGCTGCGCCTGCTGGTCAGCTGGGGAATCTGTCAGATTCGGAGAAGGCAGCGTTCTTGGAAGCTGAGGCTCGACGCGCCAAGCGCAACCACAAGATCCATATGTTGTCTCGCGACAACGGTCTGATGACGCCTCATGATAAGAGCTTCATTACTCGAATCCAGCTTCAGCAACTCGTATCTGCCATTGGCGACCCTGCCGATGCCGGTACTGATGCCGCTCTGGGTGAGGACTTTTACTACCAAGTTCACAGCTCTCTAAAGGCTGCCACTAGACCCAACCCTGACCAACCCCTCAACAATTTTGCCCAAACCTATCTTTTCCAGACCGGCAACCGACACGGTGGTATGAGACGACATGGCCGCGGTCCAGAGAATCATGTTCAGCGCATGGAGCAGCAGGTTCAGCGTGCTGTGGAAGCCGCCAAGAACAAGCCCAAGAACAAGCAGCTAGTCATTGAGGGTAGTCTGGGCAAGATCTCCTTCAGCAACGCCAAGACCCCGAAGCCTCTGCTGAACATCAAGCGTACTGAGAGCAGCGGCGATACCAGACCTGCAAGCGCTCGTGTTAGTGTCAACGATCGCAAGGTGGCCCTGCGTGCCATCGAGGATGTCTACAGCATCTTGATGAATATGGAGGACCACGAGCGCACAATGCCGCCCCCTTCGCCCAACCCCAGCCCGGAGCTCGTCCAGCAGCAAGCGGAGTGGCAAGGTATTGCAGAAAAGCTCAACAACCGGCTTTGGGATGCTCTCAAGGTCCACGAGCAGATCGACCCCCGACAAGTCCACCCATTCATTACCTTCCTATCGTATCCCAAGGGCAAGAAGGCTATTCCTCGTGCTTTCCGCCAACTCAGCCATGAGCAGCGAACAACAATTCTTACATTGATCATTGTCCACCTCGATCAATTGGACGTTGTCCAAGGCGCACAAGTCCAATCTGGAGAGCCAATCAATCTGCCCGCCAGCGTTCGCGAGAGTATCGAAATCTTCTTGATGGCTGTCATGCCTAATCTCTTCAATCTACTTGCCGACGCTGCTCTGGAGATCGTCACTGCCGTTCTCGGTATCATTATCCAACGACTCAACATTGACACCATTGCTCGCACCCGCATTGGTGTCTCTATCCTGACCATGATTCTGAGTCGTGCTGAGATTATCAAACAGAGTGGCCTCGCTAATGAGCAAATGTGGCAACAATGGTGAGTGGTTTCTTACGGTTATGATTTGGTCAGGCAACTAACATGTCCTCTAGGGTCGGCACCTTTAATGGCTTCTTCAACCTCCTTGAGCCGACTCTACCCAACATTTTCCCGGGCACCGTCACATCGGGAGAGGACATCTACGTCTGGCAGTTCTTGGCCGCCATCGGTATCGGCGCCAGCCCTGAAGAGCAGCAACGACTTGTCCTTGCTGTCAAGGATCGTGTTATGGATACTGTTGCTATATCCAAGACCCTGCCAGCTGATATGGCCAAGCAGCGCCTGGACAATGTGAACTTGTTCATGCGCTCCATCGGCTTGGATGTTGAGCTTTTGCAATAAAGGAGCTCCGTAATAGCAAAATTGACTACATGGTCTTTGATAGGCTAATACGAGACACATGGTCTTTGAGAAGCCAATACAAGACATGTTCGAATACAGGAGTGGCCGTGAAGGTGGGTTGGGATAGCTACGGGATATGTGGTGGAGACGAATGAATGCCATCGATCTTAGGGAGACACGAGGAGGGCGTTCACACAAGTTCGCACCATGTGTCAAACAACGTGCTACCTGACATTATGCCTTTGCAATCGCGGCACTGAAGCTTTACGGATATTCCGACACATTGCTTCGTGTATCGCACTATGCATGGCCCTACCATGCCGCTGTCACCTGGCATATGACTGGGCGGTAGTGGTGCCACGAACGAGATTTGACGGGTGATGGTCTTGGGTATGGGGGAATCTGATATACCCCTCGAGAGACGATGTGACGTCACGAAGCATGTTATTATAGCAGTCAATTTCAGACAGAAAAATGATGAAAAGCGGCGTGAGAGCGCATGAACAATGCTTCCTTTTCAGACAACCTAATGCTTGCCTTCGAAACGCCTATCTTGGTGCAGTATGTGAACGCCTAGCAATGCAACCTGTTCTCTAACAACTAACCCCAAGCCTGGGTCAACAACTCCGAAACCGTCAATGCCATAACCGAGTGAGGCGCAACAGTGGTATTCGCCATGAAATCGACCTCCAAACAAAGTCAAGAAGAGTGCCTGAAGGAACACGCGTCTGCCCCTACTTAGTCAATCTCCATGACGGACTTGGCGGGCGTCTTTCCCTTGGCGGCAGGAGCTCTCCTCGCAGCTGTCGTGCCGCTACCACTTGCAGTAGCGACAGCACCGGCAGTCGCCTTGCCTCTGCCCCTGGCTGTTGCGGCCGCCGCGGACTTCTTGCCATCAGGATCCTCCTTCTTGACCTCCTCGACCACGTCCCCGGGCTTGATGCCGGGCAGTGCCGTGTTTCCGTACCCCTCCAGGACGCCCTCCTTGTCCTTGCCCGCGACGCCGCGCAGGTAGTCGTCCTCGTGCCAGCGCGTCTGGAGCCGCGTGGCCTTGGCCTGAAGGTCCTGCTTCTCGTCCTCGTCTAGCTTCACGTCGGCGGCCTTGCCCTTGCCCTTGAGGTCCTGCTGGAACTCGGGAGACCGGTAGATGAGCGTCTTCTGGTACAGCTCCCAGGCCTCGTCCCTGTCGTCCTCGACATACTTGAGCCTCTGCCAGTGCTCCACCTGCACCTGCCGTAGCCGGTCCGCCATGGTCTCCACCTGCACCTCGCCGCCGCCACCCGTCGACTTGATCGTCATGGTGATGGCCTTGGGCGCGGGCGCGGGCCCCGCAGGTGCTGCCGGTCCGTTGCCTCCCATGCCACCGGGTCCGCCGCCGCCAGGCCCCTCACGCGGGCGCGTGAGCCGCTCCTGCTCCGTCGTGGCGTCCAGGTGGTGCAGCTGGGGTCTCAGCTGGATCTCGGACTGCGCGGGGGTCAGGTGTAGGTTGCCGCCCTTGAAGACGCCGACCATCCACCGGCACTCGTTGTCGCCGAACTCGGCGGCGTTGCGGCCGACGTACTGGCCGCCCAGGGTCTGCGTGCGGAGCACCTGGTCGCGCCGCACGGCCTCGGTCCAGTCGTAGGTATCGCGGTCCTCCTCCTTCCTGGGACCACCTCCCCTGGCGGCGCGGGGGGCGGGCACGCCCACTCCGAAGCCGCCGGCGAGGCCGTGTGAGCCGCCGTTCTTCTGGTGCATGGAGCGGTGCAGGGACTGGCCCCAGCGCATGCCCTTGTCGCGGTCGTAGGAGCCGTCGTGGTAGCTGAGGGGCACGTCGACCTCGATCATGCCCGAGGAGGGCTTGACGCGCACCTCGGCCAGCGTGCCGTAGGCGTCCCTCTGGGGGCCCTGCTTGTTGGGGTGCTGCAGGATCAGGATCTTGCGCGTGCTCGTGGGCGGCGGGTTTGTGAACACGGCGTACGACGACACGATGGGGTCCGGGTCGTTGGGGTCGACGGGGTCGACGGGGATCGTCTCCGAGGAGTTGCTCGTGACTGCCTCAGCGTCGGCGGCGGCTGGGGGCGTGTCGAGGTCCATTCTTATGTTTGTGTGAAGGTGGTCGATATGTGGAAAAGTAAAAGAGTGGAAAGGGATGCTCGTGAGTCAATGAGGGAATCGCAACTTCAAACAGTTGTTTGTTGGAGTTGCAAGCTGCCATGTCCGGTCAAATTTTAGCGGGGTCGTCCCCCCAGCTTATCGCTGAACGTGGGGCTTATCAGATCAAGGGTCAGTGTAGATCATTGCCCATCTCATCAAGATATAATCGACGTTCGGGCTTCAAACTAGAAGACACGGAATGCATTTCGTGTTATCATCAGATAACTCACGCCGTATGACATGAAGTCGCTTTCTTCCCAGCCCGTCAGTTACTATATCACTGATATGACTGATACCACCAGTAACTATGCGTGTGCAAAAGCAGAGCCACGCCTGAAACCATAGATGGGTGCGTATGGCCGTAAGCATTTGTTGGCTATCGAACCGCTATGCTTTGTGCTGTGTCTGCTCGTAGGGGACAGGTCTTAGGCGGCGGCAGGCCCCTGTTGCGTTGCATTGCGCCTTGTATGCAAGGCACTGCAGCTCAATTGGCCTCGTACTCCGTATTGAATATGTAGTGGGTCATGATCTTTGGTAATCATATCTTTCGGCTCAGCCCCCTCATTCCCACATGTCGTCCCCCCTGGGCTAGATCGTATAGTCGTATTATAAAGCACTTCGCCTGATACAGTCCGGCATGCAGAAACTCAGCAAGGTGCTAGGATGCGCATTGCAAGCTAACCCCCGTATCTAGCTCTCGACGCCTTGAGACGAGCCAGCCCATTCATGCTGCATCCAAAGTGACTAGCCGATCAGATTTGTCTGCTCGTTTGACATTCTATCACAGCACTGAAGTCCTCAGACATTGGATTTATGAATGGAAAGGTCATTAGTTTAGTATAATCCTAATACAACACTTTGTTTTGTGCTGATTCATGTTAATTACACGATATTCAAAGAAGTTGAACGAGGAAAGGAGTCTAGGAGTCAGACATGCTGTGAACATTTAGATTAGGTGGTGACCGCCCCTTCTGGCAATTTTCGGGTGATCAAACAGCCATGAAGATCAACGCTCGCCCTGGAGGACCTGCCTAGAGATTATACGATACTTCAATTTGACTTCATCGTAATTTATCATCGAATGAGAAAGAGTGCCTTTGGTGCGTATCACAATTCTCCGCTTGAGTGTATAATTGGACCTATCAGTGAGGGGAACAAATCAACTCAAATTGGCCACAATACATGGATTTGTCCTCTACAATTTCAGCACATAAACGCTTACGCTCAATTGAAATCCCCCACCTCAAATACCGTCCCTCATATTGTGTTGGGTGCCCCTTCAAAGATATGACAACGAAATACCGGAAAGCCCGTTGTGCCTAAACTGTGACCCCGTATCGTGCTTTGGCTAGGCTCTGACTGATTTCTGCAATCTAGCAATCTAAACGAAATCACACAATCTCATTGTTTTGTCCGGCTTTACGCTGGGTCTTGAATTTCCTCAACAAGCCCGGTTCCAAGTTCATCGCAATAAGTCTCAAGCCATTCGTACAGGGTACTTCATCACGAAGCAGTGCGCCAATCTCACTCGGATGCTTCCAATGTAGGTAGGCCACCGCGAGGATCATGAGGGCAGGGTCGAAGACATAGAAGAGCGCCTCTGTACTTTGGAGATAGCCCGAGCGTCCTTCTATGAATTCAATGGCGCGGAACAGGGACCGTATCATGACAAGAACTGCCACAATATAGAGCGTGACAAGGTAGCTCTGCCACCGAACTTCTGGTCGTTCAGCAGCGGCCGTGGGAGAGATCCGCATCTTTCGGTGAAATATGACGGAAACAACGACGAAGAACAAGAACCAAAGGAGTTGAAGGATCAGGCTAGCAATTACCAGGCCATTGCCAACGTTGTATAGGCTCGGGAATGCCCTAGATCCCCCCATGAGGCCACCAGCTACGATGCCGCTATTAGTTGCTGTCAACTTATGGTCCAGAACCAGATTCACATACCTCCGCACTGCATGAAAAGGCAGACGAGATCGCCAGTCACAAAAGTTTTCGTGATTTTGCGCTGTTTGATCCAAACATGCGAGTCCCCGTCCGTCACGGCGACGATCTTTCCCAATATCACATACACCGAGGCTGAGAACAGGGCTGGACTCAAGAGAATGAAGACAGTCTGGATGATGTACGGCATCATTTTCCAGCAGCCTGCCTCCTCACTCGACGAGCTTGCCCGGGCTGCGAAGCCAATAAACTCAGCTGCGAGCGTACTATGTCAGCCATGTCGCCAACCAAGCCCACCCGGTGCACTTGGTGTTAGACCACACGGAATAGCTTACTAAAACAACCCGCAACCAAAGCTCCTAGAAACCATGATCGCGTACGATACATTTGCCAAGAATGTAGAAGCGCCGAAATCAGGAACAAGATGCAGAAAAGAATAGCAGCGGCTTTCGATGGAACATATCGATAGAAGGTAAACGAGGAAGTTCGCCATTCCGGGTTACAAAGCGCGGCTGCCGCCATTTGGAAAGCGTTATTATTGATATCTTGTCGTCCTCGTCCTCGTCCTCGATGCTGCTGTCGTCAGTCGTCGCGGATGCGAGAAGGGATGTGGTAAATGGAAGATACGATGACAAATTGATGCCATAGGGGAGGGTCTTTGGAAGGGGATTAGATTTGTTCGAATAAAATATGGAGGCACTTAAGGCGTATATGTAGCACATTAATTTTACGAGACCTGGAGCATCCCTGTCCGGTCATTGGTCTTGTTGAGAGGCCGTCGGTAAAAACTAAGACCCAGTAACCGAATCTATTCTCGTAAAAGATATCGAGGGTCATGTAGGTAGGGCAGTATAGACTTTGCTCTGATTCGTCCGGATAAACCAGTCTCTGATTGGCCATCAATACGCGTGTTGCGTATAGCTCAGACCCACTTGTCAGACTAGTCGGCTTGTGCTATACGCTATTAGCGCTAATGTAAGGCTGCAGTTATATGGTAAGAGGACTGGGAAAGAAAGTACGGGTCGAAAGTAGGGGCGCTTTGTCTTGTCAATTCCGTACAAAACCATTAATACATCTAACACGGGCCATTCCTCTGTGGACTGCTGCAGCAAAACTGGTGCGTACCATTAGGAGACCTATCTCTGGTCGAAAATTAGCAGATTAGTAATGTGAGCTGGGGACGGCTTCTCGACTGGCCTTGAGAAGTAGTTGCGCATCAATTATATTTTCTGCATATATAATCCGGTCTTAATTTGGCGAAGAACTTGGTTGCATAAATTAGCAAGATACAGACAGGCAGTGTTTTGGCTACCCTGTTCGATCGTATCGCCGGGCGTATCTGTTAGCGTATTTTCTTCGCCTGAGCGAGGCCACGCCGTTTGATGCGATTCAGGTACGGTTTACGGGGTCCTATACCAACCGAGTCCATGTCAAGTAATTTCCTTGAAGAGATCCACGGACAGGCGAGCCGCCACTGGCAAGTGGATTTCTCGCCTCATTTGGATCTGCCGTGTCCGCTATAATTCGAGATGGATAATGTAATTGTCACTAGGCTTTTGGGCTCTTGTCAGACTACAACATTCAAAGCTCGGATATATAAGTCCTCACAAAGTATTTAACTGTTGAAGAAAAGTTTCCCTCATCACTGGAGTCATTGATTTCAGCACTTCTCCCCTCTCGTTATCACTAACTGCATATCTGCGCACAATACTGAAAATGTGTGCCGCATTAGTTGCTGCTTCAGCCTGTGCGAGTGCGACTTTCACATACCCTTCCCTTTTGGGCGCCGAGTTTCTCTCAATCACGGCAAACTTGGTCCAGAACCTGACTCGAGAGGTCTCTGATCAACTGTATTACAACCACCCATCGATCTCACTGAAAGGGGTCAAGTATTGCAACGTCACCGTAACGTATACTCATCCTGGTCAGAATGACACCATCAACGTCGAGAACTGGCTGCCCATGGACACCTGGAACAAACGCCTGATGGCGGTAGGGGGAGGTGGATACATTGCTGGTAGATTCGCTCTTTCCTACGCCGCTATGGCTGGGGCCATTGGAGAGGGTTATGCGGCGACGTCGTCCGATGCAGGCCTTCCCGCCAATGCGTACAGTCCCGATGAGTGGGCTCAAGTCAGCCCCGGGAACCCAAACCTCTATCTTCTCCAGGATGTGGCTTCTGTAGCCTTAAATGATCAGGTACGTGGTGGTGTGTGGCATGGCAGATGATAACTAGCAAAACTGACACAGCACAGGCAGTCATCAGCAAGTCCGTAATTAACGATTTCTACGGTCAGCCCCCGTCCTTCTCCTACTGGAGTGGATGCTCTCAAGGCGGCCGCCAGGGAATGACGCTGGCACAGAGATACCCCGATGCTTATGATGGCATTGCCGCTGCAGCCCCGGCCTTTAATTGGGCCCAGTTTATTCCTGCCGCAGCTTGGGCTCAAGTCATGATGGATCTGCTGGACACCTTTCCCTTTCCATGCGAGCTGAACGCTATCACGGATGCTGCCGTCGCAGCATGCGATGCTTTGGACGGGATAACCGATGGTCTGGTAAGCGATGCGGCCTCTTGCAATTTTGACCCTTTCAGTGTGGTTGGGCAGCCAATCAATTGTACCGACGCGGGAGCTGTTATGAACATTAGTAAAGGAGCAGCCACTATCGCCAATCTTACTTGGACAGGCCCAAGATCATCCGACGGTGAATTCCTCTGGTATGGACCTTACTCCCAGGCCCGACTTACTGGTGCAGCGGAAGCTTCGGGTACCACCTCTGACTTGGGATATGCTATGACCAGCTGTACCAACGGTACCTGTTATGGTGTTCCGACCGGTCTTGGCGAGTCATGGCTCAAGTATTGGGTCGAAAAAGACCCGAATTGGAACTACACCGCCATAACATCTGCGGATGAGTTTGCCAAATTGTTTCACGAGTCTGTGAGGCAGTTCGATTCTGTTATTGGCACATCTGATGCCGACCTCCGAGCTTTCCAAGCTGAGGGTGGAAAGATGATTACCTATCATGGACTTGTAAGCTACACTCGCCACCATGCAGAACCAGTTGTACTAATGAGCAAAGGCTGATGGTCTTATTCCCACTGGCGGCACCGTGGACTACTACGACCGGGTGTTGAAGGTGACGCCTAACGCACAAGACTACTTCCGCTTCTTTGAAGTCCCTGGCCTTGCTCACTGCTCAGGAGGCAGTGGTGGACAGCCTACGGCCACGTTTCAAGCATTGGTGGACTGGGTTGAGAATGGAATTGTCCCCGAAACACTCCCAATCAGCTTCAATGACACGGCGGGCGTCTTGAACACGCGGATTCTCTGCCCATATCCCGAAAAGGTGCAGCTTAAGTCGAACTGTACAACAACCACAAGCCCCGAATGCTTCGAATGCGCATAAACTCATACTTTCAAGAGTTGTATTTCTATGTATAACGGGCATATGCAACGTGTTTCGTTTTCTTTTCTTTTCGGATGTGTGGCAGAAAGGGGGAACCTGGTTTTTTTTTTTTTTCAAAAGTATGGCACAGAGATGCGTCCAGATTGTCGAGTCATGTCAGGTTAGCAGAAAGTTGGCACACTTTTGCTACCAAGAGCCAATCGAACCCGTACAACGACCCGGCCGACCTCCACCTTAGAGGCACTTATCGAATTGATATGCTCGTAGGCAATGGTGATTGATCTCTATTGTAATACAACCTGAGATAGGGTACGATATTTAGATGGAATATATTGATGATACTTCCAAAGTCCGTATTCGTCATGTGAGGAGCTCATTCGACATGAATTATGTAATTCCGTTCCCTGTAAGATAATGACAATCCGCCATAGGTGGCCAGGCTTAGAGTCGGTTAAGCAGGCTCGGGATACTTATTGATAGTACCGATGTGAAGACCTGTACAGGGATGAGTCCTCAATCACGGAAAATCACAGGTCAAGCATGCCGGGTTGATGATGCACCACGGTGTGCTTATTGACTTTATTGCCAGAAATTTTGTTTGGGGACTGTCTAGGAAAGTAAATACCCTGGTCTTGTCAATCAACGAAGATTGATTGAACAGTCTCAATCACAACTGCTGAAGAAAGAGGCCTCGAGTCATTATTTGAGCCTTGCGACTCCGCGTGGTCCATTGCACAAGAATTGACGATGGCGTTTACCGGCACAGTAATGCATGCTCTGGATTGTTGCTAAGCCCATTCAGTCGTGATAGTCTTCTAGAACAGTTTACTGAGCGGTGAAAGGGTGGCATCAGAAAGTTTACGAACGGGACTGGGTAAGAGCCCTGATGTCTTGATGGCAATGGGAAATCTTGCACTTATCGAGCCAGATATGGAGAGATACGACGAAGCAGAGCGGATGTAGCAATAGGTACTAGAAAGTAGGAAGAAGCTAGGAGGAGATGACAGACCTTACGTGTTGACGGTGATTGGAAATCTAGCACTTAACAAGCGATCCCCTGGGAAGGTGGGTGAGGGATAGCGGATGGAAGAAGAAGTATTGGAAAGCTGGAAGAAGCTGGCAGGAGACGACAACCCCATAATAGCTACCGGTCAACGACAACAACATAAAAACTCTTAGTCAAATAGGAAGGCACCATGTGCTCATTGCTGCCCTACCACATGAGCAGTATGGGCTTGTCTCCGCTGCAACTGTCGCTAGGGACCTGGTACGCAGTTATCCTGACGTGAGGATCCAGATCATGGTTACAATTGGTGGCGGTGCACCAAATCCGAAAGACGACATCCGCTTGGGCGACATCCTAGTTAGCCCTCTTGGTTATTTCATGGAGAGCACGTGCTTGAAATATCAATGCTGGCCACTACCGCAAATCAACGTGTTCTAGATTGGTCCAGTAGTATGAAAGGCAAGCTCCCTCAAACCTTGGCCAAGGAGGTGGCTGCGTTGGTTAGTTGTGCTGACCATCGCCGCCAATGATGGATGGACGCCGGTGGATATTCCAGGCAGAGGCAATATCAAATTTCTTCTCCTTTCCTAGTCAAAGCCAACAAGAGCACATATGCCTTATGCTTCTAGTCGAGGTTTCGAGCTAAGTAAACGTCAACTAAATGGGCGACAGAGGAGCAATATGAGCATTGTTTCTCAAGCGATAACAGAATAGTCTAAAATAGAAAGTATTACACATGTATAGGTGGAAGCCACTTATCATGTGTTTTGTAAAGCGAAATAGCTCTGTAATTAATTGACCAGTACTGATATGCGAAACTTAGATCACTATCGCAGCATTTCAAAAAGTCCCAACTAGGACTTTAGTCCGAGAGGTCCCAATATCGGATGCAATTTGATCGGGACGTCATCCGACAGCCCAAGCGGAGCCTCATCGTCCACGTTGACGGGGAACATCCAAAAGCCAAACGCAGCCTCGGTGCGGCCTGGCGGCCATACCCTGGGCGGCTTGTCCATCGCGGCCCCCGACAGCCTGGCCAGCATCTGTAGATCTCTACGCCAGCGTTCCATCTCCTTCTCTAGTGGCCGCTCGGCGCCATTGCGACCGGAGACCTTGTCCGCGGCGCGTGGGGGGTCGATGGCGAGCAGGAAGCGGTATTTCAAGTCCCTGGTATGACGGACGCCCGTGTTCCTGAGGATGCGGCGCCACGACTGAATGGTATCGCGGGCATCCTTTGCTACGATTACCACCCGCTTGATGTTCTCGGCGATCGGCCTGGGTCGGGTCGTATGCGCTAAAGACTGGCTCCCTCGTCATAATGGGAAAGCCAGCGTCAAAATGAACCCCGCCGCCTTGGATCCCGCTGAGATGCCCTGCATTTGTGCGGCCGCCAGTCGGCAGAGCAACCCAGAAGACCTCCCGCAGTTGCGATAGGGTTTCGAGATAGGCTGTTCTTGCTCGAGGGTCTAGTCGCTCCAGCTTCAGGGTAAGCCAGTGGTTAAAATTCAGGTTTTATCGATCGACCGCAAGATTCAAAAGCTTGATGTCTTGTATTATGCTTTGAGATCGTGTAGAAAAGTCCACCAGTGTACGGTGGACGGATATGGGCGGGATTAGTCTGGATGCAAAAAGTCGTACTCGGGGTTAAAATAAAGCACGGAGTTCTTCATCTTGTTGCCGTCCGCTTGTTCAAATTGGCAAGGAATATGGATGCAATAAAAACAAAGTGCCTCAAATCGAACCTCGCTGTTCACTCGCAGCAGCTTACTATAGATGTGGTAGCCAGCGGTGGATGCGCAATAACCGCTGCTGGTGAACGGCTTTCCGAGTTTGTTCTTGAGTGCATATCGAGTGTACGCATTTAAATGCTGCTCCGCAGCTGGCTCGAACTTTACTCGAACCAGTCGATTACGCTACAGAGCTTGGCGCCAAACCTGCACGCGAACTTCTGTTGGAAAACAGGAATATTGAGAGAATCGCTCTTGAGGTGGACTTATGGAGTTAGAAAGGTTGTAGATAGATTGATGATTCTTTGAGGTCATATTGTCATCTTGCTAGCTGGTTGGAGTATGATGTGAAATACTTTATATAGTCGGCTAACAAAGATCTAGCTGGTGACGAGGTTGTTTATATGGTTGTCTGAACTGGGTTTAGTGGTAGGATGGATGGTACTGACGCAATTGTCATCTATGTAATACTAACTCAGAACAGACATACCCATGGAGCGTTGAAGATGCAAACAAGCTCTGTTTTGTATTGCAAATTCTTTTCTAAATCTTTTTTAAATCCTTTTTACAAGGTACCTAGACGACGTTAGAAATAAAGCACATCGACCAGATGTGGTGTTGAGCGTTTAATTCAGTCAGGTGGCCAACGTGAACTGTTGAAACGCATAGGTAAAGTCATTATTGATTCTTTGAATTGCTTTGCGACACTCTTACGTCAATTTGTTCGAGTTTAAACGATTCAGCTTTTGGTGAGTCGCGTGCAATTTTCTTTGACTTTTGCTTCGGCCGCCAAGAACATTATGGAGTCACCTGGATGAGGAAAGATGCTACCGCGAAACCTTGTGGGCTTACTCCATTGGCTAGGATACATGAAATATTATATAGACTAACAGATACGCTTGTTCAAGCGTGCCAGTGTGTCAGGACCAATCATAGTTTGCGATTCATGCGACAAATAGTTGTCAGTTTCTTCTCTACGAAAAGTCTTCCTCCTCAGCCTCTCTTCAGCCTGGATCTGATCCTTCACCGTGACTATAACGGTCTTCTTTCACTTCTAGTTTGCTTATCTGATCGAATTCGATTAGTCTGTTTCTGAGCATATCCTGGCTGCCAGTCTTGATCGCTTAAAAAAAATCTATGATTGATTCATATTCTCGCTTACTCGCAAAAGTGAGATTCGTGTTGCGGTATTTTCTTATAGCGCGCTTTATAGCTATCACTTCACCCGAAGCCAATTGGCAAATTCTGGATATCAAGAAGTAAACATGCCAATTAAAACCTTTTCTTAAATTTATTTCACGGAATTATTATTAAATCAGCGATTGAAAGTCGTAATACTTCAGTTTTGATGAGTGTTACAATATAAAATTTCCTCCTTTATTGGCCAGTCCATGGCATCTGTTCTAGTTCTTCGTGCGATCTAAACTTAGCGTGATCGTAATTGAATGCCATGCCTCCCCCGGCCTCTTCCAATTCCAGATACCCAGGTGCGCACCTCTCAATCGCTTCCTCCCAAATATCGATATCGGCGTTGTTGAGGTACGCTGCCTTTGAGTCGAGGATGTTGATCATCGTATCCTCCATGTTCACGCTATCAAGATTAGGAGACAGTCTAGATGGATTGGTAGTGCCGCACAATAAACATACTTTCTGGACTCTATGGGCGCTTTGAACATGTCTTGATCGAGGATTGCTTTGACCGACTTGCCCGACGCCGTCATACTCACGTATGCATCCTTCATGAGTACCGGCCATACTCGCCCCTTACACATTACCTGTCCGTTATTTTCAATATCGCATAGCAACATGAGCCCCGTTTCTAAGGATTGCTGATCCGCGAATAGTACAGTGCTTTGCCAGTTGTGGCAAATCACAGTTCCATCAGATATCATGGCTATGTGGGCCAAGTCCGCGCTTTCAACATAGCACCACTTGAGGAACTCCTGGGGCGTAAGCGGATTAGGTCCAGTTGGGTTTGGCTCCGGAACCGCCACTTCGCCATCCTCCTCGCCAAACAAGGCGCCGTTGTCGCCGTCCAAGCAATACAGCATGACGCGCAACTTGGTCCACAGCGCTCTGTTGCGTGGGCTCAGAGGCCACGGCGCAATGCAGTTGACCATCTTGACTATTTCCGGAGGCCCGGAGCTTCTCAATTGTGCCGGGTACCATGAATCCTTCGGCCGAGCTGGTGCGCGGTTTTGATACTCATCACGTTCGCCCTGACTCATTGACGCCCATTGTTGCATTAGTCTTCGCCGCAGCTGCATCTCAAACGAAGCATCCTGCTCTGCTGAGCTCCTTGGTATTGCATTCTCCTGCCTGAAGTCAACAACTAGCTGCCCCACGTGCTTTTGTGTCGGAGGGGGTATCGGACTGTCAGCTACCTCGAGGAAGAGTTGCCAGCCTTTCACCATTTCTTTCAAAGAGCTGACAACTGGCTGCGGGTGCAACCGAATATTTTCTGGGATGCCACCAGGCCAGTATCTCGTGGGATTGACCATTGCAGGATATGCAAATCCTAGAATTCTGTTCTCTTTAGAGCATGAGCGGGTTTTCTTTGCGAACAAATTGAGCGGATTTGACTCGATTTATATTGGCCGGGCAATTCCATTTAGTCTAGTGGCTAGATCCACTGCTGACCTCCCTGCTTGTTTTTTTTGGGGGCGGGGAGGCGCTGAATTTGCGTTATAACGCAGCCCCGGGTGTCGCCTTCGCAGAACGCCTCCTCCTTCCAACCGTCTTTGAGGCGAGTCTCTATTTGACAGGCAGTATATCTGTATCACCACCTATAAAAAGAAGTGCGATCGTGCTAACCCTTTACTACCCAATTGCTGGGGTCTCCAGGATCCATTCCTTTCTTCTAATGGTACAATAATTGTACCCTCCAGTCGATTGCACATTCGTTTTCGAGTCTCATGCACGAAGGGTTCGAAGTCAGCTACCTCTTTAGAAGATCGTAGAATAAACATTTGATGGTGAATCTGTGAATATCTCAGAAAAGTTTGGGAGCTAAATCCTCCTGTTGCCTAGTCAAACCTTGCCAGGCCGCAGCATAATCTGCACTGCTCAAATAATATATCGACACTCTTTCAAGGCGCCGGTAGAGGTGAGAAGCTTTGATTCAGTTCGAGGTGGTCTTACGGAGTATCGCTGGGAACATGCATGCCGCTAGGATGACGAGCTCATAAAGCCCGCGAAATAATCTCACCCTTGACGGCAACAATATTTTCCGTAGCTCGTGTACCAACCCTGCGGGACCACCTCCTTCGGAAATGTAGCGCAATAACTTGCCCTTCAGAGATAGAAATCGAATCAATAGCCATAATAGTCTCATTGAAGGAGATATCCCCGGTGACATAAGCCGTGCTGAGTTGTAAACCGACTAAGTCTGCGATAAGTTGATAAATGCTGATACTTTTGTAACCTAACTACGTCATGACGGTAGAAGCGTTATGATATATTTGTGTCATAAGGGATGATTGATGGTTCTTCTTCTTCTGTGTCGTTCTGGTTGATACAAATAGCATCAGTCCAAAGTGGCAAGTCTTTTTGTTTCTCATACAGTCGTCGCAGAGTTTTGTAGAGATTCTGATGAACAGGAAGCATTTCTCAAATTGTACTCTTCACAAGTAGAACATTGTTCCCTGAAGCATTAATTTGATATATCACCTAACGTTCCTACCGAGATCTTACAGCGTAATCTTCATGATTTATGATTTATGATCGATAAGAGTGATTAGAGTGATTAGAGAAAATGTGACGCATATTATGGGTGAGCAGTAATGTAACAACTCTTATCGTCTTTGAAATTATCACTGCGCTTCAATGTGATGAAGTGGACTGCGATCATAGCTATCATCAGTTCGTTATGGTAATGTAAAGAGGCATGCCAAGGGACGGTGTATGCATTTGGCTCATCCTCCGGCAAGACGGGCGCCGTTATTCCCGCTGCATCTTTGGCCAATGTCAGCAGCCGTCACACACAGGTAGCTCTTCTAATTCAAGCTTAGCAGGCGACACGTAGGGTTCTCCCGACATTCCATGAATCATGTGAACTGCATCGAATTTCAATCAGCATCAAATCCGAGCTCATGACAACTCCTCTTTTATTCTCTGAATATGACTCTTCTCACACATCTGTCCTCGCATTCTATGACTATGATTGTGGCAGTGGAGCGGCATCAGTACGCTCTAGTTGCGACAGGTTTGGTTCGTGCTGCCCCGCTTTATGTATATTGGTATCTTCATTGATTATCGTTTCCAGCGAGTCTGTGATGCCCACAGCAGACCTCTTGATCGTCCTCAACCTGTTGTCCTGGTCTCTACATCGGATACCCGTCTCGAATCAGAGGAGGTTCTCGAGCGTATTCGACGATTCAAAGAGGAAGATGACGTTTTCAATGACGGCTTCTTGTCCGACATTCTTCTCATCGCAGGGAATCACTCATCTAACCACACGAGATTGCTCACAGGTCTGCTAGGCGATGTATTTGTGAATGGCAAGCAATGGCATCTAGGTGCCGTTTATAGTCTGGCGACTTCTGACTCGCATACAAATGTTCCTAGCGGCCCGTATTTTGTCTGCGGAAATGAGGTTTTTCAGGCTTGGAAGCTTTATGTAGACGAGTCCTCCTGCTTTCAGACAACTGTCCTCCCAACGGGCTCGCCATACCGGTGCGGTTCAATAACTAAAGTCTCAGAATTGAAAAGTGATTGCTAAATAAGCCCAGATTCAAGAATCTGGATTCTATAGGCCCGAATGGCACCGGCATGTCTGTCGCCGTCCCAAGTCGCATGTACGCCCGGCCATCTGCGGCCAAGCCCCTTGCTGGTGTTCGCGTCGGCATCAAGGACAATTTTAAGCTTGCCGGCACTAAGAGCTCCTTGGGCAACCGGTCGTTTCTCGCGACCTATAATGAGGACAATGAGACAGCCGCATTCATTAAGACACTCATCAATCTAGGTGCTGTCATTATCGGCAAGACTAAGATGGCAGCATTCGCTAGCGGGGAGAAGCCGTGCGATTGGTTTGATTTCCAATGTCCTTTCAACCCTCGCGGAGATGCACATCTTGAACCGGGCGCAAGCTCTACTGGGTCGGCCACCGCGACGGCTGCCTACAACTGGATGGATATCTGCATTGGAACCGATAGTATGCGTTCAAGTACGTTCTTTTAGTATGCTTGACTGACTTTGTCAGCCACTGGAAGTGTGAGGGAGCCGGCTGCAAGATGCGGAGTCTACGGAATCAGGTGTTCGACCGATGCTTGGGGACCAAAAACTGGGCTATATCCCTGTTCACCGTGAATTCTATATCTACAACGAAACAAACACGCGCTAACTCATGATAGAGGCCTTGATACGGTAGGCTACTTCAGCAGGAGCTTGGAAGGTTTGCAATACTTCTCCAGGCATGCTCTTGCATCTACCATCAAAGAATTCAAGACAGTACGTAGATGGCCATCGTTCTTGCTGAACCTGTGTCTGCTAAAATCTGCTAGTTTCCACGCAGCATCCTCTACCCTACTGACTTTTTTCCGCAAAGCGATAAAGTGCAGCAGGGGTTGAGAGACAACTTTGTTAACATTCTAGAAGACTTCCTTGGCGTCAAGAAGACTAGTTTCAGCATTGCGGACAGGTGGGCTGCAAACCCGCCGGAGGAAGCTGAGGGCAAGTCCCTCGCTGAATTTGCCTCCAAGGTACACTCTCGACCTACAAATCCCCTTCGTTAGACGTAGTTAACAGCATAATCTAGTCTGGATACACCCCATTCTATTACGACATCTATCACGAATATGACGTTTTTCGAGATGACCACTTCAAAAAGTTTGGGACTAGAGCCTATGTCTCACCCAGCATGCAATGGAGATGGTACGCTACGAGAAGAGATCTACAGAGTCTGTGCGGCCCATGCTAATGATGTGCAAGGGATCGCGGCGCTGAAGTGACTACGCCTGAGGCGGAGAAATCACATAGGGAACTCACAGTGCTCCAGGCGTGGTTCGTGAGAGAAATACTCCGACCGGATGAGGCTTCTGGCTCCACTGCCATACTCGTTCTACCAGTCGGTCCAGAAAAGCCCGACTATCGCGACGTTTTCATTTTGCCGGCGCCAAGGGTTGGCATCGATGCCCTCGGTCTCGCAGCTTTTCTCAGATTGCCACAGCTTGTAATACCAAGTACGTTGAAATGACACATGATCTGAGATATCAGCTAAATATATGCATGTACCAGTCGGCCAGGTCGAGTACGATTCTCGTGTGTCAGGGAGGAGAGAGAGCTTTCCCTTCTCCTGCTCAGTTGCCGGCGCACACGGTCAGTAATTCATCCGAGCAGGCTGACATAGCAGCAATGCCAACATGGTCGACTGACACGTAACAGGAAGCGATCTCATGCTCATTGGCCTTGCAATGCAAGCTCTTAGAAGTGCCAAGTTTCCGACCGACGTAGGGACAGGCCGATATGTCTTTGCCCACTGATCGGAATATGACTGGTTCTAGAGAGCTCGTCGAAATTTGCTTCTTCCTGAGAGCAATTTTTTCATAACGATGGGTATCAGATAGCGTGAGTTTGAGGCCTTGAGGGCAGGATATGAGGTAGATTTGTCCGTAATCTCATGCGTTTCGCCAATCGTGCATCCTAATCTGGACCCATAGGGACCTACTGCGCAAAATATTCCGAGCATCACAAGTTACAAACAAACAAGATTCCGGGCTATTTATTTCTCGTGCAGGGTCTGAGAACAGTGCAATTTTGATAAAAATTCTGCAGGCTACGAGCTACAGCAAAAGAAAGGACATCATCGCCCCCCCCGGGAAGCTAGGCCGGATCTCCAATGAATGAGCGAGGCAACGAGTGTTGTTACACATCTTTCATCATCCAGAGCCTTACCCCTCTTCTAGACTAGAGCCTTGTTTCGTTGATTTTACTCAGCGTAAGCGCAACACTGGGCATATTGAAAGGTACCGCTTAAGCAGGCCTCTCAGCGAACGCCAGCCCGTTCGTAGCTATGCGATTTCCGTCACCTATTTAATTATGTCTCTTCGTCTGTCAGTTCGCCCAACAATGCCAGAGACGGCACTTGCATGAAAAATGATGACTGTGGAACAGACCGTTCTCGAAGGTGGCCTTCGTATCATTTGCAGCGGCGTGCAAAGCCCGACAGTTGAGTTCGTGCACTTTATAAGCGCCACTAGATACCATTGCTGACTGCTGCATAGCATTGTGTCAATCCCGAGTTTGCCACAACTTCTGCCCTCATACCAGCCTCGCGATCAGGCATCATGGATCAGAGACGTCTTTACCCATCAATTTCCAACTGCTCGAGTCATCCTATTCCACTATGACTTCGCAAAGCCGCCAGCAGCTGACGCTTGTTGGCTACAAATACTTCGAGAAGGGACTACACTACTGTACGGGCTTATTCACCAACGATCGCGCCCGACAGAGGTTAACAGGCCGCTGGTATTCCTCTGCCATAGTTTTGGCGGAATGGTGCTCAAACAGGTTGGTCACTTACAGTTTCCCTAAAAGAATCTCTTTCAAGCTGGATTAACTAGTCTACCAGGCGCTGCTATCCGCTAAACAAAATGCCGAATTCGGTTCTATTTTTGACAATACCATCGGCGTTCTTTTCTTTGGTTGTATCCACAATCACAACCCAGCTACCTTCGAGACTACCTGTCTCAAGTGTGTAGCGCTTGAGATGCGCATTCCGTTGCTTAAGCATGAAATTAGTACGGCTCTGAAGGGGTCCGACAAGTGGAGTAGCTTGAAAGATACCCTGGATAAATTCAGGCAGCTCGATATACATTTCCCGATCTGGAGCTATTGCGAGAGTCGTAAGACGTCATACAAGACCCATCGACTCCGACCGGCCGAATCATCAATCGTTGGTTTTCCATCTGTAATTTCAAGTCACGAATTGTATCTGACAAGCAAGCAGGTCTGTGCTGAGCCTCTTGCACGCCTCAACATAGAAAAGGAACAGTTCTTTCAAGTCGACATGGATCATGTCGAGATCTCGTCATTTCCAACTAGGGGTCATCCGCTCTTCCAGCACATTCTTGTCGTGTTGAATGAAGTGTTGGCTGCATGCAAGTATACCCAAACATCAGAAGAAAATGCAATGGATGACGATGAAAATCGGTCTGAGCTGTCTGGCAGCATCTCATACGGTAAGTAAGCCTAACATTAGCGAAATTACCTATCATTGACTGTTGGAGGATCCGGTGCCGCAACCCCGACAAGCTTGAAAATCCATGAGGAGTTTGAGATTCCAAGAATGAATCGCCAATTCAATCTTCCCTGCCAGAGCATTACTCCTCATAAGGAAAACCCGAACTTTATTGGCAGATCGGATATCCTAGATCATATCTACAGTGTACTTAATCCTGATAAACCGGGCCAAAAACCGACGAAGCAAGCGGTCTTCGCGTTATGCGGGCTTGGCGGCGTCGGGAAGACCCAGGTCGCCATACGATTTGCTATGGACTACATATCTTCCTTCCAGGCGGTTCTTTTTGCTCACGCTGATGAGCCGACGAATCTGCTCAACGATTTTGTTCGTTTTGCAGTCGAACTTGGTCTTGTGGATCTAGGGGAGCCAGATCAACTTTATTGTTGTGAGCAGCTTAAGAGATGGTTTGAGGAGACAGGCAAGTTCTATGTATGACCGACCAGTCCGCTTCATGATCTGATAGCTCATCATAGATGTCCCATGGTTGTTGATATTCGACAATGCGGATAATCCAGATAGCTCATTCCTGGACAACTTTTGGCCCCGTTGCAATAGTGGTGCAATCTTAATCACGAGCAGGGTCAAAACATTGGTGGCCAAATTTGGTGGTCAAGTTCTCCAGCCCCTGCAAGAAGGAGATGCAATCAATTTACTTCTTAAATTGACCCGTATGCAGGGGACTGATCCGTCTGAGCGGGCCTCATACCGTGACAAACTTCAACATGAGCAGCGAGAAGCAGCCCGGCAAATTGTGTATCGCTTGGGGTGCCTGCCTCTTGGAATCTACCAGGCGGCGAATTTGATCGTGAACGATTCATGTCTCCTCACCGACTTCCTTTCAGCGTATGATTATCGCGATTTGGTCAGTTTCCCGGAAAGTACAAGAATATTCCGCAATCCTAATGAAGAGCCGTATCGTCATACACTTTTGAATGTGTGGTCAATGAACTTTGAGAGCCTCTCGCAGAATTCTCAAAAGCTCGTTAATGTGTTTTCTTTCCTCAACCCCGATAATATTGAGCTTGAATTACTAGCTAGTGGTGCTGAGAAGGCTTCCCGGGCTGGAGAAAGCGGCTGGTCTATCATTGACAGCACTAGGAAGCTAACACAGCAAAAAGCCGGCATTTTGCATAGTTCGCTCATGGACCAAAACTCTGCAACAAAGACGCTGTCCATGCACAGACTCGTACAGGCGGCTTGTCAGCATCGGATGGAACCAGAAAATCGACAGAAAGCCTTTGAAATGGCCCTAAGCTTTCTTCATCACATGTGGCCGGTTGCACCTCGAAATAACAGGCACCGTCCTGATCTATGGCCGTCACAGGCACGCCTGCTGCCGCATGTTTTATCCCTTTGCAGATTCTATGCGGATTCGCAAGAAGATACAGTTCAATTAAGCGGGACAATAGAGTTTGCTGAGCTTCTATATAATGCTTCTTGGTAAAATTTCGATAATTCGATCCTTCACAGTTGGTAGCTTACTCATGACAGGTACAATTACGAGCGAGGCACCTTTGAGCATTTAGAGCCCCTTCTGCATGCAGCCGAGCACTACTGCCTGAGACATGAAAACTGCGAGGTGGTTTTGGCAGATATATACGGAGCAAAAGCCTCGGTCGCAACAGAAACAAACCGCCAAGACGCGGCATTGCAAAATTTTCAACTCCAATATGAGTTCTTAAACCAAGCTATCAAGAAAAATGTGATCCAACTGCCAAACATCCGTTTCTGCTTTGCCCTTGGGGGCATGGGAAACGGAACTCAGGGCATGGGCCAGTACAAGGATGCAGAACAATGGTACCGCAAATGTTACAACGCATATGAGGGCTTGGATGGTGACAGAAAGATATACGTGGGTATTTCCTGTCTTATAAATTTCTCATTCTTCTCATGCGGGGTATAGGGCGGCAATCTGGCTTTTTGCTTGATCTGGCAGGGTAAGCTAGATGAAGCACAAGAGGTCCTCAATTCACTCATCCATGCCGCCGCCGACATGGAATTCAAGTAGGTATCCGGGGACCCTCCTCTTAATCTACAATGTTGACGCTGAAAGAACCGGGTACATTATGTACCCACTAGGAAACTTGCAGATTGCGCGAGGCGAATTGGACAAGGCGTTCAAAACGCATTTATATGCCCTCAAGGTTTACCAACAAACCCTCAGTGACAAACACCACAGGACTGCGGACCTGTGCCACAAACTTGGATGGCACTATCATGCCCGCAAGGAATACGCTGAGTCGGTGTAAGTGTCTGCTACCACGACTGAATCAAAACCTGCTTTTCTTGTTCTTCAAAATCATGTCATAAGCGATACTGACTGTAGTATTACAGGGAGCTGCTCAATCAGGCCCTCGCTGTCTTTGAGGCCCGACCCACGTGGTATCGTAACGAAAGAGCCAGGACGAAATACAAACTTGGCTGCGTCTTGCAGGATATGGGGAAAGTCGAAGATGGAAGCCAGCTAATCAACGAGGCTGAACAGATCCGGAGAGACATTCTTGGACCGGGCGTATCACCGGGAGATGAGCACCATTTTGACGAGCTAGTGATGTTTTGGTCCCGCTAATATAGAGTGCCAAAAGATTTGTGGTGTTTGAAAACAGAATGCCATTTATATGAGCTGGTGTAATGACATCACACCCAAAGTCTCGGAGGAGCCCTTTTGGCCTAGACTAGAGTCAATAAACTTGTCTGCCGTTAGCTAGATAGCCAGCCTTACAATTGAGGCCGTGAGACAGTGAGATGCAGCCAAGGCAGACTTTCAAGGCTTTGCCTAAATACTCTGACAGCTAGCGCCCCGACGAGGGCTTACCCAAGCAAATCTGCAGGAGCCATGTGGCTTTATCGACTTATTGATGTGTATGGATGCCTTTCAGTCGATTGTCTCACTCCTGTAGCGCCGTGCAGACACAGCCTCATTGCTTCCTAACTCTATGAAAAGCCCGCCCACGCCAACACCGCTGAGAGTCCCTGGGGTGTAATTCACCTACAAACATCAAGGCGATCGATGACACCCGTATGACGATACAAAGCGAGCCAGAGTCAATGGCTTCAGAATATGAAGCGCGCATTAAGGACTGTTTCCGCTGCTGGCCAAGCGCCGGCCCATTTTATCAAACTTTGATCGACTATTTGCAAACGGCGGGATCAGGCATCGGGTTCTCTCCGTTGCAGAGCCCAACAGCGTATTTGCTAGGACACGACGTTGGTAAAAGGGCCGATATTGAACTTGGAAACTCGGCAGCTTTGTCTCCGGGATCGCGTCGGCTGTCCTTCAGTTTAACTATTTCTGTTCCTGCACAGGGCCCCAATTTTCGGCGAGTGCATGCAGCACACCAGTCTCATATTGCAGTAGTGGAGGGGTTCCTGGCACCCGAATCCATCAGAATTCTAGGAGAGAAGTACCAAGTCAGACCTGAATTCTTTATCGACTATCTGGAGCCACGTTATGTTTACGGATCTAGTACATCGATGGGACGATACGAACTACCGAATCTGCCTTCCAAGCGAGACAACATCGTCCATGTACGGTTTATGTCAATGTTACAGATTTCGGGCGAGACCAGACCCTTCTCAGCTTCTCTTGCGAGTCGGTTCGAGCAGCGCACTCTGCTAGAGAGTAAGCGCTATATATATGAACAGCGCCTCTTTAATCATCGACAATACGGTGCCACTAGATTTAGAGCATTACATGTCCACAATGAACAGTGGCTTACGGTGGAACAAATGGTATCATTTAGTGTGAAACGCGAGGGAAAGAGCTGGCACGGTAAGCTCAAAGATCCTTATTAGCTTAAGATAGTCGATGGATCTGACTGGGGGGTTCTTTGGCTAGGTTTGCTCCTCCTGGATAACGGAAGACCTTGCGAAGATGTTGACCTTCCATGGGCAGGATGCGTACAGGATCCCAGGAGCGCCGAATTCGTCCCCATCATACCATATAATCTCCCTATTAGTCGCGACAGCGGCATGGGACTACAAGACGACCTCTCATCAAAACAGCATCGCCCCTATCATCCAGCCGCCGATATAATATTATCGGCGGCCTCTTCCGTAACCACTCAGCTACTCGCAGAGGACCCTTTCTATATCCTTAGCTGTGTGTATCACGCGGCTGCACGTACCCGAATCCAATTGCTCAGCTTCATCGAATCCGACATCACTGAGTGCTCGTCTACAAATGGCACCACAATGGGTGCACATCAGAGCCTAGTACTTGATCAGTTACGTTTTGACCTCCAGCTTGTGCGACGTGTGGAACGGTTCTGTAAGGAGGACCTGGCAAACATCACACAGCTGGGCTCGGCCGCGTGGCCGAGGACGGAGAAACTGGCCGAGATAGAGAAGCTTAGAGATCAGCTCCAGAGTGATTACGCCTATCTCATCGAACAGTGCAGCAGCCTCGTGCTTCAGTGTGAGACTGCCAGCAACGCTCTGGTCAGCTTAGCGCAATGGATGGATGCACGCGAGGGCATTCGAGAATCCCGCCACATCACAAATCTGACCGTCTTAGCTTTTCTCTTCATCCCGTTGACATACATAACTTCTGTCCTCGGCATGAATGTTCAAGGCGTCATGGAAGGAGTTCCAATATGGGTGTGGGGAGGAGCTTCAGCTATTTCAGTGATTGTTACTACTGTGGTCGTGGTGATCATGAGATGGAAGCGTTGGGAGATACCTAGGACATAGCATGATAGTATGTCGCAAGAGCTGTAAATAGAAGTGTTACATTGACTTGCTATCGAAGTCATATACTAGATGATAGAAAATTTAATTCATGTACCCTATGCGAGCCAGATACTCAGCTTTCGGCTGAATAAAACTAATCTGCTGACTGCGTAAAACCAAACCGCTGGATGTGTACAAGCATACGACCCTTGTGTTACTGTCCGGGCTTCAACTGCGACTTTGAACGAACCTTAAGGTTTCCAAGTCTAAATGATGCTCGTTCCAATGCCCGTGATGTTAGCGGAAGCAGGCGAACCGAATTTCAATGCTCTGTCGGGCTGGGCCATGGGACGTTCCAGTATTGAACGCCGCATGGTAGGCATCTACACCACAGTTAACCTCTGGACCCAAGCGATAAAAGAAACAGCGCGGTAGTAGGTGGCAAAGACTGACTTGCTCGATTTCCCAGCGAATTTGCATTACGAAAGACGATGAGATCGTCAGTCTCTTGGTCGGCTAAGTAATACCATCTATGGCGGTCGTCATGATACAACAGGCCGTTTTCACCGACGGTGGTGTCGTGCAAGATATCGTTGGGGATACAGTCGACAGCGCTATTGATACTTTTGAAATCGCAGACCGCCAACGGCCAGTCATTGTTAGGACCTTTAAGGACAGTCCAGATACTATATCGTTAGCAAATTTAATCGGTGTCAGTTGTCACGGAATCTACGCCGACCGTTGTTATAACCACTGGCACACTTACTTAATCAGGTCAAAATCCTCGTCGCAGTACACTTTCTTGGGAAACCTTTCGGCCATACGGAGGAAACCACCACGCGTTGTGAAGTCGGTATGGGGTAGTGAGGCCGGCTGGGCGAACCTTACCTGCTCTCCTGGACTGCCTGGGAACAATGCACTGCGCTTTCTGACTTGATGGTCAAGATAGCGAAAATGCTTGTAGTATGGGAAATGTTCGTGTAGAATTGCCTCTATCTCAACTCGGAACTTGGTGTAAATAAGATCTTCGTCGTCACAATTGGCCACATCAACGCATGTCTGACTTTTTAAGAACTCGAACCCGTTCTCCTCCAAGATGAAGTGCTTCGCAAGAGCACGCGCATTGTAGACAGTATGTTCAACTAACTCTATGACGTGGTTGGTGTTCTTTGCGCCTGGTATGGCGGAGACATCGAAGTCAGTTGCGTAAGGCTTTTCCGTCTTGTACAACGGATCTCGGGCCAAGTAGGGCAAAATGACTTTCATCCCACTATCGATATCGGTGTTGTTCTGAGCCATATCGGGCTATGGTAAGGAGTATCGCGAAGCCCTGAACTCCTACTTACTCGGATGCGATTGTCTGTGGATCATGGCACAATGCACTGTTAAGAACATTGCTCACGAATGAGTTGAGCCCTTCGTGGAATGGCTCGAGGTACAAGCTCGCGTTAGGTCCATATATTTACATATAGATAAAAAGAGGCACGTGTAACCCGAGTTTGACGCTTCCCCCACGTTCCAGGTGTGTTGGTTGCATACCGTTGCCCATTATCATTACAAATTAAGGTGGTGTATTAGTCGTGTTATAAAAAGTCCGCAGCAACGCGGGGCATCGGTGTAACTAGGCAAACAACTCATTGCCACTCATAAAACCAACCCATCTTATCATGTCACTAGCTTCTTCTTTTGATGCTACTGTAAAAGGTGCACAATCCGTGGAAGAACCTTAATGAATTTACCTACACTGTTTTTTTTTCCGTATCCATCCCTGTAACTTGTTCGGTATCCTTCTCCGTATCCTCTCCCATATCCTTCCCTGTACCCTTTCTTTCGAAGACAGGTTCAGTGATTTTCTCACGATATGTAGGGCTTCCAGCTAAACATAGTCGTATGAAATAGTCAGACGAAGTGTGAAGCCAAAAGCGAAAGAAGGATCCATACCATTCCCAGCCGCCATGTATGGCACAACAAACAAGCTGATAGATGATGCCGCCTTAGGCTTATACCACTCCTTCCAGGGCTGATTGAGAGAATCGTTGGCTGTCTCCATAAGGACTAAAAGTTTGGAAAATAATGACTTCCTTTCTGCAATGGTATGGAAGATGAAAGGAATTTTCTGTTGAGTGCAGTTTATAATTTTTCAGCGAGAAGTCCTTATATAATTGTAAACGACTGGATTTAATGAGACAAGCAGTCTATCCATCGCCCACTCTCCCTTCTTGCCTGACAAAGCCCTTTCAAACAGGAATGGATTGCATCAATTGGCGAAGCAACGTTACATTCAACAGCAAGCTGGTGCTCTCACAGTTTGAGTCGATAGTGCACTTGTGAATGCAGATATCCCACGCACTTCATATCCGCTGCAAAGATGATTCGCCTCTCTAATCGCACATATCAGACTGGCAAAAAGAGATTGGAGTCGCACCTCGGTGCATCACAGCCAAGATCCTTGGCTGCATAACAATCGGCGCTACACAAGAGGGCCCCCCATTTTCCCGACCAAGCAAACCCAAGGGTGCCAAAGGCTCTAAGGAAAGTCGGCGTGTAGGAACCTTGGAAAACAACACCTATCCTGTTGAACGGTGGAACGGGCATTACTAGATTTAACAGTCAACGCCCCATAGAAGTTTCTTCAAGTACCTCTTCAGAGTGCCAAGCATTAGCTACGGAAGTGAGCCGTAGATGGATACTTTAGCGCTTTAAGCGCTGAAGACCACTCTCTAAGGATCACCTTCTAGGTTACGGTGGATGTGTCCGACAGCTAAGGTTAGGTAGTTGCAAGTACATAGGTAGTCAACCCCGCAACACTCACTACTGATCCTTTACTACGGGTCCGTAGATTAGCCCATCCTTTGGCGGCCCGCGATGGTGGTGCATGGTCATTTCCGTCTTTCGAGTTGAGCTCGACCTTGCTAACCCAGTCTTCAGCAGCCATTACAACGATAGTGGCGTCTGGCTATTCCTATCTTTCGAGTCAATCTCGACCTAACATGGGGCCTAGTACCAAAGCGGAACTAAACAAGTCGTCCCAGTCCTTCAAAGCTCGTTCCATGCGCATAGTAGCACAATACAACTATTGTCATAGTCTTTGCCGTGGGCCGAATACGTAAGCGCTTGTAGCATCATAGGACTGCGCGGGGAAATAATCGCTAAAATGATCGTGACGACAACGATCACTGGTATTCTTATATCTCTAGAAGAAAACCACTTTTCTCATAACTGAGCTCGGAAAAAATTATGGCTTTCGCCATATTGAAACGGTCATATTGTGCCGGCTCGGCAGGCAAGGCTACGGCAAGCCTGGTGTTCTCTATTCTTAAGAGCTCTTCTATTAGCAACCTTTTAGCGGAGCCAACCAGGGTCTTTCTGGGCTACGCGATAAACATTATGCCGCTATCGTAAAACTTTCGTGAATATCATGCACGATATTTCTCGATCTATCTACATCTATCTCCCTATATAGCCTTTGTATGTATCCATTCAGAAGGCAAGAATAATTTTGCTTTACTTGCATAAAAGTCTAGTCACCGGTATAGGCCTGTTGCACGGCCCTGAAAATTGATAATGGTAGGGCCTGATAAAAGCAACTCAGCATACCAAGAGGCTAATAACGAGGCTGAAGCTACATGTTTGAACGGAATCCTTAGGTGCTGACAAAGATGGTGAAGATAGCATCAGATTAGACGAAAAGGAAAAAGTATTAGATGTAATTGTAGTTGCAGAAATAGACGTAAATAGGCAGAACTATCTATTACGGACAGTATATGCCCTGTATCTATCTATCAACCTATCTCGAGAACAACCTCCGACTTACTCAAAACATCACGAGCATACATAAAAAAGGGGGGGAGGGTGGAAACCGGTATGGAGGAGTCAATCAATGGGCACCTGGAACTGCACATTAGATAGGCAATCATCATTTCACAAATAACGGCATTTGAAATTTGTTCATTTCATTAGTTATTGTTGTATCATTCACAAGAAAAGGTACTAAATTATTTGATAATGTTCTGAATTTAGTTTATCCGTTGCTCTCATCTGATGCAACGAACTGCAGTAAATCGCCAGCCATTTCTACAGAAGTGCTAAGGCCTTGGCGATGCACAATAATTGATCAACTAACTCTTGGCTTTTGAAGAACAATATGGTTGGCGCATTCCATGCCTCTCGTGGGGATCACCGATGATATCCACTTGCTCACGTGAGGCGGCCGGAATGTAACCCGTAACCATATGGATATACTGTATAATCCCAACACCGTGCCTTATCGCCTCGACAAAGCCAACCCTCTCAAACCCAAATGTTTACATAATCTAATGATGGCGTAATACACTGCGACCGAGACGCCATAATGCATCAGAAGTTTGTGTTCGTGAGTAATTGACAAACTCATAGCGAATCTGATTAAAAAGCTTTGGCGACGCGAGCGAGATGAGATTTTTTATTGTAATGCATGACTAACCTTAGGGTTGTCGGTAGGTTAACGCCGCTTAGAGTGGAGCATCTTACACTGTTCTAAATCTAGGTAGTATGTATTAGCGAGATCACTGCATCTGGCATCAATTCTCGAGGATTCTTCCACACAAGGCCATGGCTCCAGAACAGCATGTTGCAAATCCTCTCTTGCTGCGGGATTACTGCCCTGACGTGCGTTAACCTGTCTCGCATTTATAGTGCCAATGCAAGTACCGACGTGCTTTGAGGCTGTGCAACAAATGGCAGCATCCCAGATTAGCAACCAAATCTGCAGGTCAGATCTCTAATGTGAGGCTCTGCTGCGAATCCCCTCCGGTTTTTACCACGCGAGGTGCGGGACAATCTCCAAATGGTACTGCTTCAATCGATTTGGAGCCCATTTTCCGGGCTGCTGGATGTGGAGGACTTTTGGGGTTCGGGGAATACAGTAGTGGCTGCACTAAACTTCGGCGATGATAACAGTGCTTATTTTTAGCAATCATACCTGTAACAAGCCTAGACTAACGAACCACTTGTCAGCATGCCGCTGGAAAAAACAATTGATCACATTGGCGACTAGTCAACGTGTTTGCTTGGGCGATTCCTTACGACTTGAAGAAAGATTTTGAGTTTGTCCGATACTACACTTTGTATTGCGAGTCGGACGATGTAATGCTGAGTACAAGTCCAAAGGCCTATGTTGGCTATTATGCGGCGCACACTACCGCTAAATTCAACTTCTCCGGCCTTGGGCATCTGGATGCGTCCCACTAAATAAATGAACGTCTATGACGATACTGCTATGGGCGAGCGTCAAGTGGGCTGTCGACACATCTAGAGCGGCCGAAGGATTCACCTAACACGCCAGACAACCAAACTCCATCCCGGCAAATCGACCACTAATTCAAGTGGGCTGGTGGTCAGCAATAGTACCCGGCGGACGATAATCTTAGCCCCCAGTCAGTTATGGTAGAACCTTGAAAGTCCTATCGTGAACACCGACCATTGAGAGCCCCTGCTGGTCTCAGCCTCACCACGTTTTCATGCTTTCCCGCCAATGAGAAATGCAAAGATCTGTTGAATAGTGTCTTGGCGGTTCTGCACCTAAGACCAGGATGGCTGCAAGTGTGCCCTCCATCATGCAAGGTCCGCGGGCTGAATCCTTCCTACTTTCTTAGTGCGCTATTGCTTGCGTGCAAGCAATTGTGAGCATGCAGCTCTCCTTAAAGATATCTAGACGATAGCCCCCAAGGTCAAAGCTTTACGAATGTAATAAGAAGTTCTCTGATCGACGGACTACTAACAAACATTACCAGCTCTTTTGATGTTTTCCTACCGACTTCTTTTGAGCTCAAATTGAGGTTCGCGCAGCCGATACCCAAGAATTACGTAGACAAAACCCGGAGCTTTGGTTCAAGCAACGTCGCGATATCAAGATGTCGAAAGCCGACCATGGACCCGCTGACGAAGCCCCTACACAGCAGATCTCAAAGCGAGACAGCAACCTACGGCTCATTTCTAGCCCACTAGTCAGCGAACTGGATGAAAAGTCTCGAGACAGAGTCCAATCGGCAAAGTTGACTTTCTATGGCGGGCCTGATGTCGAAAATCTCGGCTTGCGATACAAGGATGATGATAGTTACCCGGAGTTCATAAAGCACGCTAATTCAACCAATTATGAGGTACGTCGAGGTCGCAGAATACGGATTTTCGTCATGAGGCGCCATATGCAAAATAGTTCGGGGACATAGCTCCTGGCTTTCATTGTGCATGTCCTATCTGTGTTATATTAACACCGTGGATGAGCCATTTGAAACACCTCACAAAGCCAAGTGGCTGGCGAACTTATCCCAGGCCAGTCTGAAAATCTTCATCCGGGTTTATGCAAACTTCATTGTCGACAATTGGATTGAGCTAATTGTTACCCGAAGCTATTCTACGATCTTTGGTTTGTTGCCAATCTCGAGGTTTTCTCCTCATCAAAAGGCGTCAGCAAGGAATCCGACTTATACGCCTACGTCGGCTACCTGAGCATCCTGTGGTTTACTTGGTTTAATGTTGGAATGTTCGATGTCCGTTTCGTGACAGACAGCTTATTCGAACGCATAATCCGTACAGCCCATCTCGGTGTCATGGTTGGTTTCAGTATCGTTGTCACATATTTCGACCCCAACGATCAACAGCAAAGCCCATTCCGGATATTGTCTTACATTCTCATGGTATCACGACTTGTTCTTGTCATACAGTACTGTACTGTTCTTTGGCACATCCGTCACTATAAGAAAGGCAAAGTGCACATCGCAATCGCTGCGTTAGTGCATTTCATCGCCGCTGTCGTCTTCCTCGGCATTAGTTTTCGATTCGAGGAAGGCAGGAACAGCAGAGTCTACATCGTCTGGTACATAGTCGCAGCTTGCGAAGCACTCATACAGCTGGGATTTGCCAAATTTTTCAAAGTACTCACGTTTGAGAAGACTCACTTAACTGAGAGAATGACGGTCTTGACTGTCATCATCCTCGGCGCTGGAATCACGAGTATTGCGAAGAACGTGGTCCTGATTGTCAAGAACGCTGCCGGGTGGACTAGCGCTACTATCGGTGTCCTGACTAGCGCCATTGCCACAATGTATTTCTTCTTCATGATCTACTTCGACTGGATGAATCACCACAACCTCTCGAGTTGGCGCCAGCTAATTTGGAGTATACTACACTTCCCTTTCCACGTTTGTCTCCTCCTGTTCTTGGAGGGAGCGACCCAATTCATGATTTGGTGGAAAGTTGTAAGGCGACCCTCTACGGAACTGCGAGAGAATTTCCCAAGGAAGTTCTCAAGTTTGTTCTATACGAAATCAAGTAATATATACTAATCCTTTACAGAATGAACTCGAAAACTATGTGGAAGATCAGTTCTTGGGAATGATCGATCGACTCTCTGATGGCGATACTTACATTACTAGCGATGTAATTGTAAACGAGCTTAACAAAACTATCACCGGTATTTTTGAAATATATCCCACGAAATACATCCTGACCGATGAGCGAATCTCATTTCTTCTGGCCGATGTTAAAAGCCTGCCCCAAGGTCTATGGGACAATGGCTCAGCGCAATACCTCAAGGAGGAGGATCAATTTCAGTATGACCTTGTTGAGCTGATCTACGCCATCATCAACTCACTTTTTGTCAACTTCAACATTGACCCATTCGTGGATATGGGACCGACGGACTCAAACCTTTTGCAAGACCAAGCACTTACCGAGATCAATGAGCGCTATTATACGGTTTTCCAATATGCATATATTACCGCCGGCTTAGTCCTGATGTTGATGACTATCATGTTTGCGGCTACCAGGAAGCACGGCTGGACGCCGTTCGTCATATTCCGGACTGCACTCTTCGGACTCATGGGTCTTGGCCTCACACTCATTGAACTCATCTCCCAGAACGAGCAACGCAGCCTCAACTACTTGTTTACCCCGTGGCTTCTCCCTACAATCTGCATCGTATTCTTCGTAGTATTATTACTGTAAGTGTACAAGACAAGGTGGTTCCTCTAATTTTCCCTTATTATTCAATTAAATCAGAACTCGAGAATCCTCCTCCTGAAGCATTCCGAGGAGAGAGAGTCTGTGGCCACAAAGAGCCGAAAGAGCCGCGAAGAAAGTTCCCTGCTTATAGAAAGACCAAGTAACTGACAATTTCTTGATCGCAGATCTCATATACCCCATCCGTCACCGTTGCTGTTTACTAGGCACGTAAAATCAGGCAGTGAAACGAATGGTTGGAAGAATACTGGCGCATACACGAGCATCGAGATCCACGAAGTTGGACAGGATGTGAACAATCGATACGACAATCAGGGCTACGACCCTCGTCGATGGGGTACTGGCGGCGGTGGTGTATATATGCAACAATATCCGGAGCGGGACACGACGTATCATAACGCTTATGGACATACTGGAGATCTGGGGTTAATGGGTACGCCGGTGAAACATAATGGGTATTAGACGGGGGTCACAGAGAAGATGCACGTAATGTTTATCTAACTGCTGCGCAAAGAGCGCTAAAGGAAATAATGTTGGCAATTAGCGGGATAATGTGGGCTTGAACCGGCTGTTTTGTGAGCGCGACATTCGCTGCGCGGCGTTTGCTTTACTATGATACCAAGCGGCGATGAATTTGGGTTGTTTAGACATCTTCTATTGTTCAATTCGAGTTTTTCTGACACGGTTCCGGCCCTTCAAGTGTAGTATTAACATGAATTGAAGCTGTGCAGTAGGGCAGCAACATAATAACTACCTCGCTAGGCTTGTTAAGCCTTTCACCCGACAGAACCTGCTGTGCGGTACATGTTGGTGTTTGATGATATTTGTAATCCAGATTATCTTGTGTGATCGGAGAAGGGAATTCTAGATTGGCCTGCACTCGTCATGGTAAATTTCATTTCATATTCAAACTTTTAGCAAACCGTAAGAATATGTTTAGCTTTCGAACACTCGGTCTCGCTTTCGGACGGTACTCTATACGAATATTACCGATTATAGAGCTTGGTGGACTTATAAGGACATTTCAGTGTCTATCATCATTTCCAATATCTTTTTCAGAGTTAGAGCATGTTTTGTTGAGGTTGCATGACTCCAGCCGTGACTTGTAGCTACAACCAAAACAGCGCGCAAAATACTTTACCATCTCGTTACTAAAAGCGTACCTGCGTTCGCGCAATGCTTCAGCCGTGGGATGCGCAACTTACGTGCATTAACTTGAGTAAGGCTCCGGGCACAGCCTCAATGATTGGAAGTGTTGCATCCCACAACGGGCACCCACGGGTCCCGGGAAGCCTTATGGATGCCTCTCCTCCAGTAAGCCACATCAACCTGCAGGCTGCAGCTGATTGACAAAGATCGTTACCCCACAACGGAACAAATCTCCCGTGTTACATGTCTGCGCGCAGTCGACGACAGTCGTTTCGTTATTCCTACCAGCATAGCAATACAAAATTTTTGCCCATTCTGAGCTCTGCAATCGCGCCGCTCTTTGTCGATTCTGTGTCAAAGCGAATCTGGTCAAGGATTGTTCCGTCTGTCGTACGAACGACATGGCGTCGGGATAATGGGCTTGTGAAGACGGGCGAATTTTATCGGCGACTTACCGGGACTCAGCCGCCTCGAGCTAACCTTAGGACAATGATTGTCGGATCTTATCTGGGGGCGCGGAGACCTAACCTAAATGGTTACGCTAGACTAGACTAGTCGTAGTCAACATGATGTATGGATTGTCTACCATCGACTCCGCAGTGCATCGTCGTGAAGTCAAAACCGGATGTTCCATTCTTGTATTTACACCACGAAAGAGTTGAAGGCCTAATTAGCAAGAGACATGCAGAGCACGCCTTTCCTAGATGAAGAGGACTTTGACTCAAGCGATGGAGAACCATCCTTCGCAGATCTGTTGATGGAAAGGACCCATCAAAGCTATTTCGACAACAAGAAGCAGGACTTTCTACCAGAGGGTACTTTACAAAACCTACTCAGCCGACGCAGTATCGTCAAAGAAATGCCCCAGCTGGCTAATAGCGAAGTGGAAGCTGAAAGGCTCATTGATTTTATCCTCTGCCAAGCCAACAAGGTGTTCGCCATCACCATCTATACTGGGATAGATGGACCCAGCCTGCTCAAGGCCATGGCAAACTTCCACAAACACGATTTCAACGACGCGCTTTTACCAACCAGCCGCATAGGACAAACCAACCAGGGGCCATTCGGGCTCAAAATATGGACGAAACTCAATATCAAGAAATTCTGTGACAGCCAATGGCAATTTCTGGCTCCGGTATTCTCCCCTACCGATTTTGTTTACCACCTAAGCACGGAATCTATTCTACCATTTACATGGAAGAATGAAATAATCATAGGAGGGTATTTTAGCCAAGTTTCTGAAGTTGAGATCCATCCGTCACATCAGGCTGAACCTAATATGACAGTAAGACCACTAACCCTGCGGTTTTCGATTCAAGGCGAACGCTAATGCGCTTCCAGGTCGATGGCAAGTTGGCGCACTTTGCAGTGAAAGAGATTATTGCAAGCACCATGCTCCAAAAAGTTGATTTGATCAAGAACTGGGAGAGTGAAGCAAGGACACTCGATGATTTGAGTGACTTGAACCATCCTCATATTATCCAGTGCGTTGCCGCTATAACCAGGGGAGAAAAAAGATACTTCATTTTTCCTTGGGCTGATGGTGGAAGCCTACGCGACTTTTGGCAAGTGAACAGTACTCCCCATCTCAGTCCCGGTCTCATTAAGGAGGTGATCGAGCAGTTTTTGGGATTGACAAATGCACTCTGTGGGCTACACCACTTCAAGCGAACAGAAAACTACCGACATGGTGATCTAAAACCTGACAACATCTTGAGATTCAAAACTCACACTGACGACTCGCGATTGGGTATCCTTAAAATCGCGGATTTGGGGCTGGCTAAGCGTCATCATGACCCTACAGAAATGAGAAGAGCGCCTTCAGGCACTTTGTATGGTACTGCAAGGTACGAGTCGCCAGAAGCCAGATCACTACCTGGCAAAGCCAGATCACGTCTCTATGATATTTGGTCCATGGGCTGCATCATACTTGAGTTAATTGTGTGGCTTCTATACGGCTATGAAGAAGTCCAACGGCTCCAGAAAATTGTCGATAGTGACCCCCCTTACGGAGGAGGTAGCTACTTCCAGTAAGCAAATTCTTGGATCATTCTTTCTCCTCTTTATTGTATCCAAGGAGCGTATAGCACTCTTTGAAGATATTTCTTTGTAATACATCACAACGCTCCCGAACACTATCAAGCCAAATATGAAGAAGTCATTACTGATGTCAGATGCTGTAGCATGCTTGAACAAGGGCAACCGCCACAGGTTCACAGCATAGTTGAGAAATGGATGGTTCATATGTTAGCCGGCGATCCGGAATGCTCCCAGCCATCGGCAATAAGAGATCTTCTTGAACTTGTCAGGTCCGAACTCCTTGTGGTACCACTTCCAAACAAAAGGTGCAACGTCGTTATCAAGGATCAAACCGACGAGTCTAACAGTGTAACATTACCACAAAAAGAGATGATCCGAACGGATGTCCGGCATCGCGCTACCGCAAGTATCCTCCATAAATCACTTCAAGCTATCTATAAGAAGGCAGAAAATGATTCAAGCTACTGCTTTTCGGGAAAGAGTAGAGATTATGTCCGTCGTCCCGAACGACCTTCGCTATTGTAGACAAATAAACCACCCCGACATATGCGAAGTAGTCCACTAGAACGCGTACGTCCACATCGTGTTCGGTCAACAATGTTATGTGGATTCGAAAGCAGAGGTACGCTGTCTCTGTTCTTCAATCATCGGAATCGTTGATCTTGACATTTTCTAGGTTGTGGGTCCAACCCGGCTGTTTGGGGAATAGTGGAAACGTTAGAACTGTGATGGAGCCTACTGCATCGTCCGAGACTCCCAGTACAGCGTTTCAAGCGATGGCGTGTAAAGCAACGAGGTTCATCGAACAAACAGTGACAATTATACCAAGAAAGATCCCAACTCTCTTTATAACATGTGAGAACATCAGTCGCACCACCTGAGCTCGCTACATTATGCCTAACGACGCAGCACATCTGATAACAATGCAAAAACTATGCTTCTGTCAGAATGGGACAAGGTCATGAGGAGTAAATCGATTGATGAATTCGTTAAGTATTAGTAGGTAGCTATATGTGCGGCAGTACACTTGTTATATGCATGATAGGCGGCTGGGACCTTACTTCAACAGCTTGTTCGACATGATGTGGTACATTACAGCCGATCTTGACGTGACGGAGACTGGAAACAATTTGGCAGTGGCAAAACTGGCTTATTTATCCATGTCACCGATGATTCGGAAGCAGGTACAGGCAAGGAGAACGGCGGTTTGGGAAGGAGTGGGAAATCATGACCAAAATATGGCCATTGAAGAGGCCGAAGAGGCCGGGCTCCATCAGATGGTAATGCTCCACTTGTATTTCACACTCTACGACTAAGATTGGGTAGATACAGTGATACCTTCTTGGCGAAGTAATTAATAATGAGGTTATTGAAGCAGTAGAAAGTCCTCTCAATATTTAAAAACTATGTCATTTTAATAGTACATATGTTTTCTGCAATGTGTTACGTTGCACCTATTCCATATCACATACTCGTACGTTACGAGATTTTGTTGGCACTTCCATCGTGCTCGCGACGTTTCTGGGTCTTAGCTCACGCAAAGTTTCTGTTTTTTAGTCCATGCGAAGGCTTCGGTCTTTTCAGGGCGTTCCCAGCATGATGAATTCCACTTGCGCTTGTTCGATTCGAGGTTCTCACCCTCAGCCCCACTGTTCTGTGCTAAGTCGAACCCGGCTGGCCTTAAAGGTATTATCATATTCTTGATGCCATCCATAGAGCCATCGTTGAGAAGGGCGAGTCGTCTATGATACCATTCCTCGACATGTTTCCTTAGGAATGAAACCTCGCATGCGAGTTCACCTTTCACTAGCCACGTCGGCTTGTCAAAAATTATCTCGGCCGCAGAGATCTCGCCATTATAGGCATAATGTTGTCGCACTGAATCGTCATGTGTGATAATCTCATACAGAGTAATGACCGCATCATCTACATCGTCGTTGCGCCATTCTACCTGTGCGGTCGTACAGGCAATGCCGAAATCAAATAGTATAATATCGTCCGTTACTTCATCAATGAGAAGGTTCTTAGCGCTGATATCTCTGTTGACTATGCCAAGCTCTAGGTTGAGGAAGTCAAGGGTTTCAGTCAGTTGTTGTAGCCATTTGAGTTTGAACGGCCGTGGATTATTGTTGAGGTCTCCGCCCGCAATGAATCTAGAGGTGAACCCTAGGATACATGGCTCGGGCTCATCGCTCAACACGACATGTTCCAAGGCCAAGATATGCCGGTGCTTTGGAAGCATACTCAAAATGCTCACCTCTTTCCAAATAAAGCGGTCTTTCATAAGTGTGAGTCCATATTTGAAGACATAGTCTAAGTGTTCTTGTCCTTGCGGGAAAACGCGATCGACACCAGGGGCTATACGATCCGTCTCAACCAGCTGGCTGAAGTGGACTGTAAGGCACTTTTCCAAGTGGGGAGCAGATTTAAAAGGTATTGTATGATGCATCTGACTAGGGCGTGCTTTTCCGCCAGGTGAGATGGATTGGAGGAGTCCTCGCGCGTCGACTGTGATGGAATATGCGTCCGGTGATAGGACATCGAAGAACTTTCCGAGGATGTCTATCGCATCGTTCCCCTCCTCCACATCATCATCTGTTGTACCATGTACCGGCATGCACTCTGTTGGTGCAATAAGTAAGTACCACCGTCTTGTATCCCAATCCAAAATGTAGCTGCCATGAGTTCCCTCCCATTCTGACCCAGATCTTGGAATGAGGAAGTCCCCTGCGATTTCAAAACGGTCTGCTGAAAATAGCATGGCTCAAAAATTGTAGTTGGAAAGCTGGCAGTGTTCTGGTAATCAAAAGTCGCAGCATGAGCAAGAAGAAAAGAATACTCTAGGAAGGTTCGTATGCTTAGTCTCCTTGTTTTGCTTATCGTATAGCGCAGCATTTTTTCTAGAGTATAGTGCCCGTATGTTTTATAAGGGAGGATCGAATTCTGGTAATATGCGTTTGTTATGTTTCTCGTTCCAGGTCCGTTGTCACAAATCAAGCGTAATTTACAAACCTTTTATTTGCAACATCAAATGTTTTGATCGAACTCAGTACATTTGAGCTAAACAAAAAAACTCGTGTTTGTGGTACAGGATATTCTGTTTTGACACAGTGTTTAATCACAGCCGCGTTTCTTACAGGTCTTCATCATACAGTGGAGCCTTGAGCCATGCATATGATAGGTACTTAGTCATGAATACCACATCTTGATAACGAATACATGCATTCTGTCAGTAGCAAATCGCCTCTTTTTTGTTTCATTGAATATTGAAAAAGACTTCAAAGAACTTATAAACAATTCGCCTACACTACAAGCGTATTGTTTCATTGTTTCTACATGGGCGCTAAAACATTCTAAAATGATCGTGATAAATACGTAAGAGAATTTAGTCTCTCAGACCAGATAGTTTATTAAACAAGAAACCGCCTAACCTCATACACAACAAAACTTTCAAAACATGAACCCTTAAGTAAACTTGAGTACCGAAAGTTTCAAAATGAGTTCTCAAAACAGCGAGAAAAAACGGAGTTAACAGGGTCAGCAAAATCAGCAGAGTCAACAGAGCCAACTGACTCAAGAGACTCAAGAGATTCATCAAAGTGAACAGACTCAACAGAAAAGAGCAGGTGATCAGACCAATCTGGGCCTATTAGATATACCAAGAGCTAACGTGACTCTAGAAACTTCAGGCCGCGTGATTGAATCGACCGAAGCCAATGGGAGTCTCTTGAGCCACGACCTGGTGTGCAACCCCATGAACCCTGGATTCTGCACCTGCGGCCTACAAGATTGCGGAGCAACGCTACCCAAGCCTAGTATCCGTGGAAGTGCTCATAAACCAGCACATCGCCCACCCAAATTTTGCAAAGGAAAACCGCCAACCATACATATTTGGTGTACAAAGGTCAACATCGAGTGCCCGGAATGCGTCGAGTCGCGTCGTACTACGGGTGCATAGATTGAGTGTGGTATGTGTCGTGCCAGTTACGAATATCTCATCAAGTTGAACAGATCTAGCTGGCCCATCAAATACAGTCGAATAGATAATATCAAATGATAACTCGTAATCCATAGATAGCGCTTAGGATGCTTCTCGAGTATTCGTGCAAAATGATAGATATAACATAGGTCTCTAGCAACTGTTGACATAACACTAGCGACTTGGTACTAGCAGTTAAGTTCTCCAATATCATGCGACGTAGTCCAGACATACTGGCGTTTCGTCCGGAGACGAGTACTTATTGTTAGGATAGTCAACACTACAACGGTGAAGGCCCTTCTGCTGCCAGACCCACTATCGCTTCTGGATCTGTGCGGTGCAGGAAAAGCTAGTCAGCTAATCATCTGATGAGCAACATAGCCTGGACGAGGTAGTCTAAATACTATTAGGCGATGAAACGGGGATCATGTCGCCACCGAAGGCAGAGTGATTAGCATCGTCTTGCTTGTTCTCAAGGAGGTCTTGGAACGCTTCGCAAGTGGTAGAGTTACCTGTAAAGTTGGCGATCACAAATGGCGAGTATAAGGCTGACTACCCTGCCGGGCAATGGTATCTCTCGTCTATGGGTCACGCAGTATATCCTCTGAAAACGGCAAGGTACATTAGTAACTCCAACAATATATTTTACATCTTAGAAATATGCCTGATCGATTCGATTGCTGGTTCTCAACGTTTCATCAAATTTGCAAGATTTCGTCGGCGGCGTCCTCTTGTCCTTTCACAACCTCAAGGAAGAGAATCTCAGATTCGTATTTTGCGTACATATTGGGCGGGGAAAAGAGTTGCATCAGGAATACAGGTGTCGGCTGTAAAGAACTTCAATCCGTTCGGCTTAGATGACCCGGTCTCAATAGCGATTGAGCTGGCCCGGTAATGAGGTGTGTCTCTAGAATATTAGTGAACAAAGCATATGGCGAAGGATAAGGATTTTCGGATTTCCCGGTTTGATCTAGACTAGGCAATTCTTCGCGGTAATTGTAAGCGCCGGAACAAAGTAGAACTGGGCGATCGTGTTTCTCATGGCTACGGTAAATGCGAGTTGGAATTTAGACGAAATTAGTGGTAATTATGGATTGAAATTGTTTATTAGGGCGACGAAACGGACCATATTTATGGTTACTGGAGATTTTCTGCTAGTCTAGTCTAGCCGCGAAAAAGACGTTACTAAAGATAAAATGACTAATACTATTCAAAGGACCAATCATTAAGATGCAAAATGTGTTTCCCCCCTATTTTCGCTCTAGTTCGTCGGAATGTTCGTCCAATCAAACTCACTCCATATCTCCCCGACGTTCCGAGAGACATCCGGAGGCAACGGACATTGATGTTTTACCTCCCCGGTTCAACGGGGGGCCAAAGCTCAATTGGGCGGCAAGTGCTATATGTATTCGGTTTATAACTCCCTGTCGGAGAGCAAGAGAAAAGAAAAAATTGCAGTTACCAATTAATCATTCTCAATCATTCCTTCTCCAAGAGCCAAAATGCCTGATCTCGAAGTACCCGGAGCCATTCTCCATTACGAGACTTTTGGAACCAAAGAATCTCTCCTCATATTCATACCTGGAGCCGACGGCCGCGGCAGCATCTTCCATCCCTCTGCTCAACTTCTTACCGATCAGTTCACTGTTGTCTGCTGGGATCGCCGCGGATACTCGCAAAGCTTTTTCGTGGGCCAGCAACATTTCGAACAGCGCTTGCAGACTGACGCAGATGATGCGATGCGGCTGATCAGACACTTGTCTCCTAATGGGAGTGCTACCGTGTTTGGAACTTCCTCCGGTGCGATCGTTGCCCTCCAGCTGCTAGCTAGGCATTCGGGGTGTGTGACAAGGCTCGTTGTCCATGAGCCACCCGCGTTTTCTGTCCTTCCTCAAGAATTCCAGCAACAAGCCTACGGACTTATCCGCCACATCTATGATACATACAGAGCTCACGGCTCCGATACAGCCATGGAGGCTTTTGCATCAGGGTTGTCCGAGGGCCCTGATTCAAAGATGATGCGGCACTGCATGGATGCGAAACGCGGCGACGAGATACGAGCAAACTGCTTGTTTTGGTTTGAATTCGAGCTGAGACAATACACCAGTGCCACAGTCGACGTACAAGGCCTTCAAAGAATGAAACATAAGTTGGTTTTAGTCGCAGGGGAGGATAGCGGCGATGGGCCCGGAGTAGGACCAATCATGGCCATCGCTAGGCAGGTGGAAGAGGAGGTTATCAGAATCCCTGGTGGCCACCTGGGCTTTATGATTGTTCCCAAGCTGTTTGCGAAGAAGCTGCTAGAATTGCTCAGCAAATAGAAAATAAGTAGAGTCAGTCTTCCTTCAAGTAATGAAAGCTGAATGATGGATGCCATTGTTGTTTTCAAACTGGTGCATTTGATTTGTAATACTTTATGGGTTAACCCAACCAAAATCTTGAGCGCTGAGCCAGCTGCGCTCGAGAGAGCTGGAAGTAAATAATTCATCGAATTCTTCTGCCACCCCTGCCAGCCAGTTTTCATCTCTGATAGGATCATCGTTAAAGGTCATCGACTCACTGACTTGGTTGTTAATAAAGTCAGAGGATTGATCTATAAAGCATCAGGATCTTATGTAAGTGCTAGGATGTGTCATTCTACCAGGAACTGCTTGACCTACTTTGCATCGAGAATGCGGAAAATCGCTGGCGGAATTTGGTTAATACTTCTGAGCCCTTTCTAGCAGACTCGACCCGTGGCTCGTAAAACTCAAATATGCGCATTGCTCTTTCCCAAGAAGTTTTGGCGCAATCAAGGTCTAGGTTGACGTTTAAATCAGGACAGAGGCTAGCAGCAAGGAGGGTTGATGCTGCTCCGAAAGTGACTACGACGCGAATGTAAGCTTCTCATGCATATAGAGCTCTGGGTCCCAAGGCCCAAGTTGGGAGGAGGAGGGTCGGTTTACAAAACAAGGCGTGCCACGCAGAAGTATTTTGTGAGCTACTCAGTTGCTGATGCATCTCCTCAAGGACATTGTGGACAGTGGACAGACATAATATATTTAACTCCCGGAGATACGGTCTGTAAAGAGGAGCAAGAGTTGCACTGTCGTCGATCCGATTTTGGTTCACAACTTGTCGTCTTGCTTCGATTAGAAGTGATGGCCTCAGAAGCAGGAGCCGTACATATAGGATTCTTATCATAGTCAGAAATGGCCACGAAGGCGGAGTCCATAGCTCACCTTGATTTGAAAACTCGGGCCTGCAGATTGAAGCAGCCTCCTGATCCATCTTCAGAAGCCATGGCATTGCCGGGGGTTCTTAGATGAGTGGGCAAGCTTTCGGAAACAAAGTCAAGCTTTGAGCATAATCTTGGAAGATCGTTTAAATAAGGCGCAATTGTTGATACATCCTCTGCCGGGCCGTTGTGTTCATGTGAGTAGAGCTTAGTTAAAATCTCATCCAAGACATCAAACAGTTTTATGGTATGTCTGAAGAAGGTCAAACGAGAAGGAGTGTTTTCGGGTTGGCAGCCTTCATGAGATTTTGACAGGTATTCATCGTCGATGGGCTCTGGAAGGGGAACATCGTACGGTTTGCGGAGAAGGACAGATCGTCCAAAGGTGGTGGCCGAAAGCCTGAAGAAGGATTAAGCACCATGCGAATGCTTTTGAATGGGAGGGAATTTACCGATCTAAAGCAACACAGTTGTGCCAAACTCTGCGCCTCATTTCTCGGTTCAGTTGGTTTTTAGGTGCAACCGCCTCCTCTAAATGCAAACCCAAACCTTGCGCGACTCTCAGAGCAACACCAATGATGTTCCAGCACCGATCGGCATAATTCGTGTAATGTAGATATAAGCCTCGTAGGAGAAGCAACTGCACTATTTGCAACGAGGAAAAATCGAGGGTTTCCACAGAAATAAGCTGTTGAGATCGGCGGTAAAAGGAGTCAGCAAATTGACTCCTCTGTGTTGCAGGAATGTGCTCGATGTATTGACATCCAAGAGCCAAGACCATGTTGAGAATTGCGTGGAACACAAGGTCATCGCGCCCTCGATTGTAATAACAGTCTACCGACAGAGCTGGTTGCCATAAACGATCGTACATAGTAGTTAAAGATGGCCAATGTAATATGGGGAAGATGGGATGTATACAATGTGAGAAGCATTGGAGCAGAGCGTCCGAAAGCTGGCGATCTGGCAACGAAACTGGATCCATATTTTGGGCGAGGTTATGCGGCTGGTTTACCGTAAACCCTATGAGGTCTGGCATCCCCCTTTCCTCAGGGGAAGGCAATAACTCGCCAGGTGGTTCCGTGTGTTCCTTGTTGTCTTTCAACTGAAGTACCTGCTTGAAGAAAGAAATGTTCGAGGATGGGCCATGGATCATTTCCTCCTCCGCGAGGTACGGATGATGTGTTACAGTTCGTCTCGCGACAACCGGGCTTGCAGCTATAACTTCAAATCAGCCCCAATAGATATGCCAAGACGTGAAGAGAAAAGCTACTGTCAGATGCGAAATGAGTATCAGGGGCGTTCCAGATCACTTGTGGGTCCACTCGAAATTTGTCTTCTAAGCGGCGAAGTCGATTGTTTACTTCGGGGAGAGTTCTCGAAAAAGTCAGGAAGAGCTTTCAGGGAAACAGAGAGACTTACGCGACTGATGAGCCTGAACTCTTTTCTTGGTAGGCACACCTATCTCCTAAAGCCTTCATACTACAAGAAGTGCAAACTGGGCGGCGCCCATCGCAACCGACCTTCCGAGCACGACAGGGATTGCATGCGAGCTGAGCCCTCTGTCGCCGGCGAGATGGTAACCTATTGTCGGCCATTGTGGAGTGCCCATTTGAAGCCGATCCTAACAATGAAATATCTTATTGCGGGGCGTTGTGCCTTGAGATCGCAAGGTAGAAGTTAATGGATTGTAAAGCTCCCGTCGAGGCGGATTAGATGTAGCTTTCTTATCTATTTCTTGTGTTATCACCACGTGACGATCAATACATCAAGCTCTAAGGTTAGTTTAGTCTAGACCAACTGCAATGCAAAACAAATACCTCTAGTCTAGGGGCCAATACAGGCCTTATTGTATGTATGTACATTTACGCTCCTCCAAAAACAAAAAATTCATCTAATTACGATAGCCTGCAGCTGGCAATTAGCAATTGGCGACAAGGTACAAATTAGCGATTAATAACTAGCGCAACGTGCAATTGACAATTAGCGATTAGCAAATAGCAATAACATACAATTGGTAATTGGCATTGAGTATTTATTGAATAGTTGGCGATCACTTTTAATAATACCGGGCGATTAAGCATAGCGCCAAGCGCGAAGTTGGCGATAGTGTGCGATTGAGGACAGCGCGCAGCTGGCGATGTAAGACATACACTAAACTAATATGGTAAACTTTCTCCGCTGATTTAATCAAAGTCTAGCTCTGCAGGATGCCCTGAACTAGTGTAAGCCTATGAAAGTTGTTTTATAGAAATGGGGTTTCAACATGAAGGCCTTGAAGCCACCGTGTACCATTAGGTCTTTTGCTGCCGTTCTGCCAAGCATTAAATATTGACGTTCTCAAATGAAGACCACGCAGACCATTTGTTTTTCATATTATAATGTATTAGTATGTAAATCATACTCAAATTACTTAGCGCAGTAATCCACGTTGACGAGAGGCTCTCCCAGCAATGCAGAGCATAGGACCCCTCGCGATATAGCCACGTCAATATCGGCCTTGTCGCGATTATTGATTCTATATTTATACATTGTGGTCCGCCATATGCCTCCATGACTTATGATCGCTTCTGTCGCACCTTATTGCCTCGACAGCGCGTCAACTAAACCTTACTGTTACTTTGATGCCCTTCGATCTACCGGAGTTTCTGGATCTTGTTCTACGCAAGACTCTCAGTCTATTAATCATCTGGTGCAGACTGGGTCAGATTTCGTAGCGGACTACAGTATCTAACTGGACTATATTGGCACCCAACTGCTCGAGGGTTGAGCTCTCAGTTGACAGGCTTAACACCAGCCAAAATGCACTCGAACTGATACACGTCCCATCAGTGGATTTCGGGGGGCAGAACTTTTGTACTAGTCGGCATTATCATACTACCGTTACCGTGGTAGCCATGGTGTAGAGAATATGGAGGATGCCGAGGACCTTGATCCAGAGACTTAAGTCCTTCTAAAGCCGAATATGCGATAGTAGAGAAACGCCATGCTGAATCTGGCGCGTAACTGATTGGGTGGAAACATGATTGTCGCAACAAATAAAGATAAGTACAATCGTTAAAGTCATGGACTTGGATATGCCTGTATTAAAAGTCTAGCGCTTAGCCAGCCAGAAATTTCAAATATACAAAAATAACTGCCGTTGTCTCTGCCTCCGGTAAATCCACGTGGTCGCGCGCTCCATGGACATTCGCCACCGCTGCCTGCGATCAGCATCCGACCCAGTTCATAGAGATGCGCTGGTAAGGAAATATGCAATAACATACGCAGACTTTGAACGACGATCTACACGACATAGAATACGAAGGCAACTTAGGCGAACCAGTCCCCAGTACCAATCCTACACAGCGACAATCGAGTTGCGAAGAACCGAAGCGCAGTTACTACAACACATTGGTGTGAACACAACATCGACAGCAAATCTGACACTGTGCAAAGAGTCACTGAAAATGTCTCAAGACATTTTGTAATTGTCATGGGTGTGCAACTTGTTGGATCATGGTGAACTCTGCACGACTTAACGAGACGGTAAATCATGGGAAATGGGAGAATGTGGCGTTGGGGACTTGTCATCAACTTGAGCTCTGCCTTTCTGTTCCTCGGTATTTGATAACTTGAGGGCTGAATACAGCACCGGGTGGCGGCGGCATCTAGTCATCACGCAACCAAAACGGGGTACTACTGATGTATGAAAGCAATGCTGCAGGAGCATTATATTGTCTTACTGGCATTGTACATCACCAACAAATGACGAACGCCAATGCGAGGGCCGCCAGATACGGCGCAGAGCGGTGCCACGACTACAATGCCCCCATATATGAAATATTGAAGGATCTAGCGATGCATACACAACATGCCAAACAATCTGAATAGTGCGCTTGATCGTTTTGGGGTGTATCTTTAATACCAAGTGTGCAATGCCGAATGTCAGTACGGATAGTTGGTGATCTCTGGGTTTCACAGGCATTAACATGTGGCGTCTACTGCGCAGAGATCATGGTATGAACGAGTAGAAAGCACAACAAGATATGTAATGAATAGGAAGTAGGGATATCTCTCCGTGTCGGTTCAAGGCGTAACTTGACAATCTTTACCAAATCTGGTTGTGGTGCTGTGCTGCCACGCTACGTTATTGGCGCCATGCTTGGGGTTAAAAGAGGCCGCCACTGTGAGGAGTACGCAACTCACATATACCAATGTTCAATGTATGACCGTCTAAAAAAGAACTTAGTTTGGCAAGAGGCTAGGTCATACTACTGGAATAAAATGTCAATTTGAATCGCACCATGCTGCAATAATAACTCATACAAATATTCTGACACCTATAATTCATATGAGCAAGAGCTGGACAGCACTCAAAACCTGGAAAATAAAAGATAACTAGGGAAGTTTATCAAATTTTGACGGAATACCTGAGAAGCTCTATTAATTTGTCTGCCACCTTATTCAACTACCAACGACTACCAATGTGCTTTTCGAGGCTTTGCCCCTAAATCACACAAACTAAGAGTTGAACCTAACATGTACAAGTGCTGTAAATGCGGAAGTTAATTTCCGCATCCTCGGTACATCCGTGAAATGCGATGCTTCACTTGACGAGGTAAAAATATCCTGCTATAACCAAGACATAGGGCTGCGCCATTTCCAAACGGGTATTTAAAGTAAGATGTTGTCACGTAATATACATGTGCTAAGGTACCATTCAAGTCCACCTACATCAAATAACCGCGCTATCCACACTATCATGGCTAGAGCTGCTGTGTAGCTAGGGAACCCTTTCATCTTGCTTCCTCACCGTAGTTTGTAAGTTCAAAAGATTGACCTTAATAGAGACTGAACAGAGACTTTCTGTGGCCCAGTGATGCCTTGGAGGCTCCACGACGTACCACTAGACACTATCTGGGATAGGTTCAGAGTAATGCTGTTATCGGGAACGTACTTCTAGCATGGCCAAGTAGCCGAATCATTTTCACAGATGTCCACCTCAACGCGCAATTGAAAAGTTCTTTTCGCAGCTCGAATCAACCACGCAATGCCTCCGTACCTCGTTTCCACCGAGGCTAGAGCTCCGTTTTCATTTTCTGCCACCGACCCAAGTACGAGAGATCGCCTATCCCAGATCCATAAGCACACCGGACATCTCCAGGACAACTGGATTGATGGAATCCGGCTCTATCCCAGTTAGTGGTTCTGAGCCGTCTCCGATATCAATATGACACCCTCAGGCAATCGATGAAATTCTGATTCCAGGACATTTCCCGAGGTTCTGACTCTACACCTTGGCCGGTACGCGCGGGAACAAATAAGATCGGGCATTATGCCGACGGACAATATGTTTCAGCAAGAAGCTAGAAGGATCATCTTTGACTCGGTTGATCAACGGGACCATTGCCAATAAAGACGACTGGTTGGCGTGTTTTCGCAGCCGCCATTTTGGAGATGCCCTCAGCTGTCAAAAGGTCTGAGCTTAAAATGACCTCTTCAATCTGCAACAAACCAAAGTGAGAGTGTTGACCCTCATGTTAGATATGGTAAGGTCTCTGTCTTGACTCATTCGGTTGTCTATGAATCCTTTGCGTGTTGAATGTTGCCAATGGATATGTGTAGTACAACGTGGCTGTCAACCCTCCCAGAGAATGTTCACCCAGTCCCTTTCCTGTTTCCCAACATGATATCCGTCATTCGGTCCATGAGCAACAAACCTGCAGTGTCACGCCCATGTTGACTTTAGTTTCTCCCGTTCAAGCTGGTCTCACCAACCTTGTTGTTCCAGAACACCGTGTCCACCACGAAAACCTGAATAAGTCTATTTTGGCGAGCAGCTTCTTGTACTTCAATGATCGTGATCGTCCTCTCTAACACCTCGCACTGCAACCCCTTCTCTGCTTTCTCTGTAGAACCCATTTCTTGAGTGGGCTCAATGATCCTGCCTCTTGGTCGAACCCTTGCTCTATGGCTAGACTAGAGCATGCTGAAGAGGTGGCCGCTGATCCGTGGCTCGCCAACAGTCGGGCTCCCAACTGGGGTACATCACCGTTGGCGGCAAGGGGCTGAAAATGTACAACAGGGCCACTTCAGGCACCTTCAAGCCCAGCTCTAGTCGGGTCCGATCAGGGTTTGGCCCATGGCAAAAACCGTTGAAGATTCTTGTATCCAGGAGATGATCTGCTCATGAAAGTGCGCTAAAATATTTGTTGTGCTGGAAAAGGACAAGCGTACTCTGTAGCAACGCTATTATTCTAAGCAAATATCAAAAACATTGCATTGGTGTGTCGCTTTGATATTTTCATGATTAAAGATGACTGAGGAAATAAAAGTCGTGGGTGCTTCAATACGCGTACAAAAGAGCAATAAGTTTGTTGGTAGAAAAGGTAAACATGCACCGCCTAAAACAGTCCTGGATCACTGGTTCCAAGCACCAGGTCTGTGGAGACGCGATCGCTGCTATCAGTAATAAGCTTAACATTGACTTTTTGTAGTGGGCCAAGGATTTTGCGCCAAGCACCGTTAAGAAAGCGATAGTGGATACAATCATCATTTCGAACAGCAGAGCTGCTTTCTCTACATAGTAAAGCTTCTAACCGTCAAACTTAGGTGCGGAGTATGTATCTCGGCATTTCCGCCTCCCCCTCCCCCAAAACAAAACGCAGTTGCAATTCAGACTCGAGATGATACATGCAAGATTGATTTGCGGGACACGAGTGTCCTAAGGAAAAGACTGTGTATTAAATAGAAACAAGAGCAAATTATTTCTCAAATTCAAAATATGATGGGATATCATCAAAGCAAAGGATAACGCCGCTTGTCCGAATGCGATCCGATTTCTTTTGAGGGCTTTTCGCAAACCGGTTCTGGAACCGTCGGACTTTCCAGTAGTCCTTCATCCATGGAAACACATATATTCATTGTCAATGGGCCACGACTGCCCGCCCGGACATCAAGTCTGCGTAACCAGGCAGCGCATGCCTCTGAAATTGGACATCTGGAACAGACATCGTTCGTGGCCTCAAGAACTCATCTGCTTGAGCCTCTTCCACTGCCGCTTCAAAGCTAGGGGGACCTAAATGATCGATGACCCCTTCTGCTGACAGCACACCAATTTGCAACGGCACGCCTAGCATGATGTTTGTGTTGTTACCTCCGCATGATAAAGATACCGTAAGCCAGAGAACGTACACTCTCGAGACGATGCATGAGTGGAATGATGGAATGAACAACTTCTTGTGCACTGGCAAGTCTATTGGCACTCGAAAACTTGCGGTGTGGTAAATGGGCGACTCTTCCTTACTGGAATCCTTGCTGCCTCGTCGCCGGTCGGGATCGCTGTCTTGTCCAGTGCGCCCCGCGTCTGATACAGATTCAATAGAGTCAGACGTAGCCGTGGTGGTTGTTGAGGCAGCAGAGCCTCTTCTGGCTTCCATCTTGATATTCTGTCGCCACCTGAGTTTGTCGATGTGCGTGGCTGCGAGAGAAACCGAGCTAGGATACGACCCACGAGAGTCCGCACCGAATGCCCTGACCCATTCACCCATGTTCGGGAAACCATTGATGGCACCTGCGCAATAATATGTTACTGCCGAGAGTTTAGATGAAACACCCGTCACTGTCGGTGGCAATGATAGACTGGATGATGGGTCAAAAACAAGGTCAACCTGTGCAGCAGTAGTTGTGGCTGAGGTAGCATCCGAACTCAACATGACAGCGCTTGGTTGCTTGACAGTGGCTGTGAGCTTTCCGACTTTTCCTGCAATAATCGACTTTCGAAGCGTTTTGGTCTTGGACATTTTGTAAAGCTTGTCGCGAGGGGTAACATGCAGCGGCGGCGACTCAGGATGAGCTGGCAAGATTCTGACAGGATATGACATTTCCATGATTTTCGTGAGCTTCCTGGTATGGTCCTCCTCCGCGAAGAGCCGTGCCACGACAGTGTACTCTACTGTTGACATGTCCGGAGCTAGATCATCTTTGCCGCCCCATGAACCCATCGAAGGTGGTAGGCATAAGTGGCTATCCTTGACGGCATCGCTGTCAATATTATGATTGCACGCATTTAGCGTCAGGTGGCGAGGAATGACGAAATTGAACGGGATCCGGTACGATTGACCAGCTTCATAGATCCTTGGGGCGGGATATGACGATTCTGGAATGGGCATCTCGAGCTTTAGAAATGTATGTGATGTTATGTGAGGTGAGCGTACGCCATCCATTCGGCTCTTCCCAGTTCCCATGAACAGGATCTGGACCTTGTCGAATTGGGTGTCTTTGCTGACTTCAATTTGAACATGCCCAGATACCGAGGAGGATGATGTATAAATTCTGTTTGTAAAATGGTGGTCGAGATGGATCTTCATATTGGACTTGCCGGTGACCAGCCGGTAACTGACATCGCCCACAATATTGACATCGTTGTTGGATGATAAGTTGAACATGTCTGCGGTGCTCTATCGGTGATGTTTTATCGGTAGTAGGTCTGATGCTGCCAAGGGATGGCGGTCCTTGGCCTTCGCACACGGGATCTATTGGCGTCTTGTCGCCTATCGAATGCCGTGTAACCGGGACGCGGAAAGGTATTGCGGATTGTAGAACGCGAGTTGTATTGTTTCAATGATGATCGTTCTCCGTAAGAAATGCTTCCCTTTACTTATTCCAATTGACGAGATGGTTGCGACCGCTGGCTTATATTGTCAATACCGACAATTTACTATCTTATGGCGAGATCCACAGCTAAACGTTGGTGAGTAAGAGTCACTGACTAACTACCATGGGGAAAAGTGTTATGGGCCCGTCGCATTCTTCGCATGGAACTGGGGTGTGTTGGTCCATCAGGCTACGACATGTTGGACCCCATGCGATGCATCTTGACGTACACGCCCCCAGGTCTTACAGGAAAAAGTAAGCGAATGGAAGCGCGTCATTGGATGAAGTCATGGCACCATTGCAGCAAGCTCTAGACCGGAGATACGCCCTTCACGACGTGCGTCGGCACTAAACCTACTTCGATAGGTCAATGCTCTGGAGTCATCTCACGTTCTCCGGGCCGGTCGTGAGCATTTGTTGCAGATTCAACTATTGTCACAGATGTGGATATATTCAGTACGGCTTCGGCTTCGGTCTTCATTACAACTCGGATAGCACAGCAACTTTGGTGGGCCATACGGATCCGCAAGAAGGGGAAAATCCACCTATCCCAGGTATAAATGCTGCTAGCGAATCTAGCACACGCCTTTGGCACCTTGTACGCCTTTCACAAGCGCGTCTCTTGACATGCTAAACTTTGCGCCCTGTTTTTCGCGGTGTGTGACACCCAGACCATTTGCTGATTGAAGATATGTAGCAGAGCTCCGATATTCGCAACCCATCAATATATTTTTGGCTTCGACCCAGAGAAGAACTACAAGCAGCTTTGGTAGCACCTAAACATGTGAAAGGTACATTCTATTCAATCAATCGTGATTGCCAAGATATTTTAATTTTATTGAAATTTTAAATTACTTTCTTCATCTTCGTTCGAAAGTACTGTTGTACACACATTACTTTCTGCGACACCTATTGACGTTTGACACAAGTTCCATCAAACTTCTCACTTTCTGACCATGCTTAAGCGACAGAAATGGCTGCTTTTTATTCAGATCAGCTCGAAAAACGCATGATGCCTAAGGATACACCGACACTGGCAGGATTGGGAAAAGGGCCGACGTCGGATGGACAATTGAGATGGCATCGGCAAACTGGCCGTACCTTTTGGGGTCTTGGTCGTTATGCGTTGGGAACAGAAAGATGCATGTGAGTACCACGACCAATAGAGTATGCCCGGAATAAAGTACGCCAATTGCCAGAGCCTAACGACTTCCATTGGTTGTGAAGTAAGATCGTGTGCCAAAAGTATTGAATAGGGCACAATGCACTAGAACTGCGACGTAGCCACTAATTTAGCCAATATTGGGCCAACGGATTACTCCGCACAGTAATCGCTAATGGTTAGTGGGATAGGGATGACTCCTTTAGCGGTCGTTTGGACCTCTTCCCAATCGAAAGGCTGAAATCAAGCATGCGTACTACTTTCACATTGAAGGCACTAGCAGTTGGTGTGCACGCCTTTCGATTGACAAGTGATCGGATAATTATTGCTCAGCTGTGTTATTGATGACAAACGCATCGTTGTGATGCTGACAGACCCATAGTGTGATGGTTCTGCACTCTCCAAGTCATGAAACCCAAATCCATTACCAATGGTCTTGCGATGATGCAATTCTCCAGCTTTCCAATTTTTACACTCTCCTGACTGCTTTTATCGGAATGCGTTAAGGAAGTTGTCAGAAAGTTGGGTGAATAGATGACAAATATGCATCGTCGATAGCGCAAACAACCAAGGTCTGACTGTTGCGTTCAGATCGCCGTCTTGTTGATCAATTGAACCACCAACTCAATGGATTACTCAGACAAGGGTCAGAGCTGTTTACCTGCCCTAGCCACTCTCTTGGTGCCTAGTCCCATGATATGTATAGCATGATGCCAGCACCTAGCGCAATTGCAGCAAATTGGACGAGGGTTTTCTTCAGCTCGGCCTTCTTGTTGGGTCCCGTCTCGAGCAACTCCGGGATCACGGCCACGGTCCCAACATACAAGAACGTACCCGCCGTGAAAGGCAAAAGCAGGTCACCATACATCAAAGACGTGCCGAACAACCCACCATGAAGTCCAACAGAAGTCTCGCTTGCGGAATGACCTCCGAACTCCTGAACAGCAATTCCAATCAACGTACCCAGCAGCGCACCTACAGCCGTAACAAACTGCGCGCCCATGGCGGCTCGCTTGGAAAAGCCAGATTGCACTAGAAGAGCAAAGTCGCCTACTTCGTGTGGGATCTCGTGGAAGAATACCGCCACGGTCGTCGTGGCTCCAATGGTAGGTGATGCATAGAAAGAGGCAGACATGGCTAAACCATCAGTAATGTTGTGGGTGAAGTCAGCACTGCGAGTAAATGTCAGCATCAACCACTTCATAGAATGTCGCTCCAGGGCTTGCGCGATTTGGTCGGAAAACCACCATGAAATGATAATCAGAGATGGTTTAGACTCACATCATGTTGAGATAGCCGCCCAACTTAACACTCGGGTTTATATCCTTCTTCTCCGCGCCCAATACAGGATCAGAAGCTGTAGCTACTTGCTTTCTGGACTTGACTTCACCGCTTGAGAGTTTCACGGAGCTCGAGGACCCCGCGGTAGGACCACTACTTGTGGCCGAATGAGCACCATGACCATGGCTATGGTCATGGCCTTCGCCTCCCGTTGCAATCCTCAATCCCTTATCCATAGCGACAAACGTCATGAATCCTACCATGATGGCGGCTCCCAGTAGCAAGTTTCTATTAGGCTCCACCATTACGAATCTGACTTGATCTGGGCTATCTTCACCTAAGAAGATTTCCGGAAGCAGGTGGAATAATGTGTCGCCCATCAGGCCACCCACAGCAAAAGCCACCATGACGGACAGCGATGATGGGTCAATGTTGGGTGGACATAGCGCAAGGAGGAAGTTTGGCGGGCCTGATATGTAGAGGGTCGCCAGGATTGCATTTACTGCCGGGCTGCCAGGAAAGAGAACGCCGAAGATGCGAGAACTCAAAGTCGAGGCACCGTCAGACCCGGCTAACTTCTCGGCGTTCAACTCCACCACAACCGGACATAGCTGTTGTCCCTATCAGACATGCATTAGAGCGTTCATCGGTTCCAGTACATACCTGAATTCTCTCTTCGATATCCTCGAGGCTTAAAGCCGCTACCGCCGAGGATTCCGCAGCGCTATCACCAACGTTGATTTTGGACATTCCGGACACCAGCCCGACTATCAACAGTAGAATGGCCAGCAACCGCCAATTGAATCCGAGGGTCACCATTTTGATGGAATATGACACTGAAAATACACCGTGACTTGGTCTCGCGTACAATTGAGAATAGAACGAGGAGTTAGGGAAAGTTGCAGCGCTTACGATGCGCGCATTCTCTGTTTAGAGCTAACCTTAATAGCGGGCCAGCCGTCGGGCTCAGAGCTGATCACCGAACTCGGATCTGATAAGATGGACTTAATGACGTAAGTCGGCGACAACAGACAATTTCCGAGCCGTTTTAATACGAGTTTTGATGTATGGAGACTTAGTTGTGTGAAAGCTCTCCTTCGAACAATGAAACCCCTCGATAGATTTCGTTTGCTTCAAAAGTGCAAAGCCTCAGTGAGACCACAAGTGGGTCTGTTCATCCAATCGTTACAAGATCGTGCAACAACGACAAAAGCGAATTACAATCATTGCGTCTTCCATGCCTTTTTCGGTAGGTTTGGACTCAGGCGCCGGCGAGTCCTAAATGGGGTTAACGATCTGAACTGAACCTGTTCCTGTAGGAACATCACGTACTTGGAGTATGGTAGCATGCCTTGCAACCTGATACACTCAGTATCGATGTTATTCCCACGGAGACCTTACTGCCATACTGTTCATGGTTCTTCCAAATCGCAACAAGTCCACTGCCATCGCTCTGATCGTGTACGTGGTCCAGAAATTCGAGCCGTTGCTAATTTGCGTGCATTGGCAGAGCCGAATGCCATGATGAGCCTATGTAGACAAGAAGGCAACTTAAGAGTACGTGATTGGCGATATATCCAGCTCGCAAGGCAAGACCGGTGATTGGGCAGGCTCTTCCTTGGCTTCGATTCCTATAGCAAGGACTATGTTGTAATCAAGGAATGACACCATATGTGACTTTTGTAATCATCATAAATTCAGCTTCGAAGCACTCGTTCGGGACACAAGCACCAGTATAGACACATGGCTATTGTGGTTATCAGTGACTTCGCAGGCTGTCCCAAAGGAAGCTGCTGGCTCAAAGCCCGCCCCTTTTGGGCATGGATACCATATAGTCGGTCTCAGTAGTTCACATGGTCGGGGTTGACCCTTGGCTCAATCTCTGGTCGGCGGGATGTCGGTCCTTTTGCTGAGGTTTTGCTCGACCTTTGCGGCCTTCATCCCGTTTGAAGGCTCGCTAAACCTCTGTCGGCACGCGCCGAGAAACCTAGGCCAGGGGTCTCCAAATAGCCTCTGGGGTAGATTATTGTCTTTTATAAAAAGCTACCCAAGCCTATTCTTTTGAAATTAATTGTCCATGTTGATGCCATGGAAGGTACAGGAAAAGAATACATCGCGTTGCGAATTGATCGTTTATTGAAAAAGCATCATCATCGCCCTTGAAAGCAAGGGCAGCCGTCCGATGCTTCACTGGAGTTGGAGAAACAGGGATCATAAACATGGAGAGAAGGAAGAACAACAGGCTAACTACCTCCTACTTAAAGCTACCCCGCGCCCAAGCGACCACATTTCTTCCCCACATGTTCCCCAAAATCGGCCCGCAGTTCAAGGCGAGATTGGTTCTGAAGCAAGAGCGGAGTTTAGAACAGCATCAACACCTTAAGCGTAGCGACTATGGCCTATGAGGCATGCCTAAATTGCAGCAACATCAACTCCGACGCCATGGTTCTCGCTAAGGCTATCATACAGAAAAACGACCGAGGCTAGCATGATCAGGGAATCAGCACACGTTCCTCGGTCTACATAAGACCCACAAGATCTCTCAGCAAAGACTTCATCAGGCTCTTGTTCATCCAACGACAAGGAATATCGATAAAAATGCCCTCCCTCGCGTCCAGGTTCGTTGCGGGCATTGCGACTCTGGGCTCAATAAGCCTAGCCAGTCCAGCTAGACTCGGTCGTGCTACCGATGTGAACGCTTTCATCACCGCAGAGAGGCCAATTGCGCTTCAGGGAGCCCTGAACAATATCGGACCTAATGGTTCCCAAGCCGAAGGTGCCGCTGCCGGCTATGTTGTCGCCAGTCCTTCCAAGGTCAACCCTGACTGTAGGTTGACGTCACTTCCAAGTTGTAAACATCGCTGATGGCTTAAGACTTCTATACCTGGTCCAGAGATTCAGCTTTGACATTGAAAATGATCATCGACGAGTTTCTCCTTGGCGAAACAAGCTTGCAGCCATACATTGAGGATTATCTCCACGCACAGGCGGTTCTTCAGACGGTATCGAACCCGTCCGGTACCTTTTTACCGTCTGGTAAGGGTCTTGGGGAACCCAAGTACAACGTTGACGGGACTCGGTATAATGGCAATTGGGGAAGGCCTCAGCGCGATGGACCGGCTCTGCGTGCGGTCGCGCTGATCACATACAGTAACTGGCTGGTATCAGTCGGACAAGCTGCTAGGGTAAAGACGGTTGTCTGGCCCATCATCTCCAATGACTTATCCTATGTAGGTCAGTATTGGAACTCGACAGGGTTTGATCTGTGGGAAGAGGTATCCGGGTCCAGCTTTTTCACCATACAAAGCCAGTATAGAGCCTTGATCGAAGGGAGCTCGCTTGCTAGCACCCTTGGAGTCGACTGCACTGGTTGCGACGAAGCGCCTCAGATTCTTTGTTTCTTGCAATCCTTCTGGAATGGCAAATATTTCAATGCCAACATCAACACCAATACGGTCAGGTCAGGTCTCGATGCAAACACCATCCTCGGCTCTATCGCAATCTTCGATGTAAATGCCAGTTGTGAGAGCTTAACTGTCCAACCATGCAGTAGCCGAGGGTTGTCGAACTTCAAGGCCTTCGTTGACAGCTTCCGCAACGGAACTTTGTACCCAATTAATGATGGCATACCAACGGATACCGGTATTGCCCTCGGACGGTATACTGAAGATATTTACTATAGTGGCAACCCTTGGTACGTCAATATATTTTAGGCGAACCCAAACAACTAAGCACTGACGTTACTTAGGTATCTAATCACAGCAGGAGCAGCAGAATATCTATATGATGCTGTCGCACAATGGAACGCACAGGGTTTCCTCACAATTGACGAGATATCATTGTCCTTCTTTGCGGGTCTCTATCCCGCGGCCAGGGTGAAGACTTACATAGCAGATGAGAAGTGTTCAGAGTTTTCTCGCATCCTAAAAGCTGTTAGCATCTACGCAGACTCTTTTGTATCTGTCGTTGAGCTATACACTCCGGCCAACGGTTCACTTTCAGAACAATTCAACAAAGCCGCTCCCGGCAACCCTCTGTCTGCATACGATCTGACCTGGTCATATGCCGCTTTTGTGACAATGGCTGAACGTCGCGCTGGTCAATATCCACCGAGCTGGGAGCCTTCCGCGGTTGCGTCCGTGCCCTCTCAATGCCAAGCTTCATCGACTAAAGGTATTTACGTTCCAGCTTTCGCCGCTGGCGCTCCGAATGTTTCGACCTCTTGCACCTCATATGTCCAGTTCGCCGTCAACGCTTCGACCTATTTTGGTGAAAACATCTACCTTGTCGGAAATACTTCTGATCTCGGCGCTTGGGACGTCGCCAACGCACAACCATTGCTCTCATCCAACTACACTTCTGAGCGACCTCTTTGGTATGCGCCTGTTGCGCTAACGGCTGGGGAATATATTAACTACGGCTATGCTAGGCAGGAAAACTGCGATCAACCTTGGATTTTTGAGACGGTCAATAGGACACTGCTAGTCCCTGCCTGTGATGAGTCTGACGTTGAGGCTATAAGGGCAGAAACCAATGACGCCTGGACAGGTGCTTTGGGAAGCAGCGGCGGATGTTAAGGCCTCCTCTTCTGTTTAATCTAGGTAGCTTGGAATGTAATAATAATGTTCGTATCGTCGCAGTACCCACTTTCAAACGCGTTTTCTCCTATTCTCCATCATATCAATCATTCAAAGACGATAGTTGCACGACTTCTAATTATTGATTTGCCATGAAAATTCAATGGGTTTAGAGTGAGGTATTCCTATGATATTTTACGGTGTTCAGCATTTCACCAATGCTTTATTTAGAATTTGGACTCGTTCAATCATGGTCGCAGCTCTATAAATCGTATCAAGCTTTCCAGTTGTTTCCGTTGCAGTTGCAAGCATGAAAAGTGGAAACAAGCCAAGGCAAGCACGAGGGAAAGGCTGAGAAGAAATGAACCACTTCTCTCTGCCCCTCTTCAAAACTCTGTCAACTTACTTCTCATCACACTTTTTGACTCTTGGACTACAGCATACTTGATATTTATCAATCAACATTTGCACAACATATCAGACTGGCTTTCAATACTCCTCATTCCAGATGGCCCAGACGAGGTGTATCATATGCCTGAGCCCAAAGGCTCATCTCTGCGAAGTCTGTAAAGCAGTCTCTTACTGTTCCCAACGGGCGAGGGCTTGAACAAACCGACGCATAGCGTCCTGTGTATGGACTTCTCGCCAAAAGTCGGGATTCGAGCCTCTGCTGGGCATCGGTTAGTAATTCAATTTAGGTATGATGCGGTCGTACCCTCGTTGGGAGACATGACAGCCACTTCCCATCACGCTATAGCCGCCCAGCACTTCATGTGGAGGTTGAATAATTGGGGTATAACTCTTCCCAGCGAGATTAAGTGTGTAGTTCATAACCCTCGTGTCCAACATAGCTTTCCCCGCGTCTCGGCTGTCTTCTCTACAGGAAGTTAGAATCAATGTCGAAATTTACTCACTTGTTGCTCTCGCCACATGAATCGTGGATGCGACAAGCCCGAAAGGATTCCGTTCGGTTCATTACTAGTTTCGGCTTTTTAACAAGACGGCAGGGACGATATTTGACGCCAATCTCGAGGATTTAATGCACATCATCGACTATTTCAAGTACTATTCTCGGGGCGAAGTGTCTCGACAGGAAAGCTCTGCTGCTTCTGCTTTTAAGCGTCTTCACTGTATCAATGATAATGTCAGTGCCGTTTCCAAGTCCATCTGTTATAAAGGCAGCCGAATCCACGGACTACTTCTTGATTCCCATGAACCCATGGTCTCAGAAGAATCAGCAGCGATGAAATCCATGGTTTTGGTCCCAAAAGCCGTTATACGTATTCCCGGTTGTGGCCAGAACTCGCGCATATCTTTCTGGCTTGGCATTGGAGTCACAATCGCTGTGGACCATACGACCAACTACAAATCACCCAATTATCATGCCCAGGCCCTCATGCTCGATCGTACAGATTCAATGAATCCACATTGGGGCAAGACTACTCCCGAATGGCGTGGTTATATCGGAAATGTTGATGTCGTTCTAACGAATGATAAGGCCACTGGGCATCCAGGCTGGGTACGACATCAGGATGCTCTGCGCGTTCAATCTAGATGAAATTCGACCACGTATGCATCAGGTATTCAAGCAAAACATGTGGGAAGCCAGAATAGAGGTAATGAATTATCACACGCCTGAAATTACTAGAAGTACTTTTGGTAGGTTAACCATGAGGAATCTTCTCGTGAACTAAGAGACCCAAGGCACTGGTCAGAGAGCCGGGTCAGAGCTGGCTCTTGTACGGAAAAAACGGGATAATAGAAGGTAGCTTTTGAAAGTTGAGAGGCAGATAAACTTGTTATTCTGCATTGTTTTAAGCTCCTGAACCACGTTCTTTCTGATTGACTTGATGTACTTCAATTTCACGGTTGACTCATACGTCAGTGTTATCTCAGTCTCGAAGCTTAAAAAGCACATTTTGTCATTTGTAGCGATAAATTCGCCGTGCAAGATAGAATGAAACGTGAAGTATCCATAAAGTCGCTGTGGCTAGGGGAAGCATGGGAAAGAATATTAAACAGCGTGGGCTCGTAAATCCAAAGTCAATCCGCAGGTTTCATCAAAGAAACGACGATATGTCTCCACATGAACTCACTTTCGATGTGATGAGAGCTTCTTGACAAGTGTAGATCTTGAACCCTAATGAGAAACGTTGAGGACGGCATTGTGGAAAGAAAAGGCTCTATTTTTGTGAGTATAATTGGTTGTCTTCACCGAGAGTGCAACAGAGAAAATATATACCCATGACAGCAGATGATGTGAAATGTGGAAGATTCCAGTCCTGAACTCAGGTCCCATTAGATACATTAGGTCGTTGCTTAGACATCGTTCAACCGCAAGCAGCCACTATAAACGAGGAGATGACAGACGATACGAATCTTTAGGCCCAAAGGTAATGCTTCCGTGAGCAGGATTAGTATTCTTTTGAAAAACAACGTGTAGGACCTCGGCTAAGTCTTTAATCATCTAGCCCAGATTACTGAGCAGCCGAACCTGCTTACATTTGAAGCAACAGTCACCTATATACTGACCCACAGTTTCGAAAATAATAAACGAAATGTATCAAACGATCCAGAATAATGTCCCATATTACCTTCGGCATATACTGTCAGTCTAAGTCGACTATTTATAATAAATCACTACCTCATTTTTGTTCTTCGCAACATAACTTAAGAGCATACTTGCTTTTGAAGATGGCCCATCTAGGCCCCAGTTCTTCTGAGGAACTCCTAAAGCTTAACAGGTACCGTTTTCGATCATTTGCCTTGATCTTCACGTTTTCCAATCAACTGGGCAACTGACCAAAATTTTGAAGAGAATATGTACCTAAGCACAAACCTCAGTACCATTATACACCAAAAAGCTTCATCAGTACATCTAAAATGATCATTGGTGCGCTGAAGCTTGGCTTTGAGCTATATGTTTTTTGTCGCCGTCTCACAATATGACAGTTTCGTGTATGGACCCGCGCGTTATCCCGGAAGAACTTTGCGGCTTATCCGCAGGCCGTGAGTACCCAAGTCGTAGAATTTGGTTGCAGCTTACTGAATTTATGTAGAAATCCCAGTGATTCGATGCGCCGGAGGGAGAGCACAGCTTGCCGTCAATGATATTGCTGTTCTTAATGCACTCATCGGCATCAGTGAGATTGTTTTGATACACCACCAAGGTAGGATCAGCCACCGGAATACTCGATACTAGCATTGAGTTGAGCTAAAAGCTTCTAGATTGTGGGCTGATGCACAAGACTGACGAACAACTTCGGCAAAAAGTCACAAGTCTATCCGTTTCTGCAGCCTCGAACATCAATTTCGACGGACTGGCCATCGACGAGTATGAATATATCTGGAGTATCCCAAACTATGTACAGAATGTTAATACTGATCTTCGCGGTTAGCTTGCGCCAAAGCTTGAAACACGACATTGCCTGGTTGAGTCAGCATCCACTCATTAAGCACGAAACTATCATTACGGGACTTGCTTATGACATCGACACAGGGGCTCTGGAGCGAGTTGATTCAGATCTCTTGTAAATAGTCTCGCGCTTCGTGTATAGTTTGGGAAACCTCTAGCACTCAAATAACATGTGATTGCTTCCAATTTATATTACGGTGCTGCTCTATGGGTTATAATCATGAATCGGTGTGCTCGACGTATAATTTAACACGGAATGTGCTGGTCTGGCATAGCTGTAAGTTTAGTTGCGGGTTGATTACGCGCATATGTAGAAAGGCCACAACTTGGCCTTTCGCGACGCTCTACCCATTCGACGCCATACGCACAAGCACTTAGGGCGCTTATACCCCAGCGAAGTATGACTTCATTTCAGTACAAGCAGGAAAAGATCGGCACGTGAAATGCCGTTATCATTAGGCAGTTTGAACGTCACATTTATCTTCTCTAGTCAATAATTGGGACGCAGTATTAATATAGCTAGATTTGATTTAGGCTGTTCGTTTAGATTGGCTTGTTTTGGATCACTCGCAAACCTTGGCGTGCGGAGTGCCTTTGAATACAGCTATCTATATCAACAATGACTGTCCCGCGTAATGTGGAGACGTGCATGATACTCAAATCTCACATATCCCTAACTTATACCATTGAAAATGCGTCTTTGGAAACTTCTTTCTGTCACTATGTTGGCACCTGCCATGAGTCTTGCCGCTCCGGCTGTCAAGGAACTTTCTCTTTCTTACCTATCAGCTCTCAATCAAAAAAGAGAAAATTTATGCAACCTGAAGGCCCCACCAGCTCTCTGCCAACCAAATACCACAGTCAGTGTCTCGGAGACGGCGTCAAGGGCTTACAAGTTCTATCGCGCATTTGTGGTGGATGGGGACCCCAGGACCATGTTCTCTCTCATAGACTCAACTTACAAGGTAAGCAAAGTGTGTTTCCGTCCGATGTCCATTGTTGGAATACGTTCTATTGATCTATCCGCAATAAACAACTATGGGGCTATGAATAATTGATGGCACAACTGCGTAGCAACACCACCCGGGTTATGCAGACGGACCCAACACCATCTGGTCGATTTTCTGCAACGGTCAGAAGATCGGCACCGAGCAGAACACGGCTTGGTGCTTTGATGCCAGCACCAATATGTCGTATGCGCGATACTCAACCACGGACCGCTGGCGCTGGGTTGATGGATGTGTCCACGAACATGTGAGTCTAACCGTCCAAGATAATCGGGGAAAGGTGTCACTCGTTTAGACGAATTGTATCTAACCATTTCTCTCCATTACGTAGTGGGATCAGAACGAGTCGATTCCAACGGATAAGTGCTACAAGTTGAACAACACCAGCACATCTTGAGAAATTAAGTGGAAAATGGCCTGGTGTGGTGCGCAAATTAAATCGGCAGTCATGATATTGGCGAGAGAAGGTGATAGCTAGACTCGGTTACCAAAGTTGGGGCCAATTTGCCGGACATTTTGAATGATGTACGTCTTCTTCTTTACTGTTGCCTTGATTTTGGCAAGGGTATTATTTGTGATAATTGGATCAACTATGCCGCATTTGATGCGCCTGTTCGCAAGCCGGCATATCGCCAGCAGACGATGTCAGCTTACAGCGCGCGCTTCCCTCAATGAGCGATTCCAACATTGGCAGTTAGCACATTCTATTCATTCTTAGATCTCAGTTCCGCTCCAGATTGTGGTGCGTAAAATAGCTTGTCCACGGCTGTTCAGTCGCTCGGTTGCGTCAATGTTGCTTTCAGCTTGTGCGCCGGGGTTGGGCCTCGTGCAGTTGATGGAAGGGTCAGAGGTTGTCCATGAGATCATGGTAGCCCGAAACAGGCCGCGGAGGGGCTGGTATCACAAACACGTCCGGGCATTCATGTCTTGGACTACAGCGCCGGTGTGCATTTGGAAAGGATAAAAATGCTGCACATCCAACGTGTGAAATCATATGGCACAGCAGTCGCTGTTTTCAGTCTAGGACCATGAAAGTGTTTCCTTCCATGAACGGCCCAGTTGATGACTCACACCACGGCCATCAATGCTAGATTGTAGCACCGTAGTTTTTGAACGCTCTATTACACTGCTCTCCGAAAAACCGTTGGCTCACTTACTCATATTGAAGTCTGTGGCCTGAAAATCTGCATTGCAGAAGATCACATTGCTATGGCTAGCCCTCATGTCATTATGTCAACCAGATGGCTTGTCAATAGTCCTGGTGGTGAGAAGAATTAAGCACGTTTCGCAAATTTGTTCGTTGCCCAATTCTCGGAAACCTATCGCTTATTGGTTCACCGCTAACTCAAATAACTGCACCTAATAATCTCTAAACGTGACGAATCTCGGGTGCAAGGAAATGGATAAACTTGTTATGCGGATGTATAATGCCACGCCACGACCGCGTATCTTTGTGCTTGGTCTCAGCGTGGACATTTACACATCGATTGACGTGGCCGATGCAATTGGCACGTTGCTCGCCATGCTCCAGTGGCGGGTCGAACCGATATTGCCGAGCACGTTGAGAGGTATCGTGCACACTATACGTCTGGCGGTGAATTGCTGACCTATCTTGTTATAGACAATTAACTTACCAGCACTGCCCTCGACTGACGTAATGGGTGTTGAGAAGTGTACGGCAGTCATGCAGTTGCGAGCGCTTCTGAAAGAATTTCCTTGCGAAACTGGATTGGCTTTCTCGGAACTTACAGGTGAGCGGCATGGTAAGGCAGCCTTGGTAAGTGTAACCACAGATAGCCCGATGTAGGTAATTAAATGAGAAATATCTATTCATCCACCAGTTCTTGACGCGCCGGTTATGTAGATTTAAGTTCTGATACGCTGTTGCTCAAGGCTGCTAAGCAACTGGCCAAATCGATGAGATATGCTGTTATAAAATATGAGAGACAGATAAGCTATTTAAATTCTTGATTTGTCATCAACCCTGCTGGACAACGATTTTTCAAAGTTCTTCAGTAACCAACACATCTGCAAGATGGAATATCAGCCGCATTTAGGACTGATAATAATGCAGCTGTGAGAAGTATAAGGAAGCCGTGTGTCAATACCAACCCTCCACTAAAGTTGCTTCGAATGCTACCTGATCGTACTATGGGTTGCGGGATTTGGTCGCAATTGAACCAACAACGGTATGGGCATCATGACAGGCGTTGTATTTCAGGGGCGAAAAAGTAGGGGAGTGAGGTATTCAATCTATTGTCCGCCGCTTGATGCGAACTTTCACATCTCCGCCGGGGACAATCGTCCCGCTTCCTGGATATGCCCTGGAGAATGGTGGAATATTGAATGAATCCTCGTCGCTAGCCTCAATATCGAACGTCAATAAAACCATTGCCACGGCTGCAAGAATCTCCTGTTTAGCAAAGACACGGCCAGGGCACATGGACTTGCCGCCTCCCCAGGGCCACATTCGTGATGATGAGCCGCCGGAACTGAATACATACTGGCCATCCTGTTTAGTGGGATCGGCATGTTCCAAAAACCTTTCGGCATAGAAAATGTCGGCAGGTGGTTCAGCGAAATAGACCGAGTCATAGTGACTTGCAATGGACGGCGCCAGCACAATGCTCTCTTTCTCAAACTTTAGGGTGCGGCCTCCATCCTTGACATCTAAGGGCAACTCAACGTCTTGGTGTAACTTGCGGGTAATAAGTACATCAACGTACACCCGAAGGACTTCGTGGAAAATGCTTTGCAGCAGCGGTGCAGATATCAACTGATTAATGTTCAGGTTGACAACGCTTGCTTTCGAGACATCATCGTCTACCACGACAGCTTTTCGAATCTCTTCCATAACGCGAGGTAATATATCTGGATGTTCTGGATCAAGAATATGCATAAGCATCCATCCGGTCGCTGGTATGGCGTTTGAGTTCAAGCCAAATATCAATCCCAGCTCAATCTATAATCGTTGAAGTTAGCAGCTGTTGATTTCCTACACCAGTGGGGTTTGTTGGACTCCACAGCCTTCTTGTAAGTCAGAAGGTGCAGAATGGGCAGAACGCGTACAAAAGCAAGAAATAAAATGAAACGATAGACTGCACATATCACTCACACTTGCTCTGCCACTCTGGCTCATTTCACGCTCAATCCAAAGTGCCTGCCGTGCGCGGCTGAAGCGACTGCCCCAGAATGGTTCCCATTCTTGCTCGGGATTTTGAGGGTCAGGCGTGCGTCCTTTCGTTTCATTATCGACAGTATGTATCCACTTTTCAAAGCCACTCAGTATTTTGGCTTGAGCCGCGTATGACTGTGGCTTGAAGAATTTGGATACGCCAAAGATCAGATCGAGTATGCCTCTATCAAAAGGAGGGAAGTCTTTCTCGAGATTTGGATAAACATCCAAGATGTATTTCCCCATGAAGGCGGTAACAGAAGCTCTGAACATCATAGGATGCAACCAAGCATAGAGACCGACTCCGTCGCGCGTCTCTAGTGGCAATTCGCTAGGCAGCTTTTCAATCTCTTCTTGGAAGAACCTTATGAAAGCTCGCGTGAGCTCATTTACGCCCGATTGCTTAAGCATGAACTCCTGGTGTAAATGTACTTCCTGCCTATCTGTTTTTGTCTCTGAAATGAGCTTGTCATGATCATCATGGCTCATTCCTGTGGCCTTGGTCAAAAATATCTCATGGAAGTTCTCCCTGCTCGCGACGCTACGCTTGAGCTTGTAAAGAGCTTGAACTACATGGTGCGAGAAGACGACGTATGTAGTCTGGCCGCCGAGTACCAGTTTACTTGCGCCACTCTCACGCGTGTGCCAGTCAAGGAGGCTTAGGAAGAATCTTCCGGGTAGTTGAGTAAGAAATCCAACAGTATGTCCAAGCCATGGAATCTTGTAAGGGATAGGAACAGGTCGATTCTCCGTGTTCGAGCCGCGTTGATGCAATAAGAACAATCTATATTGCAATGTTGTAATGGTGTATGTGATGGTATAAATGGCTAGACACACCAAAGGGGTAATTAAGAGAATCTGTGGAAACATCTTGGCCTCTCGTGGGCTTTGCCAACACTTCTGAGCTTGAACTTTGAAAAACGTGTATTGTTCAATAGATACAAAATCTCTCGCATTTTCTTGAGGGAAGCCTAATCACAATAGAGTTCGGTATGTCTCACATCCAGATTGTCATTGTTCGGTAGCCTACCACGGCGATGGTGAGAACGTCGTTGTGACGTGACAGCTGATGACATGCCGAGATATCCGGGCTCTTAGCTGTACACATGCAAACATTGCCAATCCTGCACAATGGTTCCAGATAGATTTGGACGGGGTTCTTGTCTCACCTCAAAGGCGCCTAATCAAGCACCTGCATGGGTAGAAAATATACATGCAGATTCGGCGCCATGGCCGATTTACCCTGGGGATTCGGGAAACCGTCCAATCGGGCGAAATATTCACCGGCGAGCTCTTGGGGTAAGCACCAGACTGTGTTTTCTAATCAGTGAGCCAACAACGTATGACAATCGGATAGGCATCTTAGGTACTGTACATTGAACAATTGATGTCGCTGCATAATCAACGCCCTAATCGTTCTCACGAAATTCGGTTACAGGTCGTGTACAAGCAGCGGTAGAACCAAGGTGCTTTGAGCAATGTATCCCACACACCTACACTGAGCCCCTACCAAGAATTCTCTTCAATAATCGGGTACCGGCGGTCTGCGGCAAGGGTTATTCGTGCTGGAATCATCCTTGGAAGGAAGCTTCTTTGCGTATTAGCCTCTCAGACTGATATTTAGGCCGTATGAATTTCATGCTGATCTCACGTGTCCCAGGGAAGCCAACCGTGTATTCTGGCTGCGTACATTTTCTCCTACTTTGGTCGTATAGTTTGTTATCATATTCTCTACCAACTGTGGTCAGGCAGGACACAAACGTGCAAGTTGACATTTTCTTTCTACGTCAGCCAAATACCTCTATACATCGGTTCTCAGTATACCAAGTCACTATGGAGTTATTGAATTCCTTGGTAGTGCGATACCATAGAGCTTCAGGCCTGGATCAAGTCATCGCTATTCTGGTCACTATAGCCGTTCTTACTGCCACTTCATATGTGATCGGATGGGCCACCTGGGATGGACCTGCACGACTCACAGACCCGATACCATTTATTTCGAACACATATCAGTACATGACTAACCAAAAAGATTTCTTGGTTCGTGTAGCGTAAGTCAAATCTTGAAATCAAGCCCTGATACATGATTCAACGTACCGAGAATGACAATTTTGTCCTCAATCTAGACAGGCGATGAAGCATAATACTCTTGTTAAATTCTATCTGGGACCACGCCCAGTATATCTAGTGTCTGGTGCGCAGAATATGCAAACAATTTTCGGATCAAACCGAAAAATAGGGAACGAGGATTTGTTTCTACGGACGGTGATGCCCAAGCTGTATAGCATGCCAAAACATGAGCTGGACCGTTTTGCCGCAGACAAAACTGGCCGTGGCAAGATTCCAGCGCCAGCCAATGGGTATGACGGCCCACGATTATGGTCCACCGAACACCATATCCACAACGAATACATGAGCCGGTCGAGATTTCTCAACTGCCTGAGCCAGCATTACTATCGCGTGTTTGCCAAGACATTAGATGAAAAGTACGCCATCGGAGCATCGCACACCGTGAGCCTCACCGAGTTGTGCAGGAATGAGATGATCGAGTGCGCCATCAAGACTTTTGTCGGCGATCGCATCTTTGAGCTCAATCCGACGTTCACGGATATGTATTGGAAGTTTGACTCTATTATCTTTCCCCTCGTTCTCGGCTTGCCGGCGTGGATGAATCCAAGACCCACTAATGTTAGAGACCAATGGAACCAGATGATCAGAGTGTATTTAGATACGGGGCTCGAAAGGTTCGACTGGAATGGGCAGGATGCTGACGCCGACTGGGAGCCAGTTTTTGGTGCTCGCGTCTGTCGTGAACTTGTCAAATGGCTCCGCGAGAGCGATTTCTCTACGGAGACGGTAGCAGGGTTCCTGGGTACCTTCCTCTGGGCGTACGTTCAACTGGCCGTTCTGCCCAACTCGCTTTCATAGAACTAACGCTTGATAGTCAAAACTCTAACTCAATACCAGTTGCAATATGGGCTCTTAGTTACCTGGTACAAGACCCAGACCTGTTCCAGGAAGTACGGAAGGAAGTTCGGGATGCTGAGACGACAGACCTTTCTACTGGCGAGCGAACCATTGACGTGGGAAAGCTCATAACGGCACCTTTACTCCAAGCCGTATTTTCAGAAACACTCCGCCTGCACATGTCGTTCAATGTTTTGAGAGAGGTTAAGGACTCCGTGTCCATGGATGGACATACGTTGCACAAGGGCGTATTACTGCAGGCGCCAATGCAAGTAGCCCACTATGATGACCTATGGGCTGTAGATGGTCATCCTGCAAATGAGTTTTGGCCAGGGAGGCACATCAAGTACAAGGACGAAACTGACGAGACCGGAAGTATCAGTCGTGTGAAGACTTTTTCTCTTGGTGGCCGGCCCAGCCACTATTTCCCATTTGGTAAGCAATTGCAAATCATCTCTTACAATCAATTATAACCCGTGGTAAGCTACAATATCTCATGGAAATGAGTTGATAATGTTTTTAGGAGGTGGAATTTCTATTTGTCCGGGTCGTCAGTTCGCCAAGCACGAGATGCTCGCAACCTTGGGTCTCATTATCAGCAAATTCGATCTTGAATCTGCCGAGTGGACAAACTTGGACGACGGCTCAACCTCGGATAGGCCGGGAGTGAATGATCAGAGGTTTGCAGGTGGTGGAGCTATGCCCCCTGATCGCGACATGAAGGTTCGCTGGAAGCGCATCTGGTAGAGATACAACCCACCGCTTCAAGTCGCCGAGTCATAGATCCTCCACGTTAGTACCATCGCCAGAGCGCCAATGCTTACAGAATAGATATATTAAATTGCTCCGGAATTGTTCCGTCTACAGCTAGCGAGGATATAACTTTTAATCTGAAAAATAATCGACGTGCTTCGATTCTAATATTATCTTAAATGAGACCGTTTAGGGTGCTAATTAGTAATGAAATCACCAGGATTTAATTTTTAAGGTTACATATTTCTGAATTGCTCAAGTGAAACCTCCTGAACCTTCTCTTTCCCATGACGATAATTGAGATACAGAGTAACGTGCGAAATTATATGTAAGTATATTCTAACTGCGAACTGAGTCATATTTATGGTTGCCGTTAGGAATTAGTTCCAAATTTCTTATTTGACAATGGCCTTAAATATGCTGATCAAGAACGGACAATCTTCCATAATTACTTGAAATAAAATGCGGTCTTTAGACTTCTATGTTTGTATAAAGAAAAGGTTCTAACAAAATATACAAGGAAAATCTAAGAGATGCATATCAAGAAAATCTAAGAAAATATCTAGAAATCTAAGAAAAGCTGCCATAACCAACCGGTGTTTATAAAAGAACCCAGATAACGAATCATATACCAACGGTCGCGGTGACCATTGAAACTCCACAGATCTAAGTAAGTTTCTTGTTATACCTGGTTGTCTCTCAAGCTTGACAGAGTCTGCCGACGCTGTCTTGGGTCCAGGACTCGGACCCAACAGCTGTCTTGGCGTAGAATATATGATGCGGATCGTATTTGTTCTTGATTTTTAAGAGCTTTGGATAATTTACTCCATAGAGCTCTTTTTTCCAGTCGCCTTTGTAAAGTGAATCTATTTCATTGAGGTAGTTACCAGAATTTGGCGTGGCTGCCTCAATAGCAGGCACCCAAATGTCGGCCAGCGCCTGTTTTCGGCCATCCATTACAGACCGCGGAACAGACCAGTCCCAATTGCCGACATAATTGCAGAGAGCAGCAGCGTCCCTCCAAGCAGGCAGGACAGAGTTGTCAGGGTGGGAAGCATGTTCGGAAGTGAAGGTGTGGCACCCAAGACTGAAGTAGTCGCCCGCAAGCGCATCGCGGTATACCTGCACTACTTTGCGGTTGGCCTCTGGGTCCACCACAACTGATCGTGGGATCATTCTGCTGGCAAACAGGGTATTGGGTGGGTAAGCGCCGTAAGGTAGCGGACCGAAGGTTGCATTGAAATGTTGCGTATATGTCTCGTCGGACGTGGTTGTAAATGTGTAGTTGATGCCTAAGCTCTTGAGGTCATTCAGAAATGGCGCCAATGTAGATTCAACTGCAGACTCTTTTTGGTCCGGGAACGTCATACCGACGAGACTGAACAGATGGTGGCTTAGAATCATGGAAAATGTATTCCCCCCTTTAACAATTTCGGGCATACGTCGGAAATATGCGCTTGTCCCATTCCAAAAGGTTTCCACATCGATCCCCTCATCGGTGAAGGAGAGAGTACCGCCTGCAACCGGCCCATCGCGGTATATTTTGGTGGTCATGCTGAGAATGACTGCGAAAGTGCCAGACCCGCCACCGCTGAGAGCCCAATAGAGATCTTCATTCTGCGTTGGCGTCGCAATGAGGTGCTCGCCACGGGCTGTGACGACTTCCCATTCTAGAACATTGTCTGCCGCCATTCCATATTTGCTGTTCAGCAATGAATGGCCGCCGCCGGGCGTGTACCCACCAGCAACTCCAACACTCGGACACGATCCGCCCACAACTCGATAGCCTCTCGCAGCGAGCGCGGTATAGGCATTGCCGCCAATTACACCTGGTCCCAATTTGACCGCAGGGCCATTATATGTGTTCGTCGAGTATTTACCATTCGTTTGATTCGATGGCCCTTGATAGCGGTCTATGACCTGCAGCGTTTTCAGGTTGTATGTCCATAAAGACAATGAGCCTTCGCCGACGGATTTACCCTGGTAGCTTGAAAATGTCAGCCGTGTATAATTCTGTTTGAGGTTGAGGGCTGGGGGAAATTCGTTTCTTACTCGTGTCCGGTGTTCTTGATTGTTAGTCGGATATTGTTCTTCTGAGCAAATCGGATGCCAGCAACGACGTCCGATGCACCCGTGACATTAATCGAGTACACCGGGTAGTTGCCAAGTGTACAGGGGCGATCTTTGGGTGTGTACGGGTCGCAAGTCTGATTCTGCGGAGTCGGATTTATCATCTCGGCAGGAAGAAATTCGCTGGCCGATGCAATATCAGAATCCGCTGCAGCCAAGAAATTTGTTACGCGTAATGCGCAATTGTGAGAGGTCACTTACAAGGTTTGTGGGGAGTTCCATGCATCCTGCAGAGTTTGGCATGCCGTTGCGTCGTAGTCGTTGTATGGTGCGACGTGACATATATGGGCTTGTGGCACATTCTTGATCAATCGTCCATTCACGGTGCCGTTCAAACTCGACCAGTCCTTGTTAGAGGGCCAACCTGCGTCGCCAGGTACATGCTTACATGCAGAAACCTCTTGGCCTGCAGTAGAATATGAGAGTAGGACAGCCGATAGCAGGCTTGCCTTCAAAAGTTGACCGGCCATAGCACTGAAGATCTCTAACTTGATTATAGAGCACGAAAACAATCAACCAATCTATCATGAGTTAATTCTATGTATGAAACGAGCTTGTAGCTGAAGCCTAGTGATTATATACTCGTGAATGACCAGATCAAACAGTCAGCTTCAATAAATTCGGGCCAAAAAGATCCTTCTTCAGCCACGCAAGGCGACCAAATTACTCTTGATCAGCAAACTCATGATCCTAATAATGGCTGCTTAGTCTGTATCTCAGCTGATGCCGCCACCATTCCGTTGTGGTGTGCAAGAGGTGTCTGTTATGGATGACACTGACCAGCAAGGCATAATGGCCGGTAACATGTTGCGAATCCTGTATTGATTGTGATCTGATCAGGGGTGGTGTGCACTAGGCGCCAATAGTCTCATATACACAATGGTAGTATGTGAGGCTTTAAACTACTATTGATCCTTTTTTAGAAATTAACGGACGGTGTCTGACAGATGGACAAGGTTGAGTCACAGAAGAATTGTGCCGATTGGTAGAAGGAACTCGTAAGTTCCTGTCAACCATGATAATAATGTCGGACCATGCACGGACGGTCCGATACATGTGGAATTCAATTAGCCGACCTTGTTGCGGCGTATATATACAAATGCACAACATTTTGATATTTCAACTAACCAAATTAGTGTTAGACATGTATTACATGTGTGTTCATTCATCGACTTACTTTCCGCCCCATCCAGCTCCTCCCATGTCCATTTTCCCTCCGTTGACCACAATCTAACTTGTCCATCGTAATTCATTTGCATACACCATCGATATTCAATCACCCACAATGGCACCTCCTATTTCGACAGTTTGGACTAATTTTCATCCTCCTTCTCCAGACTTCACCGAGAAGAACGTCCCGAATCTCCAAGGAAATATCTACATCGTCACTGGTGCCAACACCGGCGTTGGGAAAGAGATTGCCCGAGTAATCTATTCTAAAAATGCCAAAGTCTATATCGCAGCTCGTTCGGAGCAGAAGGCGTTGGCTGCAATCAAAGATATCAAGGACACAGCACCTTCGTCCAAAGGAGAACTGCACTACCTACACCTGGACCTCGCCGACCTCAACGTAGTTAAAGAGTCAGCCCAGCGTTTCCTTTCGTTGGAAATAAAACTAAATGTCCTGTTCAACAATGCCGGTGTGATGACGGGCACTGCGGAGCCGGCTCCGAAGACCAAGCAAAATCACGAGCTGAATTTAGGAGTCAACAGTATTGGCACTTTCCTCTTCACACAACTTCTTACGCCTCTCCTGACAAGAACTGCCCAGTCAGAACCTGCGAATACAGTTCGAGTTACTTGGCCGTCCTCTTTCGCGACCGAAATGTATGGCGTGAAGGATATTGGCATTGACGTGACAGGACTGGACACTGTAATAACACAGCCATCCACACTCCGCTACGGTATCAGTAAAACAGGCACATGGGCACTGGGTGTCGAATATGCTAAGCGGCACCGCGCCGATGGTATTGTCAGTGTGCCGCTCAATCCAGGCAATCTCACCTCGGAACTCGCTCGCGATCAGCCAATGAGTATCAAGCTGGCAGCGAAAGTGGTCGGATACCCGCCCTGGAAGGGAGCTTGCACGCAGCTTTTTGCAGGGCTGGCTCCAGAGGTTACCCTGGAAAAGTCTGGAAGTTGGGGTACGTCAATAGAACCCCTCGCTCTGCTTCAATCATGTTACAATGGCTTTGGCTAACCCCACTCGCAGTCGTTCCCTTTGGTCGGTTCTATCCTATCAGAGAAGACTTGGTCACGGCAACTAAATCTGTGGCTGACGGTGGCTCTGGCGGCACGGAAAAGTTCTGGGATTGGACTGAAGCGAAGGTTAAAGCGTATTATTGATAGCTTAAGTGTCCCGGAGAATAACACAACCTGTTTCGTTTTTATTCACGTCGTTTCCTTCTTCATTTCTTTTCTAATAAATTAGGAATTGAGATAGCAGAAGGTACAATACCAAGAATGGACCACGTTCGCAGAAATGAGAACTCTCTCGCTTGTTCATGAAGGTTCACGATCAATCGAATTAAGAAAGATCGCCTTAATCACAATATTGCATACCAATATATAGCTAAGATCAATGCATGCCTAAGTCTTTTACAATCTAAGAGTGTTCTATCACATCGCATTCTGTTAAATGAAGTTGAGGCTCACAGATTGTTTGGAGCGTTTAGGTGAACAGGATCGCCACGTGTAGCTGATCATACCACCTAAAAGCAGACGAACGTCACGGGAGGAGGGAGGGTGGTCAGCTCGAAGGGAGTAGTTTTTGACACACCAACACTACCCACTTACGGAATATTGCATATGCAGCATACATGATGTGATTCATTCTATCTGCGGCATGGATCAAGTCTGGAATATGTCTGATATTGGTTCGGGATGACAAGGATTGGGGCAAAGCTGCTCTAATCGAGCATCTGGTCTAGAAGGGGTAGACGACCCATTATAACTAGTCGGCCTCCGTATTAAAAATCTTTGATGCTGAGGGAAGTTGACTGAGCTACATGTGAGCGAGGGTGTACAATCTAGATAAAGCAAAGTTTGGGTCGTCGGTCATAAAATCCGATCATGGCTGGGTGGTAAGATGTGACCCAATTTATGGTCGAGATTATGCCGGGAAGACCGCGCTTAGTAAACCAATATTGTCTACAGATAAGCGGCCTGACAAACGATCCGTCATTCTCCGAATTATAGATTTCGTGAGTACCTTTGACAGTCACTCTACAATGAGTTGATCTTGAACCCAAAGACTTACCACCATACATAAAAAATGCACCGTTGTAGTCAGTCCCAATGTCTTACGACATATTTTGGGACCGTGAAATCCTAAAGCCAGCAGAGGAACACAGGATGCCGCATATGTACGGTACTATAAAATTGCCCGCAGTCTTGAGCATGGTGTGAATACCTGAAAAGTCATTAGATTCTTGATAAGCCCGGAAAACAAATGTCTTCGGTCGGAGTCGGGCAGGATGAACCCGGACTGTTCGGCCGTTCAGATCAGTGGTTCGACACGAGCCTTCGGGCAAATAGACCACACCAGGTAGCGATGCTTGCCTGGACAACTGTTATAAACCAATACAGCTGATTGAAGCAATACAACTGATTGTGAGACTTTTAATCCATCAGCAAAAATGGTTCCCACATCTCAGACAGCTATCGTCCAGTCACAGGCGACCGAAGCTCCTCCCTCCTCGACGGGCTTTGCCCTGACCGTCGCGCATGACGTTCCGGTACCACAATTGCCCGCAGACAGCATGCACCATGTCCTCATACAAGTATCAGCGGTGGCTCTTAATCCTACGGATTGGAAGATGGTTACTCACTTCCCCATGCCGGGCCATGTGGTGGGATGCGACTTCTGTGGGGTGGTGGTAAAAGGGGTCCCTTCTCACCCGGTCGGCACTCGAGTATGTGGGGGAATGTTCCCTTACAATCTGGACCCAGTCAGCGATCCGTCGAACGGTGCCTTTAGCCAGTGGGTTGTTGCTGACGTGAGACTCCTGCTAAAAGTCCCTGAAGCCTGGACGGATCTGCAGGGTGCAGCTTTGGGGGGCGTTGGGTGGGGTACAGTAGGACTTGCGCTGTTTCAACCAGATGCTCTGAATCTTCATGGTCGACCAAGCGAGCCAACAGGGAAAAGTGAGCCTGTGTTGGTCTATGGTGGCGGCACAGCTACTGGTACGATGGCTTGCCAAGTCTTGAAATTGTTGGTTTCTCAGCCATTCCAATCTTCCCCCTTGCACCCCTCCCTCTCTTTAACCTTCAAGTAAGACAGGGCTCTTTCTTACCCCGTCTCATAGGTCCGGTTATATCCCGGTTGCCGTAACATCACCCCAATCCGCGAGCTTGGCCAAGAGATATGGCGCCAGCAATGCGGCATACTACACCTCGCCAACATGCGCCGCCACGGCTCGCTCCCTAGCCCAAGCTCCTATCCGCCATGCTTTAGATTGCATTACTAGCGCTGAGTCGGTAGCCACATGTTTCAGCGTCATCGCACGGGTTGGTGGCAGATACACTTGTCTCGAGGAGTTCCCGGAAGTTTGGCGCACGCGACGTGCAATCAAGACCAAGGAAGTTATGGGATATGAAGGCCTGGGAGTTCGCGTCGACTTCGGCCCAGACTCGCCGTATTCCCGCGATGCAGACTACGATGCATTCGACGTATGTGTCAAATGGGCTGCTGACATGCAGGTCTTAGTTGACGGGAATCTCATCCAAGCCCACCCAATACGCGAGTTAGAGGGACAGTGGGACGGCATCCTTCGTGGCCTTAAGATGCTGCATAAAGGCGAGGTCAAGGGTCAAAAGCTGGTGGTTAGAATACAATCATAGCCGTTAATGTAGATACTATACATCTAGCATATCAAGGCAGCTAGGTTGTGCTCTTGAATGTAGCTGCAGTCAGCAATGCGACGCCACTGCATGAATTCCTGGAGCGTATTATCCCACTGGAAACGGTCGGCCGCGTACAGAGCAGATGGATCAGGAGGAGATAATGGCCGAGAAGACCATTGCATACGCAGCGGCGTTTAGAGATATTTAGGTGACGTGGCCCGGCTTTGAGCCCTTGTTCTGCTTACCAAGTGATAGCGTTCAACTTATTCGATAGCATGAAGCCACGCCCATATATGATGGCTCTGACTTGTTTTGATAAGCTCCCATTTCCCCCTGTATGTAAATGTCACTGGTTGTGAGATGTTAGTCATTTTCTGAACACTATAAATAGCAAGGTCGCGTATCTAACAACCCTCCCAACTCCATGTCTGGTCGTGGCTTCGCCAACTCCCAGTCGATATCTCCAGTCGCCAAACGGTCAGCTTGTGACCGTTGCAGAAGCCAAAAGCTCCGCTGTACCCCAGGGCCGGATGGTAACACGTCCTGTGCAAGATGTATCCACCTCGGGACAGAGTGTTCCAAGAACTATCCGAGGTTGATGGGTTTCGGTGGGAAAGTCTCTGATGGCATTGATATTAGGGCCCGGGCACCAGGCTGTCATTCACCACAGTCTGGCCATCAGCTGCCAGGCTTTGCCTCTCTTGCGAGCACATATCCGCCACCGAGGCCTTCCATTGGCACACACTCTCAAGTTGATGTTCAATATGAGCTTCCAACGAATATCACAGAAGAACATCTTCTTGCCAATGTCTCTGACTATGGCTCAATCTTCTCTGACACATCCATACTCTTTGATGCTGTCCAGATGGAAAATATGGAGGACACAATGAACGACATAAACTCTCCAATCCATGGGGCCAGATCGAACACCGCGTCACCGGGTCGTAACATGGACTTAATTCGTGCCCCTCACCCAAAAAGACGACCAAGTCGAACTTCGGATGGACATTCGGTGTCTGAGATGAGTGAGAAGGGCCCCAGCCTCGATCATGACACTCGCTTACGCAGGCTCGGAATGAGTTTATTGCAGCAACAAAAGCAGCATCAGATTCTCACGTCATCAGCTACCCATAATAACGCAGGCGAGGCAGACCAAGAAGAAGACGCCATGGCGATTGCAGCCGATAGAATGCCTTTGATGCCAGAAAATGAAACTTCCTTTGGTGAAGCCTTGGCAGCCACTTCTGAATTCTCTAGTATTCTCCGCTCGTATAATACGACGAATTTCACTAGCCAATCAGCGTCTAGGTCGGTGTTAAGCGTCGTTGTTACGCTGGATGTAATGTCGGCTTACCTGCAAATCATTGATATCCACGAGAATCTCTTTGCTGGCCTCCACCAACAGCTATGTACCAGTGCTGGACAATTAACCACAAGCCTGCAAACGCTCCCCGGACTTAGTCTCGCTGGCTTTGCGGTAGAGCAGGGCAGTCTGCAAACCAAGATTCTCTTGCAGGCTGTGATTCATCAGTTTGAGACAATCGAACGCATCCTCGGACTTCCCGTAGAGCTTCGGGTCTCCAATCGTAAAGACACATACATGGTAGGCTTACTAGATGGAGAATGGGGTAGAAATCTGGTCAAGGCACTCATGGGTAGCGTATTGTCTCAAAATGACTTGCGTGGGATGAGTAAATTGGATTCATTGCGAAGAAATATTGAGAACGTCAAAAGATTCCTAGAGCTATGATACGCAAAGCTGTATTCAACTCTGCGTTCAGCTAGATACCTGACAAATCTTCACACAATACATAAGCATACACACACTTTAAAGAAATTTATTCATTCAGTGTCATATTGAGACACAAGAGATTTTACGTCCAGGCTTTGGGTATAATCGGCAGAATCAGGCTTTTATTGGATTGTTACTGTGCTCAGGATATCGTGCTTAGAGCTTGTTCAAGAGTTCAGTTATACCCAGAGAAAATGGTTGTTATGCAAAATACAAACTGCAACAATTGATACGGATGTTCGAAACATAAACTCTCGTCCGAATACGTGATTACCATAAGCGTGTTCCTATCGTTGCACCGCAGTGCTAATGCCGTATGCCCGGTTGAGTGTAGACATGATTGTCGGCTTCCAGGTCGGCAAGATGCAATGACACCTCGGTCGTCGGAATCGGACGCAAAGTCGGCCTTGAGGAGATCGATGTCAATAACTGCAGTTCATCCGACTCTACATCAGTATAGCCGGATGGTACTTACTATTGGAGTCTAACTTTGTGCTTGATAGCTTAGCCTGGTTTACGTTCCCGATCAGTGACATGCAGCTTATCGGACGCCGATCCTCCCAACGATACTTCTGTCCACGCAGATTGAGACCTGCGAGTAGAAACAAGATGACGATAAGGCTCAATGATCAACTTGCAAAATCCGTTCAAAGATGGGAGTGTTGACCAGCTCATTTGAAAAGAAATTGTAAATGCCTACAAACAGTTGACCGGCACTGCAAAATACTTAACAAATTTGTGAGATCGTCCTCTAAGATTGTCGTCAAATCCCAACGTTCTAGTACGGCATCTCAATATTGAAACCTTAACTGGTGATATTTTGAGGCGTACATAAAATACTCTATTTCAATTTTTGTTGTTGTGAATATGTCTCCAAAGACCCAGGAGCCGATTGCCATTATTGGTAGTGCCTGCCGCTTCGCCGGCCAGGCAAACAGCCCATCAAAACTCTGGGAAGTGCTCCAATCACCTTCAGACCTTCGAAAGAAGATTCCCGAGGAGCGATTCAGTACGAAGGGGTTCTTTCATCCCAATGGTTCATATCATGGGCATAGCAATGTCGAGCATTCCTATCTACTTGACGAAGATATCGCAAGTTTCGATGCCGAGTTTTTCGGCATCAAACCATTGGAAGCGAAAGCTATGGATCCTCAACAACGATTCCTCAGCGAAGTCGCGTACGAAAGCCTCGAGGCGGCAGGCTTAACTGTTGAAGGACTGCGAGGAAGCGATACGGGAGTCTATGTGGGTGTGATGTTCCACGATTATGGAGCAATGATGTTACGCGACATGCAAGACCTGCCAACGTATTACGCGACTGGTACTGGTGCTAGTATTCTATCGAACCGACTTTCCTACTTCTTCGATTGGCATGGTCCTTCTATTACAGTTGATACAGCATGCTCGTCAAGTCTGGTCGCAGTTCATATGGCGGTTCAAGCACTGAGAAATGGAGAATCCAAGTAAGCTGTCTGATTTCTCCTCTTGCTATGTCTTCATCTCTACTGCCCCAACTCCAAAAGTCAAATCTCTTCGTGGCCGCCTGTTGTTCAACTTGGTGGATGAGTTCGTGCTGCTTCGATCTATAGAATGGGTTTGGAGAATTGACCTTGCTGACACGCTCTTTACAATAGAGTCGCCCTAGCCTGCGGGACCAATCTTATTCTTGGGCCCGAAAACTTCGTAATCGAGAGCAAACTCAAGATGTTATCACCGAACGGTCGCAGCAAGATGTGGGATCGTGATGCCGACGGCTATGCTCGCGGCGAAGGAGTGGGGGCTTTGGTTCTTAAACCTCTCAGTCAAGCTATCGCCGATGGAGACCACATCGAATGTGTCATCCGTGAAACTGGTCTTAACCAGGATGGTGCCACAACGGGAATAACGATGCCCAGTGCATATTCCCAGCGAGACTTGATACGTAGCACATACCGCAGAGCAGGTCTAAATCTTTCAGATCCCAAGGACCGCCCTCAATATTTCGAAGCCCACGGAACGGGCACGCCAGCAGGTGATCCCCAGGAAGCTGAAGCCATCTATAGGGCGTTCGGTGAGAGCGAAACCTCTAGCGGCAACACAACGTCCGCATCGGAGCCATTGTATGTGGGATCAATCAAGACAGTGCTTGGACATACAGAAGGAACGGCCGGAGTCGCCGCCATCCTCAAGGCATCATTGGCGTTGCAAAACTCAATTATTCCTCCGAATCTATTGTTCGACAACCTTAGCCCAGCTGTTGAGCCATTCTATAAGAATGTAGAGATTCTCCGCGCACTTAAGCGGTGGCCGAAAGTTCACCAAGGTCAACCAAGACGGGCAAGTGTCAACAGCTTCGGATTTGGAGGTGCAAATGCACATGCCATCCTGGAAAGCTACGACTTTCTCACTCATGTCAACTCGGAAAATACTGATGGTCCGATTTTCAGTCCTTTTGTCTTCTCTGCATTCTCGGAACAGGCTCTAAGGGGAAACTTGAGCAAGTTCGTTTCATACCTCGAAGGTAACCCGTCAATTGACCCCCGTGACTTGGCGTACACTTTGCGAGAGCGTCGCTCTGTTCTCTCATATCGCGCAGCAATTGCTGCAGGTTCCATCGGGCAACTAGCAACAGGGATTGCCGCTAAATTGCAAGAAGAAACGGTTGGCACTCATAACCAATCATCTGTCTCTAAGCTGGGTAAACCACCAAAGATCCTCGGAATCTTCACAGGCCAGGGAGCCCAATATCCTCAAATGGGAGCAGAGCTCGTACAGAAATCTCCGGTAGCACGAAAGCTTCTGCAAGACCTTGAGTGGTACCTAGCTCAACTTCCAGGGAGCGATCGACCCACGTGGAGTCTCCAAGCTGAACTGTTGGCTGATTCTTCGTCTTCTCGGGTGAACGAAGCCGTGCTTTCTCAGCCTTTGTGTACCGCGGTGCAGATAATACTTATTGATCTTCTTAGACTGGCTAATGTCGAGTTTAGTGCGGTTGTTGGTCACTCATCTGGTGAAATCGCGGCGGCCTATGCGGCTGGCTACATTACGGCGCGTGACGCAATTTGTATTGCGTACTATCGTGGTTTGCAAGTTAGAAACGCAAAGAGTCCAGCTGGATCCCACATCAAGGGTGCTATGATGGCCGTTGGTAGCTCGACCGAAGACGTTGCGGAGCTCTGCGCGGACGAACAATTCGTGGGGCGCATATCTATTGCCGCCAGCAATTCCTCATCAAGTGTTACAGTGTCGGGCGACGAGGATGCCATCGCTGAACTTCAGGTAACACTTGATGACGAGAAGATCTTCAACAGACGTCTCAAAGTCGATACTGCTTACCACTCCAGTCACATGCTGCCTTGTTACGATCCTTACGTGGCCTCGCTTCGTGATTGCGGCATCACTGTGCGAAAGCCAAGTGACACATGCACTTGGATTTCCAGTGTGCATAACAAGCAGATAGACGCAAGCATGAGTCTGGCAGACACTTATTGGGCCGATAATATGACAAAGCCAGTACTATTTACCGAAGCTCTTACTAGCGCCCTTAGTGATGCCTCGTACAACCTCGTATTGGAGATCGGGTGTCATCCGGCTTTGAAGGGGCCCGCGACGCAGACGATACAAGAGGCTTTGGACAAAGATATACCATACCACGGAGTCTTAGCTCGAGGTACTGCTGCGATCGACTCTTTTGCAACCGCCCTAGGCTTTCTGTGGTCACGCCTAGGCAGGTCAGGGGTGAACCTGGATGCCTTCGAGAGGGCCATGACTGGAAACAAGCATACTCTTAACGTTGTAAAAGGTATGCCTACATATGCGTGGAACCATGAAACAAAATATTGGCATGAGTCTCGAAGCTCGAAAAAGATGCGTCTCAGAAAGCAGCAAGTCCACTCATTGCTGGGTGACATCTCTTCTGAAAGTTCCCCTCATTGTATGATCTGGAGAAACCTTTTGCGTTTGAATGAACTGGAATGGATCTCAGGTCATCGTGTGCAAGGCCAACCTGTTTATCCAGCAGCGGGTTATTTGTCTACAGCGCTTGAAGCTGCGCGAATCCTGGCTGATGACGTCGGCAAGAACATCCGACTCATAGAAATCAAAGACTTCTCTATTCACCAAGCCGTCGTCTTTCCACAAGATGATGCAGGAATCGAAATTCTAATCTCCTTGGCGGATATCACCCGAGAGAAACGGCCGGACAGCATCAAGGCCAAGTTCACCTATTCGGCCGCTGTTGAGCCCGGGTCGGAAGATCTTGCCTTGGCGGCTAGCGGCGATGTAATCATCCTCCTGGGTGACACGTCTTCTACTCTGTTACCTGAGCGTAAGCCAGCAATGCCTCATGTCATCGACGTAGAGCCAGAGCGCTTCTACACAGCACTTGCAGACTTGGGTTATAACTTTAGCGGTCGATTTCGGTCGCTCTCTGCGCTTCAGAGAAAGCACCACCACGCGAGTTGTTTGCTCAAGTTACAACCACTCGAGGAGGGCGCCGATCCTTTGTTAATCCATCCAGCAGAACTTGACGCCGCTCTGCAATCGATCATCCTGGCATACAGCTACCCCTACGATGAGAGACTCCGGACTATGCATCTCCCAACCACTATACGCCACATTAGGGTTAATCCAGACCTATGCGGGGCGACTGACAGAACAGAAGATGAGCTTGTGCCTGTTGATTCGGCCATCGCAGACGGGAAACCTGGCCAAAGAGGTATCACTGGGCATGTGAACCTCTTTTCCAACAAGAGTCCACATGCTTCAATACAGATACAAGGAGCCGAGTTCATGCCTCTCGGTGGCGCCGCATCAGAGGAAGATAGACGCGTCTTTTCCAAGGTCCAGTGGATTGAGAATCGCCCGGATGGCGAGGTGGCAGGGAAAGATATACCACTAATTGAGAGCCATACCAACACTGTAAGGCTTCTTGAACGTATCGCATCATTCTATCTCAGAAAGTTTCACCGAGAAGTTGCTGCCGACGATCCTGTGCGTTCTGAGTTTCCGACTAACTGGTATCTCAACTATGCGCGTTATGTCACGGAAATGGTAGAAGGTGGCAAGCACAAATGGGCCGAAGATCAATGGCTGCATGATACCATTGACGACATCAAGAGAGCGAGTGCGCCGTTCGCGCATCTACCAGACGTCCAAATCATGCATCTTACTGGAGAACAAATGCCCCGGGTCTTCAAAGGGGAGACCACTATATTAGAGCAGTTCAGAGCGACAGATATCCTTGACCGATACTATGCTACTGGATTTGGATTGCATGAGTCCGCACAGTGGGTTAGTCGAACTGTTAAGCAAATTACTGATCGCTACCCACATATGGATATGTTGGAAATAGGTGAGAACTTCAAGAAACTGGGAAGGAAAAAAGTAGAATTTGTGAATGGCAGCTAACAATCACATAGGAGCTGGTACTGGAGGTGCCACCAAGGCGGTCATGCGGGAGATTGGCAAGAGCTTCCGATCATACACGTATACCGACATCTCGGCAGCCTTTTTCGAGAATGCTTCAAACATATTCTCACAACAACGAGACCGCATGATATTCAAGACGCTGGACGCTGAAAAAGATCCTCTTGATCAAGGATTTGTCGAAAACTCGTACGACATTGTCGTTGCTTTCTTTGTTATCCATGCCACAAGCGACCTGGAACGTGCCTTGCGCCATATTCGCAGGCTCTTGAAGCCAGGAGGCTACCTCGTCGTTGGAGAAGGTCAAGAGGGCCAAAATGGTATTGCTAGCAGCGGTTTCATCTTTGGCACATTGCCTGGCTGGTGGCTTGGGACTGATCAAGGCCGGACTTTGTCACCTCACGTATCTCCGCAAGAATGGGATGAACTGCTCAGAAAAACTGGATTTTCAGGAGTTGATTCAAGTTCGCCAAGCGCTTTCGAGGATATACTGAATGTTTTCCACTTTGCTACACAAGCGGTTGACGATAAAGTAGCTTTCTTCCGTGAACCCCTTGCCACAGCTCAATGGCGGCCGGCCCCCATCAAGAACCTGGTCATAGTTGGTGGTCAAACACCCAGGACCTCGCATCTCGTCAAGGGTCTCAGTACGATTGCTCAAGAAGGATGGGCCACAAATGTCCATCTTTTTGATACCCTTACAAGTGTGGACTACAACGCCATCACCTCCGACTTCATCGTTGTCAGTTTGACTGAACTTGACTCACCTGTATTCAAGGATATTCGACCGCAAACATTTGAGGCACTGAAAAGGATGTTCGGGTCTGGGAAAAAGCTACTCTGGGTTACTAGTGGCCGCCGAGACGATGAGCCGTTCTCTAATATGACGGTCGGGTTCGGACGAGTAGCCGTACACGAGACCCCGGAGCTTAACTTGCAACAGCTGGACATCACAAAGCCAGAGAATGTCGATGCTAAGATGATAGCAGAAATTCTCCTACGATTCCATGCGGCACCCACGCAAACAGAGGATATCGTCTGGACTGTGGAGCCTGAGATCGTGATTGATGACGACGGTCGCCAACTGCTGGCACGGCTTCGGCCCACTCCTGAACTCAACGATCGATATAATTCATCGCGCCGGCCCATTATTCAGGAGAAGAATCTGGAAGATACTCCTTTTGCCTTGGCCCTTGGCTCCAGCGGCCCTAGGATCACGGAGGTTTCCAGATACGTGGCACCTGTGTCTCAGAACCTTAGTCCGGAAAAAACAATCGACTTACATGTTACCCATTCCGTTCTCAAATCCTTGAAGACGCCGCTTGGACATATGTTCTTGGTGCTTGGTACACAAAATAGTGCTCATAAGACGTATGTGGCTCTGGTCCCGTCTCTAGCCTCGGTTGTCAGCGTGTCGCAATCGTCGGCGATACCATTACAGGCTACGGATGTACCAGCTGCTAGCTTGCTCACAGATATCGCGGCTCACATAATCTCTCTGGCAATCCTAGACCCCCTCTACAGTGATCAGAGCTTGCTGGTACACAACGCAACAGATGTCATCGCCCGTGCTCTCGACGTACAAGCCAAAGCCAGGAACGTTCATGTTATACACACAACGGATTCCAAGGATGAGAACATACCGGACTCGTGGATTAAGTTACCGCGATATGTAAGCCTCCCAGAGCTAGACGATGTCCCCTTGAACCAGATATCAGGCTTTGCTGGGTTCTCCAGTCATGATATTGAAGGATTGGCAAACGAAGCAACGCTGATAGGCGGCCTTCCGACAAATTGCAACATCACAACCACCGAAACAATCTATTCTTTGAACGGATCGAACATTGGCCCCCGTGCAAACGATGTTATTAATCAGAGGCTATCAGCGGCCTTGCACTACGCACAAACGGACAGAGCCGCTGAAAAGCTCACAGGGACTATTTCCCTGGATGAACTGGTTCATGGAGAGACTCTGCATGATGCGCTATCAATCATCGATTGGACATCGAGCAAGAGACTCCCAGTTCAAGTCACGAGGTTCGATGACTCGCCTATGTTCAAGAGCAAGAATAGTACCTACTGGATTATCGGCATGGTTGGCGCATTAGGCATTTCTCTCTGTGATTGGATGGTCAGCAAAGGAGCCAGAAGCATTGTCCTCACGAGTCGAAATCCTAAAGTAGCCCCCGAATGGATTGCGACGCACAAACGCCACGGTGCCATCGTGACCATCTTCTCATGGTAAGACCTTTCATGGCTATCAGCCCTCTCGATTCAATACAAGGACTAACATCTATAGTGACGTGACTGACGAGGCTGGTCTGAGGTCGGTGCACCAGAAGATTCGGGAAACACTGCCCCCTATTGTAGGTGTGATGAACGGGGCAATGGTTTTACGCGACGTTTCCATCAACAACATGTCTTTCGGGGAACTGAACGATGTCCTCAAGCCAAAGGTCAACGGAAGTATCATTGTGGACCGGATGTTCGAAAACGACGACTTAGATTTCTTCATCCTAGTTTCATCGATCAATTGCGTAATTGGAAACCTCGGCCAGGCAAATTACGCCGCCGCGAACACTTTCATGTGCGCTCTGGCAGCCCAGCGTAGGAAGCGTGGCCTGCGCGCAGTAACGCTCAACGGTGGTGCAATCGTGGGCGCCGGGTACATGGAGCGCGAGTCAAGTAGGGCTCTGGACATGATCGTTAAGAAGCTCCACATGATGCGTATGTCCGAGGAGGACTGGTGCCAGTCATTCTGTGAAGCAATCGATGCCAGTCGTCTGGAGTCACCGTATGGGCCCGAGCTCACGACAGGGCTCTCGGATGTGCCTTTCGACACCTCCAGTGCGCCTTACTGGTTTTTGAACCCCATGTTCTCCTCATTCATCGTGCAGCAGAAAGCCGTGACCGATGATAAGGCCGAAAACAAAGGTGCTGCCACGGTTCAACAACAACTCCAGAACTGCAAGTCTCAGGAAGATGTTTATAAGGCTGTCAAGGGTGAGTGTCTCATAGTCAAGGTCGTAATGTTATGATAAGTCCTCTGGCTAACTCTGATCAGGTGCTTTTGCCACTCAGTTGCGCAATATTCTGCAGATGACTACGTCTGATGAAGATCTTATGGCTAGCCGTAGCAACGAGATCGGTCTCGACTCACTTGTGTCGGTCGATATCCGCTCATGGTTCCTTGATAAGCTACAGGTCAGCATCCCGGTACTCAAGATCATGGGCAACGATACCATGGAAAGCCTCGTCCAGCATGCCGTCGAGACTTTGCCTGCCGAACTTATTCCCCACGTGAGCGGCGGTACCGAAGCCACAGATAGCGGAAAGGATTCGAGCGACAGCTCTCCAACAGATGAAGAGACCGAATCTGGAGGTATTACGCCGCCGACAAACATTGCAACGCCAGCTTCGTTTGACGAGCACGCAGTAGATATCAAGCTCAGCAAGGGCATTGACTGGGAGGCTGAGGCACGCCCGCCTGCTGACCTAGACGATATCGAGCGCACTCTCGACTCACCCGTGAGGAACCCGCCGAAGGTCGTCGTCCTCACAGGAGCCGGTGGCCTGCTCGGACACAATCTGGTGGAGTATCTTCTCGCAAACACTTCAGTCGAAAAGATTATTTGTATCGCATTGCGCGGGGTTTCCAAGCGGCTGCGGAACAACGAGCTGCCCCAGGACCCCCGAGCAATATACCACGAGGGCGACCTCACGAAACCGTTGCTCGGGCTCTCTCCTAGCGACACAAAGAGCATCTTTGCCGAAGCAGACGTGGTCATCCACAACGGCGCTGACACATCGCACATGAAGCTCTTCGCGGACCTCCGGACCGCCAACGTCGGCTCGACCCGTATCCTCACACGCCTATGCCTGCCGCGCCGGATCCCACTGCACTACGTCTCGTCTGCAGGCCTGGCCGTGTTGTACGGTGGGCCCGCCTTCCCCGAGGTGCCCATCACGGGTCCCGGGTCCTCGTACCCGGCGCCTGACGGCTCCTTTGGCTACATGTGCTCCAAGTGGACCAACGAGCGTTTCCTGGAGCAGGTGCACGAGAAGTACGGCCTTCCCGTCTGCTTCCACCGCCCGTCCACCATCGTGCGGGAGGGCACCGACGCCGAGGGGCGCAAGGCCCAGCTTGACTGGGTCAACGCGCTGCTGCACTACGCTCGGAAGATCAAGGCCGTGCCGCGCGCCGAGTACAATCGCGGCGCCCTCGATCTCGTCTACGTCAAGAGCGTCTGTGCTGATATCGTCAAGCATATCATGGATGGAAGCGAGAGGGCTCGCAGCCACGTTACGTATGTCAACGAGGTTGGTGACGTCGTGCTGCCGTTGGATACTCTCCAAGATATAGGCCTGGAAGAGAAGGGCCACGGGAAGCGGTTCGATGTGCTTCCCATGGTCCAGTGGACGGCCAAAGCTATTGAGGCCGGCTTGCACCCGGCTGTGGCAGCCCTGGTCGAGATGATGGATGACCCTGCCGTTCCCAATTACCCGAGGCTGCTGAAGGGTACCGCCGCGGCCTAGACCAGCGGACTAGGGAATTACCTTGTAGACAGTATTATCGGCACGAATCCTCAAATCACAATGCAATTTACTTATTTGTACTACTAGCACTAAAGTTGCTCACGCAAGGGCGGCGAAAGTAACGCCCTAACACTTAATTATCTGGGTAAATTTGAAGGGTTAAAGACGCCGAGTTTTATCAACATCATTATAGCAATGATCTATCTAGTTTTGAATAGGTTTAGCATTGAGAACAAGATACACAATCTAATCAGTCTATTCCTTTCGTGTTCGTTGTCGAGTCAGATACTTACCTGCGCGATCGGCTGTCGTTTCTACCTCCCACAACTCAATATTCTCAATCATTTATTCTCGTGCGTCGCGCAGTTGCCAGATAGTAACGATCTATTCGCTGGAGTCCTCATCGGGACTTGCAGTCGTATCTGCACCAGACGCTCTGTAGACGCCGACGATGATATTTGCGTTCACTTGTGTAAGTCTGGGTCGACGTTTAATTTTCACCGAATTGTATGAGACTTGAGGAGAACGGACACTGACTGAGGTACAATAACTCAGGCATAAGCTTAATATACTTCGACTCACTATGACTAGCTATTCTTGCGATGCGTTTTGATGGATGAGCAATTACATATAAACAAATCTGTCCACTTTGCTAATACGATAAGGACGGCCGCCATGCACCATTGTTGCATAGTATCTCGGCGACACTGCAAGCAATGAATTAGACCATCAGTACCAGTACTTAGGTGCGCCGGCCCTGACGGTGAACCAGGCAGCATCAACGGCCTCCACCACGTCATCAGGCAGCGGTCCTTTTTCAAACTGTTGCAAGTTGGAATCGAGGATCTGCGCAGTAGCCGCCCCAGTCAAGATGGCGTCGCCAAGATCTTGCCGCAGATTGGAGTGGTGTACGAGCCAGCGCAGGCACAGCTCAGGCAATGTCAAGCTATGCTTCTTTGCCGCAGCTTGCAATATGTCCAGGCCATCGAAATACAGCGGGTTCCAAAGCGAGCGTAGGTGCAGATTCGGAATGTCCGCTACTTTTACGCCGCGGGAATACTGCCCCGTGAGGAACCCGCTACAAAGAGGTGAGTATACGTGGAAGGACATGCCGTAATACCGCAAGCAAGGGAAGAGCTCGTCCTCGGTGCGTCGCATGAGTACATTGTAGTGGCCTTCATACACAGATGGACGCGGCCACCCACGCTTGTCGCATATCTCACAGATCCGTGCCACTTCCCAAGACGGGTAATTACTGAGGCCGAAGCGCTCGAAGCGGCCTTCCAGCCGTAAGCTGTTGACAGCTTCCAATGTCTCTTCGAAGGGATGCTTTCGGTCGGGTCCGTGCAAGAAGAAGGTCTCCACACGATCGGCGCCCAGGGCCTTCAAGCTGTCCAACAGACCACGGCGCACGTCAGCTGCTGAATGTGTATATCCTGCACCTCTTTCCAGCGGGTGACCCGCTGAAGGAAATAGCTTCGTGTCAACCCGCAGGCCGCGGTCCTGCCAGCCCACGTCGGCAAGAAGCCCCTCAGTCGTGCCTTCGCCATAGGTGCGCGCTGTATCCAGTCGGCTGTGGCCGTAACTCTGGAAGACATCGAGGACTTCTCGCGCCTGATCAACCGTGTTTATCTCCGGGTGTTCTCGAGTCCCTGTTTTTCAATGAGCAAATAAAGGCAATTGAAATGGGTGCCATAGAACAAGTATTCTCACCTGGTTCGCCAAAAGACATAGTGCCAAGCACTATGGTCATTGCAGTGGTGGGGGATCTGGAACCCATGTTGAAGACTTTGAACAATCGTTTTCAGTGTCGAGAACTGGAAAATCTAAGGGATGACGCAGCCAATGATGCTTACGGATATTATGCGTAAATACAAGGTAGCCAATTCTATCGAAGAATAGATAAGGATGGAGCCAAATATAAAGGATCACATTCAATAACATCGCCGCGTATAGCACTTTCGGCTACTTTACACTGTTGGAAACCCAAGCCAGAACGAATTGTTGGCCTCAGGTGCTTGCTCGAACCACTGTCATGCCTGCACATTCTCGACTGCCAACACGGCCAATAAAGCAAGCACACGGCCGAAAGGCTAATAGAACCAATGATCAGGCAAGACCGCCGAATCGGACTGGACGCCGATGTACACCGAACTTGCATGACAGTAGTGAGCACTGTCCAGCCGGACATAAGCAGGGCAGTGCTGCAGATAATGCAGTAGAGCTTTCGATGATTCGAAAATAAGGAGATAAGAAGAATAGCGATGCTCGAAGCGTCTGACGCCGTAGAGACCGCGAATCACGAGGTTTGCTCCTGGAGCTAGGAATTTATAAATCCCAACCCGTACTAGGTATCGATCAACGTCAGAGCTCCCTCCCTTGTAATGGTCACCGACGATGTGGGCATTATGTAGGAAGCGTTATGAAACGCTGGTAATGTGAGTGATGATATTGCGGGCAACGGCTCTAGGGAAACTGGCCGTCGCCACGCATGGAGCGACATGTCTGACAGAGAGACGTGAGTCATTTCGAATGACTATTTTCGAGCGACATGGTGTCCCAGATCAACCCAACTGAGGTCGCTGATTGAAAGGAGGGCCCCGCACGGTTTTGTAGCTGATACCAAGACATACGGGATCTGTTGTATCGTAGAATACGTAAAATATCGTTGCGATTCATTTTGGGCGACTGATTATTACCACAAATCGTGGGTTCAACGACTGAAGCCGTATTTTGAGGATTCTCAAGATTGAGGTCGGAGGAATACGCTCAAACCAGAGCGCCAGCAATTATGTACCAAATCGATACCTAATCGATTTTGCGGATATCAATGTCAGGAGTCGCTGCAGTTGAGTTTTGCAGATGTTTCAATGGTGCACAAGTGACAACGAAACATGATTGATAAACTGTGAAGTTGTGCCAAGTAATGAAGTGAAATCGTTTACTCTGAACTTACGATGACACCTGTTTGGTAGCACTTGTTGATTGAGCATTGACAGAAAGGAAGAAGAAGTAGAACAGGTAACTAGTTACCAATCAAAGAAGATACTTGGCTATCCACAAAGAATTACCAGTGCGCTGGGCTGCTTGTGGGGACTTGTTGAGAAGAGTGGAGCCGCCACCCAAGTTGCACCTGGAGGGCCAAAACCAGATTGACGCAATTGCATTATTTTGACTCGCCGCACTTCAGTCGAGGAACCAGTCCCTCTCTTATTGTAGACAAAGCCCAATTTCCGAGTGGCTGGTGTCAGATGTTTGCGTTGCCCTCAGTTCGTTTGTAAATCCCGGAAGCAAAGAAAGCGACAACTTCTTCCCACACAGTCCAACTGGCGACGTCATAATGGAGCGCCTGAAGGATTGGATCTCGCGCGACTCTCATGGGTACAGCGCACTTCCCGACCTCAACGGCTACGGTGAGCAGGAGAAGACGATACCAGTAAGAGAAAGCCGCAACCGATCAATCTTGAAGGTCTTGTCTGCTGGTCTGGTTTGTTCCGTGGTGTTGTATTTCCTGGCTGGCTACTTGTAAGTTTCCACCGCCACTGATCTCTGGAGTCATTGCTCACCATCCCTAGACACTCACCCACCAGCGGCTCATGTGACCGCGCAAAGGATGGTTTCCAATGCAAGACCGATATTTCCCATTTCTGGGGCCAGTACGCACCGTACTATTCCGTGCATTCGGACATCTCGCGCTCTATACCCAAGGACTGCGATGTGACCTTTGCTCAGATCCTGTCGAGACACGGAGCCAGAGATCCTACGCTGAGCCACACCATTGCGTACGCAGCCTTGATAACCAGAATCCACCAAAATGTTCAGGATTATGGAAAACACTTCAAGTTCATCAAGGACTATAACTACACGCTTGGGGCAGACCAGCTGTCTGATTTCGGTCGGCAGCAGCTGGTCAACTCTGGCCTCAAATTCTACAAGCGGTACCAAGACCTCACTCGTGCTGAGGCTCCTTTTGTCAGGTCAGCTGGCCAGTACAGGGTCGTTGAGTCAGCGGATTATTGGACCCGTGGATTCCACCAGGCGCGAGTGGAAGACAAGGAGGCAAAGTTTACGGATCCTTTCCCATATGATATTCTCGAAATTCCAGAAGGGTCGGCCTTTAACAACACGTTGAGCCATGATGCTTGCACATTAGCCAACACCGGGGCTAATGTTAGGGTTGGATATGAAGCTCAGGGCACATGGGTCCGCACCTTCGCACCGGCCATCACGGAGCGCTTGAACAAGAACCTTCCCGGCGCGAACCTGACGGACAAGGATACCGTTGACTTTATGGACTTATGTCCGTTTGAGACGGTAGCCGATCCCAATGGCAAGGTGTCGCGATTCTGCAACTTATTCACGAAGGATGAATGGCACAGCTACGATTACTACCAATCGCTCGGCAAGTGGTACGGCTGGACGAATGGCAACCCGTTGGGCCCTACTCAAGGTGTGGGTTTTGTTAATGAGCTCATTGCTCGCATGACCGGCAAACCTGTCGAGGACCACACGGATACCAACTCGACACTAGACAGCTCACCAGAGACGTTCCCCCTCGATAAGGCACTGTATGCAGACTTCAGTCACGACAATGATATGTCGAGCATCTTTGCGGCCTTGGGTCTTTACAACTTGACTGAGCCTCTTTCCAACACAACGAAAGCGGCACCCAAGGAGACCAACGGCTACTCTGCCAGTTGGGCTGTTCCTTTTGCGTCGAGAATGTACGTGGAGAAGATGACGTGCGGAGGCGAAGACGAAGAGTTGGTACGCATTTTGGTGAACGATAGAGTGATACCCCTACAGAACTGCGAGGCGGATGATCTGGGACGCTGTACCTTGAGCAAGTTTGTGGACAGCTTGAGCTTTGCACGGGCTGGCGGATTCTGGGATCAATGTTTCGAATAGACGGGCTGCCAGTACATAGAATTTTGTGTATTGCGTGTCATGTCCCAGTATCAGCAATTTGCCAGATAGGCCGCAGAACTTGGGAATAATAGAGCAAGCACATGCATGATCGATCTGCCATGGCCGCGTGGCTGAAGCCTGCTAACCTAGACCAGTCTACATGTAACTGAGCGGGTTTATCTTGTTGTGCTTCTGTGCAACAAAACAGTTAGGGAGACATTGCCTACCAAGCTGGAAAATTGCTGGCCTTAGCGCGAACGTGGACAAGAGGTCCGGGTGCAGGAGCCTAGGTTAGGTTACTAACTACGGCACAACAGATCCCCCCATCACCTCACGTCACCTGTGGAACCAAATCACCCCCAGACTGCTGCTACCAGTCAGCCAGTTGCTGCCAAAAAGAACTACGGCTACAGTAGTCTAGGTTTGGTTAAAGATTCCCAGATTCCCAGTTTCCCAAGCACCCGACCCCAAACCCAAAATAGCCTGGGCCGAGAACCTGCCCCCGGCATTCCGGGCGACAATCCCACCAACGGCCCTTCCATTACCCAAGACGATTAACCGTTTGTTACACCAAGTCTGGCTTCAGGAACTAAGCGGGAAAACAAGTCTGACTGTCCCTTTTTTTTTTTCCGTCCCCCTTTCGCAGCCTGCGCATCTTCAAGAGTCCTCATTGTCAGCTCGCCGACACCTCCAAGAACACGACGACTACAACTACGACGAGGTCGCCGCGCCTCAATTCGTCTGACGTCAGAAACAATCGCTGTTTCCTTGATCGACCCGACTGAGCAGAAACATCGCAGACCTCCCGCTTTTGGACGTCGCATTGGACCCGAGATGAACGGCGTCGCCATCTTCTTCATCGTCCTGGTCGTGCTGCTGATCGCGGCCGCCGCAGGTTGGATCCTCTTTACACAGCTGCGCGCCAGGAGACTAGGTGTACGTATCCTCTAATCCGACTCCGGCCTCGTAGCCTGCTCCAAGGGAACGTGCTAACGTGTGCCCAGCTCCCTGCCCCATCCATCTCCTCCTACAACCCCTTCGCCTCGCGCTCCGATCCCTCGTCGTCCTACGGCGCGCCCGCGCCCGCGCCGGGCGGCATCCGCGGCTGGATCAACGACAAGTTCCGCAGCAGCAACAAGCGGTCCGCGGCCGGCGCCTACGAGCAGCCCGGCAGCAACGGGCGGCCCAGCAACCGCGGCTTCGGCGCCCTCGACCCGGACGGCGCCTGGGACACGCGCATTGGCACCGAGGCCGACGCCTACGGCGGGTACTACGAGGAGCAGGAGCTCGGCGACCGCCACCACGGCCAGGCCGCCGGCGGGGGGAACCCGTACGGAAACGATGTCTACAGCGGCGGCGGGTATCCGATGAACCTGGCCAGCACGCCCGGCCACGCGCCCGACGACGGCTACGGCGCGCATCACCACCCGGAGGAGAGCAGGGGCCGGTCGAGAGACAGGGGCGGGCTGGGTGTGCCCGGTGCCGGTGCCGCAGGCGGGAGCAGGTCGAGGCAGAACCCCTTCGACGACGACGCTGCGGAGCCGAGCAATATCAGCTTGAGGGGCGTGAGCCCGAGACCGATCGACACGAGTGCGGGTGCGAGGCTGGGGGGCGGTCGGCAGCCGAGCGATAGTCCGACCGAGAGGAAGAGTGTCTTCAGAGAGAACGTCTAGGGGGGCTAGAAGATCCGAGGCGTGTATTATGTTGCGGCTCGAGTAACATGTGGTAGTCCATATGAAACGATGGGGGAAACGAAGTTGTTCTGGCGCTGTTCTTTTCCTCGGGTAACTAAACGCAGCAAATGGTATCATGAAAGGGCTAAGGGATGTATGAGGAGTTTGGGGCGTTCATGTACGATATGTACTAGGTGTTCGAAGGGGCCAGAATATTTTGAAAATATCCTTCGAGTTTGTTCTCAAAGGCTTCTGTTATTGCCGCCGGCAGTAAACACCACCTGCTACACGGGTGTGGAGAGCCGTCTGATACTGGTCGTAGTGATTTGTTGCAAGGTTTTGGGGGACGGCGTGAACGGATTGTTGGCTTCAACAATACGTCGCGAGCAGAGCGCATATTCCTTGGTGACCTGCAGCACTCGCTTGCTATACGTAAGGTCTCTGCTTCAGGCAGTCCGTCCGTCCCTTCGTCTCCGCCACGACACATCAATTAATCAGTGTGCGTTGCTGACGGCCGCGGTCGGCCGGGATTCTCCAGTGAAGCTTCCGAAAAGCAGCTGTATCGACAACCGTACCGCGGGTTTGTTTTGCAATACCTTTGGAGATGTCTTCCCACTTCATGCCCGTTACACTGCAAACTCAGCCCTTTTGAGGGAGAGGCAGGGGCTGTATATAGACCCCTGATTCGTTCGAGTTTCGGCATGATGGTTTTCCTTGAGTTGCTGGTCACCAAGTAGTTACGCCTTTCCTGTGGATTGGATGGGGCATCTATGGGGGGGAAATTCATCACGGTGGGGAGTTGGACTACTTGTACCTGATGAATGACGGGTTTCTAGCGGGGTGGGGATTTCTTTGTTGTTCCAGCTTCGCTTTTCATCTTGTATGCACGATTCGGTCGACCCCAAAGCTTCGCAGCGTCAGGCACGGCTTCGGGTTCATGCACTTCGAGACACCCCGAGGCTGTTTGCTCTTGATGCCATGATGTCTCACGTAGGTCGGCAAATCCGATTGTATCTAGTCGGTGGCATGATTCGCGTTGGGTAGTTGGTAATATGTCGAGTGCATGATGGTAGATGTCTCTTTTGACACGAGTCGTCATTTTCGCCTACAATTCGTGCATCAACTAGTGCATCAACTTGGCGTTCGACGGCCGCGGGAGAGACCCAAGATATGGCGATGCAACTTGACTATATTGGGTCGATCACTACAGTACATGTCTCTCCTCGAAGCGAATAGCTGGAGCAAACCCGGCCCGCTCATGCAGAGGTCCCACTGTTGCCCGCAAGGCCAGCGGGGGGTGCGATGGTGGGTTAATTACGGGGGGAAGCCAATGGAAGTGGCTCTCATGAGTTGTCAATTCGCAACATAAAGCTCTTCTTCATTGATTATACTTTGAACCAAATTCTCAGACACCAATCGCGAAGATGGCTGAACTTGACCTGCAAGAAATCCACGACAGCCTCGTGGCTATCGCATATGATGCCGGGCGCATGATTCTCTCTGCAAACCCGACAGATATCGATCAGGGAACTAAGCTGAACTGTAAGTCGTCGGAGCTACCCCGCGATGCCCCTCCATGATCGTATTACACAAAGCTTCACGCTTTCGCAACAACAGGTTGTAGAGGTGCTCCGTCATGACAGACTGCTGCTGCTGGATCAATCATGCGGTGGCAATCTTGACAACCACGGCGCAGACTGCGCTTGGTGTCAATTCAACTTTCAAACCCCGGTTGGGCCGGAAAGCTGGCTGACCTCAACCCTCCACAGCCGCAGACATTGTGACCGAGACAGACAAGGCGGTCGAGGACCACGTCTCGACGACGCTGCGATCCAAATACCCGTCCTTCTCCTTCATGGGCGAGGAGACGTACCAGCCGGGCCAGAAGCTGACGGACGAGCCGACCTTCATCGTGGACCCCATCGACGGCACCACCAACTTCGTGCACGGGTTCCCGCAGGCCTGCATCTCGCTGGGCTTCGCCGTGCGCCGCCTTCCCACCATCGGCGTCGTCTACAACCCCTACCTCGACACGTTGTACACGGCGATCCGGGGCCGCGGCGCCCACGTCACCGTCGGCCGCGCCTGGGGCCTCGAGGGCGGCGCTGGCAGGAAGAGCAGGCTGCCCCTCGCCCGGAGCCCGGCGCCCCTCGCCGGCCTGGACACCGCGCTGCTCGCCGTGGAGTGGGGCAGCAGCCGTGACGACGACAACTATGAGATCAAGACCGCCGTGTTCAAGAAGCTGTGCGCGGCCAAGTCCAAGGGCGGCGCCATGGTGCACTCGCTGCGCTCGCTGGGCAGCGCCGCGCTGAACATCTGCGCTGTCGCCGCCGGGCAGGTCGACCTCTACTGGGAAGGCGGCTGCTGGGCCTGGGATGTCTGTGCCGGCTGGACCATCTTGAGCGAGGCGGGCGGGCTGATGGCCAGCGGCAACCCGGGCAACTGGGAGCCTGAGATCGACGAGAGGAAGTACCTGGCTGTGAGGGGGGCGCCGAGTGGGCAGAAGGAGATTGTGGAGGAGCTCTGGGGAGTCATCGGTGATGCGAAGATGGAGTATACCAGTTAATTGGGCCAGCTTGTCTCGATTAAGGTCATATGGCGTCAAGTCACTTGATTGGCTAATGCCACAGTGTATGAGATTGATCATGAGGCGATGGACACGGATCGAAATAGAAGGATCTGCGGACAAGCAGCATAGGTCACAAGTACAAACAAGAGATGGGACTCACCAAGATATAGAGTTGCGTTCATAATCACTTGTTTCAAATCTGACCAGCTGCTCTCAAATGTGGTTTGGCTGATACGGCACCGGCCGAGAATGTAGACTGAGTGTCTCAGACAGTCACCTAGCAACATCAACTTCCAAGAAACGCTCTGTTGGACGTTCTTGTATAACTGCGCAGGTCTCTTTCTCGTCACGATGGCAAAAATGAGGGTATCGCAGCTATGGCGGCATGGTTGCTTCCAAAGAAACGGGCACCTCAGCCAGGCTCGATCGGAAAGAAATGGGATAAGGATGAATTACTGAGATGTGGAGCAACAGGTGAGTGTCCCACCAATATGAGACTGTATTTTCCTGTTATCTGAAAATGCCTTGAAACATATGACTGATCTGTGCCAATTTCAGGCACGGCTCAGAGATACAAACTCGGCCTCAGGGGCGAAATCCACCCCGTCTTTCGCAACTGGCGCAATACAGGGTCTGCATTGCACAAAGAGCTGGAACAGCCTCTGCTGCTCGCGAGTCGTCTTGTGGAAAATGCTGGGCTGGAATGGGTATCTGACTTTGTAATCGACGACATCTTCGATGAACGGTATCCTGGTCAAGAGAACTGCGGCTGTCCTGGACCAAGCTCTACCCACAAAACACTAAGAACAGTTGTAAGGCACCATCGGGCCGAGTGGGCCACGCCAGATCTCAGGAGAACCTGGGTCGCCGAAGCAGCTGAGGAGTTGAGATTGGGGCTAGCCAGGTCGATAGAATGGCAACTCGATGCGAACATGTTCAAGCGGAAAGGCTGGACCGGGTATACATGTCGACATCCGAGAGGCCATACGTCGCTGGACGAGATCGACGAACATAGATTGATCAAGGAATGGGACCGGCGGGCTAGGATGGAGGGATCGAAGCATCGGAACTTGACCTTGATGCTAATGACAGAGTACCCAGAGAGAATGAGCAAACTGCCGAAGGATAGTGAGGAATACCTTCTGACGGCTTTTATGACTGCTATTACAATGGTACATATGTACGACGTTTCAACTACTGTCGCCCTGCTCCGAGGCTGACTTGATGTCACAGGCTCGGCCACGCCATGTTCTGGAGTAATTTTGACTCTCTTACTAAAAGAATGAGCGAGCCATATTATGGAGCTGATCTAGAGATGGGATTAGGAAGCAGTTTCGTTGCTCATATTTTCGGAGGCTGGGTGCCCGTACCTATTATGGACACCCTGAACCTCGCACAAGCACCGACTTTCAGATCAGGTATTGCGTGGAAGCAGTTCTTGACATGGGACTATCATCGATTGCGGCCATTGTACAGAGCCCACTATTCAATACCTGTAGAATAGTAAGTTTACTCGACCTATATTACAGCTTGGGCTTACACGAGATCAGCGTTAGTCAGCTGTTCAAACAGAATAATTGGGAGATGCATGGTAACATGATGGCACTGTTGCGCCCTGATTCACTTCACGCACGCCAGCCGAGCATCGAAATGACCGGAAAAACAATGCTAAAGACTCCCCATGCGGCAGCAGCTCTGGCCGATTACCGTCCTGATGGCGAAGGCTGGGTGTGGAGTGGCAGAGAAGGAGCGCCATTCCGCATACCACAGTACGATGGATGCGTGTGGCCTGACATAGACCTTCCTATAGCCACGATCGATGTTCTCAACGAACCTCAAGCAGTAGACCTACGCCGTGGTGTGCCGCATTTCTCTCGCTTGTTGGGTAAGAAAACTGAGCGCAAGACTCCTCGGGACGACAGCCCAACATTAGGTTGCTGTCTGGCGCTAGACCTCGAGACCAGACCAGAGAACCAAATTCCAAGATTACAGAAGAACACCTTACCAGAAGAGTACTTTTCTTTGCAGCATAACAGTGCGGAAGACGCCAGCTTCGACACAGAGCGATGCGAAATTACGGTGGAAGAATTGAAGAAGCGTTTATCGCGTTTGATAGGAGGGTCATTTGACGAACTCGACCTGCTCTTCCAGAACTTCTAACGATTTGGCCCACGCGCTGAACACAAGTATTGGCGCAGTCGCTTTCAGCCTGGCAGCCACCGAAATCAGGATCCCACAGGCTGCCATACTTTATGCCAGTGCGATTCCTTTCGATAAGGTCAACTCACCTACTGGTCCTTACCGACTTATTGTACTTCCGTACTAATGATAGTGGCATTTAATAGAACACAAATCTGGGAGTGCACCCACTCTTGTGTCCATTGCTGTATGGATAGAACACCGGAGAAGTTGATTGTTGGCGGCAGGCAGATAAATGCAGCATAATAGCATGATTACATGTGAACAGGTATCATGCTAACTATACGTTGCTCTTGAGTTAGGGTGCAGGATGGCGCCCGCAAGATTCTCAGATGTCCTGCATCCGTTTGAAAATGACGCCATGTTGTAGATAACAGGTCGGACGCTCGTGTCAGCTTATCAGAGGTCCAAAACACCATAGCCGGCAACATCAGACTGTGATAACATGTATGCCAAGCCGGCGCGTTGTGATAGTATCTCCAGAGAAAGGCCCGACACTTTGCTGCAATGTGCTTGCATGCAGAAAGCGCTGAAGGTGTTATGCGATCTGATATAGCTCCGTTGATCAGTTCATACAGACTGCACGACGGAGTTGAAACTGCCACTTGATTTGAAGAATTCTGCTTCAGCAAGAAGCAGGGCTTCGTACAATATGTGACACAGGGCCGATTACACTGGCTTCGAGCTGCGCATACAATACTACCCGCAGGGGTATCGAAAAAGCTACCTGGATTGGGTTGGCCAGTAGCGTTGGGAGTTTCGGGCCGTGGCAGCTAAAGTGGTCGGAGACACTAATGTCTGAATGGTCTGTGTCGGTGACCTGCATGATAGCGACGTGGTATTACATGGACGGTAAAGATATGCTCGGGTCCGCGGTCGTACTGCATTATCTCGTCCTTCTCGAATGCAAGATAGGTCGGAGGCTGAATTTTCCAAAGCCACTACCGGAACTTTGCTGAAACGCTTATCAAGCTCAACATTTTAGTTAAATGGCACCCCTTTCAAGCGAATGATAACAGGCTGCATGTGGGCGCTCGGTTAGCAAAAAATTATTCGTTGTGACGTGCGTCTTTATTTCTCGGAATTGCTCGGAGCATGTGCAAATATGGTTCCACGGCCACAGAGACAACATGCTTCTGGCTTTCCACCCTGGAAGCCTACCGTGAAGCCGTGCCGTTGTCGACAAGGTTGTTTGCAGACAGGATGGCCTGTCACCGCTTGATTGACCTAGGGATGCCTGTCAAGACGGTTTCGGTCCTGGACGATGATAAGATTTGCGCCGTTGAACAAAGCAATCTCACATGTAAGATTGTCAAGTTCATGCCTATGACTTTTGTCAAGATTCAATCTCCGTAGCAGCAGATCGGGAGTATCGACTGCAAGCGACTTGAGCATGGCGTGAGTGGATGCAGAATTGTACTGAGGCCAGAGAGTCCTCGCGTCTCAATAAATATGGAGCTTCTCTTTCTTCGAATGCCGGGTTTCATCCTATCTTCAGAAACTATGTAACTTGGTGTGGTCGAGGTAGATCTACCGGCAATGTTACAGCGCTAATCTTGGAGAGGAGGGAGTCTCCTCTCCGCCTCCTACTGTAGTTCAGGTCCTGCTTCTCCCCGCTGGGGTGCTAGCGGGTTGAACTTAGCGTCTGCAGTTAGCCTGTCTGCTTGTGAGTCTGGCAAGCCTGGCAGAGCCTGGGCAGTCCGGGTGACCCATCTGCTTCCAACAATTTCGGACAGCTCGTCCTCATGCAAAACCATATCATTGGTGGAACGCATTCCTTTGCCATGATAGGAACGTGTTAGACACGCTATTGGTTCGTATGACTGATTGCTTTGTATGCAGCTCGGTCGACTGGGCACTGCTTTGAACTCTCTTGTCAAAATAAACCTCGACCCCGCCAAACAGTCACACAGAACAATTCGATGCACATCGAAATTGTACGGGCAAACGGTGACCTCATGGGCTGCAAGATCAAAGTACAACTATCATCATCTTATTATACAACGTGGTGGCGGTATGGTTGGAGATTTGCATTCAATCGGCTATGCTTGTCAGAGGTCAAGGTTCTTTGCCGACTCTGCAATCAATTGATTGACAGCAGCAGGCGCGCGTCAGGCTAACTAGTTAACCATGAATGCGACACTCGGGGTTTGCAGGAACATGAGCTCGAACCAGACTAGTTACATGCTCTTTTGATTGATAAGTCAAGGTTTCAAGAACTTGCTCAGATGTGAATTGGTCCATCCCCTCTCATGCGCAGTGATGGGCTAATAGTTACGTAGGTTCGCACTTTTTGAACTGTTTATTCATGAGTCGTTGACCGCCTCGAAACGAAGCTTGCCGCGCTGTTCTCGATTCGTGCCCTAATTTCGCTGCGCTGGTCTTCTGACGAACCGCTAGAATTTGTTGTACCACTCATCTGTGACTGCGGTGCACAGAATGACACCTGCGCGTAGAGATCTACCGCTGATGTGATGGAGGCGCACATTGATGATACCTGCACGGAGCAAGACCTGTTCGTGTGTGTGACATTACGGGTAGCACCAAAAGATCCGAAAGCTGTCGATAGTATGTATCATGTAGGGGTTCCGGATAGCTGAGATCGATCATATAGCAGACCGTTGAGAAGTACCTGTCAGCCTGTCGCTTCTTGCAACAGTTGCCCAGCTCCAACCAGTCATGAGCCAGGAAATCGAGGCTTCGGTTTATAGTTTATCGTGGGCCAGATGTCGCAATAGTATCACTTTGCGCCCATCAGGTCACCAGCATGCTGACTGGTTCACGTCGCTATCGCCTCCATGCAAGCGTCCAGTGGCGCAGAACCACTAAAGATGATCTGCGGATCGCTGATTTGCAGCCCGGCTCAACCGCTAGATGGGAAAAAGATTTCAATTACCCTGTCCGAATCCTTATCACAGTTGCGCACCTGCAAGTTCATTTATCTCTTTCTAGCCCTGCTTTCCGCTCCCTCGTTCTTGCACATCAACTGCACTCTGGGAACTACTTCTTTTCATCATTGACATCAAGTGCTGACGACAAGGCACCCTGGTACATACATAATATCCTTCACCCTAGAAACCTTCTCAATTTTATGACGCCTATCACAGACCCTCCTAGCTCTTAAGAGGAAGAGCCGCAACACTTGGGCTTTTATTTGCCGTGGAAAGGAACTCACCATTTCACTTTCACTCAATTTAAAGCGACAGGTGTTGTGTCTATTGTCGTAAGATAGACGCTCGTTTTCGAGACCATGGTCCTAACAAAACAGAGATCGCTTCGAAATCCCGATGACTTCCCTACCTTTCAACTGTTCCTTCTGGGTGCGCATCTTCCAGTCATCTTTCTGTAAAGGCGTCTGTTAACCACCAAATTAGCTATCGTGCGTCTTGCCGAGCCCATTGCCTTGACTTCTATCTTCCCTTATGCTTGGTCATTGGTGAAGAAGTTCAAAATCGGAAACGAGCAAGATGCCTCTTTCTATGCTGGCCTGCTCATATCAGCATTTGCCCTCGCTGAAGCTTCAATGGGCATGTACTGGGGAGGGCTTTCTGACCGTGTCGGCCGAAAACCTGTCCTCTTATTAGGATGTGTAGGTACCATGTTCAGCTTGATCCTGGTAGGGTTCGCTACCAATATCTGGGTCGCACTCGCTGGCCGTGCTATTGGTGGGTTCTTGAATGGAAATATCGGCGTGATACAAACCATGGTCAGTGAGCTTGTCACTAAGAAGGAACATGAGCGTAAGCACCCATTCACTATTGCAACAAATGAGTGCTGACTGAAAGCCTAAAGCCCGTGCATACTCGGTTATGCCATTTGTTTGGTCCGTTGGTACAATCATTGGCCCAACTATTGGTGGCATTTTCGCAGAACCTCACAAGACATTCCCTGACATCGTTCGCAAGGGCAGCATCTTTGAAATCTTCCCATACTTGTTGCCCAATCTTATCTGTGCTGCCCTCTTACTTCTGAGCATCGGCATGGGCTATTTCCTGCTTGAGGAAACACATCCAGACATGGCTCCTCGTGTGATGCTTCCTGACTACACCTACATCTCAGCCGAAACGCCGTTGATCGAAACTGCGGATGCGATGAAACAGCCTCCAGTGGATATTCGTTCAGAGACTTACGGCACGTTCAGAGCGAGAAACAGTGCGGAGCTTGTCCGTGAGATTGCTTGCACAAAGCAGGTCGAAAAGCCTAGGCACGTCACAATTTTCACGAAGAGAATTGTCGGCCTTATTGTGGCTCTATCAATTTTCACCTACCATTCAATGACTTACGATCACTTGTTACCCATCTTCTTCGAGGATGACAGGATGCCGATGAGTGCTTCATCACAAGCTGCAGTTTTCTCAACAATGAATCCGTTCTACTCACCTGGTGGACTTGGCCTTTCCATGTACGCCGTGGGAGTGATCATGGCTGTCAACGGTGCCATCGCATTATTCGTCCAGGCCGTTGTCTTTCCCATTGCGGCGTCACTCATAGGCGTCTTCCGGTTGTTCATCCTGGTAACCATTCTTCATCCAATCGCATATCTCATCATGCCGATGTTGCTCCACGTTCCCGAAGATTGGTTGCGTCCTGCGATATATGCCTGCTTAACTATCAGGAACATTCTGTCCATCATCCTCTACCCTCTGCTACTCATCTTAATCAAGGATGCGACCCCTTGTAACTCGGTGCTCGGAAAGGTCAATGGCTTGGCGGCAAGTGCTGGAGCTGCCTGCAGAATGATCGCTCCACCAGTCGCCGGCTACCTCTACACGATGGGTAGTCGTCAGAACTTCACCGCGTTAGCTTGGTACGGAAGTGCTCTTGTGGCAGTTGTTGGCGCAATTCAGTGCTTCTCGGTGAAGCGCGACAAGAATGATAGTGGTTTGGAAGACCCCGACAGCAATGATGGAAGAGCTACCGTTTCCGTTACGACCATTCCCGAAGAACCGGAAGAGGAGCGGTTCTAGAAGAGTCGCGCGTCGCCATGCGCATTTGCTATATCAGCACATTCTGAGGGGCACGAAAAAAGAAATTGTGGTGATGGTTGGTAGACGAGAAACACGGCCAGCCCGTAGCACCTGCTACGCAGGTATAGGATGTGCCTGTTCCAGCACGCAAAGGTTTGGGGCACAGAATTCCTGCTTGAAATTGAACGGCGTTCTTTGAAATTAGGGTTTAGGTCTGGAAAAAGTTGGCTCGTTTCGAATGATACCCTCTGTTTGTTTGTCGGTCCTCATAGGGGCAACGGGTATTGGCGGCAAGTGTTGTATTTGGTCAGCTCGGCTCCATGGGCCGGAGAGGTTCCTGACATTAATAGAGATAGACTAAATAGACAAGATATAATCAATAAGAGCCCTGACAGAGTTGGACAACATAGACAACATGGATGGAATAATGTCGTGAATCGTTACAGCGTAAATATGGCGGCACATATAAGAAGCAGGATGTGGAACAGATCAAGAGGATGGTGTTGACTTTCGAACGGGCGCTTTTCGCACTATCGCACTGTTAGTCATGTTGAACTTCACTTGATTATCACGAGGCATGTGAGCATACTAGTTTAGTTGACATGGTCTTTCATCTATCTAACCTGGTCTCTCGATCCGTTTGCTGACTTCTACTCAGAGGAGGCCCTTCGTGCATACCATGACCTGTCAAAATTTTCCTGGTTGTGTCATCTATTGTCTGTCCAATGTCTTGCAATCCTCGCACTTTATTGCATGCCCACCTATCGTGGTTTTGCAAATGTGAGAATTCATTGCCAATGTCGATCCAATATTATCATAGAGTCATACCCAGCTCAATACCGCATTTTAAGTCCGGCCCAGCTTTCCAAATTGCTTGGACTGCAGAGATGCGACTTGCAACCTAAGGCATTCAATCACGAGAAAGGAGTGTTTCCTTAACGACTCGTTGTGGCCTCCAGTCCTCAGCGACGAAAGGCTCCGTGCCCAAGCTTAGCCTGTGCGACAGCAGCGGCTTCGGAGTCGATGAGCCCGGCAGCTTCATCTGCTTGGATGGCAGTCACGGGATCAGAGTAATTCCTGTTGCTGAACCAGCTGTGATATACGACCGTGCCGTCTGCAAGCATGTTGCGCAACGGATAGGCGGGGAGCGTGGCCACTTGTGTGGCTGTGAATGGCGTGGGTCTAGGGGCGGAGGCGCGATGGGTGTGCGGCGACTCGGCATTCTATGCACTCGGCGTTCCCTTCGGCGTTGTAGGCGACGCCAAATCAGTTATCGCTGCGGTATGGTTAGATGGTGGTGGCCGTGGCGGCAGAGAAGCATGGAAGCTCAGTGCTGACGACTTGCGGATCAGAGGAGAATGGGTGGCTTTCATGGGATTGTGAGTATACTCGGGTGCTCCAGAAGGGCTAGGAGAGTTGACTGATGCGAAATCCAACTTAGGAGTCTGAAACCTAGAAAAAGTCGACGGTCGACTAGGTTGCTGGCTGGTTACAGGAGTAGTCAACAATGCTGCTGTGCTATCATATACAGTGGTGTTTCGGTCGGGTGTTCTCTCAGCAACTGGCGTGGTAATGCGCTCAGTCTTTGGCTTGCTTGCTTGCTGCCTCTTTTCCTCGGGCTCTTCTTGCATAAGTGATCGTGAAACAAAAGTGGACGCACGCTTGGGCGAGAGAGACTCTTCTCGTCTGTTGGCTTTTCTTGCGGATTTAAGTTCGTACTTCGGCTTAGGCAAGATCTTAACGGCTGGTTTCGATCCGGTGGGTTGCTCGGGGAGGTCGGCAGCCTTTGCCGGTGAAGAACTGTGCTGTTTTAGTGCAGCAGACTGGGGATCGGAGTTCATCAAAGGATTCTTGGTGATATCCCTCGGCAATTTTGCAGACTTCTGCCCACCAGAGCTGGCTGGCTTGGTAATTATCTTTGGATCTAACTTCTGCGACAGATCTGCCGAGTCCAGTTGAGATGATTCCTTGGTCGGCTGGTCCATATCAGCAGGTGGAGCAATAGACCACGAAGAAGGAAGTTTTGTCTGTTGAACAAAATTCGGTACGGGGACAGGTGTGACGGTCTTCTGTATGGCCTTCGGATCAGGCGCAGGCGCCAAACTTGAAGCTCCCGTTCCTAATACACGGGTGCCCTGCTTCTTACTCGGACGGGCAAGCTCGCTGCCATTTTTACGAGGCCGCCCACGTCGCCTTTTCGCGGGCATCTCGGATGCGGCGCCTTCGTTGTTTATGCCAGAGATCAAACTAGCCGACCTTTTGGACACCAGAGCAGGAAGCTGTGAGTAGATCGGTTCCTCGTCGCTGGGTTGGTAACTTTGCGCAAATTCGGGGCCGGATTGGGAAGGTAGGGATTGAGTGACTCGAAGACCCTGAGGCACCTCACTGCTGGTCTCATCTGTACCTGCTACCTTGATAGTGTGAGCTGTGACGCCGGGCAAGTTGGTCTTTGGAACAATCTTCCGAGCCTTCTTTATGGGACGAGACCTCTCGGTAGCAAATAGGGATTTGACCGCCTGAGCTTCAGTCTGAGAGTTCCTCTGAGGTGTACGTATCGCGACAATCAGGCTCTCTGCTTCCGGCCCTTGAACCTCGAATACGTCGTCATCAGGATCATCTTGTAACCAGAATTCTTCATTAGTAGCATCATCAGAAACAATATCATCGAGTAGGTCGTCTACATAGTTGACGGCCGGGCGCGTTGCTCGACTTCCGCGTCCTAAAGGCCGAGCTTCTCGTTGGTCTCCCCCTTCTTTAGCAGTTTGACGCTCTTTCTTTTTATCTGCAGCCAGCCTTCGGAGGTGGTCCGTCTCACGTTTTTTCGTAAGCTTATCTTGTATTCTCTTTGACGATATGTGGTCAGTATCGACTTGCATCTCTTCCTCAGCTCTTTCGCGCTCCTGGTCAAGTTGGAGCTGCCGCTTGTATGGAATGAGAATTCTGTCGGCCTCTCGAAGGACAGCATTTGCCAGGTCTGAATCTCTGGCATTCTTTTTGATCGGTGTTCCGATTGCTTCCATTTGGTTGAACGTACGATAGCGGCCATCATCATTGATCAGGTCCAGTTCACCATCGATCTCAGCGATTTGGTGCATACCCATCGTGGCCCAGCGGCTCAGCCATTTTCCATCAAGAACGAGGCCAGTCTGCTGAGGAAGGAAAATACGGAACCCGATCCAGTCAGGCAGTGATGGCTTGAAGTGCTCGGGCAAATGCTCAGCCATTTCTGGTAGGAGAAAGGAATAAATCCCTCCTCGACCAAGCGGAGCCTTACCATCAATTGGCCCGCGGTGTGCTGTATCAAAATTCATGATGTATCCTGAAGGGGACACAACAGCATAGTTGGGTGGCAGGGGCAGCGTCATAAAAGCCAGGTCAGACTGGTCGTCAGCTATAGTAGGGACTGTGATCTTTTCAACAGGCCCGACCACGTTGTTGTCAGGTCGACTGCCCTCAGGCAAGGCCTCACGAACGTACGGTTCAAATTCATCAGGTCCGACCGTTGGCGCATCTTTGATGTTGCGCGCTGGATTGAGTAAAACGAATCGGTGCCTCCAGGCATGGAATATTTGATCCCATTGGCGCTGGCGCCTTTCAGCTGGACTGGTATCTGGGAACGCTGCAGATAATCCATCTTGGAGCATCAGCTCGGGTTTAGTTCCAGCAATGGTGGCTTGCAGACTTTCGGGTTTGACCGGTGCGTAGAACATTTGGTTTGAAGGATCTTTGCGCGATTGTTGCTTATTGACGTGCATTCGATTAGCGTGAGCATTAATTAAGTCGAAAAGTGTGCTGTCGCCCTGTTTTGCTGAGCTGCATTTGTTCACAGGTATTACCTGAGTCGGTAATCGGGGCGATGACAACTCGTAAGTTGTTATGGCATCTCGAAACAAATCTGAATCAGGCAAATGAGAGACTTGAAATTCTTTTGCGTGATCTGCCTGCCAAGGGAAATCTGACATCGTCATTGCATCAGCCAGCCGAGTCAGGGTGCTCGCCATGACGGCTTCAGATGTCGAGCTCTTCTTCACTGAAGAGCCGGTGCCAATGTATAACTCATTTTTCATATTATGACTTATATGGACTAGTTCTCGACTGTGCCCTAATGGGTCATCATTGCCTTCAGGAACGTTGTCCACGAGATAATCGGTCGTGGCCACAGCGTGATCTTGACTAGCAACATTTGTGCTGTCTTTTTGGAGGTTGCATGGGTAAAGTTCATTGTCGTCAATGTTATCAGTAGCGAAAGGATCATGGTTATCGTCGATGATGCCAGTCTTTGTACTGATCTGCGTGGGGTATTCCTCGTGGAAAATTGAGGTCCAGGTGGTATCGTCCGTCACAAAGTCGAGCTGACTTTCAGCTTCGATTGGTGTGTTATATTGTCGCGGGGGGCAAACACGATACTCGCCTGCCTGAGAAAGTACTTGTCTTCCACTCGGTCCAATGACGACCGTACCACGGGGCAGGATGCTGGTAAGCAGACGAATACTGTTTTTAACTTTGATCTGTGGACATGTCAGGCCGATGGAGAACAATGCGCGCACCGAGTCGACACTGGTCTCTTCTTGATCTTCTTCTTCTTTTTCTTCATCCTGATCCTTAGATTCGTCTGTATGAGTTGCGCTATCTTGGATGTCGGTATCTGCATTGATGCTGCCGGTGTTGCCGTCTTGAATCTCATGAGGACGATATGATGAGATATCAATCGTGAAAGGCCAGGTAACTTTTTTGTGACTCCATGCCTTAATACGATCAGCGATGCGATGATAGCCAAACGATTTGACGAAATTGGCGGCCTTGTACATTTCCCCAGTCGTCAAAAGCTGCATCTCGACAGGGCCACCGCTCAAAAGGTCGCTCTCCCATGATTCCGGGGCATGTAGTTGCCATTGAACGAGCTTCATGTCCCATCGTATCTTCTGGTCGCGTTCAGCGCGATAAATGCGTCTGTGGAAAGGAACTGGTCAGCACTGGGAGTTGAATCACGCGCAATTTTCAATACTTACATCCACTTCTCGACTTGTGCGCTGAAGAGCAGCAACATCCGACATGCCAACTGGAATGAGCCACCTCGATCTGTGAGCTCCTTGAAGATTATTGACTGCGCGACATGACTCAGGTCCTGCCATCCTGTCTCAAGAGGGGAGGGAAGGTTTAGGGATGTCTGGATATCTTCTTCGAGCTGATCTTCAAGTTCCAGTTTTGCCAAGTCCTGCCATCTCGGCTCAAATCTGGGTTGCTCTGCTGCGGAGCTTGCTTGTCGGAACAAATGGCGTCCAGGTCTGACCATGGATTGTGAGTTGCGCTGATATGGGAGCTCTAGCCTGACTGGTTTGAAGCAAACCGCAGGCTCAATTTCAGGTTTCACCACAGCAACTGAAGTAACTCCGTTGTTGCGAGTCCCCTCAAGTAGAGTCGTGAAGTCCGTCGGATAGTCGTGAAGCTCTACCGTCGCGCCAGCTGAAGGCGCAGCCATCTTTGCGTGATCGCTGTGGTAAAAATGCCTCGACAAACGGGCTCGTCGAGTCTCAGACTCGGTGATTTGGAATTTATTTGTTGTAATTTTGGTTTAGTGGTTGTCGTAAGGTAAGGGTGTGGAAATCAATGTTGTGATGTTTGCAGAACTTGAAAGAGTGCTATGCACTTTATAATGAAGACCTCATAGTGTGCTGTTCAATCTCGGCGAACAATCTGAATCAAAATATCTATCTTGTCACTCCAAATACTAATCGCAATTGTGTGAACAATTGTGAAACTGTGAAATTATGTCAGTTGTTGATAAACCCCATCACGACGTGTCAAGGAAGGCACAGATTTCCATGAGAGATTTGCCGCCATCAACTCGATTCCCAAGGCTACTATCTCAGAAACAGATCATTAGACAATCAACAAATTGAACATGACCAAGCATCTCTCAGATCACAAGGAGAGGCTTTGTATCCTGAGAACATTCCTGGACTTGGAGGAGGACAGGTGTATCATTGATACGTTGGTAAGCAGCACTTCACAGCAATCTGGTATCACCAGCTCTTTGCCCATAATGATAAAATGGCGTGATGAGAATATCGATGAATTCAGTGATGAGAAACATTTCATTTTGGTAATTTTGAGAATCTGCATTTGTGACAGGCACAAATCATCATCCTCTTATACTCATCGTGGTTGCCATGGCATTCGTCATTGTCGCATAGGCATAGGTACGCAGCAAGTCAACTTTCTTCACATTCTCGACCGTACTTGTCATTATGCAGCATTTTCCCTTTTGCAGAATCAACAAGCGCTCTTGATACATCTTACTTCTGCCTCATCACAAGCAATACACATTTGTCCACACAGAGATTGACCAACTGCGTGCGAAGTCCCACCACTGAAAGTACAATTCGAAAGAAACATTGAACCTTGAAATTGCATACTCGTGCTGGAGAAGATAATGGAGAAGATGAAGAAGAAAAGTGACATGATACTACATACAGGAGGACCTGGAATAATCTAATCTGATCCGCACATACGGCATACACAGTATATAAGTGCCATGTGCATTGGGCACTGTACTGCGGTGTTCACCAAGCTTAGACTACCGTCTAACCTTACTGGCGTACATAAAGCTCCGTGCACGCTTGTGCCAAGCTCCGACGTCAGCTCCCTGGCGTCCTGGCCGCAGTTGTGGCTTTCCGTCCTGACCTGGTTGCTTCGGTACCATCCGCGAACATACACATAATTCCGACGAATATAGGGTGGCATAATTGCGTCGTTGACATGCGACTACAGATAGTCTCGCCCCTCAATTGACTTACTTGTTCCATTCGTTCTACGTTGCTTGCGCCCCGTGAACCGTCGGTTGCGATCCCGCCCCCATAGCCAAAAGCCATCATGGCACCCAGAATCGAAGCCAGCGAGATTGAGACATACTGGAACATCTTCGCCACCAGGACAAATGGCGCCAAATTCCTCACGGGAGAGATGGCAGCGCCGCTGTTGAAGAACAGCGGGCTGCGGGATGATCAGCTGGAGAGGGTCTGGGATGTGGCAGATATCGACAATGACGGCAACCTCGACTTTGAGGAGTTCTGCGTGGGCATGCGCATCATCTTTGATATAGTCAATGGGGTGAGTCGCCTTCTGCAGGGCTCTGGGAGTGCGCAGCACGCATGGGTGAAGATGGCTGACAGCAGCTTAGGAGTACGCCGACGTCCCTGCCACATTGCCCGATTGGCTGGTCCCCGAATCCAAGTCGCATCTCGTACAGGCAAACCGCGCAGTCACCGGAAAACAAGTGGCATTCGAGCGCGTAGAGGATGAAGACGACGACCCGGGCTTGAAAGATGGCTTTGACTGGTACATGAAGCCCGACGACAAGGCCAAGTACGAGTCGATATACCAGGAGAACAGAGACATGCGCGGAGAAATATCATGTGAGTAGTCTTCCCCCCTTCTCCTCATACCATAACCATGACTCTTCTATTTGCCGGGCTCGCAGGCTGATCGACTATCTTCTCCCCAACAGTTCAAGCTCTAGAAGACCTCTACGAATCCCTCGACGTGCCCGATACCGATATCCGCAGCGCCTGGAACCTGATCAACCCCTCCGCCTCGTCCACGATCAACAAGGACGCCTCCTTGGCATTCCTGCACATCCTCAACAACCGTCACGACGGGTTCCGGATCCCGCGGACAGTGCCGGCATCGCTCCGCTCCTCGTTCGAGCGCAACCAGATCGACTACCAGCTTGATTCGGACCGCAACAAGGGGGCCGCCGCATCGCGCTGGGCCGCCAAGGCCGACGACACCACCAGCACGGGCCGCAAGGCCAAGTTCGGCGACCAGTACCTGACGCGGCTGGGCCGCGGCGGCTTCAAGTCCGGCGGCACCGACTTCAGCACTGAGAAGACGGACGACTGGGAGGAGGTCCGACTCAAGAAGCAGCTGCAGGAGCTCGACGACAAGATGGCAAAGGTAGAGGAGATCGCGAACCGTCGGCGCGGCGGCAAGAGGGACAGCAAGCCCGCGCTTGTGAAGCGCGAGCTCGAGCAGCTCCTCGACTACAAGCGCAAGGAGCTGAGGGAGCTCGAGGAGGGCAACGGAAAGGCCAAGACGGGGAGCAACCTCAGGGGTATCCAGGAGGATCTGTCGACGGTCAAGGAGCAGGTCGATGGGCTGGAGGCGCATTTGAGTACGAGGACGCAAGTTTTGGACCAGCTGAGGAGGGAGATCGAGGACGAAAAGACACGAAAATAAGACGGCCATGGAGTTACTTTCGATGGCTGGCTAGACAGGATAAATACGTTGTAATGCTATGAAATGTCAAACATCGCTTACAGCCGAAAGGTGTGGGCATGAGCTCGGGGTGCCAGCACTCATCAGCAGACCCAGAATTGATCACGTTGTGTCTGCAAAACCGAGCACCAGTAAATATGTGGCTAAGAAAACTCAAGCAATCAAATAATTAAAGGCAGCATGGTATCTAGGGGTATAAATGCTACTCGGCCGAGGAACAAACGCACACTAATCCATCCTTCCGTCCGCCGACGTAATCCCAGCCATCACCCTCGCCCCGGTACTAGTAATTCGTTCCGTTCAGGATACCGGGTAGCTGCTGTACGCCGAGCGTCTTGCCCTTGATCATGTAGACCATGTAGGAGAAGACCTTGACGGACCCCAGACGGCCGACACCGCGGCTCCTGCCCGTGGCGGCGACCAAGACATCGATGGGCAGCGTCTTGACGGGCGTCGGGTTCTTGCCGTGGAGGACGAGGTCGACGTTCTTGGACACGCCCGCGGCCTGCTTGTCGGCGAGCACGTATCCGCCGCGGGGCGACCACACGATATCGCCGGCGGCCCAGACGTTGGTCGCGTTCTTGACGCGGTAGAACTCGTCGATGGCCACGAACTTGGAGCCGTCCTCCCTCAGCACCTTCTCCGGCAGGTACTCCGTGTTGGCCGCCATGCCCATGGTCGGCAGGTACAGGTCCGTGAGGATCTTCTCGCCACTCTGGAGCGTCACCTCGGTCTTGCCGTCCGGCAGCACCGCGGTGCCCGCGACGCGCGCGCCCGTCTTGATGACGACGCCCAGCTTCTTGAGCTCGCTCTCCGCGTTGCTGGCCAGGATGTCGCCGGGCAGGACCGTGCTGCCGCCCGACAGCAGCAGGATCTCCTTGTCCTTGTTCTTGCCGTACTCGAACCCGAGCTCGCCGGCCACCTCGACACCTGTCGCTCCGGCGCCGGCGACCACGATGTGCTTCGCCGCCGCGACCTTCTCCGCCGTCTTGTGCAGCGAGTCCATGATCTCCTCGTGCGACCCGTTGGCCTTCCAGGGCACCACCTCGTCGCCGGCTGTGCGTGTACCCGTCGCCAGGACCAGGTGGTCGTAGCTCAGGACGCGCTCGCCGCCATCCGCGGTGGAAACGGTGACGCTCTTGGCGTCGAGGTCAGTGGCTGAAGCGGTGCCTACGATGAACTCGAAAGCATCGGAGGGGTACTTGGCGAAGCCCTTCTCAATAGGCTGGCTGTATTCCTCGTCCTTCAAAATGCCGGGGATGATGGCGCGCACTGAGGCGAGATTCCAGTAAAAGTGAGAGTTCTACGAATGTGAGTCAGTAGGGATTCTAAAAGGACTCGAAAGACAGTAGGCATCAATTGGTCGCGTGTTTTGGACTGAGCCATGTGACAAAACACGGTAAAGCAGGGTCAGACGACCTCCTGCCCAATGGCATTGCTCACCTTAGACACCAAAATAACCTTCAAATCCTGTACAGATTTCCTGGTATTCTTCACCAGCCTGTGAGCGATCTGGAGACCGGCATATGAGCCTCCAAGGACGACAATGGTTTGTGTCATGGTGAGTTCTCAGATCTGCTGTTGGCCAAGTCTGTAATGTGTTCTGGTGTGGAATTTGCTGCGCAGACCAAGTTGGTTTCAACTTTCAAGTTGATAGCTCTGAACTGCTGTTGCGGAAGGGAATCTAGGGTATCTTTCAAAAAATCAGAGCACGAGAAACGAGAAGCAAACAAGCAAGACTTGGAACGTGAAGACGAAGAAAACCTAGCATCACATCATAAAACAAATCGTTGGCATGTCCGGACTTTATATGATAGTCCGGGCTCGGGCCCGCCCAGGGGCTCCGGTACCGAGCTAGGGATCTGCGAGAAGGGGACCGTTCCCTCGTAGCAACCGTTCCCTGGAAGCAGAGAATCACGACCCCAGACTGCCTGCGATCCCAAAAGTCATTATTCATCCATTACAGTTCTGAATTGCCGTTGAAACGGATTAGTAATGCACACCCAATTCTGACTTATCTCTCCAAATTACGGATCCGTAAATTATGAGTGAAGGCATTGGTAAAGCTTAGAAATTGCGTGCCAAGCCCGGCAAGCTGGATTGAGACCCCTGTTCAATAGTGCCATCTAAGGCTGAACAGGTACCGTTTAGAGTTGGTCCCTTGTGTACTGCGACCCGCCGCAACGGAAGGCTTGCATGAAAACCATGGTTGAAAACGCCGGACGCAGACAATCAGTGTTGCAATGGCGCGCAACGTCTGCTTCTAAACGAGTTGTGACACAATGCGAAGCTCAAACACGGGGACCTCGCAGGTCATCGTTTTCCAATATGGCATTCTCCACATGGCGCGAGAGCATCAAGGAATTGTATTCGACTCGGAACGAACAAACCGAGGCTGGTTGATTCGATCAACAAGACGGCAGGCCGGTGATCTTGGGTTGAGTGCCGACATCAGGCCAGTCGTTGTACGCTAAACCGTTGAGTCCTGGGATGGGATTTCATGTACGGAGTAGGGATGCTATGGTACCGGAACAACAGAACGAGCAAGACATCGGCCCCAAAGAGTCTTGGAAACGATCTCACCAAAAGTGCTGCTGTCCTGCTGCATGATCATTGTGAATAAATGCGAGTATGGTCCACATCTCGAACAACAAAAGTGTTCATGCTTGGTCCCCATGTCGATTGTAATTTTTTTTTACACGTCAATGGAATCTACTGTGCAACTGTACACCAGATGTGGCGTCAAGGTTCTCCTTCGGGCATGCTGTAGAAGAAGAAAAGAACATGGACAGTGACAGTCAGAAAGAATTACTCATCTCAACATAGCGTAACTCAAAACACAGTATAGACGTCGACTCTGCATTTCTAACTTGCATGATGCTGAAACTCAATTACCTAAGTTGCCGCTGCAGATAAGCTTAAGGGAAGCACGTGGAAGATATTTGCAGGAATATCCTGACCTCGGGTGATTCTAAGTTGCGTCCCTGCATGATGCTGGTGGGTTTGCAGAAACCGCTCCACAGAATAGGACACTTGAAAATAGGCGATTCCGTCGCTACGTTGGGATGTCGTTGCGAATCTGGAGACACGGTTGACCACTCGTTAGGAAACCATTGTGAAATTTTATCAACTGAGCAGCAAACATGCCCACAGCGGTTCCAGTGACTTTTTATCGCGATACAAACTGTTCACTGCCAAAAATGCTGCTTATGGTGGCACAAGGGTCACATGCGAGCGCGCCAATGTGCTAGTAAACGTGTCCCAATTTGAATGATGGGCAATCCATGCCCTTGCAGAGTACGGATTACGGGAGAAAAAGAGCCAGCCGCTGGCGGATTCTCTACCCCGCCATTCGGTGGGCTACTTTTGGATCTGGATCCAGCTCAACACATCGTCACCTGTCCCTCGTACCCCGCCAAAAACCTATCCTTATATTATCCGTCTCTCCTCAACAACTTTCAAGTACGACACCTGCTATACGTTGTACGCCTCGGAATATACACATCTTCCTCTTTCGGCACTCTAAATTCACCCACTACCAAGCAATTCACAATGTCTGCCCCTCAGAGCGACGCTTTCAAGCAGGCTGTCATCGACAGCAAGAAGCTGACATCGAAGCCTAGCAACGATGATCTTCTCGAGTTCTACGGTACGATCGAACCTTCGCCAGGACTAGCTGGTTATTTGATATCAATTCTTACTTCATAACTTTATGTAACCTTTCACTAACTGCTTTCCCTGCTCACAGCCTACTTCAAGGTCGGTACCGGCGAGGACTTCTCTTCCGCAGCCAAGCCTGGCATGTTCGACCTGAAGGGCAAGGCCAAGTACAACGCCTGGGAGAATGTTCACAAGGACGGCCTCTCGGCCAAGGAGGCCCAGGACAAGTACGTCGAGCTCATCGAGGCCGCCAAGAACAAGTACGGTTTCGACGCCAACAAGCAGCCCGAGGCCGTTGGCTCTTCGTAGTACAAAGGCATGAGAGCGATCGGTCGGGAGACGCGGGCAGCCAAGGTTTGTGGCGTGGCGGCTGTCGGCACACTCCTCGTACCAATGGCAGGTCTCCCTATTCTCATTGGCACATGTGGTTACTACGGTGTTCGGCTGGGGCTCGACAAGTATAGGAGGAAACAAGTACGACTGGAGGATATCGACCCCGATATCTATGGATGTCTTCCACCTTGTTCTCCTCCTACCCATGTCCCTCCTACTTATATGCTTTATAATTTGGAAACATCCGGAAGTGCTCGCACTGCGAGAGCTACAACAAGCGATGTGGTCGCAGCATATCCCCCGCCCAGGCCTAACACGGCAATGAGGAGAGGGTACTAAGAGGCCTCGCTTGGTTGGTACACGAAACACAGCGAGTCTCTTGGAAATCGACACAACCTAACAATAAAAAATGACAAAATAAAGTTCTTCTTCAACTACAGATGCGACGCAAAAGCAGCCATGATTCCTATGACGATAAGCTCAGAAAGACTTGGTGGCCGAAGATCTGGTTATCTGAAGCAACTTTGTCCATGTGATATTTTGTGTCGTCGTACTTGACGGGGTCCCATGTGCGGTTTTTGATCGCGTTTGATTTATGTTCTATGATCCAGGGTAAAGCACGCAGACATACAGTCTGGACTTCTTTGCGCCTTTGTATTTGATGAATGCATTACACCATGACTGGGCTGTTTCTGTTAGCATCAGCTTCAACCCCATAAATGCTCCTCTGAGTAGGGGATGCTGCAAGGATAACCTCTCTGGTAATTAGATAGTATCTGGTACACCTTAACCATCATACAGCCCAGGAAACCCACCTCTGGCCCTTCCAGTCCGGCTCCTGATAGTCTGCCGTCGCTACCCAGGGCTTCTCAGTGGGCCCATACTTTTTCAGAGGTAGACTGTACGGAATCCTGAGCCCGACCAACGTGGTAGTGCCGCCACCCGTGCCCTCGCTCTGCACATCCGCCTTGACCAGATCGTCCGCTATCGGCTCGTCCTTTCTGAATACGCCCACCATCTGGGCACCCGGCTCGCCGCCAGCGAGCAGCTCGGGCCACACCAGCACTCCTATCTCCCAGCTAGCTATGCGGACCTCCTTGACGCCGTTTGCGGCCTCACCCCAGGCTTGCTTGGAGATGTTGGCAGACGTGAAAAGTGCCCAGTCCAGAGTATTCGACGAGTTGTACCGGATGTACGTCTTGATGTGGGGCGCCGCGCGCTGTCTGCCGCCGTCCCTTTGCCCGAGCTTGGACGACGGGCCGTCCGTTGGGAGGCCGGCCGCGGCGTCGTTGGCCCAGTGGCAGAAGACCGGCCGCAGATAAACCAGCTGTTTCTGTTGTTGTGCCGATTGGATTTTGGTGTGTATGGAGCCGCCCGAGGCGTAGCCGTCGAGAGAGCGGCTGATCTCGTCTGGGGTCGGGAAGATGATCTTGAGCTCGGGCTTTGTCGACGACTTCCCCGAGGACGAGAGGGAGTCGAACAATGTCTTCTGGATCCAGGTGTCCGTACCGCCGAGGGTCGCGATGGATGAGATCTGCACGACGACTTCGGATCTTCCCTGCTGGACCGGCACGCAGCGTAGTGCGTGCTTCATGGCCGTCCAGCCCCATCGCGTCACGCTGGGGTGGTCGTTTACGGGGTGCCGGCCTGGTACGCTGGCGATGAGCGCACCCCGTACTGCGGAAAAGTCGTACTTGGATAGATTGTCGACCAAGGCCCGGCAGACGTTGCGTTGCTTGTTGTATGCTCGCAGATAGCTCATGATGTCTGCCTTGAACTTCTCGCCAGTACCGATCGCTGCATCAGGCTGGCCGTGGTCTGTTGTGTTGGATAGAGGTAGGGATGGAGACTGCCACACTGCGTTGGTCATATTGGTCCAATCCTTGGCAATCATATTGGCAGTGTGGATGATGACTTGAGCCGTGTCATCATGGCGGAACAGTATCAACATCTTGGAGTGATGCGTGCCGAAAGGCTCGGGCATGTACGCAGTATGTAGAGTGATGTTTTTGTGTCTGGAGGCTTCCTCCTCGAGCGCCAATCGGCTCGGATCCTCTCGCTTCCAGTTCCCATGGACGACATGGATTTTGACCAGCGCTCTCACATCCTCGTCAAAGTGACTCATGAGAAATTCAATGTTGTGAAGGTAATTGAACTCCCAGCATTCTGAGATCAGTGGATCACCAAGCAAATCGTGAAGACTGACAGCTCCGGCGTTTGATTGCGGTGGGAGATCACGGATCGTGGTCAGTTGAAATGGAGACGGTATGAGTTTCTGATGAGCAGCTTCGTGGCCAGCTTCTACTTGTGGATGCTCCTTTGCCGGGGTTTCCCTAGCCGGTGGTTGTCCTGGCTCAGGTGGAATTGATTTACTGTGTTCGTGAGTTTCCGAGTTCTCATCTTTTTGATTGCCATCTACTTCTCGGGCGTGCGTTGGGGTGTCGACACGCCTAGGTGGTGGGCTTATGTCTCGTGTAAGTGATGCGGGTCCTGGATGAGCAGCTTCTTCTGCGTCAGTGCCTAACAAGCGTCGCCGCTTGGTCGATCGTTCCTCCTCCATGTGTGCGAGTAGTGGTACGGATCCGCAGGTTCCGCTGTATGACACGTAAAGAATTTGATTACTTCTTCTAAGCTGTAAGCCTATGATGGTGTCACGGCAAGGAAGTGATCGTAGCAACGGCAGGCTACACTAGGTCGAGTTTACTAACCTAACATACTGTAGGCACCCGCAGTCTTTGGTTCAAATTCAAATCAACACTGGCCATAACTTATTTAGTGGATCCATTTCTGTGACTGACACAGTGCTTTTGAGACCGACGGACTGTGCATCTTCCGGCTTATTGTCATCAAGCCGCTGGTATCAAGCAACACGACTACATTCAATTGGTTATCTAAAGCCGAATAAATCATTTTAATTGAGTAACGACTATTTCGTTCTCTACTGCTTGACTACTGAGGCTTAGCGAGTGATATGGTTTATGAAAGATATTCAATCATTTCGATATATATGCTTTGAATTGAAAAGAAAGTCGTCCTTGATACGGGAGACAAAGATTACCACTGAACACCAATCATCACGGCCTGATAGGAATAGATTCAAGGCTATGATTAAGCTGATTCTCATCACAGCAATGTATGCATGAATCGAATGAATCAGACAAACCATTCTCATACCACAGAAATTCTGCTCGCTCAACAACTTTGCTCCATATTGATCTAACAAAAACATTCGGTCTTTGGCATATTATATATGTTGTTCGGATCAAGGGTGGCATCCATTGCGGCACAATCATGGTCGAACACAACTCTCGTAAGCTGCAAAACTTGGGGCCGAGGGGAGCTACAAACTAATTTGTTTCGATGTAACGAAATCAACACCAATGCAAAACATACAACTTGTCGCCAGAAACAGCTCTTTGTACAGGTGGGTTTTGGTTTTTACCAGTCACCAGATTGCGCAATTTATGAGCAATATTACCTCTTAGGCATTCATGATGGGTATTAATTCTTCTGTAAGTTTGTAGCAGATGCGGTCGTCGGTTAGTAGCTGGCCCTTACAGAATTTTGTCGTTGGCCACCATAAGTACCCATACTCGATAGTACAAGGCCCAGCTTGTGCCTCTCGAGGCCAAGGTAACGAAAATAGTGCGCCTTCAACCCTTGTGATTCAAGCATTTAGGATCAACTACGATAACCTCGTTCTAGAGGTAAGTTGTCATATCCTGCGGGCATCGGGCTGACCCTGCAACATTTTGATGTTGAGTTAAGACAACCTAAGAGTTGATTCACACTGTCAGCTGCGGTAAATCGGTATAAGGCGAGGCTCACAAAAAGAAAATTCATATTTGTTTTTTTTTCAACGCCCAGTGGTAGCCGGCCGGGCCTGTGTAGAATACCTTTCGTTTATGGCATAATTCTTTTGTTTAGATTGAATCTACAATCGCAATCTGGCAGCATATTCCGAATGGTTGACACTTCTTTAGCAATCATACAAGCTTTCAAAAGGTTTCTGTTTCGAACGTTCTTACTAATTTAACAAATATCTAATGCTAGCCACGAACGAGTAAGGTAGGTTCCCCCAGGCGAAGAAAGCTATCATTGAGAGTATGAGGCTTTCAAAACGGCAGAACCATGCGCTTTGCGACAAGCATAAGCGAAACCCATGGTCTAAACTACTGCAAATAAGATTCTAGTGGCCATAGTGAGAGCGGCTTAATCCTCGAACGGATGAGAACCGACAGAAGTAATGATAATAGGGTATAAACTACGAACCCATACGGACTATCATGTTGAGCGAGACGAGGGAAACTAAAGATCTGGAGGTTGTGGTGGGCATGGTCTTGAATAGCGTAGAGTGCCGAAGACCCTAAATCGGTATGAACGATTGTATGGTTGTAGCTACATCGCCTTCTTATTGATTCGATATTGAACGACCGGAGAACTGCGGAACAATCTAAGCATAATATACTTGTCATCACACTGACACGAAATACTGAGACTGTATTGCTCGACATTCTCTAGCAGCCAGCTCAGTGTGAATACCAAGCTATAAAATTGGCCAGGTTGTTCTGACGATATAAATCTACCGCACCAAAACGGGAGGGAGTAGGCGTTGCTTGGTTCATGGTCTGACGAGAACGATGTACTTGAACAAACGTTTGGGGTTGAGAATATCCCCGCGCCCTTTTTGTCTTTGGTAACCTGAGTGTTTGGATGTTTGGTGGACAGGCTTAGAGCTGAGGTTGCAACTTACAGTGGGTCTGGGGACGCCGATTGACCGGGTTGAATTCCGTGCTCTCGCAAATCTAGTTCATTAGACCAGCCCGCATCGTACTAACTATTCAGCTGTTATATTGATATTGATGGACCTACTCTGTGAGGGGTCTCATTAACGGTTCGTTGTAAGTTGAAGATTCAAGAAGACAGGTCCATTCAATATTTGGGTAAGTTGGCAACTTGGCAGCTGTGCGTGCCGTTGGGCGTACGTAATTGCCGTTGTCAAATCGATCCGCAGTCTACATCTGAGACGATGCCGCATTTAAGGCACACGCGGTTGACGTCGAATCAATCGAATTACGTTGAACGCATGTGAAATGTATGTGCAATCACTTGCAACTGCAAATGCAGCGTCGAGCAAGACGATTTCGTCATCTACAGTACAAAGGAGCACAACTTAGACCAAACCGTATTGCAATGACTACGAAGAATATGGCACATTACTCACTGTAGGGTATGAAGGCTCAGCCACAAAAAAAGATGTGGCGCTAGACGCAGATAACGTTTAGGGGCAGATTTTAGGGGATTCTGATTTGGGGGGGCAAGGGGGGGATTTGCTGAATCTAGGCTGAGGTTGGCGTATCCATGTCAGCTCCTGATCCTGGGCCCCGTTCATTTCTCTGAGTTCTGAGTCCAGAGTCCAGTCCAATCGAATGGCAATTGACCCCCGTTGTCCCATGCTTTGGCCAGATTGGCCCCCCCAGTCGGTGAATTTCGCTTGAGACAAGAGGCAAACTGGCAAAGACATTTTGTCGCTTTCTGTTGTTGGTCAGCATTCTGGGTTTTGGTCTTTTGGCAGCAGCGTTAACAACTCGTATTTGGGTCCCGTCCCATCCCTTCCCATCGTACTTCAGACGATACGTAAAGCCATCCTGAGCGATTGATTGCCGCCCCGACAGTGACACGTGAGGGTGCAGTTGACTGGTCTCCACCACGTTAGTTAGACGTTCAACCTGCTCGTTCATTCGCGTGCATGCGCAGCACCTCAACCTAGTTTTTCTTAGGCGTCTCCCGTATCATCGCCGTCAGTGCTTTCCGGTTAGTCTGGCAGCAAGGCAAGTCTGCCAAGGATACTTCCTACACGCTCGGTAAGGGTAAAGCTCGCAGCAGCATCAGCAGCAGTAGCGCGATTCGCCCTGTCCTTGACACTTTGTGCTCGTGGTACCCCCTTTCTACATCGTCTCTCCTGGAACTTTCCCACAATCAACATCACCAACCACGACGACGCTTTTCGCTCTGGTCCATCGGCGGATTCTTCTGTTTAGGCAGACAACTCAGTACGGCTCATGACTCCATAACTCGCTACGACCTCGACCATCCTTCGCCTTCGAACACGCTCGTTACTTTCTCGCGACAGCTCGCGAGGCCGCAGCCATGAGGCTCTCCTCCCTCGCGCTCTGGCTAGGCGCATCAGTCCTCGGTGCTGCACAAGCCATTGGCGCCGAGAAAAACAACGATCCCAAGGCGGAAAATACATATTTCGATGGCAAGAAGGTGCCGCCGTTGCTAGAGCTGACGGCAGACAACTTTGCCAGTGAGGTTGCGAAGACAAAGTTTCTCGTGGTAAAATACTTCAGGTAAGACTTGACAAATCAAATTACACTTCCAAGGCCCCAACCCTCTACACTCCATCATCGCGATTCCGTTTCGGTTCATCTCGGATCAAGCAACTGACAATGGCCAAGTCCGTACTGCCCGCATTGTATAGATTTCGCACCCACGTACCAGACCTTATACGAGTACTATTATACATCGGACCCCCCGACGTCTTCCAAGGAATCTTCTTTTGAAGCGTACTATGACATCCGGTTCGCCTCCCTCAACTGTATCGCCTATGGAGACATGTGCGTCAAGCACAGCGTTCAGTCGTATCCCCAGACTTCCATCTTTAAAGACGGCGAGACTCTCGACATCGTGAGAGGTGGCAAGAACATTACTGTCATCTCTAAGCTGGTCGAGGACGCTCTTGAGAAGGAGCATCCTGGAACCCGACCAACTGCACTTGTTCTACCCACACCCGGAGCCACCTCTTTGTCTGAACCTACTGAAGCTGCCAAGAAGTCGGAGGCTGCCGTGGTCAAGGACGAGATACCACTCAGGAAAGCCGATAAGACCGAAACCAAGGATGACTCCTCAAAGGCTGACCTGAAGACCGACGAGTCTGAGAAAACCGACAAGACCGAAAAGCCCGGCAAGACTGAGAAGTCTGAGAAGACTGAGAAGACTGAGACTACCAAGAAGGAGGGCAAGAAACTGGACAACACCGATGATAGCAAGTACCAAATTGCTTTCACCCCACCAGAGGTCAAGCACCCCAAGTCGGCTACCACCCCGAACAAAGAGGGCGCGTCTGTTCCTCTCAACGCCGAGAGTTTCCAACAGCTTGTCACCATGTCGCAAGATCCGTGGTTCATCAAGTTCTACGCACCGTGGTGCCACCACTGTCAGGCCATGGCCCCGAGCTGGCAACAGCTTGCTAAGGAAATGAAGGGCCGCCTGAACATTGGAGAAGTCAACTGTGATGCCGAATCGAGACTGTGCAAGGACGTCCACGTCCGAGGATATCCCACCGTGCACTTCTTCAGGGGTGGTGAGCGTGTCGAGTACGATGGCCTCCGTGGTCTAGGAGACTTTGTCAAGTACGCCGAAAAGGCCATGAACATCGGTGATGGGGTTCCCGACGTTGATGCCGCGTCATTCAAGGCTTTGGAGGAGAAGGAGGAAGTCATTTTCCTCTACTTCTACGACCACGCTGTCACATCCGAGGACTTTTTGGCCTTGGAGAGATTGCCTCTCAGCCTCATTGGTCGTGCGAAGCTAGTCAAGACCAGGGACCCCGAATTGTACGACAGATTCAAGATCACTACATGGCCCCGCCTTATTGTGTCGCGCGAAGGCCGCCCGACGTACTACACTCCTCTCACTCCCCGAGAGATGCGTGATACCCGACAAGTCTTGAACTGGATGAAGTCGGTTTGGTTGCCAATCGTTCCCGAGATGACTGCCTCTAACGCTCGTGAGATCATGGACGGAAAGATTGTTGTTCTTGGCATTGTGAACAGAGAAGACCAAGAGTCCTTCACAGGTGCTATGCGTGAGATGAAGCAGGCCGCCAATGAATGGATGGACAAGCAGATCCAGCTGTTCCAGCTCGAGCGACAAGAATTGCGAGATGCCAAGCAGCTCAGAATCGAGGAAGCCGAAGACCGAAACGATCAACGTGCGCTCCGGGCCGCTAAGAGTATCCGTATCAACATGGATAGAGCAGATCGTAAGGAGGTCGCCTTTGCTTGGGTTGACGGTGTCTTCTGGCAGAGATGGATCCGTACCACCTATGGCATTGACGTCAAGGATGGTGAGCGTGTGATTATCAACGACGAGGACGTAAGTAACCTGGGCATCGAGCTTCATACCGCACAATACTGACAACCAAAACAGAACCGCAGATACTGGGATCAAACGATTACCGGAAACTCCATTATCCCCTCACGAACCTCTATCCTCGAGACCATCGGCAAAGTTACCGCATCGCCGCCCAAGATCAAGCCCAAGTTGACCATCTCGAGCTTGGAGAAGATTTTCTTTGACATTCGCATGACCTTCTCCGAGCACCCATATCTGAGCTTCGGCTGCGTTGGTGGTCTGGCACTTGGCATTGCGTCCTGGTTCCGTGGCCGGCTTCGAAGGAGAGGTGGTCACTTCCGCCTAGACGACACATTGCCAATCAAGGAGCTCAAGGAGGGATTCCTTGGTACTACAGCCAATGGAAAGAAGGACTAGACGACTGCATCTCATCTTGAATTACTAAAATAGCTAAAGTCCGCATATGAGATTAGGGAAGCCGGCGCATTATGAACGATCCACCATGGGTTTTCATGGAGTCGAGTGAATTCGACTATCCAGTTAGGAGTTCTGTACATTACGTGCTCTCATATTGCACACATGTTTGCATAGTCACTACACATCTCATGGCTTAGAGGATTGCCTCATTTCTGAATCTGCGGGCTCACGAGGCATGGTGGAATAGTCCAAATGGCATTGATCGGGTCACGGATATAAGGATTTGAACGAGGTGTAGCGCAGGTTGCAAGGGTCAACTGTGCATGATAATAATATATCCAAAGTTTTTTTTCTGTTGTTTTAGCATATTCTTTTGTCAAGAGATTTAGACGTCATGTGGTATTCTGTGTGCTGCGTGACTTGGCTTAGGCTGTGGTCTTTCCATTGGCTTGTCACAGTGGCCTCATGGTACACATTCGCACCCTACACATGTGAATCGAACTTATTGTGTCATGCTTTCACTATCTTTAGTGAGCTAGCTGTTCCGTGGGAGGGGTTGATATTAAATGAAGTACATGGGGGGCCGTACGAATTTACAAGCGATAAAAACTGAGTGTCATCAGACTTTCGTTTAATGACATGAATTAGTCTTAAATTCATGAGAATATAGTGGCAAAGATCTACGAGTCGTCTTCACACATGGCATTTGGACACGGCCAATACCTGTCCTTCAGGCTTGGCTTGAGCCGTGGTTGCACAACGACTTGATCCCTCGAAACTATGCAGATGATGGCCGGAAGAAACGTCGCGAATACAAAAGTCGATGTGCCCGAGCCGATGTGGTTGAACTGGTGAGTAGAAACCAACGGTAAAATATGGGAATGGACTAGATCGGCAAGTGACGATCAGTGGACGTTGGGTCTACTTGTAGAGAGGTATTCTTCACTACGCCGATCAGGAAACTAGAAAGATGGTGGATATGTGCTGAACTCTCCCAAAGTTCTCATGGTCGTCACCGATGCATCTGATATATACAATACATTAGGGATTGCTGTGCGCAAGAAGTGTTGACTGCCAACTGCGGTTCGGCTAGGCTGATTCAAGAATGGATTGTGGTGTTAAACGATACGCTTGTCCTTTTAGCTATAGCCGCCATTCTGAGTGTGGGCCTTGAAGCCTTTGCTTGTAAAAGATCTTACGCAAAGCTGATCCATCTAGGCCGCGTACAGTTTCCACCGACGGAACTTGGTCGGCAGCTATGCTAATCTAGGAAAGGCCCAACGTTGTTGGATACAGTTATGAGTATTATATCCAGTACTCGATTGCGAGAGGTATTCTCAAGTTTGTATCTAACATATGATTTGATTTGTTTTCTGCAGTTCTGAGTACTCGTGGATAGGATGGCTTAACAAGAAACGCAATCAACGAAGGACACTTCATACGAAATCGAAGCCTTTTAATGCACGGCATGATCGTGCAGGTTTTATGGTGAGACGTCCAGTATGTGTGGTTCACCCTCGTATCTAATGCATAGGATTCCTACTTCGTTCAACATCTCGACTGAACCTCTTTTCAATTTTTAGTGGACGAGTCGTACATTGCTCGTGGATAATCGTCAATGTAGTCACTTCTATCACTATACAAAACTAGCTGATAAAGGCTAGGCAAGTGCTTATGGATTACTTCTCCAGCCATCAACGCCTGTGAATAGCACTCCCCAAAAGCCTGCCAGTTATTCGATCCATTTGGCCACAGGACTAGGTGGCGCGGGCATCAAAGAAGCACGCACACCATACTACGAGGCTCAACATCCTCTAGCGCAAGGCCAATAAAGAAAAACGCAAACCCCTATATCGATTCCAACATTCGAGAAAGTCTCAAGTTTTGAAGTGGTTCTCAAGCCTCTCCACAGTTTCTTTAGATGACCAAGTTGTTCGAAGCCACTTTAAGGCGGCTGAAAAATCTTGCTTTACCGAGCTTGGCTGCACACATCTGCGAAAGCATAAGCGTTCAGAGTACGAGTAGATGCCTACAGGATATTTCCGTTCTAATCTTCACCGTAGGGCATAGCCCAGAGGTCATCGGCTAGTCTTACCACCCCGAACACGTCGATTGCTTCCATCTCATTATAGTATAAGCCATCACGGAGCGCTTGACAACCTTAGATCAAGCCCACTCGAACTCCCGCGCAACGTGGATTTTCATCGCTTCACGAGCAACCCTGCGCTGAGATCTAAACACGAGTGCTCTAAGCACTTAATTTGCAGAATCCGGTGTTCAGTGGAGCTGAGAAGGCGGGTACCCAGCTTGGAAAATCACTGATAGCCATTGAACCTAGCTCACTGGTAGTGAGAAACGATGGGGTCTGCTCGCTTCGAACCAAGTAGTCAGCTTCATGCATATACAAATCTCTCGCGGGCAGTGGGTAGTCTGCTTGAGTGTTGGGTCGCGGTAATATGGATGTGGCAGAGTCCGTGCTGCGTACGTTTTCTTTCTTGGATTTGCACATTTTGTGTGCCCAAATAATTTACGAAGCTCGTCATAGCGCTCTCGCCTTGCTAGAGGCATGCAAATTGTCGGCCAAGTTTTGTTTCGCGTTCATCTCAGCAATATTTACGTAAGGCAAAGGAAGCTTTTCTTTCCTTATCAGACCGCAAAAAGAAAAAAGAAAAAAGGAACCAGTTCTGAAGGCTTACAATCTTGAAGCCATGGGGCGAAACAGTTTCAGCAGCAGATTCCTTTTCTTATCAAATCCACATACGTTCTACTACCGTGGGCGGCACGACAGATTACAAGTCGACAGCACTTCCGTCTCGTCGAGAGGGACAATATCACTTGAACAAGACCATGGATATCCAAATCGCAGTTCCCGTCTTTGGCTGTACAGTTTCCCTTAGCCAATCTACGACGAGTCTATCTGGTGCGTCAGCACGATGCCAAGTGCAAGTTTGCTATCGAATTCTCCGAGTCCGAGCCAAACGACGACACGGCTTTCATTTCCCATATATAGTCCCCATCAACGGGGCCTCGTAGCTTTTCTCTGGGTTGTCATCACCCTGATTGATGCAGCGAGCATCAAAACACATGCGGCGAGATTTATGTTTGTGCTGTAAATGTCTGAGGTCAATGTCAAGGTTGCGTGTGATAGGCAGTTTGCGGATGAACGACACACCAGCTTTTGAGTCTCACGCGGACATGATATGATTTTAAACACTGCCTCATAATAAGGGGTTAGAAGAGGCTCGGCGCGCCTAATCATTATTCCCCAAATTCTCAAATCTATCTATTATCACCAAAGATTTCAATTTGATGCTTGTTCATTCTCGATCGAGACTGTGTGCTAAATGATATAGTTATCTGTGGCAATATGGATGACTATAGATGGCCACAGTGTATGGAGAGCACCACGTACACTAAGGCGACAAAGCTCGCGGATCACCGAACTTGGGAAGTGGTGATCACGTGACTAAGCCAGTGGGTATATGCCCACTTTCTGTACACCGATATTCTCTTTTGTAAACTTAGACTTCTATATACTACTTGACAGTGCCTGTACTATCATTTCACGCTTAGATCGTTACACTTGCGATCCCACGCTCATGCGAGCACCGTATTCACTATCCTATGCTCGAGTAGATTTAGGCTCTTCCTTCCAGTGCATCACACCAGACCTTCACTTCAACAGTCCTCTATATCAACTCTAGAAACTGTCGTAATATGTCTATCCAACAGAATTTCCCTCGGCCGCCGCCAGACATGTACAAGTGGGTGCAGGCTGCTAAGAGGCTTAACAGGAGCTCTGAAACCATGTGCTGGATGTATGATCTCCATGACAGTATGTCTTGTGGCACCGAGTATGCTCATGGCTCGTGGGGTTACACAGGTGACTTGACTCCCATGCTCGCATGCCGCCGCCCGACTGACCCGACTAGTGTTGCGTACTACGTATTCAGAAGAGGCCGATGCTGTCTGGCCTGCCGCGCTAGAAAAGCTCAACCGCTGGGTCGCTAAGTATGTCGTACACTACCCCCGATTGATGCAAGGGCGAACCGACACTACGGTTGAGGACGAGCTCGCACGACGTTTTATCCTCGAGATCGTAGATAACAAGGAGCTGGAAGATTTGCAGCTTCCAGATATGGCCAAGGCGAGCCAGGATGATATCAAGTCCCTGACTAGCATATTCGAGGCCTGGCGAAGCCAGGCTATCAATGATGCCGACTTCGACTCACGCTTGAACACTAGATTTCTCGACTTTCTGATTATTGACGAGCCTTCTCTCCGCTCTTTGGCTTCACTACCAGACGAGACGATACCGTTAGGACCTGTGACTCGACAGGAAAGGAGGGTAGGTTTCCACCCCCTGTAATATGTGGGAGGCCCCTTTTACTGATTTAGGAATGATATAGGCCCAAGCTAAATTTTACGAGGATGCATATGTTTGGTTGATTGATTCGCAAGCAGTAGGACGCTATCAAGGTATTAATGACGTCTATAATTATAACGGACTGATGAAGCTCGAATTAATCAACATCCCCGATGCGTGGTTCGAGAGGGTGCCGAGGTTCGACGACGAATGCCACATTTTCGAGCGCGGAAAGGCACCTGATGGATCTGGGGATCTATGGTACAGACCACGATGAAAGGCGTAGAGACGTATTTCGTACAATGTGAATTCCAAGTATTTTGGCTCTTAATTCACCAGCACTTTATTTATTTGTTCTCTTAAGATAGATTTTGTAAACTACAAGTAATATACTTAGAATTTTACGGGTAGAAGCCGGTGCTGTCGATATACGGTACATTCTGAAAAGCCGTGAGTAAATTTTGCCGGATAGCTCTATCCGCAGCGACATTATTAATCGCAGGTATGTCCAAGTCGCCAAGCCCTTCTATTGCCCAATCATGAGCCCTGTCCCTCAAGGGCTCAAGCATTGACTCGAACCAGGGATCAAAATGCTCCAAGGGATATGGACTCTGGCCGCCGTGGGTTTTTCGATAATGTCTCTCTGCTTCGCGTATAAGCTCTCGAAAGTTGATGATCACAATTCGAAGACGTTTGAGCGGTTCCGGTTGTAAGTGCCATGTGTAAGCAGAATATATTTGTATTAAGAGAAGAAAAAAGGATCGTTAGTTTGACGTTCTCTAGGCTTCGCTCTTATTTTTCCGGGGGGAGGGGGGAAGCAACATACTTGAGTAATACGGGTCAAGGCCATTTTTGGGCACGCCTGTGTCGTTCGGGTACTGTATACAAAATTCTCCATTTCTTTATCGCTAACAGGTGATTCCCTACCTGTCCAAAGCTATTAAATATTAATAAAATGTCAGGAGTAAACATGATAGGTAATACCCGTAAACGATGTAAATCTTACCTTCTCTTTGAGTAGGTTCATATTCTTAACCATTAGTGTCATGACATCACGGTTTGTGTTACTCCTAAGAGCGTTTATTATACGCTATTGGATAGTCCTGCCTGACGCGTCGACTTGTTATAGTGAAATTGAAAAGAATTCATAAGGCACAACATTAGGAGTATAATGCGTTCTACCTGCCTCTATTCTATTAAGGGCGTCGTCGCCCCAGATACGAGACATCTTACGTTTAAAGACGTGATCATTTAGAAATCACAGTTAGAAGTTGTAACATAACGTGCCGCATAGGAATGGACTTACTCTCAAATCCCGTTATAATCTGGCCGTTAGGCATGTTATCGACGATAATTGGGAGGAAGTTGGCACAATTTGGATTGTACGTCTAGGATTCGAGAAATTTGTTACGTTCCTTAACCTTATCCAAACTGGATGGCTCAGGATACTAGATCGATGGGAGGTTTGTCAGCGTCCAGGTGATTATGCGCTGGGAGAATTGTTAACCATAACTTACAACTACTTTTGGCCATGTAAGATCTTGTGTAGTCCCTGTTATATGGTTAAGAGGGTTCTAGTCGTAAGGGTCGCCTTACGCCCTTTCTTCTAACGAACCTTCTGCGCCATCCTCACTATAGTTGATGCACTCCCTGTCATCCTCATCATAACAGTCGGGCCTAGTACATATATAGCTCGTTGTGCAAGGACATGTGGTGTTATCATCACCGCCACCGCTACCAGATATAATGCGTTACAGGACGGGCATATTACACATGATATATCGAGGCCATTGTGTAGAGCCATATATGACATAGGTATCGTGTCCAGCCCCTACCTAGTAGTCGTAAAGGTCTGCATATGAGAGGCTGCTAAAGTGACTGACCACGGTGTCATCCCAGATTGCCCGAGTGGATTCTCGTGGCGTTTTAATAAAGAGCTCTTCAATCATGCGTTGCACTTCTGCTTCCATTTGGTAAGAGCAGAATGCGTTAAACTGGCGGTTTGTTAAGGAGGATCCTATGATCACGACCGTCGGTCAGTTAGGGCGCATACACATATTGGTCGGGTAGACAGGGTCCACCATGAAGCCTGGGAAAGGATGATTAGCAACTGGGGCCAGAGACGTACAACTTGCCGCGAGAGAAACATATTTAGCTTACGTTCTAAAGATACTTTTAGTCAATGCAGCCAATAAGATAAGACTAGTTGCCTGTATTCGGCTGTTGTCACGTTAGGCTGGCATACCTTGTGGGCTCTTTCGTGATTGCTACACCACCTCTGCACTCGGAAGCGGTGGTAGTCACAGTAATATTATACCCATAGCCGTTAGCTGGTGGTAACAGGTCCTGCGCGTTCATGCATGAGTGTACTCACACATTATTGCTCCGGCGACGACCAAGTAACTGGACCTAAAACCGCAATCGGAACCGGATTCTCCTTCTTTCCCCAGTCATGAGGACATATATCTGGTCAAAAGCGCCCATGTCAACAGAGACGACGTTGAGCCAGAGACAGTGGCCGCTGCGGCCCCAGCCGAGGACTGTCAGGCTATTTAGAGCCCATCGAACGCGCTCCCAGACGTGGTGGATCTCTGCCGACCTAGCAATCAAGGTAGGATGGTGAAGTCGAGCCTTCCGTTTCGTCACCATCCAGTTCAACAGCCCTCTAGTGGATGACACTGGCTGTAACAAATAATAGGGTTGATCAAGTCCTATTATTTAAGTAGCACTACTAGTAAGACAAGGGAGTATTAATGAAAATCAAAATGACAGCCCCTCCGACCTCGTGTGCCTTTCTGTCCTGCATTCCATGTGTCTCATAACTAAAGGAAAACCTCCAACGGATATAACGATCGTTATCGCAGCCTCCGTTTCGTATAACCTCGGCCTAGTTATACTTCATTTCATTGCCTAACAGTTGCAGCATCTAGGACAAGAACCGCAACTTGTGCAAGTTGAGTTAACGTTGCCTCCATTGGGGCAGTTTGAACCCTGAGCACACTGAGCCATCTTTTTGATTTCTATAAATGCACCGAGTTAGTCTAAAGTTTCTTCCTGAATGAAGATGACATGTCTTATAAGAGGTTTTGTTTTAAAAGCAGGGCTGACGTACTAAGATAGTACGGGTGTGTTGTATAAGAACTTTGATAAAGGGGACCGAACAGTGACTTGCTGAACATAATTGGCAAATATGTGAAGGCCAGCCCGTATTTGTATGTGAACCGCGATAGTTTTAGAACGAAGATTACATCCCTCTTCTGTTCGAGATGGCCATATTATCAAATTCTTCGAAGCAAATGTCAATCCAACAAGCTAGGTATGTCTAACAAAGAAAACGATCGATAAGAAAGAATCGTATCACTACATATATTTTTGAGGTGTTTTAGAGGAATGTTGATTAATATCACAAAGAAAGTTTCAGCTACTAGAAAGGTTGAATTCAAAGTAGATATTATCGTGCATAAAGGCTTTGCAACGGTCGTAAGTACGAGTACGGTAATGTCGAGCCCTCAGAATACTGTTTAGCTTCTAAGAAATCGAAGGGAGTATTTTATAACTTTAGCCGGTCGTATCCTATAACTTGGGACGGCTATGACTGTTACAGGTGCACCATCGGTTTAGACAATGTACGCTCGAAAATTCACGATACCTCATATTCCTGTTTTCGGTGATTAAGGTGTCCCACTAAGTGTTGTTCGCCTTTTCAGCGATCCACGCGAGACTGTGACACCTTAATTAGTAGTTGGCTGTTAGTAGTTGGTAGGTGTTAGTGGGTCGGCAGTAGTTGGCGTCAAGCGGCGCCCCATACACGCACAGTTGATTGATTGGATACAAGTATCCTACTCGGTTGCAGCCGCGCTTTTTATCGCAACCAAGTTATACCCGGAAAGACGGGGATCGATCAATCATCGGGGTCACGCTGAGGACCAGCTAGACTAGATCAAGCTTCAAAACGGCAATACAACCAGACTATAGAGAAGACTAAAAATGAGGAACTAAAAGGACATCTATCTATCTATCTATCCGGTAGCCACGTGCCAGCTATATAGATTAGCCACGGCTATGGCAGCTGATATCCTGATCACCAATGGACCACAAAGTATAGCTTGTCATCTGGTTGGGACAAGACTAGAGGAAGAGCAAGTTGTGGTATTTCCCTCGACCAGAAGTGGGCCGAGGACCCTAGGGAACAATAATAAAGCCGTCGGACTCAATCCCAGACTCTCTCCTAACCAAAAAAAAAAAAAAAAAATTCCTCATCGATATGGCGAAGGGCTATCCCTTTGTATATATATATTTTGAGGTGTTAGTCTAGTGGCAATGAGTGGTGGTCCCGTAGGTGGTGGTCATGTTGGCGGCTACTGCTGCAGTGGATCGGTGGTCCACCAACTGATCAATTGACTGAACAGCACCAGGCATGACAGTTGGTAAGATAGTCAGTCGACTTTTGCATTCCTTGCGCAAATGCTTAGCTTGTGTAAGCTAGCCATAGAAGGAATTTCTTCTCCAGCGACTGGGAAGTCTGACTTTGCGTAGCTTTTCCACATTTCCCGCGTTCGAGGCGATTCTGCATCTGGTGAAGGTTTCCTGTAAGTGGTTTTGTTATCATAAGCTTGAATCCCAATCTTTCTATCTAGACTAGTAGTAATCTGAGGTTTAAGGCGGCTATAAGATTATGTACTTACATACGAATATCAAAATCTTCTAGCGGGAAACTGCCAATGAATAGAACAGGTCGAGCCAAATCCGCTATAATCTGTTTGATCGGAGCCGTAGCAAAGGCGGAGAACACCACCGTCTCATTATCTACCTCAGCGAAACCGCCAGCGCCAGCAGGCCCGACGACTTCGAACCCGTTAGCCCTTAAACACTCTCTTGTTTGCTCTGTGTACTTTGGGTCTTGCGTGAGAAGTCGTATAATAGTGGTATTGCCAGATGAGTTCTCTTTCTCTAGATAATACTGCCGTAAAGCATCAACAATTGTTAAGGCTGCACAATGTTGTAACATGCTAGCCTCCACCATAACCGTATCCCGGTCCGGATTTTCGAGCTCGCGGTTTTTGATGCGCCACCAACTTGGCGGCCGCACGCTTATGTCACCTAATCCAAAACATATGACCTTGATTATTTGGCAATCGCTCGACGTATGAATAAGAGCCCTAATTCGGTCTTGGAGTAGTTGACGAGTTGCGCTATTGTTCCAGGACTTCTTTATCTGCTGAAAGACGGCCTCGAATCCCTCTATTGGCCCGTAAAATTGTGTTCCAATTTGGTTGAACCACTCTATGAGGTATGTACAGTAGTATGTTTCTGGAGGTCCGTCCGGTTGTGATTTGACAAGTCGCCAATAGTTTCGAAATTCAACTATTGGCTTCCTAACAAATATTATGATGCATTATTATCAATGATTCCTTTTCGTTAGAAATAACATACAATTGATTAAGGTGGTATTAATAATTAGATATAGATCTAACTTACCAAATAGGTTCTGTTACACCGTACATCGGATTTTTTATGTAAATGATAGTTCCATCGATACGGCGTATTGCAAAAGAGCTTCTGATTTTAAACTCCGTAAGTTGCTGTTCAATATCTCGTAAACTGTCTTTAGTCCACAATCTGGCTCCGGCTGCATATAAATCCGCTGCGCCCTGGCTGCTAATTGTCCAATGCGAGTAGCCATACTCCAGGACCACGGGTGGGGACTGTTGTCGTTCCGCTGCATTTTGTTCTTTCAAGGACATGATTGAGTCGCGGCTTTTTAGAAGTCAAACGAGAAAGTATATATAGGTGTAGTAGTCTACCTCCAAATCCTGACCACGAAGGTGCGCAAATTGAGTCGTAGGAAAGATGCATATATTGATGAGGGGGCGGCTCTGGTTTTTATATCTCAAGGCAGATTAATGATTGATTGATATTTTTCTTTTGAATCCTACTTCAGCCGGGGCGGCCCGGATATTGATCCGGTCTTTTACTTCACCGCACAACCCAGTAAAGGTCTGGTCCTCGGCAAACTGGCGCCTATCAGTTACCCCCGCTTAATGTCGACAAAGACAGTCACTATTTGGGTCTCGGCCACGAAGGACACATGCGTAAGGTGATAGGCTAGACCGCCTCCATGTCGGAGGCGTGGAATGGTGCTTTACTGAGGGATTTGGGAATCGTGATAAAATCTTTAAGTAAAGACTTTGATTTCTGCATTAGCTCACTAGATTCAGCGTTTCGAGTAATGTATATTGGCCTCGTTTATAGGTGGCGTCGTCCTGCCAATATTATCGCTTGCGAATTGGCACACATTCGCACTAAAGACAGAATAAGATAATTGTGGTACTTTCTTTGCCTGTGTATTGACCACAATGAAGGCTAAAGGCGTCGAAGGAATTTTACAATGTATGTTGTTAAATAAGTAGTGCGCAACTTGAGAAATTGTGAAACTGTTAGAGAATATGAAGGAAAGTGCAAAAGTGCGATCCTGCTCGTCCGGTCGATGATCCCTGGCCGGGACTAAGCAAAGCAGCAATTTATAGATGAAGAACGAATAAATGTACTGTATAAGACTTGCTTTGACTCTGATATTGTATTTGAATTACCGACTTGCTGTGTGTATGCCGTTCCTGTCACATTCCATTTGCTTACAGTTCGTGTCTATTGCCCAATAGTCATGTCATGTAGTATGCTACCGAGACGTCATATTTTGTTGGTGCAAATTGGATTGCGCCTTAGATACATTTGCTTTGAATGCTGATTGGAACGACTGACATCAATACATAGGAAGCGAGCACGAGTGTCCAAAGTTGAACTCTCAAAAGAAGCGGCGGGAATCTACTTCTAGGCTACGGTATGTACTGAGAACAAAATCGGTATAATATGCAGTTCCTCACAAACCCGATTGCAACCAACTTATCAATGTAGTTTTTTGGGTTGGCTTTGACTGTTGAAACGTTGCAAATATTTCTTTACGTTGTATCCATAACTGCTTTTCCCATGTTGTGTCGAGCCATTTCCCAGACCTAAACAAAACTACGACATCATCACTTGATTCTCTTAATAAGGGAAAGCACGTGACTGATCTGTTGAGATAGGTCCCAACCACCTATATTTTCGGGCTCACCAGCCAACTATTTACTATGTACGTATATGGTGTGCTACCGCACACATAGTTACTCTCTAATACTTACTAACTAATTAACCAATTTACACCTCATAACCTGTCTCATTACAACATGTTATTAAGACCACACAGGGATAAGCCGAAAGCAGCTTTCGCTTTCCCTATATAACATGACGGTGATGGAGTATATGTCACCACAGTCCCTTGCCAAATGTCCCGCGCTATGTCAAAGGAGGCAGTCAAGGGGTAGTACTTCATAACCGCGATTGTTAACATTTCTCTATCTTGAGGGGTAGTCATAAATGAATGAGCTGAGAGGAGAAAAAGATTGGTTCGATGGGCTTTGCTAAACTGGCACGGGGAAACAAATGTGACAGTGGGAAGAGGGGGCCTTTTATATAGCCAGGCGCCTTCAGTACTTGGATAGATATTTTCTCCGGCCTGGTGCCGAAGTGGTCGTAATGTTTGATTGCAAAAGGCTCGGCGGGCGATCGGTATAGAGATATATATCTGCACGTTGTTTCACAAGTTGTGCCTAGCAAGCTCGACAAGAGGCCCGATGTAACGATTATACCAAAAAGGTTGGACGAACTCAACAGATTTAGGCGTGCTAGGTTTTAGTCTATCCTAGCCGCGAATACAATATCATGACTGAGTCTCCTCAAGACACACTAGTATGTCCGACGAAAGTTGCGACCGATTTCACTGATATCATTGATCCTGAAACCGAGTTCAGAATGACTCAAAGACACACAATAATCGCTGACAATACTATGGTTATCAACTTTCAGCTTTTATTATCTACAACATCGACGGATGTCGATGATGACACTCTTGACACTCCTGACACTCATGTACATGACGAACTATGACTAAAGCGTGTACCGTAGTCAATGATTCAGTGTACTACAGCTACCGTAACCAGTTAACTAGAACACTGTATACGCGGCCGTGAGATTGAACGTATGATTAAAACTCCCGGTAATACCGTCATGATCTGGGCCGGATGTTGAATTTTGCGATTTTGACATGACATGACGTTGGCAGGAGCCATCATCCCAACTAGCATAACCATTAATCATGATACACCGCAGCGAGAGCAATAGTGGTAGATTTATTAGAAGTAATCAACAAACTAGATAAACGACACAAGTAGAAGCAAAGATAAAAAGTGAGTGTATTGACTGGCCTGTCTAAATAATAAATGTGTTTAAGTCGCGCTCTGTCTTTAAGAAACACATAAGAAAATACTTCGTTATAATTCATGCTTCGTTAATGACCAAGCCTTGATGTTGAATGAATTCCCTCTTAAATCCTCATTATGGTAAGCTGACAACTGGCAGAGAGTATATCGATACAAAACAACCACCAGACAACCACCCCAACGTCTGCCTGACCACCCCACGTCCAAATCGGGTTGATAGACCAACGCCTGCGGAAGCCCTTTGTCCTGAAATATACAGCACCTTTTAAGAAGAGGTAGTGTACCTGAAGTCGTCGAAGACAGACACGCCTTATGTATTATTCCCCACGTATGTTGACTTAAATATAACGAATCCAAGGTCCTTGAAATCATTGCTGAGCTGCACCAATTGCATGTTGTTTTTAAGACCGGCCTTTGGCGTGAAGTAGTTCAGCTGGTAAGCAATGGGATTGCCTTCAGGGTTGTAACCAGTTATTGCCACTTTGCACCCCGCAGGAACACCGGTGCTGGCCCCAGCACACCCAAAGTAGAAAGAGCTGATGCTAAAATCCAAGGTCTTAGATCCCTCGAACTGAGCCGAGATACTGATAGCACGGCCCATTGTCGAGTTGAGTGCTCCGTAGGCGGCAAAATTAGTCGGCGATTGCGGCCTAATAGCAGTAATAGGGCCTCTGGTTGCATCAATGGCGACTAAGGGTATATTGTTAGTGAGCTGAGCCGCAGTTTGGGGTTCGATAGCGTCCATACCAAAACCCTTCCACTGAAGTCCACCGTAATAACCAATCTCAGTGATACTAGTTGTGTTTGTATTGAACCTTTCAAAATCGGCAAAACCGTTGCGAACAACGTGATTATCGCGGGATTCGATATCGCGCTTTTCGAGGTCAGAGACACGCGTATCAAGCTCAACGTCGCGGGTTTCCAAACTGGAGTCACGCGCGTCAAGATGAACGCTGAAAGATTTCAAGGAAGTGAACGCCCCCTGAACTAGAGTAGCGGCCAGAACGGCCCAAGCTGCGATGGAGTTAAGCATCTTGGTGATTGGGCGTATTATGGTTGGTGTTGAAGGCGAGGGAAGGCCCAGGGAACAAGGAACTAGTATGAGACGAGCCACCTGATGACCTGTGAGTTGTGTCGAATAGTCTTACGGTCGACAGGGATGCAAATTTATAAGTAATTTTAAGCGGGATAACATGGGGATCTCCATTACGTTAGTAATGCCGACGTTACGTCTCTACACACCCCGTATTGGCAATGTAGTCCAGAAAATGGCTCGGCCGAAGTGTACGAAGGTTAAAGAGTCACCCCATTTTCCTACAGAAAGAAGGCACTTTAAAGGATTAAACTACGGATACATTCTTCTTTACTTTCTACGCATACCTTGTTTTACTTTACGTATTAAATTATATCTACCTTCACAAAGCTCTCCATTTTCGTAACGAAATGTTCTATATGCGACCCACTGTAAGAGAAAATATATTTCTATTAAATCACAGCGCAGCACAATTGCCAATCAATACTACTATCTGGATTTCTTAGATATGCGGTACGCAAGCAACCTTCGATCTGGCACTAATTTAAGGTTAACTAGCGTGAACCTCGTGCCAGTTTATGAGCCTCGGGATTCCATTGCTTCGAGAAGCTGCTGTCTAGAATCTCCAAGATTCATCCACTTGATAAGTACCAGCCTCCAGATTGGTGAAAGTGATCATCTCTTTGATAATATAGCCGTATTGGGAAGAGTGGCATGCGCGGCCGGAAAAGCGGCGTCGAACACAAGACAGCTTCCACTGTTTTCTTTTCCACCAGACAATATCTTGCAAAATTACGACGTTTTGACTTGTACCGCCGGGCCTGAAAATATGGCGTGGGCTGTAAAATGCTAGGACATCACGATTAGACAATTGGATTTCCAAGGCAAGAAACGATTCGACGAGATTATTGGATAAGCCCAAATGAAGAAGAGAATTGCAGAATAAAATCTTACTTTCAATCTCACGGCCGTGTTATTCCACAGACCTGGTACAGAATCAACAACAGGTGAGATGCTACCCTAGGCAACCTATGCGAGGCTTTGCAGACGTGATACACCATCTTGGGTTTCTGGGCACTTGTCTCACGACACCCAGGCTGTGCATCGATGCCCCAAAGGTGGGTTGAAGAAGATGGCGTGCTATTTATCATTGAATGCACGTCAATTTCTTTGTCGGCCGTTTAAAGATTACTTTTATTTCAGCTATCCTTTCAGCTCGCTAATGTTAAGCTTATCCCGCGGGACTTTTGGTGGACCTCGTTGGCGCGCGCGTTTGCTCTGTATGCAATGTGTAGTAGCACGATCGAAAGCATTCGCATTGGCATGTAGTCACAAGATCTAGGAGACTGCCTTCAGTGGTCGACAATCATCTCGGCAAGAGAGACCAACTTGGTAGTTGAGCCTCAGTCGGAGACCTGGTGCGGCTTCTGCTTGCTGCTCGTCCTATGTTATTGAGAAAAGCATGTAATTCGTGTTGTCGCGGTCCTGGCAATCCGCCCTACTATAGCAGCATATTCAATTGCATGATGACAATCCTTGCCAAGAGTCCTGAATGTTTAAGTTGAGGCGTAGTCAGACATCGGACTACTGTAGCCCGCTTCAAGCGTAAGCTCGGTCTTTGCATGAGAACCTGAATGGCCTTTTCGCATATAAACATCTCTCGGTCTGCCAGATGATTGCGCCTTTGATCCAAAGAATACGTAAAATCAAATAATTAGTCTTGGGCAGTTTGTTTTAAAATGGAAGATTCGTGATTTGATTTAGAGCGAATACAGATTGCCTTTATGTAGCAATAGATCAGGTGCTATCTTTCTAATACCGTGATGTTACATGTAAGTCAGTACGTACTGTCACATTTGACTTCGGGCGGAGAATAGCTCGGCGAAGACTTAAATGTGGATCACCTCAGTGGTAACGATCGCTATACGTATTGGCACAGTATTGCAGAGTCTAATTTTCCTCTAGGTATGTTACGGTCAAGCTTATTAGCTGCTTATACGATGGACTTGCACATTACCGATATTAGAAGGCGTTGCGTCGATATGCTGCAACTCACTCAGCGCGATTACAACTGTAAATGTGATTGCCTAAAATATTGGTTAAGGAGAGCGACAGTGACTCACGTCACTAGCAATGGTGGCTTTGGGAATTCGGCGTCGTTGGCCAAGAATCGATCGGCATATAGTTTGTACCATAAAGTTTCGCAGGTCGTTTCTTTCTGAATGATTGGGGTGCTGATAAGAAACATATGCCACATCACATCGCATATCAACTAATGAAGTCCGCCGTATTTTTGCAAAGTTTCGGAAACATGGCTTCACAATGGAAGCCAACATCGTGGCAGGTTCGGTGATCTGTTATATTCGACTCTACGCTACTCTGAAGGATCGACTGAGGAACTCGGTGATAGTATTGGTCATGGAGCCACATCTATTATAAGGTGAGTATAAGAGATAAGCCAATCGTTGTGGTGAGGCCATACTGGCCAATTAGGCAGGCTGTTTTCATCCGACAACGCGTAATTGTTGTACAAAAGTAATGTCACCCATCGTTCATGACTATTTAATACAATGGCTTATGATCTGAGTCAAGCACTACCTAAAAAAGGGAGCGATATGCATGATTCCCGAATAGATAAGTAGAGTCCTGATGTTGGATATAGAGTACATAGGTGACAAGGACATGCCACTCGTCTGATGTGCGCTTTCCCACTTGCTCCACATTGATATTCAGACTTCAATGTCACAAGTATCTTCTTGTGCAATATCAGCCACCAAATAGATTTGCTTCGATACCGACACATTGTGAATGCGCGCACAGACACACACACTCACATAGGAAATATGTCCTCGCGTTCACATCGGAACAGGTCAATCCGCCGCCGGAGCCGCCGTAATATCTCCCACAAGCCGCAGCAGCCGCAATATTATTACTCAGACTACAACGAGGACAAGTATTCCGAGGAGTATGAAACACCGCCCCAGCGTCGTCGCGACCGGTGACATAAGCAGAGGGAAAAGCAGCAAGGTGGCGCTCTCAGCGGTCTCGGCGGTACGCAGGCCATATTGCCCAAAGGCGATGCGGTTTCGGCAGCAAATAACCTCAACGGCGCAACCGGCGCCCTCGGCAATGATGCCGGTGGCGGGCTGAACCAAAAATATGACAACCTGGGTAAGAGGGATACACTAAGTTTGGCGAAGTTGGATCTCAACCTGGAAGTCAAGGGTACGCTCAAGACGAGAATTCACGGCAGTCTGAAATTGACTTTGCTGTGAGTATTCCCTCGCGTTTTCCTCTCTTCCCTCCTGTCCAAATTCCGTCGTCCCATCCGTGAGATATACGTCGTTTCTTGTGGCCACATTAATAGACAGATTTATGTTCCGATTGCGGATTTTTTTTGCGCTTAAAAGGGATGGTGTATAGATTGATAGATTGGTTGATATATATAACGTGGGGGACGTCCCTTATTAGGGCAAACCACGCCTCCCATAGCCATACATCGCAGGGTTGTGGAGGTGTCGGTGTAAATATGTACATTTCAGAGCCGCACACATGCCGATCCACGATGTTGCGGTACCATGCTGGCGCTACCATATGGTTTAAGTCAAAATCCAATCTAGATTCCATGGTAAAACACCCCCAACCATTGCTATCCGACCCGTAAGTCCGCAGTCCTCCAGTTTAAACATCGTTCCAGTGGCCGTTCGATGTCCGTCTCATTGGTGAAGGTGGAAGACATTCGACTAGATCAAGGAAGTGCAACCTCAAGTCGACCAGCTGTCCTAATATTATCTGCGCATTTCCCGACCACACCTTGAATTTACCAGTGCTTCGCGATAGGTTTCTCGTATTTTGCGAGTTCAAGCAGCTTGAACATCTGGCTAACAAGCATACAGTAAGAGGGAAGTGCGATCATTCGTAATTCGCGACGATCCGGAGTACAACTGTATGACACTTTCTACGGTTAATATAGAACACTGCTTGGTGAATGATAGGTCTACTGCACTGAAAGGAAGGGCCTAAATCTACTCGAGCATAGGATAGCATATGCAGTGCTCGCATGAGCGTGGGATCGCAAGCGTGGCGCTCTTAGGGCGTGGAATGATAGTATGGGTACTGTCAAGTAGTATATAGAAGTCTAAGTTTATAAAAGAGAATATCGGTATATAAGAAGTGGGTATATGCCTGCTGGCTAAATTACGTGATCACTTAATCTAAAGTTAGGTGATCCGAGAGCTCCTCGCCTTAGTATATGGAGTGCTCTCCGTTAACTGTGGTCATCTATAGTCGCCTACATAGCCACATATATTTATCTATTTGTTCTTTTTATTTTTTTTTGACTCGAGCACCATTTTATACTCGTTTTATACGGGCGATCTAACCCTTGTAATGACTCCAATGTCAGGAGGCAGATGAAAGGCAGGAGGATAGAGATTATGCGAGTAGATAGCGCACCTGAAGATGACTAAAAATGCTCTTAACAAGCTACCCTGGTAAAGTGAAACTATGATTCTTTCTGGTACAAGCTGGACACTATAGTCGTGGAGCTGCTGATTGCTTATGGCTGCGCATTCTACAAGTCACTCGCCGTCCCGCTCCCCGGCTATTTGCAAGGGCGTGTTGATGTTGAATGAGATCTTGCTGGACGTTACCAGTAACTCCCGAATGCATGGACTAGTGGACAGGCGAGCTAGCGATATATTAATGCCTTCACGGGCTCATACGTCGGCTGATGGCGACTTGCACCGGCGCAGAGAGTTACAGGCTTACAGGCGTCGGTCTCCATCCTTCACCAGTACGTAAATGGACGCTGGTCAGAGCGCGACACCGCTGCTAGCGTAAAGCTTCACTGCCGCACAATTGAACTGGCGAAAGGTGGAGACCGACGCCAGTACTAGTACACATGTAAGCCCATAACTCTCTGCGCCGGTGCAAGTCGCCATCAGCCCACGTGTGGGCGGCCCATGGAACATGAGTATCTCTCACTGACTCACCTATTCACTCTAGGCAGTGAAGCCGTGGGATGGTATATAGGTAAGTTTGCCTTCAGCACAAATGTACAGCAGCGTCGGATGGTGATCCAAATTATGTCTGTGAGCCAAAGGCGGTATTCTTGTGTCATAGAAGGGTAGAAGAAGCGCCTCTCAAGTATTGAATCCTTGTACACCTGATATAGCTAGTAATAAAGTCGTTGGCGAAGAAATGCCAGCGGACTAACAAAAAAGCGGTTGTTCTATTACTGGGTATTCAAGTTGACATCACTCCATCGTGACATTTCTCTGTCCATCCTCTTCAACATTTTTTCTTGATCCGTGATTCGTTCCTATCGCCTGACGCCATGCATGTGCCTGTCCTTCCGCCAAGCTGTTTGGTGTAATCTGGCGTTGCGATGCTCTAACATATCAGAACTTGACGGTGATTATTCAAAATGTTTTCTTGGATACTATCGGATTGACTTACTTTGATAATATTGATTAAAACAAAACCGACCGATAGATATAAAAAAAAAAAAAAAAAAAAAAAAAAAAAGGGAACTTCGAATTGCAATCTGTTCATAAAATACGTAGAACAGGAAGACATAAACACCGGAGCAGAGTATAGAGGTTCGTGCCGGTGGCTTGCTTTTGAGACTCCCGACAAGACGCCTAGCACCCTCTTGTCAACTACTAAGTGCCAGAAAAACGAAGCGGTTTGAGGTATCCAAGTTCGCGTAACGTTGTTCGATTTACGTTAGGTCGCTCGTACTCGGGCTCGAAAGCGTCTCGAATATAGCCAAATCCATTTTTGATATTGTTCGGATATGGCTCCCCCGGATCATCACCAAATGGGTTACTGCCGCCTGAATATAAAAAGTTGGTCACATCATCTTCGACCCATATCTGGCGGAAATCTTCCTTGGTACCCGTTTGAACGCTAATTCGAAGCGTTGGCCTGAGTCTGGGCTTCCTATCTGCCCAATTCAAAGTATCTCGTACTTGTGTCAAGAACGACTGAAAACTGCCCTCGCTATCCATGAACTGGAGTAGATTTAACTCGATGGTGCGAATGGTATGCGGTAGTAAGGCTAGTAATCCAAGGAGATCGGATTCTCTAACGTAAAAGCGAGACAGACCAAAGTGTCGAAGTCGCGAAAGACTGGCAGATCCGAATATGGTATCCAGCGTAACGTAAAATTCAGCACGACGGGTAGACTCAGGGATGTCAATATTAGTTCCGACGTGCAGATGTTCTAATCCTTTACCATTCGCGGCATTATTTAGAGCGCGTTTAAGCAAACCATTGCGAAAGATCTTTGCTTGTCGGTCATGGTCTTCTACCATGAGATCGAGGTACAAATGTTTGAAGTTTGGTCGGGCGAGCAACTTCTCGAAATGCTGGAATGCCTCATTGGATTCGCGATCGAACACCCTTAAGTTCAGCCCTGTTTCCAATTGATATGCGTTGATACATAGATCTGTCACTCTTCCAAGATCTTTGTTTTGGGCAAGAACGGAGCTAACAATCCGGAATCCCTGCCAATCGGAGCCTGTATTTTCCCAAGCAGGGCATTCTGGAAGGCTGTCATTTGGCACTGGCCAGCCACGTGGAATTGGGCTATTGAAACCTTGCGGAAATGCTCGTATCATTGGCGTTTCATATAAAGGATTAAATAACCGCCCGTAAGTAGCAGGAGTGATTGTGATCCGTCGGAGTGCTGGGAATGATCCTATATTCGTAATTAGATTTGCTGAAATCCATAGGTTCGTGCTTATATCGGTTTAAAGAAAAACTGACCTATATACTTTCCGAAGATATGTATATGCTCTTCGGATTTCAAGACTCCGCGCTGTTGTTCTAGTAAACGGTTATAATACGCCCATGCTTCCGTAACAGGCATATGCGAAGAAAGTTGCACTGCTCTAGCAGCATGGTCAGGTCTATCGGTGTCTTGGCCTTTAGCTTGATTGAAATCCAAGATATTTTCTTCACAGGCCTTCCGGTACCAACTAGGCACAGTTCCACTCCAATCGATACCGTTTTGATTTTTATTGTCGGAGTCTTCATCCTCACTGTCGTCGGAGATTTCATCCTCTGGGTAGTGGCCGTCTTTAGCTTCACGAGGCACCTCCAGGCCTTCGAATAGAGTGGCATCGTCCCATATAACCTCGGTGACCTGGTTTCGGAGTGTCTGATGGCTTGCGACCGCGCTGAATACTTCTAAATTCTGCGGATTGGCAGAGATAAAGACACGGCTCAAACGTAATATCGCTGTTTGTGAATAGAAGCGACAAGTTAGTCTCAGGTTCTTTATAGTTTTGTTATCCACCAAATCGCAAATCGTTTTCACAATTTCAAACGAAAGGCGCAGGGCTCCTTGCTTGTAGTCGGAAGCCGCCTTGTCCGCCGTTGACGGTTGCGCCATCTCTGGTTAAAGCTTTGGAAGATTAGAAGTGATGAATACTATAGTGTGTTGTGGGACAACATAATTTCTTACAAGTAACCTAGGTTAGGTGAAAGTTTTAGTCAAGCCCAGGCACAACAAGGCCGCTTCCTTGCGCTGTAGCCTGTCGGTGGGAACGCTACCCCCCGCCCTTTTAACCTAGACTAGTTCATTAGTCTTTAGCTTTGTAATGATCGCATCCACTCCGTGGGCTTGCTCGATGCGATGGACTGTTTCTTCACAACCTGGGTCGTTGCTTGATCCCATGATTATATCTTGTCTGACTTTCTTACATCACCACATGATCATAAAGCTATGCACAATCATGTTCGCTTTCAATTTTGACTTGTATATACACTTTCGCAATTATCTACGATTCATTCCCCATCGCAGACGCGAACTCATCCACTCATCTAACACAGATCGCGCCTTTCCCCCATCACTCGTTGATGCGATGCTGCCAAACCTGCTGCTCAGCCCTAGCACTGTACGTGCTCGCCGTTAAGATACTCCTCATCTGATCAACACCAGTAAACATGATCTGCCTCGCCACAAACCAGCGGATCCCCTCATGGCACGGTGGGCTCGTCAAGCTGCCCTGGTACGTCCAGAACTCGTTGAACCAGAGAGTGCTCTCAAACGCGGGCCTCAGATCCATCCCGACCTCCTGCGTGGTGCCCGTCTCGTTGAACCCGATCATGCCGGGCAGCTGCGAGAAGAAATCGTTGTCGGTGTTGCCCGGGTCGAGACGGAAGGCGAGGACCGCCTTCTCGTGGCCCGCGGCGTCGACGTGCACGAAGTGCATCTCGGCCTTGGACCGTACGCCGCCGACGGTGTGGTCGGCTGGCGCGTGGATGTGCCATCCCTTGAGGTAGGTGGTCTCGTTGTCGTAGGTGAAGGAGGGGTTGTTGGTCCAGACGCCCTCCGGGTGGGTGACGGTGAAGGCCGGGCCGTAGTTCCAGTTGTAGAAGTTGCCGGTCACATTGTCTGGGTAGTCAAACTTGGGCTGGTGGTTCAGCGACAGCCCGTTGGACAGGCTCAGGGCAATCGGGGATTGCTGCGTGCCGGACTGGCACAGCACATACTCTGGTAAGATATTAGTATAGTTCAGGTACAATCGCAGCTACGCTGCTGCTTACCTGAATTCAGACGGCCCCAGTTGAATGATGCTTCATAGGCCCAGTCCGACTGCGACTCCGTCACGTTAGGGACGGTTTGACGCGCCTTGATGGCATATGACTGATGGTTGCTATGACCGGGACAAGCTGCTACGCTAGCCGCGAACGCCAAACCTGTAACGAAGTTGCTGAAAGACATTCTCGAAGAAAGTATGTACATAAGATGGATAGAGATCAGTGATATGCAGATCAAAGACCAGTATGCTGACAGGACTTTTATAGCTGGTCCGCGAATACTGCGATCATGTCCATCCGGTTCTCGCTCATGGTTACTCAGCTATATTCATCGATTGCCGGCAAGGCGCCGGTGTGTATAGTGCACTCATAATCAACTACCCTACAAGCCATTCTTGGCAGCCTTGATAATGGCTTGGTTATGAGGTTCCTGCAATTGGTATGTGCCATGCATCCCCAGGATTGCACAGTAGATGTTCAGATGACTAGCAGCGACTGCCGGGGTTAACCAACAGTTAGCCTGCCACAGGGGTTCATAGGGGACAGTGGACGAATCAGGCGATTTTTCAATCTCGCATCTTGGCATCAGTGTTAGTCGAAGTCTATTTGCTAGAAGTGATTTTGCAAATAGATCTTGATAATACACGTACGTAGTAAGTAATGGCGAAGCACGTGGGCAGGAACTCCTTGATGCGTCTCATCTTGGCGATGTGCCCATAGCCCCCCCCCCCTAAATCCTTGGGAGCTCGGGGGGCTTGGGTGCTGGACTTGGCTTCTGACGGCGTTAACAGGATCGCCAAGACAACTAAACCAGTTCTACCAGCAAATTTGGGGCACTTACTGGGACTGGCCTGGGGCGCCTCAAGCTTAGAGAATTCTGCCTCGACCGCCAAGGGCGTGCTATCATCTTATTTGAGTCTTGTCCTCAATGCGCCACTTTGCATTCTCTGCTAAAACTTCTCTCACGCCAGGCTCGCCTTGTTATTGTCAGTCACCGATCGGTTTTACGAATACGTGTAGTCCGGAAACGGGAAATCATTACTACTGTACTCAAAGCCAAGCGCTGCACTGCACGTCTCACGCGGAGTACGCATTGCTCATAGCGAAGTACGAGCGGCCGCTGAGTCTTGGTAATAGCTTGGCTAGAGATCTAACCTTAGGCGACTGTTGTCCAAAATATGCAAAGCGATAGCCGCTCATGATGAATCCATGTTTGCTGAAGAGGGTTGGCAAATTCTGGCACTTGAGTCTCATCCTTCCATTCGCGCTTTAGTAACCGTCTATTCTTGCTTCTTCACGAATTGCTCGCTCTCCTTGGATTAGCTTAGCACATGCCGCCAAACGTGCCTCAGTTGCCTAACCTTATCGCCTGCCGTTTCATTGCATTTGATTTATAAGGTCGTTGCCCGTAGAAGTAATACAAATCCCCGAGTCAAACACCGGCCAGATCGAGCAAGAAGGATCAAGTGCAGTGACAGAACTCAGCCGCAGCAACTCTCCTACAAGTCACAAACCGTATCTGAGTCTGCCATAATAGACACACCATCGAGGCCAGATACGTGGTATCCTTTGATCAATCCAATCCCGATCGCAAGCGTAAGCAAATTGCAGTCTCGCAGTAGTTTCGAGTTGTTCAACGTTAGGGTTGACAACTTCTTGCCATAGGCCATATCCATTGGTTCCCTTGAACTCGTCAAACGCTCTTTTGTCGAGCAACACCCCACCACCGGTCGTAGTGAAGTGGCGCGCTCCACCAACTCCTTCTTGAATTATACGCCGGACAACAGTAAATGGATTACACCAGAAAAATACCGTGTAGTTGGTGCTTATGTCAGCATCTGTAAGATCGTGGTACAAACTGATCGAGTAGAATTTATTCGCATTCCTTATTATATTCGGGAAAGCAAGTATAGAAGTATCACGCTATTTAGTTTCGTAGGTCCTTGCCAGAAAGTGGCTCTCTCTTGATGGGTATGTAAGGAGAATTGTTGATTCAGGATAACAACACATCGACTTTCCCAGCGGAATGTTCAACGGTAGCGCTCCAAGTTATCATCATGCTCGACACCGTCGTAAATTGGCGGCTTGATGTCATAGATACGAGATCTTGAGCCCTGAGTTGGCATGTTCGACTCATGGCAACCTTCGTGTTGTCGTAACTCGCGTAGTGGCAAGCTTCTTGTATATAATCATGCCTTCGTGGTCAAGTGGTAGTCCACTCCAATGACACCCTCGGTGCTAAGAGGGCTGCCTGCAGCGAAGGCTAGAAGCAAGTTTTTAGTGGGAGCTGTGACAAAATAAATAAGGTGATTTATATGGGACTCCACGTAGTGTGAGGATTGATGACTTATCGGATGCACCTGATATGGCACCGATAGCGGTCGGTCCAACAGACGTTATGAAATGCCGATGCCGCTTAGTATCACTAGGCGGGCAGCGATACAGCTTAAGGAAGCTACTGGGTTCTCATAAATGGCTGAATTCTATACGTGGCCAAGCCATAAGAGTTGTCAACCCGCGTGTACGCGCTTGAGTATAGAACCGCCCATGCCTGTTGCCCCATAGGCAGTCTTCACCTGTGGGGAAGTTACTCTGGTGGGTATTGTTTGGACCGTCGATTGCCGAGAATTTCAGTTAGCTTGTCCTTAGCTTGTGGGACATGGCATACCGACTTGAGACGAATGGGGAGGTGTAGTACGGGGAAAGCTATGACATGAAGACCTTACATCGGAAAGGCGGAAGTATAGTACCACTACTCAGTAATAGACGTCAGTCTGCTGGAAGAATCTGGTCGAGCGATCTCGGAGGCTTTGATAGCCCTTCATACGATGCACTTTAGAAATATAAGTAACGCGGATTGCGCTAGAAGATTAGTGATGACATTGTGGTTTTGAGACTTAATAAATATAACGGCATACCTGGAGGTCTGATAACCATGGCCCGAGAAAAAGTTGCGGTTGTCGGAGCTGGCATTTTCGGCCTCACAATAGCCCTGCTTCTGTCAGAGGCTGGTTGCGATGTGGAAGTGATCGCACGGAATCTGCCCGGTGATGAGTCTACAGAATGGGCTAGTCCATGGTGAGTTACTAGAGTCAAGAATATCTCGTACGACCGTTGATGAAACAGAACTAACACGTCCCACAGGGCTGGTGCGCTTCTTGCACCACATCCAGACTCTGGGCTGAACGATCTCCAAGTAGAGTCGCTTCGCTTCTACCAGAACCTGTTGGAGAAGGAACCGTCATGCGGTGTCAAGGTTAGTGTCTCATGAGCAGCAAAGCTTGAAGATGCCGGTACTAACGGGTGCATTCCTGCTTAGAAAATACATATCACAGAGTACTATGACGACAGGCCGAACGACAGTAGAATCTGGTACAGCAATGTCGTTTCGAACTTCTGCCGCCTTGCATCTTCCAGATTGCCTGCCCCAGCCACTCTAGGTTTTGAGTACGAGGGATTAGCCGTGAACCCCAACGACTTTATGCCATGGATAGTGAAGCAGCTGCAAACGATGAAAGTCAAGTTGACCCAGAATACCATTGCTTCCATGGAAGAGCTGCGTCAGATTACGGACGCGACCATCCTCGTGAACGCGGCAGGTCTGGGTGCAGGCACGCTCGCATCTGATGAGGCTGTGCACGCCGTTCGCGGGCAGACTATGTTTGTCCCATGCGACTTCAACCGGGCAGTACTGCTGCAAGGGTCACAGTATACCTATGTAATCCCAAGACAGTCATCCGGCGGCGTGATCCTCGGCGGCGTCAGCCAGCCGGGCGACACACGCACAGAACCCGATCAGAGTATCCGTCCAGATATCATGCACCGTGTCAATCAGATGACAGGCGGCGAGTTTTTGTGGGTAAACCTTGAGAAAGATGTAGCCAAAGACATTGTTGGATTTCGACCGTCGAGAAAAGGAGGCGTTAAGGTGCAACGGGATGGGGACATTGTCCATGCATATGGTGGAGGTTCCTTGGGCTGGTTATATGCTTTTGGGGTCGCGAAACAAGTTCGTAAGCTAGTGTTAGACGGCAATGAACACCGTGCTAAATTGTAATGGCAAGAAATGCAATTGGCAGCCACCGCGTGGACTGCTTCCATTCTGAAGTAAATACAATGGAGTCCGACTTCGATAATATGTGGGTTGACGACAAAGGGGTTCAGGGTCACATGTAACATTAGACTCCCATTTTATCTGCTATGCTCTTTTGTGATCCTAGCGAGACCATCCACCCAATCCTGGTGTCCATTGAGCATCGGATTCGGCTTCTTCCCTGCTAAACCCGCCGCTGGCTTCCCAATCTGGGACTCCTGTGTCAAGATGCGCACGACGCCCCATTCCACATCCTCCACGATCCACGCATGATACACATCCAGGGCTTCGTCCTCACTTCCATCCTGCCAGGCGCGCCAGGCCAGGCGACCCGGCGTGTTAGAACCCGGCGCGATGGACTCCATGACCTCTGATTGAAGAGGGGGAAAACCGAATGTCGAAAAGCTGAACCTGTCGCCTTTCTCCAAACTGGGGCCAGACTTGGGCGGTGTGATCTGGCCAACGTTGTCGTAGTACGACTCCCATTTGGTGATGTCGACTAAAAAGGCCCAGACCTGTTGCGCATTGATGTTCTTAACGAATATCTCGTTGGAGACGAAGTTGTCGGTTGTACCCGGCAGGTACTTCTCAGGCCAGAAGATGTTGGATATCATATTGATGAGATCTGGTGTAGTCGCTGGATTGTGTTGGTCAAGATGTCGCGACCACGGCCAGTCGAGAAAGTTAGATGGCAGCCACGGGTTTTATACCTCCATATCTCGAAATAGAAATTATGTAACTTTTTTTGAGGCTCAAATAAATCCCATCGCTGATTAATGAAGTTTATGGAGTTTATGGCTTCTGATTCGTTATGTCATCCCCACACTTACTGTAGCGAACGTTTATCATGTCTCGGACCTGGTCACTCGGAGACCGAATGTGTAAAGCGACAATATGACTAATCAGGGATATTTCGGCTTTATGCTACCACAACTTTCTTTCTTTCGAGATTTGCCAATTTCTAAAAGTCGTAGCAACATGAATGAAAGATGATTGTGCACCTTAGCGATCAGCTGGCTAGGATACATACTCCCTCGAAACCCTACTAATTGCAACGTCACAGCCGCAAAACTCTTACTATTCTGGCACGGCTTCGGGATCATTGCACTAAATACCATGGATAGCTAGAGATACAGAATCTAAGCAGAGTCTCGCAGCTTCCAGGCTCCAATGACGTACCTTTCTAGCTAACGACTCGCGTGAGGTTGCCCAGTGGGATGTTCAAAATGTGACGTGGGTTCCTCCAGGCAACATCTCTGGAGGGCGATACTCATCCGAATACACGCATGACCAATTATTTGAGACAGCGTCCTATCGGGAGATCAGGTATGTCGCAATCCACCGACATGTTGAGAGTGTATACAACACTACAGAAGTGTTCAAATTTAGGTGAACTATGCAGTCATAGTACAATACCTTATGTGAACATGTCTTGATACACCCGGTGCAACACTGGGTGACATACGGTCGACCGGTACCACAGTTCCCCTCGAGACATCGAACACAGCTGGTCGGTCGTCCTACTCGGAATGATCTGCTCGGAGAAGTGCGAATACACTTGGGTTTCGCAATGGAGGTGGCTGCCCAGTTGATCGTCCAAGTGGACAATAGTACAAATAACCATGACGCTTCAGTGAGTGTCATGGTTTGGGTTTGTATGGCGATACAGGCAGTTACTGAAACTTGCCGTCGATCAAAGAGACGGCCTGGGGAAAAGCGCCTCTCCTAGTACGGGCTGCTCCCAATCCACATTCTCCAACCACTGCGCAAACTCGCGATCAGACCCAAAGTGGGCGGGGTCAAGATCGAAGGTCAAATCATCCATAACCAGTGGACTGTCGGGAGTGGGTGCGATCTGTGCCAGCTCATGAGCAAATTCGTCCGTCTCTTCCACGCAGACATTGACCGGAGCTGGTCGACTTGCGCTGTTGTTGGGTGGGCTCAGAATCTTGTCGAGAATCTGCGAGACGACCCTTCGGCCCTGAGCACACAGGTCGACCGCCCCCTGAAACGGGGTGATGCTGCTAAGCTTGGCGACGAATACAGACAGGTCCTGGATCGTCTGGCTGCGGGGCAGGAGAGGATCCTTGGGGTAGACCGCAAGCTGCTCTTGTTTGAGGAGCTCTACGGCCAATATGACGGAACTGCGCACGCCATGGAGGACCAACATGTCCGTGAGCGCCTTATCGTCGCTCGTCGCCATGAACATCTGCAGGGTCTGCCGCGCGGCCAGAACCAGCTCTGTTGAGCCGACGCCGGCCCTGCGCATCAATACTCTCTGGAGGATGCATTTGTACGAGTGGCCAAAGTACTGGAGGGTGTTTCTAAAAATGTGATCCAACGTTGAGTCACCTTTCGACTTGCTAGTCTTCCCGTTTGAGATGAATTCGGGTATAGTTGCGATGTGCTCGTCCATCTTTCGTTGAATGACCTCCGCTCGATGTAGTATCTCCTCCCGACTCAAGTCCCCTAGTGCCAGGTCCATTATCTCCTCTTTCCTCTTCACCATGGGCAAAATAGCCCTAAGCCATGTCGGGTAGCGTATCTCGCCATCCTGGTTATATCCTTTTGCATCCAGATTTGCCAAGGTAGTAGCGCGCTCGTATTGTGTCTCAATGAGCAACTGTGAGTCAGTCAAGTCTAGCGGCGGATCGAGATTCCAGTGTCGGTATGAGACTCGTGGTGGGCGGCCCAAAAACGCCGCCTGGCCGATCTCCCCTGCATAGATCAGTGCCCGAAGCCGTTTGCGCAGCTCAGCGAGGAAAAAGGGGGTCCGCCTGTCGGCTTTGATCTCCTGGTGGAGGCCTAACACGATGGCGGCGGAGCTCACTTCGGCGAGATACCGGTATGATGCGTAATTGCCCGCCGCGCCGCCGATGCATTCACATACTGCAAAGATGTCCTGGAGGAGCCACACGAAAACGTCATTAAGCACACCGGCTTCCCGACACAAGCCGAGACATATCTCTGCTCCCTCCAGCATCTGCTTGCACAGAGTCATCCGGTCGATATTATGTTCTTTGAAGACTGAATCGGTGTCTTTGGCGTTCATCACAAAAATAGCCACGCCAGATATGATTACTCCAATTGTTTCCCACTTGATGTTAGTACCTGTTCCCAACCGCGTCCACTGCAATGGTGTAGTAGTGCCATCGATCTTCATCGATGTCTGACTGTTGCGATGTAGAAGTCGACAGAGCTCTCGAATGTCTCCCTGATCCTGACTCCACAGGGCATCACCGTGGAATTGCCACAATTTCGCAAGCCATTCGTTCATGATAAGAGGCCTCGCCGCTGCACACGGACCTTCGATGGACTCGTGAAGGAGTCTATAGCACTTCTCAATCAAGGGTCTGTTTCGCAGGAGGGAGAGCGCCTGGCTTCCACGAGCAATCTGGTCGTTCGATACCGTCAGATTCATGGCTACGGTGGGCTTCGACTCGGTTAGAGGTAAGCCCAGCTTGACCAGACTCTCCGTGATCATTGAGGAATACGAAGTGATTCCAAGATGACCAGTTGGCGTGTGAACGTCTCTGCCTACTTCAGCAGGCGGTACAGCTAGGCTCTCATACTGGTCAGTGGCTGCTGGAGGAGGACTCTCTGTTACACTTGTGCCTATTATTGCGGTTCCCTTTTCCGCCGACCTCGGGATCTGGTTCTGTGCATCAGCATGGATCGTTCGAAATACTCACAAACGAACAGATAGAGACTACTGACCTTAGTCAGGGGACTAGGGTGATAGTAGCAACTGTTGACCCGAAGCCTCCTAACACATCTTCCACACGGGGCTTTGTGGTCGCAAGAGAGCTTCGACTGCCGGCAGGGCTCACATGCCTGCAGCCGGCGGTTTCGACGGTACCTGCCAATCACCGGTCCCGCTTGTTGCAGTGGCACCCCATCCATCTTTGTCTCGCTCTTTACGTACTACTTGGACACCAACAATATCTACGATGCAAGCCCAGCCTGTGCTGATATGGTAATTCCGAGATGACCACGCCGAGCAGCCGGTACTTCAATTCAGCTGTGCGAGACAACTCCACCCTAAAGCGAACTTCAGGCCTTGCTGAGTCGGAGTCTGACGGCGCCTCTGAAGTGAACGGGAGGCTAGAGCCCGAGATACTGTCAAAACTTTGACAAGTGGACTTAAGTTACATTTGAAAGCAGATGGAATTGCCAAGTCAGGAAAGTTGACCACGACTTCAATCTCACGATTCTCTGATTGGCGCGCTGCGATGAGGATGCAGATCTGCGGCGCAAGAGCCAATCACGAGTATTCCGCCACGCACGCCGAATTCCGATGCCTGTACTCCGACCCTAGTCCAACCAATGACCCTTCTCCATAGGCTTTTACGTGTCATGATCATACATTTGCATGCGCTATCGATGGTGTCGCATGATACGGCTTTTAAACATTACTCTATTCGTCAAGTATATGAAGCTCCGGGCTGCAGGCGAGAAGAAACCAAATTACTTTTTAGAGCATGCACTATCTCGCCTTCCGCGAAGGGCTCTTGCTAGGTATCCGCGGCGGTTTTGATGACGTCTCCCGGGCCCTCATACCTCTCATCTCCAAATCCTCTTCCGTGGTACTCTTCATCCAGCTCTGACGACCGAGCGGACTACTCCCGGTGCGCTCAGAGTCCTGACGGTTATGGTTTGACACGCCGAGACCCTGCCTCAATGGCCTTGAGTTTTCTTGCGAGGACTCTGCCTCTTTGCTGCTGCTTCCTGCACTTTCCTGGCGTCGGTGGCTGTCGGGCACTTCGTCCGAGTACGGTGCGTCTACATGATCCGTCCAGCCAGACTTGCTCAGCTCCGCGTCCGAGATCTCGTAGACCTGTCCCTTCGATGGCATCTGCTTTGACTTGGCGAGAAACGAGTTGTACTGACTCTGCTGAGCCATCTCGTACTTCTTACGGTCCTCCTCGCCCATGATGCTCTCAACTCTTCGCGGGAAATAGACCGAGTTGTTGTTAGAAGGACCCGTCATGAAACTCTCCCAAGAGTCACGGTGAGGTAGTTCATAGCGATGAGTAGGTAGTTCTGAAGCGGAGCCGGCAAGCTTATTGACACTGTATGTGGACTCTTCCGGGTGGGCATAGAAGCCGTTAGGTTTCCTCTCGCGAGCAGCAAACTTCCCTTCTGCCCTCTCCGGCGGCAACAACTTGCTTCCGGAGCGCTTGATTGACGTCTTCCTTTGGACGGCGGGAATAAATGTCTCTGGCACAACATTGAGCTCGTCGCCTTGCTTCTCTGCTTGTTCGACTGCCTGCTGTGGTGTGGTCGTGTCATCAGCCTTCGCAGCGTCGGCACGAGGGCCTCCCCATGTTCGCTGACCCGCGGTAAAGATGCCGTAAACCATGTAGTACCAGTTCAAGAAGGGGTTCAGGACAAACATCATTGGGTACAGCCAGATCTTGAAGCGCTTAAGCTTCATACCGAAGTATATCATCATGAGCCAGTTGAGCCCTAGAGAAATAGCGATGAACCCGACTGGTAGGTCTGCGACTCGCTTTGTCGTGGTGATAAGCGCGAGGACCATGATAAAGAAGAGCAGGGCGGTCGTTCTGATGGTGTTTTGCATGAATCGGACAACAAGCAAGATGGGGTAACGTTTCCACAGACGCCAATCGGTCAACATACAGACCTCGTTGGTGATGAAACCCAGAAACCAACGCCGTCTCTGCTTGATCAGTGATGCAACCGTCTGCACTGCTTCCGTTTTGCAAAAAGCCGAAGTGCACATCTGAATCTGGTATCGCTTCTTGGCACCAATCATGAACAAGTGGGTAAGCCAGCGATCCTCTCCAAGATGGCTCTTTGCGAAATCGAAGAGATCCTCACACTCCTCGGCCTTGTCAGCAAAATAGTATTTGGCCATGCGCCGGAAAGCTGAAAAACGTAGCATAGTAAGAGCGCCGGGCAAACAAGTAACAGCACCACATCCCGATTCGACCGTTCTTTCAAATAGCTGACCATGAATGTACTCCATATCTTGAAGAAGCGTAATCACACTATGCGATTTGGTCGTGGAAGTAATGACACCAGTCATAGCCAACATATCTCTGCGGTTTCCGGGGCTCAGCTCCATGTCGTAGATGAAATTCTGCAGGCAGACGCGATCCAAGATACAGTCCGAGTCGATAAAGAGAACGAACAGATTATCGTTACGCTTGAGGTAATCGGTGTAAACCTTGTCAATAAGCTTGTAGGTGGACTTTTGGCAGTGACGCTTGCCTCCATGGGGGAATCTTGAGACCGTAATCCGAGCAGCCCGGTAAGTGACGTCGATACTCTTGGGGTAAGATTCCAACGTTAGTGGGACACCAAGCCTTTCAATTGTGTTCAAGTACAGCTCGTCCTCCTGGTCTCCATCAAATGAGAGGAAAACGTGGATGCAGGAAGGCGGATAGTCACAATCCACGACCGAGTTGATCGCGGTGATCAAGGTCTCAGGCTCTTCTTTGTAGCAAGGCATGACGATAACGACCTTCGGTGCAGACACTTCGTCGAGCACCTTCTTAATGCGCTTCGTTCTGCCAAGCTGATGTGTGACTAGCTGGTACACGCAAAACAGCCAGGGAACTGTTAGAAGACCGGCAAAACTCCAAAAGGCGAACCATTGAAGCCCAACCACCATGGTTTCCGGCCAGTATTGGACAATGGCGCTCGGCAACGGCAATGTGACAACCATGATGGGTAAGAAAACGAGGCTAATTTTGATTAACAAGATGATCGTTGACTTGATCAACTCGGGGAGACTCACCGAAAGCATGTGAAAACAACACCAATCACGACTGCTAATAACCTGATGGTCCAGTGCTCCGCTTTTTGGAACACCTTGACCAAACAATATAGAAATGCGGCAATCCACAGAAACCATTCTAGTACTGCTGCTAACATCACCACACCGACGATGGCCGTAAATGCGATCTGTAAATAACGTCAACGCAAATCCTTGCGGATTCGAAATATAGAAAGGACCTACCTCGTGGGCCGGCCATGTTTTCGTGGCGTCAAGATCTGACGACATCTTGACTATGTGATGAGGTTGAAGGTCGAAACCTCACTGAGCGGATTGTGTAATAAAGAATATTTGGCTGTCGACCGCCACAACCAGACCAGAATCCCAGCCTCAATTCTGCAGGCTGCCGAGTAGGATAAAATAAAAGATCGGATAGGTGATGTGAAAAGTGGTCTGCGCGGGAGGGGTGTTGTCGGCTGCTTGCAGCACAACGCAAGAGGGTAAAAGTAAATATTATTGGTCTTCTCAATTGACAGGTCGAGGACTGTTGGCAAAACCAGGTAGTGATTCAGAAGACGCGTTTTCGCTGTGGTAAGGATCCCAGGCTAATTATTGTATAAGGCCCATGGAACGTCAAGGCGAGTCGGTTGGCCGGCTTCCGAGTGACGAAAGATATCGGCGGTTACCCAAGCTTCGTGACCGGGAAAAAAGAATGTGCAGGAAGCTGCAGATAGTGGAGTCGGCAGCCCTTTGTTTCAAGCAAACACGAGCTTCGACTGTGTTTGTAGTCTGAAGCTCGATTATTTCCTATCCTACGATAGATGGTAAATCTCGTAACACAGCTGCAAACCAGCTCAGCTTTCGTGGATACTGGGGTTTTGGATTGGAGTTTGGTTGATGATCCAAATTGAATGAGTGACACAGCCGATGTCGAAAAATGAAGGAAAGAAGAAAGAAAACAACCACGACAGTACGTTGAACAAATGAGAAGCCCCTTGGTAGTTACAGGCAACAAAAGATGTCGCTAATGGGAACAAGATCTGGGGTCCAACCAGGAATTTTCAAGTGGAAGTCATTGATGTTTAAACTCCAGTTTCCTCCAGCTTTAGAGACCAGACGAATGGGCCGTTTGTATTTGTACGAATAGTCTGTCTCATCGAGGGAGCCATTAGGTGAGAATAGGTCTAGACACGTGGGACTTGTACAGGAGGCCCATCGATGGAACCTTGGGTAGGCACTTGCTGCGGAGAATAGTCAAGGGTGATGTTGTCTATACTCCGGACGAAACGGGTCGTCCAGAAATAGAGCTTGATGTGGTCTAGTGCCACTTGTTCCACCGTTCTCGATCAAGTATAGGAGTGTGGGCCGTGTGCATCGGATATCGACCAGGTCGTTCCAGATCCAGTTGATGGTTTCTTCGTTGCGGAAAAAGAATATCTTGACACGGCTGGAGGAAGAAGACACTATGAACATCATCAGAACAACCATAACATAAAAAGAAAAAAGAAAACCCCTAGTCTAGTCATTATGTGCGTGCCGTACGAGATGCACGATGCAATACAGAGCAATGTTGACAGGTCAAAGTTAGCACGGATGCATCTGATGAGCAGGGCCAAAGCGCTGGGCTGCCACAGCACCACGCCAGCTCCACGTAGCTCTATGCTCGAGAGGAAAGGCAATTCAATGAATCGTACGGCCTAGCCTTTGGGCATTCCCAATGTAACATAGTCCCTCAGGAAGCCAAGTTGCTGAGGCTAGGAAGGTAGTCACATACGCATGGGTCAAATGGTGTTTTAGCCGACCGCGAATCGACTGTGTCTGCACTCAGCTGGAACGCGGGGAGCATCTGCAATTAATTTGCGAAATCGCCATTACTTAAATTGGCACTTCCTGCCGATCTGCACGCTGTTCTCGTAATTCTCGCATAGCCATTACGCAGTGTAGTCGAATGCGACTGTGGCATTATTTCGGTCGGCGCATCTCGCGAGGTTGAACAAGGCGGGGGCTGAGCCGGACCCTGTTGTGCAGGCCAAGCAACGAGCATCGAAAAGTTCCGATCCCAGTACTCGGGAATATATGCAGTCCTCCAGAGCCGTACCTGAAGCTAAACTAAGGCTGAAGTCGCTGGGCGAAATGGCCTTGCCACCGTGCCGTACAGCCTGTCATGTGCTTGGTGATGGATTTACAGGCTTCCCAGTTCGCTGGCAAGATTGATAAAATCGGCCGACTTACGGGAGACGGAGGGACTTGTGGCTCGGCCGTCATCGCGCCAATTGCTTCAGGCCATTTAGTGCCAGAAATGGCAGTGTGGAGTACCAGTCTCAGGTGAGAGATTCGTGATCCTAGTGGTCGATCGCCAGGGACACTCGGAGAATTAATTGTTTACAAGGCTTTATTCACAGCGTGGCCATTTGCCGGCAAGACCCCTCATTGTTGGCTCGATGAGTGCCGCCATCCTCTTGTCTACAAACGTGCTGGGCACGCGCAAGCGACAATAAAACAGGGTTGCAGCACATGTGCCTAGTGTAGTACCGGACAATATAAAATTTTCTGGGGAGCATTCGCGAGCAGTCTAGAAATATTATGTGTTGTCGTGCATTTTACCCGGGCGGCTGGCGGGTCGTTCAGCGAACTTCCCCTGCGACCTGGCGCAGCTCACGGATCCCGTGGCTACTTTGAACGTCCCACTGTTGAAACCTACCAACGCCATTCGGGGACCAGTCCAAGCGGTCCGCGTCTACGAACGACACTTGGCACTGGAATCTTGGACATGGTAGCACAGGATAGGAGTCGCACGTCATATTCCAGGAAGGAGCACTGCATATATCGGCTCGGCTTAGCGGAGGTAAGGCTGGATGAACATTACGAACATGACAGCAAGCATGTACCATTCTCAGAGAACATTGGCCGATGCAAAGCATCATTAGTAGCTGGAGGTTTTGTTTTGTGATATCGGAACGATATAACGTGAAAACCAAAAAAATTTACTTTCCATGCTACAAATAGTAACAACTTGTTTTGCAGAGAGACTATTTGCATAGCAGTCTATATCAGCTTCCTCCAAGGTTTGGGCGCATAACCACCAACCACTTTTAACGTGATCAAAGGTAGTTTCAGCCGCCTGGTCTTCCCAATTGTGCTCTCACTTCCTCCATCGCGAGACATGTGCTGCGACAGTCAGGTCTACCTCCAGTGAAATGTGGCGGCTGTTGTCAAGCGTCCTTGTTATTAGCTGAGACCGTTTGCCTGGTCGATCGGGTGAAGAGCTCAGGTCTACGCTGATCTCAACCCGTTCTATGGGTAGTCTAGCGCAAGTCTTGATGACCTCAGAGACGGCGGGCTTGAACTGATTGTCGAAAACCACTGGTGGTATGGACAGTTCGTCGGGTGGGTTTTGTGCCAGACTGTACCACGACTGGACTGCGTTGTTATGATTGCAGTATCACGCCTGATGTAGGCAGCGCCGTCACGGATGTGCCAAGGTGAAGATGCGTATACTTCGTCCAAACATGTGAATATCACGTCCTAGAAACGCCCCAAAATAGGCTGTTGTCAGTGTCTGTGTTGCATGTGGCAGATCAGTCAAACTTTGCGAGCTCTGGCCTTGCCATGGCCGGAACGGTAGCGTCGAGTATGAGATCCTCGGCATGTATCTCCACGCTTGCTGAAGATACCTAACCCCTCGCGCTTGCTTCTTGGGTCTCCTACGTCCTGGATCTCATCACTTGCTCCTACTGCTGTAGGGGACTCAACGCCCGGGACTCGCTTGTTTTCTTTGTGGGTCCTGTCATACCAATCCAAGTCGTTCATTTCAAGCCTGCGCACTCTTTGAGAGCCGCGCTTTTCACCCTTGATTTCTGGGCGGTTGATGTGGAATGTCGCCGTCTTCTCGTGACCTGCTTTCATGGAATTGTGAATATTGGTGTTCGGCAAAGGGGAGTTCGTTGTTGTATCACCATCAGTATCCTCGCTCTCACGAAGATCGTAGTTCAGAACCAGGTTCTTGATGCGTTGCTGCTCCTCTCGCTCTGCTTGTTGTTGGGTTTTCATGGCAACAGCGAATGTGGAATCCGAAGGAAGCTCGACAGTACGTGTCTAAGCTTATGTTAGAGGTCATCTATTGCACGTTTTCTGTATCACGAACCTGTTGGCGGTTTCCCTTCTTGGTCAGAAGTGAGAAAGCCATCACGTTTGGAAGAGCGTCGGCCTCGGCTGCCTTGGGAGTGTCTCGTGCCTTGGAAGATCGCATTGGCAGGGCAACATCAAAGAGTGGTTTGCGATCGAACTTCCGGGATTCTAGACTTTCAGCCATCATCTTAGCATACTCACGCTCAAAATCAGCCTCTTCCTCAGGGTCGACGGTTCCTGTTTCACGGGTTACGACAATCTCCTCATCTTCCGATTCCGAGTAGCGAGGAGAGTCCAGTTGCTGCTCAAGTTCCTGTAGTTTCGAATACGATCAGCAAACGAGGAAGCTCAAGTCCAACATGCACAATGCTCACCTCAATGTCGTTTTCATCATCGTCCTCTGAGTTCTGATCCTCCTCTCCATCGGCTTCGGGCAGGATTTCGTCGCCATCTGCCCCCTCGTCGTCCGATGAAGCGTCACTTTCGGCATCTTCAGGATCAACAGCCTTATCCAGGCCTGCGTTCTTCTGGTCTTGAGCTATGGCTAGCTGGAAAGCCTTCGATGCCTCTTCGAGTGATGTAGCAAGCTTCCATTGAGGGCGTGTGAGAGAGTAAGTGTCCTGGACAATGAATTCAATATCCATAGGTAATGGTGCTTTGGTAAAGATATAGTACTGAGAATTAATTAGTTCAGGCCCAAATACTTTCGCTCGCTACGGTTACCTGGAAGAAAGAGAGAAAATAATCCAGTTTCTTGCCGGCGGCACCTCGATTGAAGTACATCCCACAAGTCTCGAGAACTGTTGCGATGAGACGTATGCGGAAATAGTCGTCAGACAAATCGAAGGGGTTGAGCCTGCCTGGCACGGGTGCACCGCCTATGCGTCGTTAGGAACAAAATAGGAACGCGAAGATAGTCAAGTGGTTGCATACCGTGGCCGAAGGTTGTTATCTTGTACATGGTTTCAAAGATCACGGGATGCTCCAGCATTCTATAGTTATAGAGCTCGCTCAAGTACTTGATCTCTGCAATTCGCTTCTGGTTGTACTTGAAATCATTTTGCTCTAGGCCCAGCATAACAGAGTCGAGGACATTATCAATAACCACGAGAACGAAACCAGGGTGGTATCGGTAGATCGCGCTCAGCAAAATAGCCAGAATGTGAATGCTGCCATACTTGACCTTGCCGGGCTTCGAAAACACTTTGGCGAGGATCGTGACAACCTCGGGTTCCTCCCAGTGAAGACGTCGGATCTGCTTGAGGATCTTGGTGTAGTTTCGCTTTGTCATATCAACATAGATGAGCTTTCGAATAAAGAGCTCGGTCGGTGTTCGTTCTTTCTGTTGGATGGCAGCCCTCTCAGGAGGATCGACGAAGTATACCGCATTCTCGATAAGCATACGTTCCTGCTGGCCAATATGCTGTACTGATTTCTTGCGCTGGAGAGTCTCGAGAAAAGTTGCCATGCGCGGAGAAGTCTCAGCATTGCGCAGGAGATAGCGTCCACAGTTCTCGAGCAGATTGCAAATAATCTCGATGTTCATCCGGGAGAAGTCGTCCAAGCTGACTTTCAAGCAATGAAAAACAACATGCTCGGGAACAATTCCGAACTTGGTCAACTCAGCCAGATAACGGATATTGCTCAATCGCACTTGTCCAAGGAAATCCTTTTCCTTTCGTCGCTGCAAACTTCTGAACTCTGCATCCAGGTACTCAACAACCCCTTTGGGGACATCGGGCATGTACTGGCCAAGCGTGGCGATGAGTCGGGACCAGTAGGGGAGTAGATCCGTACGTCCCTTGGGGACCTCAGTCAGAGCCTTGATGAGACGGTTTCGCGACGCCTTGGAATTGAGGAAGCAGAAACCGATGGCAGTCTCATCCACGGCGTCCTTGTTCGTAATATCCGGAAGTTGTGTCAGAAGGGCATCGACTTGCGCTCCGATGGTCTTGTTGGCAATGGCTGTAGACTGGTCATCAGTAGAATCAGCAGGCTTAGGAGCTTCTTGCACATCCGAAATTTCCGACTTCTTACCGACCTGCTCGTCGCTGTCGGCCTTCTTCTTTTTGCCATCCTCAAGGAGAATACCTGGGACTTTGCCTTTCAAGTCGACCAAGTTTTCGTAGAAACGGCGTTCTTCATCGTCTTCCCAAATGCCCGCACCGTCACTTTGTCCGCGTAGATAATCGCCTGTTTTCACGAGACCGATGGAGCTGTTCGTTGCGCCAAGCGAGTCTGCGGCATCTTTCAGGTCCGGCATCTCGGCACCAATAACTTCGGCAAGGACCTGCGCATTGCTGATGAGGCGCTCCTGGGCCTTCAGAAGACGGTCAAAGTTGGCTTGACGATCCTCAAACACCTCACCAGACTTGACATAGGCTTCCGAGTTGCGACCTTTCTGGGCGGCGATGTGCTTCTGGTCGCGGACAATATGGGCTTTGACGTCATCGAAATATCGCTTAAGAATATTGCGAAATCGCTCTTGGAGCTCGTGCGTGGTAAATGGGGAGTCGTCCGAGATGTTCTCCGATGCGCCATTTGTTCCGTTGACGGCTTCGGGGGCTTCTTCGGAAGCTCTAGTCGCACCATCCTCCTCAACGGTCTTTCGGCCTTCGGAGGCGGAGGTTCTGGCACCAAGTATGTCCCAGCTGAAGGTTTTGACGAAAATCACAAGCAGTGGAAGGTTCGAGTGCTCCCGGTCATGGCCCAGCAGGTCCTTGAGGACTTCGAGGGGGAAAGGCTCCGCAGCACCAGTCTTGGCGGATGTGGTAGTCTTCACTTTCAGTCCGGTATCTTTGCCAGCAGCTGCATTATCGGGTTTCACATCGTCGAGCGTCCTTAGCACGCCGAGAAGCCAAAGCTCCGTTACTACTCGTAGCAGGGATCGTTGTCGGACTAGTCGTTCCTTCTCTTCTTTCTCGCGAACTTCAGGGGCCAAAGTCTTCAGCAGGCTCTTGTCGGGCGTAGCCATGCCCTTGCCAAGCAGCCATCCCAGATACTCGGTAAAGTCGGCGGGTCCAAAGCGCTGGTGTAGAGCGCTTACGATCTCGACTCCGGCATCGATTTCGCCGGGCGACTTGAGCTTGCAGAGACCTTCGTAGCATGCCGAGATGATTTCGGAGAGATACTTGGTGAGGCTCAGGGTCTTGATCTCCTGTAGAAAGGTGTTGAGAGTGGCAGAGGAAATTGCGGTTCGCAGTCGCTTGATAAAGGCGGTATTCTTCTTGAGAGATGAATCGAGGGACTTTCCAACCGGGAAGACGGCTGCGCAAATGTTAATCCTTTCGGTTGTTCTGGATACCTCGAGGGGGAATCTGGCTTACTCGAGTCGCCTTCCCATGCGCGCGCATTCAGCGAGCGCAACTCGCCTGTATAACGACAGTCAGCACGGGGGTTTGGCGGGCATAGTTCGCGAGGTTAGGTTGGGCTGAGCTGGGCTGGGGTGGGAGGGCGAACTGACGTCTTCTTGAGCGATCCATGATGGAGGGCCCAATTCGATAGTGATTGTATTCCTAGCAGTGAATGCGCTACATTCGTACGGCTGGTGACCACGACTAGGGGATTGTGTGCCCTATGTGGTGGTTGTGGCAGGAGACTTCCGCTGCGGTCGGCATCGGTGAAGAAGTTGAGGTTTCTGCCCTGGTGGTGGGAGCCAAGGCAGAAGGAACTTGGGAACTTTGGACGTGGGCGACAAGATGGCGGGGTTAAAACTCGAGGCCAAGCTCAGATTCAAATTCAAATTCAAATTGCGCAAGATGTGAGAAGTTTCACGAACGAGGATAGGACCGCGGTGGGTTTATTGCGTAGATCGCCTCTTCCAATGTGAGCGAGAACAGTACAGCGGAAGCGGAAGCCTCTGATGGTATCTGCAGTCTGCGACGCATACAGGATCCGTACAAACGGAGGAATCAATCAAGTCCACCAGTCACCCAATCAAACGCCACTACCAAGTAACTAACCATCAACAAGCACAACACAAGCACAAGCAGAAGCACAAGCACAAGCAGAAGCAAGGCACAGGCACAGGCACAGGCACACAGGCCACAGGCCACCACAGGCACAGCCAGTTCAGTTCAGCCTGGTGTCCCAATTTGTGTTGGAGGTCCTAAAATAACAAGTTAACGTCACCGAGTAGTTAGATGTGGATGGCTGCATGTGCGCTAACAACCACACGTGTGGCTGTGGCTACTAAGTCACTGGTCTTCTCACCTCACCTTCGACCTTTGACCGCGCAATTGAACATTACTGGTGTGAGTTACCAAGTCTCAAGCTCAACTCCGAGCAGTTCTGCCGCTTCCGGAGGTGTCTCAGCATTTTACACATTCGCAGGCTGGCAGGTGATTACCTGTCTGAGGTAAGATTAAGATGAAGAGGCCCCCCAGTCTGTGCTGCCCTTTTCTAACGAGTTTGATGCGTACCAGGCAACCACAAGTCAAATTGCCGGGTACTGTCATCATGGGAACAATACTGAATTTCAATGCATACTGTAACGTGAGAGCTAAGTAAATTTTGCACCTGAGCAAAATCCATAGCCAGCGTGACAAAATGCTCCGGATGGAACACGGACGTCTACCCTTGCAATTCAATCTCTCCCATGCCATGTTGCCTACTTCTTAAAGCTCCAAAGATGTTGTGGCAAGAGGCACCTATGCTGCCTTGTGTCAAGGAAAACAACCATTCGACAATGTCCACGTCAAACGCCATAGGGCAGAATATCTTTCCAATTGCGCACAACGAAAGGTTCTAGTCGAGCCTCAGTCAAGTTTCGCAAAACAATCCTACCCCTTAGACTAGTCTAGTCTAACTTTAGAGGCTAACTGGGCTGATGCAGATGAGAGTTCCGCATCTCAACACAAAGCACAGAAACGTTTGGCGGAAGATGCAGTTGAGCGCTCTTGTGTAAAAAACTCTTCACAAAACGTATCCCTCTCTCCGCCATGTCCATGCGCCAAATTGTGCACACTAGTTCTGCAAACAACTTCAATGTCAACCAAGTCGCGGCCCGAGCACCGTTCTAGGCTCTGCTGGTGGAAAGAACAGCAGTATACCACGCACCCAGCACGAGTTGCAAGATCTAAAGCACTCGGCACTTCTCTATTTCATCAATCTGTTACCAATTCTCCCAACAAGTCGATTTTCATTATTACCCTAAGGGATATCCAAGTGCTGGATGTTGAACAAGTGTTCCGAGCTGTGTATACTCTTCCGGCATAGTTTCAGCGAATGACAGCTCAGCGGCAAGGTCCACCCTCGCCCAGGAGCTATTTCTCCAACCATCGAGCCCCCGCGTCCGTATGTATCTTGCAATGGCATGAGTGGGATCTTTATAACGACGTCACCCGACAAGCGGCCCAAAGATAAGCATGTTCACTGGCAGATGTATCTTATCTTTACCTGCGGGATAGATGAGCTGACCATTCAAACATAGTCTTGGACGGTTGATGTTTTCTAAATTTGACCCGTTAACTAGTCAGAAATGACATCTCCGCCAATCGCACCCATTTTGAGCCCACTTCCTTATCGTCACCAATGATATTTCACAATGTTGAACCCGTTGAAGAAAAGCCCGACTCACCACGCTGATAAGACTTAGGTCTGGAATCGTGCGACTGACGCACATCCGCGGAATACATTATGAGCATCTCAACTGCAACTCGCCTATGACATGCGTTCCCTCGCGCTGCCGTCATTCCTCTCCAGTATCTATCATGTACCGGGTCTTGTCGTAGCAGCACTCCACGGATACCGGAGATCCCTTCACACAGACCCATCTGCAGGATACTCAGGTAGGGTACGGCCACTTTTATGCCTAATATCGACGTTCCATTTCCTATCAGAAACTCGCAATTCTAATGCTCTTGGTCCCAGTGGATCTATCTCTTAATGTTCTCTATTCAACTGTCCAAAATCATCCCCAATAACTAACCATCACGATCACACGATCACTGGTTGACCATCCTATCGTATAATATGTTTCTGGTCCAGCCGACAACAATTCTTTTGAAATTCTGATCTAAGTATCAAGGTGGTCAACGGACTATATTTTTCATACAAGATTATTTGGATAAGCAGAAACCTGAAGCCTATCTGCGAGACACTCTTGCGACATAGTTTCTTCGAGAAGGGCTCAGTGGGCTCAAGCAATCGAGTGGGAATCAACTTGGGCCATGGACGTCATCACGCTACCTCAACGAACGCCGAAGGCGCCGGAATCCGCCTTTAGTCCACATTTTCCACCATCACCTCCAGAGACTGCCGCTCATACCAGGGAGCCAAGCACTGATGGCGATTCAGTCAAGTCTGATATGTCTTGTGACACGAGCGAATATGCGATTCATGGTACTAGGTCATATCCTCTACCTCCCAAGTCAAACCCAGGCAACAAAATTCTGGAGCAAGATCTGAAGACGCCAGATAACCATGTCGAACGCGATCCTCGTTTAATACGCCTGACCGGTGTTCACCCATTCAATGTGGAGGCACCTCTTACTGACCTGTTTGATGAGGGCTTTCTGACGTCGAAAGATCTACATTACGTTCGAAACCATGGCGCTGTCCCGAAAGTGGAAGATTCTGAGATTATGGACTGGGAGTTCGTGGTCGACGGCATGGTGGAGCAACCAATCAGAATGAGCCTCTCAGATCTGATCAGGGACTACGAACAAGTCACATATCCCGTCACTCTTGTATGTGCTGGCAACCGTAGGAAAGAGCAAAACGTTGTAAGGAAAACGAAAGGCTTCTCTTGGGGAGCTGCTGGTCTCTCGACAGCTCTTTGGACGGGGACTGTGATCGGCGATCTACTCAGAAAAGCAATGCCGAAACGAGGTGCCAAGTATGTGTGCTTCGAGGGTGCAGACAAGCTGCCCAACGGATATTATGGTACATCGGTCAAGCTGAACTGGTGTATGGATCCAAATCGCGGCATCATGTTGGCGCATCGGATGAACGGTGAACCACTGCATCCAGATCATGGCAAGCCTTTGCGGATTGTGATACCCGGCCAGATTGGTGGACGCAGTGTGAAATGGCTGAAGAAGATTACCGTCACTGCAGAACCGAGTGACAACTGGTATCACATATACGATAACAGGGTACTTCCGACCATGGTCGACCCGGAACAGAGTGCAAACCTCCCAGAGACCTGGAAAGACGAAAGATATGCGATTTACGATTTGAACACCAACAGTGCCACATGTTATCCGGCGCATGATGAGCGATTATCTGTTGCCAGTACGCTTGGTACTTACAATGTTCGTGGCTACGCATACGCCGGCGGAGGCAAACGTGTGACAAGAGTCGAGGTCACCCTAGATAAAGGAAAGACTTGGACGTTGGCCGATATTTCATACCCTGAGGATGAATACCGCCAAGCGCACGAAGATGAGCAACTCTATGGAGGACGGCTCGATATGACTTGGAGAGAGGCATGCTTTTGTTGGTGTTTCTGGAACTTGGAGATCCCGATTGCTTCTTTGCAGCAAGCGGACGATATCATGGTCCGAGCTATGGACGACTCCATGATGGTGCAGCCTCGTGATATGTATTGGAGTGTGCTTGGTATGATGAACAACCCTTGGTTCCGGGTAGTAATACACAAAGAGGCGCACGGTTTGCGTTTCGAGCATCCAACACTACCTGCGCTGATGCCTGGTGGGTGGATGGAGCGTGTCAAGAAAGCCGGCGGCAACCTATCCAACGGCAACTGGGGCGACAGAGTGGGAGGTGAAGAGGAGGTCCTTGTTCCGCAGGAAGAAGCCAAGGAGATCTGCATGACTAACAAGGACGTAACCAGATTTATTTCGATCGACGAGCTCAAGAAGCACGACGGAGAGGTTGAGCCTTGGTTCGTTGTGAAGGGCGAAGTCTATGATGGCACGGAATTCCTCGATGGACATCCCGGTGGTGCGGCCTCCATCTTCGGTGCGGCCGGTCAAGATGCCACCGAGGAGTTCGTGGCTATTCGTGAGTAACAAAGGCTCAATTATTAATGTTTGACAGTGCTGACCCTCAACAGACAGCGAAAATGCGAAAGCAATGATGCCCGACTACCACATTGGCACGCTTGACAAAGCGTCGCAAGATATCCTAGCAAATAGTGAGACCTTCGCAGAAGAAAACCTCTCACCACGCGACACGTTCCTTCAGTCGAAGGTCTGGACAAGGGCCATCTTGACCGCTAAAAGGAAAGTGTCAGCAGACACCAAGATCTTCACTTTCGATCTAGAGCACCCCTCCCAGACTTGTGGCTTGCCAACAGGCAAGCACCTTATGATGCGACTACGGGACCCCGTCACACGAGAAGCCATTATCAGATCGTACACGCCTATATCCGAGACCAATGAGCAAGGCAAACTGCATATTTTGATCAAGGTATACTACGACTCCCCGGAGCGGAAAGGTGGTAGAATGACTCAAGCACTCGATGCTATTCCCGTCGGCCATTGGGTCGACTTCAAGGGTCCTACCGGCCACTTCGAATACGTCGGCCGCGGTATGTGTTTGATAGGAACGAAGCAACAAAAGGTGAAGCGCTTCATCATGGTGTGCGCCGGCTCGGGCATCACTCCCATCTTCCAGGTATTGCGGGCTGTATTGCGGGATTCAGAAGACCCAACCCAGTGTGTCGTCCTGAATGGAAACAGGATAGAGGAAGACATACTCTGCAGGGAAGAGCTCGATGCAATGGTAACGGGTAACGAGAACAAGTGCAAATTACTTTACACTCTTAGTAAGCCGGGGCCAAGCTGGACTGGGCTGAAGGGCCGCATGAACCAGGAGCTTTTTGAGAAGGAGGTTGGACCCTGTAGGAGTATCAATGGGGAGGAGCTGGTATTAATCTGTGGGCCAGAGCCGTTGGAAAAGAGCGTCAAATCGATATTGACGGGCATGGGCTGGAAGGAGGAAGATCTGTTGTTCTTCTGAGCCTCAGATTTGTCTGCTATGTTTATTCGTGGGTGGTGTCAAGCATACAACTGGGCGTGTTTTGTGGAATTTACATACATGCATATTCGGTAGGCGCATATGCATTACGGGATCTTTGGATAAAGCACGATATCCAGGGCACAACATAAACAAATTACTTATCACGCTGGTTATTATAACGTTTATGTGTAAGTATGCCCGAGCTAATGTATCAAAGGCTCTTCATCCAATCAAAAGTATAACCAATTCTGGCACACCACACGTCATCTATCTATAATAAACCCGGCGTAGAGAGGGACAATCGCTCTATGCTTTAAATCATCAATTCTTAGTTTTTTTCCTGAGCTACTTTCATAAAAACGAGATGCCCTTGAAATTAAATCATTCCACAAGTGATCTGCTCAAGATCACCTTAGGTAAGCCCAAAGTACGAGATTGAAAGTACCCTTGTCGCCTGCAGCCCCAACAATTGATTACTATCCACAGTAGACAGACCACTGTGTTCTGGCTTTGCGACGCAAGGTGCGGAGAAGTCTTGACTCCTGTAAGTAATATATACATCTATTTTGTCATGACCACCCATTTCGGTCGAAAGCGTACCAGCGTAACATTTCCCATGATCCAGGAACGCGTAACCGCGGTCTCCAGATTGTTCCGTAGGACGGCGTCCTGCATGGAGTCGTACAAATAGGGATTGAAATGCGCCGGCGGCGGGGCGTGGATGGGTATTTGACACTGACAGACATACCCGGAATGGTGAATCGCCGACCGGTGGCTGCGCAGGAACCGGAAGTAGTCCACGAACCCGTCGCTGTCCAGTGTCTGCCTTCTCCCGGTGTCGAGGTCCCGCCTATCCCCCGCCAGAAGCGCGCACGCCGGGTCCCACGCGTCGATAATGAGGTACAGCCGCTGAAGGGACTGGAAGCGGTCGATTACATTGTTGACTATCGTCAGAATCCACTGGGTGTACCCGTCGCGGAGTGGCGCCGGCGTGACCGGATAGAAGTGGTCGTGGATGATGACGCCGGCCTTGCGGACGTTGGTGACCCAGTTGAGGTGCCCCCCACCGGCAGTATATCCGACGTTTTGATTGACTCCTCTCGACAAGTTGTCGCTGAGGAACTGAAACTGGTTTTGCCTATCGGACGAAACATCGGCTGGCGGTGCGCTCTGATCAAGAAGCAGTGTTAACATCTTCTTACTCGGGGGTTGCGCACACGAGCAGAGAGCCTAGCTTTCTGTACTCACATATGGTGGATATCCATATACGTTGTGGAATACAAACACGTCCTGAAACCAGTCGACGTAGATGTATTTCTCCCCAGGCGGGCGATGTTCACTGGCTGCGAACTGCGCTCTAACGTTGCGGGTCGCATAAGTCATTGTGGCTCGTTTGAAGTGCGCCCCGCGCGGCAGTTCGATCTTGCGCCAGCTCAAGAAATGGCCGTCGACATTGGACCCGGGTATGCCACGGAAAATTGGTGCGTGTCTGGTCACTGGCGTGTTGTCATTGATTGACCGGCCGAAGGGGTTCACGCATACGTAGCACCGCGGCATGCTATAGTAACGGCGAAGGCTCCGGCCTACAGTAACGTCTCTTTGGACTAGGAAATAGTGGTGCATCACGTAGTTTCGTCGGTCCCTGTGAGCTTGGAGAAAGATCGCATTCCGAAGCTCGCCGGGCAGACCTTGGAAGTTGAAGGTGCCCGGCAGCGCTGCTGCTGCAGTAGCCATGGTGGGATTGATATGGCAGCTTAATAGACTTCAGGCGATAAGTGCTCATACAAATTGTAGCGTCACGAACTACATGCAGCTTTCGGAAATTATTCTCACTCCGGCTAAAAAAAAAAAAGACAGGCCGAGACTTGTGTGTGTGGCAAATATTCGAAAGCAGTCAACCTAACCTAGGATATTCAATGGACGTATCATAATTGCATTATCAAAAGGGGCGTAAGATTACACAAACGGAGATGAACACTCTATCGCCGGATGCGGTTGTAGGAATAATGAAAGCACTGTCTTTGTCCGCATTCTCGCTGAACCGCGATAGACGAGTATTCAATAGAGCAAACCTTCGGTCTTGCAACGTGCCCAAAAATATTATTATTACACCCAACGAGAAATGTTTACAATTGCGTACCGACCAGATCCAATTTGAACACAGATAAGAGGGTTGAAGCAAGAAGAATGAAGGGTGGTGGGTACATAGGGGAAATGATTCTACTGGCACATCCGTTGCTCAATGAGTGAGATATTTGAAGGAACAGAAAACATATAGTGACTGAAGAAGACTGTATTGTTTACAAAACGCTAAGATCAAGAACTGAGAAGCCTTTCAGCCATGCTGATATAGGCAGAGTAGAGGATAAAGTAGATTACCACTTGGCCTTGGCGTAGTCGGCAACCTCTTGGATGGCCTTGTCTGTGAAACTGTCTTTGCCATCTTTGTTGTCCTCCTTTGAGCCACCACCGAGGAATGTACCAATGCCGCTACCGTGCTCTGAGCTCTCGTTGCGGCCAGAAGAGCCGTGCTGGTTATCATCACGGCGGCTGCTGCCATAGCTGGAGTCCTCATTGTCCCTTCGTGACCCTCCGTAAGAATCTGAGGAGGAAGTGTTGTAGCTGTCACCATTGCCACTGCCATAGCTATCATTGCCGCGGCCATTGCTGTCATTGTCGCGGCGCGACGATCCGTAATCGTCATTACCGCGGCCGGAGTTTCTGCCATAGCCGGAGTCTTCATTGTCCTGGCGCGAAGCACCATATGAGTCTGAAGAAGAGTTGCCGTAGCTGTTGCCATTGTCGCGACCAGAGCCGTAATTATCACGGTCGTTACGCTCACCACCGAAGCCAGAGGACTGGTTGTTGTCGGATGAGCCATAAGAGTCGTTTCCTGAGCGGTCTGGGATTAGTTAGTATATTTTGCTACTGGCTTGAAGGGCTGCATGAATTACCATAGTCACGGCCACCCTCACGACCGCCAGCGTAGTTGTTGTAAGAGCTCATTTTGATTTGTGTTCAGAGGTTTCGCCGTAGGTTGTAATAACGGTAAAGTGGCAATTGATGATGTTGTGTGATAGTGGTCTTCATAGATGAAATCAAACTAGGACTATACGACGGGCTTTATACACAAAAGGAAGGCATGGCGGTATGGATGACTTCATCCCAACTACCGAGACCTGCATGCATAGATGCTCATAGAAATCAATCTGAAGTCATTGTACCCACACGTTCTTGGCAATATGACAATCGTTCATCTCACAGACCAACCACTGACGTATGGTGGTGATTCCCGGGCCGGGTTGGGTTTGCCTGCACAATCCGGGTTTCTGTACCCACTAAATGCGGCCCCCAGAAATGTCTCTATGAGGCAAAGCCTATCACGATGTTGCGCCCGTGTCCCCGAGTTAGCATACGGATTACTGTAAGAATGCAATTCATGGTGATGTTGCAGGGGGCTGACGTTGAGTTGGTGGAGTTCCTGGGTCCTCCCGATCTTGAAGCATTTGAAAGACTTATGCATAACGCTAAGCGATGCGGGAGATAGGCTCAAACCAAGTTTTGGGGGAAACATCGCAGCCCAGATCGTGTCGGTATCACGCAAAATGAGATCAGACATGAGACCTTGGCAGTCGCAAACGAGAATTAGGATACGTTACTGTACCCGCTCTTCCTTTTCGATGAGAAGATTGTCAGGAGACACAATGCCGTGCCCGATCTCGAGGGCGGACGTGGGATAAGAAGAGGAAACCTGATTTTTGGTATGACGCAAATGTCAGGGTCTAAGTGGGGGATGCCAAATATAGCAGCATCTAAGAAGCGCGTGTCCCAATAACATTCGTGACTAGGACCGACGTGGAAAGCACTGAAAGATCAACATTAAAAACATATTGTAAGGTCAAATAAGAATTATTACCTATGCGGTAACTAGACTAGATGCAATTGCTTTGCTATAGCATGTTTGAGCGGCTTGTATGGCGTGCGACTCCTGGCTCTGCTTATCACCCACCCAATGGCTACCGCATCCCGTGTTGTTTCTTTGGCTGCGGAACATGCAATACCACAATGTATCCAGCCCGCAAGCATAACAAAGCATTGTGAGATCTCAATGCACGCAACAAATTTTTGCCCGCCAGACACTTACGACTTGAACCTATAACCAATCAGAGCAACCAATCAGGCGAGAGTCCTTTCCTGTCCAATTTTCGCAGCCTCAACCAGAGCCTTTGCAACTTCCCGAGGCTTCGACAAAAACGGCGAATGAGATGTTTTTGAGCGGTATCTCAGAGTTTCGCTTGGGAGATTTTGCGCGAGCTTCTCCTGATACATGATAGGAAGGGCCTTGTCGTCCTCAGAGAAGTAGTACATACATTCTATGTCCAGCCAAGGCTCGTATGTCACTGTACCACTGAAGACTGGGGCAGACTGATGCTTGAGCTCCGAAACCAACTTTTTCCGAAGCTCTGGCTCAACATCGTGGTACATGACTTCTTCAGGGTTATCAATCGTCACATAGCCACTTTGCTGGCCAAGATCACCCTCGAGCTAACACGGAGTCAGTTTACATGTCGCAACGTAGAGTTTCTGGCATCCATTAGGGTGCAGCTCACCGCCGAGGGTATCATCCATGGCAGCCATTGGTTGCCAAGCTGCCCGAGAAGGCTCCCGCCTTTGCCTACTACGAAAGCAGCAATATAGGCAAACAAAATGACGCCGCCCTTTTTTCCTTCCTTAGCCCTTTGTTTGTATCCCAAGCCCTCCACAGCGTTGGCACCGACAAGGCCTCCATATGAATGGACAGCAAGCACGACTTGCTTTCCTTGATCTACAAGTCTCTCGATCACAGATCGGGCGGCTGCCGCGTCATCTGCTAAGCCTTTGTTGGGCGGCTCTGTGCCTACCGATGGGAAGGCGACAGCTTCGGTCTCATAGCCCAGAGATTCCAGGTCATGCCTCACCAGGTCGAAACAGTTCGGTAAGTGCCAGGCACCCGGTAAAAATACAACGGTTGGTAGAGTGGTGGAAGACATGTTGGTGGTACGTGGTGGTGGTCTTCTGAAACACAACCCTGAGCTACGGCGCGTACTATCTTTTATATCTAGAAGCCCGGCATAGCATGCATTTTCTTGATGATAATTGCCGACTGTTGAAACCCCGCATACGTAGTAGAAGCGGGATCCCGTATGGAGACACGGGCACTGGGAATTGGAGTTAATGATCGTCCTTGACAAGGGTCTTGGCGAGTGTACTATTCATTCGCACAGACGACGCTCGTGACACTTCCGACCATACACTGAGCGACGTAGAGATGAATTTGCAGTTTGTCAACATTTCGAGAAGCAACGGCGCATGAACAAACATGGAGCGCAAACCTTCAGTTACAGCACATCATACACGGTCGTTCTCTGAGCTTTCTGTATGGAATGTTGTAATGAACATCCATTGAAATGGGTCCTAGATGTGGATCAGGTAAGCACTTCAATTATGTAAGAGAAAGCTATTCATACCGTTGTACAGAGTCATTTGATAAAGTTGTAGAACTCTGTTTTACGTGGGTTTAGGGATTGGGTATGGACTTAAGCGGCGAAGGAAGTAAACTCCTCGCTAGACTTAAGGTTCATACTACTAGTATAGGTCTTCGCGCTTCGGTGCGGACTTAGCCGGTGAATGCCCTGCCACTAGTGATCTCTTCAAATGCCGAACTGGTATGTTGCCAGATAAGATCGCCAACGCCTTGTTCGCGCAAGGTCTGGTACGAGTCCGGTGTAGGGAATGTCTCCCCGTCTTGGTTGATCCGATAACATCCTCCACCAACAACACCGTCTGTCGCTACAGCAATGCCAATCTCATCAAAGCCGTTTGGGCTCACTTTCTGAGCGGTACCTCGCGCGGGATATTTTTCTGAGGCAAGGAAGAGAGTTCTCTGCCCGGACTCGTCCTCCGAGAGCGAATAGAAACGCATGAGCGGAATTACGACGAAGCGTAATAACAGCTTCAACCATGTAGGCGAGGAGCCGGTTTGTCCGAACTGAGTTATCACTGCTCCGGGATACACGTGACTCAGTGAAAGCTTCCCAGGATGCCGAGTGGCAAGTTGTTCCATGAAGAAGGTGGTCATGTAGCAGATGTGGGAGGTCGTAATCCTCATACCGAAGTTCTCTGGTTTCCGACAGCTGATATCTTCGGCAACAAATTTCCCTTCGTTGCCAGGAGCTAATATGGATGCAACATGTGCAGGCAAAGGGGATTCGACTAGCAAGGGCAATAGTTGGACAATGAAGCGCATACGAGAGTAGTAGAATAAGGACATAGTCTCGTCGATGCCTTCTTCGGTGTCTACGCGAGGTTAGAGTTGTTAACAGGATCCGGCAAAGACATTCGCACCTTTTCGTGACAAATTGAGCACCCCTTGTGTCATGACCAGAAAGTCAACTCTAGCGACCTGCCCTGCTCTTGCCGCCTCGTCCCGCTCGCGTGTTACGAGCTTCTCGCAGACTTGATCAACATCTCTCAGAAGGGCAAGGTCTTTCGCAGCAACGAAGATGAAATGGGCCTGAGGGCAAAGTTGCTGAGACTCGGCAATGATTCGCTCTGCTGCTTGTTTGTTTCTACCCATGATATAAACTCGAAGCCCCTTGCCGGACTCGCCATGGGTCTTCGCCAACCCCCGGACACCAAACTCGCCTATGCCAGCGGTACCGCCCACGAATACGGCCACAGTGAATTGTCGCCTTACCAAGCCAGCATTGACTTCCCGCACAACTGAAAGACCGACCATCTTAGGCAATTGTCGCGAATCTGGTGATTTAGGTAAAGCGATGAGGAGGTACCATAAAGTTTGTATTAGGCTGCGCTGCATCTATCTTTCTTATATCATGTTGTTTCCAATATGATAAGATTCCCCTCCTTCAACTCATGCGACATGCCTGAGTCGTTCGGTGACAATGGGTGCCGGGTTGACTTCAAGCGTCGAGAATGTGGAGCGGCGTTAGTGGAATCTACCCGAGTCCGAGTCCGTAGAGATGAAATCTACAGTATGATAGTGTCTGTTCCGCTAAAAGTTTCCCCGCGCCCGAGTATCAGATGCATCTCTGATTGGACAACCACCACCCATCTGCTTCTTCTGTCTCCAAACATCCATGATTGTTTAGCGAATGCGACAATATCCCGCGCACGTTGATGGACGATGATTCATCTTCTAAGACTATTTAAGACCATTTTCGGGATGCTTGGAGCTACCAATTTTAGTCCTGCATCTCCGGGAGTTTTACCACTGTGCAGAGGCCATCACAATTGAGCGTGAGCCGAAATGGGATGGATGTCAGATGCAGCAATTATCTTTCTCCATTCAAGACTTAGCTCTTCATTGCCAACGATGTCATAAGACTGATAGATTGACCCTTAACCGCTAGGAAGTACTGTGTAGAAAGATGCTTTGTTGGCATCTCTTGTCTTATTGTTATTCATGGAGAACGTGACCAAAGCTTCTGGGTGATTATCGTCTATATGTTTCGATTCATCCTCTTTATTCAGGAAATACTGGGCCAAAATGGCTTTGTTATACCACAGGAACAAAGCTCAACAATGTTTTCTTTTAATAACAAAAATCTACTGACAGACCATCTGATATAGAGTGTATTGCGATGCACTCCGCGTCGGGCTCACCATGGTCAGGATCCTCATGTCTCATAGCATTGTTACCAACACCCAGTCGTTCGACTATGAAACCTAAGTTGAGTGTCAACATTGAACAACCGTGCGCATTGGCGCCAACTACGACTATCGAGCCTGTCCAAGGAAACAGTAGAGCCGGGCTTGAGCAGACTCCGATCATATCACCATCTTCTTCAATACGATGCGATTATTGCTTTCAGAACGGTGTTCTTCATGACGTTGAGTTGGGTCAGACACACCGTCATGAAATTAGCGCCGATTCTAATGATAGAGCCAGCAACAATTCGCCTGGTTCCATTTTCACACGGCGGACGGGGGCACATTTCAAGAATGAAAGATGGCGGGCGGTGCTTGAGTTCTTCATTTATCTTCAAATGATGCTGCTCAAAGTTCTGGTGCCTGTCTCGCTCCTACTCTTCCTATTTGTCTATTTTCTTAGCATTTTTCCCAGACAGGGCAGTAATCTTCGTCATTGGCTGGTTTAGCTTCGCGAGACTCGAATTGCGAAATCGCTGGGTCAGACTAAAAGAACAATAGTTACTCGGAAGTTCAGGGCTAGACCTTGGGTAGGTTAGACAATCAAACTCCCCAACAACCAATTTCGAATTAGTCTAGACTCCATAAAGCAGAGAAGCAAACGGACCATCTAAACTGAAATTATACAATTGAGCCAATGGTTTCTCATTTGTAGTTCATTACTCCCCAACAACCAATTTCGAATTAGTCTAGACTCCATATAGCAGAGAAGCAAACGGACCATCTAAACTGAAATTATACAATTGAGCCAATGGTTTCTCATTTGTAGTTCATTACATGCAAATGCGGCGGGTTGTTCTGTGCTCAGCCCTAAATTTACACACAGCAGAGCAGCCTCAAGACGCTTGGGGTTAGATTCGGATATAATGACGGCATGGATTGTCAGGGACCTGTTGCCGATGGCCGTGGCATGCATCATCGAGCAGTGGATGGTACAGCGACACAACCCATACCCTCTCGAGGGTAGTGGTCGCATCTTGCACTTTTCCGACAGCAAGAAAATTGAAGTTGGTATCTGATCGAACCGGTCGTTCACTGTAGATACCAGAATAATCATACACATGGCAGAAGACAGCGCTGAGAACACCGTGACGCCACAGGCCATTCATGTCAGTGACCGCGCTAAACTACGCGCTGCACTCCAGGCCTCCGCAGCGCCGGTCCTGATCCACCTCAACGCCGACACAACCTGGCTGTTGAGCTTGCCATACCCACCCTCGACCGCACGACCGCCGGGCCGCAGTCGCTTCAATATCCTCCTCGATCCTTGGCTTCAGGGACCGCAATCCGATGTCGCCTCATGGTTCTCGACCCAATGGCACCTCGTCGCGCCCTGCGTCCAGACGATCGAAGAGCTCAACAGCCTGCTAGCTGAGGCGGAGCGTGATGCTACAAGTACAAGACGAGAGGCAGAGAATGAGCCCTCTGCCTCCATCGACGCCGTGGCCATATCGCACGAGTTCACGGACCATTGTCATGAGGCGACACTGAGAGAACTACCTCGAAACACACCCGTGGTGGCGACCGAGAAAGCTGCAGAGCTGATCAAGTCATGGAAGCACTTTGACCAGGTCATGACGACTCCAGGTTTCTCTTCCTCTACCTTGGATTGGCAGAAGGCTCTCAGCAAACCACCGCTCCCATCATGGGTCGGCATCGGCAGAGTTATCACCGAGGGAAACGCCCTGTATTACCATTCAGCGGTCATCATTGCATTCAAACATTCATCGTCTGAAGCATCGTCTGACGGTGACACAGGAGCGGGCGCGGTCATTTACTCGCCTCATGGTATCAAAGCCTCAGACTTGGATGCTATCAATGCTGCTAATCTCAACACGCTGGCCTTGCTGCACGGGTTGCATGATGTGAGGATTTGGATGACGAAGCAGCTGAATCTTGGTGCACTAAATGGCCTCGAAGCAGTACGCGCCAGTGGTGCCAAGTACTGGATTGCAACTCATGATGAGATCAAGAAGGGTGGCGGCTTGATCGCGCCTTTGTTGCGGCGGACGAAGTACACAGTCACAGATGCTGTCGAAAAAGAGACCCAGGCTCTTGGAGAGAAAGCCTTGGGTTATAACTTTGTCGAGCTCGGCTCCGGTCATGGACTTGTTCTGGCTTGAAAAAGATACCAATTTCGAGGTGTCGGAAGGACCGACAGTAATGGTAAAATACATCGGCCACAATTGGTGCCAGTGGAGATATCCGTGCTGCTCTCTTCAACGTTCAGACTTTGCTCGGGTAAATAAGATGCTCAGCGCCTCGCCATCATGAACAACCACACGTATCCAGGCTGGCCATATGGAAACCTTCACATTGGGGTACATATGATCAATCAATATCAGGCTTGTATTTGGCGATGCTGGCCATCTGAGCTGTCGTGAATTTGAGTCCTAAAGTGTGGGAACCATCGGCACTGTATTTTCTCTGGCTGTGCCTTTCAACCCATCAACAAGCGCATCATGCGTAATCGTCCTTGGCAACTGGTCTTTCTGTCAAGGTTGTCGCGAGGATCCTGGCCTTAGCTTCGCCTGCTCAGCTGCTTCCAGCGAGAGAAATGATAGGTGGAATGATGCTGCATTTCTAATGATCATGATCGGCCATTGACCCACTTCCGGCGGAAACTGCGTTGAAAGTGTTGTGGGCATACTTCTTGTCCGGAAACTTCATGAGCACCTTGAAATCGCTACTGAAGATCCAAAAGCATGCACAAAGCTCAGGAGCCTTCGAAAGGGCCATCTCAGACGTCTTTACGACGGCAATTTCTTTAGATTGTTCGAACAATCATCTTGTATACTGGAAATGCGCTTACTTAACGATATTATCTCTGCTTACCGTATTACACGATGCATTCTCGTCATGTCTTATAACTTGTCATAGCCAAGAATGCTTAACTCCTCAGGGGTATCTCATTTCCGTCCCGTAAAGTCAAGCTTTCAGTTGCCAAGCTTTTGTTACCGATGGCGATTACCCATTTAGGTAGGTCTCACTGCCGCGTTATGGTAGGTCACACTGCCGACGCTTCTATACTTGGCATTACTTGGCAACTAGAACACCAAAGTTGCAACAATAACATTTGTTTGCATCCCAAAGAAGCTATGGTGGGAAAACGCTATGGCAATAATGATTAACTATATGCATATATAGGTTTTACATATGTCGTGCTTCCCTGTTGTCACGTACTTTATAGCTCGCTCGGGCTTCGCGACAGAGCTGTATACTCGGACACGGTGCGTTGCTATACTTGCCAAGCTTCAACCTTGACCCCACGAGGTCGCACTACCTTATCTGGGCAAATGCTAAGACCGCGCTCTCCACCTCCAGATCGATTCCCCTGCAGATCAGTACACGGCAGAGCAGCCTGTGATAAAGCCTCACGCTCTCGCCACGCGTACTTTTGCTTTTGTCTCACTTTACCAATGAGAGGCCTGGAAACGTTTCTTTGTCGACCGGCGGCGACCGCAGTCGGCGGCTATCATGCTGATCGCATCAGGAAGGTTGGTTTCTATTCCTGAGAATGCTGAAGTGAAGCTGGGGGTGAAGTATGGAGTCAGGATTCTTGGAAGAACTGTCTAGACGACCTTCCTCTTGTGTGCGCAACTCGCAGTGGGTTTCGTCCCAACTTTGAACTATGTATAAAGGAGGCATTGTGCGTCGCAATGGCCCTCAAGGTGATCGACTCGGCTTCACGCATAGCATAGCATAGTGGTACAACTTCCCCAGAATACTTGAGACTATACAGCCAATCACAACATGCAGCTCAAGTCCCTGATCGTCTCGGCCTTTGTGGCCTCGGCCGCGGCCAAGGAGCGATGTGTCGCCCCTGCACCCACCGAGGAGCAGCTCGAGGTCTCTAGACAGATGGCGATTGAGGAGGCCACTCAGGACTTCGCAATTCAGGCTACCATCAGCACCAATGTCTACTTCCATATCATCGCCTCCAGCACGTCCGCCTCTGCCGGCTACCTTAGCGTGAGTAGCTATCGCTGTCGTCGAGACGAAATAGTCTCACTTGATCGAACAAGGCTAATATTAAAGTAGAACGCCACTGTTGATGCCCAGCTTGATGTCTTGAACGAGGCTTACGCTCCTCACGGTATCTCTTTCACTGACGCCGGCCGTGACTGGACCGTCAACTCGGTTTGGGCTCGCGACGGTGCCGAGACCGCCATGAAGACTGCTCTGCACAAGGGAACCTATGCGGACGTCAATATCTACTTCGTCTCCGACCTTGATGCCTTTGGCTACTGCTACCTGCCCCAGTCCGGCGTCACCAACTCTGTCTTGATCCAGGACGGATGCACCATCTTGGCCGGCACGGTCCCCGGTGGTGACCAGACCGACTACAACTACGGTTATACCGTCGTCCACGAGATCGGCCACTGGTTCGGTCTTTGTAAGTTGAAACCCGAAATCCCCGTCAGAGATTTTGAGGGATATGGATTTGCTGACGCAATGGCTCGTGAATAGACCACACTTTCCAGGGCGGCTGCACCGGTAACGGTGACTACGTCTCCGACACCCCCCCGGAGAAGACTGCTGCTTCAGGTTGCCCCGCCACCCGCGACACCTGCACTGGCGGTGGCGTCGACCCCATCCACAACTACATGGACTACTCCGACGAGTAAGCAGGCCTGCCTCTTGATGAATTGAACGTGTTGCTGACCAAATTGACAGCACTTGCTACGAGGAGTTCACCGCTGGCCAGCAGACCCGCATGTACAGCCAGTGGAACACCTACCGTGCTTCGTACCAGTAAACGTACTGAAGGGACGGGCACGTTGCAGCGTCTCTTGGAGAGTCGCTTCGAGAGTCGCTTCTTGATAAAAAGGGGACGAGCGGGGGCGCATGGGTGAACTTGACCTAGGTCTTTGGGATGAAGGATTGCACTGTACATATTTGACCCAGCATATTCAAATACAGCAAAGCTGCCATAAGAGCTTGTCATTGCTACATGCACCGGCAATCGAAGCCGTCCACCATCATTGACTTTGGCCTATGGTGAAATTTGCTGGTTTTGGCCCCTGGCGACGACTCTAGATGTGAATTACCCTTTTAACTGTCGTTTATTTCGTAGCATTGTGGCAGGGCAGAGAGTCACTGGTCGTAGATCAAATCTCGCCGGGTTTATGCCTCCGCGGCCTTGGCATATGCATTGTATCCACTACCAATGCCCCAAATCTTTGAGAGTCCATCTATCTGCCATGAAAAGAAAATTTGGCAGTTTAACTCTCTGAGTGCCGTGCAGCCTTCAAGACCGGTATCTTTCGAAAGCGGTGGATCTATTTTACCCGCCTTTTTACAAGCTTTCAACATTGAACAAAGGGTGGTGATGTCATCACGGAATTATGGGTTACAAGGGTTGTGGCCTACTTGGAAACGGTGACGGTCACGTATTACGCCTCGACTTGGTTCGTTCGACCTTGCGAGGATAGTTTCCAGTCGGTGCTTAGTCAAATATATAGCAGTTCCCGGACTCATAAGCACATACGACCATAGCTCTAACAAAACTCGGCATCCCGTCCACTCTGCCCTAGATAAACTGAGAACCGCTCGATTAGTGCGTCTTTTGAGTTCAAATAGATCAAGAGAAGGACGTCGAGGTGAGTGTTCATTCTGCTTGAATGGTCTGTAGTATAGCTTGCTGTGAATATAAGCACCCGTGACAAAGAGCGAAGCAATTGCAAATGTCTGGACGTGACTTGTTAGAGCGTTGGCCATGTTGACCATTAGGCATATGCCAGGTTCTGCCGGCGCATAACAAATGAGGATTAGGAGTTGTTGTAATAATACACTCTAGAAGATGATGCGTCAAGTAATAATACACTGGATCCGCTTCGGGGTACGCGGCTTCACTATTGGCTTCTTTTTAGATTGCGTGTCACCTTATACTACCTATGTGGCTGAGCTCTCTCATTTTTGGCGACGCAAGGGGCTTCCTGGATCGAAATAGCTACCTAGCTTCGTTTTTTTGATCTATAACGATCCTGGTTTGCTGGATAGAGTCGCACAGAACTAACTCTGAGACATGTTGGTGAGTTGTGAGTGAGCTCGAGCTGTCATAACTTGATCAAGTTCTGATGTGGTAGTTCGCGACTGCCGTTTTACTCTTGGTACATCTAAGTAACCGGTACAATCTACGTTGAGGGATACGGGCTCTCAGGCATAATTTCCTTTCTTACTATTTACCAAGAACTTCGTGGGGCAGAGTCATGGCTATACTACCGATCGATGAACTTCTACTCCGACATGATTTGATCCAATCGAGCCACGAAGCCCATGCCTCTTACGACGGCACTCTCGAAATAGTGTAATGCGAGGTCGGTCTAGGGACTGGGTCAAGTCGGTATACTACCGTCATCTTGCCTCATTAGTAAGTGGCAAAAAGTGAAGCCTTTTGGACTTCCGAACTTTTTATCATATATAATAGCGCGCGACAGAGTAAAGAACTTAGAGGAACACGGTGTGCCCGAAGTATTTCGCCAGGATCAAGCAACAAGTACTAATCTTTAACATTGATATAACGAAGGTCCGCCGCCTGGCTTAGAGCATGTCCTATGATATCGCTACGGAAAGACCACCATTCGTCATCTCGTTGACCATCGACGAGCAAGCCGAGGTCGCCGAAAATGATTAAAAAGAGTTAATGCGCTCTTTCATGGTTTTGATGGTGGTCTCGCAACTTTCTATAGACCAGTCAGGATGTCCGTTTGCCGAGTTGTCATCCTCGGAAGGGATTTCATGGCCCATATACTCTAAGAGCTGCGTACCACCTCAGACGACCCCGACGACTCCCCGAAGAAGCACTTCGTGGTCCGCTATTACGCGGAAGACTTTAATTTTGTGCGTACAAGTAGACAAGAATGCCATGTTAAGGGGAACCAGGACTTCGAAGTTAGATTTTCCATGTCGAGCGGAGATTCTTGATATCGCAGTTAACAAAGAGTGCCAAAATCGTCAAATACTGGTCGGCCGGAAGACCTTCAAAATCAGACGGGGGCACGCTAGAACCTAACGAATGTTTGACCATAAAACTATTCCACTAAACTTGATTCAGGATCTTCCGGGAAAGTAATAAAGTAAAGAATTTTTTTTTTTTTACGCAGCTAAACCAGAGTGGTACAACAATATAATAGATCTAAAAGACAATCTCTGCTCGTAATATCAGCCGCGCCATACATAAACGACAAGCCTGGCCACGAAACAACCCCCCGCAAGGCGCCAGCCTCGACCTGCCATTAGCGCACTTGGCAGCTATCCGCAGTATAGGCAGCCACTTAAAGCCACCCGATTATATCACTCTGAACATCATCCCGACCCGCCAGCTGGAAACATGTCTTATACATAACCGACAGCTCAACTTCCGACATGTCGCATCCCTTCGTAGAAGCCCTCAGACCCCAAAAGCGAAATGTGAGCTGGACAGATTGGCTTCGCACCCAGCTGTCCCGTCTGGGGATCGGCGGCTCTACGACGCCGCCACTGTTGCACCTGTTCGACTACCTACCGAAACAGAAGCATATCCTGATCACAGGCTTGGACGCCGCTGGCAAGTCAACGCTACTACGGAAGTACCTGTCGCCGAACGGCGACGAGGGCGTTGTAACCCATCGTCCAGCGCTGGGCTGTCTGGTAGAGGAGACATGCCACGGCAACGTGTATTTCTACACGCTCGACCTGGGCGGCGGGAGGCCCCGTGCTGTGATGAATATGGAGCGGGAAATCATCGCGGACATGGACGCGGTCGTCTGGGTGCTGGACTCGACCGATCGCGACCGGCTGGTGGAGGCCAAGGAGGAGATGGCGCGCATGATCTGCGGTGCCGCGGGGTTGGGCAGGGACAAGCCGGTGCTGCTCCTGGCGAACAAGCAGCAGGTCTTCACGGAGAAGGGCGACTGCGTTCCTGCCATAGAGTACAGCGAGGCTGGAAACCTTTTTGTGCACGTGTTGGGCGATCGGAGATGGGTAAGTAATAACGTGAGGTTTCGCTCTCATCGCCCGCAGGTCTACTCACTAACAGTTACGCTACAAAGTATGTCGAAGATACTGACTTGATTTGTGGGCTTGGGGTGTGGCCGGCGTTTGTGTGGTTGGGCGACGATGTAGGGAATTTCGGAGAGGAGCGACAGCCCGTTGAAGATTGGGCCAAAGCGGTCCGAACCGCGTTGCATGGAGCGCAGAAAACGGGATTAGTGAGATGTTGAGCATATCTCGGTATTAGTTCGCAACCACTAAAGGTAATCGTACACCCAAAGCGGAATCTAGAACCATACGTCGCCAGCATTGATTGTTTCGATATTGTGGGGACAGAGGAAACGCGAACTATCCATATCTTTATTTAGTGCAGCTATCATAACGATCGATGGAGATACTACGAGTCTCGGTAATTCCTCGTAGTCTCTACGATGCTGCTTTGCCTCGAATTCCTGCCACCATCGACGACGTGAAAGTGATACTGCGGTGCGTATACCGGCCTATCATCTCCGGTAACGTGGGCCTGCCGAGGTGCGCTCGGACTTTGTCCACTGAGTCCACCAATAAAGCCATGCTGATATGTCTCATCATCACGGTGATCCTCTTCCAGACTGGGTCGCTGACTTCTCGCCCGGCTAGCTTGGCGGCCATGCTGTCTTCGCTCAGCACTGCGTTTTTCCCTCCGGCTGTCGTAGATAGTGGTTTTCTCATTATTGTTCTTCTTGTAGGATAGGTTGTAGCTAGTTTTCTTCGACTTTCTCCTCCGGCGACAGCAGCAGATAATTAGAAGCAACAGCAAAAGAAGACCAAGACCGCCACCAACGGCTGCGCCAACTATGACGCCTGTGTTGACGGTATTGTTGGTACTCGTGCTTGTGCCGGAACTGAGAGGTTCAGCTGTCGTCGTTACCGTAGTCCCGTCGCTCAAAGTTGCCGTAGATTTTGACAGTGAAGCCTCTGATGCCTCCGAGGCTAGTGATGCCGAAACAGAAGCCCGTGACGCTGATTCTGAAGATGCAAGCGCGGCCGACTCTGATGATTTGGAGGCAGAAATTGAGGCGTCAATGACGAACTGGGGCTCGTCAAGCATTGACGTAATGGCGGTGGCTGTACCACATTTGAATTGTGAGCGAACTGGTGAGCCCGTCCAAATGTACGTAACACATGCTGGAGCAGCCGAGCTTTGACTGTATATATGTCAGTTGTGCTCCAAGACCTGTGATGAATCTTGTACTAACCAACACCCTGTATTCGAGCCAAGATTGTCACAAGATCCAGCTTTTGATGCTTGAAAATCGAAACACGAGATGAAGAAAGGCTCATAATCCCCGGATACGCAGGCTACAGCATGATCGCCGTTCGTTGAGCATTCGAAGTCTTCGCCGCAAGTCCATGGATATGCTGCTGCCGCATTAGACTCCACTCCCTCTGGAAGGCTTCTCAAACTTACATGAGACTCCAGATACCCAACCACACGTCTCCGAATTTGTCCAGTTCGTCGTTGTAAAAGTATCCCTTCTCAATAGATCGAGCACTAGATCACCATCAGACTTGTACCCAGGTGCTTGCGTGGGTTTTGGTGTCCAGCCGATTACTTGGTCTCCATCTCCAGCCGGACCTGTCTCTCGCGGTGGATTCCATGTTGGCGTGGAATCCACAGACCATTTCAGCCAAGCTGCACGTGCGCTGCCAACAGCAGCAATGAGCAGAAGTGATATTCGCATGGCTGTAGGTCACACGTCAAGGAGATATCCGCAGTTCCTTTCCGACCAACACTCCTCCAAATGATATGGTCCCGTAGTGATGTTGAGATGTTGTTGTTATCCAGGTATGTCGAGTGCAAGGTTGTCCGTTACGAACGGTGTATTGCGATTAGTGAGTATGCGAATTACTGTTGTACAGAATACGGGCGTATGGTCGTAAATGAGAAATCCGGAAAGTGTTACATTTATCTGCTGGCGAAATGACGAAGCTATATAGAATCACAGCCCACAGCAAAGTGATTCGCGACAATCCAGCAACAATCCGGTTAGCACCTGACTGGAGTTGAGCCGGTCGATCAGAGCAACAATCCACACGTGCTTCACCGTCAGAGACGTCACATGGACCTGAGCTACCAAACAGGCACACTCAGAGATAATGACAAGATAGTTGAGATGTGACAATAACAAATAAAAGAAATAAAAAAGCTCAGGTGGTAGAGAATGATGGTGGCGCAACGCATTGAAAAATCCTCAAGGCAGGCCGCACCAAGCCCATAGGCGCCAGCGCCTACTTGTAGTCTGGTCAACTATCCCAGGACCCTGTCATAGGCATTTGCAAGGCCAATCTGCAGCAATTTGGGCGTTGTGCTGCTTCGTGCAGTAGATACATGCCTGAAACCCGCGATCGCTAAGGCGAATTGCGGTCAAATGGACTCGTGGTTCACGGGGATACTGAGTCGAACATGAATCTGGTTGGTCCCTACCCCTGGCGAACCCCAGGCAGTCAGCGGGGTGTTGCGGGAGATGCTCGATCCAGTTTCAGCTCACGAACCCTCTGGCCCAATGAAATTAGTGATTAGCGCACACTAAATTCTTTAGCCACTGTATTTACTCAGGAGGTGTGTCAAAGAGACCGACGATTTCTTTTTCGGGGTGTATAGCTGCACGAATGCTGGCTGTAAATCATGAAATGCACGTTGACAAGGAGGACTATTTGGACTTTGCAGACCTCAGAGATCATGTCTGCTGGTTGCCGAGGTTCCGACGCATTCAGGAGTTGAGGGTTTGAGAAGGGAGGATCGCGTCAAAACGTGGTGCCCGAGACAAGTCGGGTACTCGGCGCTTATCTCGAACAATGAAAGAAGAAATGCTGGCGGTTAGTTACACAACAACAACTTCGCACGAGCCAGCGGCCATTCAGAATGCCCTCAAAGGAACTGCGGATCAAACCCAACATTGCTCTATTGCTATCAGCTGTCCTTCTTTCGGATGCTGGCCAACAGCTCGATACTTTATTAGTTAGATACTTGTCCAGGAAGCATGAACAACGGCACCTCACTTGACACCGCACCAAGGCAAACGGCAGGCAGAAACTTCCACGTGCACTAACTAAAACCTAATGTTAGTGGAGTTCAAGCATTAGATTTTCTCACGTACCTATAATTCTAAGTATACCGTTAACGCTATACAACGGAATAAGCTAGGGGTTCAATTCTTTCTTTCTTTTCAATTTCCTTTTCTACCCATGGCAGTGAATGGCTGAGCGCGCAAATGGTAGGTACGGTATTACAACCTTTTTATACCACCATGTGCTTTTCTTCTGCACTTCAAGAAGTCCACATGCCGGAAACTCTTCGCACCCTTCGAACTCCTCAGTGTAACCTGGGTTCTTATTAAGCACCGGACTTGAGCTTTTGTCAGCACACCAGCGACGAAACACCGATGCACCTCGGACATAGTCGACATTCAAGAAAACTCTGTATCTACTCGTAATTGTGGCATAGTCCTTAGCTAATGCCATCGTGACATCTATGTGCTCAAAATAATATCACCGCACTGGCTCGGGATTTCGTTGTTGCCATACTCCAAGTCAAGGAGAGCCATTCGCTTTGAAATCAAAGGTCATTAGATATAATCTGGATATATAAAACCGGCAAGATGACGAGGATCTGGAACCTCGAAATGAACACAAGTAGCCGAAACAAACTCCATTATATAAAGCCACTGTGACAAAACCACACTTCCCAAAGTCGTTAAACATGCATTTCAACCCAAGACATCTCGTCCGCCTCCTGCAAGCCCTCCCTCTCACCCTCCCACTCGCCCTGACCAGCACCGCCGCCGCCGTCGCTCTCCCGAACCCAGCAACAACAACGACGACGACGACGCCGCCGCCACCCGACGCCCGGTACCCAACCCGTTCCATCGCCGGAGTGTCCCTGATCGACACGCCCCTGGTCCGCGCGGCGCACGACCTGGCATACCAGCAGTACGGCGCGCAGCCGTTTATATACGGGCACGTGATGCGGTCGTGGCTGTTCGGGGCGCTTCTGCTGTCGCACAACGGCTCGCTGGCCTCGCGGGTGGACCGGGAGGTCCACGCCGTCGCGGTTCTGCTGCACGACCTGGGCTGGGTGCGGGGCTCGCCGTTCGTGAGCCCGGACAAGCGGTTCGAGGTCGACGGGGCCGAGGCGGCGAGGGAGTTTGTGAGGAACTTCACGGCCGCCTCTGCGTCCGCCGAGGGTGTTGCCGTTGACTATGCCGACTGGTCGTCGGACGAGAGCCGGAAGCTGCAGCTCGTCTGGGATGCGATTGCGCTGCATACGCAGAAGTCCATGTGAGTTTTCGCAGTGTTTATCGCAGCCTCGTCCCTTGTTCATTGTGTGCCATTCTGCTGGGAGGAGAGTACTAGCATCCAATCATTTTGAGCGGAGGAGCCCGATCAAAGCTGACAGGAAACTCTTTCGCCCCAAATCTAGAGCGGCCTACAAGGAACCCGTCGTCGCGGCGACGTGTAACGGTATCATGATGGAATTCTTCGGACCCAGCTACGGGGTGGAGCAGGCCGAGTACGACGCCGTGCTCGCAGCGTTCCCGGCCGACGACTTCCTGCCCAGGACCAACGAGACGTTTATCTGGTTGGCGGAGACGAAGCCCGAGACTACTTATGGTGAGTTTTGCCTTTGATGAGATTTGCATTCTGCCAGCGTCGTCGAAGATGAAGAACCTAACGAGTTATGCTGACATTTGTTCGATTTTTCCCTCCCAGATACCTTCATGCAGCCATTTGGTGATTATTTCGTTGAGGGCTATTCGGCGGTTGGGAAGAGGCCGTTTGATATCATTGCGGGCATCCATTCAGAGCTGAATGAGTAGAGGTAGATATTTTCGTGGTATTCCGATTTGCCTTGTAGAAAGGTCCAGAGGCCAAGACGATGATGGATTTTCGGTAGAAAAGTGTATTATGCGCATTCTCGATCGTGTCATCGAGGACTTCATATTACGAGCTTCTGATCTCGATCATTCAAAGTCCTGGGTCCGAAGTAGTGTCATACATTCTGCCCAAGTTTATCTGTGGCAGACGCGCATTATGTTCGAGTGAAGAAAATATGCATTTCGTAGTCTCGTATATGTATTTCCATCATGTCAAAATCCGAAACGCCACCAGCAATGAGCATTGAGCGGACTACAAGACCCAAATACTTGTATCCTGTCGAAGCTAGAGGCGCATGCCTCCTTTGGAGGTTGCACGTATCTCTTTCTTCAGTAATGGACAATGAAACAACATGCCCGAACACACAACAACACTAGAGACCTAAGCTTCTGATCGGTGTCATATTTCTCGCCCAACACAGTAGTTCTGGACTACGGTCCCTCATTCTTCTACAGTCAGCCCTTCCAACGACTGCATTGCTCTTCCGCCTTCAGTTTCGAACTTGGATACTACGGTTTCGCACTCCACTTTGAGTCGTTGTTCCGCCAAATTAGCGTTGTGATAAATCCACTCCTCGACGGTCATCTTTTTCTCTGGACTGGTCAATTGTAGGCCTTTGAGCAAGTTTGAACCGGGCAGAGCGTTCTCTTTTCCTAACTGTTCAAAGACGGTGTCAAGTTCCACCGAAGCCCACGGCTTGTCACTTTCCAAACCAACAACGAAGTTGACGTTGCGTTTGGATGGCGACGAACGGACGGGAGTAGATGCCACTGGGGCCAATGCGACACGCGAGGAGTTGGCAGTGTTGGACGGTTTGGATGACGGAGGTTGGTTCTCGGCGTCTGACGACTGTGGTGATTGAGATGGGGAAATGGTGGCCTGCTTCGCAGTTGGCGCAGGAGAAACGGCTGGGCCAGGAGTGGCAGGTGCTTGGAGTTCGTCCTCTGGGACTGGGGGTGGTGGTAATGACTTCTTTCGCGGTTGCTTGCTCAGACTGACACGGGGCGTCGCAGCTTTTTCCAAGGGGTCGGCGAAATCAACCTGATCAACCTCTGGAGGCAGCTCAAGCTGTGTCTCCTCAATGTCGCGCTCTGGCTCTGGTTGAGGCTCCGGTTCTGCTGGAGCTGGAGGGGGGGGAGGGGGCTGAGTGCTATTCTTCTTCGGACGGCCGCGTTTTTTGGGTGCCGGGTTGGTAGATGTGGAGTTTTTGAGGACAGTTGCGTTGCTTGCAATGCTGATATCGTAGGGTTCTGCCTGCTCAATGGGCCCTGTCTCTTGTTCAGGCACGAGTTCTGGTTCTGGTTCTGGTTGCGAAGACTTCTTAGTCTTGGTCTGCTTTGAAACCTTCCTGGTGCCGGCCTTGCGGCCTTTCTTGGGAACGGGCAATGGTGCCTGTTCTTTCGCCTCGTTCTGAATCTGTTCTCGCAACTCTTGGAGCTCGACCGAGACATCAGCACTGTTTATATCAGCGGGCGTGGGATCAAACATTGCGTGGCCGCTTAAAGGCACTTCCTCGAAAGCCGCCACAGGCTTTTTGGTTGTTGCCTTCTTGGCCTTGGTCTTTGCTGGCATCGGCTTCCGTTCCGAGTCGGAATCAGCGGCAATCATTCCATCGTCATCAGACAAAGGTCTATCCAGATCGGCCTGGAGCTGTCGATCTAGCTCTTCATCATCAGGCAGCTCCTCTTCAGCATTGTGGAAGGAGGCGTTTGAGGCAGTAGAAGCGGTCGAGACCTTTCTGGTACTCTTCGAGGCCCGGCTGCCCTTCTTCTTGGTTGTCTTGGCTGGCGAGGCAGGGAAGGCATCGAGCATGCTTGAATCTGGCTGAGGCTCAATGACTGACGAGTCTGCCGCATTGCTACCACGAGTTCGGGTTGCCCGTTTCTTCGGCGCCGGTGCTTCGGCATTGGTCAAGACCGAGTCGTCAACGGAATCACTAGCTCTCTTGCGCCCTCGAGTCGGCTTGGGTGGTGGAGGCGGCAGCGGCAGGTCCTCTTCGGGTGGATCTTGCAGGACGTCAACATGGTCGTTCTTCTTGGCCGTGGTCTTCTTGGGTTTGGCCGTCGTCGCTTTCTTGGCACGACCGCGCTTGGTCCCGCCAGTAGTCGCAACAGATGCTGTCGTCATGATGCTGTCCTCGTAATCTGCAGGTTGATCGACCATGGACGATGTTTCCGATGTGGTTGTGGCTATGGATTGCGACGAGAGTCGTGATGCCTTGGAGGACCTAGCGCCCTTGCCTCGACCCGTCTTCTTCGCAGGAGCTTGCTGGTACTGGTTGATCAAGATGAAAAATGGACATTCAGGTGATCGCTTGTAGTGCTCGTTCCTAGAAGAAGAAAAGACGACGGGCATCAGTGTTTGAACGGGAGGGCGGCCTGACAGGCGGGCAAGCACTTACATTGGCTTGTCAGAAGGCTCCCAACCATCTAGTGCCAGTTGACAGTACGTGCAGGTCGCCATGTCGTCCGAGTCTAATGTTGGGGTGTACTTCCAGCCGGCATCTACCATCTGGGGGTTTGGATTGGGTTAGCAAGGGGAGAAGCAGAAGCGGCGTGTGTGTACGGGGCTGTCGGGAACGTACCTGCTTCGTTTTACACTTCCAGCCTCTCTTTGCTTCGTGTGGCCAGCGTTGGGCGAATGTGGCCTTTCTTGCTTGCATCATATCTGGGTGACTCGGATCGTCGGCGTTGTAGTCTCCCAAGGCCGCCTCGATCGCTGTGACGATGGCCCAGCCGCAGTGCGGGGAGAGGCGCAAGTGTTCTTGGAGGGGGTCGTCGCCGTCTTCCCATCCTCCAATCATCTTATGGCAAAGGAAACAGACAGCATTGTCGGGGTAGTCGGGGGTTGGATCAAAGTAGAAACCGGCTCGAGCAAGCTGTGGGGGTGGGCTGGATGAGCATCCGTGTCGAGGAGGTGGTGAGCTGTCGGGAAGGGTAGAAACATACATCTGTTGGCTCAATGCGCTTGTGCGGCCATGTCAAGGACTTGGAGGCTTTGCCCTTGGCCGTGGGTTTCCGACTGGTTGAGTGAAAGGATGCCAGTCGGCCCTCTTGTGTATAGTAGTGTTCAGGTACGTCGCCTTCTTCCATCTTGTATGCTGGGGGCGCGCCTCGGCGTCGATGTGGCTGTGTTTGTGCTCGTGGTTGGATGCGCCGGAAAGGGAGAGTCGGAATTGCTGGTTGTTGCGACAGAGAAGTAGAGACAGAGTATCGTGCGGTGCGTGCCAGGGCTGCCGGATCGCTTGTGCTCGTGCTTGTGCTTGTGCTTGCGGTCGAATGCGCCGGCGCGAATGGCGATAGACGAGCAATAATCTAAGGTTCACCTAGTCTAGTCTGCAAGTCAAGCATACAATTCAGCATGCACATGGGGATTCGTAGAGAAGGACTGGACTTGGACTGTACGCAGAAGCCCGGAAGGTGGGATAGAATGAATAAAGTGGTCTTTCAATTTACATTTACTTCCGAGCGCGCCTGTAATTGGTTGTGTCCCGAGCGCGTTTTGTTTACTTTCAACTCTTAGCCTCTGTCACGGGGAGATGCCCCACATGGCCCCGGCCAAAGACCCAGAGACCCAAAGCGCAAGACATGGCATCGCAATAGGCAGATCCCATGGTCATCCTAGAGATAAGCTGGGTTTACGGAGACGTCCTCTTCCAATCACGTCTGTTCCTATTCTATTGTCTACCGATATCATATCGGCTTGTGCAATATGGGGTACAACTGTTCCATTCTGCTGCATTTTTAACTTGTGTCCGCGGCTTTCAATTGGCTCAATAAAATATCGTACCTCTTCTACCTATACAAACAGGACCTCTCTCCTCAACGGTTGCCCTTCAGCTGCTGCGGCCAGTTTGCAGGACAAGTCCCTGTGCATGGTATTCCCGAGCTTCCCTGATTCTGGATATTGGAACAGAGCCACTTGGCCGACCCTCCAGCGGCCGGAGTGATGTTCACATTCTCCATGCTGAATCCCTTGCACGGCGTCGCAGCGCTGCAATGGATCCCGGCTGCCACATTATACCGACTGGTTCCCGTTATGTTGACCCATCGCACGTCGCTGATGCCCAGACGACTGGTGTCGCAGTTCTGCCCGCTGTAAATGCACGGTGTTACATATATTGGCTGGTCGACCTGGCTGACGCGGAAGTTGGCAAAGGTTATGTTGCGCACCCGCCCGGTCCCGCTGTATGTCTTGATCCACGCCGCGTTTGACGAGTGCAGACACGTGATGTTGTTGAAATACACGTTTTCCACATAGTCTGGCTGCGATGCCTGCGACCCGATTGACCCGATGCACGCACATCCAGACTCATGACAGGTCACGTTGGAGACTGATACGTTCGTGCTGTTGCCTTTCATGGAGATGCAATCCTGTCCATGTCAGTATCAGCACCATCGTTCGTCTTGAGCCCTTCTTGAGTAGGAAAGGAGGGGGTTCGCTACAACCAGAGACCGGCTACAGTATCGTGTAACGTCGATTCAGCGCATGACTTACGTCTCCACAGGTCACTGTCCAGTTCGCAATGACAACATCCTTAGAGTTCCATGTATCAACGCCATCTGTATTCACCGTCGACCACTGGCTGTTGCTCGTACTGTTCATGTCCAGATTCGTCATGGTAACATTCTGACTATGCGCCACGAACGTGTGCCAGAACTGACTTTGGCGCCACGTGATGCCGTCCACCACCACGTTGCGCGCATTCCAGAGGGTCAACGAAATCGGTCTTCCATTCTGGTTCCCCTGATTGCGATTTTGATCGTACCACAACTGGCCGTTGCCATCAAACAGCGCCTTGCCGAATCCAAGGAGCCGGATGTCAGTCCCGCCCACCATCCACGCAGTGCTCCGCCCAGCGTACGTCACCGAGATGCTGCTGCGCAGCCAGTACTGGATGTCCGAGGACCACTTGAGCGTACCATGGATCTCGATCGAGACGTTGGAGAAGTCGGTCGTCTTCATCACCTGTCCGATGTGGAAGACGCCCTCGGTTAGTATCACGCGTCCGTTTTGGCCGCACTGCTTGAAGGCACTCAGGATCTGTGGTGTGTCGTCTGGATCTTTGCCATTTGTCCCGGCGGCTAGTGGTGTAACAGTACATGTACTCCCGTCAACTACCAGCGCGGCGAGTGCTGAACCACCCAAGGCGAGGAGATACAAAAAGCTTGGGAACATCATATTGCCTTTCTGTCGTTCTTTCTAAGGCTTTGCTGAGGGTTCTCCAGATCAAGAACGAGAGGTCATCGCTACTATGCGGACAGACCAGCGGTCATAAATAAATGCAGACAGGTCACATTCATGTTGGCTCACAATGTAGTTTTTCCGCTGGGTGTCACATCACTTCATAGCCAAGACTGCGGGAGAATTGCGAGGAGGCTGTTTCTGTACGGCGGAGCTCAATGAACAGTCGAAGGCTGTCGGTCCATGCCAACATCTAAGGTGGTGTTCGGCTAATGTGAGAAATAGGGCGAATTAGATTGAATTCAATTGGCTTTGCTACGGACACAAAATGATAGCCGGCACATGCCAAGAACTGTCGGCTATATCATTCCTCAGCACGTCGGCATGCGTCTAAGCTTCGATGCGTCTCGCAATCTAACGTTTTGATCCGGGACACATATTACACACACACATGGTATTCTACAGACAACAGAATTGGGATCAAGCATATCAATTTCTGCTTTGTATTTAAACAGGCGCTGCTGATATATTTACTAATCGGCTCGATGCACGCCCTGGCAGACTCTTTGCCCACGTGATGCACCACCACTCGCAAATATGTTGAAAACGGTCAAGCTTTACCTACTCAGTTGGAGCCGCCGCCCATTGAGGATCGTCAGTATTCACCTGGACCTTGAAACTGCCTTCTCCAAACGGCCACCCAACAAGTCCAATACTGAGATCAGAGCTTGCTTCAAGCTCTTTGGCTCGGGACTTGAGTTCGTCCACGTCCCAATTTGCCCATAGAAACTTGCCCTTCAAGAAGCGTGCTTCGGGGCTTGCGAGCCAGAGAATGAACCCCGCTGGCAACGAAGCTAAAATCAAAAGGTCAGCCTCGAGGTACTATCGCGGACAACTTTCCGCCTGGCATTTGATTGAACTCACCATCGTCTGCGAAGCCCATAGCAGCAACACCGCCCGCCTCCCGGTTCATAGCAGTGTCCACGACTCCGGGCTGGATATGAAAGACACTCATTTTCGGGTGTGCATTGGCCAGGGAATCCCAGAGCCGGACGACAGCCATCTTTGCGACGCTGTACGAGGCGAATCCGGGACCAAAGTTGACATGCGCAGCAGACGAAGACACGTTGACCGCCACTGCGTCCGGCGCTGCGTAGCGCAAGAAGGCCTGTGCAACCAACAGCGCTCCCAGTAGGTTTATCTGGACACCATCTATGAAACCGCTAGGGTCGACGTCACTCACGGGGCCCATGGGTCCTGTCACGGCAGCGTTGCTGACCACGACATGGATCTTTTGGCCGCCGCTGGCAAACTTTGCAAAAGCCGCGTCCACGTCGGCCTTCTTGGTAACATCGCAGGGGCTTGTGAAGACCTCGACGTTGGGATACTTGCTCTCGATGGAGGCCTTGGTGTCGAGCAGGGGCTGCTCCCTGCGGCCGAAGAGCGCGATGCGCGATGCGCCTGCTTGGGCGAAGTGGAGGGCGGTCTCTGCACCGATGCCAGTACCTCCGCCTGTCACCACGACCGTCTTGCCTTTGGCTGAGAGCTCGGGGCGGCTGGAAGATATGGACTGGTGCACTGTCGTGTGCCAAATTTTGGTCGGGGAAGGAAAGGGAGCCATGGTAATTGTGTTTATACGAACTGTAGATGATTGAGGAGGGTGTGATGGTTGTTTGGCAAGACACACATCTGAAAGCGGTTCATGGTCATGGTTATATAGTTGACATTGGGCAACTGCAATTCATCCCCATAGGCATAGGATTTGTGAAGCGGGGTTTGATTGTCCTGTTTACATGATACTCGATACATTTGTGCAAAACTGCTTACAATATCGTTTGGGAAGAGATGGGTTCAGAGTATGACTCTCGTCTGATGTATACAAAATGTTCCGCCCGACGCACTATACCAGATATGGTCAAATGGAAAGGGACGCTCGCGCTTACAGGGTGTTCCGCATACACCAACTAGTGCGAACCGGGCTAATCAACGCTGACAAATGTGCCTGATTACCTATATATGAGCGTCACGTCTCACGTTTCAAGGATCTACTGCTGCGGTACAATTTGAAATGTCTGAAAAAGAGGTGCAATCTGTTCTGCGCTGCGGGCAGTGCAATAAGCCGTTCGACAAGCGTGAGTCGCAATTCTTGCAGTTATCACGTCACAGCGTCCAATATACTAACAATGAGATTCTAGAGTCCACGCTGAAGAGACATGGCTACTACTGCCGATCCCGCAGAGTCGGGAATGCCACTCGGTCCAAAGCTTGTATTAGCTGCGCAAGGAAAAAAGTCCGTTGCGACAATAGGGAACCTCAATGCTCGAGGTGCGCATCTAGGGCCATCGAATGCCATTATCCAGCCCACGTGCCTGGCAGCGCGGCGTCAACAATTCGGCGCAGTGACGGCGAGCTGCGCGAATGGCAGCAGGCGCCGTCTTTATTTATAGGAGATTCGCAAGCTGCCACTGAGCGCGAAGATACGAGCAATGAATTCAATGCAATTTTCGATGCTGCGCTGTTCGCATCAAATTCAGAACTCACAAACGTCGCAGGAGACAGCTTTGACTGGATCAACACAGATACCAGCATCGCCAAGTTCTCGTATCAGCAAAGCAAGGATGTGACTGTTACCTTCCCGTCACTAGAGCCATCGTACTTGATTTCGCAAACCGCAGCGCCGCCCGAGTATCCAACAGTACAACTGCAGGAAGTCATGTGGTCCCCAAGCCTATCAATACCACCGGTACTAAGCCATACACCCCGGTCACTGATCCAGCGACCGACCATGAGGACTGGGGCCGAGAGAATCCGCAGCCTGATCTTTCACACGATGAAATCATATCCATTGATGATCCTGCACAACGACTCCGTTCTCCCCTACGTCCATGCGCACTTGGCATCATCCGACGACGAGGACGACGGCATGGAACCACTGAACAACTGCATCAGCTTGGTGCACATGCTCAGCCACGGAGTCCGGGGCAGTTCGAAGCTGTTCTGGAAAAACGTGCGTCAGGAATGTGATCGCTTGTGCGCAACGGTAAATCCCAGAACCTGTCCTGAAATTTTGGAGGCACACACACAAACACCAGAAGCTGATGATTGAAATATTAGCACATGAACATGAACAAGTGTGAGCTACTTGCTGCCATGCAGGCTCTTTCCATCTATATTATCATGAGGCTGGATCAGGGCGAGACAGATAACAACAACGTCGACTTCCTCATGACCGCGACAGTGACGGTAGGTCAACCTCCTCTTTTTTTTCTCTCTGTGTTAATAGCACAACGCCAATGACAGTCTCTAGGCATTAGCAAAACGCTTCAACGAAGTCTTAACCCTCGAAAAGCGAGAATTCTCCGGATCTAGCCGTGATCTCACTTGGAAGAGTTGGATCTTGCAGGAATCAGGCCGGAGGTAGGAACTTTCACTCGAACATGCCACTATCGGGAACGAAGATACTGATCCAGCCCACAGGATATGCGTGGTATACCAAGTCCTTAACCTGCTGGTATATTTCGAACCCGCGGCGCTGTGCGATAAGGAGGGCGGCTTCATGCTGGCACCGCTGCCGGCGCAACAGGATCTGTGGGAAGCAAGCGACGAGTTCGCGTGGAGAGTGGCGAGCCGGGGGGACTACGAGTTCGGGCCTCAGTTCGGGCTGACCATGAAGGGTGATCTAGTTAAGCTAGACAAAAAGTCCTCTGCCTACAGAGAGACGTTGCTGATCGACAAGTCCATGGAGGCTGGTCTCCAATCAGCAAGCGTGGCGCCTTGGGAGGAGTGGTGTTCGGGGATGGATAGGTTCGGTGGGCTTGTCATGCTTGCTGCTTCTTTGATGAGTACTTGATCGAGATTCAAAAGACTTCTTCGTTTCACCACAACTCATGAATACTCGAACGCTTTGAATTGTGATCTTAGACTTCTATCAGGAAGTGTAAACTCAACCGATATTTTCTATATAGATTGAAAGGCCACATTGAAGACTTCGACGACACACCGCGTCTTGCAACTTTAGATCCATGGTGCAAACACCATCCATACCCAGAGAGGTTTCAGCGCCGACTCGAACGAACAATAGCAAAAAGCTGCCTCGGAAACAACAAGGGGAAGTGACCAGCGAGGGGAGCCGAGTGTAGGTCCAGGGAAGTTGATAGGAAGTTGATAGGAGAGTACAACATCGAAGCCCGACGACTCGTGTTGATTGGCAAGCTTAGTTTGCTCCGGTTGCTGCTCCGGTTGTTGCACCAATGTATTCAAACTTCTGCTGCAGCATTGTAAGTCTTGCCGGCATGTGCAAGTTCGATACGGCGATCATACCTGATGTTCTCGGGGTTCTCGATCGAAGTTTCTGGTGTAAGTTCCATAGAACAAGTACTGATTGGGGAATGTTGATCAGTATCCCAACGATCGATATGATGGCCTCAGGTGATAGAGACATGGGTCACAGCGGTCAGTCCGAGAGATGTATTGGTGTATATTTGACGAGAGCTGCAAAGCAAAGCATGTGCGAGAAATTCTAGTACATAATCTTCTGGTCGATGCCGCCATACGGGCAACGTCTTTTACCTGGGAGGTGATTGCAAATTATAGTTATCGCAAATTATGGGTGTTACAATTTGGGGTGTTTACTAGCGTCGCTTCGCCCCGCAGTGCCAAGTGGCAGCTTCAAGTCAATGACCAAGTCTGCTAACAATTGTCGAACGCAAATTCTGGTCATGGCGAATCAACAGGTTGAGACATGGCAGGGCTACCGCGAATTCTGGAAACGACCGAGGTCACAGTCAGCCACAGAATCACCCAATAGGGAAATATCCCTAAATTCCAGGCACTATTTTCTAGGTTGCTGAGCGAAATGTCATTCGCAAATTTTGGAATTGTAGCGAGTCCAGACCAGGCACAAAATTTTCGGCCATGCCATATAAACAGCACCACATTTTTGGGGGGGTTCGCCATTGGTAGGTTTTACCCGTCTATGCAGCTTGGAACTTGGCTTTTTACATTTCTCTTCTCTTGATAATGGTATAAGCGACTACCTGACCATGGCACCTCCCAGACATTACCCTTCAGAGGGACGGGACATCCACAAAACAACCATTCCCGGCTGGTATTTGTTCGAAAATAGGAAGCTCGAAGATGTAATCTAGCTAATGAAAGGGAATCATAGATTTCAAGCTACGTTTGTCATTGTTCTCAGGACAACACGAAATTCTAATTTGACGTTCATAGAAGCAAGGCGCAGTACGTACGGAAGCTTGGAGTGCGCACATTCACATTCGAGCTGGAAAAAGCAGCGTGCCAGCGCTCCCTGCCAATAAACACCCAAAGGACCTTACTGATGACCTTGAATCTTCTTCGGCTGATAAGGCTCTTCCAAATACTTGATCTCATCCTCGGTCAAACTTTTCCCCTTCACACCCGCAGCTTCATCAAGTCGACCCAAGTTGCTCAAGCCCACGATCGGGATTGTCCCCTTCTGTATGATCCAAGCAAGCGCGACGTGGCTCATCTTCCACCCCTTCTTCTGTGCAAGCTCTTCAACTCTTTTGATGGTGGTAGAGTCCGCCTCCGAGACGGGGGTACTAAAAGGTGAACCCTTGGTTGACTCTTCCCGGACCGTCGCATCGGAGCCCAGCGGCCGTGCCAACAACCCACGGTAGAGCGGCGACCATGGGATCAGACCCACGCCGGTCTCCTGGCAGTACTTGTTCATTTCACGTTCTTCCTCGCGGTAGCACAGCGAGTAGTGATTTTGCATGCTGACAAATTTGGTCCAGTTGTGTTTCTCGGCCACAGATTGCATCTTGGCGAACTGATACGTCCACATGGATGAAGCGCCTGTCGCAGCAGGATTGTCAGTATGTATATCGCAGAACCTCAAGAGAAGTAGAAACTTATGTTATTTGGGAACGTACCGATGTAGCGGACTTTTCCGCTCTGCACTAAGTCATGCAAGGCCTTCATGGTCTCCTCGACTGGGACAGTCTTATCAAAGCGGTGGATTTGCAGCAGATCTATATAGTCTGTCTGCAGCCTTTTTAGACTGGCATCAACGGCGTTGAATATCGCAGCACGGGACAGGCCACCTTGGTTGATGTAGTCTTTGCTTTGCTTTAAATGCTCACCGTAGCGCATTTGTGTCGTGCCGGGTTGCTCTCCAACGACCCCGAAGCACTTGGTGAGAAGTACTAACTTGTGGCGAGGGAGATCGTACTTCTTGATGGCATTCCCGATCATCACCTCGGACACGCCATTAGAGTAGACGTTGGCTGTGTCCCAGGTATTGAGACCAGCATCGTATGCGCCTTTGAGGAGCTTGTTGACCTCTTCTTCGTCGTCCACGACCCATGGTTGCCAGTCCTTATGACCTACAATTCATCCAGAGTCAGTAGACCGTCATACACTACAATGAATAGGAAGCTTACCAAAGGACATTGCGCCAAGAATTGGCACGGAAACCCGAAGTCCACATTCACCTAGCTGAGCATACGACACCTTGGTCGCGTCGAGACTTTCCTGAAGAGGCTTGGGTAGTTCTGCCATCTTTGCGATATTGATGAGTGTTGACGCCTAGTTCTTTGTCATTTGTACGAGAGCATATTCAAACGGGCACGCATCTCCATTTAAGTATCATTTGAGTGCTCCGCATCACTCCCGGGTTTAAGGCTTCCGCCCGTGCCTTGCAACACTTTGTGCACTGCGGTGCGGGGTGTTGATGTCATTATGCCTCGTTTGCAGTGGTGCATCGTTATTAGGTTTCTCTTCAATACATCTCTACTGCCGAGGTGCCCTTAGGAAAGGTGTGCGAGCCGCTTTGATGTAGTACTACATAGATGACAGACCAGTGGTGGTCAATTTCGGCATTAACACCATTGAGTTACGCTCGGTGATAAACGGTCTTACTATAAGTTTCTCCGTTTAATCCCATCTCGTCACCGACTTTGCGTTATCGCAACCAAACAACCAACCGCACCCAAAGTTCGCATGAGGATTCATCTCATCCTTTTGGACATTTTTCATGTCAAAGCGATCGTCGAATTTCGACATAAGACAATGTCAACAAAGGAAGACTTCCTTGTCTCTGACGGCTGTTTATGCGTCCCCCCTTGGCGAACTCATGCCGCGCTGGTTGATTGTTGAAAGATAAGCGGCCCCACCCGTACTGGTTTACTCTCGTCTTTAATCAGACAATCAGAGCTCAATGTTCAGACGCCGCACGAGTGTATTGTGGCTCGCACTGGAGAAGCTGAGAATTTGTCGGCAAGACCCCCGAATTCTCTCTTGCCGCGATGTCGTAAACACGCTCATTTCGAATCAAGCCTCTCCACTACGCATCTGCGACGAAAGGTGTATCCCTGCTATTCTTTCGAGGCGCTCGGCGGGTTGAACAGAACTTCTTTTGATTTGACGTTTATCAAAACCGGATGTGTAATTGCACATGAGCACGTTGCTCATGGCGTTCCATGCAGCACATGTGCCGCTCATGCGTGCAGAAACGGCGTACCGTTCTCTATTATTGGTAATTTCGCTGTTCCATTCCCAAGTGAAATGAAAACCACGGAATTTTGACCTGTAATGCACAGGCTGGTACGACTGGTGAGCCAATCAGAGTTACACAGCTGTGGATGATTAGTCTGGGCTATGCTGTCAACCACGTGGGGTTGGGTATTTGGACTCTGAAAAGCTTATCAAGATTGACTGATGTTGGTGTTCTTGAAGGCAGATGCTGTGTCCCTTTGCTGCAAAGAGTACGAGCGAACCTACATAAGAGCTTACATACCTGATCATGCCCCAAAATCCGACTCAGCGCGCGCTACAGCTTGGAGTTTGTTTTCATTCAAGGATAACTTTTACGTTTGAGTGTCTGAATGTAGGTCCAAAAGTATGTGGCTGCCTGTGCATGATATTGTACAACGCAAAACGAGTTGAAGGATTTAGATAGGGCTACCGATTAGCGCTTATTATTTTCGCCCCCGATGTACAAATTGGGCGCAATGGATAACAATCAGCTTAGCGGTTGTCTATATTTGGTTATATTGATCCGTGCTGAACTTTCGAACCTGCGGGCATGATCCAAGGTTAGGCCATGGCACCACGCCGCCTATGCATCCGTAAGAGCCATCGGGCCGCGAAATCTGTAGCTGGCGCAAAGTAAAGGAGCTCCAAATAACCGCTATCTGCACCGCCAAACCGGGAATGTGACATAGTCGGTACAGAGATATTGCATCGACGACCTCTACAGGTATATAAGGATAGCACTTAGAATACTGGACTATACGAACCCGGCAGCTCTGAGGTTCTGAGTATTGCTGCACTTGATGCGCTGTCGTGCTTAGACGAGCTATCAATATTAGTCTAGACTAGTCACAAATTCCCTGCATTAGTGAGCAAATCGCGCTTCTCCCTCCCGCCCCCACCCATGAATCCGTCAGGATTCCACGCAGTATACAACACTTCAGAGTAGAAGTACCATTAATAGCTGCACTATCCAGAGATAGACTTTTCGAAAACAGGCATTTGGAGTACTTTCCCGAAGTCAAGTTATGCCTAGCAACATGCATGCTAGGGTTCAAGATTGCACCGAGTACGATTTGTCAGTAGCTCCCCATGGAAGAATTGCTTGTGAAAAAAGATCCAGCATCTTCCCATCGTTTATTTCTGGCGGAAGCTGCACTGAGATAAGACACGCCACGTGCACCCCTTGCTTCTAACTATGCTGTTGTCTGATTGCGCACGACTCGTGAGACGCATCGTAACTATTGGTCACACTTCGGGTCCACTATGCAATCCTCTGATTCCCATCCTAGTATATGCAGCAACACATCTCTTATGCAAAGGCCTGCATACGATGGCATCCAATGTCAGGGAATACTGCAATAATGTGCTCCGCCCTGGATTACCAAGACGCTTCTGGCGGAATTCCGCATGGCCTGATGCGTGATGTGATATGTGGGAATAATCCTGCTTATGTCTTTTTATATCTGGCTAGCATTGCCAATCTTGCCAATGTTTGCCAGTACTGCTGGCAATGTTACTCAGGTACAAGTGTACGCTATCTCGCTGTTATCTAAATAGCCATTTCTGAGGAGCCATCGGACCACAGAAAGGGTAGACACACTCAAGTAAATCTGATTGAGGACTCAATCAAGTGCTTCACAATGGCTTCGAAGTTATTCACAGCATCCCAAGAGCCGCCGAGGTCGAGTCCTCCATCAGAACTCGAAAAATGGCGTGTAAAACTCGGCAATCACTTCGAAAGTGCTGTAAGCCTTATCAAAGCTATCAGGCGGCCCATTGCGGATCACACAGATGGTGGAAAACCTCTCGACCCTAAGGAAGAAAGTTACTGGCAGAAGAAACTTGAGAGTACTATCGGAGATCTCGGCCACCTAGGTATCACGGACGTAAAAACGTTGATCGAAATGAGCACGAAGGTCAAGAATGGTGATATGGTTGACGACAAGCAGTACCTGATGGAAGGCTTAATCAAGGTATACTATTACGATTATGAAGACTACTGAACTGGCATCTAATAATCATCTCATAGGCTGCAGCTCAACTTCCACAGGCATCGATGACAGGTAATGACATAACGAGCAACTTTCTCACCACTCTTTGGAATGATCTCGAACATCCTCCCCAGTCGTGAGTGCCTTCTTATGACGGTTTCTGAACAGGTGTTAACGATAGGCAGCATGTTAGGTGAGAAATATAACTATCGTACCGCAGACGGCTCCTATAATGTATGGACTTGTTTATGATCATGATATATGGTTGCTGACTAGTATCAGAGTATTGCCAGTCCGTGCCTAGGTGCCGCTGGTTCTGCATATGCGCGCACGGTCAAGCCAACAACGATGCAGCCGGGTAGTCTTCCAGACCCTGGGGTCATTTTCGACAGCATTTTTGCTCGAAAAAGCGAGAATAGAGAGCCGCATCCAAATCGGATTTCCTCCGTTTTGTTCTACCTGGCTTCTATAATCACGCACGACATCTTTAGGACAGACCATGATGATTATCAACTTTCACAAACGTCGTCATACCTCGACTTGTCTCCACTCTATGGAGCTAATGAAACAGAACAAAAGACCGTCAGAACTTACAGGGATGGTAGAATACATCCTGACTGTTTCGCTGACAAGAGAATGCTGGGGTTTCCACCTGGTGTCGCAGTGCTTTTGATCATGTTTAATCGGCATCACAACTATGTCGTGGAAAATCTGGCTCAGATCAATGAGAACGGCAGATTCACTCCGCCCATCAGGGACAATCCTAAGTATCGAAGATATCTGCATCCCAGCTATCAGAGACCAGAGAATAAGCACAAGATACGCACATATGAATTGGATCTCCTCAAGTACGACGAAGACCTCTTTCAGACGGCCCGTCTCATAACATGCGGCCTCTACGTCAACATCATCCTGGTAGACTATGTTCGCACTATCCTTAATCTCAATCGCACCGAGAGTAAATGGCAGCTTAATCCCCGTATGCCACTCAAGGGAGTTCCTATGGGTGGAGGCAATCAGGTGTCAGCTGAGTTCAACCTTGTGTATCGGTGGCACTCAGCAATCTCGACTAAGGATGAAGAATGGACCAACAACATGTGGAGGAAATTGTTCCCAGATGTCGAAGACGTTACACAACTCACAGAAGGTCAATTCCTACACCGCTTAGTGGACTACAACACAAAACTCGGCGATGACCCTATGAATTGGCCAATTGCTGATGGACTGGCTCGGGACCCTGTGTCAAGGAAGTTAGCGGACGACGATTTGGTTAACATTATGACCGCATGTATTGAAGATCCTGCCAACTCATTTGGGGCCAACCGTGTTCCAGTGATGATGCGGGCGATTGAGATCCTAGGCATGAAACAAGCCCGTGCTTGGGGTGTCGCAACTCTTAACGAGTTCCGACGATACTTCCAGCTCGAGCCACACCGGGAGTTCACTGACATCAACCCTGACCCGGAGGTGGCAGACCAACTTCGGCATCTTTACGGTCACCCAGATCTTGTTGAGATGTATCCAGGTCTGGTTGCTGAAGCAGCCAAGGAGCCTAAGCTTCCCGGCTCAGGTCTCTGTCCGTCCTTCACCGTCTCAAGGGCAGTGCTGGCCGATGCGGTCGCGCTTGTTAGAGGTGATCGATTCTACACTACTGATTATCATCCAAAAAAGCTCACAAACTGGGGATATGCGGCAGCCAGTTTTGACCTTGACATAGACAATGGTTGTGTGTTTTACAAACTCTTCGCACGAGCTTTTCCAGACCATTTCGAAGCCAATTCAGTATATGCTCACTATCCAATGACTGTACCGAAGTATATGAAAACAGCTCTTCAGGACCTTGGTAAGGAGCGGCTATACAGTTACGAGCAACCAAAACTTATGTCACGTCCCAAGATGATATTCTCTCATGAAGCTGCCGAGAAGGTCCTTGGTGATAAGCTTATATTCAGAGTAATGTGGGGCGAGGCAATGCAGTCTTTTATGAGCCAACAGTCCAATGCTTTGGTGCTTGCTGGTCATGGCTTCGGGGATGACCAGTCGCGAGAAAGACTGACCGACGCCCTCTATGTTGCCGGTTGGGAAGCCGATGTCCGGAAGTTCTACGAAAAGACGACCATGGACCTTCTCAAGGAAAAGTCACATAAGCTGGCTGGAAAAAACCAAGTTGACATCATTCGTGACGTCGGCAACCTAGCTCATGTGCGCTTCGCGGCCGAAATGTTCATGTTGCCGCTCAAAGGCAAAGACCGGCCGGGCATCTTTGATGAACACCAACTCTATACGGTTCTCACTGCTGTTCTCGTTAGCATTTATCATGATTTCGATCCTGCCACATCATTCGGTCTGCATCAGAAAGCTCAACAGGCAACCCAAGTTCTCGGACAGCTTATTGAAGCCAACATCAAAGAGGTCAAGATGGGTGGGTACCTGTCAGGCCTTGCGCAATTGATATGGCCTAAAGAGACAACTCTCCAGAGATACGGCAAGCCTCTCATTGAGCGGCTACTTGCAAACAAGGATCTGGATATCAAAACTGTAGTCTGGGACGATGTACTAGGTTTTGTGTGCAGCATGGTACCCAACCAGGGTCACCTGTTCGGTCAAATGATTGACTACTTCATTTCTAAAGATGGAGTAATGCACCTTCCCGAGGTTAACCGTCTCGCCAGGTCTGATGTGCCAGAAGACTTCGATACATTGATGCATTATGTCCTCGAAGCATCGCGACTCAGCGGAGAGACCGGCGCTTTAAGAGAAGTTGTCCAAGACATCACCATTCAAGACAAAGGTCGGAGTTTAGATTTCAAGGCCGGTGACAGGGTCACTTTGAACCTACGCGCTGCATCTCATGACCCCAAGAAGTTCCCAAACCCGACAGAGCTCAGACTTGATCGCCCGCTGGAGTCCTATATCCATCTCGGTTACGGGCCCCATGCCTCTCTTTCCCAACCAATAGCTCGTGTGGCTCTGACTTCCATGCTTAAAGTCATTGGACAACTAGATGGGTTGAAGCCAGTTCCGGGACCTCAAGGTAGGATCCAAAAAAGAATGCAACCATTTCCTGAGGGCACTTCCCCGCCTGGACCTGGCAGTATTTGGCCGGGTCAGGGCCATGTATGGCGCGACGAGGATGTATCGTACCATTTGTACCTGACCGAGATGAGCGACTCGTACTTCCCGTTCTCGACCTGTAAGCAATCCCTGTCTCTCTGAAACTCCATGTTCATCACGCTAACACTGATCTTACAGCACTCAAAGTCATGTGGGACTCTGATGCAAAAGACTCGGAATGGGTCAAGGTGGATGAACGGCCCGAAACGGCCGTTGAATAACCTTGATGATATTTATGGTCGAAAACCTTTTGTTTCGCATTACTTGTGAAATTGCTTTCGAGTCTTGTGTGAACTTCAGTGAATTTGTGTATAGATAAATATAGAAGCTCCGATGTGTCCAATGTCACAGTTATGGACATGGTCTGCTGACCATTACAATCTCCTTCAATTCTTCGAAATTTTCTGAAAACGTTTCTCTTGAATGTTTATGATGTTTCTTTTGAGCCTCTTTCTCTTTGGGCTTGCGACGGATCTGATGAACTTTGGCTCACTACCGAAGCCGCTCTGGGTCCAACTCAACTAGAGATCGAGGGGACTCCACAGCTTAATATGTTCGGCGTTATGATACGACAGTAATGCATCAAACACAATCCAGAGCTATTTAGCATTGGCATCATTGTACTGAGAATGGTAATGAAAACGCCGGGGACACTGAAAGCAGCGAGAGCAATGATTCTTTAGATCTGAGTCCTATCCGCATCATCAACCTGATCTGCCCGTTCTTGTGCAACTAGACTAAGGCCATCACAGCGTATGCCGGATGTAGTGGCAATCTATATATAATTCTTCTTTAAGAGGCAGAGTAGTCAAGTATATATACAGCTTATATGTGCCTGTGATGGAGTAGACTTAAAAGTTTATTCAATAGTGTCAGAGAGACACCTTCATTCCTTTGTCCATTCGAGCAACATAGCTCTCATCAGTGATGGTATAATTCTGAAATGCAGCATAGTAGTATCGATCATACACAAGAAGGCTGTACGAGGACAGATCATATTATGTAAAGATGCCAACTCTTTATTATCACGTCTCGATAGGTGTCAATCAGGAAGGAGCTCGACCAGCTTGTCGAAGCCCGGTACGACTATCGCGTTTATCACGGTACACAAAGTGAGATGAAGGAACCTCAGAGATTATGGTTGTTGTAAAGGTACAAGCTCGCGAGCTGATCAATTTTATTTCAGTCGACTTGCCCCATACAGTGAGCGCTCATCTTCTAATAGCAGCTTTTGTGGCAACGAATATATACCCTGAGATTACCATCGTTCTATTGACTGTGGACCCACTGTTTTTGAATGTCACAGCTTTTATTACAATATACTTTACATAACACTAAAAATGCATTTAACAGTACCCACTGCATTGATCTAAGTTGCTAAATTGAGTTATTAGACTCGGCCAATAACGGCTGATTGTTTTGAAGCTGTGAGAGTGGAATTCAGCACAAGCCTCTGCGTTTGTGTTGTGTGTAGATCAGAGGTGATGGCGCCACCTCTCATGAATCCATCTACCATTCATCACTGACATAGAAAATTGATGAGAAAGTGCTACATAATGTCAATATATATATAAAATCATATTAATGTCAAACTGAAAAGGTTCTCAGGTACTGTTTGAGGGAGCTCACCTGGATTTCTGTAAAGAGACGTTTGGTTAGAAAGGTTCAACAAGTCGTTGGGGCTATCTACTACAGCTTTGTTTGCAATGACTCGTCGTCCGACTCGTTATCGAACAGTTCAATGACCCTAGAACAAGAAACACCAACACATCGAGTGAGGCTTCAGTGGGGTTGAACCTGAACTTGGCTTCTCCAAGGCCTACTATACCCCACAGGACGAATTGCCAAGCTACTTGGAGACGTCATTCTCTCGGCTGCATATCCTCGGAACGCTTGTGATTGGACGCGAATTAAACTCCAATCTTTTGGGTCTTGATCCATTACTGGTTCACCCCTCAGCTTACATCTTGTGCGAAACACCGACAACTGAGAACTTTTCTCCATGATAGGCGCCCTTAGCTACAATAGCGGGCATTTCAACTTGTGCTCGGAATTGTGAGTGACCATGTCCGATCAAAGTGGTAAGGGCAAAGGGCTGCCAGCATTGCCCCTCCCTAGCGCAATATCGGAAGACTATGTCGACTGCGAAGCATCCTGTGGCCTCAACATCCACATTCTCAAAGCCGGAGAGCTTGGAAAGCCGCTGGTGCTCTTCTGCCATGGCTATCCAGAGCTCGCATTTTCTTGGCGGAAAGTCATGCCGCAGATTGCTGAAGCTGGTTTCTACTGCATAGCCATGGATCAGCGTGGCTACGGCCGAACTACTGGCTGGCCAAAGAAATCATTTCTTGAAGTGAACCTGCAAGACTATCTCTTCACTAATCTCGTCCGGGATTTGGTCTGCCTAGTCTATGGCTTAGGCTATACCGAAGTCTACAGCATCGTCGGACACGACTTTGGCGCTGTGAGTTCGGCTATGGCCGCCCTGATGCGCCCTGATATCTTCAAGTCCACCATCCAGCTTAGTCATCCCCATCATGCACCACCAACACCAAGACTAGGAAATAGATTGCCGAACCAGAAGTTAGATATCCAGGCTGAGCTGGCAAAGCTGAGCCCACCGCGTAAACATTACAAGTGGTACAATTCGACACCGGAAGCCGCCCCGGCTTGGGAATATCCTCCTCAAGGTCTCGAAGCGTATCTCCGAGGTTATTTTCATCTGAAATCAGCAGACTGGGACAAGAACAAACCGCATCCACTGAAGGAATGGAGCGCCAAGGAGCTCGAAGTGATGCCGGAGTACTACATCATGCAAAAGAATCATTCCCTACCACATACGGTTGCAAAGAACATGGAAGGGGAAGACTTTTCAAAGACCGAGAAGTGGCTTTCGAAGGAAGATTTGCAAGTGTATTGCAAGGAATGGAAGCGCACCGGATTTCAGGGGGCATTAAACTGGTATCGTGCACAGACATCCTCGACCGTGGATTGTGCCAAGGACATGCTGCTATACGCTGGCCGGCGCATAGAAGTACCATGTACGTTTATCAGCGGGAAACAAGACTGGGGAAACTATCAACAACCCGGCGCTTTCGAGGGCTATGAGGATGCCAAAACTGTGAAAGAGGGCTGCTTCAGAGGGATGAAGCTGATTGATGGTGCCGGCCACTGGGTGCAACAAGAGCAGCCCGAGGCGGTGGCGCACGAGATTCTACGGTTCTTCCAAACATTGTGATACAGTCGAGGCCTTATGAGGCTTCGGATTTTGCATCACTAAGACACATTTCAATCTACACCGTGGGCAGGATACCGAGTCCCATTCATCTAACTACATGTTATTTATTCGTTTTCCTATGTTCCAACATTTTACCGTCGATTAGACGGCCGTGACTTCACTGTATGGTCTCTGTCCGTGTATTCATCCCATCAAATTCTCAGCTCAAATCTTCGACGAGGTATTCCTCAACTGCGAATAGTACAGGCTGGTGCTTCTCTTCAGTTGAATAAGCGCCTCTTATGCACGCAAAACATCCACCTTGAAGAGTTCATTCGTCAGCAAAGCGCTAAGCGAGCCGAGAAGTCGTGCGAAGAAATGAGCAGCGTCACGCACATGATCTCAACGCCATGTGTCGGCACCTTGAGTCGTGAGGTTGGTATCGTTGTCAGTCCCATAGTTGGCAATAATCTCTGATGTGCTGTTAAGGTCAGGGTTGCCAGCGTCCTTGTGAAGTGTTATATAGGTGGAGTGGAAATTTGTGGAACTAGCCGACAGTGGTAGTGGACTCGAGAGATTGGATGAGAGTAAAGTTGCTTGTTGCAATTCCAGCCATCTTGCTTCTAAGCAATGCAGGCTTGGCGTTGTTGTCTATACGCTCTCCCTCTCCTAGAGTGGTGGATATCTTACGATGCTGCTGCCATTCACTCGTCGTGCAATTGGGTTCAATTGACATAAGATTAACCACTAATTGCTCATTTACCCAGTATTTAAGACTTGACCAATCTACAACCGCGAGAACCAAATTTCATGCGTGAGATGCATAGTTGTAAGGGTTTATGCTTGAGAGGAACGGCACAACCGGAGGGAAATGATGATGCAGATATTAATTGAAACTTTCATTATAATTTGGTACTCCGAATGGCGTCGACAACTGAAAGTTGTTTCGACTTTGCTATCTGCAACGTACCGAGCCGCTTTGACAGCCACGACCAAAACGAATGGAATCTGTGTTTTGTGCACTGTATCTCTTTTGTCCGGTGATCCTTAGTAGCCCTCCGGAAATGATAGATCTGGAAGACTCCTGGCTGCTGTCGAAGTGCATATTTACTTTCACTCATCGTCTCTACCAGTATATCCAGACCCACGAGCCTCCAAAGTCTGCTGAATACGTTGACTCGGTAGCCATTTATCTGCTGGGATAACCCACCAGGAGATCAATGCCAATACCGTGGTCGCGCCCATAATGACAGGTGCATAGTTCAGCGTGTCCGCCGTGACTGGGAAAATGTATGGAGAGTAAAGCACAGCCACAACCCAAGCGTTCCAGACGACCGCGATAGCCTGGAAAGGCTTGCTAAGTCTTCCCAGGCTCCAAGCCGGCTTGGGAAAAGTATTCGGCGTCAGTAGCAGCCGGCTGAGCGAGATGAGCCCATAGGCTGCGGCCGATGGCACTCCGGCAGCTGAAACCAGCGACGTGAACGCCACGGACGACGGAAGGATCGTGCAGGTGATGACCGACGCGACACCCCAGACAACCAGAACGGCATTGCGAGGCTGGCCATCGACGACCTTGGAGACCCAGCCAGACCAGGGTAGCACGCCGTCTCGGGCCACAGCAAAGACCAGACGAGAAGCCGCAAGCACAGCGATTGCAGTATTGAACCAGAGCGCCGCAATGCAGATGACATTCATAAAAATGTGACCCCCGTCGCCCAGGATGACAGCATATAGCGGAACAAACGGTTGTGGGGACCCAAATGAGAAGAAGGTATCGGCGTCGGGTACACAAAACAAGAACAGGATGACAACGATGAAGCCGCCGATGCCGCTGACAACAGTACTCCAGAAAATGCCACGGGCTGCTGTTATTGCCGCGTTCTTAGTCTCTTCTGCGACGTGACCTGAAGCGTCGAAGCCAATCAAGATACCAGCCGTGGCCAAGAACGACAAGCACCAGTTCCAACCCTCCGAAGCTCCAGTTCCGTTGTATGTTGTGAGAAATGCGTCATGAGCCGAACGGAACCCTATGGTCCTACTGGTGGCAATCGGGAGCCAGATCATGTTCAAGACAAAGTCAAGGACAACGAAAGAACTGGAAAGATAGAAGATCCACTTGAAGTAGCGAGGTGGGAGAAGATTCCAGATAGCGGCCAATGCGAGCATGATCTCGGTCAGGATCCACTGGACAGCACGGAATTTGACGTCTGTGGTGTCCGTAGGAAAGTCCAGATCAAAGACCACGATTTCAGACAGCATATAGTTGACAGCGCCTTGGGTATTGCTAGCGCAGAAAGTCGTCCATGCCGTCGTACTCCACCAAGCGACCACGAAACCGAAGAGGCGCCCATAGCGAGGACCGCCAGCCTCAGCTGCCCACATGTAGATGGATCCAGCGAGTGGTAGTGACGAACATATCTCTGCTATCACAGCGGCGGTGATAAAAGTGAAGACACATGTTATAATGAAACTCGTCCTATAATGAGAGTTAGACGATATTTTGCAGCCATAGCTTCTCACAGTCGCCATACCAGTAGGCAAGATTTCCACCAGCCGCTATACCGGTCGCAAATGTGACGCGGACACCGCCGATGAAATAGAGAGCAGCTAGATCGAGTATCAGCTAGTGCCTTCTTTTGTATACGATTGACTACATACCAAATGTAGTCGAGAAGTTGTGAAACAGATTAAATGTTCGGTGAAGAACCTGCACTCCAACTTAGTATGGCATGTTCGAGCGAGGTAGTACGCAGGGGGGCACTGAGGCGCTTACGGGCTTGTAGCCAAGATCTTCCTATAAGAGTATGAGCATGATATCAGATATCTCAATGCGACTCAACGTACCAAGACTTTGGAATCTGTCGTATTGCCAGTCGGCTCTCCTGAATTGTCTACCAGATTCTTGTCGGCAGACTCCTCAATGACCCCTCCACGGGAACCCATTGCGGCGATGTGTAGAAACGGTTTTCAGAGAGAATGCACTACCGTTTCAATCGCCTGGTCCTCAAGAAAACATTCGCGTCCAAAGACAAAGCCTCATGCGACCGTGGTGGATGACAGCAGGTATGTATTTGAATGATAGCCTTGCATAGTGCGAACCCACGAGCCAAGATTTGTTAGCCGCTTCCAGTAAGCGCCCCAGCACGTCATACGGCCGCTGTAATGGTGTTATTCAGCAGCTGTTCAGATGCACACTATTGGCCAGGGTCCAACGGTTCAGCGGTGTCTACAGCGGAGACCTCCGGCCTTGAAACATATTTGGTTTAAGCTGGGAAACAAGCATCTGTACAGTAAAGTCCAATACACCATTTTTTGTATCAATTCACGGAATACGATGAATACACAGTTCGATCCGTGCATGGCACCTCAGGATAATGAATTTGATCCATTCAAGCAGAGACTTATTGAAGGCATTGACTATATCCTCAAAGGGGTGCGACCAATTAGACACAAATATTTGAACCCTAATAGACCTGGGAAAACCCATGCTCAAATCGATGGATCCCTGAGTGATCTAGCTGAAAGCAAGTACTTGCCCGAAGCTATAGCGATCACGCAAGATTCAATATTGTGAGCCTCGGTTCTGCTTTTTTGCATGACGGCTCAAGGTGTTACGCGGCAGGCAATGGACTCTGCAACTAGATATGCTGCGTGGACCAGGGGACGCAACGGCTCTCTCGACTCCAAAACTGAGTGCAGACATATTCCATAATGAAAGTAGAAAGTGACCTGCAGCAGATGTTCGTCGTGGTTCCTTTTCTACTGCCGTTGGGCGCCGTGGTCCTCGTTATCGCCGTGATTTTTGTGAGTCTTTATCATTCCAGTATTGTGTGCTCTGGTCCTGACTTAGAGACAGAATATAATCCGGGAGCGATTGTCCTCCCTTTCTTCACTTCCGAACGCCGGAATTGGAGCACCGTACTCACGGCTGTTATGGGCTTTTCCGACAGAGTTCAGGGGACTGGTCACGTTGGATCTGCCAAGGCTACATGAGAAACTAGGTGACTTACCCAGTACGACCATCGAAATGACCAAGCATCTAACCATCATCAGGACCCTTGGTTCGTATCGGCCCCAACGAGGTATCATTCTACTCGCTAGACATCTACGATGCCGTGCACAAGGTGGGCAGCAAGTTCAAGAAAGACCCGCGAGTCTATGGCGAGTTCGTGCAGGGCGGCAACCCAGCACTGTTCTCGATCACGTACGTGCTCGTTGTACCAGAAGCACTTCCGGAAAGTTTGCTAAAAGGAACAAAATCAGTGACCCTGCGGAACACTCGAAGCGCAGGAGGCTGATGGGCCAGCTGTTCAACCGCAGCCAGATGCACAAGCTCGAGGGGCTCATGCTGCATCATATCAGCTCTTTCGTGCAGCTTCTCGCGAAATCAAAACACGAGGTCGACCTGACGCCCGCGTGTCGTGCTCTCGAGGCGGACATCATCTGTGAGATATGCGCCGCGCCGCAGAGATAATGCCACACTGACACTGTCACGTCCAGCCGACTTCTCTTTCGGCCATACGATCGGGGCAATCGCCGCCTATTCCCAGGGTGAACAACTTACTATGGTGGCTAAGAACGACGAGAAGGCTACGTGGATGCCGTTGGTGCGTATATAAGAATATCTTCTAGACACAGGCAAGAACTTGCTGACCTGTCGCAGCTCGTCAGTTTCCCGGGCTTATGTGATCTGTGGGAGAGGCTCGAACGGCTCGTCTTCTCCGCGACCGGTATCAGGACAGCATATAGCAGCACGATGCACCAGTTTCACTCCGTAAGCAACAGACCGAGGCCGTACCCTCGAGGTCGCCATGGCTAACATCGATATCCGGACAGTGGGCCGAGTCGAGCTGGCGCTCAACCCTGTCAATCGGCTCGGTGCAGGAGAAGCCACCTAGCCCCTTCCCCAACCTCGTGGCCACGATGGTAAACTCGGGACTTCCGCCACTGACGGCCCTGTCCGAGGCGACGGAGAATCTGGGACCGGGAACCGATACCACGTCGGCGTCCCTGGCTCATATCCTGTGGGCACTGGCACACAACTCGGCCTTCCAGGAAGAGCTCTTCAAGGATCTCGCCCATGTGTCGTTTTCCTCTGATATGACGACTCTGGAGAATATACCAAAGCTACGAGCCTGCGTCAAGGAAGGAATCCGGTGGACCGGCGCGGCGGCAGCGATGCTACCACGCATTGTGCCTGAAGGTGGAGTTGAATTCTATGGGCATTTCATACCCGAGGGAGTACGTCTCTTTGGCAACAGTAGACTTTTCTTGTCTGGTCTTCGGTCATCTTTGCTAAACCGTGTTCTCGTGACAGACAGTCCTCAGCTCCTCGCCCATCTGGTATCTCCACGACCACACAGCCTTTCCAGGTCCCAAGGAATTCGATCCCTACCGGTGGCTGACCACCGACGGCCTGACGACAAGCGAGGACGCGCTGCGCGATAGGTTCTATATCCCTTTCTCCAAGGGCGCGAATGTTTGCATGGGAGCACAGTAGGTTTTAGCACATGCCCAGTCCGGGACAGAAAAAGAAGAGCAGTAAAGTTATCTGTCTCCTCAGAACACGAACACTAATTGAAGCCGTCGCGGATAGTTTCGCCTACTTAGAGCTCTACCTCTCGCTCTCCCAAATCATCCGCAATTTCCGCATACAAGTCCACCCATCACTGCAGCAGCAGCAGCAACAACACCCTTACTACTTCCCTCAGGGAACATCACCACCGCCGGCAGCGTTCTGGAGAGTCGGCCTGCCGGCACGGCGGGAATGGGTCGCTGCCGTGCCGACTGAGCGGTTGGCGGTGACGCTACAGCCACGAGCATGAAGATCATGTATTGCACGTATGGCTTGGAATTTTGTGGCCCGCAGGAAAAGAACGGGGTAGACTTTTGAGGGCTGTCGGGACTATTTAAAGAGTAGAGATGCATCGAGAGAAGGGAAACAGTTTCGATTTCCGCAATTGGACATTCTCCTTCGTTTTGAGCGTGAGCAGCTAGATACCAAACGCAATGGACCAATATTGCAGAGTTTGATCATAAAAGGGGTGTCACGAGCCACAAACGCCCGGAGTACAAACACAACAGTTTGGGTGCAAATCAAGTAAGCCGCATTGCGTATAGCTCATACATGCTGCTTGGTTGGCAAATTCCAGAGTCACAAAAACATCAAAATGAAGTAGAGAGAAGAATATCAAAGAAAGCCAACCTATGCGCCTAAAGCAAAACGACGAATCCTTTTTTTCCTCTTCCATGTATTCATGAGCAGTACCGAAGATGTAAATGCGACCAGCTCTGTCATCAAAACCTTCCGTCTCAATCATACATGCATCGACCACTTCCAACATCTTTACGGACAAGGATTTTCATGAACACTTCCCTGGAGCGAAACCGACTCGCCACATCAAAGTCCATAGCAACTTAGTTGATATCGAATAGGGGCTTAAGTTTGACAATAAGGTGCCACTCATCATTCGACACATCTTTACGGTAGAACTCCTTTAGTGTGTTGATACTCTTACGAGAGATCATACTGTAGAGAGTATCCGTCTCTTCAAGGTGTCGACCATATATGGGCTGGTTGCTGCCCATCTCAATCTTTACTGCGACCGAGGGCTGTCCCTTCTTACAGACCGGAATGGCCTTGTGATCACGCTCGATAGAAGTACTACAACCGCCATTAGCATCAAAACATCATTAGCATGGAGGGAGAAACTTACACTCTACCAATGGGCACGATCTCCTTGCCCTGAGGACCGTTTCTGACGGCTGCAATCGGGGTATTGATCTTCAGGCTACCATCGATAACATCGACACCGACGACGATGGGGCCTGTCTTGTTGAATACAGCAACAGTGTTGAGGACACAAGGGAAAACAGCAAGCATCTTGGACTCTTCCTTCTTCTTCTCAAGCTGCGCGTCCATGTGCTTGGTGAAGTTGTCGAACAAGTGGTAGATGATGTCGGCCTGGAAAATCTTGATACCCTGATCATCGGCATAAGCCTGCGCTTCTTTGTCGATCTTGACATCGAAACAGAGCATGACAGCGTAATCTGGCGACTTCTCTAACATGGTTCCACACTGCATAACATCACGCTTGAAGACTGGGCCAATACCAACATTGGCAACTGGAATCTTGCAGTCCTTCAAGAAGTCGAGCAAGGCCTCGAGGGAACCCAGGGTTGATGCTTGTACCGAGACACCACGGCCAGATCTCGAGACACGGCTGAAGAGAACGTTGAGATCAGCCTCAACCTCGTCAATAAGGTCGTCCTCGTCGTCATCAGGACCGACAACCAACAGCCGGGAACCTGCGATGGCACCTTCAAGACCTGGCGCACTAATCTTGACACCCATAGCGGCCTTGATCTCCTTGTTGTGGACATATTGAGACTTGACACGCAATTCTTTGAGCGGCGCAGGCGTAAGAATTGCACGGATATTCGTCACAATAGCACCTTCGGTACCACAGAGAACTATTCGGTCACCCTCCTTCAAGATACCGTTGGACAAGATAACATCAATAGTCATACCGAAACCTTCGATGGCCTTGACTTCAAGAACAGTAGCCTGGACCTCGGATAGGTACATGAGGGAGCCAACCATCCTCTCCTGAGTAAGCTGGAGGATGAGCTTCAACATGTCAGGAATACCCTCGCCAGTGTGAGCTGAAGTGGGGATCAAAGACACATTTTTAGCCATGGACTTGTTCTCGTAGAACAACTCGGCGTTGAAACCCTGCTCGGCGAAGGCAACCTTGGTCTGCTCCAGACGGTTTTTGAACTCGTTCTGCACGCCCTTGTTCTGCAGGGCCAAACTCTCCTGGAAACCGTTGTTGGCAACCATCTTCCAGCCGTACAAACGATCGATCTTGTTCAATGCGACGACAAAAGGTGTCTTTCTGTCGCGCAACAACTTCATCGATTCCAGTGTCTGAGGCTCCAGACCGTGCATGATATCGACGACCAAAATGGCAATGTTACAAAGAGAAGAACCACGTGATCGCAGGTTGGAGAAGGACTCGTGACCAGGGGTATCAATGATCAAAAGACCAGGCACCTTGAATTCGAACGCGCCATCACGGTTGACAACGGCGGTCTTCTGCTTGATAGCGTCGACAGGGAAGTATGTAGCACCAATCTGCTGGGTAATACCGCCTGCCTCGCCCTCCTGAACGTTTGTTTGACGAATCTTGTCAAGCAACTTGGTCTTTCCAGTATCGACGTGGCCAAGAATACAGCAAATGGGAGATCGAAGATTGTCGCTGGATCGCGCAGCCAAGGCGGCCTGATGTGCTTTCTCACGGCGCTCAGCAGCCTCTCTCTTGCGTTGCGCTTCTGCTGCTTTGGCAGCTGTCTGTTCCTCGTCATCTGAAGACTCCTCTTCGGACTCTTCTTCAGATTCGGAGTCTTCGTCGTCCTCGTCGTCATCATGTGCCTTGGGTCTCGAGGGGAGATTCTTCGTCTCCGCCTTGCCGTTTGCGGCCTCCTCATCAGAGTCGGCATCCCAGCTGTCCTTGACGTCTTCGTTGTCCGAAGCAGCCGCGGCCTCCCAGTCGTCATCAAGGTCACTTTCTTCCTTGGCGGCGGCAGCTTTGGCGGCAGCTTCGGCGTCGGCCTTCTCCTTGGCAGCCTTGTCTTCTGCCTCCTTGGCGACTCTCTCAGCTTCTAGCCTTGCTCGCTCGGCAGCTTCAGCAAGTGCCTTTTCCTCGTCGACCTAATCACAAACACCGTCAGCCGGGTTCTGCCTACATTGTGATGGTCTGTAGCAGAGATACTCACCTTGGTGTTCTTGCCACGTTTCCGGTTCTCATAGACAGGTTTCTTCTTCTTCTCTTCACCGTCTTCCGATGGGCCAACCTTGATACCAGCGTCGAGCATTTGCTGGAGTTTACGTTCATTGCGGGCCTTCTCCTCCTTTTGGGCCTTGGTCATAAACTTGCCCTCCTTCTTGAGCTGGTCGATTCTCTCCTTCTCTTTCTGCTTCTTAGCAGCCTTGGCCTCTTCTCTTCGCTTGATCTCCTCAATCTCCTCTTTCTCCAATGCATCAATGCGTGCCTTCTCCTCGGCTTCTGCCTTCTCTTCGGCTTCGCGTCGTTTCCGCAGCTCTTCTTGCTGCTTCTGGAGGGCTGCTAGGTGAGGAGGCAGCTTCTTGCCCTTCTTGCCGGCGGCGGGCTCTGGCGCGGCGGCCACGGGAGTTTCTTTCTTCTTCTCTTCGACCACGGGCTTGGCGGCATCAGCTTTCGGGGCGGGTTTGCCGGCGGTCTTCTTGGCAGCCTGTGCATGAATATGTCAGCATGTGTGGACTTTGAGGACATGTTACGACGGTAAGAGTGTTGCGGACCTGCTCCTTCTTTCTCTGCTTCTCTCTCTCCTTCTTGAGCTTCTCCTTCTCAGCCTTGGTCAGGATGCGTCCGTCCTCACCGGCCTCGTCGTCTCCGGCAGCAGCCTTGGGGGGCGGCGCTTGTTTGCCACCCTTGCCACCCTTGCCCTTCTTGTCGGGCAGGGCGAACTCGTCGTCAATGCTGGCCTCGACGGGTGCTGGAGGGGCGGCGGGCTCCTCTGCGGGCTCTGCCTTGGGCTCCTCAAAGTCGCCGAGACCCTGCTTCTTCCGCTTCTCGCGACGTCTGTTCATCATGGCCATGAGACCAGTGGCGGGGGTACCGTCTTCGTCATTGTTGTCGCCGTTGGCAGGGGGTGCGTCATCGCCGGTGGTGGGAGGGATGGACTCTCCGAGCTCTGCTTCCCAGTCGTCGTCGCCACCCTTCTTGCCCTTCTTATTTTTGGGAGCCATGGTCGGTCTCTTTCCTGTGCTAGGCGAAGAAGAGGAAGAAAAGAAAGCAAAAAGCGTGAACTACTTGTGGGGACTGGCAAGAGTTCGGCGAAGAGTGAAGTTTTGCAGCTCGGAAAATGGAAGGGGAAGCTGCAGAAAATCTTGTTCCTTCAACAAATAAATGGGAGGAAAAAGTTCTGGATCCCAAGTAAATCCTGGATTCAGTTGGTGGAATCGGTGGCGGGTGGAAGGTGGATGTTGGAGGGGTTGATTTATTTAGTATTAGTCTGGCTTGGTGCTCCGTGTGTCAACGTCAAGTTAGTCTAGCATCACGCCGAGTGAGTTGGGATTGAATGGAAACTGAATCGGAGCTGGGAGTGAGACTGGACTGAGACTGAGACTGAGAACTGTGTGGCCCGTTTGAAAATGTGGGGTGAGGTGAAAAGATGAACTGGGAAACCATCTTTTTTTTATTTTTAAGTCCGACCGTTGCTGGGCAATAATACATGGTACAATAAATGCCTGGTCAGTATTCTATACATTGCAAGGTCGGAAGAAGAAAACACTCTCCACAGTCACCGTCACAATCACAGTCACAGCTACAGTACTTGGACTGACTTGAGGTCAGTGACCCATCATGGAGCGCATCCTAACTTGCTCGGCTCGCATCTCGAGCTCCTCTTCGGTTCTTTGTCCTGCTGCCAAACGGGACGTCCATGTGCAGTTGAGTTGACCCATGGCAGCAGGCACGGGCACAGGCACGGACATGGCGGGGCAATGACGCTTGCTCCATTCGGGGCATGCCAATTTGTCTTGCGAAATGCTATTATTACTTGTGCGGGGCATGATGCCAGTGATGAACCCAAAGTTCGGCTGTTTATGTAATGTGGATGGCCCCCCAAAGTGCTGTAAACCCTCACAAATATTTCATAACGACATCGCCGTAAGGTCTATGTCATCTTGTATTTTGCCACATCCTCGAATAACTGCTTCACTTGACAGATGTATTTCACTTGATAGTATCTTCCTGGTCTTCAGCTCCTGATCTACGTTTGTTGTTTTGGCAGCAGAGCGCTCCACCCGCTCCTTGACAAACAGGTATAATAAGTAGTGTGGGAAAAACCCCCCAAAAAGGGGGATTTTGAAAAAAGAAAGAAAAGGAAGAAAGAGAGAAAGAAATAAAAAGTAGCATAGGACAGCTGCTGCATTGCCCCTTGCATCTTCTGCCCGTATCCAGCCCCTATTTTGTGGCTCTGGCTTTCTATAGTACTGGTGCCAAGTAGTGTTCGAGTATATCATATGCGAGCTCGATGTACTCTGACATTTGCGCAGGACCTCCCATCGCCTGCGTGTGCTTGCCGCCATCAACTGCTTCCAGCAATTGACGAAGACGAGTGGCGTAGGCTGACTGGGATACTAGCTCTTCCAGCACTCCTTTGTCATAACACCGCTGAAGAATGTCGCCGTCGACTTGCATGTTGAGCACCGGCAACGTCCTCGGTTCGGGATTGCATTCTACTTCCATCAAGTCATCCTGGCTGTCTTCCTCGGCGACAGCATTAGTAGCTGGCGGAAGACATATATCAGGTCGTGTCAAAGCAAGATTCTGAATGAATCTGAGGAGTCGCCAAGCATCAACATTCAGGATGGTGAAATGCCGTAATGACCCGTCAATGCCAACACCCAAGATATCGGATCCATCTGCACTGCTTTGTATCAGTCCAAATCCTTTTGATTCGCGGTTGAGGGCGCTCCATTGCGGTCGGCATTTGGCCCTTATAAACCGCCTCACAGATGCCTGCAGCTCGGCGTGAAAGATTGGTTTCAGCGGCGCATCGCCGCCCGGAGGCGGTGCCCACATTCCCCATAGTCCACAATAAATATCCGACAGAAGCGTAATTCGTTCAAGGTTGCCCGTTCTTGAAGTATCCACTGCTTCTATGCAATGGGAGGTGCACTTAGCACGGTCGTCTGAATAAACTCTGGTCATGAGGTCACTCTCAGGTGATCCCGAAAAGTCCACAATCTCCAGAGAGTGTTTGGTCGTTACCACGTGTAATTTTCCACCAACGACTTCCATCCATGCCGCTGGTGATGACAGTTGGTGCTCTTTAACCTGTCTCAACTTCTTACTCTCAATATCAAGTATTTCGTATAGTATAGTATCCCCACTGCACAGTATCAGCCCGTGTGTGTCGGTTGTTATCGAATAGACAGGTTTTGCATAAGCAGGTCTGATCATCTTGGTATAAAATCGGATCCTGCGAGGCCCGTCTTCCGAGACTCTCCTATCGTCCTTTGTTGCCATGATAATCAATATCCGACCCGTCCCATCTGGGGTGCGTACCGAAACTACAATGTAGCCCCAGGTGTTGCCGTCCTTCTGATAAATCCATTGTGTGAGGGCTAAAATCTTGCTTCCGGGCTCTCCCAAACCACTGATGTGTTGAACTTCATCGCCTGAGATGTTTGTGGGCAAAGACAAGTCCTGGCCAGTTTCAGGGTCGATGAAACGCAGCGCCGGCCGGTCATCCTCCAGAACCGCAACAACCAGCGCTTTCAGCCTATGGTAATACATGATTTTGCTAGGCGTCGCATGTAATTCAAGGTCGCGTGGTACAGGCTTAGGCGTCGCCTGAAGCTCCGCTATATATACTGATGATCCTGAGACAACAGCCAGCGTTGACCTTCCTGCTACCTGTGATAGATTTCGTCGCATTCTACTGACCGCATTGACATTAGGCGATGGGCCATTTTCTGAGATTGCGCCGGTAACCCAAACACGGTGCCTTTTCTCAAAACCAGACTTCTTCCTCTTTGATGAATTGGTCAACATGAAAAGCTGTGAGTCGCAACATACAAACAAAGATGCTGCTTCCAAGCCTGTGCTCATAGGAAATACCTGAGCTGCTGATGATCCAAACTTGTCCCAGGCACCCTGGAAGTCCATGGGGTCTTCAGGGCCCAGATCCAGCGTAATGATCTCCCCACTTCTAGTCCCGGCGCACAAGGACGGATTCCCACTCCCACCTTCGAAACAGATGATGCTAGTGAGCGGTTCAATCAATGGTAGGTTAGGAATTGTAGCAATCTCGAGACGAATCGGGTCGACTTGTTGCCTCCGTGCGTGTATAGGACATATTAATATTAATGGTTGTCCTGCTTCCCAGACACCAGCGAGCAAGACGGTTTCTTCTGATAGTTTTGCGAGTGCCACGCATGTCACTTCACCACCGACTTTGTATCTTGCACCTTGATTCAGATCCAGACCATCCACACGCACAGTATTGACGCAAAAGCCTGAGTCGGAATAAAATGACAATGCCACGATATCACCATCGATGGCTGAAGTAGTGATTACGGCTCCGAGTTCTCCATCAAGGAGCTCGTGGGGGAGATGCCGTGCACTATTACGTGATTAGCGAGGGAACACAACAACAACAACGACGACAGTCAAATAAGTAACGAAGTGCCTGCCTGCCGGCAACAGAAAGATACAGACATTCGTAAGCCAAAGAAAAATCCACTCGGGCTTTCCGTTTTATGCTGCGCGGCACAATCTGCAACAAACTGTTGCGGGGCAGTTGGCCGCTCATGTTTGTCGTGTATTTGCTAGATGACGAGACAAAGGCCGAGGAAATCATTGCGGATCTTACCTGTCCTCTGGAGAAATCACAGTAACGGAACCCGTTGTGACCTGAACAACAGTGCCCCCGTCAATCTCCAAGGCAGCTAATGTGGTCGATGACAAATCATATGGCACCTCTTCCTGGATCTGGGGCTCAGCTTTGGAAGTGTCAACGTTGACGTGGAAGACATCAGACCTGTCAGGGAAGGCGACAAGAAGGTAAAACTCGGCATCCGACTCGCTGTCGGGGCTGTCGAGAACCCAACATTGCTTAATGGGATCTCCACAGTCCATTTCCGGGCCAACTTTTGCCTCGAAACCGTATCTGAGTTCCACTATGGTTCCAGTTTGGCCGCGACCAGAGCAAGCGAAAATGCGATCGGATTTCAGAAATATACCGCTCTCTGGATTGCCACGAGTTCTAGTTCGTGAGGGCCTCGCATCGAGTCCCACATTGGTTGAGGTGATGTCGACTGTAGGTGACCAATTTCGGATTGTTCCAATATTTCTTGGTGCTTCTCGTGGTTCGGCACGCCAGATTGCGCCTGGGCCCGAATTGCCCCCCGTGATGAGGATATCTGCGAACGGATCGTACAAACAAGCAAACGCTGTGTCGATGTTGCACTCCACCTCTTCCATAATAACGTTAGTCAAAAGACCGTCTGCTGCAGTTATCTCCAAGAAATTGAGGATTCCGTCTTCTCTAGCTAACCAAATCGTGTCATTGTCGAGATGATATTCAGGCACCCGCCACGGGCGGCTCCAAGCGGTCCAAAGAGGCGCTCTTCCACCAATGTGGAGTTCAGTTCTGTCATGTTCTCCGATGTCAACCTCAGATGCTTCCAGAATTCCGTGTTTCAATGTCGCCCAGAAGGCCTGGCTAGTTTCCGTAACCATAAGGAAACTTTCGCGCACCGTGGAAGGAATGACCAACAAAGGCATTTGATAAGATGGATCAAGCAGCCACCCAACATTTGTCTCTCGCAAAGCTGCACCCACGTCGTCTTCGAGCTCCCACTCGTACCTGTGTAACCTGGAACTGCCCCTGTATATCAGGATCAACGCAAGGATAATCCTTTCCTCGCTGTCCACGCCAGGCGAAAGAAACTCCAACTTGTGAATCACTCCCCTGACGGCTCGCGGATATGGTAGCCGCTTGATCGGTCGCAAAGGTAGTCCTTGTGCATGCCGAGAACCAAGTATTTCCATTGACTCCAGACTCCAAACTTGGAAATGAGTCTCTGTACAGCCCAAAGTAAGAAATCTTGAACTCGGGTCTACGGCAAGGTGAAAGCCAGCCGTCACGAGGCGCGAGTCTGGTATCTTCTCGCTGTGCGCGACAAATCTCTGACCGCCAGTCCTGCCCTCATCAAGATATAAAAACACCAAGTCGCCACGTTCGAGCACAAGTGCTAGAAACTGTGGAGGTAATCGTGCCCGAGGCGGGTGTGCATTTTGCATTGGAGTGTCGCCTTCACTTTTGATGTGAGGCTCCTCTGTTCCACCTGCATAATGATTCGTTGGACGACCAATAACGCAAGCATTCCGTATGCGTGACCCAAAATCTTGCTTCCTAGCTACATCTTGTAGCTGGACATCCCTTCCAAGTTCGCATATTTGCACAAAGTTATCCTTTCACATGTTAGCGCAGTCCATCTTGAAAGTCCCATGAGAGGATGAACGACTTGTGCTTGCAATCGCGATGACTACTGAGTCCTTGCTGTTCCGAGTAATTCCGTAAGCTTTCAGGCTACTTAGTAAGAAAGGTGCGAGGCTTCCAGTTCCTGGTGATTGCAAATGATAAAGAAGTCCATGGCCATGGCACAACTGTGCACTTTTGGGACTGCCGCCTGATCGGATCCACATAGCCAAGGACATCAGGCCATCACAGCAGCAGTGCATGTTTTGGTTACACTAGGTTTTGGAGTACTTACCCCTATAAAGGCAACATCGTTGTGGCGGGACGACCTCAGCTGCACGGGCAACACCCAGCGAAAAACTGGACTATCTATAACGGTCCGCGTCAACACGCCGTATGTCGGTGGCATAGAGGAAGGCCTTCTGAGTTTTGGCTGTTGAGGCGCAATCGTCTGCCTGAATAGTTCTCTCGGTTCGAGGGTCCGAGTCACCCATTCGCCATTCTCAAAAACGCTGGTCTGAAGAGCCATGGTAATTATGATGGACCATAGTGTGCCAGGTCGTATTTGATGTAGCGATCAAGGTTCAGATGAGACTCGTCAGAGGCGCAAATTCTTTCGTGCTGATGGTTGTACAGGGGTCCGGGGCTTGCAGACGTGCGGTTCCAAGTACAATGCGGTAGATAGGTGACCAGATGACTCAGAATATTGAGGCACGAAGTTGAATGGATCTAGAACTTTCTCGTCATCTCACAAGGCAGATGCCGGCCTCACATTTCAGAAAGTTTGTGGCAAGCTGTCTTGACTGTGAAATAGAGAAGTGCCGAGAAGACGAAATGCTGAGCAGTCCAAATTCATTTTCCAGGCAATAGGAACTCAGGTGTGTTCATGGATACTTTGATTTAGTTTATTTCAATGAGGCGCCGTTGGTGAGTTAGTATCAGAAACAACCGTCCTGCCACGAAAACCGAGATGGTTCGATCGATCGTCGTTGCCGGTTTGGCGTCGTTCGTGGGGCTTTATGCGGATAATTTCCTCATATGGGATCAACGTGAGTAGGGCTCGTGGTGATGCCTTGCCAGCCCCTGCAAAGGTGCCCAGGAAGTGAATTAGAGTTTGATCGTGCGTGCAGTAAGGGAGAGCGACCAGAGAGTGTGAAAGAAAGCATTCATCGATCTTCGGGTTGCTTTAGGCAGGTGTCTTGCAATATTAGGCCTGCGATTGACCTGGCCTTTGAGCCGGTGAATCAGCGGGTTGAATCAGAAATGTGCTGCGGGGAATATTGCATGCAGCTACTCTAAGTTATCAAGGTACTGTGGATCTTTGGCGGCTAGAGGGCTGCCCAGTCGTGTGGATATTTCCATTGGAAATCAAGTGTTATTTCTACCGGACAACATGGCGTTGAGCAATTGATTTTGTTTGCGAGCCGTTATGTTTGGCCCGAGAAAGCCTACATCTCAAGTCATACCTAAGTACTTAGCGCCATAAAGCCACTGCATGCTAACTAACCTACTGGCTTTGCATGGGCGTGCAACATGAGTTTCGTTGGCCCTGATGTCTCTCTGCTCTGAGGAAGAACGCAAGCAGTGGTTGCATGTCATATCACCATTTTGTCCAAAGTTTTGTAGCGTCAAAGGCTTACGTGATAGCAAGACAAGCACTCATACAAGGGTGTTGCTTTTGTTGAAAGGTTCTCCGCCTAGACTAGGAAGTAACTGCACCGCTTTACTACGCAAATCTATCAAAAGCCGCCTCCCAGTTCTTACTTAACCTAGGTTAGTTGCTTCATCCGCCATGTCCACGTTGTTGAGCAGATGCATATAAAAAGCAAATACACACACGCACTTGCTCATGACAGAAATGTTAAAACCCAAAAAAAACTTCTGGTGGCTAAATGAATGGAGCTGATCCAGGGCTATGGATTACACACGATCTTGGTGTGAGATCAGATCTCAAAGTAACCTCTAAATTTCCCGACAAATTATCACTACGTATCAGTCTTTTCTCTCGGGTAAATGTCGCCGTCAAGCAGCGCCCTGACTTCTTCCGAATCCCCCTCGAAGATGCGGTCTGGGATTTGGATGGTGTCAATGCATATCTATTTTCGAGTCGATCTTGGAGCCTAATGGAGGTGCGTCTGCATCAAGGGTAATCTGCAAGTATTTCTGCCCGTCATTGTTGACACCCCCACGACTCGGTGTAGTATAATCGTGCCTTTTGACTGTACCCGTGCATCGGAGACTTAAATACCTTGCATACGAGTCAGCGATCCCCAATCTTGAAACGACAGCACAATGCATTGTGTCCGCATGGAAACCCAGAGTATGCAAGCACCAAGTAGCCTGTATCCATTATATTCACCGCCAGACATTCAATTCAATAGAGGCAGGCGTGCGCTCGAGAGCCAAAACCGTAGAAGTGAGGTGTATGCGAGGATCACCATGGCAGATACGAACAACAGGTCCAACGCGAGCAATGCCAGCGACAACGACTTCTCATGAACTGCAAATCATCAACAACTAACTAAGCGAAGGGAAGGGAAGATACGCAAACCTCGAATCCGGGGAAGGTGAATGCGAGCGGCACTCCATGTTCTCACATGTAGGCCCAACCTATGTATCTGCATCCGCATAACGGTTTTAGAAAGAGTACCCCTACCATGTGAAGTGCCTGGCCTGGCACCCTGCCATGCAAGCCATGAATTATTTTCCCGGTCCACGGGACAATCGACTGTAAGAAAATGAAATAGAGACATGTTGGAAGGTGACAGGTCAATTACTATGTACAAGGCGGATGGTGCAAAGATCCTGGATCCCTGGATGGCTGGGTGCTGGGTGCTGGGTGCTGGACCTGGGACCTGGGAATAGCCCAGCTACTCCAGTTTTCCAACAGTAGCTTTTTCTAACAGGCTTATAGCGGAAACTTACAGCAGTTGGGCTCCCAGCTCCCAGGCTTGCCAGGCCTGCCAGGCTCGTTGCCTTGCTTCCCGCCGACCCACACAAGACCTAACTTACATATGTATATGTAGGTTAAGTTACAGTAGCAACCTCAGTTAATTAGACTAGGTTAGCCCAGGTTTAAGTCGATGGATCTAATCCGCGTCTTTGTGCTTGGTGCTTGCAGACGCGAAACTCGCCAACTGCGTCACACCTCCTCGCATTTGTTCCCATTCACAAACATCAAACTTCAAACTTCGCATCGCATTATTCGACCTTGTGTCTACGTAAGTGTGTGAGTGTGTGTGTTTCGCTTTGATCGGCTCACCTACTTATTCCACCACCAAACCGCACATGATCACTAGTCTAACCGACCGACCATCCTTCGGAAGCCATCTTTGTAGCAAGCGACTAAGGTTAGAGGAGCCTGCATCGTCAAAAAGCAAGCCACAACGACTCGACCTAAGTTAGTTACATGCCCTACGCACCGCCCTCGACCACTCGCTGAGCAGCCAGGTTGCGTCACACACGTGGCTCAGTAGCCACCATACCACTTCTAGAAGTGTGCAAAGCCAGAGAAGCCCCCGTCGGCCTGGACTTTGTCTCCGCGCAGAGCTCCATGAGCCATGAGGTCAAGCATCCATTGATCAATCCCGATACACGACAGACACCATACAGACAGGCCCTGGGTCAGCTTGATAGCCTCGCATGCCCTCAGCCACCACTGCAAGTGACACTCCGACCCCCACTCGCTCAAAACATCTTGAGAGGGACGCTGGCGCGCAAAGCAACCCACAAGAGCGAATCATTCGCTACTCTACGGCAGGGGCTGCAAGCCGGCTAGCCAATGCTACTGCTGTAGCGTCTTAGCCACACCACGCTATATACACCTGGAATATCAGGAGCTATCTGAGGTTACCTCGACCTGCCCTCAGGCCGACGTGGTCAATATGAGTTGGGAGCCAGCTTTAATTGTAGATAAGCAAGGGAAAGATCCTCAGCACCACAGCATGCCTATTGAGGCGCCAGAAGGGGTAAACCCGTCGCAGGATGCGGGGACATACGAGAAAACCGTGGCAAAGAGTCTTGTCATTATCGATGCTTGCAGTCGTGGTGACATTGATGATCTCAAGAAGCTCGCTGTCAGTGAAGGGGGTTTCCTCTCTGATGCGCTCCGAAGCCGAGCTTGTAAGTCTGATCGTTCCGGACACTCTTGCGCGATGGGGCTTATAGCAAGATTACCGCAGGGCCTGTCCTGCTTGGGGTTGCACCTCGAAATGCGAACAGTTCAGACAGCAACGACGCTGTCCCAACCTCCCGGTCAGCGGCAGAGAAACAGCAGAGTCTTAGTCTTGAAACCCCGGGTATACTCGATGGTGAATGGGCAGACCTCCCACGGCATCAAGACGAGGACCAGGTTCGTCTAGATGTCGATCGAAGCTTTATTTATTACCCGAATAGTACGTAGAGTCTCCATGGTCACCGCTAAACCTTGACCGGTCCTGTCGATTTGGATACCTTGTAGCAGCCCCTCGATTTCTTCACACTGCTGTGTCGTACAGCGCTAACCTTGGCCTGCTTTCAGACCAAAGTCAAAGTCAATTAGATACGAAAAAGAGGGAGCTGTCAGACCTCATCACCGAAACTCTGAGGCGGCACCCCTACCTTTGCTATTTTCAGGGCTATCATGACATCTGCCAGGTCTTCTTACTCGTGCTTCCGCCGGAGCTCCGGGCAGGAGCGGTCGCGCATCTGTCAGCTCTTCGGATAAGAGACTTTATGCTGCCCAATTTGACCCCAGCCATCGCGCAACTCCGCCTCATCCCGGATATTCTCTACGCGGTGGACCCAGCCCTATGCCGGCACCTGTCACAGACAGAGCCCTTTTTCGCCCTGTCGGGCACCCTGACCATGTACGCGCACGACATCCAGTCCTACAGCTCGATCGCGCGGCTGTTCGACGCGCTCCTGGCTCGGGAGCAGGTTTTCAGCGTCTACGTGTTCGCGCAGATCGTGCTGAACCGCCGCGCCGAGCTCTTCGACACCCCCGACACGGAGCCCGAGATGCTGCACTCCATCCTCTCCAAGCTGCCCCAACCGCTCGACCTCGACGCCCTCATCACCGACGCCGCCTCCCTCTTCCACAGACACCCGCCCGAGGCACTGCGGTCGTGGCGCGGCATCTCCAGCGCCAGCGTCATGAAGACGGCCCGCGACGTCAAGGTCTGCGCGGCGCAGACGCTCGACGACGGGCATCGCTTCTTCGAGAGGCAGCTCCGCGAGCTGCAGTGGGCCGAGAAGAGGGAGTGGATGCTCAAGACGGCCTGGGCCTACCGCAGGCCGGCGAGGGGCGTCGCGCTCGCCGTCCTGGTCGGCATCGCCGCCGTATACTTGCGCAAGTCCCCGACAGCTTGGGCATACCTCGCCGCTGTGTGGTCGAGGCTAGGCTGAGAGTTGCGCCACACGACGGAGGTTGCGGCGGCGGGCTCTGCCACGATCTTTGGTCATCCTTTCGGTAAGCGGAAGGCACCCGCTTCTCAATGCGAGTTGAAATGACACCAATTTATATGGTATTATCTCACCAGAACAAGAAACATCTTACATGAATTACAACTACCTTTGGGATACACCATAGAAATGAAACAATAAAGGATAGAAGAGAAAACAGGCCACCGCGCCAAACACTGGACCGCGAATGGCCCGGATCCACGGTACAACCATGGGAGTCATGGGGTCTGCGTCGACCTGTGTATTGAACGACAACAAAAGTTCATATTATGGGCAGTATGATTGTGGGACAACAGAGCGGCACTTGTTATTTGTATAGAGGCATTGTTGGAGTAAATACCTCACAGAGCGAACAGATATACCCCTTTCTCGGAGTATTCAATAAAGCCTTTCTTCTTTTCCGTTTTTCTTTTCCTGTCTCCAAGTATATTCTTATCGACCAAGTCCCAACCGCACACCACAGTTCGTCCTGGTGCAATCAAAACAGTGGGAAGGCCAAACCACAGAGACCCCCCTCAGACCTTCGCGGCCCTGGCGGCGGCGGCAGCAGCGGCAGCAGGCACCTCCTCATCGAGCGGCAGGACGTCGGGTAGCGGGCCAACGGGCGTGATGGAGTAGGGATTGATCTGCGTGTGGCTCTTGGTGTAGTGGTTCTTGATGTGCAGGAAGTTGGTGGCGTCCCTGAAGGCCGCGTGGTTCCAGTACAGGTTGCGCAGCCAGAGGTGGATGGCCGGGTACCCGGAGCGGATGTCGCGGATGTTGCACTTGAAGTGCTGCACGTACACTGGGTCGAAGCGGATGATGGTGTTGTATCTGTTGGTCGGGGCAAAAGGGTTCTGCGTCAGCTCGCGGGCTTCGTGGGACAGGAAGGGGGGTGGGGGAAGAGATTTCTTACACTCTGATGTCCGTCTCCGTCAGCACGTCCCCGAAGTAATAGGGCCCTTGCCTTTGGCCAAGTGCTCCTCGACGCGGTCGAGGGCGCCGAAGAGGGCCTTGACGTTCTTCTCGTAGGCCTCCTGCGTCGTGGCGAACCCGCTCTTGTACACGCCGTTGTTGATCAGGTCGTAGGTCCACTCGCCAACCTCGTCGATGTCCCCGCGCAAGCTCGCCGGGTACAGGTCGATGCCGGCCTTGTCCGCGGGCAGCTGCTCGTCGAAGGCGGTGCCCAGCATCCGCAGGATCTCGGACGACTCGTTGTTCACGATGGTCTTCTGCACCTTGTCGTACAGCAGCGGCACCGTGAAGCGCCCCGAGTAGTCGGGCGACACGCCAAAGTAGATATCGCGCAGGTGCGTATTCTTCTCGTGGCCGGGAACCGGGTCCGGGGTCACGTTGATTCCCTCGGCGTCCTTATCTTCGGGGGTCGGGAAGCGCCATCCTGTTTTTTTTTCTTCCGTCAGCCTTTTTCTTCTTTTCCCCAATGCTCTCAGGGAAGAAAGAAGGAAAAAAAAAAAGAAAAAAAAAGACCACCGCCCAAGACTATTACTCACCCTTGTCGCCCATATGCCAGTGCACGACGGAGAAGCTGATAAACTCCTCGAGCCCCTTCAGCTGGCGCACGATGAGCGTCCGGCATGCCCACGGACACGCATAGCTGACGTAGAGGTGGTAGCGGCCCTTCTCGGGCGGGAACCTTGCGCCGGGCTCGGCCGAGATCTGGTCCCGGAACGTGCTGGTTTGGCGCTTGAACTCGCCGCTCGTGTCGCCGGGCTTGACCCAGTCGGTGATCTTGCTGCCCTGGAAGCATCGAGTGTTAGTGAGTGGATCTCTGCGTCTGCTGCTGGTCTAGACAAGGCTTGTGATAGTACAAGGGACATCATGTCGGTTGCTGCTTTTCTCGCGGCCAAACTGGGCTATGTGGTACTTACCATTCTGACCTGTGTACTCGGGTATCTCGTGATCGTAGTTCTATTTCCCGTCTCGGTTTCTGGCCGCAATGAGGGTATTGCTTTTACCGAAGATGTAAAGGCTCTCACCCGAGTAGCTCTGCGTACAGGGCCAGTCCACAATGCAATGGGGTTCCGGATACGGCTATAGAATCTGGCGGCACGTGGAACAGGTCTGCAGTTCATGGGATTGGATATATCTCAGAATGAGGGGTCCTCGTTTACCAGCGCGGGGTATCACGGCGTTCTTATGTAGGCACACATGAGAAGAAACGGCTTGAGATGGAAAGCCCAATGATGCACACTTACAGTGCAGCGACCTTGCCTCGGGCCTTACTCATCATGGAGCTCTGGTCAATGATCTGGTAGGCCAGTCTTTGTCATGGTTGTCCATGGAGACGCAAAGCTCATGTGGATTTGACGAGAATCACCAATCGTGACATAAGGAACTGGAACCCCACCATCGCGGATGTGTAAGTCATCACTAAGAGCCCTTGTCAGCAACGCTAAAAGAGCCGCTAAATGGGTTGAGGCTCTTTAGTGCGAAGGACACAAGACTTACAAGGGTCCAGCAGCGAAACATTGGCGCACACAACAAGATCTAATTGTCGGGACATGCCTCAAGGCCTCACAATTGTCTAGATCATATCAAAACTGTAGAACGAGAAAATCATGCAGAAAAGTATTCCGTCTGATCTAGTTGAACGTGAGCGAGATCTATTCTGTGACCACCATACTGTATGTTGCATCGCAGCCCGTCTTGAACAATGAGCCCGTGGCCCAAGCAAATATATAATCCTCATCGTCTTCCTCAACCAAGAGTCAACTTTGTCGAAGTTGCGCTAAATCATCTACCGTACTTTCACCTTGATGTACGGCACCTCGACGTCCTCCTCATCCAAGTCTTCCACCACTGTCTCAAAAATAACCTCCTTCTGATGCTCGGGTACAGGCTTCTTGGAGACAAGCTCAACCAGCTTACTGAGCTTGAGCCCCATTCTCTCCTTGAGCTTGGCAGCAGGGAAGAAGGATGCGTACAGTAAACTCACGCCAGAGCTCAACATGGTGATGCTGAGCCCCCGCTTTTCAAAGTCTGCGATGAGCTCCTTGAGTGTGATATCGTTGACCTCGAACCGGTCCCAGATCTTGTCCAGCGTCACCTTGCCATTAGGTCCCCTGTATTCGACCTTGGGGCTTGCGATGGGCTCACTGAAACCAAAGAAGGGCAACGCAAGGTTGATGAAACCGTTCTTGTACTGCTCAATATCGGTCTTGCCGTCAATGATCTTGTAAAGCTCGAGGACAACAAGACCCGTCACCAGCGCCGTGGTTGTGGCGATGGCGGGGATAATCTTGCCAGCAATAAACTTGGTCTTGTGACGATCAGCAGGTTCGATCTTGTAGTTCTCGGCACGCAAGTTGCTTGCGGCGGTAATGAAGTCGATGTGGTGGTTCGTGTCATCATCCTTCTCGAACTCGACAGGAGTGAGCTTGAAGCCAGCCATCTGACTAGGAGGTGGTATGCTCTTTGCAATATTCTCGAGTTCAGCACCGTCATCGAAGCTGCTATCGTTTGCGCTCGGATCCTAATTGCGTTGATTAGCATTTGTTCTAGCCTAGCCGTAGCAGTATACCAACTTACCGGGTCAGTGTCCTTCTCTTGGATCTTCACCTTGGAGTCGGGCGAGAAATCAGGGACGATCATGTTATCAAGGACCTTGAGATATGTTGCCTTGTCGACTCCCTTGGTGTTGATATTGTAGTTGAATGCATGAAGGTTTGCGGCGGCCACAATGAAACCAAAGTGAGTCGGATTCTTGGGGTCAAACTTTAGCGGATCAGGAGCACGCTTCGGGCCGGACCAGAAAGGCTGGCCTGACGAAGACGTAGAGTCCTTGGGAAAGTTGTATAGAAGCTGCTGGATCGCGTTGTTGTACTGCTTCTCAAACACCGTACGAGCCCAGATAATACAGTCCTCGAAACTCAAGGGCTTGTCGGCTACCAAATAGTCACGAATGGTCTCCAAGGTCGCCTTCTCATTCCCACCTTGCTTGAGTGTTGACTCGAGATAGTTGGGTTGTGTCAGGTAAAGATTAACGGTTTCCGGGGACTTGACGAACGAGGTCTCGAAGAGCTCACGAGCCCAAGCGATGGTGTGGTTGATGTTATTGGGGAAACTTCTCAAGGTGCACATGGGAAATGATTGCTCGGGGGGGTCTTGAGACGAGGAGTATGATTCTGTGAGTTTAGGAAGAACCACTTGTGTGTTGCCCTTTGTGCCAAGGGTACCACTCTCAAGTAGAGGCTTGTGGAAGAAAACACAACGTCTGTCGACATATGTTCGCGCCTCAACGTTGTCTAAAGCATTGGTCACGCCATCCAGGCTGTTCCAAAACTCTTCGTTGAAAGTCTCCTCGGTCTCGGGACTCACGCGATCCTTGAGGGTCACAATATGGCCATTCAGGTCGGGGTTCATGGCCTGCACAGCGGCAGCGGCGCAGTCGCTCTTCATTCCACCAACGTCCTTGGGGCGGAACAAGAATTGCCGGTTGAGGTTGCTCTTCTCGATCGAGTCCATATCAGTAATGGTGATCTTGCCCTTGGGACCGACACCGAGACCGATCATGGCCCAGTTCTTAAGCATTTCGCAACCAATAGCTCCAGCTCCAACAAGGAATTGCCGGACGTTGCCCAACTTCTCCTGGTACTCCTTTCCGAAAACTGCGATTTGACCATCATATCGTGAGCCGACAGGCTTGCACAGCTCCTCCGAGCGCTTGGTGCTGGTGGGAAGAGATTCCAACGAGTCGAAGTATAGCCATTGCTTGATAGGGTGGAACTTGCCCGAGACAGCCTTGAGAACCTCCTGTGCTGCAAGGCCACCAAAGAGGGCGGCGATTGGATTCAAGTCACCAGTCGCCTGGTAGCTGAGTTCCTTGATCAGTTTCTCGTCGATCTCAACTTCGAGCTTCTCCTTCTCCACGAATGCCTTGGCGGATGCGACCAAGACTGTGGCATCATCCTCGTTCATTGGACGGGGATAACGGTTCTGAGCCTGAGCGAAAGCGTGGAGGGCCTGGAAACCGACATGTAATTGCTGTGGCCTGTCGAACTTGGCGAAGTCGGACACGAGAAATTCAGGGTCCTTGATGGCGGCAGAAATAGGCTTGAAATCGAGAAATTTGGGCATCTTGACCTGCTGGTAAAGACCACCTCGTTTGTATTGTCCTAGTCCAGACACATCGCCGATGGAGAACGTATAGGGTCCCTTGACGGTGACTTTTCTCGGCTCGCCGCCGTTGAGGGCTTCCATACCTTCCACCTCAGTGAAAGTGATGTAGTCGCCATCTTCCAGTCCATGTCTCGTCTCGTCCAGAGCTGATACAACACCCTCCTCGTCGATGCCTGCCACGATACCGTTGAGTGGGTTCTCACCCGTGGAGTCGAGGACGGTGAACTTTTCGCCGAAGTCGCAAAAGATGGAAGCGAAGAGTCCAAAGGTGTCGGCGCAAACGACATAGATGCCCTTGGTGTGGCAGTAGTCGCCGATGGCCTGCTGGAGGTGCAAGGGGGTATTTGTCAGCACGACGACCTGGAACTTGTCGAACTGCGAGGGGTCGGCGTCCAGGCCAGACGACTGGTGGACGTGGACAGGCGTGTAGGCGTTGAGTTCGGCGACTCGCGGAGCTGTAACAGCGTCTCGGGGCTGGCCAACATCTTCGGGGTGCAAGAAGAATTGGGCTGAAAGGTCACGGATGGCTACGGGTGCGGGATCGTAAAGGGTCAGGCTCTTGACACCAGCAAGAGCAATGTTCTTGGCGATCTCTACACCGAGGCCCTTCAAACCGACAATGAGGATATTGGAAGCACCCATGCGCTTCATGGCCTCGTGTCCGAGCACATAGAGTTGTCTGCTGTATAAGGATTCATCGATCTCCGTGTTGCCAACGACAGAGTCGTCGACCTGCATCCGGGTGACCAGCTCGGTTCGCGGGGGCGTCGTCATTTTGGTGTCCTGAGTGGAAGGGGGAAATATCAGCACGGGGACATGCTTCTGCTTAACCCAGAAGACCAGGCGGGCGGGCAGGCAAGGAGGAGGGGGGAGAGGATGAGGAGGGGCAGACTCACCGTCATGGTTCTCTTGAGGGAGATGGGCGCGTCTCCGTTTGAGAGCTTACGCTTCCCCAGCTTGGCTGTTTTACAATTCTCAAGCTCCTAGCGCTTGAGAAGAGGATGGGTTGAGGATGGTGTAGATGCGGTGTGGTGTTGGTATCGCAAGTGTGAAATGCCAGAATGTGGCTGTGATGTTGATGGGTAGATACGGATCCGTAACAAGACAAGTTTGTTTGAGGGCAACTTGAAGGCACTTGCCACTGAACTGGAGGCAGCGGCAGCGGCAGCGGCAACCCCACCAACGAGGCTGTTGAGTTAGTTATTAGCTGGGCTGTGTGAGGGTGCTTCAGTAATCCGCCAAATGACGTATCGAAGAGCAGAGCGGGGTCTTGTGGGAGTCACTATGTAGTTACTGTGCGTGTCGTCTATTTATGATGCAGTACACTATTTAACATTTCTTGACACGGGGGGAGGAGGAACTAAGGTTAAACAGGTAAGATATCTCATGCCTCAGGACTCGCCCATCGCAAAACCGTTTCTAGAAAGAGCTCCTTCCCGCTTAACAAGCTTCATGCACTGCGACAGGACAAAACGGAGAAGCTGCTGATTCAGCCTTAACAAGAACTACTAGCGCTAACGTTGGGCGGTGGCGGGGCAGATTTTTATGATACTGTAATTACCCTGTATGTAGGTTAGTTACCCGTAGAGCCGATATTATCAAGTGGGTACGATATAAGGAAGCTTGCTTTGCTTGCCTTATTGCATCCTTCTTGACAGCCCAGGTTTCTGTCTCTTGCGTGCATCGATGGAACTGCTTTTACGAGGTCTTTGGGATATGCCTTTTCATGATCTTGATCCGTTTGGTCAGATTTACCCCGACCAAGCCTCTCTTCGGCATTTTGTGCTTCATGTTTTGGGCAATCTCATTTTGCTGCGGTTCCGGAAAGACACGCAGAGAGGGTATCACTCGCTTATTTTCTACATTCTGCCGTGGAACTTTTGTCCATTCATCTTCATCATGTTTACTGTGCTAGGAGAATTGAACTGCGCGCCACGCAATCATAACCGAGATCAAAGTATGAATCCATTATGGTCCCACGCCCCAAGTTATACCCAAGTTGTGCCTTTGCCGTCAATTTCGCTGAAAATGCAGAAAGGCATATGTAAATACCAGCGTGATTTTCATCCATGGCATGCCATAATTAATAATCCACAGTGTATTTACCCTTAGATACCAAAACATTAAATGCAGGCTTGTCCTCCGGAAACCTGAAACCTTCCAAAGGCTGGTCTTAAACTGTGATGCGGCAATGGCGGACTCTGTCGTAAAGACCGTGCCAATCATGGGTATCATCCAAACATAAATTTCCATTCCATGCCATATGCCAAATGAGTGTGAGAGTCCGTAGCCCTTTGATGCCGCGCCACTGTGATGCTGATTAAGGATTGTCGTGAAGTCTATGAAGTCGTATATTCGTGGGAAGGAGTGACGTGAATTAGTTTTTACATTTTTAAATCCAAACATTAGACGCGAATAATTAAAGGCCAAAAACAACTGCCATGATGGCGAAGATCAACGAGCTTGAGCCGGCCGCTATAGACAGACGTGACGCAGCAGCTTGAGCCACTGTCGTGGTTGCTGAACTGCTACTGCTGGTCGCCGAGCCTCCTGTGGATGATCCTACGCTCGTGGTTGGCGTCGTAGATGTGGGGACAGTGCTTCCGCTACCACCGCTGCCCGTGGCCGACCCTGTGATAGCTTGCGTGGACGATGTTGTGCGTCCAGAACTTGTAGTGCTCGAGCTCTCACTTCCGGAACCATCAACACTTGTGGCGCTACTAGGAGAACTAACTGTGCTGGTGGTGCTTCCCACGGATGCACCAGATGAAATCCCCGATCCGGCAGAAGAGCTGCTGGAGCGTGCCGTTGTACTGCTCGAGGCCACTGAAGATGTTCCTGGTGAGTCAGTCGTAGCACTAGAAACGCTCGAGGAGACAGTCGTAGCACTAGAAACACTCGACGATACCGTTGTAGTCGTCGAGATTGACGAGGCGCTTGTGCTGCCGGGCACACCAGTGCTGTTAGAAGAGCTACTAGTAGTGGCTGACGTCGAGGAAGTCGGTGATGATGTTGAGGCTGTGGTGGTAATTGGTACGATCGTGGCGCTGGTGATGGGTGACGATTGACCAACACTGGTAATGGGAACACTGGTTGGGCTCTCGCCTTCCGCAGATGATGTGACTGGATTGGTAGTATTGGTTGCCTCACAATAGCCTATATACTGCCCAAACGTGCTGTCAAGGTATGTCGAATCCGTGAGTTTCGAATTGTTTTTGTTGATGGAAATGCAGTTGTCGCAATCATTGTAATACTTGAAGAAAGCCGAGTCAGGTGCACAAAGAGCTACAGTCTTTCCAACGCGCTCTGCTTCCAAGACAGCAAGGTTACATCGTGGATAACAAATGGTAGGAATGGTATCGTCTCTCTTGGATAGTTGATGAAGTGACACAACAGTCTCTCGCTTTCTGTACGTTGGGTAGGCCGAATATCCGTGACTGCTCAACGTAGTTGTGGTGGGTATTGGAAACTCGGTAATTGATGTCTGTGATGCCCAATTGCCAGTGGTAATGGTAGTCTTCGTCTTGTGTCCATATTTATCGGTGGTCTTAATCACACGAACATCCTCCTCGAAGATATCATAGCTGAGACCAAACGCTTCGGGGTTCAGGTAGTAATATTCTTCCAGAGTCGGGTAGTAGTAGCCTGTGACATTTTCTGGCCATACTACGATAGGGTAGTCTGGGGCAGAAACACAGTTCTGAGCTTCGCAGACATATTCTTTTCCAGGAAGATCTGCCCAGACGTTGCAGCCGTTGGGTTTCGGTGGACGACATACAAACCCTGGTTTGCAACCCCAAGTGAGATCGGACTTTGCATCGTACGCAGAAATGATTGGTCCAGGGACATTGGACGGAGCGGAACAGACACTAACATCCGTAATAACTCTTGTTGAAACTAAGGTGGAGGTAGCCGTCACAGTAACAGGTGGAACGACGGTCGTAGCCGTTGTGGTGTACGTCGATCCGCTTGCTGTGATGGTTACCAAGGAAGTGATTGTTGACCCTGGTAAAATGGTAAGAGAGCCTGGCAACTGAGTAGTGATTGTAATAGCTGGCTGGGTTGTTGTAATCACCTCTGTAGTCGTGAAAGTGCTGGTACTGAAAACTGAGTCTGTGACGGAGCTGACTGAGATAGTCACATATGTAGTAGTTGACACCAATGTAATGTAAGAGGTCTCCTCCTCCGTGGTAGTAGTGGCAGAGATAGCTGTAGTTGTAGCTATTGAAACCGCTGTTGTTGTCGTCGTCGCGGTTTGCGTTAATGTAACAGGTACACTTGTGACGTAAGTTGATACACTCGTCAGAGTTGACGTCAAGTAAGACGTCAACGTGCTTGTATGATCAATACTGATAGTAGTAGGCACGATCGTTGTACTGATCACCGTCGATATGACGGTTGTTGGTACAAGAGTTATGTATGTTGTCGTGTCAGTTATGGTTGCAGTTGTGGTGTCTGTTAAAGTTGCAGTAGTGGCAGAAACTGATATCTCAGTCGTTGTAGCCGTATCTGTTGTGGTCACAGTATCAATGATCGTTGTAGGCACACTCGTCGTGTAAACCGAGGTAGTCGTCACGGTATCAGTTACATAGGATATGGTTGTGCTGGTATGGTCAATTGTCAATGTTGTCGGTGACACGGTCGTATAGGTCACGGTGTCTGTAAGAGTCGTAGGGACCAATGTAGTGTACGTCGTAGTAGTCTCAGATACCGAGACCGAGGTTGTCGTCGTTGTCAGAGTGTCAGTGATGGTTGTGGGCACGCTTGTTATGTATGTTAGCTCAGTGGTAAATGTGCTAGTAATATAAGACGTCGTGGTGCTTGTGTGATCACTTATAATGGTCGTCGGCAAGATGGTCGTTGTTGTGATCGTGTCAGTCAGAGTTGTCGGTACTAAAGTGCTGTAGGTCGTTGTCGTTGTCAGCGTTGCGGTATTAGTGACCGTATCTGTTGCCGTTGTGGTCACTGGAAGAGTGTATGTCGTAATTTGCGTCTCCGTGACGGTGTTCCACTTGGTTGAAACTACACATCTCACATCTGAGGTAGGGTACGCGGCATAAGTGGTGGGTGTCCCGGCGCAGATCGTTACGTAGGAAGCATAGGACTAAAGTATGTTAGAGTTGCCCAGACAATGTAGTATGATGTGGTTTTTACCGTAGTCACAACAGACGTCGCCGTCTGAGTATAATACTCGGTATCAGTGGTAGTCGCAGTCGCAGTCGCAGTCGCGCTTCGCGAAAATTAGCTTCAATGGTTGTGAACCTTTAGGGAATTACATACGTTGTTGTTTCCTCATCGGTGATAGTCTCTGTAGCAGTACTTGAGTAAGTGACATACACCGTCGTGGTGTCACTAAATACCATTAATCAAGTAGACATATAATAACGAGCATAGGGACTCACTGGACGGTCTCAGTCTCATAACATGTCGTTGTGCTTGTTTGCGTCGTGATTTCAGTGAGTGTGCTTATAGAAACCTGCGTCACAGTAATGGTGGGGCAGTAGCCACCAGTCTTAGAGGTTGAAGATACTGGCTTAGAGGTTGAATACACCGGCGTAGATTTTGAAGATACTGGCTTAGAGGTTGAATACACTGGCTTCGAGGTTGAGGACACTGGCTTCGAGGTTGAAGACGTCGGCTTAGAGGTCGAAGATACAGTTCTCGTGGTTGTAGAGATTGTTGAGTAGACTGAAGTGGTTGTAGAGGCAGGACAGTTCGTTATAGTTGGAGCACACGAGGTGATCGTATGAACTGTAGTGATGAAAACAGTGCTAGTTTCCTCTTCGATATGGAAGCCTGGTTCAATTGCAGTTGCACTCAAAGCGAACGATAGAGAGGCCAAAGCCAGCAACTGCTTTTTGAGATACATCTTGTACTCAATCCTCTGCGAACCCAGCTCGGGGCCAATTCGATAACCAAGAACAACGATTGACTGCGGAGTAACGAATGTCCAGTAAAGAGTGGTTGTCCTGCAGAAGAGGTAGTGTGAGTTGCACCGGACCCCAAAGCTGATCGGGGGTTTTGTTTGTATAAGTCGTGAGAATGGGGCGGTGTTTGGGCTCGCTCGCTCGATCTTCAGCCTATTCGCGATGACCAATTGAGTCGCAAGTATATACACCGACCGATTGGCTTGACTGTTAAGTGCGAGCTTGGCACGACGACCAATGATCCGGCCTGTTCTCCAAACGAACGAAGTCTCAAAATACCAGGTGATACACTCAACTGTGGGAGAGGCAGAAAATTGGAAGAGCAAGTCGCGGGTCAGCTTCTTAGTAGGACTTCAAGGTGCTGCTCGAGCAAGGCTGATGGCAACAATACATCCGGAATTTGGAAGCTATGAACGTACAGAGCTTAGACTTACAGCTAGACCGACCGGGATGTCCTCGCAGTGGCTACATAGTGTAGCATCAGTATCCACGACTTCCATGTAACCAGCCACCCTTGACAGGTACACCAAAGTGCCTCATGAACCCTGGAAACGAGTGCATATTAGTGTGTGATTTGCATGCACGACAATCCGGCCCGTTTACCATCTTCAGAAATAAGGCGTGTACATAGTAGCTCTCGTCTTGTCTGGTACGGATTATCGCGGTAGTCCATGTATATCAAGGCATTCACTTGAACATCAATTGGCTCAATACAAGACTTCTTCGCTGTACCAGGCGAGTTAAGACACATTCACCACTCACCTATGACTCTATATTCGGGCCAATCAGTTCACTCAAGACGCCATACGGAGAAGTGAGTAATCTACTTCAGTTGCGCACCTAGCGGGCTAGAAACGCAAGATCCCGGATGATCACCAGCAGTTAGGCAGATGACGCTGTATCCCAGATGGAATAGAAACGTTGTATCCTACAAATATTCAGGGACGGCAGTTTCCCCCGAAATTTCCTGGTGGTTGCTGCAGCACAGTATCAAAGCATGGGGCGTTGAGCCATCGGGGATGATTTGAGGCGGTGGCCATGGCCACGGCCGCTCGTAGTACCGACATGTCTTGTTAACGAAAAGTAAGGTGCCAGGGCATAAATAGGTGGCCGAACGTGGGTGGCTGGCTTGGACTCTCAATGTGTGCGGTGGTCGCGATGGTGAGCCGCCTCTTCCAGGGGTTATATGCAGCTGTGTGGCACGAAAAGCGCGGCAGCTTTGCTCACAGGGAGAAAACGGATGAGGAGGTGATTGTAAGAATTGACGGAAAAGTCGCTGATACGAGCAAATGCACTTTCACTTACGGAGCACAAGCTGGATCTCGGGCCAAGTGCTCTGGCTTTCGTGACGAATCGGGTATTCTTGCGTATACTAGTTGCAGGATCCGACTCGGGTACGTCGAACGGCAACACAACTGGGGTCAATATACGGAAGGTGGGTTACTTCGAACACTCTAGGCCGTCTTGGGTCACCCAATATTACTCACCACTTTGGGTAATAATCTTCCCAAAAGCAAAGTACCTTGCAATATTGATTGTTGTCGCCGGTGGTGACAGGGTTCTAGATTCAACGTGACCAAGATCCATACATCTCTTTCTGTTCTCCCAGCGAAAGACGAAATGTAACCAGGCACAACGTTGAGGTGTCTTTCAAGCCATCGTGCTGATGAGTGCGTGGATGCAGATAAGAGCAGCACCAGGGCTTGATTCAAGCTTGTGGTCAACATATCGGAACACTCCGAATCTGATGTCCGGCTCAATATGACGAGATGCGGATTGACCAATGTCGATGTTGTTGCAGAGAAGGCCATGCATGTTCTTTTTGGGTCCTATCCTTCGACTAGACTACAGCGTAAAGGTGGGATACACCGGGCAAGGCGGGTTGGCTGTTGGCGGGGTAAGCCTCTCCAAAGTCCCTGTCAAAAGTTGTCGACAAGGATTCCAATGCGGGCTGCAACTTGCAAGGTTCCCAAGGCATAGGGCCCACTACAGCTGTACTATGTAAGCATCAGACCAGGCTGAGTCGTTCGTTTTGCGCTGAGCAAACTGCGATGATGGTATTTTGACATGGTTCCTGAGCAAGGCCTCTGGAAAATTCCATGGAAAGAGTTTGTATTTAATTAATGATAGCAGATGGTTTCAACGGAGATAAAGTAAGACTGGCAACGTCTTGTACGTATGGAGCCGGTGTTGTAAAAATAGGCGAGCAAGTGGAATGTTGACGTGAGGGGTTAAACCAACCAACCTGATCTAAGTTAGTGCTAGCAGCCTAACCTAGATTGCTGTCGTTTGCTGATTGGGCGCCTAGAATAGTAGAGATGGTACATAGCTTACTTTTGTAGTGCCAAAGAATCGAGTCCACGGGTAGGGCCTCTACGGGCTCTGGAGGGCTGACCTAGCGTAACGTTTTCTGCATTCTCCAACGTCACTTCAACTCTACTTGGACCTCAAATCTCATATGCCATCCTAGGGAAATTGCTTGAGAAATACACAGTCTGTTTCATTCCGAGAATGACGTCGCAAAATCCGGGTTTTCGATCGGATGCTCTCAGTTTTTCCGTCGAGTCAGGTTCAAGGCTCTCTCTTCTGTTGCCTTGATCACGTTGTGGCTTACTCCCATCATGTCAATGATCCCAGCCTTTTCATATCTGCGTACATCAGTCTAGAGAAACATCTCCACCAATGAGATCTTAGTGTTATATGCAGCTTTCTCATACGGGTGTACCTCATCGGATAAACAAATCGAATTGGTCTGGTACCAACACAAGAGCTCTACTGCATAGGCTCGAAAGATCAGGCGCGGCCATTCTCGTATCTCAGGTGCACATGTGCGTTGGATCAATGATCTTGTACCTGCTCATCAGTGGGTGACTATCCTTGTCGTTCCTTGAGTAGTGCTCATGTCAGCAAACTACTATTCACCGCATACCCCGTTGCAAGGCCATGGCAGGACAGCCGATCTCTGGGGAAGGGAAAAAAGAAAAAGGAAAAAGCAATACGCCCTCGGAGCTTCCTCAGGCACTGTGAGATCATTACGAACCTTCATTATGGGTATATCAACGAATTACAAGCTGCCCGTATAGACAAGCCACATTCAACGATATTTTCCAAAACTTGTCGTACTCTTCATATGGTGAGCAATGCAAGCAGGTTTTGCAGGTGAGGCTGAGGACCTGAGACTACCTGGCTTTCGAGCGACCTAGTCGTATTCGGTCGTGGCTCTAACTGTTTTTGGCCAGGAAAAGACACTCACCACACCTTCCCGTGCGAGGGATACAATGTAAGTGTGTGGGAGACATTTTGCCCCGAAACCGACGTCTAGATCTTTGAAAGGGCGGCAAGAACTGCACCATCTTCAAGCTCCCTGGTATGACTTGCAGCGATCAGCATGGGACAGCCTTTTCTTTCATCTGTCACACCCCATGTCGTCCAAAACCATAAGCCAATACAATTGCCTCTGAGTTCTTCTGTCCTCATTAAAACATTTGCCACGCCATACCCGTGGATAGATGCGGGGCCGCCGTGTAAGGCTTTGTTCTGTCGCTTGCCTTTTGACTTGTACAAAGAAAATTCAACGGTACTGCCAAATCCGTGGAGAATCCTGCTTTCATCTGATAGTGTTGTGGCCGGCGATTTCTCGAGCCGCCTTAGCCTGACAAATCAGACTCAGACTTGGGTAATGCCGCTTCATTCCAGTGGTTGATCAGGACTTCTTTGTTGTCGCAACATTGCCCCTGGTTATCTCGTTCAAGTTGAGGCCTTTGAACCCTGTTGATGGGGTATCCTTGAGCCTCATTTGCCAGGTCCGCGCCCGTATCTATTGACTACAACCTGTCAAAGCTGCCAAATGCCAGCCAAATCTGCAACTATTCTCACGATGTCTTGGTCAAGGGTAACATGTTGGGCACTCGCTGCAAGTGTAGCTTCGCTCGCCAGCGCACAATACTCAGGATGGATAGACAATCAGGTCAATGCTACGATGTGCTCGTGGCAGAACCCACGAGGTAATTCTAGAATTCGCGAACATGCTTCTTCGGCCAGGTTTACTGACCCTTGATAGTGGCTGTAATGCGCGACACTGCTTACATTGATGGAGGATGGATATGGTGGACGCCGGGTCTTGCTGATGGGACTCCTGGTCCTGCTAGACTCGATGGTATGGAGCCAACAATTCATGCAGTGAACGCCGTCCTAACATACTTCGCAGGCAACCCATCCGGTAATCTATTCCTGCTAAACTTTAGCAAGCCATTCAATACTTCAGGGAATGCTAGTGAAGCTTTCGACTTACTGCCCAAGGGGTACAATGGGCTTTCGTTTAACAATCTGGCCCCCAACTATTTCGATGGTGCTTTGCTTGGGAATGACAATGAGTTCTTCATGTACGGCGGACTCTTGACGGAGACCGCTGCTTTCTCCTCCACTCCAGGCGCCGAATCAATTCTGGGTTACCATAAATATCAATACGGCGCGCAAAAGCCACAGTTTAGTGAGGGATTCTTAGGCGTAAACCTGCCCGACGGCAACCTTACACGATATTCGGCATTTGGTGGAGCCGCAAATGCACCCTCGGAGAACAAGGCCTACTATTTCAGCGGATTGCACTCACCCCTTTGGGGGGAGTTATATATACAGAATAGCAACGCCTCAGTGAGCGCGATCAATACCTCGGATAGCCTCATCACTCTGGATATGACCAACCAAGGGTCAGAGACATGGAGTAACATAACTTTGCCGGACAGTGTCAAGGGTCGTGGTGGAGCCGATCTGGTCTGGGTTCCAGTCGGAGAGCAAGGCATATTGGTCTCACTCGGAGGCGTGACCAACCCAGATTTTAGCAGTCCTACATTGCAATCATTGAACCTAGGACAAAGTGTAAGTCCACTTCTGCTTTTCTCGACGGAATCAGGGACTGAACGGTACACAGGTATCTGATAGCCCCGCCTTCATGTCAGATATAGACATTTACGATATCGCTGGCAATCAATGGTATAAGCAGCAGACCATCGCTGGGCCATCTCAGCTTGCTCTAGGATGCGCCGTGGTTGCCGTTGCCCAAGATGCCTCGAGCTACAACATATACTACTATGGTGGTTATGACGGTGTACACTCTACAGACTCTTTCAACGATGATGTCTGGATCCTGTCACTCCCATCATTCATGTGGATGAAAGTCTCATCCGGGAAGGCAGACCATGCACGAGCGGGACACAGATGCGTGAAGCCGTACCCCGACCAGATGATCGTGATCGGCGGCTACACATCGTTACAAGGAAGTAATCTGAACTGTGTCGAAGGCGGAGTCCTCCAGATTTTCAACCTCACCGAGGGCAAATGGATGGAGACCTACGACCCTGAAGTTTACAGCGATTACGGAGTCCCGGAGATGATTCATCTTATGATTGGTGGTGATGCAGCCGGTGGTGCGACGATGACTGTGCCTACGCCAACAGGCTGGGCGACTCCGGCTCTCTCCAAGGTATTCGAGAACAAGTATCCGACGTCCAAGATCATCAATTACTACCCGTACGCTCCCGAAGGTGGATCTGGCTCGAGAGAAAATGTTCCCGGGGGCAGCAGCGTTCCTTCATGGCTTGCGCCTGTGCTGGGCGTCGTTCTTGGCCTGGTATTCATTTCCGCGATTGTCGTCGCTATCCTGCTTTACCGCCGCCGCAAGTTCCTGGGGCGAGGCCGTGCCAGTGAGGGCCCTACTGAGGAGAACGGAAACCGTATTCTTTCATGGATGCGTGGACAGGATGTTACCAGCCACAAAGCCCAGACCGTTACTAGCGACACGATGGACGAGATTGAGAGGTCAGTTGGCGCTCAAACTCCTTACCAGGCACAAGCTCGACCCGAGATGGTTCAGCAAAACTCCCAGCTATCAGAGATGCCCTACACGCCCTTGTTTGAGATGATGGGTAAGCTTCTTCTCGACCTTGATCCCCATCACGTCCAAATACTAACTCTTTCCATAGACACATCTCCGCGCGCAGAGCTAGAAAACACCGGTCTAACACCCGTTGACATAATCAACAAGCACACACATTTTGCCCGAAGCCCACACTCGGTGAGCACTCCAACCAACCCCTCGTCCTTCTCCAACTCCAACTATGCCGTATCCGGCGACCACGCCTCTATATCCACAAACTCCCAATCACGCTTCAACGCACCAATCTCCAACACAGCGCGGCCAGACTCGCCAGCGTTGGGCAGCAACAACAACGTGACAGTCCAAGGACCGACACTACCAAACATACCGCCCGCAGACCACAGGATCGTCTCGGGTCTGAGCAATATCAGCCAGGGCGAGCGCGCGCACTTGCGGAATATTAGCGACGCGACTGTGAGTACAGCGACGGATGTCGATTTCGCCGGACAACCAGTAGATACCGCTCCTGCAGCAGCGCCCATAACGCCGATCGCGGGGTCCGCGGTGCCGATGACGCCGCCGGGACCCGTGAGCCCGCCGACTGCTGGGGCGGATGAGAGGACGGACTATTTCCAGGGTATCGGGTCGACGTTATCGACTTCGAACAACAATAACAATAACAACAATTCTGGCGCCTCGCAGCTGAGGAAGAGCGTGTTCGTCGAGAGCCAGGATGATCTGCGGGATGATAAGGGGAAGAGGTGATGTCGGATAATGAAAGTGATTAGATACCATTTGGGGCCGTGAAGAATATCAGAGCGAGTGAAGATCTCTTATGTATATATAGGTTTCGATTTCCCTGTAAAGAGCGCATGCACATGGTAGGGCGATCCAATGATCTTCTCCTCTTGGATAATGAATAATTCGGCATTTTCGCATCGGATCTCATCTTTTGGTCAGTGTCCTCTTGTGCTAAGTGCACGGAGGTCTCCTGGGCTTCGAACAGAGTTAATGGAAAAACAACCCTGTGACACGACGAAACCGATGTTAAACTCGTGAGCTCAAGAGGAAAGCACAGCAGCCATCTTGGACTATCGCTATTTATATCGTCGCCTGATAGCCCTATCTGGGGAACACTATAAACTGTCCCGTCTTGCGCGTAATTATTCGAGTGAGAAGTCGCCTCCACCGCTGGTTTCACACCCGTAACTTCTGATCAATGAACTCGAAAAGCATTGCAATTTTCTTAAGGGGGTATCTTGGGCCATGGGTTCATCCATGACCAAATGCTGCACGCAAACTCCAGCGCTGCCAGCCCATCCAGTTCAACCTGTGCATAGTCCACCTGCGCAACATGAACATCAACGATGGCCGAAAAGTGATGACACATGCGAGCGCTCCCGCTACCATGGCATCATTTCCGCCCCTTTGATCTCGTACTTGTGCGAGCCCTCGTCGTCCGACCCCTGCTCTTGGGACCTCCTTTCGAGGCTTTGGCCGCAGGCTCTTCGGTTTCACTTTCTTCTTCTTCCTGTTCCTCTTCCTCTTCCTGTTCTTCTTCCTCTTCTTGTTCCTCGTCCTCTTCCTCGCCGTCGTCATCGTCCTCCCCTTCGTGTTCTTCTCCTTCTCCTTCTTCGTCACCGTCGTTCTCTTCCTCGTCGCTCTCCCCGTTGCCTTCTGGCTCCGTGCTCTCGGCTTTAGCCTTGGCCGCAGCCCTCTTCCGACTTCGGGCGCCTCTCGCACTTTTCGATGCTGGCGGGCTCGACGCAATGGGGGTATCTTCCTCCGTGTCCCCCACCGTGCTGCCTCTCGTCCTCGCCGTGCTCCCGGCGACGCTACCTCCATCGGCGTGGGCCGATGATGCGTTTCCCCTCTTGCGCTTCCTGCCACCGCCGCCACCGCCTGAAGTACTGGGTGCCTTCCCCCTGGGGTCGTCCAGGTCCATCTCGGCCGGACTCGAGGCAGCGGCAGCATCCTCGGCGTCGCTGGCGTCGGGAGCGAGCCTGCGGGCCCACATGAGGTCGGCGTACTGCTGGTCGGGCAGGGTGAAGTCCTTGTAGCGCTTGTCCTCGTCGTCGTAGTTCTCGCGCTCGTCGATGGCGTCGAGGTTGTAGAGGGTGCACAGCTTGGCCCAGATCCCCGGGATGCGGGTGTGCGTCTCGACGTCTGGGTTGATGCCGTGGTTGCGCAGGTGTTCGCTGATGGCGAGCATGCGGAAGTGCTTGTGCATTCCTAACGAGCCGCAGTTGCAAAGGTCAGTACATCGGTTTGTCCGCACCAGTGCCACGTGCCTCGGAGAGGGGGCAGATGGTGGAGGGCGTGTGTTTGTGCCATACCTGCGGGCTTCCATCGTATTATGGCTTTGAATAGTGAAGCAGTCTGATCGTCAGTCCAGAGGTCGCCCAGCAGCTCGGCGGCCGAGGGCTGGTTGGGTTTGGTGGCAGTGGGTGTGTCTGCCGCCCTGGGGGTATCGGCTGGCTGTGGTGTGTCCATGTCCATCGAGTCTTCATGCGCTGGTGTTGGTGTCTTTGGTGTGCCTATGCCCAAGCTGGCCCTTCCGCCCGCTTTGTTGCGCTTTGTTCCCATTGTGGGCGACGTTTGAGTGGTGGTGGTTGCGATTGACCTATGTACGCCTTCTATAGAGAGAGAGAGAGAGAGAGAGAAAAGCGAACCCAGCGGAATCGGAAACGAGATTAGAAGATGTCGCGGCAGAAGGAAGGAACGTGAGTCGTGGTTGTGATTGATTGTTGTTGTTGCTGTGGTTGCTGCTGCGTTGTGCTGTAAAAAGTACCAAACGGAGATTAAAAAAAACCTGGAGCTCTGCCGAAGCTTGAATTGAAGCTTTGAAGCTCTGAAGCTCCGCCAGCTAGGGTAGGGATAGTGAACCTTACAGCAAGCACTGTAGGGTCCCTGTCGATCGCTGATATTTATTGACCGAGTCGTCATGGCGCGGGGGACTCTTGGACGCGACTCAATCAATTAAACTTCCCGTCGCGTGTGGTAAAGCCCGTCGCAATGCTGTGGTGAATGATGTGGTAAAACAACAGCAACCATTCACATTCTCACTGCTTTTAGCTCCTGTCTCTTTCACTTGAGTTTCCACCCATTGAGGATCCCATGTTCTTATATTTTATATAACTTGCACCAATGAAGCAATTCAGAGGCCCCTCTTTACAAATATGGCGGACCAGGATATTGCCAATGTCTTCGCCATCCCAGATTTCTGGAGAGGCCCAAGGTGGCTAGACCTGCCACGTCCAGAAAATGCCGAATTCTTCGGTCTGGATATCAAGTCGACAGACAAGTCCTGCTTGCCTCAAATCAGCCATGATACAATTGCCAGCTCCAAGTCTGACGAGTTCTTCAGGATACCAGCTGCCCTGGAACCGTTGAAACTCACCGCATCCCAGGTCCATCTGGACGCGCCTGCACCAGCAGCCTCACAACAACGATGGAAGGATGTCAACCTCTTCGATGATGCGTTCATCCGGGGTGCGGAGGTCCCCATGTCTACTGCAGAGTACAAAAGCTGGGATGGTTTCGTCATGCCAGATCTTCCCCCAATAGATCCATTATTCATCACTGAAGCCGGACCTGGCGCTTACGATGCCGCTCTGGAGTTGACGAACGATCCCCTTGCGATCAAGAGTGGAAGTCACAATGTGGTACAAACGCACCCATATCTCACAGCTTTACTTGCCCTCGCTATGGGAAGAGCCTCAATATTCTTCACCTGGAACGAGAGAACTGCCTCATTCGTGCAGGACTTGGGCAAATTGAGAATTTCGGGCTACTCAGCCAACGTGTTAGATGGACTGCAGACTAGGTGTCTCCAGTGTGGAAACATCTCTCGCTTTCTCTACGTTTTTGTGCAGATCACATACAAAACACATCCATCGGCCGGGAGAGTCGCCTTGGCCAAATCCATGGATACTGTTCTTCTAGCCGTGCAGACAAAGCTTGGGGGTCAAGCGAGGAAAATAAACTCTCCACTCCAGCTTCAGTCTCTAGTCTATCCCGTCTCTACCATCTTGACATATTTCAACATCTTGGTAACCAAGCTTAACAAGACAAGAAATGACGAACAATTACTTTCTCTGCTGTTCGCAGAAACCCAAATGCTAGACCATGGTGATGAGCTCTTGAGCGACACCATGCGAGAAGTTTTAGCACGAGTCTCAGAACCATGGCTGGACTTTACTCAAAAGTGGATAGGGGTTAAGGCAGAGGAAGGCAACCCCATCACAAAAGACGGTCCCGGGAAAAGTTTTGTAAAAGTCGAAGACGTTGCGTACGTCGATGACTTTGGTATTGAGAACGACGAGCCAGATTATGTTCTAGACAAACGTCGCATACCAACTTTCATGCCAGACGAAGTTGCTCAGACAATGTTTGAGACGGGTAAGACTTTGCGACTTCTGCAAACACATCATGCCGACCACCCCCTTTGCAACTTTGGTATTGTTCAATCGTCAGATCCGCCAAGTCTCGATTGGCATTACAACTGGAAGTCAATCCAAGTTCTCCAGGAACGTGCAATCAGATATGAGACAAACTTACTGGAAGCGATACGTCAAGGGTCAAACCAGAATGATGCTGTGTCACAGCAACAAGGCAGGTCTCATTCGGGCTATGACCTACACCTCTTTGGTCAAGAACAAAGTCAATTAGCAGCGAGGCTAGTTGCATCTATCAAACAACTGAATGGACCTCTTCCGGCTGTTTCCGAGGCTGACAGGTTATCTCAACTGTTGCATGACCGGCTATTTGAGGACGAGAACAGCAACAAAATGCCGGCTGGACTGGACCTCGCTCCGCACTGGACCCTGCTTCCACTGTTATCCTTCGCCCCGCTGATAGAGTCACAAGCTAGACTGATCAACAGGGAGTACATGAAGCTACTCTTCACGTCGCATGATCTTCGCGATCATATCCTTTTACAAAAAGATTTTCAGCTTCTCGGAAATGGTGTTTTTTGTGATCTTCTATCCCATGCACTTTTCGACGCAGACCTAGAGACGACTGAGCGGCAAGCTGGTGTTGCGAGGAATGGAGGTGTCATGGGCCTCCGATTAGGCAGTCGTGAAACATGGCCTCCTGCCAGCTCCGAGCTTCGTCTTGCGTTGATGGGCGTCCTTACCGAGAGTTATCTTCCCACTTCAGGAGAGTCTTCATGGAGCGAAGAACACACTGACTTGCCCGGCGATTTGAGCTTTGCGGTTAGGGACCTCTCGGATGAGGAAATTGAAAAGTGTATGAATCCAGGTTCACTTGAAGCTTTGGATTTCCTGCGCCTATCGTATAAACCCCCGCCACCGCTGGCGCCCATCATAACGCCGGTAGTTTTGGTCAAGTACGACAAGATCTTTAAGCATTTACTGCGTATACTTAGGATGTTATACGTGGCTGGAGAACTGCACCGGAACTTGAACGGACGGACCTCGAAATGGCAAGATGCCAACGATGTAGCGTTCCGCTTCCGATTCGAGGCCCAGCACTTTGTCAGTAGTATTACAGCATATGTTTTTGATACCGGCATTGCTCTGCCGTGGGCCCAGTTCCTGAACTGGCTGGATAGAGTGCGGTCAGATCTCGAGGACAACCACTCTGCAGGCAAGAGAATATCCGTCGCAAGTCCAGATAATGTGCGGATGCACCACGAAAAGGCCCTGGACTCGATAATGAACACGCTGTTTTTGCGAAAACGACAGCAGCCCATTCTGAAGGTACTGGAAGACATATTCACATGTGTACTGAAATTCTCCAAACTTGCAAGGCTAGAAGCTACGGGCAGCTTCTTGTCAAATAGCCAAGAAACCTCGATGACAGGACTATATAGGGTATTCAAGAACAAGGTGGGCATATTCATCACTGTCTGTCGTGGGCTTAGCGAGAAGACAGGACAGCATGCCGAATCGGCCAAAAACGACACTACGAACGATGGAAAGAATAGAGCGATGGAAGAAAACACCATCGAGAGACTTCTTTTGCAGCTGGAAATGTCGGGTCACTATGGTGGGACTGGTCATCAACATATATAGATCTTTGGTGACCTCAGAGAGCTGAAATCCAGACATAAATCTATCATTGATATTAATATGTGCTGTAGTGACCTCCTCTTATTTCTATGACTGCATTGATTGACGTCGCTTATCACCCCCAAGGTTAAGTGCATACAGTCCATACTAAAAACTATGTAAATAGCATCATGATGACCCCGTATTGAATTTGCTGTGTAGCCTCCCGGCAGCTTACCACTTATACTGAACCCCGCATCGCGCTCGACGCGCCAAACGGTCACCCCACCACAAATCAATGCCCCAATCTCGAGCCCGGAGCAGTAAATTGTTTGGAATGAACGTCTATATTTTTCGACGTGAGACCACATCGCAAAGATGTCACGACCAGGCCCTTCGAGAAACCTCACCTTGACGGAGGAGCTCGAGAAGCTCGAGCAATCAATCACCCTCACCCTGCAGGAGATCGACCACAACTTCAGCAAGGCGCACCGCATCGTGACGAGCAGCATCCTGCCCCTCGTCGAGCAGTACGGCGAGCACTCCAAGAACGTCTGGGAGGCGTCCAAGTTCTGGAAGCAGTTCTTCGAGGCCTCGGCCAACGTCTCGCTCTCCGGCTACGAGGAGCTGGCCAACGAGAATGGCGGCGAAGACAACACGGCCAGCGTGACCGAAGGCGCCGGCGGAGACGACGAGACGACCCGCATTGCGGACTCGACCACGTCCGAAGAGGAAGAACACGAATACACGCCCGCAGGCCACGACCAGGATGACACGGGCGACCAGTCGGCGTACGCGGAACATACCCGGCATCGCGATGTCGAGGATTCCCTGCTCGATGACGGTTCTCTGGCGGGTAGCACCCCCAGGCCGCCGGCCACGAAATCCATGAGGACGATGCAGTTTGCGGAGATGGACAGCCCTTACGAAACTCTCCGCCGCGAGATGAAGAACGAGGCTGCAGCGACCAGCAGCCATGATTTCATGCACCATGACGAGGACGAGGATGAGGACGACACAATGCAACTGCCAGATATGGCGACACAGACGAGACTGCCGGACATGTCGATGAACCCAATGTCGTCAAGCATTCTCGAGGCGCCGTCGCCGATGCAGGATCGCGGGGCAAAGGGCAAGAACAAAGATCCGTTGCTCCACAAGTTACTGGACAAGAACTACAGGATCCAGGCTACGCCGCATAAGCTGTCTCCCGTCAAGCTACCTCCGGGACGGGCGCCCGTAGAAGACAAGGATCTGACGCGGCGCGCTCTGTGGCAGAACAGCCCCATGAGCTCGCCCGAGATTGCGGCGCCGACCCTCCGGACGAACCTCTATAGCGCGGCATCTCCTTTGAAATCGAGAGGCATGCCAAGGGGACTAGGAGATGGGCCGAGAACACCGGGCGTCAGTGTACAGACACCTGCTACGTCACGTAAAACAAGAGATGTCTTCGCAGAGGAGAAGGGCAAGAGCAAGAGGGATCCGGACGAGATGTATTGGAGCGACGATGACGACGATGAGGCCTTTGGCGGCATGAGTCCTCCGAAAACTATTCAGTTTGCCTTGCCGCCGAGCAAGCTCATGCAAACCCCTGGTAAGTTTTTTTTTTTTGTTTTTCTTTTCTTTTTTCCTTTTGTTTCGTCCACGTTCAACAGATAAAATGCTAATGAGTCTTTCAGCACGAGAAGCGAGCAAGCGCATTGTAGATGATATCTTGTTGACGGCTGGTGCGGCCCCTCAATATCTCGAGGACGAAGAATACAGTCCGACGATGGTGAAGATGAACAAGGACATACTAGACGATACATTTTAGACGCTCATGGGACATTGCGTACGACTGATAACGAATTGCGACTAGGAAGCTTGGCAACATAAAAACTGATTGTGTGAATAGATAGCATGAAATAAGATACCCCAGTGTAAGCGAAACAGAATGTCTCTTGTCCAACACAAACTCCTTTGACGCCTTTCAAGTATACCAAGATATCCAGTTCCAGATTCTGACAGACCAATACCAGGCGCCCTTTTTGTAATTCCGTTGATAGAAACAGGGAAATTAAACATCCCCTCATCCAACTTTTGCCTGACATAACAATCGCCAGGACTTCCTCTACGCCCCGAGTGCCTGCGAAGAAGAACTCGGAGCCTCAGCACCGCGAAGCCATTGTGGCGGTGTTGTCGCTCCCGGACTCTGGCTCGCCTCCCGTTTTATCTCGGGAGACGTTCCAGGCGGGTGCAGAGCTGTGTGGGTATTTGAACACGAAAATCGTGCAACCAGATATGAGATCCCAAAACAGGAAAATAAAAATAATAATAAAAATAAAATATTTGAAGCGCCGGTTCTTTTTTCCAAGCGAAGATACATTTTATTGCCACTCCATCCTCGATCCGAACGTGGGTTCTACGAGCTCTTCTTGCCAGAGCGGAGCAGATGTCGCTTGCTCGAGAAGCTCGAGTTGCTGAATATGGACGAGGCGTCGTCTTTCTCTGCGAGTCTATCCCTCTTGGAGGATGAATCCGAGGAAGGCTGTTGCTGGGGTTGCGTCTCCTGGGAGTATGCCATGTGCATCTCCATCAGCTTGGACGAGTGACGCTTATCGTGTGTGTGCGACGGGCCCGAGGAGAAGGTGGAGGACATCATTGTGAAAGTTCTGAGCGGTGTTTGTTTCTAGAGGACTTGTGTGATGAGTTGGAAAATTGCGATTCAAAGATTATAGGAGTTTCTTCTTGATGTTTGTTGAGATGGCTTTGTGTGTATACAAGAGTTCTGTGTGTTGTGCCTGATATTTCTGGCTTGAGGGGGAGTCTGGATTTTATACTTGGTTGCAAATTGGAACACATATAGGCGTAGAGCAAGCCAGATTAGATTGTTTGTTGATATGAAAACCTAGCTGCCTGGTGATACTATGCACATGTAACACGCGTCATGGCCAGGCAGGAATTCCGACCTGGTCTATACATTCTTTCTGCCTTGTTAGTGTCGCATCTTTACGTGGCTCACTCATATCGGCATGCCGGTGTAGAGTCAGCCGGTGACTATCTATACCGAAAACCTGCATTTGTGCTTCGTCTTCTTCTATTTTTGTCGAGTGAGATTCACCGTGGAATACAGGGGGGAGATGGGCAATTGCATGAGTGGCGGATGAGTCAACCCAAAAAGCATGTTATATGGGGGAGGGGGTCAAAATCCTTCCAATGCTCCAATGGGTGCATTTTCTGAGTGGAATCGTACGGTCCCCCATGAAATGCCATTACCGATTGGAGATGAAAAAGGTGCCTGATTGCCATGTTCGGCATGGCGCCTCGGCATAGACGCTTCGGCATGACATGATGGCGGTTCGGAGTTGCTACCTAGTGGCACCTGGAAGCAGGTAATGCCCCAATATAGCCAAGATGGCTAAGCTTTCCTATTCTCTGTCGGGTTTCGCTCATGTAGGCAGAAGAAAGGCATTTAGCAGGCGGTGTACATATTGCGAGCCTCTCCTTCTAGTGTTGGTTGTTGGTCCGGAATCTGAAAAAAGATCAAGTTGGGTGGCTTAGTAGATGCGGTCAGCGTCGCATCACCAGATTGATTCATACCCATGTATGACATGCGCACCATACGCACCAGTGCAAAAGTGCCGGGCGACTTTTGATTGGGGAAACTAATACTGTATTATTTTGATGCCTTTTCGCACACCATCTGGAGAGAGAAATGCAAAGGCGCGTTTCTACGCCAATTGCACATTGTGAGAACCAGATGGCTTAAGGATCCTAACTTAGTTCTCACAGTCAACTGCAGCAGAGCAAGACACGATGCCAAGATTAGTTACGGAATTCGGGATGCACATTTCAAGCTGCAAAATTTGATGCATTCTCTTTGTCTAGGCGCACGGACTTCGGATAGAATTCTCAGAGGCTGACAACGTGAGTATCCTTCAATACACAGCCTGACCCTACCTCGTGATCAAGACTTTTTCCAAACTCAGCACATAAGACATCCAGCTCATTTCCTATAGTTGGCTTTCATGGATTTGTGAGCATTTATATAGTTGAGAGAGCTCAGACGGCTTCCTTTACCAAAGCTTCCAACTTTTCAGCACACATCTTATACAATGGCTTCACAAGTGCGATGCATACCACAAAATTCTCGTTTCAGTTGCCAACTATAAACATGCCGCCGAGTGTTGGCAGGCATTACTAACAAGATTCATGCGGAGACCGAATCGTGCATCTGTTATTCCACCTTCTAATGTTCACCTACGTACGCTTGAATCCTTGTCTCCCTTCGATATGTGGTTGTTATTAAGATTTGCTTTTATGAGCTCTAGCCTTAGACTAGTACTAGCCGATCATGTTTTCCGCAGCCAGCGTTTGTAGTTGACTTGGTATATGTGCTTTTGTCTAGGCACAAGCAAGTTCTGGTGATGACAACGAGCAATTGGCAACTCCTGGTTTTTGGTCTTAGTGATTATAGTGCACCAATTCTAGGGACCTAACACCGACTGTATTAGTTCGAGCGTAGGCCGATACATCGTCTCTGCTGCCTTGAACTGTCTTAGATCATTGAGCATAACACCCCGATTGACTGTACATACTTTGGAGGGTTGACGGATGGTCCGGGCCTAGTATCGATTCCCTTAGCTCGAGTGTTTGTTCATACATTTGTTCCGCGTCGTCGTGATCCTTGGAGCAGCGAGCATATAGGTGCTTCCGATCGCCAAGTTCGAAGACCGGTGGCGGTGTTCTAAAAGTTCAACTTGTGTTCTATCATTATAACGTCGCTCATCTCATTTCAGAACTCCAGCTCAAGCAGTTGGCACTAGAACCTGACGATCTATCAACAATCGACAACATGCACAGCCTGACTGTTTACTTCAAAGATGAGGAGAGTATAGAGAGGCCGAGTAGGTATATTAACAAACACTTATATCCAAGGGGCTAACGCCAAGACCAAACCATTCGTTTACACTTGATAACATGAACAATATGGCTCTTGTGCTCTTCGATTTAGGGGAATTCGATGAGGCAGATAAAAAACGCCGGTAGGCACTAATGCTGGACAAGTTACTACAAGACCTATACCATTCGTTGACACTTAATGACATGAATAACCTGGCTAACGCACTGCTTCAACAGTGAGATTAAACACATGCGAGACAAAATTTCCAAAAGACTCTTGACTGGAGAGAGTCGGTACAAAGATCTTTATCATCCCTTATTGTTCAACAACATAACTGACATGGCCATCTAGCTCTCGTTAGATGCGAGACAGTGCTATGGGTATGCCGTTATCGTCTCGCCCGTCTTCGCCATGTATGTAGATCCTTGCTTAATTGCGAGAGGTAAATAGGTTAATTTATCGAAAAGGTTTTCTATAACTTGAGCATCTCGAAACTCTGGTTTCTATTCACCATTCTATGGAAATCCAACGCTTCAATCTCACTTATTTCGTTGATTTAATATATGATGGGGGGAGGAGGTTGAAATATTGAGTCGTGTAAAGACTTCGTAATTAAGCATTTTAAAGAACGGTAAGTCCTTTTAGTTAAAAGGGAGATAATCGTATATATCCTTATTAGCTAGTTAAATGATATGGTTAGATTGTCGATTATCAAGAGCCACTTAGCGGTACTCTTTTCTATAAGTACTTTGACTAGGACTCTACTTTTCGCTTTCTTATCGTCGATTTTGGGCGTTTTAAACGTTTAATTGATCTCTCTTTAAGGATTCCTGAAGGTTACAAAGCTTGGAGAGAACCTAGAAAACAAAAGAACCGGGATCCCGATCATATGCACATTGTGCAACCCCGAAGACAATTTGCGTTTTATTAACGCCTCTAAGAGCTTCGATCACTTTTTTTTTCTTTTACCAATTGAACTTTTTCACTATTAGTAAAATCTGCTTAACTAGAGTTAAAAGAATGGTTTCCCTTCCTACGAAGTTCTCATGCTACATAAAAGGAATAGTAAGGTGTAATCGCTTAGAAATTAAACAAATCAATCAGAGTTTCAACCGCTAGATTCGACTTGCTTACCTTGAGTATGCAAGCTACGCGGTACGCCTTCACGCTTTTTGATTTCTTTCATTAGTCGACTCATCGCACTCGTCTCTTCATCTCCATATATGAAAGTTATGAACACCTCAAACATCCTAAAAAGACAATATACGACATCTTCTATTCTGGCAGCTCGGGGACCAATTCATACGCTAGGGAATAGAGAACTTAGCCAACGAGGCGCCTTGAAGTGCGTAGACCCTTATGTTGGTAATATTTTGGGATAAACACAGTAATGCCATCCGATTGCTCAAGAAGCTACCTTGGATTAAAACAAAATATGAAAAGCATAGCTGAGTCAATGCCAAACAGCTTTTGGATAAATATAGGAACCCTGGTTTCCGAGAGCCCGAATCTGGGATATATAGAGGCCAGAAATGGCAGCTCATAAATCAGTCGAAACGGTACAAGGACTGAGCGAAATTGTAATGCACATTTGGGATGTGGTACAGCCATAAAATTAATGGCGATGAACCAGTTAAGTTCATGCTATCGGGGTAGTAATGGCCCATGGTGAGTCCAAACAGCTTTCAATTCCATGTATCATTTTCTCATGTGTCGCTTTTGGAAAATGATGACCAGCTTGGCCGTTGTTGTTACCGATTAGCAGACCTCGGAAGCGGCCTCTTCCGTGTCGTCAGCAGCCACTACAGCGGCTGCAAATAAAGAAACAAACGAGGCAGACAAACAGATAGACCTACGAGAAGTAGTACTCTAACCTAGCAACTTTAGCAAGCATCACGTAATTAAAATCTTCAACTGTTAACTTTTCACATATGTCACGTCACACGTCTTCTTTCCAACTTCATGCCCTTTGCGACAACTGCATTGCTGTCTTTCAGAACACGGCTAGCTTCGTCACATCCAGGTCAAAGTACGAAACAACAGCGACACTATACGATGCCGGATACCAGTCGCGGTTAGCAACAAACGTATGTCAGTCGAAATGCCATATGTGCATGCTCTTGAGTGCGAACATACCTCGACTTATAGAGCCACTCGATCCGAATCATGCTATGGCGTTGATAATCAATAAAGCGAGAGATGATAATGACGCGGCTATCCTGGGTACGGCTTCGGAAAAGATGGATGTCTTACAATGTACCCAGGATCATTACGCATACAAGAAGGTGAGGGAAGAATCAATTTACAAGTCCTACCGTCAGCCGCTAATTGTTGCAGTCCATCATGGGCATATGCGTGATCTTACGGCTACGAGGACATGGTCACCTGAGACGCTTGGACTAATATGCTCGTGGCTACAAACTGTTCATCATCCCATTCTAATTGCGCGATTAGCGCCGCGCATTGTCCATTTTACTTGAGATCAGGTATTTGGGAGTGCATCTCTCTCGAGGCATCAGAAATTCTACCACAGGGGCTTCTGAATCAGCAAATGAATCTTTCTAGCAGGCACAAGTTCCGGAACTCACTAACATCATCTTCACAACTAACGAATGAGTTGTGGTACGAACTTCTCGAAATTTATTCTCAAACTTCACTGAGCTTTTCCAACGATCGACTACTCGCTGTATCCGCTGTTGCAAAGAGATGCTGTTCAGGAATGGGACTCGAACCGCCAGATTACCTCGCGGGAATATGGAAGAACGATCTGCCTTTATCCTTGCTCTGGTCTCAATCCTATCATCTAGATGCTAGTGTACCACCCCAAGCACCATTACGGGGTGAACTAACCGAGAAAAATTTTGCACCGTCATGGTCTTGGGCATCGATTTTGGCCTCAGTTTCTACTGTCCACCCAGCGAGCTTGGAGGCTGCTGCCACGGTATTGGGGACTCAAATTGATCGTCGATCGCAAAATTATTTCGATGGCGCGAGCTCTTGTTCTCTGCGCTTGAGCGGTCCAGTGTGTAGGATTTGCCGTTACGTTTCTCAAGATACCCCTTGGATACGGATTGGAGAAGAAGAACAGTCCAATGTGTTTCAAGAATTTCGAACATATAATTTCCATAAGGGCAGAGTGATAGTTATGGAATGGGATACATGCCGGCAGGCTATCGTCGATTGCTTGGCATCGTATGATAACTCCGCTCCATTGGTTTGCTTTTTATGCTGCGTAGCATTTGAAAACAGTGTTGATGGGCTCCTGGTCCGTGGGATTATCTTGCGACGAACAGATGGACGTGGCGTCTTCGCTCGGATTGGGACCTTTTTCACCCCTCCTGCGGGCGACTATAAGAATACTGAGCTTGAGCTTGCGTTTAATGGGCAGACTAATACACTAGATGCAGATTATTATCTCAAGATTCACTCCGGTGGTGAGTATACTATAGAGATAATCTAAGAACTGTAGTATTACTATTCCCTGGTTTACGTGCTGTGGCTTAATTAACCTTTAGGATTCAAACCGAGTTAAACCACGGTCAGCGAAGTACACATGAAATCAATATATAACAACATATCAGGATTCACAAGGCACAAAACGGACCAGTTGTTGTCTTTTGTTAGGCGAAGAAGACTTGGTTGCGTGTGAAAAGTCTTTTATGTGTGAGCAGAGATTTGCGGGAGCTCAGGGCCAGATACCGGAATTAAACCTTGAAAACAATCATGAAGTACTGCTTACTCTATGACAAACGGGATATTTCACGGGTCAAGCCCACTCTCAGGCCCCTCGCTGACATTCGAGGCTCACCTGGAGAAGAAAGGGCGATCCTATGCCAGCAGCGGGTTTAGAGAACCTTTAAGATGGCCATACCTCTCAACAAACTGCAGCATCTGTCTGTATCTTAGACCTATTGGCTCTTCTGGCTGCTGTGCTGAGAATATCGAACTTCGAGATGATAGAGCATTGGCTGCGTATGCTGCTATGCTTCTTTGCATTTGTGTCTAACAATCCACGATCGTGAGCGGGTTTGGCTGGTTCTGTGAACCACAATCAGCTTTGACGTTGAAGTGTCGACGATGGACTTGAGTGTTGTAACTATCATAGTTTGGTATCTATTATCAAAATCGTGATACCAATTCCGGAAGTGTTTTGCCCGAAATGATCCACAATGGCGTTAGCCACGATGTAGCAAATTACTGCCGTTCGTTATGGTGATCGGATTCGACAGAAATGCGCGAGTTTTCACCCAGTACTACTTGTGTACAGTATGTTTGCTTTTTGAAACAACGAAAAAAACTCCAAAACATCTATACGTGCCCCCTCGATAAAGGCTGTGTCCTTTTTATGACCACATAAACGTTCAGTATGGGGCTAGAAAATATAATGTCGTGAATATCACGGCTACAGGAATAAATAACATGATATATGACTTTGCGGATCCACGAAGATCAATTACACTGTTTTATCTTTTCAACATGGAAAGGTAGTAACTTGTAAAATGGTAAAGAAGAGTTGAAATAGTACTAGCAAAAGGCAGACATCATAGAGGACTTGGAACGGAACGCTGGGACTGATAGAATCCTCAGGTCATCAGAATTCATATCTACATGGGGTGGGTATTCTTGCAACGGGTTTCAGCCATTGAATCCTGTAAGCACAGGTGCGGTTGCACGTCTGGACTCATAGCCCCTGCTTACATTGCTTTATGCTATTCGGTGGTATGCCAACGAGTCACAAGAGGTGGCATACTGTTTTGAACCCTTGCAATACCAGCGTGGTCTTCACTTTAAATACCTTAGTTTATCGGAAATGGTTTCAGGCTTTCACACCGTTCAGCCTATAGCGCTCAGTGCTCGCGATTTCTCTCGGCAGCGATGAAGACGACGACGAATCAGAGGCTTTCCCTAAGTGCCATGACAGTTAAGGCATGCCAGATCCTACGCTCATAGTATCGGTCTAGCCCCATTCCGAAACTTAATATGGAACCAGTTGACTTTGCTAAGATGGAGGCTATAGTTGCCCTCATATTGATCCCCAAGAAGGACAGGCAACAGAAGATTGCGGCCACGGCGAGGCTAGATGAACCAGAGGAGACATTTAGCCTTGGGGAGGCACTAGATATGCCAGAGGTTGAAGAAGAAGTCGCCGTCGATATACTAGAGCAAACCTAGAGACCCAACATCAGGGTTCGTGGGTCTGAGGATCACAAAACTACCCAACATACCACGTCGCAAGAGCTTCGCTTATTGATAAACCCACGCCACATCGCGAAAGAGCATTGAAGGCCAGTTAAGGGCTTACTACCAAGTATTATTATTCCATTAACCTATACGGACACTCCGGCTCACTATTTTCTTGGCATCGCGATATAGAGTCACCTGATCCTCTGCGTGCGGAACACACCAGGGTGATTTTTAGTTTCTGCCAACATTGAGATCATTTTGCCACTGGTGGCTGAGTCCACGGCTCTGAATGCTGAGAGATCATCGCAGTCCGCATGATGCCCGTATCCCCCGCGCCTCCCATGCTCCTCGCAAAAGGCTGTTCATCATCGGCGACTGTGATCTGTGTCGAAAGGAGCACCGAGTCATTGAGCTCATAGTAGTTGTCGCTTGCATTTTTACGTGATGGGGACCCAAATGCAGCATTTGCCGGGGGCGTCAACGTGGCGCCTGAAAATCCATATGACCGACTAGTGCTGCTGCCACTGAGTTTCGTTAGAAACTTCTGAAGCGAGGGGTTCTTGCTGATATGGACCCTCATAAATGTTGCAAAGGCAGGCATCGAGGCGACGGTGATAGCGACGTTGTTCTCGACGACACTAGGGATGACTTTGTCTTAGTAGAGGCCGCAAAGGTATGGTATGGTCTCCTCCCATGGGTACTTACACGCAGATGGCCAGTTGGGCCTGCCTCCAGGTGCTGTCTGTGCTGCCAAGGAGCTGAACGCGGAAATAGAGAGCTATAGCGCTAGCTGCAACGCCACTATAAGTCCTCGGTTAGGAGCCAAGCCATCAATGACTGGGACGAGGGTATCTTACAAAAGAGCTGTCCCGAAGAGGACAAGAAGCTGAATCTTCTTCTTCCGAGCTAAGTGTAGCTGGGAGAGAAGTGGCAACGGCAGAACGAAGATGTATAGGTCCAAGACGACAGAGCATGTTCCTTGCACAATACCCCAATAAGTCAATGTGCTATCATGGCGCGTCGACAGGGACTGCAGGTACTCTTCCCAGCTATGTCCAGCCCTCGGTGCTTCATAGATGGCGGACAGCGGGATAGAAGGGAAATAGATCGCGAAAGAAAACGCCAATCCTGCCCAAATTGCGATGCGTACAGGTCGGCGAATTTGGAACAACTGGCGATACATGAAGAATATCGCGCACTTGGGGAAAAAGAGTACGGCTCCGACGATCGTGGTATGTGCGTATATAATCTAAAATGCCGAGTCAGTCCTTATTGAGTATCGATGGGCGCAGCGAATTGGCAAATTACCCTCAGATATCTCACGTCCAGCCAACAAACTGGCACGTTCCATTGATGCCGATTGTATTTGTGTACTGTAAGTCAGTGAATAACAGATCCGGAGGAATTTTATGAGGATGGACCAACATGATACTATGAGCCCCGTATATGTGATAGTTAGTGCAATCCCGATCGCTATAAAGTCTACATTTCCTTTTGTTAGCCATCGTGACTTCTAACAGTCACTGCTGATGCGACTCACAATCCGCTATATCTAGCTTGTGCCAGTTTACATACAGCCTCGCGATCGCAAAGCTGACTGCCCATACTGTCAAGATAACACAGATCGAGATCGTGACAGGGCTAAGCGTGGTCGGGTTGACCAAGTTCGAGACTTCTCCAGCAGGTGGCTTAGCGGCGGCAATAGAGCAGAGATCAACCCTAGACAATAACGACGCCATGTTGTGCTGAAGCCTCGTCGTGGAAGCGACGGTGTAAAGAAGGCCGATAGCCAGACAGATGGTTATGATGCAAAATGTAAGGAGTGACTCGGCTGGAAGCCTCAAGATAGTAAATGGATTCCTGTTATTAGACAAAAACTGTCCTAGAATGATTCTTCAAGTTCGTGCAGGCCTCCATATGCTATCCAGTAAACTTTCAAAGGATGCCGAGCTCGTGTAAGCTGGGCGACCATCATTCGAAAGATATCATGATGATTGGCTAATCCTTGTGGGCTGCTTAATGGAGTGTTACATAGGACCACCCCCGGTCCTCGATAAATCCGTCAGACGTTGTACGTGCCTGGCCCACTTGCAAAGCTCCTGTTGTTACCCATTCATGTATACGTACCTTACTTATATTAATAACATTTCCACTCTGAACACCTATCAAAAAGTTGTTTTTATTAATTAAAAACTTTAATTTTAGTTTAAACCTCACTATTGTATAAATATTCTTTCTTTCCCGCGTAGGTCTTTTTTAAAACATAATAATACGCGGTTAATTCTTATACAACCATTTTTGATCTCATCCGGTCAGTGATCGGACTTATCTATACCTGCGGCTTTTAGAGATGTGTTCGAAGCCAACCTGGGATGCCCGGATCAATATACGGCTGATAATTGCGTGATTAAGTGACAGGCATCAAGCTCAATCATCTGTGTAACACTCTGACGCATCGTCGGGGTTTCGGGCCACCATGAACGCCGGGCTGAGACGCTTGCCATTTGTCAAGGCAGCCACTTCCACAGTGCACATGTCGCATCGCGTTAGAAAGCACGCCGAAGGATTTATACATATGCTAGGAAGTTGTGTCGAACTATTGCCAGCTGCCCCTGTTCTTGCGAATCTTTCGAATCCTCCTCACCCTAATCAAGCCACCGCCGCGTACACCGATTGATCCTTCGCTTACAAGTCGATTCAGCTGTGGCTGGAGAAAGATCCGCTCCATTGAATGCAATTTCAGCCCAGAAATATTTTGTTTATTTATCTCAGACGAAGTCTTTGACCCGAGAATGAAAGATGTATCCCATAATGTTGACCCGGAGAGTGTTGACTCTGAGAATATGGTCGCCCAAGGCAATCTGACCAGCATTTGCGTAAGCGCACTCGAACCGAACCCCCCCCCCCCCTCCATACTTCTCTGTCTGACAAACCTATCACAGTGTCGTGCACTGTTGGCCGTACTTGGTCAGCAGAGGGTTGCTTTACCGGGCAGCGTTGTATACAATGCGTCATTGGAGTCGTATTTCGCGGCACAGCAGGCTGCGTTGCACCCCGCGTGCATTGTGTCACCTCAAACTACCCAAGACGTCTCGAAAGCGATCAAGTCCTTGACAACGCAGGGAAATGAGCAACCCAAATTTGCCATTCGCGGAGGAGGGCACGCCAATTGGGCCGGCGCTTCCAACATTGATGGCGGCATTGTCATCGACTTGCGGGCTCTCAAGTCAGTTCAACTTAACCCCAGCAAGTCCACGGTCTCTGTAGGCACCGGTGCCTCCTGGGACGATGTGTATGCGACACTCGATCCTCTAGGTCTCAGTGTCAACGGCGGCCGGGCTGCCGACGTAGGTGAGTTGATAACTCTGATTCCAAGCGCACAGGCGCTCATTCCGAGAAGTTGGGATCAATGGCTCAATATACTCATCGCGCTTATAGGTGTCGGTGGATTGACTCTTGGCGGCGGCATATCCTACTTCTCGCCCCGTTACGGCTGGACTTGTGACACCGTAACCAACTTTGAGATCGTGTTGGCCGATGCATCAATTGTCCAAGCCAACACGAAGTCGAACCCAGACCTTTTCCACGCGCTTAAAGGCGGCAATAATAACTTTGGTGTCGTGACACGCATCGATGTGACCACGTTTAAGCAAGGGCTCCTCTGGGCGGGAACTGTGTACAACTCACTTGATGTTGTGGACGACGTCATTTCCGAGTTCGTCAGGATTGGATCCCCCGACGCGTATGATCAGGATGCCTCATTCATTACTACCTTTGGCTTTTCTCAAGCACAAGGTCGGGCTGTTATCTCCAACCAACTCGAATACGCCAAGCCGGTAGAGCCGCCATCAATCTACAAGGGATTCCTGGCACTTCCAAACCTGTTGAGCACATCACAGCTTGTGAATACAACGACTCTGGCAAAGGCTACTCGAGCGCTTCAGCCTGAGCACCCACGGTCCGTAATACTATTCCTCTGTATTTGAACTATCGTCGACTAACTTTCAGTAGCACTCTATCTCGCGTATCAACCTTCGTGTTAACCCCGGAGGTGCTTAAATCTACTTATGTACAATGGAACGCCAGCCTATCCAGTATATCGCAGGTAGCCAACATTATTTGGGGCATTGCGCTCGAACCATTGCCACCAGGAATCTATGCACGACACGCCAAGGACAATGCCTTAGGGCTAGAGAACAGGAAAGGATCATTTGTAGTCGCACTACTTACGGCCTCTTGGACAGACCCATCTAACGACGCGCTCGTGGTAGAAGCGGCCAACAACCTACTTAAAGCAATCAATACGGAAGCCAAGAAACTCGGTGACCTAGATCCTTTCGTCTATCTAAATTATGCTGGTAAAGATCAGGATCCCATTCGCAGCTACGGCGCGGCAAGCGTTGCTCAATTGCAAACAGTCCGGAAGCGTGTTGATCCCAAGGGGGTTTTCACGAGTCAAGTGCCCGGTGGATTTAAGATCCCGCCTAAAGCGAACGTGTAGCTGTAAGCTGAATTGCATTTGGCTTGAAACGGTTCACAAAGCGCTTCTGGTGGAACTGGTACTTTTTAATATTTCTGGTAGAATTTCCTCATGAATCTAATGTTTTTATTGAAGCACGGAAGCTAGTCTGAACTGAAAGAATATACACTCATTGCACTGACGTCTATATCAGACCTAGGAGAGCTGTACAGTAACGCCTAGACTTTCGAAGTATTCTGGTCCTGACGCATCCGACCTATAGAGACTAGTTGCAAGTACTTCCCTTTTTTGTTTTCATGCACAGTGCGAGAGCCAATGCTGTCGCCAGTTACATGACCTGTGTCATGATTCTGTTATTCAGTAAGGCTTCCCTTCTAGAAATCCTTAGTTACGGTCTAGACCGTTCGCTGACCAGCAGTCTACTATAAAAGGTAATTACAATGACGCCAGAAACTTGCTCGATTCATATTTCCCGATCCGAGCGTGCAGTGCGATTGGAGGGAAGACTCCATGAGAATATCCCTGTGTTCTGTAAACGTAGCCGAACTTCAAAAGGGGTAAGCCGCTGGCGCATGATCGAGGACCTTGAAAAAGTAAGCTCCCCAAGCCCACCGGAGGAGGAGCATGCCGTAACGCCTCATGCATTCCATAGATGAGTAGGTTAATTTGACATGTGGTGTGTGAGCGCGTAATCCGGGTTCTGATCAGCTTTACCCCCTGGCGAATTACATTTTGTTCTGCTCTTATCCGTTCTCGCTTCTACAAATGCATGTAAAGGTACGGTCCGAAGCCCTGCAACGTGCAGCAACAGATTGGGAGTACCCAGCAGTGAGAATACGACGCCGTTGATACAAGTCGTATCATCCATCCATTGTGTTGGCATCGCTTATCCACAAACCCATCCCTCACCTCACCACCCCCTCACCTCCATCCCCCCGGGTTGCTTACCTGGGGCCCAGAAGTCGCGCTATCTCCGCTTGTGGTTACAGCGCGTCTGTGCCACAGGATACTTGATGCTTGCTGCAGGTAACCCGTTATCAGGTAATGAAAATGGATATTAATTACAGCAATTGGAACATTCCCATACACGAGAGCCACATACATGATAAGTTGAAGCGTATTTACCCCTACACATGCACTTGATATGATTGGATCAGGTCAAATTCTGCATATGGAGATTGCTACCATCTGCACTTCCGAGCCATCGAAAAATGATTGTCAGAGAGAGTGCAATTGACCTGTTGAATAAGTCTCCACGATGCAGTCGCAATGCAATGAGTCTGGATCGGCTTAGATATCCCTGGCGCAAGGTGCATCTAGCGAGGTCATAGCTATCCATTTTGGGACCGCCTTAAGTGTATGAAAAAGGGGGCCAAAAGTTTCAAAATCTATATACTGATACAACACGACATATGCCTGATTGGAGGACCTTTCATGACGCAGCTTCTGTTCATTGGTGGTTTATTGGTGTGGTAAAGGTAACTGTAATCTTAGGTATGTTCGGAGACGTATATCCCCATTGATGCTGGGAGATTACTTAACTACGCTGGCTGGGGTGTGCGCGGTAACTTGAAACCCCCAGGAACACGATGCGTAAAAATATTTCCGGGGTCGTATCTCTTCTGTATCTTGATCAACTTGTTGACGTTATCCGCTCCGTAGCTTGCAATTGGCTGCTGCCACGGCGCAGCGTAGTTGAGGTATAGGAACGGGTCGAGAGCGCCCAGCTTGCCAACGCGCTGCGCGATGTCTCCAATCAAGGCCTTTGCCGCAGCCGCAAGCCTATCGTCGTCTTCAGCATTCAGCCATGTCATGCTCAACTGCACCACCAAGAGAGATTTGCCGTGCCTCTTTGAAAGCCCAAGCGCGTTGTCATTTGGGTTGTGCTGAGCATAGAATGTTGGTGGAAGCGGCTCAAGGACGAGGCTCCAGATGACGCCAGGAACGTCTTGCACAGAAGGCACACTTGTATTCCAGGCCTGTACACTGGCGTTGATTGCTTCAACCGTAGGCTCGATAGTGAGAGTGGCAGATGCTTGTCTGGAGTATGGATTAGTTATCCGCCGCCGACATACACGTAAGGGTACATACCGCAAGCCGTCCTCCTGGAGCGACTGCGTCTCGATTGACAGGTCTGTCATGTTGGTAAGACGCATAGTATTATATATCGATGACAAATTTGACAGTGATTGGAATACTGGGGGGTTTACCACGGCCTTCGTATACTCCATATTGTTGACTATGGCGGACATTCCTTGGGCCCCCGAGTATCCAAAAGTGGTAATCAGCGACGAGTACTTGTCGTATGTATCGGATGCACTGAATTCAGAGAGAGCAATGATCTCTTCGTCTTCCATATCAATCACATGGTAGACGACGCCTCCCCAAATTTCCGCCTGCTCAAATGTCCGCAGGTTTATCTTGGTCACCACTCCAAAGTTGTTCGTGCCACCGCGCAAAGCCCACAACAAGTCTTGGTGTTGAGTTTCATCAGCAGTGATAACGGACCCGTTGGCCAGAACCACTTCGAAACTCGTGGCCGTATCGCATGTCCAGCCGTATCGAGGGCCAAGGTAAGAGATCCCACCTCCAATCACCAGGCCGCCTACACCAACGCCGGCTGACCGGCCTCCAGCGACACTCAGGCTCGAATGATCAAGCTGAGAGTAGATGGCACCCCAAGTAGCCCCTGAGCCGACAGAAACACTGGAATTATCCGAGCTTGTCTCAATACTGTCGAGCCCTCTCAGGTCGATTGTCACTCCACTTTGTATATTAGACGCCCCAGCATAGCTTGAGTGCCCGCCGGACCTGATAGCAAAAAGGCACTCAGGAGCTGTGGTAGTGGCGTTGGCGAGAACGCGCAAGGCCGTTGAGACATCATCGGTTGTGTCCGGCGCAACGATGCACTTGGGTAAGACGTCGGCTTGCTGCAGGGAAAAGTAGGAGCCGAGGGACGCCGTGTAGGCTGCACTTCCGGGAAAAGAGACCTTTCCTTCGAGCAAAGTGGATAAGATCAGGCACTGGCACGGAAGAATATGATCAGCTCGTTTTCATCCCAAGCTGCCCAGGTGACTGGACGCAAAAAGTGCTTACGCATGTGCCCGCAGTATTCATCACATTAGCCATATCGTTGTTAGGGGGTTTCCAAGACCATGACAATTTGTTTCATTGTTAGATTGTAGTATTCTCTTGAATCTCCATGCCTTCATGTTCGGTGCATATGTTAATGATCGTCGATGACTAAGGGCATACTTACTTACCTCGGCGGTTGTCATTGACTAATGATACACTTAGGTGTAATCTGCCTAAAATGCAACAACACTGCGCTGCAGGATTAACGCACATATCGTATGCCGGCTATTTGTGGTATCGAGACGCTGGTGGCCCGTCTATTACTGACTTCGGTCCTGGAAATGATACATAGCATGATGTCCTAGCGTTGTATTTTTAAGTATTGCATCGGCCAATCACCCAAATCTAACTAGAATGCCTTTTTGCTATAGGACACCGATCTGCGGGATCAAGATCCGCAAACGCGCCCGGTGCCGCCCCCACCTGTTCGTCTTGATTGAGTTTAAAACCGACCTTTTCTGCTGCGCCGTTGCCTCTAAAGTCACACTGCAGCCAGGATATATGTGCGCGGGAGCGGGCTCAAGACCGAGTTGAGAATCAAGCTGTCACAATCGTGATAACATGCTGTTATTCGAACATGCGTTATGACCACACCCCAATCATCGGTCTTTTCGGGCGGGCCTTGCCCCCGGCAGTGCAGGTGCCGGGGACTTTGCGACGAAATTACACAACCGCATACGCGCGGTGCAGTGTGACTGGCCAGTTCGACTAATGGTCGCAGGAGCTCTATGATTGAGCCCGTAGTTGGATGCAATGCTATCTCACTTGCAGACCAGTTGACCTTATCGTTCCATGAACGGGAATTTGTGTATGCAGACGTAAAATGTACTATGTTATAACGTCTAGAGTTGGCGGCATGGATGGTAAACATGATACAATTTACTTGCTTCCTATCGTGCCCAAAAATCCGCGACCATAGATAACTTCGTGCCCCGAGACACCCTGAGCTTGAGTAGTGAATCTAATATCTTCCTCTTCTCTCCGCACAAGTTAGAAAGTTCACTTTGCGCGCGATCATGTCACTTTTGTCCAACGTCACCATCCCTTTCGAGGATATCCCGCCCAATTCCTCTAGAAAGGTGGAAATTGATGCCCCTACGAAGGTAGTCACCTGTCTACTATTTGCGCTGCTACTTTGGCGAGCATGGAGGTTTACCATAATTCCTTTGTTGCACCCGAGCCGTCCTAAGGAGTTTGCCTACTGGATCCCATGTAAGCTTGCTGCAGAACAACAACTAAACGAGTTTGTACTGATCAGATCGTCACCTAGTCTTGGGCAAGTGTTCTGATCCGCCTCATGCTTAGTCTTCAGTGACTAATAATGTATATGCAGGTCATGGCCGGGCCTTTTTCCGAGATTCAAACGGTCTGATTGCTAGAGCTAAGTAAGACAAAAGTTTGCAAGATCTGGTAAGCCTCATGCTTATTGGATTGGCCAGACAACATTTTGATGCCCGTGAACCTTTCGCATTGACGGCTTTCGGGGTGACTTTCTATGTGGTGACAGAGGCAAAACACTCCGCCGAAGTCTATCGAAACACGGAGACGCTATCTTTTGAGGACTTCGTACAGACTCTCATGAGAACAAATGGTAACAATGAGAGCGTTATAAAGACCATGTATTCTGCACTGCCTGTGGATAAGGCTGGCTTCCCAAACCCCCAAGGCGAGTCACTTGGTGTCTTGGCCCAGAGAATGCATGCCCATCAGCTCAATCCAGGCAGTGAATTGGTCATCATCCAACGGAGGGTTCAGGCCTGGATAGACGGCCATTTACACTTAGATCCGCTACGAGAAATATGCACATACGCTAGCCCTCAAAGCTCGGTACATATCGAGCTCCCACTTTATCAGTGGTGCTCTGACTACTTTATCCGATTAGGACAGCAGGTCTACTTTGGACAATTGTTGGACCAGGTTGACCCCGGGCTCCCAGAAGCTTTCTTGGTGTTTGACGAACTTATCTGGAAGATGCTGTACCAATACCCCAGCTTCGCATCTCATGATATGTCATGGCCGAGAGCCCAGGTCATCGCGTCACTCAAGAAATACTTCCAGACTCCCCAGAGCCAGAGGAGGGATGGCGCTGCGTGGTTAGTCAATACTCTGGAAGACGAAATGAGGGCACTCGGAGTCGACGACGACAACTTGGCCGTCGTGATATTCCATATTTACTTGGCGTCAGTCTTCTTAATCTAACAATTCCCTCGGGCGACCGGCTAACTACTTACAAGAATTAATACCAACACCCGGAAGACTGCTTTCTGGGTAATTGCTTACCTGCTGTACAACCCTGCCCACTTGGCGGCATTCCGCAAAGAGACAGAGGCAGCTTTTAGCGGTGATAGTCTAGTCGACCCCTTTTACATACAAGATCCGGCCAAGTGTCCGCAAGTCGACCGCATTTGGCACGAGACGCTCCGACTCTCTGGATGGGCGGCCTCGGTCAGACTCATCATGCAGGACACGATCATCGGCGGCAAGCTGATGCGCCAAGGCAACCGCGTCATGGTGCCGCATAGGCTGCTGCACTTTGACGAGGGCGTCTTTGGCGAGGACACGCACGTGTTCCGGCCCGAGCGGTGGGAGAAGGAGAATCTAACGCGGAGCCCGTCCTGGCGGCCATTTGGGGCGGGCAAAACCATGTGCAGCGGTCGGTTCCTGGCCCGCTACTCGGTGACGGTCTTCGTGGCCACAGTGCTGCGACGGTTCGACGTCGAGTTGGTAGGGAACCCTCCATTCCCGCATGCCGATGAAGGCAGGCCGGTGTTGGGGACCATGTCCATCAAGGAAGGTCACGATATCAAGGTGAGGCTCTCACCGAGGGCCAAATTTGATTGAATACTGTGTTGGAATGTGGACAACGTTTTCTTTCTTCTCCCTTTTTCCTTCTACTTTCTCCTATTACATTTCTTGTTTTCTTCTCCTTCTTCTTTTTCTGCTCGTTTCTTTAGCCAGTATGAGAATAGAACACCCAGCCGTTGCAGAGTAGTATTAGAAGGCCGCATCAGTGACATGGACTAACCTTAGATACTTGACGTGTGCCGATAACGAGAGCCGTCTGGCAATGGTGCCACAGCAGCTACACCAGAAGAGGAATAAACGACGCAGCAATTGCTATCTCTTGCGGACCCAATGCAACCATCATACGTTTGCATGCAACGCGAGCCGTGATCAAAGATGGTTCCAATAAAGGAGCCATGACAACGGCTCCCGCCGCTGGGCTGCAGGCATCATTAGGCAGCCCTACTAGTCCACCTGTCAATTTCGGCTCCTGTGGACCGACAGTATCGACCCAGAGCTTCGCCTTGAGTATGAGTAACACGAGATAACATGACCTGTACATGACGTGCAGCTCGCCCGACCTACCATACATGAGCTATGTAATTATCTGATCCGTGTAATCCGTACTGTACTGTGTTTGCGCATGTCCGTTGCGTGATGTTAGCGCAGCTCTTTTGGGTTAGTGCTGGTTGATCTCGATGTTGGTCAGACTCTCATCGGGCGGTGGTTAAGCTTTCCCGAATGCAACCCACCAGATGGATACGGTAGTGGACATTCCCTCAAGAGTGTGTACGAGTACGGATTCGAACTAAACTAGTCTAGGTTACATATGTAAGTATATCGGTATACGCATGTCGTGTATGATGGGTACCTACCGTGGCTCGCCAAAGGTTATAACTACCATCTGCGTAACCTAGTAGTGTCTGATACGTACGAAGCTTGGATAGTTCGGTGCTCGTCGCAGTTGTGCGTAGACATGTACCGGCTTTCTTCCCCCTGTCATCTGGGCTTGTTTGCTCTTATTTACGCAAGGGAGCTGAGCAGTCATTTAACCTTGTGAGCATTCACTGCGGTGAAACCTCAGTCGGTCAACGGCCCCCCAATTCTGACGTTTACGCGCTCCCTTCAACCCCAACTTCCCATACCACGCATTCAAGAAGCACTTTTCCCTTCGCTCGCTTTTCTCCCTTCATGGCCGCGTCTGCGAACAGAACTTGAGGAGCAATCTTGAACTAACAATCCCACCGCAACTATTGACGACAAATTTGACTGCAATGGCATCCGCCAAAGGAACCATCCTTGTGACTGGGGCGAATGGTGGCCTTGGAAGCGCCATCGCCAAGCAGATCGTCTCTAAACCAGAGCTTGCCGCCTTCCACGGCCTCTACACGGTCCGTGACTCCACTGCCGCGCCCGCCCTCAGCTCCGTCCTTGCAGCCAACCCGTCGCATCCGCACGATGTCATTTCACAAGACCTCACGAATCTTGCTATCGTTCGCCAAACGGCCTCGACCATCAACGCTCGTATTGCAGCAGGCGAGATCCCGCCCATCCGGGCGCTAGTCCTCTGCGCCGGATCCCATGATTTTGGCAAGCAGGCTTGGGACGATGACGGTCTCGATAAAATATTCAGCAGTAATTATCTCGGGCAATGGCTATTGACGCTTCTCCTATTAGGGAGCATGGACAAAGAGCACGGACGGATTGTGGTGATTGGAAGCCAGGCCCATGAGTAAGTTCTTCCCACCCCTGTTAATAAACACGCATAAGCTGATATGAAGGCAAAGTCCCTACGATAAGCGGAACGTATCGAGCAAGGCGTTCGACGACGACAAGTATAAGACGATCATCCAAGACGAAGCAAGCGTTGAGGCAATCGCCAGAGGCAACTGGAGCTCCGCCCAGGAGGACCCGTCGTTCCGAGGAGGAATCCGCCGCTATGGCGCCGCAAAACTCTTCTTGATCATATTCCAGCACGAGCTGCAGCGCCGCCTAGATCATGACCCCACGCTCAAGAATATCTGTATTCTGGGCGTCGACCCCGGCACCATGATCACCGGTCTGCAGCGCACCGCCCCATGGTTTATCCGTGTCATCATATTCCAGATCATTTATCCTATTATCGCGACTCTTATGCCCAACGGGCCAGTACGGAGCACCCAGAAATCGGCGTCCCATGTCCTAGGAGCTGTGTTTGACTCGAACCCGGAATGGGGTGAATATCCAAAGGATCGATACTTCAATGGAGCCGAGCCGTTTGAGACGAGTACCGAGTCGAGGGATGTCAAGAAGGCACAGCTTGTATGGAAAGTAAGCGCGCGCCTAGCGCACTTGGTGGAAGGTGAGACGTCACTTGTTGATTGGCAATGACCATACGGCGATGTTGTCTGGGCTTCTGCAATCGTCAGACAAATGCCGGCAGTCAGGCGTAGCTATTGTATTCTATTTGGTGGACGCCTCCTCCAGACATGTCAAGTTCCAGTTGGCAGCTATGTCCTCCAGCTGTATAAGCCATCCAAGCAAACGCGAGTTTAGTAAATCTAATGGGTTGGCCCTAGACGATCCATCCCATTCGACAGAGCACTTGTAAATGCATAAAAAGGCTTGCAGGAATACCGTATGAAGAAATGGATGCACCCTGACCACCTCTCCATGCGACACAACACCTACCTGTATGCTGTCAGCGTAGCATGCATTATCAATCATCCACGCCCGGTGTGAATTTAGCGTGAATAGGTAGGGATTAATTTTCCCCACATGCAGACCGTCGGGTCGCTAGGTTAGGACTACATCCTGGGGATGTGACTTGCGTGCCCAATCTAGCTTGCATTCCGAGCGATATGCAGATTGTTATGCTGTGCCTCAATTTGGCCAACATGTTCTCGTTGTATCTCTTTCCGCTGCATTTCCGATTGGCGGGCTTCCGTATTACTTGGTTCCAGAGGTGGGAAAGGATCGCATGAGTAGGACGTACAAGCATATCACACTTTAATCTATTAGCGTCCGTTGTGCTCAAAAGGAGAAGCAAACGGCCGAATTCGGTACCACGACCCCCACCACCAATACTGGTTGGTACTACTGAGTCTACTGTTGTTACTAGGGTCACTGACAGCTATGAAAGTTGCGTGATTGGTGCACAGTTCGTGGTACATACAGCAATCCTGGCACACTCGGCCTCCTACTGATTATGATTATGCTACATCGAAGTCAGGATATCAACACCCAGATATCTCGCCACTCAGACCCAAAGGTTCACTTTCCAGGGAATTATTCACCTCAAGCGGCCAACTAACGCGGTTGTCGATTCAGGTCGATATGGCAAGCTTTTCCGTCTTGAGTGTTTCCATTCTCGTGATAATATTAGCCACCCTTGTGTTCCGGCAACAGAGACCAAGCAAGCTGAAACAACCTCCTCGACTTGATGAGACAGTTCCTTATGTGTCCAATGCCTTGCAGTTCCTAACAAACAAGAAGGTGTTCATGACGAGACTCAGGTAAGTTCCAGATGGATATATTTCGCTCTTGGAACATTATTAACAGAATCCTGGTCACCCAGGGAAGCCCTTGATGCCAGTCAAATTGTGCAATGTCGCCTAGGCCCGATGAATATACATTTTGTTACGGGCGGCAACAATGTCTCGGCCATCTTCCGATCCTCGTTCACGTCGGAACCTTGGATCCTGAGTGTGCTTAGACACTCCGGAGGCTACGCCCCCAAAGACCTGGCCAAGTTTGCTGCGGACCAGTCAGGTAGTGCTCATCTACCGCGCAGCGGTACTACTGCCAAAGATCGATCGCTACCGGCGCCGGAGGAGCGCATTTGGCACGCCAAGACTCGCCTGCACGACGAGGCTCTGATCGGCCCGCGCGCTGTCGACGCCTTTTCGGCCGCGTTCCAGACTTTCTTTGGCGACCAGCTCACGGAAGCGTCTCCGGTCGGGAAGTGGGTCGAAGACGTACGCATTTTTGACTTCCTGAGGCAGAACATGTCGACTGCCGCGACGCGATCGGCCTTGGGTTCGCGCATCTTCGAACTCAACCCAGACCTCACCGAGGCATTCTGGGATTATGAGAAGTACGTCGAGTCTTTGGCGTTCGGGCTGCCGCACTGGCTGAGCAGGCGGGCCGTGCGGGCCAGGGACCGATTCCGAGGCATGTGTCTGAAGTGGTATGAAGACGCCGATCGTCAATTTGAATGGGACGGCGGGGAGCTGAATGAGGCCTGGGAGCCCCTGTTTGGGTCGCAAGTTTCTAGGGGCTTGGCTCGGTGGGTCAAGTCATTTGACTTCTCGGCCGATAGCATAGGAGGCATATATGCCTTGTTCCTGTTCGGGTGAGTCAACATTGAGGAGTAGACCGCCGGAGTCTTGATTGGCTGCTGATGAGAAGCCGTGTAGGCTTAACTCCAACACAGTCCCGATTTGCACGTGGATGATGATGGAAATCATCAGAGACCCGGAATTACTCCAGGCGATTAGGGAAGAGGTCTCACAAGCCGAAGTAATCGATGAGTCAGAGGGCAGATCGCTGGATTATCGAAAACTGGTGCAACTGCCGCTGCTTCAGTCCGTGTATGTCGAAGCTCTGCGCCTGCACGTGAGCATCCTCATCACGCGAACGAGCGTCGAGCCTGTCACGATCGGGGGGTTTAATGTGCCCGCGGGGTCTGTTTTCCAGGCTCCCACGCATGCCGCTCATCTTGACGAAACTATCTGTGAGTGCCTTTTTTTTTTTTTTTCCTCAAGAGGAGCCATCCGTGTTCAAGATGGCATCTCCTCAGCAACTGGCTACACACAAAAATGGAGCCAGCTTCGTTACAGCTTATTTGCTCAAGCTTTCCCACACTTGGTGATTACATTTACCGGCATATACGAATATGAGGACGCTGATCAACCGATAAATACAGGGGGCACGGCAGACCACCCAGCAAACGAATTCTGGGCCTATCGTCACGTAAAGGAATCTGAAATATCAGATGCTTTGGGTCATACCACAAAGCGCCGCGAGTTTTCCATGGCGGGCCGGGGAAGCTCATTTTTCCCGTATGGTAAGTTTTCTTTTCAATACTCCAAAGAATGATACTGTACACAGTAGAGAAACCGATTTCCATTTCTGGAACGCTGGCTTACAGTTGCTCCTCTGATTTTGTACAAACAGGCGGCGGGATTAGTATGTGCGCAGGACGTAATTTCGCAAAGCGGGAAGTGCTGATCGCTGTCGCCATGATCATCTCGAGGTTCGACGTAGAATTTGTCGACTGGATCAAGCCAGATGGGACTCACTCGGAGCGGTCTGCCTGGGACAACTCGGGGTATGCAAACGGTGTGGCGGCACCGCCTGACAGGGATATGAAGATCAGATGGCAAAGACTCTGGTAGACAAAATCTATTTTGGACGATGAACAACGGGTCCCAAGTAGCACTACATATCTTTATATACATAGATGAATATGACCGTTGATAGTGACAATCAAGCCTACATTGGAGATACATTCTTCTCAATGGTATTTTTAAATAACCCAACAATATTCGCTCTTGAAAGAATACGCCAGGCGCTACATGCATCTCAGAAATGACGTCGGTAGGATTCGGCCAGGTACGGATACAGTTCGTGCATCTACGATGAACGGACCAAACGGCACACAGAAGAGCAGTTTAAGATGCTTGATGGGATCTACGAGGGTGGGATTGAATATTTCAGGAAGGAATGACCTGACAGAATAAAGTTACTTTCAAGTCATTAAATTGAGGTTGCCTTATAAGATCAAGAGGATATTTATTATCTTCGTTATGGTACCCAAGCATCGACTCAGAAGATCAATGTCGTTGTATTTGGTCTCAGGACGAGAGCGAGCATATTGTGGAGAACTCTGGCCACGAAATACTGAAGGGTGATGCACGTAATGCCAGAACCTTGGTCAGTCAAGCCGTGCTTGTGCAAGTCGTAGCAGATGACATTGTATCCAGCTTCATTTAGTGCCATAGAGTCAGGCAAAAGGTTTACTTTAAAGCCGCCAAGTCCTCCATAGGTCTCCAAATGGCCAGGAAAATCTTAACTATTATAGGTCACCGAGTGACTGGCTACAATGATTCTTTTAGGATTGGGTGTAGGAATAGACCAACGCTCCGACATGAATTATCAAGCGAACGGGAAAATATGTCGTCATATCCCATACCACATTCATCTGGTCGGCGGAGGACAATAGAACGCTACCGACTTTTGAACAGATATGCATATAAAACTAGATCAGTTGACTCATTGCCTCTGGAGTTCTATCACCATTGTTCTCGTCTTGGGAAACAGGTATGCACATATTGACCTATGGTAACAAAGATTCGGGGAGTCTCGTCGCGGACGTGTTCATTGACTGAACGACTTAGTCGAGTCCGGGAATTCCTGGACTGCGAGTTTATTTTATTTGCATAGTACAAGGATAGCAAAGCTAAAAGGTAGAGTTCGGTCCGAATTATTGCGGGAAGTTCTAAATATCCACATATAGTTGGAAAGCTCTGAACCGTGTATGATCTCCTTTTATATTGGCCTAGGCACATTTAGTATCCGCTATTCTTACTTCGAATAAACCCTAAAGTAATGAGCGGAGTATGTTAATCTCGACCGGTTGTTTCCTCTTAGTAGCCTATTGAGGCTTAAAATTAGTGCTGATTAGCGTGATTAGTCACTTGATACGGTCCAATCATTTAGCCGGAGATCTTTGCTTACGATTACCATCTAATTAGCCTATGGAGTGTGGGTATCAAACTTCTGAATCGAAATCGAACTTATAACGCCGTTTCGGATATGCAACCTTTCTATTGCATGAACCCATTGATCTGCAAGGGTAGTTCATTCACTTTCTCTTTCCTATTTCCATGATATATCTCTTCTGGCCTCATGTCGAAATTAAACGTCTCTATACATTCGTCACCTAATCATAAGGACGCTCGAAGTCGTCGAGACATTTTTCCAAAGGCTGCTTCTCCATGTTGAAAAGGCTTTGGTCGTCATTGACATGGTGTAAATCATACCGTGTTCAAATTATGTTCAAGAAGAGTTCTCTAGCTCTGACGTAGACTTGCAAGGATCGTTGCAATCACGCCAGTGACCGAGGTTTTGTATAATCATGCTTGGAAAAAAACACACGACAAAAACAACCTCACTGTGTCATCAGATCATTGAGAAGGATACTCCTGGGAGACACCACCTTGGCCGTCTATTTGGTCCGAAACTGTGGATCGATGTCCAAAAAGGGTCCCGGCTTTGGGGGTAGTTACGCGTATTGTTTTAGAGTTTCATCGTGAGCTTTGACCTTGGGCCAAATAATGGATGCCCCTTATAAAGGAACTTTCAAGCCTTAGAATCAATGTCACAATGGGCTTTTCACTGAGGCATGTAGCTTTACATTTGAAGTTCGCTGCTTAGTCTAAATGTGGCTTGGCAAGCAAGTGCGTCCCACGCGCCAGCTTTTGACGATTTACTGTGTACTTCTACTAAACGATGCTCTCGTTCGAGTACATATGTATCAATAATATAGCTACACCGAGCCAGCAAATATGACGAGACGAGTGGAAGCATCTCGAACAGCTTGACGCTTTCCACCTTCAGGCTGATCTTAACTCGTTAGTTTTCCTTCCTTTCGTATGTGGTATGAGCAATGCTCATTTCTGAGCGATGTCCAATTCGATGCGACTGGGATGCACATTGGCCGCTTTTAGAAGCTCGTCCACCCTTTTCTGCTGCCTGACTGTATGCATCTTCATCCATAGACTGCCTCGGTGCTCTGTCCCATAGATACTGTAACATGAATCTGACCTCTCTGTTGTCATAGGTGGGGCTGTTCTAGTTGATAGCTTCAACCGTAACCTTCTACCCTGGGAGGACATCTGGTTCTTGAGGGTCATCTTGATCCTTGCTGTCGGCCTTGCACTCCGCCTGGCTTAGCGGGTCAAACTCGACGCGAGCTATCAACTGATCCCCGCTGGACCAGTCGGTCTCTTTGAAAATGTAAGTGAGGTTGTGGTAACGATGCCGAACCGTGTCGTATACGGATGACGAGACAAGTCTGGGAAGTCTACCAGTGGGCTCCGCGTTCATTGATACAAACTCAACTTGGTTCTTGAAGCAGCCCCGTAGCTACTTTTCGGCCCGAAGGTGGCTGATACAATTGTTCTCACTGCCCCTGGGAACAAAGTAGAGGTCAAGGCGGTATTCGGCATCGTTGGAGCCATACAGCGGGTCGTCAGCTACAGCCGCGTATATGTCCTCTGCATCAACATTCTCCGGGGTAATGTTTGGGTGCTCGGAGTAGATCGCATAGCTATAGAGCAGTGGAAGAGGATTGGTTGCCCGGCCGCGCCAGACTGAGACTGCGCAGCTACCAGTATAGTCCTGGAACGCGAGGATATGACTCTTTGTCCTGTAGGCAGTCTGTCCGCCGGGGCCAATACCAGATGTCATGGCTTGAGGGACTGGTAGCATATTATCACGATTTATTAATATGGCGTAATAACTTTTCGTCTCTTTAATGGACTCATTCTACGCACGTTACACAAGCCACCTTGGATGGCGAATCTAGTAGATGTCTGTTTCCGCCCTACGCTGTCCGGACCGTCCATCCTCATAGGTTTTTCGAAACCGGCTGTTGTCAGGTCCTCGAAGTCCCGAAGCATACAGCCCAAGCCCGAAGTCTAGAGAAAGCGGGCAGCTACCAGCCTCCGACCTAGGTTAAAATCTCAGCACGTGTAGTAGTTCTCTGACGATTTGGTGGACCGTTTCGACTGGTCCAAGGGATCCCACTTCAGCCGCGTAGCTTCCAATGAATTATGGCGCGAATATAATCACGATCAAATCGTTTTGTATGGCCTCGTTAGGGAATAGCCTCAACCAATGTGTAATCAGAAGCATTTTATCACGTATACTAGTGTAATACCCTTGATTAGCAGTAAAATCGAAAACAGCCGAAATGGAAAACCTGTCATATCTTGCGTAGATATTAAACACTATGGTCGCCCGTGAACGCTGAGCAACTCAATTACGTTCTTAACACTGTAGTAGGTTAGCTGTCTTTAGGGCCTTGCAAATTAGATCGTGTCTTTGATCTTCGGAGAATTCGGATATATTCCTCAAGAAACGCTTGGCGCGATGCGCAAGGGATCATCCTTGATATACAGTACCATCTGCGGCGCCCACAATCATCAAATTTTGAGGGCCTGTCACTAGGGAACGAAACTGTACGAGATTTATGATTTTCCACGTTATTTCTCGATCCTCGTAAATCACCGTTAGATAACGAAATTTACCACCACTCAAATCAGTGATCTTTACATAGTCTCCACGTGATCCTCACATGACCCACTCGAGGCTTGGGTAGGAGTCAAGTACGAATTGTCTTACAAAATCCAACTAAACAAGGAAGGTGCCCGTGCACTTGCGCATGGACGGTGATTTTGATAATAAACCACGATATTTCCTAGATAAAATACGAAATGTACTGGGCCGTATTTTATTTTTGGCGTTCCCTACCTGTCACAATTCGCTATGCTGGCTAGCATCAAATTAAATGCTGAGCGTACTGAGACCCTTCGTGAGCTCTCGGGGCAACATGCCCTTCAAACTAGCAGTAGTGCTGCTGAGTGAAAGTTGGCATGGGGGAATGCGCTCTCGGCATGAGCCTTTATGAACCCCAAATATATCCACTAATCCAATCATCGATACAAAGTCTAAGCTGTTGTCGCTGAGAACAAAAGAGCCCAAAAAGCTGTTAACTGAACAATCAATTTTCCGGCGATTGTTTGTTCTTTAATGTCGATATGAACCATTGTGTCCCTCTGCGACGTCTGGCAAGTAGAATTCGACATGATTGCCCGCTCGATTGAAGACTTGTGCTATGCTTTATAATATATGATGGCATTGGAACTGCAGATCTTGACTGACAAGTAGATCTTGGCAGCTTGGCAGCTTGGGTACCGTGCTCATTTCTGTATTCATGGTACTGTATTCATGGTGCGGTCACAAGTGAGTAGCTGTTGTGCTAAAAAGAATTCGTGGAATTCGTTAGATATTGACGCCGAGATGTGTGCATATATGGCAAGACTCGTTTCCGTGGAAATACGGTAGCCTAAAAGTCTACACCATACTGTGGGTCACCAAAAACGTCATTGTAAACAAGCTTTGGCGAATCCAGGAACCCGCCTTGGCAACGTGCAGGGCGAGATTAGCGACCAAGAGCGCTACCATACCCCCTCTGCCAAGCTGCCAAGGATCCCCCTAGGTTAGCATGCTATAATCCCCAGAAGAAGGTGGGCACAACCCAGCTCGACTAGTCACCAATGCAGAAGGCAAATGGATTTGATATCTGACCCAATGTCCTGCTCCTCTTGCACGTGCTCAAAAATGCTGAAAACAATTGGACGAAGCAGGAGGGCACTTGAACATGTTGAAATCGAACAAGTCTGACTGGTTGCCGACTCCCGGTCACCGACGGCCTTGGAGACAACATTGAGCGATGTTCCGGCCACGTCGGTTGCACTCGCAGCGCGATACCAATAGTCCATATAGCCGAGTCTACATCCGTGAAGAATGGCAGTCAGACGGTCAGTCCCTGCCTCTATAGCTCTCGCTTGACATCTTTGCCATCATGCATCGTGCCGCTGCTCTCGCCGCTGCCCTGTTGGTAGGCCACACTCAAGCTGCGCCCAAGCTCCAACGCCACGATGTACGCGACGTTGATGAGACCTACCCTTACACTGGGCCCGCCGTGCCAATCGGTGACTGGGTTGATCCAACCGTCAAAGGCAACGGTAGAGGCTTCCCCCGACTTGTCGAGGCCCCAGCTGTGACGCCCGAGTTCGCCAATCCTACAAACAACGTCAATGTGGTTTCGTTGTCTTATATTCCCAATGGTGTCCACATTCACTACCAGACGCCTTTTGGTCTAGGGGAAGCCCCATCAGTCGTGTGGGGTCCAAAGGCTGATAGTCTTGTGAACGAAGCAAGCGGGACATCGCACACATATGATCGTACCCCACCATGCTCAGAGCTCGTGGCGACACAATGCAGCCAATTCTTTCACGAAGTCCAACTCAAGAACCTGACTGCGGACACGACCTACTACTACAAGATTCAAGCTGCCAATGGCACTACTGCCTCGGATATTTTGAGCTTCACCACCGGCCGCGCAGCGGGTGACGTCAAGCCGTTTACTGTTGCCGTGCTGAATGATATGGGCTACACGAATGCAGGTGGGACCTACGAACAACTCCTCAAAGCAGCCTCTGGCGATACCGGTATTGCTTTTGCTTGGCACGGTGGCGATATCAGTTATGCTGACGATTGGTACTCGGGCATCCTCCCTTGCGAAGATTCGTGGCCTCTATGCTACAACGGCACATCCACCACACTTCCAGGCGGTGGTCCTATCCCTGAGGAATACTCGGTGCCGTTGCCGGAAGGTGAGAAGTCCAATCAGGGGGCCCACAGGGTGGAGATATGAGTGTACTCTACGAGTCAAACTGGGATTTGTGGCAGCAGTGGATGAACAACTTGACGGCTAATATCCCGTATATGGTTCTTCCCGGAAATCACGAGGCAGCATGTGGTGAATTTGATGGTCCCAATAATGAGTTATCGGCGTACCTGGATGAGGACAAGGCCAACTCGACAGCTCCTAAGAGCACCTTGTCTTACTACAGCTGCCCACCAACCCAGCGAAACTACACAGCCTACCAACACCGCTTCCGTATGCCCGGTAGCGAAACTGGTGGTGTCAGCAACTTCTGGTATTCTTTTGACTATGGTCTAGCTCATTTTGTCTCCCTCAACGGCGAAACAGACTACCCCTACAGTCCTGAGTGGCCATTTGTGCGTGATTTGTCCGGGAATGAAACCAAGCCTCAAGAGAACGAGACATTCATCACGGATAGTGGCCCATTCGGTACCATCGATGGTAGCTGGAAGACCAAAGAGTCTTACGAACAGTACAAATGGCTCAAGAAGGACCTCGCGAGTGTCGATCGCACTAAAACACCGTGGGTCATTGTGATGAGTCATCGGCCCATGTATAGCACAGAGAGTTCGTCATACCAGAAGTATATGCGAGATGCTTTCGAGGGCGTCATGCTTAACCACGGGGTTGATTTGTATTTGTCGGGGTGAGCTTTTTCGTCATAAAATATGTCAAGATGTACGGAGCTAATATCGATACTAGCCACATTCATTGGTACGAGCGCTTATGGCCCATGGGAGCAAATGGCACGATCGACCATGGTAGCGTAGCCAAGGGCAAGAACAACACATATTATACCAACCCAGGCGTCTCAATGGCGCACGTCATTAATGGCATGGCGGGTAACATCGAAAGCCATAGTACATTAAACGATGGCGAGAGCCCGGCCAATATCACTGCCTTTTTGGACGACAAACACTATGGATTTAGCAAGTTAAGTATCATTAATGGTAATGAGCTCAAGTGGCAATTCGTCAGGGGCGACGGTGGTGTAATTGGTGATGAACTCACCTTATTGAAGAAGACCAACTGCACCAAGAACAACAGGGATACTCACAGCTTTTAGATTGAATAATTACTCGAACGATAAATAGTAATTAAATTGGACTGGAACATGATATAGTATTCTGAGCAGGTAGACCTGTGATTCTGGTTCTACACTCGTTGTCCTTAGCAGATTCATCCCTTGTCCTAGTGGCCCTACTTCTTGATACAGGGAACCAATATAGACTCTCGATAGCTTGTACGTCTTGATGGTTCTATATGTGTGCTACAAAACGCAGCGTAGACTCTGCATTTTGCGAGATTGGTAAGAACCTCGCTTGAGAATTGATCGCGAAGTGAAATGCCAAGCGCGTCTGCGCAATGTAGGCCACTGCCCACTGAAACTGCGCGTAACACACAGCATTAGTCAACCAGAGCCCGTGAGGATGAAACCAGCGACCATGAGACTCTTTCTAATACTTTGAAAAAGATGGCTGAGAGAGCCAACCTCAGAGTTCTGACATTTTCTACATATCCTTGTTTTGCGTGAGCATGAGTGGTAACGGGCACAGGGTTACGAGCTCAAACTACTTGATAAAGATTAAACGCAGTCGCTTCAGATTGTGCAAAGCATCTTGTTGCTATGCGGAGAAGTGCTTTGAAATGTATCGCTGAGAATTGTAAGCCCTGCTCCTTTCGGTTCATAGATGCTCTCTGCAAAGCATTATGGAGCACGATTTCAACTTCCTAGGAATCCAACGAAATGTCCCAAAAGTGGAGCATACAGTATTGGTACACAACTGCTTCAATTTCCCGTTGATTATCTATTCTTGATTTCGCAAGTCAGCAGCGATACATGGCGAAACTTGACCTTCATTGATCTGTCCAGAAGAAACAATTATGTCTGAGGGCCTCAAAATGGATCTTGTCCTGGAAGCTTTGACCCAGTGCACAAGAAACCCAGCTACGCCGGAAATGCCCCCAAAATCAGAGTGTAACAGCAATATCGCATCCGCGAACTGGCATAGCACCTCGGAATAAAGAGCTCGGGCAACTTCAGCGAAGCTAGTAATTTGACGCTTTAACTCATGCAAAATGCTTGCGTCAGTGCCATTCGTGCTAGGTGACCGCTGCAAACAGTGAAGCTCACGGTCAAGATAGTTGCGATTGGAAAGGGCCGTGAACCGTACAGCATCAATCTCGGGTCGGGTACTACTTATCAATAAGTAGTTCTCAAGAAAGTACCTCTTCTGCATGCTTCCAATGCCTAGAATAACTTGAGGGCGATTGTTGGCTAATTTGTCCATTTGCGCATATGGGGCGAATGACTCATACACAAAGCCACCATCGACCCCACTATAAATAGATTATTTTAATTATAATAAAGAATCTTAATAATAAGATTATTATTATTTAAAGATCCTAGTAAAACTTATTAACACTTAGTTTATTAAAGGGTAAAACAAAGTTAAGAAATAAATTTTAACGAACTTCAAACCATTTGTTATATTCCTAACGTACGGAGTAATATGACTCTACTATATTCCCGTCCACTAAGATGACTTTTTATTCCATTTCCCGAAGATATTGAATAATTCATAAAAGGTTAACCATCCGTGCTTCCGAGAAGACCTAAAGAAAAATATCAAGATGAAGGAGATATCCAATATTGCTGCTAATACTTCTCATTCAACACAACTGATTAAGCCATTAAAGATTCCATCCGCAGTACTCAGCCCTGGCATTCAATCATCCCGAAATCCTGCCGTCAAGACTGGACATGTACTTTTGTGCCTTGGGAGGTTACTCTTCTTGGAGATAGTCGTACCGCAAGCTTCGCACCAACACCTGGGATCAGGAATTCTGTGTGCGACCGCCCATGGTTTATGGTTGGTGTGATAATGTGCATTGCGATCCTTGGGACAAGGAAAGCGTTGGTGGCACGTTGGGTTAGCTCGACAAGCCTTTGGCCTATCATGAAGCTTCTGATGCCTACTAAAGCATTTTGAATCAGCCCAAGTTACGCAAGTAAGGTTGGGGGGATGGGGTTGTAAGAATGGATTTAAATTGTAATTCCTCATAATACCTGTCTCAAACGGCTGCGATACACCTATCCAGTATTTCATGTTTTTGTGCATTCAGATGAGCTCTGTATAAACTCTAAAAACGACTCATATTGCAACAATAAGCTCTAAAAACGACTCATATTGCAACAATAAGGAAGAATACTGGTATACAAAAGTAAGATATGGAACAACTGATACTTACTTGTGATCCCGCCCATTCTTGTGCCACTTCTTGCAGCACCACTCATGGTCCAATCTATGTTTTCCTGTGTCTATCAGCAACATCCATACCAACGACATGCGAATATGAAGCTACCTTTATCATTGGTCTTGGACCATAATGTTGTTTTTTTATGATTATAAATAGGTAACATATCATTCTCCTTGTCGATCTCACGGTTTCCCGCACCCAATCCCGCATCGAGAGGAGCCAACCCACTGGCGTGGGAGTAGAGGCTCTTATCGTATGACGAAGCCCCTGCCTAATTGCATGAGCTGGGAGTGAACGCGGTTCCAGAAAGTGCACTTTCTCCGAAAAATGGTGGCTCCTGTAAACTAGTCGTGAAGCCATTGAACTCATCTGATTGCGGTGTTGAATTGGAGATTGCAGTATGAAAGTCTTCTGGATGTATGATATGCCCGATTCCTTCTGTAGTGTATGGCAATGGACCAAATGGTGACGTGTCTCCGTCTATGTTCCAAAAGTGATTACCAAACGGAGAAAATACATCAGGAGTGAGGCTTGAGCTCAATGTGAGGTTTCTACTAGCTTCATCCCAGTCTAAATGTTCTGATCAGTAAGTGAAATGTTGCGAATACAGTATTCCTGAAGATGATCATACTAAATGTATCGATGTCGTAGTAGTTTGCCATTTCATTAGAAATGTAACCGTTGTTCTTGATAGAGATTAAACTTGTAAAGTTTGCCTGGATACACAAATAGTTTCAGGCGTATCATTTCCATATACTTATACTTATCAACACTGTCATGAGATGAAAGATACCTGTATGTCTTACGATATGTAAGGGACTTAGGGCGATCAGACGCAGCCTCGTCGAATATCGCCCAACCAAAGTCAATGTTCTGCATGCGATAACATCAGTGCGTAGTATAGGCTCTAATACCTGCAATCCTCTCCAATAAGGTTGATTTTCTGCTATCATTAGTTCGATTAGTATCCACTGATCGTTTTGGTTGGGCTGATGTAAATCAAAATGTCTGCCACCACGATGCACCCCGCAGCCAATATTAATAAACCCCGCATCGATGGTAGGTCTCTTGCATATCTCTTGGAAGGCCTCTTCTTCCATGGAATTCCAAGTAAGGCATGAAAGGAGTGTCTAGGGCTACGATGGTAGGTCTCTTGCATGTGTCTTGGAAGGCCTCCTCTTCTAAAGAGATCCAAGGACGGGATGGAAGGAATGTTGAGTGCATCTTGCCAAAATTCAATGCGATCAACCTTTCTAGATACAAAGCGATGAGGCTTAGTATAAAGTCCCAATCCATTGCTGCCTTTACCACTCGATCATCTGAGTCCTTGATCACTCATCTGGGATTGCATCTGCAAGAAGAAACTTTGCTAGCGTATTCAATTGAGTCCAGAACCAAGATGTCTTCAATCAGCAGTAGCTGTAAGTACCATATTCATAGCAATACAGAACCATAAATCTAGCTAACATACGTAGTAGCTGATATCATTCCGTTTACTTCACGAGCGCTTCATAAGTTCTACGAACCTCTTGTCCTTCTTGAAGCTCTCAACGTTGCGGCAAAAGAAGCAGCAGGATACCCCACAACAGCCGAGTCTCCTGTAATCAAGGACATCAAAGAACTGTACCATACTTTCGTGTACAAGCTTGCTCATGTCTGTGACAACGTCAAAGGCGGCCATCATGGAGGGTCCATCACATCTATTATGATACTTTGCAATACTTCTGGAATTATTCAATACTACTTTGCATCGAACAACAGAACACAAGAACAACTGGAGACCACATCAAACTTCATTGATGACTTGCTACAACAGCTCAAGGGGCTACGAAGGAGATCCTCAAACCAAGGTCTACTTATTGACCCAGTACTCCAATCTGTGCTGCTCTTCAACCAACCAAGGATCACTGTTTATTTGAAACGACTAGATTTCCAGGCAAGAGAATGCCTAAAGAATTATTCGAGCCTAGAGCCGGAAGAGAGTGAGTAGATATCATCCTGGCATGGCGAAAACTTATAGTACTTCATCTGATAACCTTCACAGGTAGATCGATAGCCCACGCGATCAGCGACTTCCTTAGTTCTGCCAGACCTGAGACCCCGATACCAGTTGAGGGACCAGAGTGTAAGTTGTTCTACATCACCGATCAACTTCGCTGGGGATAACTTAATGACTCGGTGCGATTAGTCGTTACCAGGTGCAAAGTGTTGATTGACCAACTCATTACCATGCGCCAATCCCAAGTCGGTATTTTGATCGAGGCGCGAGCGCGTGAGGGGCGTATGCTGGGCTATAGAAGCCAGGAATGCTGGTCAGAATTCCAACATACCATGAGCCGCATTCTAGCCTATCCCCAATCCGTTCAGTTCTTGCGAAAAGCTCGGAAGAATTGGCCCGAACTCTTCGAGGACTATGAAATACATGCTATCCCATCGAGCTCACCTATACAGAGGCCTTGTAGAAACAAAAGTCAAACCGCTGACGGGATTGTCGGACGCATGACAAGGAAACAAAAGGAGATTGAAACCTTCAGGAGCTTTGTTGCCACACTGCAAAGCTTCAACCTCGATGCAAGGATCCAAAATCAATGGCGCAACGAGAGTTTTCGCCCCATTGTGCACTCCGAAATCATCCTTTTGGATTGGCTAGAGAATAATGGCGGCATCGAGCCTTATAGGTTCTTCAATGGCTGGATGTACATCGGTAGTAGTAAACCTACATGTAGGCTCTGCCACTACTATTTCGAGGCACATGGATCAGGGGTAGAACACCGTCCTAGCCATGAGAACCTCTACATCAGTTGGCGGTTCCCTGATGTTTTCGTATCTCAGGGCAACCAAGCACGAGACTTAAGGCAAGTAATGATGGATCGGATACTTGTCAAGATCCGCAAGGATGCTTTCCAGTTAGTGAGGCAGAAGGTTCCGCCAAGTTATAAGGAACATGACTCGAACACGTTCTCTGCTATGATTACATTTCGGGATAGCTATATGATAGATGAGAGGAGCGTCGTAGATATGGACGATGTCACCTCGCTCATGGGCGAGGTGTCGTTGGACAGAAAATAGGATCACTCTCTAGCTTTCTCTGAAATAGGAACCGTCGTCCGACTTGCTTGATAGTCCGGTCTTACTGTCATCGCGCTATCATGGCCATATCGAGATTTCCCAGACAACTCCCATCCTCTCTCAAGACCCAACATCATTTCTATTAACGATAACAGCAGCGACGAAAGTGGTGACGAAGACTATAATGATATGTTCCATACCACCAACAAAGGCACTCCCGACGTCGAACTAAATTTTGGTGGCAGCAATTCTATTAGCGTATGCGCAGCTAGTGCTTCGCCGGCATTCGATAACGGTGATGCCAATACCATTGCTACTGAATATGAGGTCTACGATGACGTAATTGATGCAGTCAGCGCTACTACGTCATTTGATAAGACGCTCCTAATACAGAAACGTACGGGATTGTTCACGCCAAAAGAGCAGTGTCAACAATCGAACTCTAGCATGCTCTCGGAGTAGAAGTTGGCGACATTAAATTTTTTGACGATAGCATACCCAATCTCCAAGACACGATTTCCGCCTGTTATGGGTTAGTAACTATTGACAAAGCAAGCGGTATTGTCTAACTGGTCCATTACACGACCCGGGAGTTCTTCGAAGGGCAAGGAGCTTGTTACCTTCTTGATCCGCATGCCCAGATTGCCAATACGTATGTTACCTACCTTACGTTCGATGTTTTCAATAATGGCCCGTGCAAGCATGAGCAAGACTTTTGAAAGACTTGATCAGTTTCCTCTTTACGATTATTCCAGTCATTATTAAGACTATCATGCAAACGCATTAGAAGAGGCCGAATTTGTTCTTACATTTTTAGGTTTGCCCAAGCAGGTAGAAAGCTCGAGCCAGGGTCTGCTTGCTAATATAAGATTGTGGAAATACCTCGAGCGAGCTCCATCTCAAGTAACTGCACTTCATGTAGCTGCCTATTTGGATTGACGAGAGGCTAGTCCGAACGATCTTGCATGAGTCTAGTGTGTATGCTCGGGATAGTCATCATCGGACGCCGCTGTCGTCTCTCTCGAAACATGGCGACGACACCATCGTGCGCCTACTTCTTAAGAAAGATTCTCAGGTCAATCTTGCAGATGAAGTCGGCCGGACGCCGCTGCCGCGTGCTACTAAGAATGGCCACGACGCCATGGTGCGCCTGTTTAAAGGCACAGGTGGATACCCCTGATACTAGGGTCTAAGACTCACTAAAAAAAAGAATAGAATTTACATAGAATTGAAGAATTGCATCTAAGTGGGTGAGGCCTAGCTTGATTGTAAGTCAAATTATCTGCAATTTGGCTAGCCACACAGGGATGGACGTTAATGCGAACACGGTGTTTTCTTTTTCTTTTATGCGACTATTTATTGGAACAAGGTACTGTAGTAATAGAGGTGAGATCATACAGCCGAAATCGTTAATTACGGAAAGGCTAAAAGAAGAACTGAAAAATTTCATGCCGCCACTGCTTAAGATCTCAGCCACTGTTTGAATTTCCGGAACCTTTTCCTGATAAAAAAGATTTATCGCCTTTTCCTTCATGGCCGTTTGTGCTGAGGGCGATGGAGTTCGGCCGGGTTCTTTTGGAACTGCGTCGAAAGAATTGAAATGAACTACGCGCCACAGAGGTTATTTCCTCCTCCTCTGCTTCCTGCACTTGGGCGTTGCTCAAGAGCCCTCGGTTATAGCTTCGAAACCTCTAGCACCAGTAAGCAGGAAGCATGGCCAGACTATGGCTTTGATCTCGGAGGATACAGTCTCTTCAAGATTGTCTTGACCACTACCTCGCGTGCTAGAAACTGGGTTTGGAGCTGTGTTACTTTGCTTTGCATTCGCAGGTCCATTTCGTGTTTGGTACAAAAGCGATGGTACTAAAAACCATGTTTCATGATGGTCCAGGTTAAAACTTGGCTCGACCCTATCTTTGAGAAATTGAAAGTCCGCCCACCTTGATAGCATTTGCTTACAAATTCTCTCCAGGGCGGCCTGAAAGTCTGAGTGCCTGTTTTCGGGAACCATGACTTTAAAATTGGAGAATATCTCATCAACGGCATTTTCAATGCGTGTTTCTCCATTTTGCTTCTGCAGTTCGACGTTCAAGGCAAGAAGCTCCGCCCGAAGATGTTGTTCCCTGAAAAAGTCATTGTCCACTAATTCGTCAAGTACTTCCGTGAGCCTTGATGATCACCTAGTGACGTCACTGGGCAAGTCTGTGGAACAAGAACAATGAGATCTCCAGGTGTTGGCAAGCATTCCCCAGGGCGCCGGGCCAGATAGGATTATATAATTACAGATCCACAGATCGATTAATACTTCTCCCCTCACGCTCTTTCTAATATACCACTTCAACCCATACCTCTCTGTATTAATTTGTCACGACTGGTAACAGCAACAAATAGGAGAGCTGGAAAGCGGTTCGATTTGTTGGAAATACCACAGCGCAATTAGCTAAAATCATTCATCATAATCTGAATGTGTGACAACTACCTAGCAAAAAGCATCACACTATAGTGACGACTGCCTCCTCGGCGCTGTCGTACCAATGTTTGGGCAATGCGAATATTGCCCCCACACGTTCCATACAACCAGGGTAACGAGTAGAAGTGCCCAGCACCAGCCCTACGTATTCTCGTCCGATACTTCCTATGAATGGGCTACATGATATTATGAAAACCGCTCCCGTCGTCTCCAACTCATTTGTGTAGGGCCCTTGACGCCCTCTTCGTACCAGAACCCCATAAGGGCCGGGAGTTGTCTCATAGGATAGCGGTCCATCAGTGCGGTAATGCTGAGGCTTACACTTTGTGCCGTCGAGCTGCGTGTAGAAGGCATCATGGTCCAACCGGCTATTTGATTTCAACTGACAACGTTTGAGCCGGCCCTGCAGTTTGATCGCACCGCCCGACACTCTGCCATACGGATCAAGACCATCCACCGTCGTCTGTACATCCAATACGGAAGCCACTGGCTGTGGTGATTTCAGTGGTGACCATAGAACACCCCAGTTCATCGAAGCCCACGACCATGTTGGAGGGCCTCCTTCCTGGTCATCGTACGCAAGCGACTCACTATCCTGTACAGCTAAGACAAGCCAGGGCATGACCTGCCACATGAGATCAAGCAGCAACGTTTCCGACCACAAGCCAGCAAGGTATCGGCTCGTTCGCGCCTGGGGCATCGTCCTCGCCGCTCCGCCAATGGCGGGCATCTTGTCGCTGCCAAATGTCAACTGGCGAGAGGTGAACGACCGCACAATCATGCGCCACTGGTCCGCAGGATCTATGCGGCTGATCGTGCCCGGCACCGTGGACGGATACGGCGGCAGCTGGTCCTCGCTCCGGCGGTGCGTCTTGCACTCGAAGACGATCGCGCCCGGCGTGAACTGGAGGTTGCGCGTGGCCAGGTACGCCTCCTGGAAACACCAGCCGCGGTTGTACAGAGGGCCGACGCGTTTGAGCCAGGCCCACGAGGTCGTGAAGGGCGGCTCAAGCAGTCCTTGCTCCAGGGACGCCGCCAGAACGTGCCGCTTGCGCGCGATGACGGGTACTGTGACGCCCGGCGAGGCGGGGAAATTGAAGGTTTTGGAGAGCCATTCGTCCTCTCTTGGCCCCAGGATGGGCGTCTCCGGGTTCGGCGATGAAGCAGTCGTGACGACGACAAAGGCTTGGCTGTAGACGTCTGCCATCAGGGCGGCCTCCTTCTCCCAGTCAGTCTTGTCGTCTTGGACGATACACAATGAGTCGATCCAGAGGTATGGTAACTGCAACTCTCTTGCCACCATGATTGCATCCTTGAAAGTATTCGGCAGTTCGGATACATCAATATGCTTCTTGAAGTCTTCCAGTTGAGACGTTTTCAGCGACAGTGGCTTGCTGCCACCCCAGCAGTGGCTGAGCGCAACGTAAGGGACAGCTTCCGGCCAGGTAGTGGTTTCGCAGAGTCGGAGTCCAGCATCTCCTCCGCCGACATACAGAAGCCGCGTGGGCTTGAACCCCTGAGCCGAAGTCCGACAACCAGGGTGCTCATGACAGCACTGCCATACGCTCTCCTTGACGAAATTCATACAAGCCTCAGAACGAGTATCTGTTTGCCGAACCACTGCAGGACCCAAAGCCGGCAAGCCCGGCACGTGGTTTGACAATACGGCCGGGTCGAGATAGACCTCCACGTCGGCACGAGCTTCCTTCCAGTATTTATCATGCACGAATCCAGTCGTGGTCACGACGAGAGGCGCCCCCCGTCTGATCATCAAGCCGAAGCTGACAGGCATCGCATTTACGGTCTCCGTGACCCAGCTCATCCACTCGTCGATGAAGAAGGCATCGAAGATCTCGCACAGAAGCCGGCAATACTTGCAATCCCTCACGGGTGCGCCAGTGTTCTTGTCGATCTCCCGGCTCTTCAGCAGCTCCTTCGTCGAGAGCTCCTCCAAGGCCAGGGCAGGGACGCCGCCGTCGGCGGCGGATCCCTTGCCGACCAGGCTAAAGTTATTGTTCGTCTTGGCCCCCGAAGGCGTCCAGACGAGGGTGTTCTCGTGGCCCTCCGGCTGCAGGTTGTTGCAGAGTAGGCAAACGCCGTTCTTGCCGGAGTTGTACTGCCGCTTTGCGTAGCGGCCCAGCCACACCGTGGTGTCGGCGGCGACGCGCGCGCCTTTGGTCAGGTCGTCGAGAGCGCTGAACAACTTTGGCATGATTGCGGGACTTGAACGAGCATGTTCAGAGTTGCACGGCGGGATGGTCAGATCCAGGACTTTTGAGTATAGAATCTCATGGTGGGAGGGTGGTTCAGCTCTCAATGCCAAGCCTCAGCCGCACCGTGTTAGATATGGCGGCAATCTTCTTCGTATATTGGACCAAAGACAAGATTGCAATTATAGCTTGGGAAATGTTCCTTGCGATGCGGCATTCACATCTTCGGGGCGGGAAGCAGTCCCATAGTTTACTGTTGCAACGTGTTTTTGACCCTGATTTGTTGGCGATCGAGTCTCGTCCCCCCTACCGAGGCAGCCCAGTCGACCGGCAACGGGCACATGAATGGGGGCGGCACGAATTACCGCGCAGCTGGGCACCACCACGCCATGCTACGACAGTCTTCTGAACATGGTCTGCATGCTGACTAGTCGGATAGGAATCTTGACTACAGTAGATATGTACGCATAATCACTGAACTTCAAATTATCAAAACCTCCTACAGCTTGCCCACAGCCTTCAGTCCCCTCTCCCCGTCTACTAATACACACCAGCCCTCGGAGCCTCTGCCGCCATCGCCGGCAATGACCTCACCACCGTAGCCATCTTCACCCTTTCCTCTGGCAAACTTCAATACCTCGTCATCAAACGTGCCGGGCTGCAACCAGACAGCCGGGATGCCGAGCTCCTTGGCCTCCTTCAGGACCTTCAAAGTGGCCGAGGGAGGCGTTATCACAGACACAGACGTCTCCTTTGGGCTTGGCAGATCAGACAGCGAGGACTTTGTGGGATAGGCCTCCGAGTCCACGTTGATGCTGGCGCTGCCCGGGTTGATGGGCGTCGCGGGTAAAGAGTGGTGTGTGTACCATGCGAAGACTGTTTCAATAGTGAGTGTGCGCACGGGGAGATAAGTACGGTGTAGCCATGAAAGTGAGGATGTGACGAGAGAACAACATCAACGATTGTGCAATATGCTGGTGGGATGTCATATATGACCGGAGTGCTTACTCTTGTACCCAAATTTGGCAGGATTGTTGCTCGCGCCCACGACGGCGAAGTGCGGCGAGGAGAAGAATGCGCGGACGGTTGCTTCTGTAGACATCTTTAAACGGTTCATGAGCAAGAACAGCCGTAACAAAACCAAGCGGGCGGTCTACTTCTCAAATACTTGTTTGAGGCTTTGCTTTCAAGTGCGAGACGGCAAGTATCACGCAATGCAAAGTCGCATTCAGCTCATATGGTATTTGTCACTGCCGTCTACCTGCCTATCCAGAGGAACGGATGTTGCAAGCGTGCCCTGCTACAACGTCATGTGGGGTTGCAATCGCTGGGGGAAGCTTAATGTTGCAGGGCGGTTTCGGCTCCGGTTTGTTCAATTCGGTTACCCGTCTTACATTGAAGCTCTGCCTAACCGAAATAAAACGCATGCAGCTGATTGAGCTGCGTTCGAAGCTTGGCTTATCGTCTCATAACACAATATTTGGAATTGTAGGTATTGGCAACAAAATGTCCGCTTTTGCGTAAGTCAACGGGTGCTAATGTGTGTCACTGAACTTCCGCTAACAAGATGATAGACGCTCGACATTCTCGGCCAAATCATATGCGGCCTTTAGGCCAACATATCCACCTGTCCTTTTCAGGACCTTGCTCGCGTATCACCAATTGCCTACTGCCGCAGGCAACTTGCTGGACCTGGGATGTGGACATGGCCTCATTGCACGGGGCTTGAGCCCCCACTTCAAGTCCGTCACGGCCATTGATCCGTCGGCTGGCATGGTCGCCCAGGCCAAGCAGATGACCGATGACTCCAAGATTCAATTCAGGCAAGGCACCGCCGAGGACCTGGACTTCGTGGCGGACGCGTCGGTAGACATGGCAGTCGCCGGCCAAGCAGCGCATTGGTTCGACTACGGCAAGGTGTGGCCCAATCTCGCCCGCGTGGTGAAGCCGGGCGGCACAATGGCCTTCTGGGGCTACAAGGACAACGTTTTGTTGGACTACGAGAAAGCCACGGAGATCATGGAACACTTCGTCTATGGGTTCGGCGAGGCAGCACCGGGGGTCGAAGGCATGGGCAAGTACTGGGAACAGCCTGGCCGAAACATTCTTCGGGATTCTCTGAGAAGCGTGGTCCCGCCTGAAAGTGACTGGACGGACATACAACGGTTGGAGCATGAGCCGGGCGAGAGGGGTCAGGACGAGAAGACTGCCTGGTTGACGAAGAAGATGAAGTTGGGAGAAGTCGAGGCGTACACCAGAACATTCAGCTGCTACAACGGCTGGAAGGATGCTTATGCCGATAGGAAGAGCAGAGCAGAGGGTGGAGAAGGCGACGTTGTCGATATCATGTGGGATCATATGCTTGATGCAGTGCCGGAGTGGAAGGCATTGGGTGAGAAGTGGAAGGAAGCGGAAGTTGTGTCAGATTGGGGAACGTATGTGCTCATGGCGAAACGGAGATGAACAGCAGTGCAACCTAGTCTAGCTCACAAACAGGAGCTGCTGCTAGCGAGTGACTTATGTAGGTAGCTGGAATGTATGTACATAGCATTGAGATAAATGAACAGATACAGCCGTATAGTGAAGGCTGAGCGGGCGTGAATAGACGCTGCCAAGAACCAGTGCGACCAGGGACAGGAAGCTGATCTATAAGTTACTTGGGTATATTTTTGCGAGGAGCGAATACTGTTGTTCGTTTCTTGGTGGTTGCCCCTGGCGATGGGCGACCCCACCACCTAATCTGGGGCCCGGGGGGGAATTTCAAGGCACAGACCAGGGACATTTCCATCAACACGCACTGATAGGGGAAAGGACAGCCACCGTCCAGTCCAGCTTTACGTCCTCTCAACAAATTGTTTCAGACCGATCTCTCCTCCAGAAAACACCATCGCTTGCTTTTGACGCACCTATTTTCGAGCCTCATTATCTGTTCCGAGTTCTTGGAGCCTATTCAGTCAACATGGTGAGTATCCTGCCGTCCTCCTGAGTTTATCACCCCCCATTGGCCTGTGAGAGAGGTTGTAAACAAAGAAAAAACTGCAGCACGCAGCATGCAGCATGCTTGCCCCTCAAACCCCGAAACTGGCAGAAAAAAGAAAGGGCAGCCAAAAGCCCAAAATCCCGGCTTTTAGCGCGCCAGCAGCTGTGATGTAGCAACCAGTCAGCGCCAGCGAACTCTGCCTCAGATGTGCCAGTTGGCTGCCGGGTCTTGCTCTGCGCTTGGCCGCCGAGAATCAGCTCAAATCACGAGGCACAACCCGATCGCTCCAGTGTGCATAGAGACATTCTCCTGAGCACAACATACCGGCGCGCAGCACACTTCCCCTTCTCGCTTGACCTGCAACCCTCTTGCTGCCAGATTCCCATTTCGCGCGTGCAGGAAAACACCAACAATGGCGGCTAATTACGAGAATCAGGCTTCTACCAACTACAAGGAGGCTTTCTCTCTGTTCGACAAGCGTGGCAACGGCCGTGTCTCTCTCGACAGCTTGGGCGATCTCCTCCGCGCCTGCGGCCAGAACCCTACACTTTCTGAGATCAGAGACCTGGAGAAGAACGTTGGTGGTGATTGTGAGTTGCAGCAGCACCCTCACCCCCTTTTTGCCCGTCGGCGAGGGCCCGCACGGCCCGATTGCCCTGTCGCTGCGACGAATGCGAGCAGCTGCGCATTCCGACTCCTGCCAAAAGCCAGCCCATGCCTGCCTCTCCCCAGACTCCTCTGCTGACAATATCTGCTCTTTTTAGTCGACTTCGAGACGTTCCAACGTGTGCTGAACCGACCTGGCGGTTTCCGCGATCCCGGCGAGCCCGAAGAATACTGCCGCGGGTTTCAAGTATTCGACAAGGACATGACGGGTTTTATTGGCGTCGGGCAGCTCAAATACATCCTGACGAATTTGGGCGAGAAGATGACCGACGAGGAGGTGGATGAACTTCTGAAGGCCGTCGACACCAGCTCCGGACAGGTCAACTACACGGATCTGGTCCGCACCATCCTGGCCAACTAAGATGCACCGAGAATGGGGGGGATGCGCTTTGAGTTTCTATGGTGCTGACAAGCCGTCGAGCATCGTAGGGGAATTTGCATGGAAATGGCATGGCGTTTATGTATTTGATTGATGGGGTCACTTGTATGAACTTGGGTAGCCGTGGTTTGGCATTACTCATAGAGATGAATATACCAATAATGAGGCAATGTCCAGAAGCTCATCCGTTTCTTTTTACTTGTTTGTCTTTCCAATCCGCGTCTTGTCGAAACCTCAGGACAGACTTATCCATTGATCATTCAGAAGATATCGTCATGAGAATCACGGTTGTAATGCAAGATGCTTTCCCATGACCTGTCCACCTTTTTCGGCATATCAACAAAGGCATCAGACTGACTGACCTAGGTAAGTGCAAGAGCCGCAACATCCTGTTTGGCAATGCTCCAACCAAGGCTACATGGTCCCGGCGGTGATGGATACCTTTATGCAGTGCCCATGAAGGTCCTGCAACAGACGGCTGACGGGCACCGGTCGCGACGCGGGAAGCAATAGGCACGAACAAAAGGGGGGGCGGGGGCGTGTAACTACGGTTAGGTTAACCTTAGAGCCGTAACATTGGGGGCGGACCAAACCCCGCAGCCTCACTGTCAGCTCCCACTATCAGCTCCCCTGGCCACCACCATCAGCTCGCAAGGATGCCTGTGGGTTAAAAAGGCAACCGTGAGCTACTGCTAAGTTCAGTTAATTTAGTATGCAACAGCTTTCTGACGCCATGTCGTAATGGAAACAGAAAGGGAACCGAAGCACTGAGGCACTCTGCAGTCATCGTCCTTCTCTTTGCCAACCCTTCAGCTCTCAAAAGCAGTCTATAGTCTGTCACCTGCTTCATCGGCATTACCCCGCGCCCATCTCGTCCAATCCCTTCTCATAATTACCTGCAAAAGGACCTGCACAAAGGACCGGCCTACAGCCAGCTATACCAACCTACTGTACGTAGTACATGCCGCATCCTGCACTGGTTGCGCTGGATACCCCCGTTGCAAGTTGCGCAGGAGAGTGTACACACGCGAAAGGCCCTTGCCTGCCTGCAAAGCTAACCCCCAGCAGAGCGCATGCCAAAGTACCTTCACCCTGCCCTACTCTGTCTTGCCTTGCCTTGACCTTGCCGCAACTTTAAGCAACTACTGTACCAGTGAGACCGTGGCTTCTTCGCGTACTAGAGCCACGAGATCCTCCTTCCCCCTCCTTTCTCTTCTCGTTCTCCTTCTCGCCTTCACGCTGGCTATCCCCCGGGCTCTTCCTTACCTCACATCTCATCTCAACCACCTCCGCCCGAGAGCCGCCGCGTCCCTCTTCCGCCCTTCGACATACCAGACGAGACGCATAGTATCAGCCAACATGGCTCCAGACAAATATAAGAACCCTCCGCAAGCCCCTCCGACATTCGTGGGCACCAAGGACTCCATCGTCAGCGATGCCAAAGCCATCTGCCACAGGACCCGCGGCCTGCTCGACAAGCTTGCCGCTGATGTCCCAGTCGACCAAGCCTCCTTCGCCAGGGTCCTGAAGCCCGTGGCCCACGACGAGGACGAGGCCGGTCTCTCTGGACGTATACTTGGCTTCTACCAATATGTGTCAAGTGATGCTGACCTGCGGAATGCTTCGTCCGAGGCTGAAAAGATCATGGACGAGTTCGGCATCGAATGCAACATGAGGGAAGACATCTTCCAGCTCGTAGACTCGGCTGCCAAGAGCCAGAAGCAGAACGAACCCGACCTCGATCCCGAAAGTCTGCGCCTGTTGGACAAGGAGCGCAAGAACTACATCAAGAACGGTCTTGGTCTTTCCAAGGGCCAGCAGAGAGAGCGCTTTAAGGAGATCAAGACTCGCCTCAGCCAGATCAGCATCCAGTTTCAAAAGAACCTCAACGAGGAGGACGACGGTCTCTGGTTCACCGCGGACGAACTCGACGGCGTTCCTAGCGATGTCGTCGAGGGGCTGTCCAAGGGCGAAGGTGAGAACCAAGGCAAGATTAGGTTGACCTTCAAGTACCCCGATTTGTTTCCCGCTCTCAAGTTTGCCAAGAACCCGGAAACGAGAAGGAAGATCTTCGTCGCAAATGAAAACAAGATCCCTGACAACATAGCCTTGTTCAGCGAGGCAGTATTGCTCCGGGACGAGGCGGCGCGCATGCTTGGATACCCCAACCATGCGGCTCTTCGCATAGAAGACAAGATGGCCAAAGAGCCTGCCACCGTAAACACCTTCCTGGCAGACCTTCGATCACGATTGGCCGCTGGTGGCAAGAAGGAGAGACAGCATCTCTTGGAGCTGAAGAACAAGGACGAGGAGTCTAGGGGCTTGAAGCCAGATGGCAAATACTATCTTTGGGACCACCGTTACTATGATCGGCTGATGGTCGAGCAGGAGTACCAGATCGACGAGAACAAGATCGCCGAATACTTCCCTCTGACGTCCACGATACAGAACATGCTTCAAATCTTCGAGAAGATCTTTGGGCTTGTGTTTGTTGAGCTGGACAACAGTGAACGCGCAAGATTGTCTCCCACCAGCAAGTCGGAAGACATTGCGTGGCATGAGGATGTCAAGATCTTCTCGGTATGGGATGACGCCCAAGAGGGCGAGGGCTTTGTCGGCTATCTCTACCTCGACCTCCACCCTCGACCTGGCAAATACGGCCACGCCGCAAATTTCAATCTGCAGCCTGGTTACCTGAAGTCAGACGGATCCCGAAGATACCCTGCGACGGCTCTGGTCTGCAACTTCTCCAAGCCGACAGAAAAGAAGCCATCTCTGCTCAAGCATGACGAGGTCGTAACACTTTTCCATGAGCTTGGCCATGGTATCCACGATTTGGTTGGCCGATGCAAATACAGTCGATTCCACGGCACGAGCACTGTAAGAGACTTTGTTGAAGCTCCGTCTCAAATGTTGGAGAATTGGTGCTGGACCCCAAGCCAAATCAAGGCCTTGTCGAAACACTATGAGACCGGAGAAGCTATCCCCGATGACTTGATCGAGAAGCAAATCTCCACCAAGCACGTCAACGACGCTTTGTTCAACTTGAGACAGCTTCACTTCGGTATCTACGACATGACCGTACATGGACCCAGCAGCCATGAAGAGTTGGAGAGCCTGGACCTGAGTAAGCTGTACAATGATCTCAGAAGTGAGATGTGCGGTCTGGACGGCCCAGAGGGCACCTCATGGGGCCACGGACAAGCCACTTTTGGTCACTTGATTGGTGGCTATGATGCGGGTTACTACGGCTACCTTTCCTCGCTCGTATACAGCACGGACATGTTTTACAGCAAGTTCAAGCAGAACCCCATGGATGATAAAGAAGGTCGCAGATACCGTCACACCGTTCTCAAGCGCGGCGGCAGCCAAGAAGAGATGAACATTTTAGAGGAGTTCCTCGGTCGCAAGCCAAGCAGCGAGGCTTTCTACCGGGAGATGGGGCTAGGCGCATGACTCGATCAGCCTGAAAACAAGGCAAGGTTGTAGGTTAAGGGGGTATTCCTAACCTCGTCTTCATGTCACTGGATATCAATAATAAAAAGCATCATCAAACAATATCTAAATATGTCCGGATAGGAAGAGTCAGGGAACGCACGATTCGCACGGTTATAATGTTACATCAAAGCATCGCTAGCTGACAAGTCATCCCGTAAATGTGCCATCTCTCATCATCAGCACCGCCTCCTAGAGAAACGCCCAGGATGTCTCATAGTCTCACATGCATTCTTACCTTGTGCTCCTCGACTGCCGCTCCAGATTCCCCTTGTCTTTCCTCCCTTCCAGTTAAGAGAATTCGCGTGACCTGTCAGCAGATCGTCAGGATGACTTGCACAAATTCTACCTACGAGTTGCCGGATCTTACTTTTCCGCCTATTCGACGGATCGAGATATTATTTGATCTTAATGAGGATCAAATAATAAGTTGTCATCTCAACACCATGAACCTCACGCCTCAACTCCAATTCGCCGGTTTATCTTACTTTTAGGGAGATGTTTCAACTACCGATGTCATATCAGTCAACGACGCCAAGACAAACCAAAAAAAAAGAAATAACCAACTTGGCTTCGGCACTGTGGTATTTCCGCAAGTCCATTATGTTGCGTCCCAGACTGCGCCGTCTCCGGTTGGTCCTCTGGTGCGCTAAACTTTCCCCTGCTGATAGCTCAGCCTATCGAACTCATGTACATCCCTCGAAAAGCGCGATCAAGACGGCCCCGCATACCAGCCAAGTGGTCTTGCGGGAGAGGTATTATATAAGTGGTGACGATAAGCAAGAAGAAGGAGTGAACTCGGGACCTCTTTATCGAACTGAACTGGCTTCCCCTTCGGGCGGCAGAGGAGCCCGAGTGAAAAGAAAAGCACCAAATATGTTGGAAGTGGCAGACCCAACGATGTTTTCCCAGTGCCAACAATGACCGCACCAGCGCAAAAGAAGCAACGACGACCAGCTTACGATGGTGACGCATCTTGAAGTGGGGGCAGTGTGCAGTGCGAGGCTGCTGCGTTAGGAGTAATGCTGCCACGTAGCAGGCGGTTGGTAATGGCTTGTAGTGCCTCCGTATTATGACTATAACTAAGCAGTTTTCTTAGAGCAGTGAAAGCTTCTACTTGTATTATCCAGGTCAAGCTAACCGGTCTATGTTCCAGCATCGCGGCCTACGGGTTTTCGAGACTTCACCACGCTTATACAACACCGCCAATAGATTGCAGACGTGGTGACAGCGATATTAGAAATTTGGAAGCATCGGCAATGATGCTCACCCAACGCGATTGGGCAAGTAGAGTCGCACAATGTTCGAATTCTACGTGTCGGATGCCCCACCAGACGGTACCCCGTGAATAACAGAAAGCGGATACTGAACATGAACCTTACATGATGTCCTAGAAATCTTAGATGATCGTACCCTCCAGAGATTCATACAAGAGCCCACCGGTTCTTCAAAAATAAAAATAAAATAAAATTCCGCCCTGTTCAAACCCACGTGGTAGAACACTACAGAAGCTATGTGATGAACCAGTTAGCAAAAGATTCCTAAACCATACATGTTTACAAGAGTTTCAACCACTATAACGTTTCTGGCGTCCACTAAAGCGAGACCACAACCCTTGCTGGTTTTCCAACAGCTTACGTATTGGTGCGTATGTATATCTCAACGCATAAAAGTACATGCGGCAGAATTGTCGGCGTAACAATCGGCCGGCCAGAGAGCTGCATATAGTGCACGGCACCTGCTAAATCCAATGAGACGAGTTTGACAACTGAATTTTTGCTTTGTGCGGTTTAAGCTATTGCTGTTTTCTCTACCTTGACCATGTGCAAGGAAAGAGTAGTTGAAAACCGCATCTACGACAAGCAGCGGGGCGGTAGCAACGACGCTCTCGGGCTCTTGAATCCCCTGAAGCTATCGTGAGAGATAGCTTGTCCATTGACTTCTTGCGTCTCTCAAGAACGACACGACTTGCTCAGCTCTATTGTATATGTCCGGCGGGCGCTGTCACACTAAGAAAGAAAAACGGATAGCAAGTGGATACAGATAAACAACAACAAGGCCCATCAGTCGTTCCTTCGGTAGACGGTGTTGAATCCCGGAGCGGAGTGGGTCCCAGGCATTGGCAGAGGCGATCGATACCCCCTGGGCTTCATCGCTCGAGCATGGGGATGGAGTGACACAGTTAACCTAGGGGCTCGGCGTGTCCATTTAATGGATGCTCATGGATTGTGTTGAAGGGTTGGCTACTGGTGCCGGTTTCGCAGCTGCGAGCGTTTGTATAACCGATGCAGTTTCGAGGTATGCCTACCCATGCTGCAAGGAGGTTCTCTTAAAACTCGTTGAGCAACTCTGGCTAGTAGTGAGGGAGAAAAGAACATCATGAATTTATACGATCAGCTACTCGAATTCCTTCTACTCATACACAGCAGATGGTGGTGGACCAATCAACTCACCCAACCTAGCGCAATCCGCTATATTAGTTAGCGGAGAGTAGTTACGACTAACCTAGTCTATGGAGCTACCTACATAGATGCCAACCACTTTGTTTGGTCGGCAGACATGAACGAGACTGCTATGTAACAAAAACAATTAAAAAGATTATGCCATGTAGCTCGAAATATTTCCCAAGCATCGATAGTTTGGAATGTCATCCCGAACGCGCCGCAAGATATCAATGTCGTGAGCACATTCGCATTATGGTATATACTGGTCAAAGGTCGGCTTCCTTCAGCATAGTGGTATAAATCCATTGGCCGTGGCCAGCTGATCATTCATAGAGCCCCAGATGCAACATCGGATAATTCAAAACATATGACGGAGCAAAAGTTTTGTATGCGTTCCAAGAGCCGCTTCGTGTAGCTGCTTTTGAAAGACTCCGACATTTATGGCACCACAGTAACGGGTGAGCACTTTGCTAAGACCCATCTAAAGTGGTTGGCTTTCACCCATCACAAGTGCGCCACAGATTAACTGAATCGCTAAACTAGAGAGCTTTTAACAACAATTCCTCCGTCGGCACAACCCCAACGCCGAATATCGACGGTGATCTTAGCTTATCAATCACTTATAACTGAGACAGGATTTTTACCACACGATAGATGATAAAAAGAAGGTTCACAGAATTTAACAAAGAATACCCGGGCAACCAGTCGTGCTAAGAGTTTCAAGCCAATCTATCACTGGCTCAAACTTGCTACACAAATTTTGTTTTGGAGGTTTCCTTCCATTGCAACATCAGCAGCATGGCTATCAAGATTAGCATCATCGAAACGGGGAAGATCCGGGTTCGGCCCAGCCAAATGTCCCAACCGCCTGGAAATGTGTTGCTCCGGCGTTTAAAGTTCCTCACAGATCGAGACTTCACCGAGCCCATACCGATCTTTGCCTTCGTGATCAGCCACCCAGAGGGCAACTTTCTCTTCGACCTGGGAGAGACACCGCAGTGCATACAGCCCGGGTATTATCCTTGGTGGCAGATCGGACACCGATGCGTGTCCATGGATATAAGACCTGACCAAGGTCTCGGCAGTCAACTCCGGGCGCAGGGCATCGATCCCGATTGCGACATCAAGGCGGCCATCATCTCTCACTTGCACAGCGATCACGCCGGCGGGCTTCCGGACGTGTACGAGAAGACGGACATTTTTGTAAGCCAGAGCCACTGGGACGCGTTTCAAAAGCCCTTTTACGCCACCATGGAGGGTGCCAACCCTCAAGCATGGCCGGAGAATTTTGCCCCGTCCATCTTGAAGCCGGACGGTCCTGCGATAGGGCCCTGGGCCTACAGTTATCCCATCACCAAGGACCAGAAGATCTTGGCGGTCGACACGCCTGGACACGTGCCAGGTCACATCTCCTTGATTATCATTGACGAGGATGTGACCTACTTTCTCACCGGCGATGCCGCGTATAATCTGGATTTGTTGGACAAAGAGATGACCGACGGGATCAATACCGATCCGTACATCGCAATCGAGTCCCAGAAGAAGATCAAGGAATTTTGTCGGACGAGACCTGTGGTTGTTCTACCGTCTCACGATTACGGATCGATAACGAGACTAGAAACTAAAAAGGTGTACCAAGTTGGCTGAGGCGAAACGGCTTTTCATTCGGTGTTGTTAAAATAATAACTTAATGTGTACATATTACGTTTGTAGTGTCTTTTTACTCGGTTTTGAACAAGGCGGAAAGGAATAGAAGAATTGGCGGGCTCTTACATCGGCCTCTGGAGACTACGTCATCTAAAATTTCCAGTACATCTCGACGCCTAAAAGTACATACGTCCGCATTACGGGCGTGACAATCGGCCAAAGAGCTAATTATATAAGCGTGCGGTACTTATCCAAGGCAACTAGGTTATCGGTAATCGAATTTTGCTTTGTACGGTATATAGACCATTGTCCGAACTCAAGCTAATGCCGTTCGCTCTGCCTTGGCACCAGAGCTGAACAAGTAGTTGTCGTGTGGAGAATTGACTACCGTATTCCTACTCAACTCGCTATCACCACTCTCGGAGTTTGCCACCTATCTGGTAAAGAGATCGGAACGCCAGGACCAACTAATTCTGGCAGTCGGCTTCGAATATGCGTTGGAAAATAAAACAGGCACTGAAAAGTGGACGCGGTGGCTTCGCCACGAGACATCATTCAGGCAATGGTCACTAATAGACGAAGGGGCTTACTGCCGATGATTATCGGTGATGCCTTAGGCGGTTTTCGTCGGATAGCCGTGGGAAGAAACAGGACAGCCCGTCGTCACCGTGCTGGTGTAAGTGGGAATGACGCATTGACCACACGGAGGGCAGGTGCCGGGGAGGTAAGTCGTGGACGTGGTGGGACAGCAGTCTGTGGAGCAGGGCACCTGCAACGTGGTCAAGACGGCCAGGGCAGGACACGCGATCGGGTTTGTCTGCGGCGGACATGCCGGGCATGGTACTTGTGCATGAGTCAATACGGTCTGCTCTCTTTTCGTCGCGCAAGGAAGAAACATACACACGCTGGTCCCGGTAAAAGTGTAGCAGCTCGGTCCGCTTACGCCAGCGGTGGTATGCTCAAAGTCATCCCAGGTCGTCCAGCAGGACGCTGGGATAGTGGGTGAAGGACTTGGTGCAGTTACAACGGAATATCCCGGCCGAGTAACATGTGGTATGGCGATGCTGCAGCATGGGATCAGTCAATGGGGTGTTGAGTCGTTTGGCGAGATCGCACCTCGATCAATGCTTTGTAGTTCATGTGGTAAAACTTACACGAAGCCGATCGAAGCGAGACCGACAGCGAAGCCAAGCAGAGATTGACTGGAGGCATACATCATCACGAAAGACGTCTTAAGCGGTGCGACCTAGCAAACGATTCCGCAACAAGGTTAAATTGTATGCTTGCAAGTTATCTTGGCTTTTAAGAAATAACGATAGGTCTGAGGGGGTGATCTGAACGGGTATTTATGTGAGCACCCAGGTTTAATCAGCCCGTTTCCGTGCTACCCGATCTTGGCAGCTACTTCGCAGAACTCGTATAAATATGGGGAGTGAGACAGAGCTGATATGCCACAAGGGGTCGTAACCCCTCGCGTGGCTTGCTCTCGGTAGAGGTGGAAGGATCAATACGGCTTTCTGTGATCATCTGTCAGAGAAACGGCACAATATGACGTCGGTGGGCGAGGTGAAAGGCAGCATCGTCTGAGACATTGTCCAACGGGCAGATGTAATCTTCGAAATTCAAGTAAGCAGTTGAAGCCGAAAATCGGCAAGTGTCTTGTAAAAAGGACTTCTAGACTAGCATGTCATTTGTTGAACTGATCTCGTAATTGTATGTCCCTCGATGCATTGCTACGTAAATTGCAACATCGTATTGACCTTTTCACTGCGCAGCCGGCAGGAGACCCCCGAACTTGCGCGCTCCAAGGCGCTAAAGACATAAACAGTGCGTTCTGACAAAGACATGGCCTGAATATATTGGGATGGGAGGATGCAAAATGTCGGCTAAATTGACACAATGTAATAAGGTGGTAGTATATACACTTGGTGTTTCGCTTAGGACTTTGTGGCTTGCATGTCGGCCTTGCATGTATTAATTCCGCCCATACAACCATCACTTCGGTCAGTGCCTCGGCGGTTGGAGGAGCCTCGCATGCTCTACATGCGGGTACACACGCCTCATGCAGCAATGAAGCATTGGGACTTTTTGGAACCAGCGTAACCTTCTAAATATAGATTCCCATATCTCTCATCCTTGATGTCAACTTCAATAAACAACTTGAAACTGGCCAGGACCTGCGCTAACAGAGATTTAGATGGTGCAAGAGAATAAGCGGTTTACGTGAAGCACTGTTATCGCCACGAAAACAGTACACCATAAGATGGTAGTCATGATGTATAATTTACTCAAGAAATCGGATTCCAGTATTATCCAGCTACTCGAGACACTTCGAATTCTTTGTTGTTTCCTATTTCATGCATTTCATGGAGTCACGTAGCGTTTCAGCCCGAATTTGCCTTTTGTCTCAATAATAAATTGGTCGCTTTCCATTCCACAGTCCGGAGCTTCGACGATTTCGAACGTGGAATCAAAGCTTTGGGCGACGGTGGCAAGCATGAGGTACATTTCTGCCGATGCAAGACTGTACAGTGAAGAGATGTCAGTAAAGAACGGAGATTGACCATGGACAGACGGAAGATAAGAAGAAAAAGCCCAACTTCCTGCATGCCCAGGCAAACCTGTATCCTTTTCCAGAATGGTGCATAGGTCTTCCCCAACCTTTTCCGCGTCTTGAGGTCCGTCCAACCGTCAGGATTGAAGCTCAAAGGAACTACCCAGGGTGCAAGATCTCATCAGTATATACGGCGAACCAAGAGATCCCGTTACAGAGCCTATCTACATCACGGTCAGTGATGTACAGGGCATCATCCACCTCGGCTTTAGAGAAAAAATGATGTAAGGGTGAGCGACGGGCCTTTTGTAGTTTGTGCTGGACGGTGTTACTACCCAGTCAGCACAGAGATGATAATCTTTGTTACCTCTGATCGCCTCTGAGTTATTTCAAGCAACCAACATTCAACACCATAACGCTAAGGTATCACACGAAGGTTCTTGAGAAATACATCCGGATCCTACAGGCTTTTATACTGTCGTCATCCATACATGTCCATCATTCATTGTCGTGCTATACGCCCGTATGCTCACAAATCTTCTGCCAGTTCCTTTAAAAGCTGAAGCAGAACAACCAAGGGTAAGCTTCAGTTTGGAAACCCCCTCTCATGGGTTTGCTTTGGCCAAGCTTGATATGATTGATGACCTTATCTCAAACGATCTTATTATATCCTGGGCTATAGCTCGGGAGAGGCTGCATCCATGGCCCAGCACTCGGTTCTTGGTGTCTTTATAACAGGAGCGGCCTTGTCAAAATGTTGAACCTTGGATTCACTTACTTCGTGGCGTCGCTACCGTTTTGCAGAACTGGATTCGTGCTCACGTATTGGTTGGTCAGAACAGCTTTGAAAGATCTTTGGCGTGTAATATGTTTGCAGTATTAGAAGAGCTTGAGTGGAGTGGAGTGGAGTGTAGCCATAGGATGTCTATTTTCTCTCTTTTCTGGTTTTGGTGAAATCGCTTTGACCGATTCTGGTTGCTAGATCAACAGAGAAGTCCAGCGAGACAGATTTAGGGCTCTTCACGATGTTAGGCCTCTATTCATAATCGTAAATCAACCGCAAAAGCTCGACCATCGGGCACTAAAGCCACGAATCAATTCTCATAGTCACTTCTAATGCTAATCTCGACCCAGCCCTACCAGCGGTGTTGCGATAGATAGACAATCAATGAACCCTTGTGTTTCACTGACCCTGTACTGGAAAGTTTTGTAGGCTACCTACCGGCGGTGAGGCTGCTTACCTACTTCCTGCAAATTCAATGGTTGTTCTAATAATTCTGATGAACCCCGGAAACCATCCCGAGCCCACGTCTGTGTGTGATGATCTGGGCCAGGACATGAACTCTCGAAGATAATTTGTAGTCCGGCGAAACATTCTTCTAACTGAAAGGCTCGAGGTGTCGTTTCGCAACAGCAGGAAGCCCGGGGGCGGCACTTCGAGCATTATTGAGGGTCGCTATTGAATATAAGATGGGTGTGCACTGAGTGGGATCGAATTCCATGTAAGGATCACTCGCAAGAGCACTGGCAGGAAAATAGTTAACCATTGCCTCGTGCCAGGTCGAGGGGCTTGCGATACATATACGGGAACTTACGACCTGCCTGTATCCAGTACAGCGTAACCTACATGACTATTATGTCACACAAAGGCAAAAGCACTTTGATAACCGCCGCTGGAGAATTTTGATCAAAGCAGCAGTAAATACATTGCGCTCCATAATAATATTCTTGTAACACTTAGTTTTTTGCTCATATAGTAACGAGTAATTGAACTCGTACAATTATCACTATCGCGATGGTTCTGGAGCAAATGAACAGGTCATTAAGTCTGAGCCATAACAGCGCCATTGGCAAGTCACAATAACTCTTAACTTGCTGCTTGAGAAAATTTTTTTCCCATATGGTAATCTAGGTGTTGTAAGCTGTCACAACACAATGGGCTTTAAATCGAATTGTTAATGATATTGATATGCTATGATGTATCCAATGATTGTAATCCAGTCTCAGTTAACCAATTCCAATATGCCTACAAAATCAGATCCGCGATGCATTATAATCCTTGCCGCCAACGCTGACAAATGCTGTACAAATGTCTTCTAAGAACGCCTAATCCCAAAAATTTTCGGTAGCCAAACAGCCAATGCAAACTAGTTTGTTTCTATGTACACCGACCGCCTAGAAAAACACGACTGATGACCAATTACATGTTTGCTAACTCGTTATCGATTTGCCTGTCCATGAAAGTCCTCCTCTCACCGTTCAGTTCAGTCTGCAGTCTCTGTTCCACAAGTGCACGGACTTGCTTCTTGGTGACGGTGTCTAGGTCGACTTCACCGAGGGTGGCCTGAATGGCCTCGATGATCATGCCGTCATCAGGACCCACGTTGCCACGTTGGAAGTCGAAGGAGACCATGCTTTGATTATTGCCATGACCAAGGGGTGTACGAGCGCCGCCCCGATAGCCCAAGGTTTGGTTTGATGGCCGATGCATATCGCGAGATGGCGAAGCATTCGCGACGCTACGCAGGTTTGACATGCTTGGCCTCTCTTGGAATGGGGTATGCATACGCTGAACATCGCCAAAGGAAGTGGTGGACTGGCGGTGCATAGGGTTGTCCGAGTATGGCGCATAGCCCGAATTCCTCGTCATGGAACCGTGAGGTACGGGAGATTGTGAGCTAGGAGGCATGTACGTAGATCCAGCTCGATTGCCCTGCAGACCGTGGAGAACAGATTGTTGGCGGACTGAGCTGTATACAGACTTCATGTCATCCATCTCATAAGAATCATCGAAAGGCTGAGCCTCGGCCTTCTCAGAGTAATTACCACGGCGGCCAGGGAGGTTGTTCAAAGCAGCGTAATCGTCCCAACGCTGGAGTGGGATAGAGCGGGGATCAAAAGTCTCTCCACCGACAGCGATGACTTGCTTACTGCCCTTTTCTCCAATGACAATACGAGTGTTACCCCAGGAGAAATCATCCTGCTTCCAGAACGAGTAGATAGGTAGGATGAAGGAGTAGATCGGGAATGCTAGAATGTAAATGATCATCCAACCGATGTGCTGCCATTGCCGCTTCAGGATAAAGATGAGTGCCTGAAGACCATAGACAGCTGCCAACATGATAATGGATATCATCGGGAACTGTCCGCTATTGGTAGCGACACGGTAAATGAGGTATCCCAGGTAGATGGTAGTGGCAGGCAGAATGATAGTTCCGGTAAGATCGATCAAGACGACAAAGCGCATAGAGAAACAACAGAAACCACACATATCCTTCAGCATCATCAACTCGACCAGGTTGTGGATAGTGGAGTTGATCCATCGTCGTCTTTGAGACAAAAGAACGCTCCATTCGTCGGGGGCGGCAGTTTGACAGTATGCATCGGCGATGAACTTGTATGACATGTAGGGGAAATGCTTCGTCATGAGCGTGGTAAGGAACCGATCCTCTCCAAGGGATAGTAGATTCTTCTTGTGGAGGGTGTCGACGTTGCAAACAGCGTACTCGCGAATGACCGCATCTGAGATGATCAGAGGCTTACCCTTGTCTGCGGTTCGTAAACGATACATGGTGAAACTAGAGCCTTGTTAGTTACCTAAGAAACAGGGAAGTCGAGATGAAGTCTGCTCACCATCCAGGAAGACAAGTAACACTACCAAAGAGAGATTCGAAAGCCTTTGCAAGATGATGGGAGATGAAGTACTCGTAGACCTGGATCATACTCCACCAGGATCGTTCCTCGTTCTGAAGACCAGTTTCACCACAGATACCAGCAATCTTGGCATTGTTCGCACAAGCCGCAACGAGTCGGTTCAA